TGGTTTCAAGTATTGACGTCCGTTCAACACGGCTAATCCAAAGGGTCAGCATCTACCTATTGTATGATCAGAGTTAACAATTAGTTCGTGGTATAACTAAACACATTACATTAAAAATGATACATCCGGCTAGAGGACTAGTAATAAATTAATTTATATCTGGTAGGTACTTATTGAAATCGAAGTTTGTGTCAACTCGAATTTGTTTCGAATTATTATGGATGTGTTTTCAACAATACGAAGCGATTTTAAAGCCCCACTCACTGAGAGTGAGCTTTTAGAATACAGGCGAAAGTTGTGTGAATTTTTTTTTCGTGGACTGTGTGATTATTAATGGCGATCAGCCAGATACCTATCTCCCTTGTAGTTCCGTCGAACTTTGGATTGTTGCTAGACATGTTGAATTGTGCAAACGATCTTGAAATTTTGCTTCAATCGCTTAAAAAATCTTCTTTGTGTGAGCACTGGTGATTGGTAAACCGACTGGCGTTTGGTTACAAGGAATTTATACACTTCATATAGCAGCAACCATGTGAAATAAAATTTTTATGGAGATCCACATCACCCTTACCTTGTACTCCTGTAAATTTGTCAAATTAACAACAGTGGAAAACCTTCAAAAAACCATTGAATACTGCCTCGTCCGCATCCACTGAAATCGAACGGAATTTTTCCTTTGATAGATAAGTAGGTTGATACAAATTAAAGTCCATTATATTCATCAATGATCATGTTGCAGTATTATCTCGCATTCTCTTTCATCCCAGAACTACATCTTTTCAAATTTCGTTCCACGCGTTTTCTAGCATATGCACCTCAAACTGTTTTTAACTATGTCTAAATCTTGCCGACTTGGCGATTTCCCAAGTTGTTTTTTTTTAATGATTTCAACGTTCTTTACGGGTGACTATGGATGCAGTTTTACAATTTCTTTGGCGCCGTGTTGGCTAGATATTGCTAGACACATCCTAACTACACCAGTCGTGTTAAAGTTGCACCTCTCAATGCAAGTGTGCAGCCCACATTGATAATTGAAATGGAGAGAACAAAGGCGAGAGCCTTTTGTGAATTTGACAGAATTGTTTTGAAAACGCGAATGCACCTCATGGTAGCGTTAGTCACTCAAGATTTAAGTTCCGCTTTTGCTATTTTCACAAAATTTTCAATCGTTCAAAGTTTACTTACACCGTTATTTTCACGTGTTAGCATTTTCATGCAATAATTCAATCTTTCTACTTTGTTTGTCTGTTCCTCGCCTTGTTTGGTCCTAGATTCTGGTTCAGTTTGATGTTGTTTTTTGTCCGTTAGTGCTTTCATTATTCGCGCAAACTTGACGTTAGTTTTGATAAATTATTTCGCTCGCGTCGACGCATTGTCTCCGCTCTATTATCTGATTGCAATTTCTGCGCACTTCATTAGCATATTTTGCGTTAACGATGAACAACACAAACAGGATTATTGCGCAAATAAAACGAATGGTTTGACAGGTTTTTCATGATTTATTGAATGGAAATAATGATAGTTGAAAGCTTAAACTTAACGAATTCTGTCATAAACATTTCTTTACAACAATATCTTTAAAAGCTCATAACTGAAATAATTATATGTAATTCAATTTACTGGCGAGACTTGGATTCATATTGTTACGACAATTTCGTTATTCGTATTGCACTAAATATCAGTACACTCACTGTAGTGTACTTTGCCAAGAAACCAAAGCGAAAACATGAAATGCTATTTGTCACAATGTTTTTCCGAACAAGATATCTTCCCTAATGCTTTCCCTGATAAGGTAAAACCATTTATGGTTTGTTTTCAGTTGCAATCTTTCTACTCCGACAAATGCATGAATTGGCATTCGAGTTGAACTTCGTAATTTTACCCTGATGATGTTAAAAAACACAATGCGTACATTTACTCCTTTATAATTGTTGTGCTAATTACGATAAAGATTTCAACAGTCTAATTAAATGACCCTTCTTGTAGAGTTTCGTGACTGTATTTTGTCTAAATCTTGAAAGTTGTTGTGATTAATGAATCTTTGGAACGAATGAACGTCTAATAGGACTTTGCATGAGATATTGACAAACGCAGGCTGGCAGTATCCATGAATCTGGTGGTGTTAGGGCAACGTATGTTCTGAGCCAAATAGCTCTATACTTTTTGCCTTACGTTTTACCTTTATAAGGTAAAGCTCTATACTTTTTGCCTTACGTTAGGTTATGTGAATGATTCAAACTGATTCAAATTCCATCACGAGATCCAACGTTTGCATTCATTTGACATGCGTTGCGTCTCTCGCAAGCACGACTCGTGGAAAATCGACTTTGATATCGATTTTGATATTGAATGGGCAATCTTTTTGGCAAGGTCTTTAAAAAACACGATGGAGAGACCTTGATGTGCTATGTGGATGTAGAATGGTCTATTTTAAGATAGCGTCAGGAAATCGTTATTTCAAAATTGCAACCATTACTCATTTGACAGAGATTATAACAAATCCCTGTGGTTGTGCCAGACTCTTCGTCCCTGGCCTCACCGCGAATATTTGTCGAACGAGGCGGAAGAGTAAAGCTCGTTCTCACCTTAATAACGCCCTTTCGATTATCGGCGTAGTCTTCGCTTTCGATGATATGGTCCATTCGGAGACTTTCACAGGAGTTACCTGCGTTCTAAATTTTACAGGATGCACGACATTTTGGTGTTATCTGGTTTGGGTTGAAAATTGTTTGAGTTTTATGCGTTCTGGTGAAAAATAGCGGTGTTTATATTACGGGTAATTGATGTGCCAATTAATTGCCAGTTGTATGAGGTGACAGTCAGTTTGGCACGCGTGCTCAGACAACCATCCTGATCTCGGTTAGCTCATGCTGAGAACATTTGCATAAATTGCGCTGTGGAAGCCTGTTCAGCTCATTCAAGAGCTCCTTGCTACAACTGAAAGCTTCGTTCAACTGCTGTTCTTTTGTCAACTTTCATCGTCTTCATATCTTGAAAAAGATGGGTCGTGGTGTGATGTAAGCATTTTTGTGTATTTTAGTGTTTAAATTGAGCCGGGTTTGATTTGGCGTTCTGAGTACAGTATGGATTAGTTAAAGTGAATATATTTTTATTTTTTAAATGTGCGCATAGAATATCTTTTAAGCTATTTCCTACAGACAGGATGTGTCCAAGAAAATAAGCAAAACCAACTAAAAACATGTTCATGTTGATTCTCAAATTATTAGTTTTATTATTAAAAGCTTAAAAACATTCGAATCGCACATTTTTTTGATTGGAATACGTCTTTCCATTAGTGTATCGTTTGTCATCGTCTTCTTGGCGTGTGTATTTTCAAAGTTGTCTCGTGTGGAAGGGAAACCGCTACTTCGTACGAAAGACAAGGGTGTATCCCTCCCTATTTTGCCCTCCACTTTAAACAACAGCTGGTGTCGAAGTGCGTTTTTCAAGGAGCGCATAACGGAGCCTGGATGCGAGTCCAAACTTGTATACAATCGGTTTTGTTACGGCCAATGCACGTCCTTTTACGTACCACGCTTTCCATTTGATAGCGTTCGTATGTGCAACGGATGTTTGCCTGTAGTAACGGAAAGACGTCTCGTACAACTGAAATGTCCTGGCAAGAAAAATAAAGTTCATTTGAAGGAGATACTGCTAGTGAAAAACTGTCGTTGTAGAGCAGACTTCACTCCCAAGTCGAAAACCAAGGGAAGAAACTGAAGCGGACAGCTGCCTAAAGAATAATGGATTTGTCGCTTCGTGACAGGGAACCTCTTTTTCAGTCTACGAGCGCGCGTACAGGGAGGATGACAAATGATCACCAATTATTGTGGACTGACTAAGCATATATTTACATAAATTTGTATATACATATACCTGCTCTTCGTGATCTTTTTCAATTGAGATCAAAGAGAAAACGGGAAAGAACTCTTATGTTAATAGAAATGTCACTGTTCCATTTGTCCAATGTCTGTAAGATTTTTTAAAGGTATCATGTATCATATGGTACAGTGTTGAAGCGGTTAACTTAAATACAAATTGTTTTTGACTTCAAGTCATCTACTGTTTAGCATTGTTATGCCGTGAAATGAAGGGAACTTACTAAGCGTTGAAGAAGTTTTGTAAGTTTTTCTATTCATATGTTTTACCGTAGTATATAGAACCAAATTACGTGATATAACTGAGTGTCTTTAAGAAAACCAACTCAAATCACAGCACTACATTTTAGTTCATGCATGGTATATCTATTTTTATTAATATCACTATTGCTCTGTTTAAAAACCATGACCAGCCGACAATTTGAAAAAGTATAATATAAAACAAATTCCGAAGAAACAAGACATCTTGAGATTGCAAAATATGAATCAAAACAAGACGAGAAGTAAACTGTTAACTGTAAACTGAGAACAGTTTACTTCTCGTCTTGTTTTGATTCATATTTTGCAATCTCAAGATGTCTTGTTTCTTCGGAATTTGTTTTATATTATACTATTGCTCTGTTTCTTGTATACCCAATGGAAAATACGCATGATCAATAAAAAGGGCGTTAGAAAATGTAATCTGTATTAAAACACTTACTTGATCTATGTAAAAAAATGGAAAACGATGCTATAGTAACTTCTTTTTTGGTCCATGAAATGCGGCAACAATTTAATCATGAAATACAGCACTACATGTACACAACGTCCTTACAAGTAAAACAAGTGAACAAACAACTTGTTTGGTTTCTAGTGCTAAAAGCGCAATTAGAATTATGAGTACCATCTCAATGGTCATAAGAATTTACCATTTTGCTTACACAATAACCAGGACAAGAAAAAACAAGTTTTTGAGAGATCAGTGTTAGTAATTCCGTGGTAATTCTATTGGTTTGACAGTATTTTTGGAGTGAAGACGAAATATTGAAAACTCTGTCTCTAAATTCTTTCAACCTTGAATTGATCAAAAAGGCAAGAGGGCGGAGAGCCCTTTATTGGAATTAGTTTTATATTGCTTACATTAAGTTGTGCCTTTTCTAAAATGGAGGGATCAAGCAGTTCGCATTTAAAAGGTTTTTTCTGTTGCTATATGTTTACGTTTGTGGTAATTGAAACCATTTTTTTTTATATCATTGATGACAGGAAACGTCGGGTCTCTAGAGAATCGAGAAATAACTGAAAAAGGTGAATACGTACGACCTGAATCTGGATTTCGTAATTGGATATCTGCTGATGGAACAAGTGGCTTCAAGGCTGAAGCAGGTGAGAAACGCTTAATTTTTACCACTCGTGTAGCCTCTTAAAACGTCAAAGGAACACCGAAGAGCTTTTTCATCTTGCGATTTAATGTGTCAGTTGTCAAATTACCTTCTCTGTCTTGCTAAGATAATGCTGATTGCTGCATGCTGAATTATTGAAGCGTAAAGATAATTTTGGATGCGTATTACAATACCAGTATGTTTTGATTTGAGTAAAATATGTGTGCTTTATCTATCGTAAGTAATTGAATATAAGTATAAACTCTTCAATACTATCCAATCCCCAAGCACTTATGTGAAATTGTAAAGTTCAATTTACTAAAAAGCACTGCTGTGGCACACCTATTATTTCTTAAAGTTGTGGGTAGTACATTATTTCTACATGCATAGGTCGTTACCATTTATATGTGTGCTATGGATGCCCTTGGGCACACCGTACATTGATTTTGAGAAAGCTGAAAGGATTGGAAAATGTGATAGCAGTTGATTTTGTGGATTGGTTGCTGAAGAAGCCAGAGGGATGGAGATTTAGCAAGGAGAAATCGGGATGCACTCGTGATACTGTGAATAACTTTGAATTCCTCAGTGAGGTACATTTCCTAAGGCAGTTTAGTAGGAACTTTTGATGTCGGCATTCATGACAAAGTGCTCCTTGCTATAAATGTACTAATGGCCTTTTATATTGAAAAATGAATGTTTGACTTTAATATGGCTGCGTACCTGTTCATGTACCTGGTTAATAATGTGCTTTGGCACTGGCAATAAAATAATATGGCATTTTTTCTCAAGGTGTATAAATTGTCAAATCCCACATACTCTGGTAATTGGACTGTTCCTGTTTTGTTTGACAAAACCAATAAGGTCATCGTCAGCAATGAGTCCAGTGATATCATCCGCATGCTCAATACAGAATTCAATGATTTTTGTGAAACAGAAAATCAAGCAAACCTTGATCTGTATCCTATAGAACTTCGAGAAAAGATTGACGGTATTAATGAGTGGGTTTATAGGTGCGATAAAGATAGATGCATAGATTATTTTATCAACTGTACATGATTATAGGAGGAAATTATGAAGATGAATGATTTTAATACAATTTATGTATTTCTTAGTGATATAAACAATGGAGTCTACAGATGTGGTTTTGCAAGCTCACAAGAAGCTTATGATAAAGCTGTCTTAAAACTGTTTGAGTCGTTGGATAAGGTAATTAACTTCAACTGGTATTGCATTTTAAAAGTATGTCGAAATATGTTTATTGAAAGATAACTTTCTTTCTGTTTAAATTTGGTCTACTAAGTTTTGGTTAGTGGCTTAAGGATTATATTGGCTATTTGTCTGTTAGCCTTGAATTTTTGGCTATAAGCTTTTGCACTATTGTTAACTGCATATAAATTGCAAAACTGAATCAGAATGGTGATCATTTTTCTGTTAGGTGGAGCACATACTTGCAAAGAACAGATACCTCACGGGTGCCAAAATGACTGAAGCAGATATCCGACTCTTTGTGACACTAATACGATTTGATGTTGTTTACCATTGTCACTTCAAGGTACTTACATTAAGTGCAATACTGTCCAATGAGGATCTCAGATCAAATTGAAGAAATATGATTTCTTTGTGTTTCTATTGTTGAATATATAAACAATGTGAAGAAATCATTATACTTTGGGAGGGATAAGGGAGCATATGGATGAGTTATTTATTGTTTATTGAAGTGCAACAAGAAGAGAATACTGGATTATCCTAATCTATATGGATTTATGAAAGATATCTATCAGTCTGCTGGCATTGCTTCCACGGTGAATTTTGATCACATAAAGAAACTTTATCAGGTTTGTCAATGCATGCTTATATTGCAAGTTTGTCACAGTATTATGAAATTCTTATCTTCCATTTTGGAGTGTTACCTAATGCATTTCCATACAAAAATTTGTTTTTGTAGGTCAGCCAAAGCACGATTAATCCTTACGGTATTGTGGCAATTGGTCCTGATTTGGATTTGATGTCTTTCCATGGTCGTGGTGAACTTTGACTTGCAATGCTTTGCAATACCGCAATTTTGTATTGTAATTTTGATAATGAACTAGCCTTGTTCGAAAATGTCCACAGATTAACAGCTGTGTACTTTGCAGGTGTATGGAAGCTGAAGTATGAAGAGAAGGCCTTTGCTTGTCTGTAGCATGCTCAAAAAGTACAATGTCATGTACATAGTACATAGTACAATACTAATATCTTCATGATAAAGAAGTACATAGTCTAGTTTCAGTCATGGTTTTAATATTGGTAGAGAGAATTGTTTTGAAAACAGTTATTTCTACTGCCAAGATATTTTCTACCCCTTCATTCCACCATTATTGAGGGCATTGTGGACCTTGCCCCTACAACTTCCAGCAATATAGCTCTTTGATAAATTCTGGCTGTTCCATTGACCAGGGGGGGGCATGACAGTCCAAGATATTTTATCGAGAGTGGCATTTATATCATTTCCATCACTTTTGTGTCCAAAAAAGAGAAACAGAAACAAAATATTAGTAAATATACGGTTTCTAAGCCAAATGGATAACCCACTATAATTATGATATCTAATAGTATTGTAGAGTGTGTTAAATACAATGTGATTATTTCATATGGGGCGTTTATTGGATCATTTACGACAGACATTTCCATGACGTAATGTTTGTTCGAAGCATTGAAATATAATTAATATAAATAAGCTGCTGCAATTGCCAAATGGATAAATCGACATAGTAAAGCAATGGAACTCTGCATTTCTTTCTGAACTTTTGAAGATTTTTGTCGTTATGAATAGTGAACTTGATGTATTTCTTATTCCTCACGCAAAGATGAAGCAGTTGGTTCGGGAAACCTCTTCTCAGGTGAGAGTTGTTGAGTTTGACTCGGAATGTGCTACTTTACCAAGGCGGCAAGGTCTCGTTTTAAGTTAACTATTGATTAACTTCCGCCTTCCTGTTACGATTACAATGTGGGGGAAAATTTTAGTCCAAATTGGTACGTCTTTACTTGTTTAACTTTGTACGGATTTCCAAGTTGCTGAAACGTTTGAAGAATGTCATGCGTAAAATGTAAATAATGACCACAAGGCTTCAAGAGTTGGACTTTAAAAGTTTACACATTATAACATTTGTTAAAGAGGTCTTGGCCTCTTCTAAATTTCTAGTAGTTGCTACAGTGTGTCCAGAATTGTATTTTTTTCTTGAATTATAAAATTCGGTCTTGTTTGACAACTGTCCGCCCGATCATTGCTTCCCAACTACGGCATAATGTGCACTTCTATGAATGCTGAGATATTCGTGGCTTATAAAGGCTCGGTGTATTTATGCTTGGAAGATAGCTTTAATGATATATATTGAAATAATTTGCAAAGATTTTCTGGCAGACTGCGTTACATATTTCACATTCCAGTGGCCTAAAACTTTCCATAATTTTAAGGTATTCGCAACTGACTTCTCTGACGACTTTGCTGTTAAAGGTTTATTGCATTCTTTATATGTTGCTTTCAATCAGTTCAAACACCACGAGGAAATTGAAAATAAGTATATTTTAACCAAATTGAAATCTCGAGTGACACAGTCCGAAGTTCTTGAGATTCTTGGTTGCATTCACAATGACACTCATGTCAAAGACATTTTAACTATGGTGAGAAAAGCCATGGGTATTGAAAGTGGAGGACAAGGGACAAGGTTAAAAGATCAATTGCAAAGTGCTATTACAGAATTCATTGAAGATTTTTTACCACACATGAAAAAAGAAGAAGAGGTATTGAAATCAATTATATAACAATATTGAATAAGTAGGTTGCAGATCAACTGTATTTATCTTGATTAACCATTGTACATCAATGTTAATCAATGGTATTGTTAGGGATAATAGGGATATTTGCAACTCAACCAAAAATAGTAAACATTATATATGGTTCTCACTCTGTTGTTTCTTACTGTCATAATACATTTTTTGTTGGTTTTTTTTCTTTCTTGGCACAGATATTTCAACCTTTGTTGTCAACATACCTTTCACGAAGAGAACTCCAACATTTACGAGAAGAGGTTGTTAAATTGCACCTAGAGACATCTGAAAAAGAGCCATCTCTTCCATCTGCTGAAGTAACACAAGCAAATTCTTTAACTCCGAATAATGAATTTGCCATTTTACCCAATGAACTGTTAATGAAGATTTTCACTTATCTTTCTCCACTTGATCTATGCCATTGTGCACAGGTTTGCCGGCATTGGTTCAAGGCATCATGTGATGGCATGCTTTGGCAAGAACTTTACCCACTGCGATGGATATTTAGAGGTGACTGGAGGACAGGCATTGATGAATATGAGTTGCATGATGGAAGCAATGATGGATCATGTGAGGAAGATAAGGACAAGTGGGAATGCGAAAGGTATGATATTTATGGATTCGTACTTGTGACAATGATAGTTTGCTTAAGATAACATTAGTCAATTTATCTCATAGATTCCAGTCTTACCTAAAATTTTCATATTTTAATTTATTGCATTGTGTTTGAGCGAAGATATTTTATGGTACAATGGAATTCTGTTGATGCAGTGACAAACTTTCAGAGGTAATAGGGTTGCATGAGTGGGATGCCCCAGTTGTACAGGTAGATTTGATATATAAATAGGGATATCCCGGGATAAATGTAGTTGCCATATCAAGTGGGCTACATTAACAAGGTTGCCTTAACTTGAGGTTCTGCTTCATAAATATCTATAACAGAGACTGAGGCGGTGATCAAGAATGAATATACCTGCAGTACATAATAAATTATTAGTTGGCACCCAGTAGAATAGCAATTAGGTTTTACAGCTGTCCATCTGTCACATCGAAATTGCCTAAATCAATCAAAGACTGCAAATAATTCAATGCATTATTTTCCACCATTTCATCCATTTATTAATCGTTTGTCAATCTTTTGTTCAGCTGCCATGCTCCTAGAAAATGTACCAAAGCTTTTCGTATTAATTTCAGCTCGTACAATGAAGGTGAAAGTGTTTCTTCCGGAGATTCTGTGGAGGAAGAGATTGATGAGGAAAGACTGGAACGAGTGACAAAACAGGAGAATAACAACAATCGATTATTGATGATGACCCGTTATTTGATACCACGTGTCGGTCATCAAGTCAAAGTGCTTGTGTTGGGATCGTGTCCTGGCTTAACAAACGGTTTGGTAAGATAGCAGTGCTCTAGTAGATAGCGCCGATATTGCTATTGGTAATGAAATTGAGACTTACTTTTTCCTAGCGGTTATTCTTTTTACGTAATTTGGTACGACGGTACCATAATTAATGCTTCCACAGAAGATAAGAAGTGAAGTACCTCAGAATGCGTGTAAAAAGTTTGTGTGAAGCTATAGTTTTTTGGGTGTTTTTTGTATAGTTTTTTTATGGTAGCCCAGGTCTCGGACATGGGCGCATCGTGATGTGGATTTGAAGAAGGCTTGGTAATGCGTAATTGATGTTTAGCACTAGTATTGTTTCCAGACAGGACAACTTTAATTATTTTCCTCTGTTTCAACGCGCAACATTTCTCTCTAGCTTTTTTTTTGTATATTTTTTACGCGCCTGCGAACTAGGTGTACAAAATGCTCTCCTATTGCAAGAACTTGGAACATCTTGACCTATCGCAGAATAACATTTCTGACCTCGGACTCAATGGGTAAGTTATGTTGTGCTGTTTGTAGTGTTTTGTTGTCATGAACAACTTATGATACAACCATTGACCTAAAATACATGCCACGCTACCTGTAATAGAAAAGCCTAATAATTTTACACCCAGACACGCGTGTGTAGTTCAATCAATTTTCACTCGGCGAGAGAATCTCGAAACACTAAACACGCGTGTCTGGGTCTAAGATTTGGCTTCAATTATTTGCTTCAGGTAGCGTTCCATGTATTTTAGTTCAATGGATACAACTTGACGTATTTCACATTCTCTGAAATGTGTGAAAACTGTCAAGTGCTTCATTCTAAACATTTTTAATCATAGTGTTATACCATTCTGTACATTCTCTTTCTCCAATTACAGACTATTTCGCAAAAACGGTGGCCAAAAATTACGTCATCTGGATTTATCTGGATGTTCCAAAATCACTGATAGAACATTGAAGAAACTCACTCTTGCTCTCACCCCCCGGACAGATAGTGTCGGGCAAAACGCTTCCGTGGAAGGTGATAAGCAAAGTCGATGCGATGAACGGATCTCTTCGAGTCGTGGACTGCGGTATCTTTCTTTGTCCGGCTGCTTTCACATTACTGATGATGGAATAAGGTTCGATGATTTTTTCTGTCAATAGCGTAGCCAACTTGTTAATTAGGGGAGGGGGTGGGCGTATTCTTATTTTGCATGTCCTGCCGTATTAAGTTCTTTTGAAATCCATTGTTTTCTGCGGTTTATAACGTGCATGTGTGAATTTTAGCCAGTGCCCCCTCCTCCAAATTATCGCGTTTGGTATAAGCCACTATTCACTGTTTTCTGTTTCTCAATTTCTGGCGTTTCCTGTTGTATTTTCATTTACATTAGGTAAAGCGCGGTTTCCAAATGGTCGTGAACATGTTGTGACAGTGTCGCATATGTTGCAGAGATACTCTAACTTTTCATCCCTGCGACGTTTGCGCCAATTTAGCAAGACTTTTACGACCACACGAAAACTATAAAATTATTTTCTACGGTTGGCTGTATACGAAAAGGGTTTTTTTTGAGCTGTTCATACTTTTCTGTTTTTTAAAACAGGATGTTATCGAGACATGGAAGTTTGCGACATCTTCGGCATTTGGACTTGTCGGGATGTTTAAATCTGTCTGCACGTGGTCTTAGTGCTTTGGTCACCAAGTGCCCATCGTTGTGCCCTGAATCTTTCTTTTATTGTGACAATATTTTGGGGGGACCGTATCCTGAGACGGCTAACGGCTGCCAAAATCTTGGCTGCTCTGAACGCGTCTGCTGCAGATCTGGTAGTTTACACTGTGAATGATTTGGAGGTAAATTCGCGTGCTGGTATTCGGGTGTACTTTCACTCTTGCTCAGCTGTTTTGTGTTGTTCAATTTTCATCGTTATAACTTAAAAATGTTGCCATAGGCGCGGGTGAAGGGAGGCTAAAGTTTGACAATTACTCCCCAAACAATATTTTCAATACTGTAGTTTTTCTTTGTACTATAAAATAATATATGTGTAAGGCAATTTTGAAGGGTTTCCCGACCCTTCCACTCCAAAAAATCATAGTACTTTGTAAACTCTTAAAATTTTCATCGCGAATTAAAGAATTACCTAAATCACGCGGTCCATTCTTTAATTAGCTTATCGCAAGTGGTATATGTTGATTGAATTATTGGAAATGTACAAAGTTTGCGCATACCAAACTCTACATGCAGGCAGCACCAGCACCTATTATCGTGTATTAGCGAATGAGGTGACGACCATCTCCAATTCGATCGTATGCCTTAGTGTATTGCAGTATGCGTTTTGATGATTAATGATCATCTGTTTTGTTAAAACATGATCAACATGATATCATCGTAAATACCAGCTGTTCTTCTCTCTTGCAAAAATCTGCAAGTCAAATATCACTACATGTGCGGTTAGTTGTTCGTGAAAACAATATCCAATTTGATATGAATGCAACAAGCCGACTGTCTTTAAATCGGATTCAACATTCCTTCATACTTCTATACAATATTTCATATGTACAGGAAACATAAATTTGGTATTTTCATTGTACATATATGTACATTAATATATGTATATAATATATATACACACACAGTTGCTTATATGTACAAAAATATTATCCTTTTCATAAAAAATCATTTGTTCTCTCCAGTCAACAAAAGCGACATTCGATGATCGCATCCTTTTCAAAAATAGAAGTTTTCACTTTTTAATTGTGGGATCTAAGTCTCAGGATATTAGGTACTTTCATATTTGGGTAAAATTATTTATCATCTGCCAACTATTTTTGGTAATACTGTACGACTCGTTTCGGTTATACTTTCATTCGGTTTCTTTGCTTTGGTTTTCGCCGATGTGGGTATGGTTGGCGGGAGTTTGGTAGAGCCAGATAGCAGACGCGGATGTTTCTTATCACCCGAGGCTGGTGGATTTGCTTTAAAGTTGGACGAGTTGTCAGGAGCACGTGGCAAACGCCTTCGAAGCCAAGAATGTCGTAAGGCTTGTGAAGGTGTCATGCGCTGCGATGGTTCCCATTCCAGACATTTTTTTAAAAAATCGATGAAAAGGGGATCATCGCATCCTTTGAGCGCCGTAATCCAACTTTTAGAGTGTGGCGGACCACGAAGTTTGCCGTGTCTTGAACGACCGCCATTCAAAACCGTCTCTCCGTCTGGGAGCGTAGTGACGGTACAATATCGCGGATGTCCTTTGGAACTGAAAAAATTCTTCGCACGTTTTGACGTTTGTGGCTCAATAAAACGAGCTGGGGGCATACCTAATAGTTCCATGATACATGCCAACTGATCGCTTTCGTCTTCACCGGGAAATAGAGGATAGCCTGTCAATAATTCTGCTAGAATACATCCAAAACTCCAAACGTCAATTTGCATTCCATATTTAGCGCCTAATATGACCTCGGGTGCACGATAAAAACGACTCTGTATATACGTGTATATCCTCTGATGTTCATAGCAGCTGGAACCGAAGTCTATTACCTTAATTCCACTTCTTCCTTGCTGTTTTAACAGTATATTTTCCGGTTTCATGTCACAGTGAATGATTCGGTTCTTGTGCAATGCGTCCAGACACTGTAATATGGAGTGCGCAAACTTTCGTACTAGTTGTAAACTGAAACCCTGGAATTTGTTCTTTTTTACAAGCTCGTAGAGATTCATGCTTAGCAACTCGAACGTAATGCATATATGATTTCGAAACTGAAAGCTTTCTAGCATATGAATAATGTTATAACTATTTTCCTTATCTTGCTTTTTCAAATGTTCCAAAATACGTATCTCTTCTGCCGCTTGTCTATGAAAACGTTTCTCGTTTCGGACCATTTTTAGCGCAACGTACGTGTGTGTTTTGTGATCGTATACCTTGACAACTTGTCCAAAACTTCCTTTTCCAATAATCTTCAAAACTTCGTACCGATAAGCTACGTGATCGTGAGGAACATGTACGTACGAACCTTGTTCATCGTCAAAACTGCCATTATTTGCCCCTCCTATCACACCTTGCCGTTTCTTAGCATTTGGTCCCGTAAAATATACTTGCGGATAGTTGAAGATTTCGTGATGTTCAAATGGTGTTAGTTTGTTCATGAACACTTTCATTGCCTTTTCTGGACTCATGGGTATCGACCTTCCTCTTCCAGTCGATTCAGCACTGGCTTTCCTATCCGTATTGTTATTGTTTCGGTTTTTTATGTCCTCGGCCGGCGTTGAATTATGCGAATTGGACGTTGCTCGTGATGCAATTGTATTCGCGTTTCCTTCAACTCTGCCGCGATGATTCGTCTCCTCCTCAAACAGTTGTTGTACTTGAACGCCTGCTAAGTGAGGGAGAGTGTTGTTCGATTCGTGCGATGGCTGTTTCACCGTTTTTGTGGCGGTCTTCAATGGAGGCAAAACATGTTGGCTTGACAAATCTTCGCTCGTATGCGTCGTACTGTTTCTCTGATCAAGTTGATAAATTGTCTCGCCCGTTTGAATCGAGCGGCTTTTTGATACTTGTATAGGTTTCCTTGTGCTTGTGCTAATCATTGTAGCAAGACAGCTTCAATAAAAGGCTTTGTTTTCAAAGGAAATACTCCATATTCTTTACAAATCCTGTCGAGAATCTTGAGACTGTCATTGACTAGAGCTATGCTTTTGTATTCCTTCTTTGTTGTTAAGGCTAGTCAGCCAATCAACGCGCAGTAAACACAGCCACCACGGCAACCACACGTCAACAACAAACCACCTACCGTGTCTCTTAGTAACCATAAGCCAATTAACGGTCGAGTTTATGACATCATTCATCTGTGGTAAATAACTAAATATTTGAATTATTTTTTGTTGCGTAATTTATGAAAGTTTGCAGGCTTAGTAGTTAGTAAACAAAGCAAAGATGTCTATATTTCAGAAATACAACTATAAAATAACTGCGTCGTACTCGAGAATATATCTCATAAATTAAGCAAATAATCTGGAAAAATTTTCAAATTCGCACATTTATTATTAATTAATTAACATATTTATATTTCTGATAAAGAACACAAAATGGCGGAAAGAATGAAATTGTATCCTTTTGTACATTGCAACACGTGCAGCTTTTTCAACGTATTGCGAGTAAAGTTTTGTTGTAATTTCTTGCGAAAATTTGTGGAGAAGTAAATGACAAAGTCGTGATGTATATACATTGGCAAGTCGCGTTAATTTGTTGAGTATTAAATTGCCTAACATGCATGAACATTGCGAGTGAGTTTGTTTTACATTAACTAGCCGAATTAATTATTTGTAGTTTGACTACAGGAATTTTTGTTGTGCTGCTCGCATGTATGTTAACACTGTTTCAAACTCAAAGCATTCTACCACTTGTTATCTTTCATTTGAAAATTAAAACGATTATCTTTAAATAATTCTAAATATGCCAGTTATGATTCACTCATTGAATAATTTATTTGAAATGTGAATAAATGTAGACATTCATCAGACATTTTGTTGTATGTGCATCAGCCAGTTATCTTGTTTTAGCTTTCATTAACAAATGCCTGTATCTACTTGAACAGAAACTTTTGATTTTGAACATGCAACAATCCCTGAACTTACAGTACAAAATGTACATTTGGCATAGTTACATAAAAATGGCTAATATAGGCTGGTTGCAAGAAGTGTGGGCAATCCATGATGTAGACATGGAAAATCTCACATTGAGACAAGTGCTCGAACTGTAAGAATATGATAAGAAAATTACAATATATACAGATGTGTCCTTTTGGCTAACAACATTATGGCTTTTCAGAAACTCCTAAATTTAGGCATTGGAGTTATAATTTTAGTTATACATTGTGCACAAGGATTGCATTGTTAGAATCACTTAAGTTCTCTATCAGCAAACATTAATTACTTAAAAGGGGAAATCTGTTATTGAGGCTCTGTGAACTCCCGAAACAGTCAAATTGCAAGAACAGTGAGCTAGTCTTCACACAGTGTATAAGCAGTTGATGTGCCCTCTCAGGCATTACCAATGAGGCAAAATGGCAACTACCTTTGACAGACTCGATGTGAACACAAAATATAACAAATCATTGATTTTAAGTTATTAATTTTGTATCATTCCAGTAAAACTCAGTCAGTAAAATTCATGTTCTCATTCAAAAAAGAGTGACAGACACGTGCGAATCTATTCACAACATAACATAAATTCTTAGCTATGTATGATGTAATCAAAATTGAAGCACGTGAACCACGAGGCGTAGTGATCGACAAGATGATAGCCATGACATGTTTGATTCAAAGTTAAGAAATTTTTCTGGTGTAAAAATTAGATTCAAAGGTCTTATGCAAAGATTCTAATGTTTTGACGCTTTCCCTATTTTTTATGCAATAATTTTGTTGCATGTTCTAAAATATATATTAATTGACGATTAACAGCGTTGCAATATGCAAGTTTTTTTTACTTCTGCAAGCGATATCAAATATTTGCCTCGTTGATTTTTCGTTCCCTTGACATTCAAACAGAGAGTTAAAAATCCCTTTCCCAGATAAGGAAAAAGCCGAGATTGCGATGAATTCCCTGAATGTCGATCCTGAACCTAAGCGAACAAAAGTTACTAAGACCTTACAAATTCAAGAAAATATTTTGATTGTGTATGTTCTCAATAGCGTTACATTATTCAACGTTTAGCAGTATCATCATCTTTGTAACAAATTTAAAGTTGCATTTTCCTAGTAAAAGACAAGTGGGCTGAAAATGTATAAACATTTTGTAGCTTGCATTGTGCTTGCTTGTTGTAAAACTTCCTCTCGAAGCATGTTGTTTGATAATACCTATCACTTATTCGTTGTTAGGTCCTTTGAAGCTCTGGAGACAAAAAACTTGCGCGTGGCTTCCAACTCATTTCTTGACCATCTGACACTTGTGATGAAGACAATTGACATTTATGGATAAGAAAATCGACAATGCCAAGTAACATTTGTGAAACATAAATTAAACATATTCAAATATATCATGAACGATGCCAATTTATTGAGCATGTTGAGATATTTCAAATCTTGTAGCGCACTCGATGTAGAAATTTGATGGGAATCGTATCAGCTGGCTAGGATTCGAATTAATGCAAAAGAGCTTAGCTAATTATGTAGCTTATCGAAAGGCTCTTGGGAAAATTTGTATTTAAAAATTATTGAAACAATTTGTACAGTTTTCCTTTCTTTTCCTTCCAATTCGAACCTTGGATAAGATATCTATCTTCACATTTCTATGAAACCGTTTCGTGTTTTTGTACTGCCCAGGGGGTGGGCTTCTCGATGTCTCTAATTTGTGCACTCACATGTGTATATACATAAGGGACCAGTTGGGACCTTGTGGGGTCAATAGGATCCCATGAAGACCAGATCCTTGAAGGAGTATTCAAGATTGCTTTTATGGGATCGCTCCAGGAAACTTGGAAGCGTGATGAGGTTCTTTTTCGACCAAAATTACTACCAAACCTGAATTAGTAGTTGAGATTCTTCAGTTTGTTTTTATTTTCGGAGCATTGCGGTAGTGACTTTCATAGCGTGCACGTTTGGACGGAACAAAATTTCACTGAATATATTCCCCCATAATTAACGACTTATAGTTCTGTTGTATTTCTTTTTTACTCTGTTATCCCTTGACTTCCACTATAAGTGAAGTATATTTATTGTTGAATTTCAAAATGTTTGCTTTTATGTTGAATACATTGTGCAATTTACCCGTTACGGTACGACGATCCACTACCGTTGAAAAACTGTTAACTTTAGTATGTAAAGGCTTTTTTTTACAAAAATCATTGATGTCATCAAAAATACTTTTCTGCTCTTTTGAAGGTTGCGTGAATGTGACTTACATTAGTTTTTCAGTTTGATTCTAAATTCGGAAGCCCAATGAAAGACTTCAATCTGGTATATGCATGCTCATATATTGGAAATACAATTTTTCACGTGCTTAAACAAGCGTCAGTGTATGCTATTTATATTCTAAAAGTTAATGAAATCTAGCAAACCAACATGATATGTGTGTAAAATTTCCGCTTCTTGAAAAAATAGATTGTACTCTTGCGGGAAAATCCTTGTTAGCACAAGTGCAAATGTGCGAATAGCGCGCAGGAAATGTGTCAGTTCTGAATCCGGACTTAATAAATTTTCTACATATAAAGTAGATCTTTCGAAACCTGAGCAAATATTTGTTCACATTTGTGTTTTTCCATACCATTGCTCGTCAATGTGACAGCCTTAATAAAAAGAAATGTTATGTAATTTTGAGGATCTGCCAGACAGGCGGAAAAGGCGATGTATTGTATTTGCCATAAGGCGATCGAACATTTGAAATTTTTCATTTTCTGTAATTTGCGTTGGTCACCCACGCTGAACGACAGAAAGTATATATAACCTGGCAGAAACGTTAGATTTTCAAAAACCAATAGATCTTTCCGTAACGTTTTGGAGAAAGAGTGAAAAAAAGAGGAATCAATTCGTTTGAATCAAGGTGAATTACTTCAAAGGAGTAAATTTGAGGAGATGACGTAAAGTTAACTTTTTGTTAGCTGTGTAATCTTTATTCTCAGGAAATGTCTTTTATTTAGAATCTTCCTTGCGGCTCCACAAATGAGTCTCTTCAAAATTCAATTACAATTCTCACTTTCAATTCCATATTCACTTTTAGCTTCCAAACTTACACAATCCCAACTGTATATGTATACTTTATGTATTATAAGTCTCGTGTTCTTTCTCTAGCATGAATACCGTTCATATTCTGTTGGTCGCTATGCTTTGCTGTGTCTGGTCTATAGCCTCTCGGCATTTGCCTGGAGAAGGGGAAAGAATTTCTCGTGCTGTGACGAAGAAACTAGAGAAAGATGGCAGTAATGAGCTGGAAGCAAGATGTCTTCCGGGTCTCTGGTGTAATAACGAAAACGACGAAGTGTCAGCCAAGAAATCTAAGCCTGATTCCTCACAGGATTACCTTGTGGGAACTGAGAAACGTCCGAAAGAAAACTCACTAAAACAGGCATTTTCGATGGTGAAAAAGGCCCGCGATGCTATGTGCCTTCCAGGACTTTGGTGTAACAGAGATAACGAGGAAGTGTTGGAACAAAAAAGCAATAAACGCAAACTCTCTATATCACAACAGTATCCTTTGCAAACTGAGATCAGCTCGGAAAAAATTGCATTTAAAAAGCCACCATACTTCGCTAAACAGCGCCGCAGTGCCATGTGTCTTCCAGGACTTTGGTGTAACAGAGATAACGAAGAAGTGTTGGAACAAAAAACTAATAAACACAAACTCTCTTTATCACAACAATATCCTTCGCAAACTGAGATCAGCTCGGAAAAAATTGCATTTAAAAAGCCACCATACTTCGCTAAACAGCGCCGCAGTGCCATGTGTCTTCCAGGACTTTGGTGTAACAGAGATAACGAAGAAATGTCGGCAACAAAATCACAACAGTACCCCGAAAAAGCCCAATAAACAATCTTAAGACGTGTTTTAGATAATGGATTTTAAAGGATTCGAATGAAAGGCATCTTTGAAGTAAAAACACAAGTTTTTAAAATGTTAAAGTTTCTGGGATTTAGAAATCTGTAATTTCGTTGAAGATATCTCAAAATATATAATTTTGTCCTATTAATGAAATGAAATGAAATCTATTAAACTACTATATCAATAAATTTACCAAACGAATTTTCGCAAGTGTTTTGCCTCGTTTATAATCATTAACAATTATTCAGCAATAAGAATATTTTTTCATTAACTGTTTCTCGTGGTCTTATGGACTCGTGGACCTTATGGCGGTTTTCGTTTGGCTGAGAATAACCACCTACTGGCCTGCTGCCTACTAGATATTTAGGTTGCTTTGAAATGATTGTTTTTAGAGATTAATGACGCCTTTGTAATGCATTTGTTTTGTATATTCATTCAAATTGCCAACTTAACATAATCCTTCACTAGGGTTATTTATTTAGGCGAAAGCACATTCGAAGTTCGACTTCGGAATTCCATGTCTTTTGTGTGGACAAAAACCCAGTGAAGTGTAATTTGAAACGGATTGTTTAAAATTTGTCTCGTGATGTATGGTTGCGATAGAAACTGCACCTTGTGTATGGAGGCAGCGACCTAGCGAAATATTTAAGTATGGATTCATTTCAAGGATTTAGGTGACTTGCAGTCACATCTGACTCGGTGTTATAAACTGTAAAGTTGATGCTTTGTATGATTTTGTGAATGGTTATTTGATGATGTTTCAAGACAGTAAATATGCGACGCGAAACGATTTTGTAAATTCGATACACTTATGAATTTTTGTTATGTAAAATGGGATGAATCAATGTATTCGTGCATGTGAAAGCAAATGAACAATTATTGTTTACATAAATTCATCGTCAATGGCGAATAAATAATCAATCCGCAGACATAATCCTTCATTCTTCAGTGATGTCGGCCTCTGCTAGTGATATCGAAAACAACGCAGCAATTACCAAACATGGTGAACATGCACTTGGTAAACAGACGAGTCGACCGGATAGAAAGCCACCATTCCTTTCGCGAAGATCGGCAGAGGAACTGAAAAAGCGTTTAGCGAGTGGCATAAGTGCGAAGATTGCCTCTGGAAACGCTAGAGATACTAGTCACGCTAGTCATAGCGATGAAGACATTGAAGTACCATTACAGCACAAAGAATACCAGGGAAATGAATCAAACGCAAAGGAGATAAAATCATTTCCCGGTACTGACGAAATATCTCTTCTAAAGGACTCCACCACGACAGATGACTCGGAGAGAAGTTCACGAAGGGTTAGCGCGAGCAAAACAGAGCTTCATAAATCGTTATTGATGGCCTTGATGAGCCGCAAAAAGACGTCGGTAGATAATGGCGAGAAAAATCCACAGGAGAATTCGAGAAAAGAGACTGAGATTGACGGAGGAAAGCCACTTAAAGCGAATGAGAATGATTTGCATAAGTCGCGTGACAGTCAGTATGATGTTGCGCATTTCACTATCCAGAAGCAATTTCATAATGCAGGGATGACTGAACAAGCCCAGCTCACGAAAGATGGCGAATCTCGAAGTGAGTTTGACGCTATTGTTGATGGTGTGGTCGTTGAAAATGACTCCGAGATAAACGCTAACACAAGTGTATTGGAGAGAGCTAAACATATCGAGCGTTTGCTTGGACGTAGGAATGCGGAAAGTATGCTTGTACTAAATGGCAACGAGAGCAAGGATAAAGAGGTTAGTGGTAATGTAAATAGTAATGTAAACAGGAGTACAATTTATGGCAAGAGGTCAGATAAAGAAGTAATGTCGATTGACACGCTGATGAAAGGCGAAAAACATCAAAACAAGCATCAAAAAGCGAATATCGATACAAATTCAAAGCCCGAAACTTTCATTGCGTCAAATTTGGGCATGAGAAACAAGAACATCGAAGGTGATGAAAATGTTATAGTTAGAAAGAAAGTGCCTCCTCCTGTAACTAAAAAGCCATCGAGGAGTGAAATAAAAAATTTCAAACAGTCAAACATGTCACTTGATAATGTTGCGGTAGCAGGTTCAAGCGGTTCAGCCAGTTTGAATAGTTTAAACCATTCAAACACAAAGAAAGCTTACGATATGAGTGCAAAAATTATAAGCGAAAATAATGAGGATCTGCTAGAGAAACTTGAAGTTGGCGTGGGTGCGTGTAAAATTGTCGCATTTAAAACAATGGAGGAGTTCTCCATCTTACGAATAAAGTTGAATCAAGTTCGTCTTGAACTGGATCATTTCAAACGAGACAGGGAAAAGAGAACGCCTTTAATTTGAGTACTATTTAAAGTGATTTCTTAGTACTTTTTAGTTCTTGTGTTATTTTTGTGAGTCGAACCTTTTCCTTCATGTTTAACACGCTGATCAATCGTGGAATTAGCATAATGTGCGCATTGTGACGATCCTATAGCTATATGGTGTGTTTTACAAGAGAGAACAATGGTTTAATTCATGCTGTTATTTTTTAAAAACCTGAATCAGTAATTATTTGAATGTACGCAGAACAGGAAAGATGAATAAGTCAACTCGTTTGTCTTGTCTTGTCGCGTCTGACCTAACGTACGCTTATCGGCTCATTACGAGAAAATCATGTTATTATATTAAGAGTTTTGGCAAAAGAAGTTACCTTATGGTTCATATGTAGCGTTACCTTTGGTTTATACCCATACCAAAATAATTCGTTTTACTTTAAAAAACGTGCACTATTTTCTGAAAAAAAAGGAGATAACGTAGATGAATGCTAAGATGGCGTTCTCGGAATAAATGGGGGCGTCTTATGGGCAGGCTTTCATTTGAAATTTGATTGGATGACGTGTCATAATTTCAGCCAATGATGTTCGTTTTGTAAGTTGTAACTTTTTATTGGTAAACAAGTTTTTCCAGCATTTAAATTTATAACAATAACATTGTTGATATTGTATGAGTTATACAATTTTAAACGCCATTTCGTCATTTAAATGCATTGAAGTGATTGACCTGTACTAAATGAACTCTTTGTAGTCCACCCATGTTATCTGCTGGTGGTCGATTGCAGAATTTTCGACGAACCATCCACTGTTCGGTGAATATCATGGCGTCTTTACGAGTTGCTATAATCGGACAATCACAGTTTGGAATGGAAGTTTATAAAAAACTACGATCAAAAGGGCACGAAATTGTTGGGGTATTTACAATACCGGACGTAAAAGGAAAGCCAGACGTTTTGGCAAGTGAGGCCGAAAAAGACGGTTTGCCAGTTTTCAAACATAAACGCTGGAGGAACAAAGGAGAAGAGACAACAATTGCGAAAATTTTCGAGCAGTACAAATCATGTAATGCTGAGTTAAACGTTATGCCTTTCTGTAGTCAGTTTATACCTATGGACGTAATCAACTTTCCTAAACATGGCTCAATAATTTACCATCCATCTTTACTTCCCAGACACAGAGGAGCGTCTGCGATAAATTGGTAAGCCATAAACAAACATTTCTGCCCGTACATTTCTCTATATTGTCTTAAAGCTGCCCAATGTTGAATATGAAGTTTAAATACGTGTTGAGATGTATTGTTTATGTAATTGTACATAAATGGGCTTTGTTCACTGTGAGAGACAAGTCATAAACATCGTATAATGTGTAATTAAAATTCTCGCTCGTTCACAAGCTTCATTGCCTTGGTGACAAAGAATTATTTGCTTTCTGCTTAGCATTTTGTGAAACGAGAATTTTTAAAAACTTGAAGTTCGTTGCTGTCATATGTTTCTATTACTATTACAATTAAAGTTGATTGATAACAATTGCACACTGACACTACAAAGTTTATTTTTTCTTTTAATAAACTTTGTTAATTTAGGTCGTAATGTGAGTAAAAATCATCACTTGTTATGTTTTTAAGGACATTGATGGAAGGCGACAAGCAGGGTGGTTTCACCATATTTTGGGCTGATGATGGCTTGGACACTGGCCCAATTCTACTACAAAAGAGGGTGGATGTCGATCCAAACGACACAGTTGATACATTATATAATCGTTTCTTATATCCAGAGGGTATAAAGGGAATGGTAAGATGGCAATGTTGAGGATTGCCAAATGGGACAGAGTGATAATTTAATTAGTGTATCTCATCCAAATTCAAGGTTGAAGCGGTTGAGTTAATATCTGATGGTAAGGCCCCAAGGATTGTTCAATCTGAAGATGGTGCAACATACGATAAGATCTGGAAGAAAAAGGATGTTGCTAAGGTATTAATTTGTTCTATTTAGGAATTTGCAATACTTGTAAAGATTGTTTTGAATAATTAATAACCTAGAGCTTGCAAGTATAGAATCCATGGATATGTTGTATTGTAGACATCAAATATTTTCATGTAAAATAACTTTGTGTTTTTACTTCGGCTACAACTCCCTTGTCATTTAGTGGTCTTTTTTTGTACAACAATGAATTGCATATACGTCTTCACTTTGCAGATCAACTGGGATCAGCCAGCAGAAAAACTCCATAACTTTATCCGTGGTTGTGATAAGGTCTGTGGTAACTCAAAATATTTGTGAAAGTTTCACGTCTTGTATATCTGATGAAATACCATTGAACTAAAAGTTTATTTTTTTTTTTATCATATATATATAAAATTAATCTTAAGTACCATCATCCTGTTCTTTTTTGTCTCTTAGCTTCCTGGTGCGTGGTCAATAATTGATGGAGAGGTATCACAAATGTCTGCATAATGTGTATTAGTATTTTTTGTAAAATGGGAAGCATGTAGCTTGGCAGTGCAAATTTTTATCTGTGTTATAAAGATGTCTTATCACTTGCTGAAAGTTATTTCATCAATTTTTGCCTTAAAGTTTTAATTATCTGGTAGAAAGTCTTGACATTTTAATAGTTTTTTGATGATGGTACATTGAACTGTTAGTTGAAGTATTTTTGAGGAGTTATTACTTACGTTCAATTTCCCATGATAGGATTTCATCGCACAGTCATTTTATTGTCATATTCCACTTATTTTATCACTGCAAACATGTCAGAAGCTTATAAGGGTTTTTTACTTACTTTCAGCAAGTTACATTCTACAGTTCATCCCTTGAGCAAACTACAGATGTTCCCGAAGGATCGCCTGTGATTATTGAAGGTCTCGCCAAGCCAGCTGTTGTACATGCAAATGGAATGACACTTGTTGGAAATGACAGCAAAATGGTATTTGATTAGGGATTTGTTGTTGGGAGACTGGGCTAAAGGGAAAAGAGTTTGATGTCCAATTCCGATGTAATATACTTAAAATTGTTTGGGAAGTAGACTAGTAGAGTAAACGAAGTTATGAAGAAGATTGCTAACATAAGTTCACAAGGAGCAAAACCCTTCAATTTTTGCAAGAATTCATTTTACTCTGGAGAACAAGCAGTTTTAACTCTCTCACTATTGCAAATTCGTTGCATTATTTCCAGCTAAATTTTTCGCATTTCTGCCCAATTTTGAATTAGAAGTTATGGTTGGGTAGCGCATAAGGATTATATCTCAGCAACACATGAAGCAACACGATGTTTAATAGCCTTTCAAAACCAATTATTTCATGGTTACTGGAGTGTCAATTTAAATAATTGTACATTTTTCCCCGAGATGGAAGGTCCTCTTTCGAAAGCATATTTTTACCCGAACATTATTCGGCCAATAATCTTCTATTACCCGAAAGTTTAGATCGGTCTGCCAACGCTTCGACCAAAACATTGCTTTTGATAAGCACCCTTCAAATGGTTTGTGACCACTATTTTCTGGATTTCTTCATTTGCATGCCTGAAGAGTGGCTTTGTCTTCTCAATTTTCTCAACTGTACTGCTCCCTTTTCCATTAAGATTTAAGTTATTCCTAGTTGCTTTTCGTTCGGAAAAGATCATGTGATTCTTTTGGCAATGGTCCTTCAACAAGAATCATTAAGCTCAATTTTACGGCTTGTTCTTCGTACGGAACTAATTTCAACTCTGCGCTTCAATGCTTTTTTGATCCTGCCGTGCCTGTACCCTGCCGTTCCTGTAGAAAAGTCACCGTATATTTTTACTTTCTACCCGATAACCTGGGCTGGTATTTTAGGCCCTACCTTTAAAAAGCCATCATATATTCTGTTTATCACCTTGTAATCACTGCTGGTATTCTGGTTGATCTTAAAATTGATAACGAAACTTTCTGTGACAGAATGAAGATTTTTTAATAGAACCGAAACACTAGAATTTCAGTTTACAAAATGTATTTCTTTGAGTTTGAGTTTACAAGATGTATTTCTTTTTAGTTTACAAGCATTTCCATTTGCATTGTTTTGTCTATCAACGGAACTTGACTGGACAAATCGTACCTTAACGATTTGAATTGGTTGTTTTTCATTTCCAATTTCTTATACTGACGATATCTTTTTCCACGGATAGTTGACGGTGAAAGCCTTGGGTTTGTCCACTGGCAAAATGATTCCGGCGTCAAAATTTGGACAATCATCAGAAGATTCGGAATCGCTCGAGTTGTCCGAGCAAGAAAAAGAAATGGAACAAAAGATTCAAGTAAATGAAAGACACGCTTATGTATACATTTTGGCTCCGGTAATTTTAGACATTTGAAGGATTGTTGTTTGTGTATAGGTAGTCTGGGCTGGTATCTTGGCAAATCCTGATGTTGATAACGATACGGATTTTTTTGCCGCTGGAGCTGGCTCGATGGACGTTGTTAGGTAACGACTAGAAGTTCCTCCTGCCCTTATGTTGATGTCAAATGGTGGGAGGGGAGTATGCCCCCAAGGTGACAGTTCTTAATATAGAGTATGTTCTCGTGCTATTCTATCCCCCTCACTTTTTAAACAGGCTTCGTTGTCCGTGGAAGTATCTCTTTTCTTTGAGAGTTCATACTGGCAACTCTCTACCAATGATACGTTGTTCAACATAATAAGAAACATTTCAAAAATTTGAATGTTTCTTATTCTTGATACTAATGCACTTCTTTATGATCTCGAAAGTCCCGGTTTTTCCTGAAGTAAAAAATATATCAAGATCTTCAAGAGTGAAAATTGTATTTTCCTGTAAACAAACAATCAATTTTGATCCTTGCGAAGAGTGCGTGTTTTTTTCTTCAAGGTTGATAGAAGAAGTTAAGGAAAAATGTGATATTTCACTCGAAGCAGAGGACGTCTACATGAATACAGGGTAATTCTTGATTGCATCATTGACATAACTCGTCACAGAATCGTGAAAACATTAAAACTGCCATTTTTAATTCTTATAATTTTTTACTTTCAAATCAAGTTTTGGTGATTTCGTGAAAATGGTCGTGTTGACTTCACGCGGGGTCACAAATGAAGAATTCAAAGTAGACACAGTGAGTTTTCCTGTTTTTGAAGATTTTTTAATACCAACGAAGAATTTGCGTTCAATACATTTCCATGGTTATTTACAATGTAGCAATATTACATTTGCACTTGCTTATACGTTGTTCCTTTTTGAAGGAAATTTTTGGTTATTTTCCCGACAGATCGACAAACATGTGAACAACATGGAGATCAGAATGCCTCATCAAGCTTTCATCAATGGAAATTTTGTCGATTCCAGTTCAGGGAAAACGTTTCAGACGATCAACCCACACGATGAAACTGTAAGCTCAAGTGTCAAAAATTTACTATGGATCCAAAGCTTGTCGATATTCCAGTTGTTCTTTTCGTCTGTTTTTCAAAGTCCCTTTCTGTGTGATCTCTACCTCGATCTTCTCTCTCCGTTGTCTGTTTAGCCTCCCTCTCTGCCTTTTATTAGCCTTTTGCTTCCTTTCTAACAACATCTATACTTACCAACTATAATCTATTATTATCTATCCACTCTTTTATCTCTCATCTCTGTTTTACCCATTCTTTTTTACTCTTTCTATTTTCTGCATTCAGTATACCGTAGATATCAACTTATATCACTCCTCTGTGTTCTTCAATCTTCAGTCTACCTAAGCTTTCCGTTGTTTCAGGTGCTAGCCGACATATCCTATTGCTCTAAAGAAGATGTCGACCTGGCTGTTACTGCTGCAAAAGTAAGAGCGATGTTAAGCCTGTTGTTACCAAAAAAAAATTTACGCGCAAATTTCATTGCAATTATAATCCCTTGTTTATATAGGATGCATTTGAGAAAGGACCTTGGGGACGAATGAATGCTCGAGATCGAGGGACCTTGATGTACAGGTGTGTACATATGAAGTATTTGATATGAATAATTTTCGAAGGGTGGTAAACAAAGTCATGTACGGCGTAAATAATCATGAGAATGCATTCGCTATAAAAGTGAAATGTTTATGTTCCAGGCTAGCAGATATCATGGAGAAACATAAAGAAGAATTAGCAACGATCGAATCACTCGATGCCGGTGCCGTGTACACTCTTGCTTTGAAGACGCATGTTGGAATGTCCATTGATACCTTTAGATATTACGCTGGCTGGTGTGATAAAATACAGGTGGGAGCTTTTATATAAAAATGGTATGGAAAAAGAGTGGCGTGGGATCTTTGATGCAGTGTTTTAGCCTTCGCAAGAAACTTTCATTGTTCTTTTCGCGGGAGGCTTTTTATTTCTACCTCGTGATGTGTTAATTTTTTATACTTTCTAGGGAACAACCATTCCTATCAACCACAGTCGTCCCAGTAAGAATCTATCTTTCACAAAACGAGAACCATATGGGTTAGTTTATTATTGTGTGATGGGTTTATTGAAACTAAGTTATGTAAACCAAGCTTTGTATAATGCCTTCGCCTTTATTATCTAATCGTATTGTCTTCCTTCAGCGTTTGCGCTCTTATTGTGCCCTGGAACTATCCCTTGATGATGCTAGCATGGAAAATGGCGCCTCTTCTTGCTGCTGGAAACACCGTCGTTCTTAAACCGGCACAGGTATGTGACTGTTTCTCCTTATACTGCGTTACATTTATTCACGTTGCTGCCGTCATTGTTGCTAGGTTACACCGATGACGGCGTTGAAGTTTGCCGAACTCACAGTAAAAGCTGGATTTCCTCCCGGTGTGATCAACATTCTTCCTGGTTCAGGTAACATTTAACTGGTTGAAGCAAGGGGGATGTTCATATATTCACTTGTGCCCGACTGACTTTTTTGGAAAGTGATTTGGCTTTCTAAAGAAATCAATCGGGAGCAAATGAATATATGATCATCCCGCCTCCCCCTCCCCAATCAACGTTCTAGCTACGGCCCTGGGTTGAAGCAATTTCCTGTCAGCTTGTTGACAATCATGGATGTGACTTTCTTCTTTCAAGACTAACTTGTTCTTTTTTATATTTCGCAGGTTCCCTGATAGGGAATTACCTTTGTGAACATGCAGATATCAGCAAGGTTGGTTTCACAGGATCAACTCCAGTTGGCAAGAAGATAATGTCGAAGTAGGTCTTCTGTATACTCTTTTTAGTATCGAGAATTTTTATCATGCTATCGTTCTAAATAAATAAATCATTGTAGTGAATGTGAAATTTACACTGACAAGAACAACTTTTAAGTTATCTGCATGGGCCAAACAACAATGCTGTCTTTTTAAGTAGTTTCAAAAAAAATTAATCCAGAAACAAATACATAAATATTTCACCGAGGAAAACTTCATTTGTCCTGTCAACCAAACCTTGGCATTATTACATTTCGTCTTAATTGATTATATGTCGTTTCATCCTAAAGCTGTAGTCCCTCGTTGAAACGAGTCCAACTTGAACTTGGCGGAAAGTCTCCACTTGTCATCTTTGCCGATTGCGATCTGGATCGAGCTGTCCGTCAGGTAGCTACAATAAATTTTGACGTTGTTGAATGTGTTGAGCACTTTGAGCATTCGTTTCAATGCATTCAGCATGTAACATAGAATTACATGGAAAAACTCGAAACTGCAATGAAGCAGGAACAAAAGAGTTGTCCTTATTTAAAACGAGGCTAGCACTGATACGTTATTGTAAAATATTGGACGATGTTGGTCAAAAACACTTTCAAACTCGATCATATGTTCTTTCACTTTCAAACCCGACCGTGTGTTGCCAAACACTTTCAAACCTGATCATGTGTTCCACTTTTCAACATCTTTCAACGATTTTCTTTAAGAAATCAGCATGTTTTTTACACATAATGTTTGATAATGAATGATGTTGGCGTATCTTGTAGACTTTGTTCGAACAGGCGTTTCATGTGTTGTTGATTATATAGGGGCTCATGGCTTGTTTCTTCAACAAAGGGGAGAATTGCATTGCTGCTGGTCGGCTGTTTATCGAGAACTCCATTCATGACGAGTTCGTCGAGAAAGTGGTTGGTATTTCAACTGAAATTTTTTTCAATTTCATTTTATCAAATCATGCGTTCAAGGTTTTCAACCCTTGGGGCCTGTCAATCAAGACTTGTTTTCTGTGAAATTTTGTAATTTAATTACTCAAAGTACGTTGAAACTTTATAATGACTTTTGACGGTGAAGTAAAAGTCTTTCCATGAACGCTACAATGTACCTCTGTGATTGGCTAATTTTACCGAAGGATAATTCAAAGACAAATACTGTCGTCGTCTGATTCTTGGACTTGTTTGCGAGACAAATTTTTACACTATTTATATTTGACCAATGTGAATTGTATGCTAGCATTGTGGTCATTTCTGATCATTTCACGATGTTCTTGATTGTGACGTTGTATTACAGGTAAGTGAAGTGAAGAAAATGAAGATTGGCGATCCGTTAGATCGCTCTACTGATCACGGACCGCAAAATCATAAGGCCCATCTGGATTCGTTGCTATCTTACGTCGAGACTGGTGTGAAAGAAGGAGCCACTTTGGTATACGGAGGGAAACGTGTGGATAGACCTGGTATTAACATTGAATTGCGGTTATTGTAGTAATTTTGAGGAGTCACATAGGATTGTTAGTGTTTAGTCCATCAACACAAACGAGAGAAATCCATGAAATAAAAAGTGTGAAAAGTCGTAAAGTAAAATACATGCACGCTATGTCCATACCGTTGTGTAGTTTTAACACAAATGTGAGCCACGGGTGCGCTGAAGGAAACGTGTGAAAAGACCTTGTGTCGTATAAGATTTAGGTTGATAGAATAAATTTAGCATTTGAAAATATTTTCACATAATTTCAACCAAGCTTGGTGTGCAAATGAGGGAATTTATGAATGGATCTGGGCTAATATAGAACTGCGCTCTATTATAACATCGAGCAATGATGACGAAGCCTAGGTTGTTAAGATCGCTCAATTGCTCTCATATCTTGACGACAGGTTGGTATATGCAGCCGGCAATCTTCACTAATGTTCAAGACGGGACATTTATTGCCAAAGAGGAATCCTTCGGCCCTATTATGGTCATATCAAAGTTCCCTAATGGGGACATTGATGGTGTGATCAAGAGAGCGAATGCGACAGAATACGGCCTCGCGTCTGGAGTGTTCACGAAAGATCTAAGCAAGGTATTGTATATATTGTCTTTATGAAAGTACCGTGTAGAGGGAATTGTGTGTATTTGTAGCTAGGAAATGGTCTGATTACATGAGCCCGATAGCCGGAATATAGCCAAGCGTTACATGATTTTGGCAAATGGAAACGATTCATACATATCATCAGATAAATCTTCTCAAGCAATTTCACAATATTCTGATTTAATAACTACGCAAAACATTGAAAATTAAACAACCAATTTGCCCTATTTAAGAATTTAAACCGGAATGACCTGTGGACCTTTGCAAACAGTTATAATTTTTGACCTCGAAGTTTCGGCCCCTTTCAATCCTTTGAAATCATCGGGCCAGCTCGCTATCCGGGCCAGCTCGCCTCCATATAATCAGGCCCTAAGAACTTGACTCAAGGAGGACATTGTGTAATTTTACGATATATCTTCTCAGGCAATGCGCGTTTCTGACGGACTGGATGCAGGCACGTGCTTTATAAATTGCTATAACAAAACAGATGTTGCCGCTCCGTTTGGTGGCTTCAAGCAATCAGGGTTCGGCAAAGATTTAGGTAAGTCATTCGCATTGTAGACCAGTAATATTATATCATCAAGAATCGTCTCTTTTTAATCCAGTATGAGCTTAGCTAAAGCACTTTAAAGTGAACTTTAATATCCTTTTTTGCTTCATCAGTTCTTGACAAGTTTCCCTAAATACTACCAGCGCGATATGTAATCTCTGGCTTTGCCAGCGTGAAAGCATGGAATTTATACATTGTGTGTAACAAAATGATAACTCTTTGAAATTATCGTACGTTTAAATTTTGCTTGCATGATTCAGCAATAATTGACCTAAGCGCTATTGAAAGGAATTTATTGCTTTGAGATTTGGAATGTGCAGTAGCTGCAAATCGTAGCTGTTCTGAAAACGTTTTTTAACTTCCGTAGCAATTTTTTGTTTGCCCATACGATTTAGCATAAATACTCGTTGTTCTGTGTTTAGTTTAGCCATTAAAATCAAACTGGTTATTCCTGAGTACGTAATTATAGAGCGTTTTCGCCTGAAGACATAGCCGCCATGTTGGTGTACCAATTGAAAAGAATTTTAACGAAGTTCTTTTGTTTGGAATGGCAATATGGCTGCTTTATCCATTGTCATTTTGATTCTTGGAGAATGAGTAAAAACACCTTTAGCTGCGTTTACACTATACAGGATTCGCTTATCACGACATCTTCATTAGTTTTAAAGGGTTAACTGTTTGGAGTAAAAGCTTATTAAGCTGATAGATTTAGTCTATTTGATTGTGTTTCTGACGTTAAACAATTTCGCTGTCTCTTAATACAAAGAATATTCAACCTGCTACGATAGCAATCCGGTATAGTGTAAACGGGGCCTTATATGCGCCTTATGATTCAAATTTACTCAGCGCACGCAATTATAACGTTTTCAAAATCCCAATGTGCATGTTACGTCACAGCCGTAACGTAACATGCACATTGGGATTTTCCTAGCAATATACAATTCACTATTTTCCTGGCAATATACAATTCAAATTTCAACCAACTTGACGAATATCTCTTTGTCCTAGGTGAAGAAGCATTGAATGAATATTTACGCACGAAAGTTGTCACGATTGAATATTAAAAGTAACCTTTAGTGCAGTGTTATTTTTTTACCGAACTCACGATAGTATTTATTGTCAAGTATATTTAATTCTATCCAAGCTGCTTTTCTGTATGACACGAAAAGAATGCGAAATAAATCGCTCGCAGCCAAGATTTCTTTTGTAAGCTTAAACAGAATTGTGTTCACGAGCTTTATTGATTGATAAATTACGTCCACAGAGATGGTGGTTAGCTACTTCATGAGCTCTTCATAAACTCATGAACTTTGACCATTCACTGTTAAGCTCAACTCTTATCCCATACCCATCTGGTTTAAAATTTTACGTCATCTACCAAAGTTCGTGGCTTGTTCGTATTTGTGAGTGAGTATAAGAACTTTTTCTATCACATGTGTAAGACTTGATTGTTGTATGGACTGTTATGAAGAAAAGTATTTTTCATACAATCAACGTATGAAACGTTCATTGTTTTATCGTAGTTATAAAGGAGAAAACTTTTCACCATAATCACAAGTCAAAGTTCATGGTATTATTCTCTGATATAGCGAAATTTTTTTTTATTATAATTACAATGGTTAAAGTTCGTGTTTTCAACCATCGTTGTAGAGAATATTTGTCATATCTCGCGGTTTTATCCACTTTGGCAAAGGAGAATATAAAACCATTAGTTTTGATTAGTGAACCTTTATCCAATGTTGTAAAGGAAATTTTTTCGTCGTAACTGCCTCGTTGTCAAGCAATAAGCTTGATGATAGCAAAAAATCTTTATGCACTGAGTGGTTTTTGTCACTGACAACTGGTCATAAAAACTCCTTAAATGGTTATATTAAAGTGTTTTTTTAAGTCGCTTCAAGTGAACTAAAGTGTTGAATGTTTCGCATAAAGACCGTTGTGCTGCGATGTTATTGTTAAAGTCAGTTAATATAAATTAAACTAATGAAAAGTTTTACGTGAAGCCAACTTTGTACTGTTTAATTGTTATCTATACAATGGGAAGTGACTTTACTTATATTGTATACTTTAGTGAATATTCTTATTTTAGTTATGTCGTATTGTAACAGAGAGAGGTCTAAACAGTACCATATTCATTACGTCATTATCATGTTATTTCTTATACAAAATAACGTCGAAGCAATTGAATTCTTTCCCCATGCATACAATGAAGTGAATGAAGTAGTACATGTAACTCATTTCGTGCTTATTGTGTTGTGATTTCAATTGAAATAACTTTGATATCACAAATGTTTTTAATTCGTCGATTTTAAATCATCTTCGCGCACGCCCCCGTGAACGGACGTCACGAGAAAAAGAATCGTGCGAAGTTGTGAGATCAAACCAGATGGTAAATGTTTTATCAATGATTTTATTACCAACGTTTCCATTCCATAGAGTGTCTTGCAAAAATCTTCATTTTGGTCGTGACTTGAGAGTTTCGTTGTCATTTTTATCTAAGACGTATTTCAATATTGCAGTTTCAATTGAAGTTGCTTCGATATTGTTTCGTGGGAACTTCCTTGAAAATCACTTAAAAACAAATATGCATAAATTCTCTCTTGACGGTGACCACTGCTCTTCTAAAAGTCTTCGTTGAATGGAATTATGAACGCGACATCCCTTTGAAATAAACAATGAGTAACTAAAGATATATCCGTATAGAATCCTGGGACAGAGTGAACATTAGCGCGGCTTATTAACGAAGAACGTTATATCTCTTTATGCCATTACACTATTGATTGTGTTTTTGCTACAGGTATCGACAAATTGTTGCTCTTGGTCGTTAACGTATTGTTTCTGAGCGATGACCTGTGTGAAGAAAGGTGCTGGTTATTGATTTGGTTTTTGTTAACAGACACCGAACTCGACTGAACTAAGAAATACTTGCCATATCGGTGATCAAAAGAATTGAGTTGCTACGTAATCCGAACAAGGATTTTCAAAATTCGATCAAATCGTCATGAAAGTGTACAAGGCAGTTGAAATTTTTTTCTGTTTCTTGTTTTGTTGTGGCGACTTCGTATGTAGTATGGAAGAACCTGTAGTCACTCGTGCAAATTACGACATTCTTCACTACGCGAACTGTGACGGGCTACAACCTCGTCAATTTAATTGTCAAGGGAACTCCGAGAGGTTTGGCGATCCAAGAATATGCCATTGTCGTTGTGAAGGGGGCTACCTCGCATATCGCGATCCAGCCATTTCTTATGTGAACGATACCTATTCTCTTGTTCCTGGCAAGAGAAGATGTATCTGGCATAGTTATTATGATGAAGGTAATGATCACCGACATATCTTCGCTCGTTATATTTGTCGTAAAAAATCGACAATTTTCGCGCTTAATATGAAATATCAGATCACGTCTGTGATAATCGACAGTATACATTTTATGGCTGGCAAATTTCTGCAAACTTATGCCATTATTGCGGAAATACAGGAACACACTCGTTGAAATTTTCATGGTTAAGGTGATCTGAATCAATGAAATCTATGTTTTGATTTTTATCTGACCTGAATGAAGCTCAAACTCGTCTTATAAGAAATTGTTTCATCTCTTATCGTTTCCTTTACCTTTCAGCTCCGTCATCTATACTAAGTAGAAAGAAAGGCATATCAGATGTTTTACAATATTAAATGTTTGTGCCAATTCTTGCAGTAAATATGGGGGCGTGTAGAGTTTCTTGGAAATGTTTGGTGGAAATGTCTTTTCCATACGTGTCCACATGTGGCTGGGGGTGGTGGGGTGGGCAAGTAAGGAGCCACCTGAATGGTAAATTAACGTGTCTCGTGATGTAGAATTGCTCACTTCGTTTAATATTAAAATTTCCTTTTGCTTTGAGAATTTTACTGTTCTTTTGTTTGCTTCCATACTTTATTTTCATTTTTCAAAGAAAATCACAAGTATTTTTTTTTCATTTTCGACACACTTTCACATTTGAGGATATATTTTGTGTATGCAAACGCATCTAACATGCGAAACAAAAGTTTTAACATTTTTGTAACTACTTGCGCACATTTGCTAACGTTTCTTCCTCACAGCTACTCATGTTTGTTTTCAAGGGTGCAACAATCTCCACAAAGCAGAAAGTTTACCACTCAAACGAAAGTTCATTCCTGTGCCGACTATCTTAGACCTGACAAAGTCGGGCAGCGTCGAACTACTACAGAACAATCCTTTTAAAGATGCGGAAAATTATTGCTTAGAGGCTTTCATCCAACGACCTGGAGAGGTGATGTGGACCCCCGTTGACAAAAGTGCTTATGAGTTTCGACTGAATCGTTTTGACGACGAAAATATTGTGAAGTTCAACCTATCGGTAAAAGATGTATTTTGATTTCGTTGCCTGAGAAATGTTTTGTTGTGCATGTCGTTGCGAGGAATCTGTGCATTTAATGTTATTTTCATGTCGTACTTGTTTTGCTGTACACCCTACATAGCCAAAGTACTACTGCGTCTTGTTGTGTCAATACTTTAATGCAACTGTCAAAAAAAGCGAAGTAAAAAGAGATATGAATAGATTTTTTTTGTGAGTTCAGGTGTTGATCACGTAGGGTCAGAAACTGGTCAATATTGAGCACACCGACGAAACGTACAGTTAATTTTATTAGAGTTATCGAGGACTTTCTTGCACGATCAATGCAAAACAGGATAAGGGAAGTTTGAAAATTGATGAATCGTACAATGTTTTTTGACTATGTCCAAGCACCACTTCCATAGCTATGTTTTGATGCCGCGTTACCCTCCATTGCTGCAACATGAATATACACAATCCTTCCTTCAGGCTCAGTACCCACGATTTAATTTTTGTGGTACGGGACTCGACTATTTTGGTTGAGTCAGGATACTTGACTGTAGCTATTCAATAATTGATTAACGTGTGTGAGCTAAAGTTATGACAAGGTGAACAGTCCACAGTTTTTCTACAGACAGACAAAGAATTAAATAGTATACATATAATGTATAATAGTGCTAGGATAGTTTGCGAAACATCAATTAATGCAGTTGACCTTATCATGTAGCTATATTTTCTTGTTAGAAACTTATATATTTGATCTCTATGCATACATACATATATATACATAAAAGATAAAAGTTTCTCAGGATTTTAAATGATTTTTATTGAGCTTTCGACTGGTTGCTTCGAGCCTTCATCCGGAGAAACTTTTATCTTTTATGTATTAAATGCCTGGATTACAAATTTTAAAACTTATACATATATATAATATATATATGTTGCAATATGAAGGTTCGTAAAAATCAACACACCGATCGTTGACTTTTTTACATTTATGCTTTTGTAGCTATGACAATTTTGAATATATATTTTTGCTTTCCAGTGGACGTTGAACGATAAAAGTATGATCTATGCTTACCAAGGCCTGATAATGAAAATAAACTTCAGTGATTGTGACCGTCTCTCCAAATCAAATTGTCTCATGGCAAAGGTTGCAGGGACCTATATTGGTAAGATGCCTTGCTTACTTTCTTTGTTTTTGTGGAATGCAGAGTGTATAAGAAGTGGTAACGATGGAAATTTCTCCCCATCTGTAATAATATAGAGTGAATAGAAAATATGTATTGCCCGAGTCTAAATGGGAAAGGTTTTGCGTCTTAGTCAATTGTGCATAAAATTTGAGAAGGTTTGAAAATCAGTAAACGGTTAAAGTTCTACCATATTAACAAAAGCAATAGATGATTGGTGACTTTCAAGCTGACGTTTTCCAAATGTGTATATGCGTATGATGTTGTGACATTAATTGTGGAATAACGATACATTAAAAGTTATTTGAATAAATAAAATGTTTCACGATCCATATTGCGTCATAGTAATTGTGTTCAGGAAAAAACAAATCAGCTATTCGTTTATTTTTACCTCCTTAGCCAGCCTGCAATGTACTCAGCGTACAACCAGCGGTCGCTGTTGCGTGTTCCCTTTTGTATATTTGGGTAAAGTGTACAATAACTGTTCTACGATCCCGTCTCCCAACGGGAAAGATGGTGTCTGGTGTGCTGTAAGTTCAGACAAATCTGTTGATAGTGGTAACCATCGCTGGTGGGACTTTTGTGTGCGTAAGTATTCATAAGTGGAGTTTCTACTAGAAAATTTTCTTCATTTCTGTGCAACCAATTGAGTGCTCACAGATATAAAGTTGAACGTCCTTCAAGTTGAACGTCCTTCACTCTACGCGAATCTTCCAACAAGCACCACTTCATATCTTTTCGACACAGTTCAATTTTTTAGTTGAACTTCTAGAATATACAATGTGCGAGAGGCTTCATCGATTCTTATGGTTTCATCGATATAGTGCATATTCCTCTTAAAAGATTTGATAAAAAACCAATTTTTATGATATTCATTGCTGACATTTATGAGTTATATATGTAAGGTTATTATAACAGGCAATATGTAGCATAACAACTGAAATAATAAATCGTTGAGGATACGTATGTATACCTGAGTACATACTGTGACAATTTTCTATCATTTACGAGTTTAGATACTAGAAAATACATGTTACAGGGCACGTGGTAAATTACTCATTCCATTTTTCAGCAGATTCGACGACGCCCACCACAACATTCAGAACTTTAGTTCCCTCGCCTCGTATGAAGTCCTCTGACTCCGGTGTATTGATTTCAAAGTCCGTCACCCTTACTCCCTCCTCTGACTCCGGTGTATTGATTTCAAAGTCCGTCACCCTTACTCCCTCCTCTGACTTCGGTGTATTGATTTCAAAGTCCGACACCCTTACTCCCTCCATGTATGATAGATCAAGCGACATTTTGCTCCCACCTACAGTGAGCGAAAGGAGTGATGACTCGGGTGAACAGACAGGAACAATTGTGGGTGTGGTTTTGGCCTGTGTTGTTTTCGTGCTGCTTGTTGCCGTCCTGGCTATTTGCTATAAACGTCGGAGAAGCAACCGAACAAAGTAAGGCGGTATAAAGACACAGTAAGACGATTAATCACATTTTTTGTGTGTCATATCTGCCTTGTGTTGAGGATACCGACACGTTTTATTATAATTTTGTAATCAATACTTCGCTAAGAAAATTGTTTAATTTTTAGTGTTGTTGTATGAAAGGCTCTGGCCAACTGATGATACTAACATTTGTGGTTAGCTAGAAATCATAACATTATATCACCCATTAATTTTACTCACTTTAGAACGAAAAGAAAATCTGTGTCGAAAGAAGATCTAGCCGGTAGGGAGTTTATTATAGTTTTACCTCATTAATGAAATTGAGTTTTTTTCCCCCAAAATTCTGTTCGTGAGAGTTCTTAAAAACTGCACTTCTCAAGACGGTTATTTCTCTTGATAGAGTCAACATATCAGACCGTAACTGACTACAGCAGCCCGAAAACTACGAACAACCGCTTGAACCATGGTTTCCAATCCTCCATTGAACTGACCGATGATAAAGACGCTGACGTAATCCAACACAGTTACCTTGGTAGCAAAAGCAAGATAAGCTCCGACACGCATTTTTATGACAATCTTGACAACTTCAACAGAGCAAACATCAATTCCTCGTTTCCAGTTTACAGCACACCCGAAGCAGATTATTCGCTCGTAGCGAGAACACAATCACGGGTAAATAACTGGTGAAAATTTTGTTTAAAAAAACTGACAACTTTGCGTGGTTTTCACATAAAATGACATTTTTTCATTCAGGCTAAATGTTGATTATTTTTGCAGATGAATCAACATCCTTCTCCGATATCTCCTGTCATGGTTTCTGAAAATAATGACCCCTCTACAAAGCATCTTTACTCCGCTCTCGAGAGGGATCACGATCCTTTAAAACACCCCGAACCAATAGACAACGATACGGTATTTGTTGAATCCAATCCCATTTATGGAATGAGCTCCAACTATGAGAGTGTGAACAAGGGACAGATGGAGGATGGAGGAGGTCTTGCCAAGGTGGACGTCTTGTGTTGTAAAAAAAAACCATGAAAAAAGTCGTGAAACAATCTCCTATTTAGTTTGATAAAAAGAAATATGAAGTAATTTGTTTTATTTTTTATTTTTTTTAACAGAACAAACCACCGTCATTGCCACAAAGGATTTACGACGAACCGGCAAGTATTTCCTCGGGATTTGTTGATCAGCCAGGACCTTCGGAAATGGATGTTTAGAACAGTGTTGGGAAATTGCCCACTTATTATCGTCCCCATATCCTTAGTTATTGTATTCCATGACACAAGTCGAATTTAGCAAGTGCATTCTTCTTTTATTTATGTTACACTGCAGTAAATTGTAGCTGGTTACAATAGTTTTGATAAAAAATCTGCCTTGGAGAAAATAAAAATACCATACTGAAAAATGCTATTAAATCATTTTTGTATCTTAGGGCTTAAAGAATGAGTATCAGGGTCATGCTTTGCGCGCTTGGTTGGCCATTTTAAGGGACCCCGAAAATGGCGGCTGTAAAATGTTTGATTTGACTACATAAGTACAGCATATAAATACGGCGTGAATATCGTAGCAACAGTCAAAATATCAACCATAAATGCTTCCTATAAATAAATATGATCACATAAGTCAATAAACGAAACAAAACCTGCACTGAATACGCGTCGGATTGCTTAAGTGCACGGAAGTTCCCGTATGAAAACATAAACATTAAGCGCGCCAAGCATGACCCTGATAGTCATTCTTTAAATTACTCATAACTTTCTTGAAGAACTCTGCTTTCTATGATAGGTAGACGCCTTTCATTCTTTGCCCATGGGCCATAGGGAAAGATACAAAGATAGGCACATAGACATTTATAGACATAAAGATAGAAAAAAGGTGGACTGAAAAGATAGACACAAGAGTAGACAAAAAAGTTGAAAAAAAAGATAGACATAAAGATAGACATAAAAGTAGATATAAAGGTAAACATGAAGGTAGGTACAAAGGTAGGCATAAAGATAAACAAAAAGGTAGACACGAAAGTAGAGATAAAGGTAGATATAAACGTAGAAATAAAGGTAAACATAAAGGTAGACATAAAAGTAGACAAAAAGGTTGACAAAAAGGTATACATAAAGGCATACATAAAGGTAGACATAAATGTAGAAATAAAGATAGAGTACTTTTGTGCTTCCTTTAACTTTTTTTTTTGAAAATGGAAATGCAAAAAACCAAGCAAACAAACTTCGTAAAGAAAATTTCAAAAAATGAATATGAGCAGAAAGTCCTTACGAATATCAATATTATATAAGCACATATTTTCACCAAGAAAACGATGAACTAAGCCTTCATCTTATTGAGTTTTGGATTTTTTTTATATACTTGTGAGTTTTAGCGTTGTACGGATCGAGACCGTGTTATTCGTTAACAAACGAATGCATCAGATTATGCATCAGATAAAGGTGAGAACTCTGAGCTTGACTAAAAACAAAATAAGAACCAATTTTGCGCCTGGCAACACTCCTGTTGTTAGCGATCAATTTTCTGTTAAAAACACTTAGACTAATTTATAAAATGGATCACAAGGTCAAACTGTAAAAGCAATTGAAACCTGGATTTTGATGTGGATAATAAGTTTTTTAGCTTACAGGTAACACTTGCAGGTACGATGTTTCAGTTCATAGATTAAAATAGGTTAAAGCGTCTACCTTACTAAATCATAGTTTGTTTGTAAAATTGTAAAACTTTTCCATTGTGCAATACTGCAGTATTTATCAAGCAAATGGCCTAACATCTAACTTTTGTTATGTATGTAAGAGTAATAAGTGGAATACGTTCCGAAGAAATGTCATTGCTGCATGACGCCAGTTTAATGTTGCTGATATTTGGTAATGGGTAAAGTTTTTTTTAGAGGAGCAGATACATAGATAGGTAATGAAATCTGAAGTTCTACAACCAAACTTCTATTTTTGGCTAATGTTTCACGGTCCATGAAATATTATAAACGGAGTGCATTATGGCATAAACCGAGTTGTTATTGAAAGAAATGGAAGTGTTTTACAACAAGTCAGTAACTTAAAGAGCATCAGGTCATCAGTCCCATAGAGTTTGGTATTGGTCTTGTAGCTGGACAATAGTATGTCTCACCTTACAAGTTACAACTGAGTTTATAAATAATGCACCTTGGTTTGATATTTTGAGATAGAGTGACAGCTTTGTCGAGCTGAAAAAGGAAAATGCAGAAAACCACACTCAAGTGGTAAGCTTTGACCGGCAGTATGAAGATACTGTCATTTCCACCGTTTCCTACAATCGTACATGTTTTGAGAGAACGTAAAAATTAAGTGTTGATAAACTCTTGTTCTCCAATTTTCACAATTGCAAGCAAGGTTGCTCACTTATATTTGTTTGTGGCTCGTCACAAAGCCATTAAATTCTTTTTGATAGTGTTAACGGTCGGACTCATTCCAAAGAAGTGGCTGCTGCCTGCAGGATGAGCCTTCAACCTTGTTGGACGCAAGTCACACGACCATTAAATTTGAAAATTTATTTGAATCAAAATAATTGCAGGCACAAGTCTGATCTACATAGATGTAAAAACACACTGCAAGAAAAACGTACAGTACTTAAATATGATTGGAATGAAATGCACATATAATCGATTCGATTATTGTCGAATAACAATAAATGTCATGTGAACAAAAACCACGGCAGCGAGACCACTGAGCAACTGCATGTGTTATGATGTTCGCTAATACGCATGCGCGTTTTACGTCATAAAACAACAAGGGAAGTTTTTATTGAAACGTTTGTTGTATTTTAGGGAGTATTTATCATATTTTCTCGTCGAAATCATGACGATTTTACCCAAGAAGAAGCACCAAGATAGTAAGAAGAATGAGGCAAATACAAGCAACGATTTAAGGCATGCTAGGTCGCGAAATAACTGTGCTAGAACAAGTGGAGAACGGGCAAACAGATCACCTGATGAGATAAACGAAAGCAGTGTGTATCGTAGTGGAAATATAGAACTACGAAATACGTCCGAGAGTAGTAGCAATGGAAAAAGACGATATAGGAACACTAATAACGAATACAGACGGCGGGACGAGACGGGTTATAATAGCGAGGATGAATATGATGCCTCCAAAAACGACGATCAACCGTCAGAGGAGGTAGTCACGGCCTGTTTACCTTTGAGAAATGCTTAATATTAATGTGGATGTACTCGTGCATTCTTTGTTATTGTGAAGCAAAAAATGGTTGAGTTCAAAGCTTTTATTAATATATCTTCCCCTGTTAAGATGGAGCGGAATTTCGAAAAGATCTTAAAAGAGAAAAAGGGTTTCGTAATCAAGAAAACTGTGGAAGATGGGGCTTGCTTGTTCCGAGCTGTTGGTATGTCATACATTTGAGATCGGAAATGCAAAGAAACCGCAGATGATAATTGAAAGAAGAGTAGAATTGTTTTCGATTTTAAAATTCCCTAGATCACGGAGAGAAACAAGAAACATGCCACTCTTTTTTGACTTAAGTATTTCAAATTAAAACAGATTTTAAAAAAAGGCTGTGTAGACATATTTGTATTGTGCAAGTATACCGTAGAAATGGTGTGCGCGTAGTTGTTTAGATTTATCCGTTTTTTTCACTTTTTAAATATTGTGTGATATAATATCAAAAGATTTATGCTTTACAAAATGAAGGCATTTTGTTCATTCAGTTTGGGCCTGGTTAACAACTGAACAAACATCCTTCAAAATGTCCTGTTTTAGCCCATAATTGCAGCTAAATGAGCTGACTCTATTTTGATTTCAGCGGATCAAGTCTATGGGGATCAAGAGATGCACTCGATTGTGAGGCGTCATTGTATGGACTACATGGTAAATGTTTTGATGATAATGTCTTTTTAACTTAGCTAGCATACTAAGCAATCACAGACTCTGGCACTATAATCAAATATTCAACAGCACCATTTTGAGTGTGGTATTTTAATTATAGTACCATTGTAGTGATAAGGTCTTCATGTTATTATGTACTATTATGAGCGGGGCTTTATATGCGCGAAACTAGTTAATTGCCTTCTTTATAATGATACTGTTTAAAGTGTGTATACAAAAAAGCATGTTGAACTTAAGTATGCTATCAGCTTGCATTTGATATTGTGTTTTACACTTATGATTTTACATAGCAAAAGAGAAAAGCTTTCCAGTGATATGTTTTTCTTTTCATAACAATCAGAAATGATTGAGTATTCCTCAAAGAAAAATTCAAATTGCATGTCTCCACAGTTGAATACAAAAATTTAGGATTTCCTTGGTGTACAATACTACAACACATGAAAGACCTAGCTATTTCATTGCTTTTGTTTGAAATAACAGTGAAACCTCATTAACTACATTAACTGCCATCATTGGAAAAATGCAATTTCAATTTTTGTATGTTATTTGAGGAGCAATTGATTATTTCTGATTATCATGAAATGAAAATCGAAAAACATCATTGGAAAGATAAAGAGCTCTTTTTTTTGCTACCTAGTAATATTAACGTGAAATATAATATTAAATGCATGATGGCAAATTAAACTTTGATGTCGACACAAACTGTACATCTCCCTTGTCTTTATTCTGCAAAATATCAAACTACATATTTCATAAGTGTACATCTGCTCATACTCTTAAGGTAAAGAATGCTGATCATTTCTCGCAATATGTCACAGAGGACTTTGATGAGTACATTAAGAGGAAACGAGCCAACAATTGCCATGGCAACAACATTGAGATGCAAGCATTAAGTGAGATGTACAACCGGACCATAGAAGTGTATAAATATAGTTTAGGTAATTTTTTGCAAAATGCCGCGTGTCTTCCTTGATTATCTCTGTTGATGATGAAAAATTCTGTTTTTCTTCAAGAACCAATCAATACATTTCATGCCTCGTATCAATCGGATTACGAGCCAATACGACTTAGTTATCACAACAACATCCACTACAACTCTATAATTGATCCTTATAATCCCTCGGTTGGTGTTGGCCTTGGACTTGCGGGTTATAACCCCAAGGTAGGACAGTAAAATAGACTTATCAAAATTTGCACGAGGTCAAATACTGTTTCCTAAATTCCCATTTGTGGAACAGTATTATCTTTGCCACATGATATTAAACTTTTCCTCACCATACTCACTTCTTCCCCACCCTTCAGCTAGAGCAAAATATAATTTTAGAAATTTCTAATGCGAAAACATGAAATTTTTTAAATGTCCCGAGGGATGAAATTTTTTATGAATCAATTGAATGATGGAAAAACATTACTACATATTCCCAATTGATGAGTTTGTTCATTGTCCTCAATACAGCTTGTCGATAAGAAGAATGTACATGACGCCGTGAAGAAATCCGAAGAACCGTTGATTGAGAAGGTATCAGTTATCTTTCTAACGTGTTAGCGTTCTTAATTTTGAATTTGGACGTCGTCAATGTGAGTTACGTAACGAGGCAACGGCAAATCATTGCTTCTTATCGTAGGAGATGCTCGAGGACAAGTTGAGAGCGACAGATTGGGAGGCAACGTACGAAGCGATGGAGGAAGCAGTTGCAAGGGAGTCATATCTCGAGTGGTTGAAGGAGAATGAACGACGATCTAGGAAAGTTGTAAGTTTTCTTGTTTTCTTCGCTTTATAACTGCCTGTAAATGTAGATCGTCCGGGTTAGTCGAGTCCTGAGAAGGACTGTCCTGTCTGTGTTGATGTTGTTGACTGACGTTTCGACAACCTTAGCGGTAGTCATTTATCTGCTAAGGTGGTCGAAACGTCACTCAACATCGACACAAGCAATCCTTCTCAGGACTCTACTAACCTGGACGATCTATACGTATGTACAAACATTTAACTATATATTCCTGGGTTCAAATCATTCACTTTATTATTACTGCCCTTGATATTTTACGAAACATTGTCTTGCCTCTTTATAGCAACATTCCAAAGGCTCGGCAGGAGCAACGAGTAGTACATCAACCGTCACTTCGGGCGAATCCTCCAGATATCGAAACATTTCATCCCCAACGCGTGTGGAACCAGATAGTCCTCCCCCAAACAAATCTCCCCGTCACTCTCCCCCGGACTCTCCTAAACCATCACGCGCGAACTCCCCGAAGATGACGTCATCGGATATTAGTTTGATAACATCATCGACAATCATGACAGTTAGCGGTGTTCAATCTAAGTCGACTCATGTGAATACTTCACCTAAGACTTGTTATTCGGAAGGAAATAGTTTGAGATTCAAAACAGAGTACGGATCTGGAGATTATGGCTCCACGGCGTTTGGTAAGATCTCGAACATCTATTACACGTTTATTCTGTTTTTGGTTGATTGAAATTTTGCTCTTTATGTTGTACATGTCAATGGCTGGTCTATGGCGAGGTTTATATTATTAGATACATTTTTATCCACACATATTTCTCGGTTTCTTTTAATTTCACTCATTTTTATGTAACCTAAGGTTGGGAAGACGATGAAGGTTTGCTTGCTGCTGTGCTCGCTGAATCGCAAAAAGAATACTTGGACAGTTTGAAACGTAGTATGAAAGAAACTGAGACAAATAGCAAAGGTCATCCTCAACCGAAGAATTGACCAACGGCGACGATTCTAAGTTTTAGGAGAATGGGACCGGGTCGACCTCAATGAGATGACTTAGGTATCTATGAAATTAAGGGGGGTTGTTTTGTTACTTTATGAGTTGGCCCCATAGTGTAGCTCGACCCTGTCCTTTTTGCGAGTATCGTATTCACTTAATGCATGTATATATTGATGTTGTTGATGTGTAAAATAACTGGTTTGTTTTAAAGCTTTTTGTTGATCAAGTTTTAACATGGGATGAGTTGTTCAATCGTATTGTTACTTGTTGCCCCTGTACTGGCCGAAGTTCGTCTATGGTTGATTAGTATACATAATTAGCTGTATCTACATCTTCTACGAAGAAATCTGTTTCGATGCTTTTCTGACAATTTCTTTCACGCAGTATATGCACTTAGAACAAGATATACTCTATGCTATCGACGACAGCTTGAATATAATGTGGCGGTACATGCCTCCATTTTGCAATTTTTTAAGAACCCGATGGTTGTTCCTTACAACGAAATGGTATAATTTTTGCTTCATTGTTCATTTTCAACACAACTTTTGGCAGGTAAACTTTCGTGAAAACGTCACTATACAACGCCCGTTATTGTCAACTTCAAATTTTATCCCTTTTTAAATCGTTTATTACAGTAGATTGTGTTAATTCTGTCTTTTCATTTTGCTTGCAAACCTTTGAACAACTGGTTTCACGTTTAAATAATCACATAGTCAGTTAAGAGATATTCTGATCTTGTATAATTTGGTGTACTCATCTATAGATTGAATCTGTTGTGTAATTTTCGCCATAGTTCTCTTCAATTATCATAATGAAGAAGTGAATGTTGCTTTCTGTTGCGTTCAATATCCGTTGTGTTACTAATTAATGGTTCGGATTGTCTTTGCCATTTTTATTTAATTGTCGATTCGCTACTGTTTTGAAACACTGCTCGTGTCACTAACTTCTTTGACTATGGTTCATTTTAAATTGCAATCGAATTTAAGTCAATAAAAATCCCCCAAATTCATCTTCATATTTTTTGGTTTTATATTTCACTTACGAATCTTAATGAAAACTATTTACAAGCATCTGTATGAAGATGAAGCTTTATAGTTTCATCATCTGTATGAAGGTGAAGATTTATAGTTTCATTATCTGCTCACAGTTACCGTGGGCGAGTACATTCTTTTTTTGATTCTCGCGATTCTGAAAAGAAAGAATACATGAAAAAATGCTCTTTTAATCATGAACAAGAGGTTCTATCAGTCCTTACTGTCTTTGAAATACACAAATGTATACAAAGAGTACAATGATGGCGAAGACAATAATCCCAAGAGTAATAGCGACGAGGATCAAGATAACTTCTTGTGTGTCTATAAAGAAAACGTATAATCATATTTAGTCAAAAACACTTAAATGGCCTAGTTGTTCGTATTTATCTTTTGCCGTTGATGGCGAATCACATGCGTTGCTATATTATTTTTTACCTGGATCAGATGCCATTATAAATAACTAGTAAATAGAAACGATTAGAAATTAGTCGTAAATTTGGAAATAATCGCTAACGATTTTTATATGACACTCATTACTTTTGATACTTGCTCAAATGAATCTATAAAAGCAATGAAACCTTGAAGTTTTGGTCGACGAGATCGAGTCTTGAAAAAAATCCACTCGTGCTTTTCGTTTCCAAAGTTTATGACTGACTTGATAACTTCGATGATTTAAATTTTAAGCGTCTTCGAAATATTGGAGAACGGGGCAATAAACTTGAGAATATAATGCCCCTCACTTATAAGTCCTTTTATACATTTTCCTGTTACAATATCACTGCCTTCTGCATTGAATGATCGACAGAATACTTAAGATTTTATGTGAAAACGGATGCACTTATTGTTTTCAATAAAACTCTTAATTAATGCTATATTGAAAACTCACTTAACTTTGTCAAAACCAGTTGATGACTGCACTAGACACGATGATTGCACGACATTCACGTATTTCCATTGCCTCTAACTTGAGTTGTTAGTCGTTTATTATGTGGTTTTCTGTCTTCATCATCTTCAGTAATCTGATGTTGTTGCACCTAGAGTTCTGTTGCACTCCTTTCAAGCGTCTTTATTATTGGTGTTCTTACTTAATGCCAATCTTCTCATTAGAGGTGATGCAGTGTTTAAATTGCCGTAAATGGTAAAGACGTTTGTCATTAGAAATGTTATGATCATGGTGATGTTGGAATTATACAATTTGCCATTAATAGCTGTGTCTATTTCTTAGTCAAGGCCGTTCAGAGAAACTAAGGGGCCTGTGGTACAATATAATTCTGGAACCCTTATCTGTGACCCATGAACACGAATTTCAATTTTTATTTGCCTTCTTTATTCATTTTGGGTTCCTTATAAGCCATGGACTCGGACAAACTCCCTACTTTGCTCCCCCGTTGAACGGCCATGGCAGTCTTCAATGAACTGATCATGATGCAAAGTATCTGACTGTTGTATGCTTCAGTGTTGTCTCACATTAAGTAGGAACAGAAATGTGTCCATTTTAGTTCTTAGACTTAAGTTAGTTTAACGTCTTCACTGATTTCACTTCAACATAAATCTTTTCGAAAAGGTATTTGATAATTGATTGTGTCCTCACTCAAGTGTTGTTTTTTTGTCATTATTCATTAATTGCTGCAACTTGCATTTGATTGCGGCAAAGGTGACAGTCTTTGTTAAATAACTTGTTATGTTATTGGCAGGGGCGAAACTAGAACGCCAATTTGAAGGGTGGGAGGGGTAAATATTCATATATTTAGCTCTACCCTGTTGATTTCTTTTGTTGGAGAGTTTAATTTCAAAAGAAATCAGCAGGGCAGAGCTGAATATATGAATATTCACCCCCCCAATTAGCGTCCTAGTTTCGCTTCTGGTTATTGGTGGTTGTTTGGTTGTTGGTACCATTGGTTCCAACTTAGTATTCTGTGTATATGAAGTACACGAAAAGTGTTGTATGCATTTGCGCGGGCGCAGTTGGCGACGTCATGCTTTCAAAGAAAACCTTTCATAACAAACAACAGCACATTTTTGAAAATTATATAAAAAACCCATTTCATTCGACTCTCATGTGACGCATGTCGTTTGGTTCAAGCAGCCATACAAATGGATGCTCAAAATTAAGTCCAAAGCTCAAAAGAAGGAGAAACGTCACAGCCATCGACGACGAAGAGTTTAAAACTACGAACGGGCATACAAAAATGGTGCCTAAGATACGTGTCGTTTCTGGTGGTTATGAGCCTGTCAGTGTTGTGCAAGACGACATATCTGTTGAAAATGGAGAATTTGGTGTTCGTACTGATGAAATGAAAGCGTCTAATGGCGGCGATATGACATCTCATGACCACATAGACATCACTAACAACGTGCCATTGAAAAAAGATGAATCGTCTTTCACTATCGCTTTTGAAGTCTTAATTCCTTTTCTTATAGCTGGATTGGGAACTGTGGCGGCTGGTCTACTGCTAGATAAAGTACAGGTTAGTATAGTTGTAAATATAGTTTAGATTGTTTACGTTTTCTGGAACGGCAGCCAGGTTTGGTCGATTGGTAAATTTCTCAATTTAGCTGACGCCAAAATTTATCCTGCCAATTTTTCTAAGTTATATTTTTGAAATCATGTGATATCCAAAAGACCATCTTCATCACTAAGAAATTGTATATTTGGTTGTATGTTTGCTATGCAATCATTAAGTTTGGATTGTAACTTGAAGCACTTGATAGTTGATATTCCTGTTTGTCTTAATACAGCATTATGATGTTTTTGAACAAATCAGCGAAATCTTTATTCTTGTTCCGGCGCTTCTTGGCTTAAAAGGCAACCTTGAAATGACGCTTGCATCAAGACTTTCAACAGCCGTAAGTTTTTATATTATATCCTGTAAGCAATGGCCTTTTATTCTTTGTTTTGAACAGACATGTTTATTTGCAGATTTTTATATTTCTGCAGGTTTTTGCAACTGTTTTATTATTTTTGAACTCATCGTCCTCAATTTGTTTGTTTCAGGCAAATGTTGGCAATATTGATGACACTGTTGAGCAATGGAAGCTTATTTCAGGAAACATGGTCTTGATTCAGGTAATATAAATTACGACTTTCATCTTTGCAATTTTACGCCATGCCGTGTGCAAACTATGATTGAATATCTATGTGTATTGACCGTGTTGTTGACTGACATCTGACTTTGGCAAATTTATGACTGTGAAAATGAGATTATTGCTATTTTATGGGTACATTTATACTGATGTTTGTGTCTTTGGTTGGCTTCTTTTTCAAGGCATCTGTACAGTGGCATAGCCAGCCTGCATACTTGGTTGTGCTATGTAACTATTTACTTCTTCAATCACTGCAAAAACCAAAAACAAGAGCTTTCTAAAGAATTGAAAGATGTTAATGATCCAGATTTTATGTAGCACGGCCAAATATGTTGGCAGACTATGCCAAAGCTGCTCTATCAAGTTCAATGTGTTCAATATAGCTTTCTAATGAACTATAATGAACTTATTTTTGAAAGGTAATAAACTTATTAGGTAATGAATGTAAAGGTAATGAACTTATTTTTGAAAGGTACAAGCAATTGTTGTGGCAACATTGGCAGCCATAGCTGCAGTGACCATGGGTTGGATAGTGGATGGTCATTTTCACGTTCACCATGCTACCTTACTCTGTGCAAGCAGTCTGGTGACGGCAACCCTTGCGAGTCTTATACTTGGATCTCTAATGGTCATGATCATTGTGTTGTCACGAAAACTTAAAATCAACCCTGATAACATTGCTACACCAATTGCGGCGAGCCTCGGTGATCTGGTGACGCTGGCATTGTTATCTGGAATTAGCTCATTCTTACATAAATGTTTAGGTGAGATTTGTTATTACATGTACTACGGAAACTCATGTTTTTATCTCCTTGCTTATGGATGGTCCTTCAGTGGACCCATTGCTATTTGCTTTGAGAGACTTTGTTGACCAAATTTCTATAAAGTTATCCAGATGATTACTACATAGTACTTCTCAACATTAACTTCTGTTTGTGTTGTGTTGGGTGTTGTGTCTGTCGACTTTAGCTACTTTTTGTTTTTGTGGCCGCCTTCGGTATTTTCTTACTCAATGAATGGAGGGGATTTCAGACTCAAGTGGGTGTAGATAACATGCAGAAATGGATTATGCATTTGCTGTGCTTGTATATAAAATAGGCCTCGGTTCTCATTTAAATCTCCTCAAGCTGTTGTGTTCAATTGGGAAGGTAAAGCAAGCCATCTTTAGAATGCGCCATCAAACGAAACAAATAGTATATTTGCGTGTATACAGCCATTTTGGAATCTGTGTTTGTGTCTCAAGTTAAATTGTCGATTTTATTCAACGTTTACATGTTTAAAACTGGATTTCGTAATTGCCTTAAAACCAAAAGGGGCTTCTTTGCGTCGACAATATAAAGGTCGTGATGAACTTTAATATTGTTTTGTTTGAGCACGTGTTACTTGTGTTGCATAAAAAATATAAGGAAGTCAATATCTGCTTTGTTCATGTGATGTGTTACCATGTCAATATGCATTTTTATCACTAAGACGACAATCCTTCCCTTTATACCAATATATTTTTGATTGCAATCAAATAGTTTCTAGCCGATCACATTGCTAACTTTCCTCTTGATTCAATCAACTATGTATAAAAATTTTAACCTCACTATCTCTGCTACGGTCTTCTGACGTACCCAGCTTTAGGTAAACTAAAAGTAACTCGTAATCTGTGGAAGGCTCTAGCAGCGGGCTTTACACACACCTCCTACGAAGATAGTGCTTTCACTCTGTGTAAATGGATGTTCACTATGAATTTCAAAATTCTAACAAAGAAAGTACATGTTTATGTTATCTCAGAGGGGATACAAGTCACTTACTAAGAACCCTAAGAGAAGTTAGAACATACAAAGTTTCTGTTCTTGGTGATTTCCTCTGAACTGTTTGTGTCGTTAAATAAGTCTTTCATATGAATTAATACTTTGCTATGAATGGCTTGCAGCTATTCATCATGACTCGTTTAAACGGGGGGAGGCTAATATTCATTTTCGCAAGTTGTAATCCATAAAAAAACAATTGATTTCAAAGGAAGTCGATACGGCAAAACGCACATATTCATTGGGCTGCTGAGATGCCTGTGAATGAACTATTTTAACATGTCGTTTTATTGATGATTATATTTAGGTTCGAATCATTGGATCGCGCCAATCATCTGTTCGCTTTTTTTTATTATGCTTCCCTGTTTCGTGTACATATGTCATCACAATAATTACACTCAACATATTTTATATAATGGATGGAACCCAGTGATTAATGCCATGATCATCAGCAGGTATGTACTTTAATAGGTGCGTATATGTAGCTATGGGCTTTACATCCTGAAGAAGGTTGTAGATGTAGATCGTCCAGGTTGGCATAGTCCTGAGAAGGACTGTTTTTGTTGTTGTTCACTGACGTTTCGACAACCTTAGCGGTAGTCATCTTCAGAGTCAAAAAAGAGTCCTTCTCAGGACTATACCAACCTGGACGATCTACATCTACAAACATGTAACGATACTCCCGGGTTCAAAGCATTTACTGAAGAAGATTCGTGGAAAAATAGATTACAGCCAGTGGCGCAAATCCCTTTTTTTGGGGTGGGGAGGGGCGGAGGTTAATAATCCTTCAATACTTCAGTTTGCTGTCTGGTCGAATAAAATCTAGTAAGTTGTTGGGCGAGGAAGTGTATTTGAAGAGAAGTGTCTTTTTCAGAAATATAAAACGCGTAATAATATTCATTACGAAGCCGATTCTCCTTTTTTGTCAATTTCTTATTTCTTTCTTTCTTAAGGTGAAGAAAGCGATACTTTGTATTTCCTTTTACATATATTATTATTTTATGAAGTTTTCCACAACATCTAAAAAAAGTAAATTTGCGACAATATACGAAATTGTACGAGACAGTGTGACCGCTTCTTATCGTGCCAATAAAATGTCGTGGTTGATTACGACATCCTATCGTTTGGCATCCTATTTTATGATAACAAAATTCACATTTTTTGAAAGGTTTTTTAGCTTTAAAATTAGTGGCTATTAGGCACTTGCCGAACCTTGGGTCTGCTACTGTTGAAGGTGGAATTTGATCGCCTTGAACTTTTCTGAACTGAGTGGATCTTTGATCCTTCTTTTGCAAACAGTGGCATTTTCTGTCATGACATATACGCGTGCTTTTCTCCGCATGAAACACACATGATGAGCGTATGACACGCGTCTGAGTGGTGCCGTGTTGTATAAACTTATAGCTGTCATAGCGTATGCTTTTCTCTGTGTTTCAGTGGTGGCGGAGTGATCCTTGATGTACCGTGTTATATAAACTTATAGCTGTCATGGCGTATGCTTTTCTCTGTGTTTTAGTGGTGGCGGAGTGATCCTTGATGTACCGTGTTATATAAACTTATAGCTGTCATAGCGTATGCTTTTCTCTGTGTGTTTTAGTAGTGGTGGAGTGATCCTTGATGTATCGTGTTATATAAACTTATAGCTGTCATAGCGTATGCTTTTCTCTGTGTTTTAGTGGTGGTGGAGTGATCCTTGATGTACCGTGTTATATAAACTTATAGCTGTCATAGCGTATGCTTTTCTCTGTGTTTTAGTGGTGGTGGAGTGATCCTTGATGTACCGTGTTATATAAACTTATAGCTGTCATAGCGTATGCTTTTCTCTGTGTTTTAGTGGTGGTGGAGTGATCCTTGATGTATCGTGTTATATAAACTTATAGCTGTCATAGCGTATGCTTTTCTCTGTGTTTTAGTGGTGGTGGAGTGATCCTTGATGTACCGTGTTATATAAACTTATAGCTGTCATAGCGTATGCTTTTCTCTGTGTTTTAGTGGTGGTGGAGTGATCCTTGATGTACCGTGTTATATAAACTTATAGCTGTCATAGCGTATGCTTTTCTCTGTGTTTTAGTGGTGGTGGAGTGATCCTTGATGTACCGTGTTATATAAACTTATAGCTGTCATAGCGTATGCTTTTCTCTGTGTTTTAGTGGTGGTGGAGTGATCCTTGATGTACCGTGTTATATAAACTTATAGCTGTCATAGCGTATGCTTTTCTCTGTGTTTTAGTGGTGGTGGAGTGATCCTTGATGTACCGTGTTATATAAACTTATAGCTGTCATAGCGTATGCTTTTCTCTGTGTTTTAGTGGTGGTGGAGTGATCCTTGATGTACCGTGTTATATAAACTTATAGCTGTCATAGCGTATGCTTTTCTCTGTGTTTTAGTGGTGGTGGAGTGATCCTTGATGTACCGTGTTATATAAACTTATAGCTGTCATAGCGTATGCTTTTCTCTGTGTTTTAGTAGTGGTGGAGTGATCCTTGATGCATCGTGTTATATAAACTTATAGCTGTCATAGCGTATGCTTTTCTCTGTGTTTTAGTGGTGGTGGAGTGATCCTTGATGTACCGTGTTATATAAACTTATAGCTGTCATAGCGTATGCTTTTCTCTGTGTTTTAGTGGTGGTGGAGTGATCCTTGATGTACCGTGTTATATAAACTTATAGCTGTCATAGCGTATGCTTTTCTCTGTGTTTTAGTGGTGGTGGAGTGATCCTTGATGTACCGTGTTATATAAACTTATAGCTGTCATAGCGTATACTTTTCTCTGTGTTTTAGTAGTGGTGGAGTGATCCTTGATGTATCGTGTTATATAAACTTATAGCTGTCATAGCGTATGCTTTTCTCTGTGTTTTAGTGATGGTGGAGTGATCCTTGATGTACCGTGTTATATAAACTTATAGCTGTCATAGCGTATGCTTTTCTCTGTGTTTTAGTAGTGGTGGAGTGATCCTTGATGTATCGTGTTATATAAACTTATAGCTGTCATAGCGTATGCTTTTCTCTGTGTTTTAGTGGTGGTGGAGTGATCCTTGATGTATCGTGTTATATAAACTTATAGCTGTCATAGCGTATGCTTTTCTCTGTGTTTTAGTGGTGGTGGAGTGATCCTTGATGTACCGTGTTATATAAACGTATAGCTGTCATAGCGTATGCTTTTCTCTCTGTGTTTTAGTGGTGGTGGAGTGATCCTTGATGTACCGTGTTATATAAACTTATAGCTGTCATAGCGTATGCTTTTCTCTGTGTTTTAGTAGTGGTGGAGTGATCCTTGATGTATCGTGTTATATAAACTTATAGCTGTCATAGCGTATGCTTTTCTCTGTGTTTTAGTGGTGGTGGAGTGATCCTTGATGTACCGTGTTATATAAACTTATAGCTGTCATAGCGTATACTTTTCTCTGTGTTTTAGTAGTGGTGGAGTGATCCTTGATGTATCGTGTTATATAAACTTATAGCTGTCATAGCGTATGCTTTTCTCTGTGTTTTAGTGGTGGTGGAGTGATCCTTGATGTACCGTGTTATATAAACTTATAGCTGTCATAGCGTATGCTTTTCTCTGTGTTTTAGTAGTGGTGGAGTGATCCTTGATGTATCGTGTTATATAAACTTATAGCTGTCATAGCGTATGCTTTTCTCTGTGTTTTAGTAGTGGTGGAGTGATCCTTGATGTATCGTGTTATATAAACTTATAGCTGTCATAGCGTATGCTTTTCTCTGTGTTTTAGTGGTGGTGGAGTGATCCTTGATGTATCGTGTTATATAAACTTATAGCTGTCATAGCGTATGCTTTTCTCTGTGTTTTAGTGGTGGTGGAGTGATCCTTGATGTACCGTGTTATATAAACGTATAGCTGTCATAGCGTATGCTTTTCTCTCTGTGTTTTAGTGGTGGTGGAGTGATCCTTGATTACACTGTAGCCAACTATAAAGGCATTGCTGTTTACAATCCAGTCATAAATGGCGTCGGTGGAAATCTTGTAGCAGTTCAGGCGAGTAGAATATCGACCAGCCTACATAAAAGTGGCGAACCCGGCACGTTTCCCGAAGGAGCTGGCTTCAAAGGATGCCTCCAAACGTTTTTCGGAAAAGGTCAGTTCAATTGAAATGTAGATTGTCGGCGAGTGGATTCGAGGAATCATAAAACAAACATTCCAATAAAATTTTTGCCATATTCTTGCTTCATATCGATGTAGGTATATACAAAACGTTGTCTTGTAAAAAAGTTGAGTCGTCCTCAAAACTTTTGATGCTCGTGTGCAAACTATGCAATTTTCAAGACAACTAGCCGTAACGTTGGGCTTGCTAAATTTCTCTTACGCTCATTTAATGGAGCGGGGTATTAAATATACTAAAAAACTAATTCCGAAGAAACAAGACATCTTGAGATTGCAAAATATGAATCAGAACAAGACGAGAAGTGAACTGTAAATTTTCGACTTTATTTCAAAGTCTTTCCTGAGACAGAATTCATCATCATTCAACATCATTCTGTCTGAGGATGACTTTGAAATAAAGTCGAAAATTTACAGTTCCTTCTCGTCTTGTTCTGATTCATATTTTGTAATCTCACTATATTTTTTTAAATTGTCGGCTGGACATGGTTTTCGGGGTATTAAAAGTACCTAAAAATTGTCGTTCCTAAATATTTAAATTTTCATTGCATTCAGTAGGTATTCGACATCGCATTGTGCAATCTAAATATGTTTATCGTTCCACTGTTCTACTTCATTCATTTTCTGAAATGATAATGAGATGAATGCACCAGATATCTTAAGGTTGAAGTGCATGACTATTGCTTATAGCCATGTTTATCTTTGCACTGTTTTACTTCATTCATTTTCTGAAATGATAATGGATGGATGCACCAGATATCTTAAGGTTGAAGTGCACGACTATTGCTTATAGCCATGTTTATCTTTGCACTGTTTTACTTCATTCATTTTCTGAAATGATAATTGATGGATACACCAGATATCTTAAGGTTGAAGTGCATGACTATTGCTTATAGCCATGTTTATCTTTACACTGTTTTACTTCATTCATTTTCTGAAATGATAATGGATGGATGCACCAGATATCTTAAGGTTGAAGTGCATGACTATTGCTTATAGCCAGTCGTTGTCAGTGTTAACGGTCTTCCACGCTATGACACTTGCGTTTTTCATTTTCCATATAAAAGTCATTGGAAACTGTCAACAACTTATGTTTTCCGAGCAGTAAGATTAGTTCACCTTATTCATTCCAAGGTCGCTTCCATTCAACATGTAGGAAGAAAGGCTATGCAGTATGCACTGGTGATTGCAAAAGCAATCACCGAAAGCACTAACGAAACAGTGTTTACCGCAATCAATAGAGAAACGTTCCTGCATTTGTTATTATCGTTTATTTAGGTCAAAATTCTCGTGCTGCACGTGTCCTGCTGTTTCTGGCAATTCCTGGACATTTAATCTTTCTTAATATCATCGCCAAACTTCAAGCCGGACACACCACTGTAACGTTAATCTTTACCGTCGCGTATTTATTGGTCGGTTTTATTCAAGTAAGTCTTATTAAACTTCACAAATTTCGCGCCTGACGCACTCGCGACCAGAAAAAAAATACTTAGCAAGGGTTATTTCTGCGTCTGTCAACTGTTCGCGTGTTTTTTCGCAGGGGACCTTGCTATTGCTCGCTGCTGATTGGCTCGTTCATTTCAATTGGAAACGAGGCAGTGACCCTGATAATGTCGCTATTCCCTATCTGACCGCGCTTGGCGATCTTTTAGGCACGGGGCTTCTCGCTGTTGCCTTTCACGTGTTGTGGTTGATCGGAGATAGGGATGCTGACGTAGGTGACTGAATTTGATGTCATGGAAAATTTGCCACTAGCCATGTTTCTTCAGGGATAATTAGGCTGGATGGGGTATTGACATTTTTTATAGAAACCACTGAAGAATGGAGTCTTAGATAAAGTATTGATTGACAAAATTTAAGTTATTCGAAGTAAATTTTTTATTGACAGGACATTTCACGTTACATCAAAAAGCAAACCTGTTTTTATATCGCACCGTCATGTTAATCATTTGTAATCATATGTAATCCATAGTAAGATATTTGTAATATATTAAGAAATCCATAGTATGAAATTGGCTTTAATTAGTAAGCGTTGACTGTTCACTGTTGACTTCATTGCAAAGTTGACGCAATATTTGAACTGAAAGACGTGACTTTTATCTATTTGAAAGAAAGTGTTTCAATTTTTACAAAGCTCTTTTTGTTATTCTACTATTATTGAACACTTTAAAAATGCTATTCCAGTGATTGTTATTCATCGTACAGGAATTTATCTCATAATCACTGTCGTCATGTTAAGTACGGGAAACGGAAGTAGGGCAGTTCTATTACAGGAAGTTCGGAAAACTATTCAAATAGTGGCAGTGGTAGAAGAGTAGAAGTAGAGATTTTATCGTAAAAGACTGTCTGTGAGCCGGTCTCATGTTTTTATAAGCTATCCTTTTGCCGGAGGATGATAGCTCTTAAAGTTGGCTATGTGCCGCTTGAGCATAAAGAATTCTCGATTGAATTAGAGCTTACTTCGTGGCGATCAAGACATTGAATGTAATCAACATACTTTTTCATACGAACTTTGGTGTCAAATTTTATTGTATTTATATATTTGACACTACTTCTGTGACAATATCATCGTCATTAACCAAAGCAGCTGTGCTCTTCTTTTGACGATGAGAAAGCATTTAAGGTATCGATTGCTCATGGTTGCAGTTATCTTATTTTCATGGTGTATATTCTTCTATCAATGGATAAACAACACAAATTGCCCTTTAGATCAAGAAGGTATGTTTATCAGTTTATGTAACAGTAAAATTGAAATTGTTCAACCATAGTTTTTGTCTCCGGGCAATTGGCGCTAAAAATTAATGTTTTTAACGATAGCATTTTCGGTATGTTCGGTCGGTGCTTTGTATTCATTGAAAATTAACTGTTTTTGTTTCGAGTTGTAAAGTGTTCATTGGCGTAACGTTTACAATTTCTTGGCAATTGAAACTATGCGGTGTGACCGAAGCTTATCGTTAAGTTTTTAGGGTGAAGATAAGAAGAGTGACAAGTGATCTTTTATGAAATATGGCGTGAACTAGACCACCGTGTAGTTGAGCGTATTCATCAAGAACGAACAAATTTAAATTTAAATACAGGTGGTTATTCAGAATAGTGAGCAGGCGGAAAGCGAACTTTAATTAGAAATGTTATAATGCCCCAAGGAGTGCTTTTAAAAGAGCCATCTTACCTTTGTACTGGATGGCTCTGTTAATACTTTAAAGCACTATGCTAGGTTTTAATACTTATGATTGAATTACACTATGTAGGCAATTAGATTTTCCAGTTGGAAAATGTAATCTGATTATAAAAATTATAGCCCAGCTTATAGCATATGATTAGCCATGATAATGACAGGACATGCAGAAGAAATATATTGGTACTTCTGTGGGAAGCTGATAAGAACATCACTGATTGTTTGTTGATAGCATGCATGGAATATTAGTGAATGATGTCAAGAGGGTAGAGTGGTAGTTTAGAGAGAGTTAGGGGAACAAGTCAGATGTGAGACATGTGTGACCAAGGAAGAGTCTATTTGTACAGTACTGTGTTCTTATTATTTTGGGAGTTTTACGAGTTAAAATATCTTAGCAACTTTATTGTTGTGTGACTTTATTTGGTTTACTTTGATTAATTGTCACATGTTGAGGACTATGATTTTGGAGCATGTATCATCTGCTGAGTAACGAGACCATGTGTAGTAAATTTTAATGATAGTGTTTACTAAGTACGTGATCAACCAAGTGATTGGTTGTTTCTTCTCTGTGTTCTGTTTATTATTACGTGTACTCATTTGCTAAGCTGAGCTATAATTTTTATGATATGATTGAAATACACTATTCTGTTATCATTTAGTCGTATGTGGGTTCTAACTTGTATATGGGAGGGGAGGGAGGAGTAGGAAGGAGGAGGGGAGGTGGAAATAACTTGATCAATCCAAAAGCAATTTTCCTCACTAAGTCACCTTCTCCATATCATTGATTTCAGTTCTCTTATGACGGAGCTAACACAAACTCAATTTCTCCATTTTGCAGACTCAATTCTTCCAATTCTTCCTCATTCCCCACCCACCCCTCCCCACCCATTCTTCCTGCCTTTTCATCAATTTTCTCAATACTGGGAAATTTTTTTGAAAAAGTTCACTCGAAAACCATTTGATCTATGGGGTGCACATGAGGTGGAGGTGTGGCACCCCCTCTACAGCTTGTGTGAATATGTCTTCCCTTACAAACATGCTCATTTCATTGAATGAATTTGATCATCACACACTTACTTGCTATCATGTAGGGCCAAGAGCCGCAGAGAAAAGATACGAGGAAAAAATCCCTGAACTTGAATCGAGATTGCTATCTGCACAACAAGGGATGGAAAACTTGGAGAAAGAAGTCCACAAATTACAGAAAACATTAAGACAACGCGAGCTGATGTCATCTGAAATCAATCTTAACATGACAGAATTGACTGGGGATTGTGAGGTTGGTTGAGACAGAATTGAAGCTTGTTGGGATTGGAAATAAAATGTCCCTTGCACCCTTGCCATGTAGGGGAATAATGTGTATTTCTTACCTATCAGATGGCAAGAGCGCACATCAAAAAAGGTTCGGGGGGCGTTCTACATTCTGGAAACTACGTTTTCACGCAGTATCTGTGTTTGATAGAAGAGTACGCTTTTTTAATTAGGCCCATTTTTTTACTCTATCACTCTCTGGAGAACTTTTGTATTCGTAGTTTTCGAAGTTGTGAGTTGTAACACCTGACACATGCCTTAATGTGCGCCCCACCATGGGGTATATTTATCGAGGTTCAGGTAAATTTCTTTACAATCATGATATTTTAGATTCATTCCAATCTCGAAATAAGTGCCAATCATCGTCCAATGATTTTTTTTTCATTTTGACCAACAAATGCGTCTTGTAATGTAAACAATACACGCACGACCGGTATGGAATTCCCTATTTTCAAATGTAAATTTCCTTCTGCGAATTTTGTTTTTATTATTACCTTGTTTTTATCGTTACCAATTTATCCTAGCTCGGATGCAATTAATATTCATTTAGCTAGAAGTCGGTTTTCTACAGAACTTTTATTTAGAATTATCTAATTTATCTTCAATTATACTATACTAAAACATGCACATGTTTTTCCAAGCCTGCCGTCATCATGACGACAATAGAGAGCTTTAGCAAAAACTACGAGTACGAACTACGTCATTTTGGCGCGAAAACATTATTGCGACAACAACAACACGTAGCCGTCATCAATCTGAGTACGATGTTTGGTAAAAAATTCGGTCAAACTTCATACTCGTTGTCGTAGTCGTACTCTTGCTAAAGCTCTCTATTAAGAATAACAATGTATACGTATATATCCATCCTTACCCCACGAGTGAATCTCATTAACTTTCTTCTATCCTCCGATTGTTGTAGACTCTCCATGTTGCCGTCGTTTGTTCTGGCTTCTCCACAAGTCGTCAAGTTGTTATCCTCATAAAATCTATTTTGTTCTACCGCCGAAATCCTCTTCACTTCCATTTTATTTCTGACGCGACGGCGATAACTATTCTTACTACGCTTTTCGAATCCTGGAATATACCACTCGGTATGTCATGATCCCCCTCGGTATGTCATGATTCCCCTCGGTATGTCATGATCCCCCTCGGTATGTCATGATTCCCCTCGGTATGTCATGATCCCCTCGGTATGTCATGATGCCCTGTTTTATTCATTATTTGATTAGCGTGTCATTGCTATGCACCTAATTTAATCTATCGTCACGATGAGCGTGACTTGGATCCCAAGTCTTGGGAGTGGGGTGAGGACTTAATTTTAACTTCCCCCAAATCTCCCCTGTTTTTGCAGCCCTGTCGTTATCGTTCTGTCGGCAAGCATATTTAAGTGATGTGATTTCTGAATGATCGTCGTCTCTCTGCCATATGTTACATCATGTCCCCCTCTCTCTTTCCTTTTACGTTATCAGTCAGGTGGACTTTATCAATATTCACTGTGATAAACTTTCATTGATATTCATTGAAAGCGTTCTTGCACTACATTGTCATCATGCACACAATATCAAGACGTTTTTATTGTATTTGTATAGTCAACATTTCATTTTACTCAGCTGAAGCTATGATGGTAGGTCACGTGATTTATTCAACATTGAAATCACGCTCTATCCTCATGCTTTTTAATACGTCTGTTTGATCATACAGAAAGAAGTTTCTTGGATTCCAAACCGACATTATTCCGGTGTCTACGGTCTTCTGAAATTGACTTTGCCACATCTTTTGTCTGAGGCGATAGAAAAGGTAATTGAAACATCGCTCATCCTGACAAAATCTGATTCAGTCTCTCGATATGCGTACTGCATTTGCCTTAGGTTATCGTTTTGGACACAGACATTATCTTTGCCAGCAACATAGCCGAGCTCTGGGAACTGTTTTCAAGACAAACTGGCGAACAGGTATGAACGATAACCAATCAATGTCGATTAGACGTAAGTTTTTTTCTTCAAATAAGAATTCAGACTTATGTGGCCAACGAAACGGTCTGTATTTTCGTAAAGTAAAAAAATGTTTTTTAAAAATAATTGTTCTATGTAACGGATATAGTTGTTTGCTAATGCTGCTCATTGCAAATTGAGCTGTTGCTTTGCTGTTTAGTGCGTTGGTCTTGTCGAAAATCAGAGCGATTGGTATCTGGGAAAGCTTTGGAAAAACCATAAGCCATGGCCAGCTTTGGTGAGATAGTGTGGGCGTCTCAAAATATATATGTGGGCATAATGTTGTTATACATACACATATATATTTAGGATATAATTTTTATCGTATAAGAATATGTCCATTGCCAAAGTATTGTCAGTTACAGTTTTATAAAGTGTGAGGTTTCTGAGAGGGAAATTTATAGAAGTGGACATCTGGTTTTTTTTTTGACCTCCAGTAGACGAAATTTTAAAAGCAACGATGAGCAACGTTATAAAGAGCAACCATGTATTTATTTGCGATAATTCTTTAGGGCCGTGGCTTTAACACGGGTGTTATGTTGTTGGATCTTTTCAAGTTACGAAAATTGAACTGGAAGTCGATTTGGAGATTGACTGCCGAACGAGAGCTGACCACATTTTTAGCAACGTCACTTGCAGATCAGGTTAGTAACTATTATCTAATGCTCTTTGTGTAGAATAATTATTACGGTTATATGGTAATAAATTGCAGTCTCGCGCAAAGTATTTACCGTAGTTAACCTTGTAGATAAAACGTATATGCATATGCTATCCCAGTATCCAAGCTTTGATCAGCCATCGAAAAGTGTACTTTGTAACCCAGTAATCGACCAAATGGAAGTTTATTACAAACTGTAGTCATTCATAGAGAGGTGCATGCTTATCGTAATCGATCATGAAGAAATGTATGTTGTGCTGTTATCAATAAAAGAAAAATACATAGATGATATATTTTTATGAATAATAGAAAAATGTATGAGACATGCATCGAGAAGTATGTGATTTGCTCTTAACGATCATAGAGAAATGTATGGTATACATTGTTGTTGCCTATAGAGAAATTTATGATGTGCTGCTATGAACCATAGAGAATTGAATTCTAGAAATCAACCTAGGAAAAATATGTGCCTTAAATGTTACTAGCTAAATCCATTGTTTTTGGCTATTTCCTAGATCTTCAGTGTTACAAATAGGTTTTTTTCATTCTTCAGAACTTTAAATTAAATTTTTTTTGCAATAATCTTTTTGCCATCGACGAAGGAAGAGCAAGCGAGCTCTTATGTTTCTTCGACTAAAATATCAAAAGGGTCTTGTGTAAGCCAGTGGAATATATGTTTGAAAGCTTGCTTTTTTTGATTGAAGAAATTTATGTTGCTTTCATTTCAGGACATTTTCAATGCTGTGATAAAGCGCCATCCTCATCTCGTTCAAAAGCTTCCTTGTGCTTGGAATATCCAACTTAGTGATAATATGAGACGTACGGTAGGGAGCTATCAATAAAGTTTCCATCGACGCCAGTTTGAGAGGAATTTATCCTCTGTTGTTATCTGTACTCGCGTACATGAATTAAAAAATTAAAAATGAATCATATTTATTTTATTTGACTTTTGGCGTAAATAGTTGGCTAGCATCCTCGAAATCGTACCAGTATTGACTCACTTTCTGTTTCTGTTATTTTTAGTTGATCGACAATTGCTACGCCGAAGTATCAAATCTGAAGGTTCGTCTGGTTATTTTCTTTCATTATCTTTTCATAATATCATCGATTCTCTTCATTATATAGTAACAGTATCAAGTATTTTAAGGTTGAAAGTTATTATTTTTATTTTGTACAATATTAAGTCCTCTTCATTCAGGTGATTCATTGGAATTCACCAAAGAAACTCAAAGTAAACAATTCTCATGCAGAATTTTTAAGAAATCATTATTTGACGTTTCTTGAATACGACGGAGATTTATTAAGGTTAGGAATTACTAGACATATGTATCTAAAATTGAATCCAGAGATTGGTTGCACGAAACCTGGATACCGCTGGCCATCAGATTGTAGTTTTTAGACAGTGGAGATATTTGAAATTTTGTGTGTAACTCAATAATTTGTCTCAATACTGAATAAGACAAGAAAGCATATTGTTCTTATTTGCCATAAAACCTATAGACGGTTTGCTCATATAAAAAACCTATTGTAAAAGCTTAATTGCAAATGTAGAAAATCAATTGAAGATTGACACCTAAACTACAAGTCAAAAAGCTGTTGTTTGAAAGTTTGTGGTATCTTTGAATCCCTAATTTATGATTGTGTCAAAAACAGCCGAACTCAGATTTATAAAAGTAATGGAAGTGGCACAATTAATTGTTCCATATTGTAAACAAGATGACGACCTGTAGACAGGCATTTTACATCTTCAGCTGTATCTTAACAGGTTTTCATTAGTTATTTGTAATGCGTGTGTCTATGCACATTAAAGTGAAGTTTCTCGGCGATAGTGTGCTTTTATTGAAATATTGAAAAAGAGTGTTTTTTATATCATCATTGTTTTTATAGAGGAAGATTGTTCAGCTGTTTAAAAGCCGACAAAGCGAGATCATCTATTCTTAAAGTGAGTTGTTGATGTCTTATATTCGCTGTTTTTGCTTTTCAAAATTTTCTCCAAAATTTGTTGTTTTGTGTTTCGCAAATGACAAAAGTTTGTAATTGGGATTTGAGAAAACTACAACGATATAAGGGAATTGATTGAGAGGGTTATTTGTACCAGTAAAGTTTGCAGCCAACAATTTTTTCTTCTTCAGACTCTAGATGAAGACGACCCATGCTACATTGTGCGTCGTGAGAGACTGCTGACCCGTAGGACTCACTTGTACTATCTTGATTACGAGTTCACTAAACATGATGAATATGACGTCACGTTAGTTGCTCAGTTGTCGATGGATCGACTTCAAATGATCGAAGCAATATTCAAGCAATGGTCAGGTATTGTTTTGTTGATGTATATCTCGTCGAACAGTTTTGTTGGCCTGTGTTGTATCTTTGTAGCGTCACTTGAAACCCTCGTCTCATCAATTCTGTTGGTTCTGCTAGGTCCTATAAGTTTCGCTTTGTATCTCTCTGATGCGGAAGCAAGACAGTTCCTGGACTACGCTCAGTTTTCATATGTTTTGAACTCTAGAAAGAATGTTGCTTACCACTTAGTTTTCAAAGAAGGGGTGAGTTTAGAGAATTTCCTTGCGCCCCCCCCCGTTTGTGTGGCAGTCGATTATGTGTAACTTTTTTATGTTGTTGCCGATTCTGTTTCAAAGTTGTATTTTCAAATTTAAGTGATATTCAATCTTGCTGGGCTTTTTTCTTGAATTGTTAATTTGATTTGACAATGTTTCAATTACATTACAGACGTTAAAAACCATTTTCACTGGTTCACTAGCAAGAATCATTTCAAAATAGTTGTTTGGAATGAATATTTTTGATTTTTGAGCTAGTGTAAATTCAGGTTCCAAAAGTTTAATCCGACATACCATTCTGTTTTTAGACGTTTTATCCCGTAAATGCTTTACGCAACGTGGCACTATCTCAAGTAAAAACGCCATACGTGTTCCTCTGTGATATTGATTTTCTTCCTGTCACAAGTCTCTACGATTATCTCAGGTAAAAAAAAACTAATTATTTAAGTAGCACTTTCGTTTGCATACTTTTTATGCAATTATTGCACTATTGTTTGTAACTATAGGTGGGTTGCATGGCTACGTCACGGCCGCCATGTTGGTTGAATATAGCAAAGGGTTTTCCTTGCTTAGAATCCAAATCTCAACCAACATGGCTAAAATCTTTTTGTCCTTTGACTCCCCGAGGAAGGATTGCCAGCGACCCTTTTTGATGTACAATTATTACGTCATTTTCTAGAAAAATGATCCGACAAACTGACATGAATAAAAAGGTATTGATATGAAGAGTAATAACGTAATTCATGACGTAATTTAGCTACCGTTTGTTAAGAAATAATTATTTGAATCATTTATTGATCAGCTTGTTCAACTTATGACGAGCGGAATTTGTCTCCTGTGACCTATGTAAAATGTTTCAAAAGAGTAAAATGTTTCAAAATAGCGTTGATATCTGGTATTATCTTTGACTGGATACTCAACTTCTGTCAGCAAAGGTTTGGTCTCTAGTGCTGTCTTTCATGGGATACTCAACTTCTTTCAACAAAGAGTTTATCCAGAACGCTTTCTCGTACTGGATATTAACTTCTTTCATCAAGGGGTCCATTTCACTTTGAGGGGACACTCGACTTCTTTAAACAAATACTTAATCTCAAGTTGTTTTTTTATTGCATATCCAACTGCTTTCCACAAAAGGTTAACTCGATTGTCGTGTTTGACTGGATGCTAAACTTTTTTCAACTACCTTAAGTAGTTGGATACCAAACTCCTTTCATCAAAGGGTTACTTGCGAAGGTTAATCTTTTATTGGATATTCAAATGCGTTCTAATTTGCCTATTTTTGACGTTTATTTTGCTTATATTTTTTGCATAAGTTTTTTTAAAGAATTAATTTTTCATCATTTTTACTTATTGTTCTTTATTTCTTATTGACTGCATTTTCTTTCAAAGGCATTGGTTGTCCCAGCGTTCGAGACCCTTCGTTACAAAATGTCTGTGCCAAAGACAAAGGCAGAACTCCTCTCGAAGATGGACGAGGGTTTGTTGTATACATTCAGATACCATGTGTGGCCTAAAGGGCATGCGCCCACGAATTACGGGAAATGGCGGACAGCGATCAAACCATACAAGGTGTGGATTCTTATGCTCTTCTATTATCTACACTTCCAGTGACTGACAGTCATGATATTGTCATCAGTCATATAGAGAGAAGTGAATATTGTTTATGACGTCGGCGTTGCATGTTGATGTCGACATGCTTATTGAATTAATAAAGGAAATGGTTTTCAACCTTTTGAACGAGTCCTTTTCTTTAGAAAATGACTAAATAGGTTAGTTAAATGAATCTGTCATTCTTTATCTGTGTAGAATGTCTTAGTCAATCAGACCCCAATGCTGACATCTGTGATAAGTTATTTTGTATACGCAGACAGTTCTTAAAAGTAGTGACCGCCAGTTTTGCTAAAAGTGTCAGTTAATAAAATCTTTTAGGCTCTTTGGGAAGAAGATTTCGAACCGTACATTGTTGTGAAGAAAGATGTTGAGAAATATGATTCACGATTTATTGGTTTCGGTTGGAACAAAGTCTCGCATATCATGGAGTTAGCTGTTCAAGGGTACGAAAATTAATCTCGGAGATCTGTAAGCATGACCACATATTGAAGACTAAATGATATTTCCGTTTGAATTTTAGCTATGAGTTTTTTGTTCTTCCTAATGCCTTCATTGTTCATCTTCCTCATGGTCCGTCGTTTGACATTGCGAGACATCGCAACATTAAACAATACCGAAGGTTTGATTTCTTTGTTAACATTTCTTCTGCACCACGTATTTTGGTTTTGTTTACTGTAGTTCTATGCGCAAATATCTAATTGTTGCCTGCTGTACCGTGTTGTTAGCTGCAGTTCAATACGCTAATCTATTGCTGTTTACTGCCATCCTATGTTACTACCTGTAGTTCTTTTGGCAAAACTGTCGCTGTTACCTGCGGTCATAGGTTGTTTTTTGTAGTTCTGTAGGCTGACCAGTTGCTGTAGCTAGCAATTCTATGCTATCAACGGTAGCTCTACAGGCTAACCTTTTGCTGCTACTGACAATTGACTGGCAATTCTATATTGTCCTTCTGTGGCTCTTGTTTTTTTTTCATCCCATAAAGCAGCGCTTGAAAGAAGCAGTATTCCTATTGACTAAAGATTTTACAGTTGGATTTTATGTACACGATAAAATTGCTATCTTAAAGAATACCATTTGCCGTTTGTACACGAAGTTGTGCCAACATTTTGCTTCATTTTCATTGTTTTGAGTTGCTATTTTCGTATCAACAGCGGAATGAAATTGCACGATTTGAAATCCCAAAATTCAGCAGGTATATTTAAGGGGTTTGGTGCAAATAGAATGAAGACAAATGCAGCTTTTTCATAGTACAATCAATTTCATCAAAGTCCGAGACTGACGGCAAATCTGATGAAATTGAAAGAACCTTTTTTTAACACTAAGCCAAATATGTGTATGATCTACATTACCGACTTATTGGAAATTCATTTTTAATGTTTTAGTTGTATGAACGTTTTAAAACAAGAGTTTTTAAAAGATTTGAAAGGAAAATATGGCGAGAAGAAGGTTGATGAAGTTGTCAACATGTATTAAAGCAAAGCATGTCTTATAAGATCTTTTATATGGATCCCGTGGCATTCCTGTCGTATCATGTGAGAGACATGTGATCGAGGAGGTTTAACGTTTGGTTTATCCGTATTCTTCGCCATTATACATGACTGGGCGTGTTCGCTTTTTGGAGAAAAATAATTTTGCTGCTGTTATCATCGTTCGATATATTTAACGAAAGTTATAGTTGCGGTGACATCTCAACGATGTCACTTCAACTGTCGACGTGATAAAAGCAAAATCCTGAAAAATAGGAAGGTTTAAAATATTTAACATCCAACGAACATCCACCAAATGGCTTCTCTTGGTCTTAATATCACCGGGCCGGCCCTAGAAGAGTGATTGTTGGGATAATTTTTGGGATTCATGGATTGTAGTTTGACTTCGACTTCACCCGCTCCATTTTCCCAAAACAAATATTTAACTCTCATTTGTTCAAATGCAATGAGATATTTAACACAGATTCATTATATTTTATTTTTTTGTAACATCATAAATAAATACTCGATATATATATATATATATTTAGCTAGATAGTTTTTTTAATTGAATAATAAAACAAACAATTGTTCACTCTTGCTCTCAATGAAATTTTTGTATCATGCGCTTATCCTAACCATTTTTGGTCACGTGTTTTGCTTGTTTGGTCTAGGGATCTAGTTTGTCAAAGCCTTGCACGGTTTAATGAGAATTTTGAGTTAGATCGTGACAGTTATAAAATAAATTTTTAGTATGGATTAAACTTAATGTCGATCGTTCTTTTACCCAAATTCATTTAACTTAACTTACTCAAAAGATCGTTATTGTTATTACAATTACATTTGTCATGGCTTTCAACAATCGTTCCTGTTACTCCAATTTATTCCACTCCACCATTGTTCTTGTGTGTGTATAGCTGCGTTGGAATATTTAAAAGCCAAGCCGGTTCATACTGTCGCTGAAAAGGAGCTCGAGTATCGTTGTTATATGTGACTGAAGATTTTGGTAGTGTTGAACACTTTGAAGATTGTCTGATGTTTTGCTATGTTTTTTTAATTGCCATTTGCTTTGTACTGTGAATGTTTGTGTATTTAGGTTGAAACGCGCAACAAATAGAGGTGGAAAAACGAAGAAGAGATGCCGTATTTAACAAGGTGATGATAATTCTATAATCCTAATTTTTAATGAGTAAATATATTTTATAATCTCGTCCGTAAACGGCATGCGGTCTTCCATACGAGGCCATTTAATCTAAAAAGTTGGAAAGAGCACTAATCTTGTAAGTTGAAAGGTTTTTAAATCGTTTGAGTAACATTCGAATTTCTCTTTTACCAATTTCAAACCCCAGGTTCAAACCATTTACTTTATGAAGAATATAAATAAAGATGCGCAAGTAGAAAAGTAGCAAAGCGAGAAGTCTTCGTGTTTGCACTGGTTTCCACACGCTCCAAAACGACACCATCTACTTTGACGTAGATCATTTTTCATTCCCATGATGTGAGAGGAAAATAAAAAACCCAGCGAATATATAAATGTGTTTCAAAGCTCAACTTTAGGTGGTTTGAAATATGGCAGTCGATTTCTTTTCTTTTTTCGCAGCGGTTCCTTGTTTACGTTGGCATCGCGTCTTTCGACCTTTTTTGCGGCACCTCGCAACGCCAATGGTGGTAAGCGAGGTACGTTTGACAAGTACGCATGCTCGTTCGTTCCATACATGGGATGCATGAAATAATTTGCATGTTTCTGAGGTGGACGCAATCTCGGCAGTCCAGTCAGACAAATTTTCTTCTCGGGTAGTCTAAAAACCGAGAATGATAAAGAGGATTTTTGTGCAAACAATTACAACATCAGATTGATATCATTCTGATTCATGAAAGAAATTTGAAAATTCGCTTTGGTGGAATTAACGATTCTGTCGTCTTCCTTAGCTATCTTTGTGGCAGAGGAATGCATTTCGAGGTAATTGTATGAACAGAAGACAAATTAAGTTGGAAGTTTGTGGAAATTCTGAAAACACCGACCATCAATGACAGCCACTCGCTCTCCTTCCTGCTAAACTACACCATAACTTTAACATTTTTCTGTGCAATATAGAAATCCAAAAGGTCATACTTTCAAGTTAAAAACTCTTACATGTACATACATAGAAAGAGAGAAAGCCAACTCAAGCCAAGCATAATTATCGAGATTTCTGTTTCCGTAAATTTATTGAAAGACGTTTCTTATTTGTCAGCAGAAGAACAAATTCTTACCTAATGTCAACATATTTAGAAATATTTGGATCATGTTTGTTTGCACTCTCGTTTGTCTCAGACTTCGTTTTGTCATCAACGTATTCCATAGTTCCTTTACCTATCGCGTGCGTTTTTCGATATTCCTTAATATATCTTGCAGGATTTGAAAAATGCTTGAATTGTTCAGCTGCTGCATCCACATTCTTTGACTTATGTGGTATTTTATTGGCCATTTTATCGTGCTGTGACCATTTCGATTTTGAATATTTGTCCATTTCCTTTGTAATTTCAATAGGTGGTAGATGCCATCCACATAAACGGTTCTTGCTATCCATTTTCAGCACTCGGCAAATCTTAAACATGGATTCTCTGCGAAATTCCTATTGTTCCTTCCAACCGATTTTGTACTCTGTTGCGTCTGTTTTTTCTCAAACATTCCATAAACGCTAATTTTCATTGCCTTCCAAGTACTCTGTATGCACTCTTTGGAGGGAATTTGAAGTGAATTAGGTCAATTCTCGATGTAAGTTTTTTGTTATTGTTTGAATTTGCGAAGCCTGTCATGTTTGGGTCTGTTAAACAAACCTAAAACGGTGTATCAGAACTTTCCCTTGCGGTCAATATGACATGATACGTAATTTGATATTATCCTTTTTTGACATTCTACCAGCTGTCAAGTTTCGTGTTTTGAGCTTTTGCTGCCACTCGTAACTACGTGTGGAATGAATACAAAGTAATCAAATGTAAATTAATACCTACCATTAACTGCTCGTTTGAATAAATTATATTTTCATTTATTCATTTATCAATTTCACGGTTTTACCCTGTTTTACCAACAATATTGTAAAGTAGGGTATCACAAAACTATTAGCTTCATCACCGCAAACATATATTATATGTTGTTTGCGGCTTTGCGCAACGTATGGATGATGTTTTTTTTGTCACAGAAATGATTTCACATTTGATATTTCTGTACGTTGTAGACATTTATCCCCTATGGATCTCACTTAACAATGACGGTTTTATACATCAATGCCAATTTAACATGAGGAAACCTTCGAAGTTTCAGAATGCTTTCGAGATAGATTTTCATTTTAATATAATACATGTTATTCAGATGGGGTCATGATCCAAATGGCGAAACAACTCAGCGAGAATATGCGACGTGCAATATTACAGACGAGTGACATCACAATATACACAAGATCAGTGAACTCAGACAACCCTGGATCAATGTGTTAGAGTTAAAGTGGGTTTCCAAAAGAGGTCATAAAAGACAAAGGTAAGAAATATTGATACTTATTGTAAGGAGAGGCTGGAGATGGTTGAGTGTTTCATCCACTCAAAAATTCAAACTGCTCGAAAATAATAGTGATTTTTCATTATTTTTTCCCGTTCCATTTGAGCGATTTTTCATTTATTTGGTTCCACGCGCAGTAATTGCTTTGCGCATGCGCAGATCCTATCTCATAAAGTATTGTAGTTACGGCGGTGATCTTTAGATGCCCAGTAAACACGTACATTCAATGATTTATAGCATTATTAGTCCTATTGAAAGTGTCGTTATTTGTTTGAAATAGAACTATGTCACACGTTAGATACATAAATTTAACATTCATGCCGCTTATATAAACTGTCGTTAGTTGTTTGAAATAGAATTTTCATTGTGGTACACTTTTCTTTCTTAAATTGTACATTATTCTTTCGGAATGTCTCCCAAAAGAGTAATCCATATGACGCATTATGACGTTTTCTTTCCTAGTTATACCTAGAAAAAGACTTCCCACCTAAAACATTTTCTTGCCTACCATATGTTACTTATTCTTGCTCATTACTTATGTAGCTGTTACCGATTTATTATTGAATGTCAGTTACGATAAACTGCAAAAAATGTGTTGCAATAAGGCAATAACCAATTAGCTGTAATGGTAAATCCAATGAAGACCGTAATAAGAACATTGTATTACAGTTATGACGACAACCCAACTGTTCCCATAACAACAACGCTTTTCAATATGGCGGTTTATTGAAACATTTTACAGTGCAACGACAACGACAGTCGACAAAGTGCTGAAATGTCAACGGAAAACGTGGCTGAAGTTGGTGAAAAAGAAGATTTGGAATCGATAAATCCATTCTCCATTACAAGCAAAAGTTTTGACCGTGACGTATCCAACGATGAACCTGAAAACACTGAGGATTTTTACGATTCCGAATCATACAAAGGAAACACTGCTCTTGTGAGTTTAATATTTAGAAGATACGAAAAAAGCCAGGAAAGTCTAAATTATTTAAATGAAAAGTATCAGATCTTTCTTTTTGTTTTGATGCGTGTTCATTTCCACAAAAGAATTGCATCAATAAATTTTAAAGTGGATAAAATGAACCGTATAAACGCTGTGTTGATTCAGTTATATATGCGCCTATGCTACCCAGTTATCTTACTTTTAACACCAGAATATTCGTGTTGAAAGACTCAAATTCGCTGTTGTTTTTGTCAAATATTTTCAATTATTATTTTCATTGTTATAAAACGATACAAATTATGAACATTATCAAATTCTCGTCTTAAGTATAGTTTATATTTTGTACCGAACTTCAGTCGCGTGATAATACTGCAATAATTGTGAAATCAAAAACCTTAATTTGTTTCACTTCATGTCTTGTGTGCGAGATTTTCTCCGTTGAAAAAATTGTGTTATCATGAGTTGATTTTCCCGATTTTCTAGAATCTTGTCTGGTCATTTGGTATCAACAGGAACATGCCTGTTCACAATATTTCAGATGTAACAAGACAAGTAAGTAATCAGAAGTCAGAATACAACTCTCATTTTACTTAATTCCATTACTAAGCATTGAAAAACCGTGAAGGAGAATGTGGCTTGAACAGAGTGATTTTATGGGAGACTGTGGAGGAGACTGTAGGATGGACTTTAGAAGTGATTGTATGGTGCACTGTAGAGGAGTTAGCAGGAAAGACTGTACATGAGCTTATAGGGTAGAAGGAGTTCATAGGCTGGAGAAGAGAATATAGAACCATCTTTGGACAATATCACTGAGCAGAATTTGCTGAAGTCTGCAAAGGTGACTATCAAGAAAGCGAACTTTTAAGCATACTCTAGAGGAAACTACAAACTGTTGACCTGACTAAAGCAGACTGTACATCAGACATCAGTACAAACTGTTGACCTGACTAAAACAGACTGTACATCAGACGTCAGTACAAACTGTTGACCTGACTAAAACAGACTGTACATCAGACATCAGTACAAACTGTTGACCTGACTAAAGCAGACTGTACATCACCTGACTAAAGCAGACTGTACATCAGACATCAGTACAAACTGTTGACCTCACTAAAGCAGACTGTACATCGGACATCAGTACAAACTGTTGACCTGACTAAAGCAGACTGTACATCAGACATCAGTACAAACTGTTGACCTCACTAAAGCAGACTGTACATCGGACATCAGTACAAACTGTTGACCTCACTAAAGCAGACTGCTCATCAGACATCAGTACAAACTGTTGACCAAACAAAGGCAGACTATACATCAGACATTAGTGCAAACTGTTGACCTGACTAAAGCAGACTGTACATCACACATCAGTACAAACCGTCGACCTGACTAAAGCAGACTGTAGTGCGGACTGTTTGAGAGACATTGGAAAGTAAATATTAGTACAGAGAGATTTGACAGAAAATTATGAAACAGATTCAATGGCAGATTTAAATGAACAGTAGATGAAATTGTGATGTTGACAACGTTGTTCTTTCATGTACTTCTGCAACAGCAGCAATAACCTTGTTTACGATAAATTCCTTATTCATATGAAGTTTATATCATTTCAGGCGATTTTCTACGTGACCGCTCACACCGGTGTGTTGTATGACTGCGTCACAAATAGACAGAAATTACTTCAAGGACATGTAAGAATCACAATTCATTTTAACTTTACGTCTTACAAACGAGCCTTTGAAATGGTCTGTTTAAGTCATCCAGCATTTTGGATTTATTTTTCTCGGTTCTGAATGTGATCACAAATTGAAAGTTGGTTTTTGCATCTTGTCGTATTTTATATTTTATCGTATTCACATTTTACAAGTTGCTAAGACCTTCAATTGGATTCAATAGTGTGTTTGTCCTTCATTCCTCCTTTAACCCTCCTTTATCCCTCCTTTATCCCTTCTTTATCTCTTCTTTATCCCTTCTTTATCCCTCATTTTTCCATTGTTTTCACTGTGTGTGAGAGGCAAGATTTAAAAGCAACATTTCGACTTCATTTCCAAGCGATCATCAAGCCATCGTCAATAAAACTCGAATCTTGAGTTTACAAGATGATCTTTTTTCGAGTATGTTTTATCTTATAGCTAATATCCATCTATCTATCACTTCTTGATTTTGACAGTGTAATGATATATCCTGTACTTGCATCAGTATGAACAAGAGATGGTTGACGACGGCCGATATGGGAGATAATTCAATGATTATCGTTTGGGACTCTTATTCAAGGTATTGTTGATAGAGGATTAAATAAATCCAGCTGGTTTAAATGTTTTATGTTTCGTATGTGGTGATTCATGCACTCGATATGGTAGTACACTTATAAGCTAGTGTTTGCTTTTGTAAACATTTTTTCCAAAGTAATGAACCCTGGAGTATCGTTGCATGTCTAGGATAGTGCAATCCTGGGGTCGGTTGCACGAAGCCTGGATAGCGTTATCCATTGGATGGCAAAAATATTCAAATTTAAAAAAGAGTGTTCATATTTTTCTCACGACAAAGAAGTTTCGTAATCTTCGAAACAATATTTTAATTCAGTAATTGCTCATTTAGAGTCTTATGTTTTTTGCGTTCTAAAGGTTTTATAAGATCTAAATAAAATTGCTATCCCATGGCTAACGCTATCCAGGCTCCGTACAACCGGTCCCTGAGAAGGACTGTTGGTGTTAGTGTTAAATGACGTTTCGACATCCTTAGCTGTGGTCATCTTCAGAGTCAAGTGAGGAGTAAGCGTCAGGTTCAGGCGCTAGGCAAATGTCGTTTTAGGACTGCACTAACAAGTGCAATCTACATCTACAAACGTATTTATTCCTATGAACAGTGTACGAAAGCTACTGTTTTTTTGATAAACAATGGTCTCGTAAGGATAAAAACTACTCAACGTCGGAAATTAATGTGATTTTTTCAATTAATGCTTGCTTGCTTGTTGTTCGTGTATTTGTTCGTTAGAAAATTGATAATACTCACCCAGTTAAGAAAATATGTGACACCTAGCTTCTTGCTGCCAGACATCGTTTATAAGATGTCTTATCGTGAGTGATGATTTTACGAGCCTTTGAATGGCATCTTTGTTGTTAAGTTTCTCAAAAACTTAGTGAACATGCGGCTTTAAAACTATTTTCAAACATTTTTATGACTCATTCGAATTTGTCAACAAAGCTGTTGTTCAATTGGCACTATGATTCTTAAGTATTGCCGATTTCTTTCAGCATTCCCGTACAAACCATATTTGATCCTCATCCTCATGGCTGTGTAGCTATATGCATGACCCCTGACGCAAAGTATCTAGCTTCGTTGAGCAACTCAGTTCCACAGGTACTATGTATTTGTTTTGTCGGCAATGCTATGGGTTCTTTGCCACAGAGGAGGGGAGGTAGGGCGAAACTTCCTTACTCTTACATACTCTTTTTTGGATTGTTTCTAACTTTGAGGCGGGTTGAAAATCCGCTCGGAAAATGCGGATTGAACTTTTCAACAGACCAACTTAAAAAAAATGAACTTGTATTGTTTTCTAACATCAATGTTTTTTTATGTTTGCAATCAGTTATGAAAGTTGGAAAATTAAATTCGATATTTTTTATTTCGTCTAAGGTTATTTCAATTTGGGATTGGACTAATGAATGTCAAACTCCAGTTTGTTCTTTGACACTCAGCGAGGAATATGAAATGCAGGTGATGATTGGAGCTGTCTCGTTGAAAAGAAAACTTGTGTAATAGATAAATGTATTGGACAGACATGACAAGGAAGGAGGATAAATACATTAAAAAGAAAAACGAGAACGGTGAAAAGTCCATTGACTGTATAAAATGTTAGATAAGATAACGTATGTTAGTGTGTGTAGTGATGAATGAACAACAGAGAACGAGAACAGTCCTTAAACTACCTAAAATATAAACTAAGATAACGTGTGTCAGTGTGTGTAGTGATGAATGAACAACAGAGAACAAGAACAGTCTTTACACTACCTAAAATATAAACTAAGATAACGTGTGTAAGTGTGGGTGGTGATGGATGAATAACAGAAAACGAGAACAGTCCCTATACTACCTAAACTATAAACTTAGATAACTTGTGTAAGTGTAGGTAGTGATGAATGAACAACAATGAACGAGAACAGTCCTTACATTATCTAAAATGAACAACAGAGAAGACAAAAGAGAACCGCAACAACTTTTACACTATCTGAAACATAAATAATGTTAACTTGTGCCAGTGTAGGTGTTGGTAAATGAAAGAGGAAAAGGATAATAGAAAGTCGTCTGTAAAATGATTTAAAACGTTTTCTAGAATTATTTGGATTTCAGTTCCGAGGACAATCACCAACTTGTGAGCAACAACCAAGAAAGAACTATTTTTTATTTCTGGGTAAGCTTAACAAACAAATTCTTAATTTATTTTTTTTTGATTATGTGCATTATACATGGTTTAAACGAATTCTCGACATTGTGTTTCTGTTTGACCATAAGTGAACCCAATTGCTAGTTGCCAGTCTTCTAGTGCTATTGATTGTTTATTTTCCTAGGATGAAAAGGGTATTCATCATAGCGCTCCATATTTGACAGATGATGTGAGTGTGGCCACTGATCTTTGTATAGTTTACTGAGTAAAGCACGGAGCCTGGGAATTGCTACGTAAAATTCCTCTTCGTGTTTTGTGTTAAATGCGTTTGATTCGTATAAATTTCGAGGTTTGAACTCGTGCGTTTCTCGAATAACTTGCAACGTTTGAAACGGCCGAAATTAATAATTGAAACGATTGGTTAGAAGTATATGTTGTTGCGAGAAAATACGAAATTCTTCATCTGTTGTCTTAGGATTTCAACAAAGTCGTTGGCATGTTTAGTCAGTCCGTATTTCAAACGAAATCCACGATTGTTCTCACTGCGACGACTGTGGGTAACATCGTAGTTTGGGATGTAGTGCCCGGAACAGATTTCCCTTGTGACAAGAAGGCATTAAAAATAGTCCGCCTTCAGGAAAAAGGAATCAGCGTTCTGAATACGGTAGACAGGTAATTTAGCAATGCGTGCAACTGTGGACATTTATAAGCGCGATTTTGATGTTTGAGTGTGTTGTATTGATTTTATTTTTTCTGTTTAGTTTCATTGTAACCGGGGATGTTGTTGGCCATGTAAAATTCTTGGATTCTAAGCTTCGTTTAGTGCACTGGTAAGATCATCGTTTTGTGCTTTTCGCCTATTAAAAGCATGAATTTTCTATAGATTTTTTCTTCACGGTTATAAGTGCAACGATATTCGTTTTAGGTGCAACAAACTTGGTGGAGGTCCCATTGCATCTCTTTCCTTCTCTTATCAACCGATGGAAAAAGATCTGTAAGAGTTGTAATGTCATATTTTTGAACAGATTACATTTTAGCGGATACCCATCGAAGTATGTACCAATGAGTGTTCCTCAAAGAAGAAACATAGAAATTATTTAAAAGTTGTTAAAGCGTGTGATTGAATACAAGGGAGTTCCATTTGTATAAAGCATTGTGTAATCACACACGTTGACAGCTGTACAGCATGTATAAAAAAAAGAAGACGTATAGTGAGATTTCAATGCCTTATCACTATGCTAATCCTACTAGTGCGTTACTGTGTATGTTTTCATGTTAGATATTCTTTTAAATTCCTATATGCAGAAAAGCTTTTGTGCTCGCGAGTAGTAACAAAGATGTGTAATACATAGCTACGCATATAGCTGACAAAAATTCCCATATGCAAAAAAGCTTTTGTGCTCGCGAGTAGTATAATGGACTCCGTCGATTTCGACATATGAGGGTTCCACGAAGTGGTTCCACGAAGTGGAACATCCTGGTTACTTAAATTATAGTGAAGGCAGTTGACCCGACTACAATCACTCGTACCTTTCACGCAACTACAACGCTGATATCAGCGTGACACATTTGTGACAAGGCTGCAACATTGCAGATGCAGATACAGTCCATCCGAGGACATAGTTTCCTCTACCAAATTTCCCTCACATGGCTTTGGTCAACCCGGGCTAGGTTTACAGACACATTGCCAGATGTGCCACGAGCCGGGATTGAACCCACGCCGTCTGGCTTGCAACTCACGCAATTAACCATTCAGCCACCCGCCCCGTCCCAGTAGTAACAAAGATGTGTAATACATAGCTACGCATATAGCTGACAAAAATTCCCATATGCAAAAAAGCTTTTGTGCTCGCGAGTAGTAACAAAGATGTGTAATACATAGCTACGCATATAGCTGACAAAAATTCCCATATGCAAAAAAGCTTTTGTGCTCGTGAGTAGTAACAAAGATGTGTAATATAGCTACGCATATAGCGGACAAAATTCCCATATGCAGAAAAGCTTTTGTGCTCGCGAGTAGTAACAAAGATGTGTAATACATAGCTACGCATATAGCTGACAAAAATTCCCATATGCAAAAAAGCTTTTGTGCTCGTGAGTAGTAACAAAGATGTGTAATACATAGCTACGCATATAGCTGACAAAAATTCCCATATGCAAAAAGCTTTTGTGCTCGTGAGTAGTAACAAAGATGTGTAATACATAGCTACGCATATAGCTGACAAAAATTCCCATATGCAGAAAAGCTTTTGTGCTCGCGAGTAGTAACAAAGATGTGTAATACATAGCTACGCATATAGCTGACAATATACTTTATGCACCCGTGGAATTAGCAGTGTGGTACGCATTGAAATTATTACAATATTATCATTGAAATTATCGATTTCTGAAGGTCTTCATCATTTCGTACACCCTTCATATGAATAATGAGATAATCTTTTAGCGTCAGTGTTAGAGGATAACGTGTAAATGTAAGCTTATCACTTTCCTAAATTGCTCTTAGACACGCTTCATTACAAGCAATGGAATTTTATGAAAACACGTTATGTTTGACAATCAACGGCAGAAACTTAAATGGTTGAACTAAAACTATATGTTACCACCGAAAACCAACGGCCAAATGAAAACCAAATGTAAATATTAACCAATATTCGTTAACATTTAGATCGATCATTCCAAAGCATCCACGTTCAGCGACACTCGATGGCAGCCCATTTGTCGTCAACGATTTTGTTTTCTCTACCGAGACTGCAAACGTCGGGTTTTACGATACACGGAAAAACACAAACACGGTAATGAAATTTTGAATGATGAAATATAGTTACATTGTCCATGCAGACAGTAGTTGTGTTGTATACATTGAAGATGGATCCTAAGATTTGACGTACTTTTGCCAGGAACTGGTGCAGGGAGAACTTGTAAAGTTTTTCGTGAGCCCTTCTCATGATCGAGAAAGCAATTATGGAATACCCTGTCCCATACGTGTACTACCAGCAAGCCTGACCCCCAACCCTTATCTCACCCTAGTCTTATTGTACTTTGCAGACTTTGTGGGCAGGGTATTCTATAATTGTACCTGATCGAGAAAAGACGGCCTTGAATGAAAATACGCAAAGATTGCATCTTTTCATTTTACGTTCATTTACGCGAATCAAGACTTCTGCCTTCGTAGTGCATGAATCACCAGAGTTTTTCTTTTTGTTTTATAGTTTATATTGAATGAACACGATGCACCAATCCATGCTGTTGCAACACATCCAAAAGAGTATGTACTATTGGAACTATGATATATTTAGCAATGAGTGATTCAGGGAAGGGGTACGGAGAGGTGCGCACCCCTACTAGTCTCAGTCACAGAAGGTATAGGAAGGTGCAAATTTACCCACGAAATACTAATACACCAAACCAAAGCAATTGCGATTAGTTTGTAATACGAACTTCCTAAAATCTCCCATATCATAGTAAAAAGGTAAAATAATTTAACATAGATTTGGTTCAACGAAATGATTAATTTTTTTCTTTGGTGCCATTGTATTTTGCTTATTATCGAATTTTGTCATTATTTGTTTGAAATGATGAAAGGCCATTGTTTCTTGTGTATTCATGTCGAGACGTGTATGTTGCTAACTTAACGAGTTCCTTACTTCTGTACAGATCAAAGATTTCCATTGGAGGCTATTCTGGACTACTTCAAGTTTGGGATTATAGTAAAAAGTAAGTTGGTTGAATGTGTTAATCCTATTTCTTTTCACCATTTCGCTTTTTTGTAAGACGTTTTTGTTGTTTTTGTGGTCGTAAGAGAAACTAGTAGCTATATTTCCAGCAAATTTATTGCTGAAAATGTTTCGAACATCAAACGATGTTAAATGAAGTATTTCTAAATTTGTTCCCTGTTGAGAAATTTCGTGAGCGACCAAAAATATGATGCACTTAAGTAAAAGTTATATAAAGATTTCAAATTAATGTGGTTTTTATGTATGCAAGACAATGTTTTTTTTATCGAAAGATAATGGCTTTTGTCTGTTTTGAAAAAAATAACCCTTTCATTAGATTAATTAATAAAAGGAGGACTCGACTTGTAGGTTGTATATTTATATTACAATAATAAAAATGATATTTTTCAGAGAACTTGTTGCTTCTCGATCGTTTGAATCAAAAGTTGTTATCCAATGTCTTAAATTCAATCCTCAAGGAAATCTACTCGGTGAGAATTTCTATGTTTTAGACTTACCACGTACTATAAATTGGGTAATTAGCTGTTAAATACACTAAGGTATAGGCAAAGTCTTGGTTCTATATAGTAATGAAGGAAGGTAGAGCCTAGAACATACTATACCTCTTGTGAATGTGTCGTCATGTTACTTACATTTTTCCCTTATTCATATATATTTTCAATTGTGGGATTTTAGCAGCCTAAATCTACTGTATTGCCCACTGGTGTGTTCTGTTTTTATTGCAGAAGTCAATTGACTCATCAAAATGATTCTATACGTGAATGCTCAATATATGATGTTCAATAAAAATTTTTGACTGTTTATAAAATTTTATTGATTCTTTTCTCTTTGTCTCAAAACTCCCAAAAAGGACTTAGGCATTAAAGTTCGTAACGTGACGATGTGCTTATGCAAGTTTGTGACATATGAAAAATAAAGAACGGGAAAGGTCTTTGCATTACCAACGATGTTAAACAAAATACATAACCTGTGTCTGTTTAGGTGATGATAAATAAGGAATATATGTAGAATGAAAACAGCTGTCTCATAACATAAGATGCAAGCGATTTTTTATTTATTTCAGCTTTGGGATGCCAAGATGGTAGTTTACTTATTCTCGATTCTTCCACGTTGCTTGAAGAGGGAGAAGAAGATGGTGTTGCCTTTTTTGAACATTGCCATGATTCCATCACTCATTTAGAGTTCTCACACGACTCCAAGTACCTCGCTTCAGCGGTAGGCTTATGTTATTGTTCCTTCCATCTCTCACATTTATAGTTCTCACACGATTCCTAGTACCTCGCTTCAGCTGTAGACTTATGTTGTTCTTCTTTCCATCACTCACATTTATAGTTCTCACACGACTCCAAGTACCTCGCTTCAGCTGTAGGCTTATGTTGTTCTTCTTTCCATCACTCACATTTATAGTTCTCACACGATTCCTAGTACCTCGCTTCACTGTTCTTTCCATCACTCATTTATAGTTTCACACAACTCCAAATACCTCGCTTCCTTCTTTGTTCTTCTTTCCATTCTTCTCACTCCCTCCATTTAGCTTGGATTCTTTCCATTCTTTATAGTTTTATTCTTTCCATTCCTTCCTTCTTCCTCCATTCTTCCTTCTCACTTCCTTCTTTATATTTATTTGTTCCTCTTCCATTTACTGTTCTCCACATTCTTAGTACCTCGCTTCAGCTGTAGGCTTATGTTGTTGTTCTTTCCATCACTTTATTTACACGATTCAGTTCTTCAGCTGTGTTGTTGTTCTTTCCATCCATTTATAGTTCTCATTTCCTAGTTCCATTGCTGTTCTCCATTCCTCTTCCTTCCTTCCATTTATGTTCTCATTCCATTCCTTCTCCTTCTTCTTCCACTTCATTATGTTGTTCTTTCCATCACTCCATTCTTCGATTCAGTACCTCGCTTCCTGTAGACTTTGTTGTTGCTTTTTTATCTATTGTTTTTCCTCCTTCTTTAGAGTTCTCCACACGATTCCTCCTAACCTCGCTTCAGCTGTAGGCTTATGTTGTTCTTCTTTCCATCACTCACATTTATAGTTCTCACACGATTCCTAGTACCTCGCTTCAGCTGTAGACTTATGTTGTTGTTCTTTCCATCACTCACATTTATAGTTCTTTGTTCTCACACGATTCGAAGCTACTTCCTTTTGTGGAAACACATCATTATTGTGCATTTTAGAAGTTAAGAACGTTTGCACTTCGAGACTTTCTTCGATGATTTGAATGATTAATAAAACAAGTACTTTGTAAATGTGCGCACTAAAAATAACATGTAATAATTTATGTTTACCGCGATGTAATTGTAACTCTCTGTCGTTGATAACATAGGATCTCGATAAATGCGTTACTCTATTCAAAGCCACGACTGGAAACTTCAAAGAACCGTGGTTGTATCTCGGAAAACAGCGCGCTCACTATAAGCGAATCACCGATATAGTATTTGGTGTTGCACTTGATTCCGATGTTCCACGACTTTTGTCACTCGGAGAGGATCGTTTGATGGTAGGTAATGTAGGATTAAGTTTTGATAGCGTTTTTTTTCATTATTATTTCAGAACAGAAACTTTGACGTGGTGACAAATAGAATATTGCCTTTGAAAAGCTTGTTTTCCATAGTGAATGACAATTGTAGCCTGAAGAGAAAGTATTTTTAAAACTTAACAGTTTTTCCCAAAAATTGTTCGTGGCAAAAGTTGCTCGTCAATGTGGAAAATAAGCGCTATAAATTATTTCTTCAGGGATTGAAACATTTTTAAAAAGTGCCATTATAGAATGAACAATAACGTAAACAAGCTTTTTAAACAGTTGAAAATTCTAAGTTAGATTCACGTGACGTTTAAATGGTTCAATCACATCATTTCCGTTAGGTTGAATATGATGTCATCGACAGTGCCATCGATGACGTCAGATTAATCAGTTCAGATCGAATTGAACAAAGTGCTGTCCCGACTTGCCTTGCGTGGTATCCGCCCGTTGTGAAAGAGTCATTCTTACTTGTTGGAAATGATCAGGTGACTTGAACTCGACTCCTCATTTGCTACAGTGCAGCGTCTTCTTACAGTCATACAGTCTTCACACAAGCCATGTTGTGTCTTTAAGTTTTCAAGTTTGGTTTCCTTCTTAAGAGCACAATTATACAATGAGTTCATATCGTGATCATTCAACTGAATATGTTGTCTTTATCGCATTCTAGTTCAAGTTAAAACTCTACAACTCCACGACAAAGATGTGTCGAAAAACATTACTGGGTCCAACATATGGCTCGCCTATAAGAAAGTACGTTGCCGTCTGCAGAAACCATTTATTGATGTCCTTAACATGTTGTCTATTATGTCGTTTTTTGTGAATTTTAGAGTTGGGGTTTTACTGTGTTGCGCGTAGCTTATAGATTTTTTCTACTTTTGCTTGCAGTTTTTGAGGTTTTTTTGTCTGTATTACATTAATAGAGTGGTGATGCTACCAAATAGTGGAATAAATGATCGACATTACATGGGATATATTACCGAAAACAAGGTACTGTCTTTAAAACACATTTCTCTTTAAGAATACGTTCTGTTTTGAACTTTTCGACAAATTTTATCAAGATTGAGAAGTGTTGAACACTAACATCATCGTCGAAGAATTCAATTGGTCAGACTTTGCGTGTTTTTACTCATAGGTTGGTTTGCAAATTCTTCCTCTGGATGGTAATCCACACAGGGCAATGGCTCTGATAGCCCATCCAAGTCAGGTAATGTGTCAACTGCCTAAATACGGAGTGATGGAGAAATGGAATCATCTTTCATCTGATAATCAATGTCTTCTGCAGATCTTGTTTTTGCCTTTTGTATTTATTGAAGTCTTGTTTTGTTTCGAAATTGATGCAAGGCGTCTGTTTTGTTTTAGGTTTCCAACGTGGTTTCGTCATTTGACGGTCAATACCTTTTCACTGCTGGTGGAACTGATGCGTCAGTCAACATGTGGAAAGTGAATGCCGAGTATGATTCAATTCTTTCTCTTTCTTTTTTGCAAAATCTGAATGTGTTGTTTCGTTGGCAATTTAATGTTTTTCGACAAGCCGTTATGATTGTAAACAAAGTTGTTTTTTAATCACACGGACTACCACATAGCAAAAATACAAAATACTTTCGCTGCATCGTAAATTTTTCTTTCTTTCAAAATAATCCCGCTCTTACCTTTGCTGCGGTGTTTCCTGTCTCTATCTCTACTAATTTCACTTTTAGCCTTTCTAATTCGTCCATATCATTTATTTCAGCGGTCTAGAGGCTTCCTCACAACTTGGGGGCACGGATCTTGAACCTTTCTACGAATTATTGGATGGTGGTCATGACGGTCTGTTGTTCTCAGAACTCGAGGACTTCTTCTATTTTGCACTGCTGCGAAGTCAGGACGTGGACACGATGGACACACGCAAAACGTCCACGCGCGTACCTTTGTCCCAGGTTCCTTTCCTGATGCGCGCACTTGGATACTATCCAACCGAACAGGAAATCGAGGACATCATAAACGAAGTAAAATTTAGTGAATACGTTGACACTGGAAAGTATGTTGAAGACATCGACCTTGGCGGTTTTATCAAACGTAAGCCACGATTTTTAAATTTGATGACGTCCGTGTTGAACGCGAAAATTCGTTGTCGTTCAAGTAACGTTTCTCGTGTTGTGTTTCAGTGTACGTGAATCATCGTCCCGTGTTTGGATTATCATCGCTAGAACTAAAAGATGCTTTGCAAACACTGGGACAGAAAACTAAAGACGGAAGCGTTGTGATGAATAGAGACAGGCTTCTGTCCATTTTGCAAAATAAAGGTTTGTTTTCACTTGATTAAATCGCAAAAACTTGGTCTTGCAAGTCTTGGAAAACAAAATACGCTCATTCTTCCCTCGAACATCTTGCAATTACAACCCTTGGACAAGTTTCTAATTGTTGTTTAATTATCATCGATTTTAATAATTTCTTCTAACTATTCTTATTTACAGGAGAACATTTGACCGAAGGTGAACTGTCGCAATTAATGACCACGCTCGTAGAAATGCATGACATGGATGACAGCTCCGAGCTAAGTGAATCTTGCAAGGAAATGTCACTCGTTTCAATGAAAACTTACTTACCGGAGCAAATCTCTTCCGATGTGTTTGTGGAGAAAATTTTGGGTTTCGGCGCCCTGGAAAGCAAAGAAGATCGGTAGCTTTCGCACAATATCTTTTGCACTGTCGAATGCATTTTAAATGGGAAGTGTTTGTTTCCATTACAAGCTGTTTGGTTTATAAACAAATTTTAGATAATACGTTTTTCATTATCTTTGTTTGATGGAAAACGTTTTTTTTATAGTTGTAAGTTATAAATTATTTATACTCCAAATATGGTTGCTGCAATTTCACACATGAATTACTAACATATCGATCAACATAATCATTGAACTTCTATTCCAATTGAATTTTTGGATCTTCTCTGCTCCTTTGACATTTTTTCAACTGTTGTTTTACCATGTTTTGTCTGCCTTTTTACTCTTTTATTCCTCCCTTTCATGAATATTTATCTATAGTTTCCCAAATCCCTTTCCTTTTATCTTTTTTTCCACCTTCCTTCGTCTTCATTAGTTCTTTTTGTATCCCATCATTCTTAGCTTCTCTACATATCCCATCATTCATGGCTTCACCGCTCACCCCTTTGCAGTGTTGCCGACAGTACGATCCAATGATATTTCTGCTTCGCGATCACCTCGATTCATCAGTTCTTTCGCTTTGGTCTATCCAAAAATAATTTGTCTCGTATTTGATTGTTTCTCTTTTCCTACCGTTTGTTTTCATTATCTTGTGTTCCCTTTCACTCCTGAAAATAATTTGAGGTCCTTTTCTCAACGTGCAATACAATTTTCCAGAGAATTTTCTGCTGCATTCCATGCTTTTCGTTTTTCTCGGTTTCCTCTTTGTTTTTTCAATTTCTTTTTCCTTTGAGAATCTTTGCTTGAATATTTCATGTCAATGGTTTTGCTTAAATCCATGCTAAGTATAAGAAAGATTACTAAGGGCAAACTGGAAACGGCTAGCAGCCAACGCCATCCTAAACTTGGAATCAACACGATGGCAAGAACAACTTCTAGGATACCACCAATTGCCCAAAATCCCTATGGACATACACGTAAATAATGACAAAGAATTGGATCAGGGAACAGCCTGTGTTTCCTCTTTGTTTTTTCAATTTCGTTTTCCTTTGAGAATCTTTGCTTGAATATTTGATCTCAATGGTTTTTCTCACTCTCTCTTAAAAGTGCTAGTTTTACGTCGTTTTCTTTTTTCCTTTGCTCAATTTTCTTCTTTCAGTGTCTATTTGTTTCTTACCGAAAATGACTATCCTTCAACTTTTTATATCCTAAACTCTTAACTGCTATACATTGCCTTAATTAAATGTAGTTTTTCAACCATTCCTCAGTCTAAATTATTATATTTGCACAGCTTTTGAAGTTTAAAATGTCCGCATGAAACACTATACTTATAAGCAAGAAAACTTAAAGCTACACAGGACAAGCATTGTGTAAAGTATTGTGTTCAAAGGAACATAGAGAATTACAAAACACAATTGTTACATAAAAATATATGACAAGTAAGTTAGTCAAACGAGTTTTGTAATTCTTTGCATTTTGAAAATGCCAAAATTCTATATATAAAAAATTTCTACGTTTTTATGTCATCACAACGTACTATCTATAAAAATACGATATGCACCTGAGCCAGAGGTGTTTGGCCTAAATTTTAACAACGAGTGGCTCTCTAATATTTTTTACAACTTCGAATATTAGATAAAAAATTTTAAGAAGGGGGATAAGCCCGCTGAGTCCCCATTCAATACATCCTTGACCTGAAGTCGTGAAAAATTAGATACGTCGTTATATACGCAATTTTTCGATTGAGATTTTTTCTTTATGATGACTTCATGAATCAGCTTCGACTGGAAACGTACTTTAAGTGACGTTAGCTATTTTTTTCACTCGTTGCATGCCTGTTCATACGGTTACCTAGCTCCAAAAGGATGCAACAAATTGCATTGAGAGGTTTATGCGATCGAAAACTCTTCGGTGAACATTTTATAATGCAGCTGTTGTTACTCGGATGCATAGCTGGTTTCCTAGAAAAAAGAAAGCATTTCAATCAAGCGATTCGATGTTCGTGTTATAATGTACGAGAATTTTCTCGCAGTTTTACCTTCATTCCTTTCCCGCTGGTTTCAATGGGAAGTAAAGCCGCTGCCATGCAGCAAACGAAGGCGCAACCGGAGTAAACCAATAGCGTGAGCCGTAAAGATCTTTTAATCAATACCTGTTAAAGTAAAGGAATGTCGTCTGTATCTTTTCAGTTGCCTGTTTTCAAATTATGTCTTTAGTCAACTGATGAAATGAATTTCTTTTCTCGCAATCCAGACGGTTTGGCTCGTTTTGTGCGATGGTTCTTCAGAACCGGGACAAAGTTTTGTGCGATAGTTCTTCAGAACCGGGACAAAGTTTTGTGCGATGGTTCCTCAGAACCGGTACAAAGTTTTGTGCGATGGTTCTTCAGAACCGGTACAAAGTTTTGTGCGATGGTTCTTCAGAACCGGTACAAAGTTTTGTGCGATGGTTCTTCAGAACCGGGACAAAGTTTTGTGCGATGGTTCTTCAGAACCGGGACAAAGTTTTGTGCGATTGTTCTTCAGAACCGGGACAAAGTATTGCGACATATTCCACTTGTATAAATGTTACAAATACCTGAGCTAAGAATGGTGTCAGTATACATCCTATTCTTGCAACTGCTGAAGCACTGCCCAGTCCTAACCCGCGAATATTTGTCGAATAAACCTGTCAAGTTTTTACACTACAGTTAAGCGCATGTTTAATGTTTTGGTAGATTTAAATGTTTCAATAGTTCTACCTCAGGAATGTAGATGTAAAGAGCTTGTGTAACACCCGTCGCGAAGTAGCGAACACCAAAAATATATATAGTTGTCATCGTCCTAAACGATAAGTAAAAAGTTTGGTTGCGATAGGTTTGAAATATGGAAAGTAGGGGATTTTGAAATAGTTGTGAATGAGAAACATTCAAATGTCAACGGGTGAAGTTTTGATTGAGGAACAACTTTGGAAGAGAAAATGTGAGCACCGTGGAGATAAAAGAACGTGATTACATTTTGGAAAAGAGTACATGAATAGCCTAGGACAAAAAAAGATCATAAAGTAAACTAGGAAAAAAGAGAACTTTAATACTTCGAGAATATGAATACCTTGGAAACGAGAGATTATGAATACTTATGGAAAAAGAGGGCGTGAATATCTTAGCAAACAGAGAACATGAATATCTTCAGAAAGAGAGAACACGAATATCTTAGGAAACAAAGAACATGAATATCTTTGAAAAGAGAGAACATGAATATCTTAAGAAAGAGAGACATGAATATCTTAAAAAAGAGAGAACATGAATATCTTAGGAAAGAGAGAACATGAATATCTTAAGAAAGAGAGACATGAATATCTTAGAAAGGAGAGAACATGAATATCTTAGGAAAGAGAAAACATGAATATCTTAGGAAAGAGAAAACATGAATATCTTAGGAAAGATAAAACATGAATATCTTAGGAAAGAGAAAACATGAATATCTTAGGAAACAGAGAACATGAATACCTTAGAAAAGAGAGAACATGGATATCTTAGGAAACAAAGAACACGAATATCTTTAGAAAGATAGAACACGAATATCTTAGGAAAGAGAGAACATAAATATCTTAGGAAATAGAGAACATGAATATCTTAGGAATGATAGAACATGAATATCTTATGAAACAAAGAACATGAATATCTTAGGAAAGAGACCATTCAAAAACATTTTGAAACAGAAAAGAAGAATTTATTTACTCACTCTCCGTTACACAATGTCAATAATCCAAACAGAAGTGACGTTGCTCCGAATCCGATGACTAAAGTTTTAATTCGACCAATTCGATCAATAAATAACATAACGATTAAAAGACCTGTTGAATAGGAAAATTCTTTTGTTTTATCATCGTCGTCATTGTCTATACATGATATTGTTTCAAGCATCAAGACATGTAACAATATGAACTTTTCAAACAAGCAGGAGTTATCTCGAGAGATATGGCAATGTATATATACGTTGACTACATAAAACATGAAGTGTGGATACCTTTTACTCTTTTAGAATACGAATTTCGCCTAATTGCTGTTAGTAATAATGCGAAAAATTAATTGACGAAGTGTGAAATAGTGCAGTGTCCTAAACCTTACAACAAAATCTCTTTAATTGAAGGGATTGTTATCCGCGGTCGCTTGCAATGAGGAAGTTTTTTTCACTCACTGTGCTCGCTTGCTTTGTGAGAGATAAACTCTTGCTCGTCCTTGGAATGTCCTGTTTATGATTGTAAAATACCTGGTATGTCAGCAAACGATGTCAATAAAAGGGCGAAATAGTCTTCCTTTTCCAAAGATTTGCAGCCACAACCAATGAGATTGCTTGTATTATGATCGTTGAAGAACACCACTAATGTCATGAGAGTAAAACGTTACTTGTGTGTTGAGATAGATCATTTATATTTGTACAACACTTAAAGGGGCTTGTTGGTATTAGTGATGGTGTTTGTGTTTACTGACTTTTCGACATTCTCGGTAGTAATTATCTTGACTCTTGTCAGTCGACACCAACAGTCGTTCTTAGTACTAAACTAACCTGGACGATCTACATCTGCAAACATGTAACAAACTCTCAGGTTCAAACCATTTAGTTAATATATTGTTCGTGAAATATATATGAAGGCCGTATATCTTTGCAGCCAATAATTGTTGATAACCGGCATAACTCGTTCAATCGCTCTGCCACTCACTCAATCGCCCATGTTTCCATGTTTGTGACAAGCAGATTCCCTTTGCTTCTTGAGTTGTTTATTTACTATCGCCTGGTGTGCATAAGCCTTAAATTACTTGATGTAACTCTATCCTTCCCACCTTCGTCGCAATTTCTTGTTCTGCTGTATTGAAAGATCGTCGGTGTCATCAACAACACTCCGTAGTAAATAAGCAAACCTCCAAACCTTCAAAAAGAAACATCCGCTTTGATCAGAAAAGTTTTTCATTATCGTTGTCATAAGTGGTTTGATTGGAAGAAGTGGTTTTGAGTGTTTCCAGTTGTACAATGTCAGGAAGTATTTGAATGAAATTTTTTGCCGATACGCAAAGTCGTCCCATTCATTAGGAGCAAAGTACGACATGTAATAAGATTTTCTGAGCAATTACTCAGTTGCATAGTGTTTGCTACTATACTATTGCGGGTTAGCATTCATGTGTTTTCATGGGTCGATGATTGATGTTTTGTGATTCCTTCTATCGTTGCCAGCCAGAGAGCATATGAGAATTCAGCATAACCGCTGTATGTTGGTGATTGTGTAGCAACGCTTTGGATTATCTGAGATGGTGGTGATGTACGAGGAACAGGCTAAGTACATTTCAAGCTCATGACTTACATTTGTATCCAAACTAAAATGGTTGTTTTCCAGTAAGAATTTCTGAATAAATCAGCTACTCTTCCTCTATCTTTCATCTAAAAGGAATGTTAAAAAAATATCTAAGGTGTGCAGTTGCTTGAAAATACTCTGGTGGGATTACGCTGGCCTTCAACATGAATCGATATTTTACATCATTTCGTTACATACCGTATTTGTTTTAAGACAATATCCATTTTTTGGCAGCTCTTTTCCATTACATTGAGCCAATGACTGAAGCGTTTTGTAACCTTTGCTTATTTCTCCCACTCCAACATGGAAGCGCGGAGACTCGGGTAGACTCTGATTAAATCAAAATAGTTAATTACACTTGTGAAAGTAGTGTGTGCGATCATGGTATTGATTGTAGTGATGCATATGCTTCAACTGCACTATGCTTCAACTGTAGTATCTTACAGTCCCGGCATAGTGGTGTAGGAACAACGGAAACAGTCTCAACATACTGGCTTGAATTCAACTCACCATGCTAAGTATAAGAAAGATTACTAAGGGCAAACTGGAAACGGCTAGCAGCCAACGCCATCCTAAACTTGGAATCAACACGATGGCAAGAACAACTTCTAGGATACCACCAATTGCCCAAAATCCCTATGGACATACACGTAAATAATGACAAAGAATTGGATCAGGGAACAGCATGTGTTTCTCACAATTCAACTTTTCTACCCACATCGTGTTCTTATTATGCAAGCAGCATTACGATCTCATAGTTACACCATGCTCTGACCTAATGTGTATTGTTGTACTCGTCAAACTGTCAGAAGAAAACGCTGGGTATATGATTTTTCTTGCAAGTGCTATGTCCATATTCCTTATAACCTACCCCTAAAGAAAGAATTGTGACTGCTCTGTATCCTGCCGGAACAAACTCAGCATATAGTACGACTCTACACGAGAGAAATTTATATTAAATTTGTGTGGCGTTGTTGATGAATACGATTATGAATGCCAGTGTAATAGCTCATACTGTAAAAATTGATGCATTTTTTTACGTCATATTTTTACATATATAATATTCTAGGTAGGTCATAGATCAGTTTTTTTATGACAAACTAGAAGAAAAGGTGCTAATGTAAAGAACAAAGATGGACGTGAAAAAATTCTCCTCTATAAAGTTTTTAGCTTATTTAACATTTGTCTATCTACATCTTCGCAATTTATGGTAATGTCGAAAACTTAGTGATGATAGTTGAAGCTACTTCTTGACGGTAATTCAGAGTTTTGATCAACTAACAACTTCTCGTGGAATTCCTAGAATGACTAGCCTCTGACCTGAGTTTCGAACCTCTTGGTGCAGTTAAAACATGCTAATATTTTATGTACCATGTTAAATATGGATATGCGGGGATTTATTTATTGTTAACCTTAAAGGATAAAAGTTGTTGATGGGGAAAGATTTCAAGCAAGAAAGTGCCTTGCACATTTCCTTAGATATTTCTAGTTACAAACATTTACAATATCTACTTGAGTTTCTATCCATCAGGAATAGTTAATCAGACTAAGTCATCTGATTTTAACAACTCGTGAAAGAGAATCCACTAAATTTAGCATGGTACAAGCATCATTTTTTTTAGTTTGGTATTGCACAAACTAATACCAAAGTTTATATGATGTTCATACCAATAGCTTTAGTATTGCACATACCAGTTATTTTTCCAAAAGCTTTAGTCCGACTTATTTACTTACACTTGACCTATTCCGCTCACACCACATCCGACGAGAAAGCGCAGGAAAAGAATCCAGTTGTACGAGGGGGAGAAAGAACTCAATACTCCAAAATACATTATCCACGCTGAGCTCAATACAATTCCCTAAAATGTACGGAGTGATAAGTGGTTCCGCTAACTTCCATCGATTTATTTCGAGTGGACAAATTATTTGTGTTCAAAAATTATGGAAAAACAAGCTTAAACACATAAGAACTAATTCTAATGCCCCATTTAAGAAGATCTTAAATTGCTTGTATGCGTTTTCCGTGTTATTTGGAACCAAGGAGAGCACTTATTTGATCTACGCTTCATTCAGTCAATTCGTCAAATGCGATTCATTACATTGAACCAAGGAGAGCACTTATTTAGTCTACGCTTCATTCAGTCAATTCGTCAAATGCGATTCATTACATTGAACCAAGGAGAGCACATATTTAATCTACGCTTCATTAAGTCAATTCGTCAAATGCGATTCATTACGTTGAACCAAGGAGAGCACATATTTAATCTACGCTTCATTAAGTCAATTCGTCAAATGCGATGCATTACGTTGAACGAAGGAGAGCACTTATTTAGTCTACGCTTCATTAAGTCAATTCGTCAAATGCGATGCATTACATTGAACCAAGGAGAGCACTTATTTAGTCTACGCTTCATTCAGTCAATTCGTCAAATGCGATTCATTACGTTGAACCAAGGAGAGCACTTATTTAATCTACGCTTCATTCAGTCAATTCGTCAAATGCGATGCATTACGTTGAACCAAGGAGAGCACTTATTTAATCTACGCTTCATTCAGTCAATTCGTCAAATGCGATGCATTACGTTGAACCAAGGAGAGCACTTATTTAATCTACGCTTCATTCAATCAATTCGTCAAATGCGATGCATTACGTTGAACCAAGGAGAGCACTTATTTAATCTACGCTTCATTCAATCAATTCGTCAAATGCGATGCATTACGTTGATAATTGTGTGCATGTTCTGTTTTCTTTTGAATAACAGTGTTGTTTGTTGTAGGTTGTGCTGCAAAATAAATTCACTAAAATTGCTTTGTCGGTAGCAACTTTAAAAGTCAGTTGTTCATTTACTCACAAACTAACCAAGCATGTTTGACAACTTTTTTGAGTTTTTTACATCCGTTGCAGTCGTAGAATATAAAAATGCTGTTTTTTATTTACGGCAAAATTTTAAGTGGTGGTCCGTTTTACTTACTGATTTTCGTCCGTAAAGATCGCACATCTTTCCCCAGAGAGCTGAACTAACAAACATTCCAACAAACACAACCTGAAATAAGTATTTATTGGGAAATCAAACCATACCACAAATTGCCTCAAACCAATCTGAATGTTTAACCTGGGACTAGGCTCAAACGTTTTGAGATAATGTTTCTCCATACCGTAGATAGTAGAGCCTCCTCCCAGGCCTTCAAGAACCACTCACATCTTGAGACGGGTCCTAAGATTGCCAAAATCATCATTTCCATTGCATCTGCCATCTAGAAACATTGCCTAGACATCCTGAGAAGTTGCTCGTGTAGCTATGGTTGTTATGTAGCTATGGATATAAGCCTTGTTGTACGTGTAGCTATGGATGTTAACTTTGTTGTACGTGTACCTTTGGATGTTAGTCTTGTTGTACGTGTACCTTTGGATGTTAACTTTATTGTACGTGTAGCTATGGATGTTAAATTTGTTGTGCGTGTAGCTATGGATGTTAACTTTATTGTACGTGTACCTATGGATGTTAACTTTGTTGTACGTGTACTTTGGATGTTAACTTTATTGTACGTGTAGCTATGGATGTTAACTTTGTTTTACGTGTACCTTTGGATGTTAGCCTTGTTGTACGTGTAGCTATGGATGTTAACTTTGTTGTACGTTAGCTATGGATGTTAGCTATTGTACTTTGTTGTATAGCTATGGATGTTAACTTTGTTGTACGTGTAGCTATGGATGTTAACTTTGTTGTACGTGTAGCTATGGATGTTAACTTTGTTGTACGTGTAGCTATGGATGTTAACTTTGTTGTACGTGTAGCCATATAATGTTAACTTTGTTGTACGTGTAGCTATGGATGTTAACTTTGTTGTACGTGAATTTTTGTTCAGTGACAAATTATCTCATCTTCAATGCTATAAAACACAAAGCAAAAAGAGATCATTTCTTACCCAAGAAAAACCAGCGACAAAGAGGAGTAATATTTGAAATTTTCCAAAACCGACTTCTTCTACCACTTCCTCCACTGTGAACTCAATCATTTCTATAAAAGAGAGAAATTTAGCAAACACGATGTGCCTTCTTAGACGTCGTGAAAACGACGTAAATATTTCGTAATTTGCCAATGTGTGGATGAATCGTAGCCATCTTTACAAACCATTTACACCTTTATTTTTGCGTGGGTTATGATACAATCGGGTAAAATTGCTGCATAGTAATTACATTGTGGATGATAATTATGTAATGCACATTGGTATCGTTTTAGTTTTCATGTCAAGCAATCATTAAATAAAAATAGTCTTTCATATCCATGCTAATGTGCGGTTGTGAAAAATTCAAACGTTAATTTGTACTAACGATTTGTCTGTTGCAAGAGATAAGTTTAAGAATACGGCTTGAAGTACGGAAAGGGATGAAATCATTGCAAACCACGCACAAAAACTCCCACTCCTTTCTATAAGTCGAAGGTAGTGTTTGCTCGCATCCAAGAATGTATAGAAATAATCTTAAGTTCAGTGCCAATCATGAAGAAAGGATCGCAAACGTACCATGAAATTTTAGTTCTTTCCCATATCGGTGCTCACTTGACACATTCATGCCACCTTTCAAAAGTAGATTCCTTCTTGAATTGAACTCGTGGCATTTATTCTTTATCTTTTAATCAATCAATGCCATTCCATTTGATTTGGACTCATGTCGTGGCGGTCTTTAACAAAATTTATCGTGAATTATCATTAATGAAGTTTCATTGAATTTACAACTTGTATATAGTTTACTTCCTGCTCTCTTTGTCGTTTTTCATAAACGTACGACGGTCGAGGTATCGCAGAGAAATTCATTTTCTTCGACAAATATCATAAAGATTATTGACATTTCTCATTTAGTGCATCGCTGTAGCCAAAACACGAATGTGCAGGTTATTATTTAGTCATACTTGAACAAGCAACAGCAGGTTGTAAAACGAACTGTTTTTTTGGTTTTCACCAATTGACAATTTGGATTAAATTGAACAAGACTGGCAGGTTTTGCAATTTTAACATTTTTACTTTACTTCTTCAAAGCTCAAAGTGTACAGTTTTCATATAGCAATAGATGTACATGTAATGTTATATAATACGCTCATATGTATACTAATAAATACCACAAGATCATTAATGCGGTAACTGCCTCGTGAACTCAAAAGTAATCTATTTTCCGTTAAACTTGAAAAGAATTTCACCCAAATTGAGCGTTTGCAAAATCCAACGAGACCCAAGTCCCAAGCTTCTTTCGCATTCTCGAACACACTTTTCGAGATCATTTTAAATGACCTCTTCATAATGTCAAAGTTTACATTTGAAATCAATTTCATGCTAGTTAGTTTTAGTATGTGCATATAGTTCTTCAACACTATCATTCTTCATAACACATATTACAACAATATGCCAAAACCTTTCTCGTGAAAAAACACATTACAAGACAGCAAAGAAGGGCGAAGGAGGATGTGACAGCCAAAACGAATGCAGCGACACGTGTATTTTTTATCATCGATGAATCACTATCTTTCTGAGATTTCGAGCGCTCACGACATGCAATTTGCTTCCTAGTGGTCGCCACTGATCGACACTTAACATAAACATGAAAATCTTTCTTAATTATATCGCGTATTAAATTTGACGCGACTCCTAAATTGTTTTCATTCGCTTGAAATTCCGCCGTGTTATTCAAGCATAATACCGTCCCTTTTGAATGGTTGTCATTGAAGTACGATTCACTGCCGCTCTCGTGTTTTCCTTTCTTTTCGACATTTCTGCACCGCAATGTGAAATTTAGGCAGGAACTTTGGTTTCTTGTGCGCGAAAATTGATATCCATCAGTACATCTTACTTTAAATGAACCGTTAATCGCATGTATGGTACAATCGAAAGTAACACACACGTTCTTCTGTGGCGACGAAATGTCACTGTTTTCGTCTGGCATTGATAACATGGTTACTAATAGCACTATAGCAAAGCATACTATTGTCAACAGGAGCAGTATTCGGCATATCAACACCTTTCTGTTATTCGAAGTAACCTTTGCAGGTTTACGTGCGTCCATAATCAAAACATTCAATTTGCCGGAAGATTAATCGTCGTAGGTGTTCTACTGCGGAATGTACTATTCTCAGAATTATAATGGACTGTAAAATATTAATCAAATTGACATGCAACGTGCTTGCCATAATCTTATGTTTTTTCTTGTATACGTTTCGCTCGTGTGACATGCGTCGAGAAGTTAAGACGAGAATACGCTGAACTAGTAGTTTTGAGTTAGGACACATTTAAATTTATTGGGGCTGCAGAAAGACGTATAACATTGAACATAAGAACCAAATTCATGAGATTTGAGAGCAACATTCTTATCGCAGTACGTTTATTCAACATGATCAATGAGATTCAAACGGAAGCCAGGTTAAGTCGGCTGTTGGATTGCTCTTGATTTATAACATCGACGCGACGATAGATTTACAACTACGTAGGAGCTAAAAGTTCTACGGACCAAGGGATTACAAACTTGCTAAAAAACAAAATATCCCCCTCGGAGTTGGTTGAATCTGCACATGAACGCCATTCACAACAAGAGATTGTATTATGGGAAGTTATAACAGAAACAGCATGCTATAGAAATTATGACCAGTGATCATTTTGACCTGACCTGTCAAGAATAATCATATTTTGACAATGAAATCGGTGAAACAGCAAAATCTGAAGAAGATACTGAATGGTAGTAACATGTTAGGGAAAGCTAAAGTATTTGTGCATCTAAGCGAATTTCAAGAATTATTCTAAATTAGACTGAAATATGACTGAAACCATAAGCATTTACTTGTTAAATTTGTTGGGTGGTTATTGTGTAAAAAAATGAATGATCAGAGCTTGTCCTTCATAGAAATGACCGCCAGTAAATTGAAGAAGCTTGAAGCTACTGTTGTTGAAGAAATACGGGGCATGCGATGCTGACAAGATTTGGCTCATGGAACAAGCGTCCTTTAAACCTTAACTTGCCCAACATCCTAGGAATCTAAACGTAGAGAAGAACAAGCAACTTTTCATCACAATAACACGAACAGTATCTCGAATTTCTCGAATCAAACAACACGCTCTTTTGTGTCCGTTATTTCCACTAAGCGATTCAGAGAATGCCCGGACATTGGATTAACGAACGCCATAACACATGACACGAGATGAAAAGTGTGGTTCAAAATAAAAAAGGCAAGATAGCAGCACACATTTGTAGTGGAATCCACATAGCTACAATGCAACAGTTTGCTAATTTTTTAAATTCAACGAGCACATGATAATGGACGCGGAAGAGAGTTCGAAATTGTGGAACGCAACAAAGAATTGTGGACATCACTAGAAACCTTGTTCATTTGAAACCACGCCAGAGTTCGGCATTACGTGGATAAAGTACGAAAATGAAGTAAACAGTTTTTTCAATCAGTTCGTGCAGTTCTCTCCAGGCCACGCACGGTTGCTCAAACGGTGGATAGATTAAGCTCTCGAACGCCCGCATACTACCAAACATCTCGGTCCCAGGTCCTAAAATGAATACATCAAGCTGCTTGCAGCGGATATTTCAAAATGAGTGACAATAGGAAATAAATTTATGGCATGCAAACGTGAGCTTGGGAACATCAATGATTGATCTTGACACGTTTGATGAAAATATTAAAGCGAATATCGTACAAAACGGACAGAATAGACACAAAAACTCGTAGTTATACACAATGTCACTTGAAATTTATAAAAAAAAACACTCCCTGACTTTACAAAAGTCTTCGGTCCAAATATTCAATTTATTTTCTCGTTTAGCCATTGTTAATGACGTGAAAGTGTAACAAAAAACTTGGTGTTCAAAAAAAAACTTGCGGGTGTAGAATCGAAGTATGTATTAATTAAGAAAAACGTACAAAATTAGAGTTTTTCAGTACTAAAACCAATGGATAAGTTTTACGTTACAAACTCCTCTTGAACTGATATTTTCTGCCCACTGTTGTGCAGATTGATGAAACTCTCCCCAAACCTTTCTCTGTTATAATCTTCAATAAAACCTCGACTTTGGTAATCTGACGAGCCACTAGAGAGTAATTCATACAACTTTTCTCAGTCGCGTCCAATCAAATGCGTTGATGCTGGCCGATCTATACGGTATATGTACTCGGCCGGCACAAAGTATCCGTGATAGATGACTTCCTCCGGTGTTATATCCTCGTGATAATGACCCCCCTGTCCATGATCACTAAAACAGTGCGTGTGCTGAAGTCGTATATCCAAACCCTACACAAAATGACGAGGCTTATCAACTGTTGTTAACTAAATAAACGTTAGAATTGTTCAATCTTACCGGATCGTTGGATATAAATACACTGAGACATACTAAAGGCGCATCCATTGCATAAAAGTTCAACCATTCTTCGACCATTTTATCGCTTTGTAACGCGTCTTTGCTGTATGCTGGCTGAAACGATTCGAACGATGATTTTTAGCATGATGTTGTGTTCAGCAACGCTTCCAATATCAAAGTGATGCAAAAACAAATTAAATGCAGACTAAAAAAATTATGACTATTCCAGCGCCATTTCGTGGTGGGGGTGGGGAGAAGGGGTGCCCTCACTCAAAAAAACCTTCGCTGGTGTCACCAGTCAAAAGAGTTAATCTTGTTGTGCGTTTGAATAAATTTTACCATAAGCCAATCATCGGAATGCAACGACATGGCTGAGCACTGTATGTATTGTATCAAAACCATCCAATCGAGTAACAATTAAATTTTCCCCTTGTTTAAACATTACAGAAACAGTCTACCATGATGGATCTACCACAAGATAAGGCAAATGCGTCAGACACAAGCTTACTTCTGGATAGTGTATACTTCTAACATGGCGATATTTGATAATTATTTTTGTTGAAATGACTCGGCTTCTAGCTCACCATGACGTGTAATCTTGCTTTTCCCGACTCGATGCAAAAAACTCCGCCCATTCCAACTGTTTTAATATTACCGTAAAATTGTTCAATTGCCTGACGCATACACGACACGAAATCATGATGACCTTTGCGCGACTTTGCCACGACTTCAACGACCTTAAGGCATTTCAAATGCAAACATTTTTAAGGCAATATTTGTTCTTATTGGATGGAAGGTCTTCTAACTTCCACTAGCACCTATAGCGCACGTCCTATACTATAAACCAATTTCTTTGAAATTCAAAACATAAATCAGAAATCAAGGAAGCCAACTGAACCAACCACAAAGTTACTAAACATTTGTGCGAATACCTCGCCCCGTTTGCCATCAGATATGAGTAAATCGGCTAATAAAGCAAATTCCTTTTCGTTGTAATTGTGAAGTTCTGCCGAATCATCCTAAACATAAACGCAGTGCAAAAATTCTGAAATATATTATCACATTTAAACTTCATGACGTGTTTAAAACAACTGTGATTGACTTATAAGATCAATCTTGTAGTAAAGTATAAGGCTAGCACAGCAGTGTTTATTGGAATTGGTTGGGTATCTACCTTGGGGTTGACTTTAGCCATCTTTGATCGGATTACTTCGGGATCAAGTTTCAGATTTGCCATCATCTGATAGAAGAAAAAGCAACTTTAGGGAAAAATTCATTAGTGTGCAGAACATTAAAAAATAGTCTGAAACATGGTATGAGCGAAATCTATAACAGAGTATAACATTAAGCGCAAAATTAAAAATAGCACAGTTGAACTTTATCAAGATGAAAGAACTAAGACTCTAGAAGAAAATTTTGGCGAGACCTCACAATTGATTCCAATTGCCCGACTACTTCCAGCACCTGGACCCATTAAGAATCCATTTGGCATTTCTGCTTGCTTTGCAACTACATCAAAACTATAGACCTTGAATTGAGGAAGAATTGAGAATTAGTGAAATATAATCAATACAAGCATGGGAAAGAGAGGAAACGATTCAAGAGCATTACATACCTTTGATAAATTTGGAATGGGAATCAAATAAGGCACACCGCCAACAATTGAAAGCCTTGGATTACCGCACATGCCTAAATCATTACAATGATTTCTTATTAAGTATTATAACCATTTATGGTGAAGCCAATAAATTTTAAAATAAGTTTGCATTCTCTATGATTTTTTAAGTTGGGGATATAGAGAACAGTAAAAATGTCAAGATAAAATGATTGCCTATCAAATTTGCTGTTACAGTATCATCAACCACAAGCAATAAGACTTTCCTAAATCATCACGCTCAAGTCTTTTGCCATTACTGGGGGGTGAAATACAAGTCAATATGCATGGTCGAAACATTACTTCCAGTTCAAGTGGACACAATCAAAAGAAGTCTTCACAACACCTGGAGCTGCAAGATTCCATGGTTTTTTGGTAAGATCTGGACAGTTAACAACTCTTGCAACTGCCTCTCTAAAATTTTCCTTCAAAGCCAAGGTCAACACTAGATATACATAGATAACATCACATATTTAGATACATCAATTGTGCTTCAACTCTCAATGATTCAAGACATATTGTGATAAAGACAAAAGCATGTTTCATGAAATATTTTACAATTTTTCTTTACACTTAGATTTTCCATACAATACTAAAGACTAGCCGATTTGAAAAATCATGTGACTACCATATGTATGCATTATTATTTTGAATAGAATATAATGAAGTATGAATCGTTAAGTTAAAATTAATCAAAAATACCTTTGCACAATTGTTCTAAAGGAGGGACATGCAATTCTTGATGCTCAACATGTCCATGAATAAACCCAAATTTATCTTTTCCAACTTCTGTCATATCGTTCATGACCTGCCACTTTAAAATTATTCTGCAGTGTACTCTCCCCCCGGCACGTAATTGGGATAATGGCTACATTTTGAACCATTCCGGGTGTAATTTTTTGAGAGTACAACATATTTGACATACACGTTTTGAGTACAATTTTAGAGTTTCATAAGTGGTACAGCCTATACATCATTCGAGATACAGAAAAGGAGACAAATATAGTTTTGAACATGCAGCGATCTTTAAAATGTATCGTCCTTGCTGCCTCGGGACTAATTTCTGGAACATTTGCTTACAAAACAAGAGATTTTTGGGATGGAATGTTTGTGAAAATTTACGCGGCCGCCGGCAGTTCAAGTCCAGAAATCCTGAGGTATTTTTTTATGCGTTATGTATACATTTACAGTTAGTAGATTAGCTATGAAAACATTTGGTGAGTTAAGAATTTTGTGGAAACTACCATTCTAAGTTTTTGCTTCTTTTAAAGTAAGTACTTTGAAGTTTGAACTAGCAGCAACTACTGAACTACATAATAACAGCAGGAGTCAATGACCACGTCATCAATGTATTTTGTCTTTCACGAGACTTCCACTTTCTTGACTTCTTGAGGCTGTTATTGGGGACAAAATTCAGGATTTGCAAGCCAGTATGGTTATATTGTATCAAAATAATTTTTTTCATTAATTTTTTATTTGAAGGTCAGGTTTTTCAAATGACATCCGTACTTGGAACAAGAACTGGGATTTTCGCGAACCAAGTGTTTTTAGAGGACTACAGGGTTATGGTGAAGAGCAAACCAAGAAACCAAGTGCAAATCGTCACTTAGTGTTTGTTCGTCATGGAGAATATGATAATGCTAAGAAGGACAAGCGTCTGACTGATAAAGGAAGGTTTGTGTTTTTAGTCTCATTGGTTCTATTGATCTGATAAACTGATCATGTTTTTGTTAACCTTTGCCTTACCACTAGCACAGAATCAACAACAACTGACAAAAGATTTCCAAATGTCTGATTTTTGCCATAGTCTTGGAAAAAAAATCAGGGATTTTAATAGCAGGGTTCAAATTAAGGATAAAATATGCATTGCGAATTTAGTTGTGAAACATTATGACCTCTCATTATCCCCTCAACACCACCCTCCACAAGTTACATCTTGTTTCATACAGTGTGTGAATAAATGGTGTGCAATGTGCAATTTGCACATTGTTTTGGCTAAAATGAAAACAATTGCACATCACTTTTTCAAACAATATGCAAAAAACTTCTTTATTGATTATCACCACATAAATGGAAAAAAGGTTTTCAAGCTTAATCTTTACTGATCTTCACTTTATAAATGAGTGCACTGCACGACATTAAAATCCATGTTGACACAATGTCATCAAATTCAAAGACATTGTCACTTTGAGACTGGTAAGTCTGCCAACAGTCAACATACATGTTGCTTATATGCTAATGACATTAGGGGTGTAATACATTATTAATGTCAATTTTTGCATTTGCATTGTTTTGTAAACCATTACGTGCTTTTTTTGGCATCAGCTATTTTGAGTATTTTTGATAAAATCAGGAAGCAGTTTCATTTTGATTCTTAAAAGAAGACAAAAACTTAAATAAGCCAAATTTGAAAAATAAACCAAAGGGAATTTCAATTTTAAGTAAGCCTAACATGAGAAAAAGAAGCCAAATTTAGCTCAAAATGTTAAGTCAAACTGGCAACCTTGATCAGCCATACTTTTTATTTTTACAAATTGCTTGTAACATGACATAAATATAATGTTTTTTTAGTGTAAGTAAACATCAAGGATATTACTGTTAATAATCAGAAAGCAAAAGTATATTCGGTGTTTCTCTTTTCACTTTTGTCTTTCTTGCCATTTTCGTCAAAATGTTGTAGCTACCAGCAAAGTTAATACAATAAAAAAATGGATGGAAACATTAAATGCAGACTTGCTTGAGTACTAGGATGATGGCCAAGTGGTGAATTTATTACGCTGTAAAGTTTGCACAAAAAAGAGGATAGAATTACATGCACAAAAAATTTCTCTCATACATTTGTAACTGGATCAGCGGTTGTAGAGAAAAACACTGTCGTAAATATAATTAATTTAGCAATTAGCGCCATATAGTAAGTAGCCTAATATCGATTTGATTATGCCTCCAAAGGAACATTTTTGTCAAAAAAAATTGCACATCATTTTTTTCAACCAATTGGCACACTGGTTTCATACAAGGATGACATGTAACTTAAAGAAAAATTTCAGAAGTAGAATGTACATTATTGTTGACTAATGTTCATGGAAGCATGAATATTTGTTGAAGCTCACAATTTGTAGCTAAAGGGTGCATGCAAATTGCAATCAACAAACATTTCAAGTTCTGACCATTCAGTAGTAATCGACCCCCAACGACACAGATGTAATTGAAAGGAAATTTATGCTTGCCATTTTCAATGTGTACTTGCTACATTCATATGTCCTGCTTATACTTCTTTCTGTGAAATCTATATGTAAATATTTGCAATTTAGCACAGTAAATACTTGTTTTTTGTGCTTTATTAAGTCCAAGAATGCTAAGTTATGATATAGAGGACATACATAGATAGTTTGTCTTTGGTAGTGAAAAAGTTAATGTTCAATGCTATGCATTATTTATGAAAATGAATGAATGAAAACTTTATTTTCTACACCAACCCTGTCAATTGTATCTGATTTTCACAGTTATGCATTTATGAAAATGAATGAATGAAAACGACACCAACCCTGTCAATTGTAGCTGATTTTCACAGTTATGTATTTATGAAAATGAATGAATGAAAACTTTATTTTCTACACCAACCCTGTCAATTGTAGCTGATTTTCACAGTTATGTATTTATGAAAATGAATGAATGAAAACGTTATTTTCTACACCAACCCTGTCAATTGTAGCTGATTTTCACAGTTATGTATTTATGAAAATGAATGAATGAAAGCTTTATTTTCTACATTTCCCTGTCAACTGTAGCAGATTTTCAGGGAACATTATTAAAAGGAAACACAAAAATTTTCTGTCTTCTATCACATTGATCTATTATAGCAACAACAATGGTTCTACTCTACATTGAGTGATCTCATGCGTTATTGAAATTTAAGTTTTTTATATTTCGTATTAGCAACCTAAAAAGTTATATCTTGTATCTTTATCAAAAACTGTGTGGTGAAACTTGAGTCCTTAAATGCTAAGTCTAATATTTTTATCTAAAATAATCAGTGTGCGAATTAGTTAAGAAAAAACGATGTGCATTTTTTTGACAACAGTGTTTCTTTAGAGGCAAAATAAATCGATATTACGTTAATTATTTATATAGCGCTAATTGTTAAATTTATATTTTTAAACGTGAACAAATTCATATGATTTACGACAGTGTTTTTCGTTACAGCCGCTGATCCAGTTACAAATGTATGAGAGAAATTTTTTTCGCATGTTATTCTCTCCTCTTTTTTGTGCAAACTTTACAGCGCAATAAATTCACCACTTGGCCATCATCCTAGTAATCAAACGAGTCAGCATTTGATGTTTCCATCCATTTTTTTACTGTAATATCTTTGCTGGTAGCTACAACCTTTCGACGAAAATGGCAAGAAAGACAAAAGTGAAAAGAGAATAACTGAATATACTTTTGCTTTCTGATTATTAACAGTAACATCCTTGATGTTTACTTACGATAAAAAACATCATATTTATGTCATATTACAAGCAATATGTAGAAGCAAAAAGTATGTCTGATCAAGGTTGCCAGTTTTTCTTAATATTTTGAGCCAAATTTGGCTTCTTTTTCTCACGTTTAAAATCAAACTTCCTTTGGTTTCTTCTTCAAATTTTGCTTATTTAAGTTTTTTTGTCTTGTTTTAAGAATCAAAATCAAAATGTTTCGCGATTTTACTGAATATACTCAAAATAGCTATGATATCAAAAACAGTACGTAACGGTTTACAAAACAACGCAAATGCAAAAATTGACATTAATAATGTATTACACCCCATTGTCATAAGCATATAAACACCATGTATGTTGACTGTTGGCAGACTTACCAGTCTCAAAGTGACAATGTCTTTGAATTTGATGACATTGTGTCAACATGGATTTTAATGTCGTGCAGCGCACTCGTTTATAAGGTAAAGATCAGTAAAGATTAAGCTTGAAAACTTTCTTCAATTTACGTGGTAGTAATCAATAAGAAGTGTTTTGCATATCGTTTGAAAAAGTGATGTGCAATTATTTTCATTTTATGAATGTTTTATGCAGCGCGGTGTTTGGAATTAAATGAAGATATGATCTTTGCACTCTTATCATATCTTGAAGTGCAAAGATCGTATCTTCATTTAATTCCAAACACCGCACTGCATAAAACATTCATACGACATTCCTTTCACGAGAAAACATGAGCCCAACAATATTGACCTGCTCACCACTTCTTCAAAGTTGGTCAGAGCACTGCACCGGCACCGCAGAGGTCATGGGTTCGAATCCCGTTGAGACACATGATTTTTTCAGGTCCTGAGACGATTGCTTAAATTGTCCAGCAAAGTGCAAAGATCATATCTTCATTTAATTCCAAACACCGCACTGCATAAAACATTCATACGACATTCCTTTCACGAGAAAACATCAGCCCAACAATATTGACCTGCTCACCACTGTGTGACTTCATAGCAAAGTTGGTCAGAGCACTGCACCGGCACCGCAGAGGTCATGGGTTCGAATCCCGTTGAGACACATGATTTTTTCAGGTCCTGAGACGATTGCTTAAATTGTCCAGCAAAGTGCAAAGATCATATCTTCATTTAATTCCAAACACCGCACTGCATAAAACATTCATACGACATTCCTTTCACGAGAAAACATGAGCCCAACAATATTGACCTGCTCACCACTGTGTGACTTCATAGCAAAGTTGGTCAGAGCACTGCACCGGTACCGCAGAGGTCATGGGTTCGAATCCCGTTGAGACACATGATTTTTTCAGGTCCTGAGACGATTGCTTAAATTGTCCAGCAAAGTGCAAAGATCATATCTTCATTTATTTTCATTTTAGCTAAAACGATGTGCAAATTGCACATTGCACACCGTTAATTTGCACACTGAAAGTAATGTAATATTTCTACTTTCAGCTCATTTAAATCAAGTATTGTTACTGTATAGTGCTATGTTTTCTGCAATTGTCTATAGGCAACAAGCAATTAAGACTGGAGAAAGATTGAAATTTTTTCCTCAGAACACTGACATTAATGGAAAAATTGATAAAATAGTTATTTCATCGATGACACGTGCCAAGGAAACTGGAGAATTGATCAGAAAATCATTGCCCGATGTTCCTTATGAATACTGTGATTTTCTTACAGAGGGAGCACCGTGTATTCCTGAACCTCCAGTATGGAGAGCAGATAAGCAGGTAATTTAATATCGCTTGTTACTTAATGTACTTAACTATGTGGAAAGTGAGGTGCACAAGGGGTGGATAAGCGCATCAAGCCCAATTTGCATTTGACTAATTTGAGTCTCAGTTTTGTAAATGAATGCAATCATTGAGAGTCTGATCCCATTTGTCTTTGCACACACCATCTGTTTTGTTCAAAAAGCAGACAATTGTTCTGCCATTGACAGCCCAGTGCTATGTCAATACAGATAGAATGCAATAGATTTATGTTCCTTGTTCCCAGTCCATGCATGCCATTCCAATGATAATAACCTTGGTAACTGTATAACCGCATTCAATTGTCAAGGCTCAAAATAATGCGTTACCCACGACTTATCATGTGATCACCAATAACTTATCAGGTGATCGCCCATGACTTGTTTTCTTGTTATGTTATATGTTTTATTTGCCATGTTCTTGGCTATAAATACCAGTCTGACCATGAGCGTAAATTTTTTTGTCAGGTCTGTTCAGATGAGCACACTCCAACCATCGTCTTGAATTCGCCATCTATATAGAGCAGTCAGAGAGTCTATGCTCATCAGACCAGGGTTTTTTTTAAAAGTTGGCGCACGTGGCCACATTGATTTATACATCATCCATGACTATTTTATTTTTACATTCAACCAACATTTCATGGCGTATTTTTCTTCTTTCTTCATCTCAAATGTTGATAGTCGATGATCTTTTGATTATGATTACTTTTTAAATCAACAGTCGGCTTTGTCTAAATCTTATCATTGCTCTCAGGCACGTAGACAGAATGATAATTGGGAGAGTTGCATATTCATACATTCATTTTATATTCCGTAAAAAATCTATGGATTTCAAAAAAGCCTTATACGGCATGTCATGCATATATGAATATCCCCCCCCCAATTATCGCTCTGGCTACCTCCTGATTGGTCTATACCATACACTACATAATCCAGCGGTCTCTCTACATGTCTTGTTGTGCAACCTATTACGATGTCCATGTATTTAGTGTGAATTTTTTTTTAGGAGATTTTTCAAGATAGCGCTCGCATCGAATCAGCTTTTCGGAAATATGTGCACAGGGCTGACGTGGACCAATCAAAAGAGACAATCGAAGTTTATGTTTGTCATGCCAATGTCATTCGTTACTTTGTTTGCAGGTAAGCAAAAATTATTATAGCATGTTTATGACTCGTTCTCTGATTGGTCGCGAAACCCGAATTTGGAGCAGGCATCGAAACTCGGACGTTGAAATTGCTTTTGCGTAGATACGAACTTGGAAATTTAGCAACGCAACTCGAGAGAATTTGGTATTAATATCAGCAATGGCAAAGTTTTGGTATAATAATTGTTAAATACTTCAGTATTAGCTAAAATTTGTTTGTATAACGTTTGTTGTGTTCGGCTCCCGTGTCTCATCTACTGACATATGAAAGGTCATCACTTACTATAGTTTGTATTCAATGATACAGGCATAGATAAAGATGTAGGCTGGGGTTACGGTTTGGATTAAGATCAGGGAAGATTATGATCAGCGTTCAGACGTATAATATGAAGAAAAACAGATTCATGCTTATCATTTAGGACCTTTTACATCTTCTCTTTTTTGAAATATATTTTGCACAAATAAAATTGAAAATGTGCTATGTAAAAAAACCATTACTTTGAAGATGACGACCAATAAGGTTATCGAAACGTCAGTTGACATCAACAGTCGTTCCTTCTCAGGACTTCTATTAACCGGAAAATCTACGTCCACAGACATAACGATTCTCTTGTCTCAAGGCATTCACTTTTTACCTAATAACCATGTGGTTAGGCCATAGATAACGTTCCATTTTAACCGGCCTTTGCTATGTTTTAGGGCATTACAATTCCCGCCAGAAGGCTGGTTGAGATTGAGCACTGGGCACTGTGGCTTAACATGGTTAACTATAAAACCAAATGGAAATGTAATTTTAAGGACATTTGGTGATGTTGGACATTTGCCGCCAAATCTTACCACTCGTTGATGGAATTTAAACTATAATAACCAAGTTGACCGTTAAACTTTTTCTACTAAAGATTACGAACAATAGTATATGTGTGGTGCTTTATTTTGTGGATCTAGCTGATGTGTAAAATACAGCTTGCGTATTCATTTTCATCAAGATGGTGTGAGCTGAAATGCTATTGCATGAGTTAAGCTGAGAAGTAAGTAGCAACTAGCGTTAACAAGGGTGTTACTGATGTAAGTTGAAGTATTGCTAGTGTTAGCGGGGACATGTATCTGTTGTAGGATGAAGTGCGTGAGCTAAGGAACAGCTGATGTAAGTTGTATAAAATCATGTGAAGATTATAGAAGACAACTCTGGAAGGAATAAATGAATTTTTTCCTTCAAATGCAATGCGATTTCAGTTAGTTTATATTACCAACTTCACTTATCAGAAACAGTTGGTGGTTTTTATTTGTTCAATTGCAGTGAAATCTTTTTTGACAGAATCGCTTGTCACTATCACCTCACAATATAGAAAAAGTTTTCATTGCCAAACATCTTGAGAATAAAAGATGAGAAAACTCTGAACTCGTTAACTTATGTCTTAATTACTCTCGATCGGCACACGAAAAGTTTGACGTTAGAAACGGACCTTCCAACAAAAAGCAATTTGCCGTATTGTTTGTTTTGGATGAATTTGCATGGCAAATCTCTCTGGAGACTTTGCATTGTTTAGCAATATGCTGATGTGTGACTTAGCAATGTGTAAATATGAGAACTTATTACAAAAAGTAACGAAGTGTGCTAATACACACGTGCTAAACGTACGTAAACGCTCAAATTTACTGAGTGCGATTTACAAATTGCACTCCCTGTATTCAACGGCAAACTTACTTCTACATCGATGGCAAGATTTTTACTATAAGATTTCGAATCAAGCAATCAGGAGAGGGAAAATACTGTCTTCAAATAGTTACGAGGCGATTTTGTAGCTCCACTCACTGAGTGTAAGTGAGCTTTTACACTGTCTTCAAATAGTTACGAGACGATTTTGTAGCTCCACTCAGTGAGTGTTAGTGAGCTTTTACACTGTCTTCAAATAGTTACGAGACGATTTTTTAGCTCCGCTCAGTGAGTGTAAGTGAGCTTTTACACTGTATTCAAATAGTTACGAGGTGAATTTTTTAGCTCCACTCAGTGAGTGTAAGTGAGCTTTTACACTGTCTTCAAATAGTTACGAGACGATTTTGTAGCTCCGCTCAGTGAGTGTAAGTGAGCTTTACACTGTCTTCAAATAGTTACGAGGTGAATTTTGTAGCTCCAATCAGTGAGTGTAAGTGAGCTTTTACACTGTATTCAAATGGTGACGAGGCGATTTTGTAGCTCCACTCAGTGAGTGTAAGTGAGCTTTTACACTGTCTTCAAATAGTTACGAGACGATTTTGTAGCTCCGCTCAGTGAGTGTAAGTGAGCTTTTACACTGTCTTCAAATAGTTACGAGGTGAATTTTGTAGCTCCACTCAGTGAGTGTAAGTGAGCTTTTACACTGTCTTCAAATAGTTACGAGGTGAATTTTGTAGCTCCACTCAGTGAGTGTAAGTGAGCTTTTACACTGTCTTCAAATAGTTACAATGTGAATTTTGTAGCTCCACTCAGTGTGTGTAAGTGAGCTTTTACATTGTCTTCAAATAGTTACGAGGCGATTTTGTAGCTCCACTCATTGAGTGTAAGTGAGCTTTTACACTGTATTCAAATGGTGACGAGGCGATTTTGTAGCTCCACTCAGTGAGTGTAAGTGAGCTTTTACACTGTCTTCAAATAGTTACGAGGCGATTTTGTAGCTCCACTCAGTGAGTGTAAGTGAGCTTTTACACTGTCTTCAAATAGTTACGAGGCGATTTTGTGGCTCCACTCAGTGAGTGTAAGTGAGCTTTTACACTGTCTTCAAATAGTTACGAGGTGAATTTTGTAGCTCCACTCAGTGAGTGTAAGTGAGCTTTTACACTGTCTTCAAATAGTTACGAGGCGATTTTGTAGCTCCACTCAGTGAGTGTAAGTGAGCTTTTACACTGTCTTCAAATAGTTACGAGACGATTTTGTAGCTCCGCTCAGTGAGTGTAAGTGAGCTTTTACACTGTCTTCAAATAGTTGCGAGGTGAATTTTGTAGCTCCGCTCAGTGAGTGTAAGTGAGCTTTTGCACTGTCTTCAAATAGTTACGAGGTGAATTTTGTAGCTCCACTCAGTGAGTGTAAGTGAGCTTTTACACTGTATTCAAATGGTTACGAGGCGATTTTGTAGCTCCACTCAGTGAGTGTAAGTGAGCTTTTACACTGTCTTCAAATAGTTACGAGGTGAATTTTGTAGCTCCACTCAGTGAGTGTAAGTGAGCTTTTACACTGTCTTCAAATAGTTACGAGGCGATTTTGTGGCTCCACTCAGTGAGTGTAAGTGAGCTTTTACACTGTCTTCAAATAGTTACGAGGCGATTTTGTAGCTCCACTCAGTGAGTGTAAGTGAGCTTTTACACTGTCTTCAAATAGTTACGAGGCGATTTTGTGGCTCCACTCAGTGAGTGTAAGTGAGCTTTTACACTGTCTTCAAATAGTTACGAGGTGAATTTTGTAGCTCCACTCAGTGAGTGTGAGCTTTTACACTGTCTTCAAATAGTTACGAGGTGAATTTTGTAGCTCCACTCAGTGAGTGTAAGTGAGCTTTTACTGATACAGGCGTTTGGTCTTAAAACATTTTCACAAGAAGTTTTTCTGTAACATGAATTTTTCACACTACTACTAAAGCGGTGATAGCTATTACACGTGTCGTCTACAAAATGACATGTAATATAATGTTTCCTTCGCATTACTTTATAGAAACGTTTAAAGCTCGTCTCAAAACATTAAAGGCTCCGACTTATGAAGACAACTTTGCAAAGGTTTGTTTTAAAGTTACATAAATTTAATTGATGATTGGATTGTCAACGATATCATTGGCTATTTTACGGAATTTTTCGAATCGCCGTTTCGCTCACAAGTTTAAATATTCATATTAAATATAAATATTTTTTGTCTTACGATCATTACTTTCTATAAATTATTTACAATCTCGAAGTACATAACTTAAATTCATAATGGACTTTCTCTCGGACAATTTTTTAAACTATAATCTATTTTGTGAATACCCCCGACCACGAACTTGATCAATTCAGCCCCTGTGTCATCACTAGTCCCTAGTCCCATGACTTTGAAAATGGATGCGCGTCGTCATATCGCTAGCCTCTTGTGGTGAATTCTCTTTCATCAGCAACTCCCATAGAGATGATTTCTCCTTCTGTTATAACCAATCTAATCTTCTCTCAAATTAATCCTCTATACGTATCACCAGTCCCAATCCAGTGGATCTTGTGGAAGCGCTTCGTCAATTGTCCCTAATTGCTCTATAGAGGTTCCCTGGTCATTTTCACGTGACCTTATTCCGTAGTAAAACTCCCAGTCTGAATAATCCCATTGCATACTTCCGCTCCATTTTGTCCCTAGTTGGCAAGAGTCAGTAGATTTTGGCAGTGTTAATGAGCTGGAAAAAACTGATTCGCCTGATTCCAGGTTTTCTGTTGATGTCACGTCAGATTTGGAAGGTTTATAATTACTCTGCCGCGTTGAACAACGACTATTTCCCGAACCTGACCCGTTCGAAGAGGTGACCCGACTTCTACTGCTTGCTGACTCGCTACTGGTTCTCGAACGGCTCCTACGTGACAACGTCAAATTAATGCTTTGTTGGCTAAGTTTCCAGACTGAGTGTTGAGTCAGGTCCTCCGAAGCGCTTGCTGCCGGCTGTGATGATTCCCCTTCTTCACTGTATTCGGCAAAGGAGCATAGTCGTTCTAAACTGCGAATTCTGTTTCTGAACTCGAATGAAAAATTCTCGCTTCCGGATTGGTCGGCTATGCTTTCCTTTGACGTCATGTGAACGCCACTGCTGGACGTCGTTCCAAAGTCACTTGCTGCCCGAGCAACGTCGTCAACATTTTCACGAGATAGATGATTGTCATTCATCTTGTCGCGGGATGTTTTCTGCGCTCGATTTTCTAAAAAATTTTTGTTGTGTATGCTTTCATAAAATTCGTCAATCGTGCGCGCGATGTTTAAGAATTCCGAGAGCAAATCAGGTGGAAATGTCTCATCGTTTTCTTTTGGTATCTTTGCTACATTCTCCGAACAGATGGAAACGGCACTGCTGTCGTCTGTTTCACCAAGATTTACAGCATTTTCTACCTTGCCTTCCCTATTTTTCAGAATTTTCACACTCGGTGAAGAAGAACACTCTTTGTGGAAATCAGCTGTGATTTGAACTGGATTTGGTTTCTTTACCTTCCGCCTTCTTCTTCTTCTTGAATTGCGCAAGTTTTTCATCGATGCACCGAAAACGGCATCGTCCTCATCTTCACAAGACGTTCCACGAATCACGAGTGATGTATTACGCATGCGTGTTTTGTCTGCTGGTGCATTTATACAGCTGTTCTCTTGAGAAGTGTCTTCATATTCCGATGATGCAGATGGCGTGTAACTAGAGTCACTTCCACGATCTTGTTCAGTGTATAGAAGTGATGACAGACTGTTGTAGCCCAGTGAGGAACTTTTCACGGTCAAACTTGGGAAACCTGTGCTGCTACTGCACTTTGATTTGTGTGTTCCATAATCTGAATGCTTGTCGGATTTATTTGTACCGTAATCCAAGTATAAGTCTGATTTGTGTGGCGCGTAATCCAATGGTCCTTTTGATTTGTGGGCATGGCAATTGTTAACCGAACAAGACGGTGATATTTTTTGCCCTTTGTTTAATTGTATATCGAACTTATCAATACCACAGTCCGAATTTGAATCGGATTTGTGATCATGATCCGTTTTTGAGAGCTTTGTTAAATCGTCCATTTCATAAAGTTTTTTCCATTCCATGAATGTCAAGTGTCCCATTGCGCATGTACATTGCTGCGAATCCCCATCGTCCTGGGACCGAACCTCGGCTAGCTTTGCGCTAAAGCGTCGTCTCCATTCAGCGTACTTTCTAGCACGTCGTTCGAGACTGGTGACCTTACAAAATTGACATAAGTTATCGTAGAACGATTTTTCGTCTTCCGTAGAGGTCCTGGAAGTCCCCGAAGCTCTATAAGCGGACCAAATGCTAAGCCTGTCTCCAAGTGAGCTACATACCGAATTGGTGGGGTGTGTTGACGTGACACTTTGATAACACGTGACCAAAATGCAATCACAATTGTCTTCAGAAAAACACTCGGTCCTCTTGTCTGCGTTATTGCCATCATTCGGCTCGCTTATTTCAAACCAAGGTGTTCTTGTCGATTCGAAGTACCAGCTACAATCTTTTAATCGCCTTTGGAAGTTTTTATGCGCCTTTTCCTTTTCTCGACCGTTCACTTCCTCATTGTGTAAAACGGGAGAAATCGGCCACGATTCTAGCTCATCTTTATGCCCTAAGTATCGAAGACGTACCGTTACATGTTTGTAGAATGTAGATGTATAATGTCTAGGTTAGCGGAGTTCTGAGAAAGACTGTTGATGCTGTTTCGACAACCTTACCGTTATTCATTGTAAAGTTGTCGAAACGTCGCTCAACATCAACACCAACAATCCTTTTGAGAACTTCACTAACTTGGATCGCAATTAGCCAAAATTTACCGTACATTTACCAAATAGTGAAAATACTCCCAAGTTCAAACCATTAACTTGAAGACGTAGCGTGTTGCCGACTGGATATGAGTTTAGTTCGAAGCTCTAACTTACCCATAAATTTACAATTTTGGTGTTTTCCTCCTTTACTATCGATCATTCACTTGTGTAAACCGTAGAAGTTTAAGTTTTAGGCGTTTTGTATGATTTGAAAAAATATAATGCGTGGCTTGCCTATGGGTAAAGTTTTGCAATTCTTTTTATTGCTTGCCTATGATAATTGCTTGCCACAACAAAGACTTGCTTTGAATTATGCTTTTCATTTTGACACATTTGCATTCGGCAAACCGTCGTCACGAAAGGTAATGTGAGTGTGACGTACATAAATTGTTGCTTTTTTTAACTAGAAACGTGGGAATGTCTTCAATACTAAGGGGTATGGGGAGGGGGAAGGGCAAAATTAAAACTTTCAAATCCTTTAAACGGCTGGAAAATGGCAGTTACCCAATCAAATTAGCCTTACCTTTTTTGGTAGCCTTTCAGTGTTACATACAAGTTATTAATATTTTATAGAAGCTTGCTTTTTACAGCGCAAAGAATTAAGTTGTCATGTTTCTCGTAAACTTAAAATTTGTAAAGATAAAATTTAAATTTACACACATTTGATTTCAGATCATTTATCAAAGGGGTCACGTGTCCCCCACATGTTTAACATGGGGTCGTATCCCCGTAAGATCTCTCCCCCTAATTTATACGTCCCCGGACAAAACTCTACCAACATACATCATTGAAAAAGCTGCGACTCAATTGTGAAATACACACATGTATAAAGATAATCTTTGTGAACAAATGAAGACACAACTTACTGATGCACTCGAATTGAAACATATGAAAACTTTAATATTCATTAATATAAAATCACTGTACACAAAATTCTCTTTCTTTTTAACTTAGAAATTTCCGGGGGAAACGACAAAGAACGCATCGGTGGTTTACAATATTTAGTCAGTCAAAGTAAGGTATGCCCATCTAGAAGTTTATTTATAGTATGTTAGGTGATTATAGTGTATTATAGTATATCACGTGATTATAGTATAGAAGTATATGACGCGATTTACAGCGCGAACTTGTACCTTAGAATTCGAAGTGATAGCTGTAGTGAAAACGTTTTCCGTGTTTAAATTCGAGAGTCTAGTTAAGGAAACTACCATACGGGGCTCATAGCGCTCTGTTCATCAAATATCAAAGCATTTGACTTTGCTAGAATTCTCTCGTACACATATATTCGTCACAGCACTGTATCCGTTGTTGTGCTCATATGGTGTTTGTGAGATATCGTCCTTGTCTTAAAATGCCATGCCGCGATGGGAATCTGAAAGCCCTGTGCATGAGAACGGAACTCTATGCAATAATTACGTTTAGACTCCGCTTTTGTTTGGAACACATGTCAATATTAAATCAGTGATCGTGCTGGCTAACCACGTTGCCTGTCTAACCTTAACTGTTAGAAGCCGTCTGGCTTGAATCGTAAAGCAAAGATAGCAATCAAAAGCATCGCTAAACATGGTCATAAACAACTGTTTTTCTTGGGGCTTTTCATTTCGTGCCAGTGTCTTGCAAAGTATCTTTTCAATATTGCCAAAGACACGGCAATATCGAAGAGCCAATGAAAATCCCGCAAAACGGTTATGTATTGAAGATTCCCGCGAAGCAAAATACGGTTATCTTTTTGTTTGATTTGTTTGAGCGCGTTCAGTTATCAGATTTATGTCTCCTGAGTCCATTTTCCTGTATTAACAGCGCATTTAAACGTTTTCGGAAGTAAGTCATTTTGCGTAAATTTCTTAAGGAATCTTTCATATTTGAGTGCGATGGACTTTTGTAAAGTAGGGTTTCCTGTTCGTCATTATGAAATTAGCGATGTTTTAAACAATGTTACTGATAAAAATTACGGCGATACACGATTTTTCGATATCCTTATAAGTAAAGACGTATAAAACAAATCGAGCTACACAAGTTACAGTATATTGCCCCTATAAATCGCAGTTTTCAAGGAGAAAACAATGCAAATTTGTATATTTTGATTCAAACCTTCATTTCAGAAAGTGATTCAAATCATATAATGTATCTTATGGATTTTTTGTTGTATTCACATTAATCATTTACCGATGATAATCAGCAATTTTATCGAAATATATATATATATATATATTCAAGTTCATTTGTGTGTTGTTGTCAAAAATTTTTGATTAACGCGATCAAATTTATTTTGAATAACCTTTGTTTTATGCATGCTCGATATATCAGCTGGAGAACGGCTTCTCGATAATTCTGAGTCCCAACAATCTGGCCCACAGTTTTGACTAAGATCTGCTAAAGACTAACTGAAAATTCTAGACGGCAGTTGTGGTTTGTAATCGCGAATATGTGCTGAAGATCAGAGTAAAAATCTTTCAAATACTAGTGACTTTAAATCAGATAATATTCAAACACGCTCGTGTCAAAAATGTCTTACACCACTTTACCTCGTTTAAAAAATCGAATGGATATGTTTTTCGACCATCCGTAGCAGCAAATATTGTACCTTGCCGAATCGACGCGTTCGTGGTGTCGGTTATCCGTTTTGGCTGGGTTATATTTTGGTGCAACAGAAACTCAACGGTATTGAAAATGCGCCATGTAGGTTTTGTTGCTGTATCCCCTACAGCGAGGGAACGCTGTTTTGTAGAAATATTCGAGTGGTTTTAGCAGGGCATTTCTGTTTCCGGTTTAACACTATAAGATGATGGCGCACAGAATTCCATCTGGCCGTTCAGAAGCTTTGTGTGGTGTCGCTCTTTGTATTAAGCAGTCTGTTGTAATGTTAGCACTTACACACGACAATGGTTATTTATTTTTAAAGTCATGTTATGTTTCATCTCGCGAGTGATTTTATAATGAATCTTTGAGCAATCTTTAATGACCTATAATTTGTAGCACGTTTACATTGACTGTGCATTCAAACAGCGTGGTCAAATATCGCTTTATAACACACAACGGGTAGGCAAAGCATTTGACTGATCGCGCAAAGCATTGAGCTGTTAAGGAGTGTGGGATAATTAGTAATGGCTACGACTTGCTTGTAAGCACTTACTTTTGCGGCTAAAGAACTGTTTTATCGACGTTTTCAAATTATTGACGGGATGACTTTCAGAGCGTATCCCAGAACATGAACACCAATTAAATTTTCGTCTTGTCTTTTTCATCGTATACTACGAATCCAACAATTTCACAAATAGCTGGTCGCATATATCCAACACTCGACTTTTAGAAGTTCTTCGATTTTATTACAATTACAGGCCCACGACCTTGTTGCATCAAATTACCATTACCTGACGTTAGTAACATTTTTGTAATGAAGCAAGACTGCTCCTTTGCCAGTTATAGACACAGTTCGTCCGTATATTATTCATAAATTAATCACTCGAGCTCCTTGAACACCATCTAAAACGGCCGACTCGTTGATGTCTAGAGCTCTGCCTTTTCCTTTCTCTTGTATCGTGGACATTCAAATACGAAGTCGGAAACAATGCGTGACATCGCTTTTAGATGAATATATAGGTGCGCAACTGCATGCAATTAGGGCATTGAACTAAACATCCACGCTTGCATCCGGCAAATCATTGACATATTGACATTCAAATAGCAATCACATACCAATTTATGACTAAGGAGACGATAAAGCCATCTGCTAACGTCACACTTTACACCCCGAAGCAGCTATTAGGAAGCAGATAAGTTCGGCTTGTCTTCCTTAGCCGTGCTGGTACGCTCGTCGAAGACTTGATTATTTGTGGGGGAAATGTAAACTGTTAATCCATGATGACCTTTAGGACACCATGTTCAATTGAGTTCACCTACATGTAGGTATATATCTATATATGCATAATATTGCAATTGTATATTATCAACACACTTCGCTAAACATTGTTTAGCGCATAAGCAATCCTACTCATATATAATATATATAGTAATTCAATCCTATACACATGCACATATTTTAAGGCGGATATAAACAAAACAGAGTATTTATCCTAAAGGTGTCTGTCATTGTTTTGAAAAGCTTTTCCGCTAAACGATTTGTTGAAAGGTGAATATTAGCATCTATAGCCTGCTTTCAAGAAGGCAAAAAACATAGGATCCTCCTCTATCAAGTTATCACCCCTCAATGAACTGCTCGCATTGTGCGTTACCAGATAAAAATCTACAGACGTATAACTTTCTGCGTTCTTGTTCTTTAATCGAAGTCGTTCTTTGGAAAACTTAGTCTCTTACGTGTGATATAATATCGAAGCGATCTATCGAAACAAAATTGTCGAAACTGAACAAATCAGTCAAATATACTCTAAATCAGTGTGTGTGAGTGTGCTGCAGTTAGATTAAGATGGCTCTTAAGATGTGACATTGTTAAAAACATCAGAAACGGAAGTAATTATATGGATAGTAAAGCAACTTTAACTGCTTAACTTCTCATGGTACATTATCAGGAAAGTTCGGACGACAATGTATAACAAGTTTTAGCTTCAACTTTCTACTACAAGCAACTTCTTCGAAACGTATTTCTTGAAATCTGTTTTTTCCCGTCTTCTTTCACGTTCTAATTTGTCAGCACTGGAGTATTCGAACCTGCTGGTGAGCGCAGGGTTCATGCAGATGATCTTTTTGATGATTGAAATCTTTTCATGTAAGTTCATGTTCAAGTATTTTTTCATATGTCACTCCAGTTGAGATCCTATCGAAATGATCTACATACACGTCCACGAATGCTAGCCTACCGTGTTATACAAGAAACAACTCGCGATATGTGATGATGGCAATCTCTATGAACCTCTCCACAGAAGGTGCAAGATCAATATTGGGGTCTTTATTCATTTATACATGTATAAAAACACTAACCATTATCAATTCTTCTTTGCCCCATGAACTACTATAGGATTTGCATGTTTAATCTTGCATCATTGTTTCCCGTGTTGGAAACAAATTTGATTTTTCATACATAAATTCAAACACTTGCAAACTTCCACACTTCAACTTACAGTTGAGAAAATATAGGGATCTTCAATATCCAATGAGCAATTTGTAATGTAAGAGAAAACGTTGCCATAACTTCACAAATTAATTGCCTCTTTGTATTTGAATAATTCAATTTTGTATTGTTGTGCATTTGTGCATTCATTGGCATCTCTTTTCACGGTGGGAAATCGCACTGGTCCGGTTAAGAAAACTAACGAAAGAAAGGGCGAAAACACTTCGTCGGAATCTGTGCAGAATCGAGTATTTATCAAGGTACTGAAAGTCTGAAACTAACGTCATTCCATTTAAATAAAAGTAGACAGAAATATAGTAGAAGTTGTATTAAACCCGGTCGATACGATTGTCGTTCGGCAATGAATAATTTGGTTCTTTACAAGGGATGGGTCGCATTTACGGGCAATGGATTTAAATTGTTGCATGTAGATATTTTCCCACAATGTCATATTCTTGACTTGCAACCATTCTCTTGAGATTTAACGAACAACATTGCTCGCCCTAGGCCGATGCCTACAATAGCACAGAGAAAATATTCTTTTGTATCAGAAAGACCACCAACATGGCTGAATTGGAAGTCAAGAACTCAACTAATTTTGCACCCAAGCACATTTAAATTATATAGAATTGCCAGTTTCGATTCATATCATGAATACTGAAGCAAATCTACTGTTTAGTATAGCAACTTTATCAAGTTCTTTTGCGATTTGTGAAATGTGAATTTCCTTTCAAAAGGGCAAATATTTTGACTTGCCGATCCGTTTTTCATATTACGAAGCCACGGAATCGAACGTTAATCGAGTGGGACGTATATGTTTCGGTATGCCAGGCTGATGAGTGAAATCGTTTCAAAAGAATTTAGCCAGGCATAGCAATTTATGTTAATATATGGTCCTCTCCGTTCACACAAGGGATTCGTTTAAATCCTTATACATTTTGAAACGTTCAGGCCTTCCGCTCACACTAGCACGCAGATCGGATCCTCTCCGTTCACACTAGGGATTCGTTTAAATCCTTATACATTTTGAAACGTTTAGGCCTTCCGCTCACACTAGCACGCAGATCGGATCCTCTCCGTTCACACTAGGGATTCGTTTAAATCCTTATACATTTTGAAACGTTTAGGCCTTCCGCTCACACTAGCACGCAGATCGGATCCTCTCCGTTCACACTAGGGATTCGTTTAAATCCTTATACATTTTGAAACGTTTAGGCCTTCTGCTCACACTAGCACGCAGATCGGATCCACCGAATCCGTATAAGTTTAGAAACGCAGTCGAAAGTGGATTAAAACGAATCATATGTTTTGTGCTAGTGTGGACGGTCGGTACGCATAAAAATTGAAACGATGACGTCACCAAATGCAAAACTCGAAATAAGCATGGCATGATTTTAGTAAATTTGCTTCTATTTTATTATTAATCCATTGTTAGATGAGGATCTCACTCTTTTCAATGCTTTATTTGTCTGACTAAGAAGACAACGATTGTTATGTGGAAATAGCTTTTTCTAGGACTACATATCGACGAAATAAAATAGCTCAAACATACGGCTGTGGGGCTAAAAGATTTTGATTTAAAGCACTAGGTGGGATCAGAGGCGTAACTAGAAGGTTAATTGGGGGGGAGGGGGGGTATATTCATATATTCAGTTGTGCCCTACTGATTTCTTTTGAAATTCAAATCACTTTCAAAAGAAATCAGTAGGGCACAACGGAATATATGAAAATGCACCCAATTAACGTTCTAGTTACGCCTCTGGGTGCGATAGTTTTATTTCGCAAACTATCCTCCCGAATAGTCTTTTTTGCATGAGCTACATTGCTCATTATGTCGCGCAAGGCCTTCATTACAGATTCTCTAAAGCCCTGTTCACATGAGACAGGAACGAAGTCACACCGGTACCAGCTCGTGTCGGTTACAGTATTATTTATAGTAGATGTCTACTTGGAACCGTTACGAAAATGAGTCAGAGCCGTTTGAAGTCGCAACGCCTTCTGAACCGATCCGACTGAGTTCAGAATGGTATGAATTGAAACCGGCATCAATGTAAACTCAAATTAACGTTCAGACCCACGTTCAAACCGGTCTGAAATGGCAACAACGCATGCGCATGAAAACAAATTACTAAAAAAAATGGCTAGCAGGTGGGAAACTAGCCTAAAAAGGAGACATTATGCGAATAAAGTTTTGTGATTTCATTCCGGTCCTGTGTAAACATGCAACAAATTTTGATTTTCATTCCGGTTTGACTTCGTCCCGAATGCGTTTCCGACAAAACGAACCCGTATACTTTTGAATCTGCGTTAGTGTGGACGGGCCTTCAATTAACATGCGACGTACCAAGCATTTTGTGCGCAAGTCCTATTAGAAACAGGCTTTTTTAAAATTTGCACGAACTTGCGTATTTCTGCACTTTCAATTTTAATATCAAGTAAATAGTTTATGCATGGAAGTGCTGGTTGGAATCAACCAATACCTGCGTGTTTTCCGCTTAACCCGTATTGAGGCGGCTGTCTTTTGGTCGTGGGAGCTCCACTCTAACAAATTATTTTGTTTGGCTCTCGTGAAATGTTGTTGAATACAAGCGATAGTATGTTCATGAGTACTGGACTATATCCGATAAACGAGTTGGCGGCACTATGGAAAATAATAAACAAGATGCAGCTAGAAACCATTCTACCATGAGAATCAGAATTCCACTAGTTCCAAGAACGAATGTTTATCAAGAGTTTGTAAAAACTCACTTTGACGAAATCTTTTCAAATCTGTCAAATCAAAGCTGTCAAATGAAATCTGCATGTTGCTCGTTAAGATGCGTCTCCAAAAATTTCCACCTAATGACAATACTGAATAACTTTATTCCAATACATGTTTTAGGTGTACTTGACAAGAAATGTCTTCCATATTAAATGCTTTCAAAGTTGCATCTCTTTCGAATTGCCGTGATTTTTTGCGAATAGTTTGGCAAGATGGACGACAATCCAAGTTTTCAAACATTTGGCTACGGTCTGCCGTTCGAGACCCAAAGTTTTTCGACGCCAACTCACTGCTGTATCGTCGGCATGAGTATGTTAATTTCATAGCCAATCATACGCCTCTGATGTCAGCCGAGTGTGAAGATCATAACGTCGTAGTGAAGTGGGAGAACCACAGCAGTAACTTTGATGCTTCCTGGCTCAGAGCTCACGACGGCAGTGTGAATGATGATTTGGTTGGCCCATCTGAAGTTGTGTTATGGGATTCTCAGTCTGAGTTTCCGGTTACCTATCATTACAGTGAAAGGGCGGAAAAGCTTGAACAATGGATGACTGACCTTAGGAAATATGGAGTGGTGTATTTTGTGAACGTACCAGCCAACGAGAAGGGTCTTGATGACGTCATGCAACAGATAGGTGTCTTACAACAACGGTTTCATCCAACTAACAAGATTCCCATAACAAGTGACCCCACTCAAAGAAAGGCCATAGATAGAGACGTCTACAGCAGCGACTATCTATCCGTGCACACTGACACTGCCTATCACCCAGTCCCCTATAAATTATCTGGTTTGATTGGAATAAATTACGATGCTCCTATCCAAGACACGGAAAGTTACTTTGTAGATAACCTCCGAATCATTGGAGAGCTTCAAAAAAAGCACCCGGAAGCGTACGATCTGTTACAAAGTATTCCTGTACAATTGAGCCGACGACGTATGAATGTGCAAGAAAAATGCGACCCTGCTGATGTGCGCATGTACCAGTACGATTTGGTTTTCACCACCCCTCTCATTTCATATGATCACTCTGAGGGATTACCCACGCTTCGTTTTACGGTAAAGCATTCCGGCTTTGAAATGGACAGCATCAAAGATCATTCCGTAATGGAAAAATACTATAAAGCCTTTTTGCTGCTAGAGTCGATGCTTTCTGATCCCTTCTATCACCAGAAGGTCATTCTCAATGCTGGAACTTTGGCAATTTTCAATAACAGCCGCGTCGCCCATGGCCGTGGACCCATTCATCCGATGACATCTCGTTTTCTCTACCTGGGCTTTATGTCCGAGGAGATGTGGCGTACTCGTTGGCGACTCATTCTTGGAGAGAAGTCCGGACTCCCTGAGAAATGGCTGTACGGTTGTTCTGATGCGACGCTTCAAGTGTTGGCAAAAAGAAAGATATCGGAGAATGTCAAGAAAGATTTGAATGTAGCTAAAAATCGTTCAAGTAAACACAAAAACACTAAAATTACCAATGCATAAATAAGCTTTTTTAAACAGTTCATGTTCCCAGTACTTATCAACACAATTGCATTATAATTTTCTTAATAAATGTAACGTGATCTTTACTTACGAAAAGTTGCCATTTGTACATTTTGTGGTTAGGCGAACAGAGAAAATGGCAAATATGTGGTCACATGCAATGTCACACTGGCTGACCATTTTTTACGCCCAGAGAATTAGTACCATTCATTTTCTATTAAAATATTTCTATTAAAATATTTGAAAAGTCACGAACTTCGAAGTGTGTTTGCTGTTGTATTTTGCTATTAAATCGAATGGAATTTGAATAATGCCGTAAGTTTACCAAACTTCTATGTCCACATGGCAATGAGCTACATTTATTCTCCTATGGCGATACTCTTTTATTCTTTGGTGTAGTTAGCCTAGCATTGGGTGTCTCGTGTACTGATAGCAAGTGGCTTCTTTTTGAACGAGAAAGAGACATATTTTGGCAGAATATCGATCATGGTTGATTCTATATTTGATATTCAGAGAGCTACATTTTTTGTCAAAAATGTAATTTCTCCACTGTTTCTGGTGTAAATCGCAGAAAAAGATTATCCGCGACATCTGGATACAAGTTGCAAAATCTATTTCAACCTGAATAAATTAGCCGTACAAGATGATGTATAACGAAAGAACGTTTAACAATTTTCTTTACCATGCCAGGGACATCAAAAAGACGAGGGTATTCTTTCATAACCTCTCGTATTGTAAGTTGTGGCGTTTTTCTAATCCATTCTGATCGATTTAAGACGGTCTTATGCATATAACTTTTTAGGGTTGAGATAGGCTCCCAGTTCTCTTTCATCCACTGCTTCATTCCAGCATGGTCAGATTCATTTAAGACTGGCTCTTTTTAAGAAAAAAAAGCAAATTTTCTATAAGCACCATCAAATAAACTTCTAATATCTTTTTAATTGACGAATTTAACCTGATAGAGATCTTGCCAAGTGTTTTAGAGAAGTTGAAGTTGAGCCAAATTCTTGTTCAATCTGACGGTGTTTTATGCTCTTTCTCCTAACATTTCTAAGCCGTTCTTTCAACCACCCTGTAGCAGAATGAATTCCCTTTCCTGGCGTGTACCAAGCTTCCTAAAAATTGAAAAAGTGATCACGTACAAGAAAGAAACAAACATTTGTAAAATACATGATTTGATTCCAAATCAAAAGTTAAACGTAATGAGAAACGCGTACATATCCTTGATCCTCTTCGTCTTTAAGGAAAGGAAACTGCTCTACCCCTGCCTTTGCCATTTGGATTTTGATGTCTGCATGAGGCCTGTATTTTAGAATTATTTCAATTTTAACTTAGATGTTGAACAATTCAGAACTTTTACGGTAGCGTTCATGTGTACTTATGACGTCATTGAAAATGTAATAAATGTCAAATTTCGGATTTTCAATCTCACATAATAATTTCATTAGAAACAGTTTGCTTACTTCCTCTAAAAAATTTACCTTTTTCAAAAAGTATAAACATTTACATGTTTCTCAAACACGATGCTTCATTGCTAAAATCTCATTTTACTATTGTGTTTATTTGTACTACTCTTTGATTTTCGATTTTCACAATTTTTACTGTTACGATGACATCATAGGTAGACTTGCATGTTGCAGTAAAAATGGTGAATTTAGTCTTTCATATTTTCACAAACCTTTCTCCAAACTGATTAATTATGTAAATACTAAATCTTATCTTGATTCTGCTTTTTCTGTTTAATTTATCCGTATCCAGTTCGCAAATCACTTGAGCACCAACTTCGGACTCTTCCAAAATCGATTTGATATTGTTTAAAAAAAGAAAAAGATAAAAAAGTATGTTTGATGTTTAATTGCTCTACACGTGTTAATTCTTACAAAATCATTCCTGGGTTTCTTTCTCGGTTGAAAAGTTTGAGCCCCACAGCTCTCAAATATAGACTGGTTTGCTGCTACTGAACGTTTTTCCTCGTTTTCTTTTGGCTGAGAAGTAAACTCGGGACTTGAAGATGCCTATATTGAATAAAATAAATAGCATCAATAGAAAGTTTATATTGTTCAATTTAATTTAGTGTTTAATGTGAATAAGTGTAATTGTACAGTGAAAATGTGTCAATGCACTGTGAAAAGTGTAGTTGCTCCGTACATCATGTAACCTGATTAGCTGAAATGCAAAGAAAGCCAAGAAACCAAAAACATAATTCTTTTCATTTCAAAAAGCAACATGATGTCATTTGTAATAAAGAAAGATTTTTACAATATGCAATCTGCAATCGTTTGAAATTCAAGAATTGCAAAAAATGCAAAAACGATAACAAAACAGCATACACAGTTACGAGAAGATATAGAGTAACCAAACGAGAAAGAGTTTAACGGTACTATCAAGATATACCTCAAAGTATATTATTATTGAGTTATAGTATAATTTCTTATGCTATTACGGCTAAATTGGACTTGAGCTACTCTTTAAAAAACTCACTTGGGCACGTTCATCCCTAATTGCACTCAAAACTGTTCTATTACCTATAGAATTACTCGCAGGGATGACGTAGTTTATGTAATGAAAAAAGTGCATGGCCTCTTATAAATTATAGCTCTTGACCAATGAAATTGTTTAAATTTTTCATGTTATTTTACAAACGAACATTCAACCAAAAAAAGACATTACAGATAATAAACCTCTAATCTTAAACATCATTAATAAAAAGCATATAGTCAATGGAATAAAGAAATCATTACTCTCTTAAGTCCTTCAAAACTATTTCCTATTAAGTATCATGTTAGCATATTAAACTTCTTTATTAATATTTTGAGCGCATCAAGGAATGCGGTGACGAAGTACGACATGAGAATGCAAGTCCTCTTCATCATATATGATTCTGAGGCATGGTATAGGAAATAATTGTACAAATCGTTCAAAGAAATGATCGAGCACTTTGGATCATTTGGCAGTTCAATTGCGTACGAATGAGTATGTCGATGGTACTCGGTTGTTTTCCATTTCCGCGTAAGAAAGTGCGCACTATTATTTTCACTAACAATAACATAAACAATTTGTTGAAAAACAGGAAGAATATCATCACTTTTTCCAGTTAAAAGTAAAAGATTTTATGGTATATTTAATACCGTGAAGTTTACACCAATTTGCAAGATATACGATGTCAGACACGAGAATACCTAGTCTTCGTGCAATCAAATCTGCTGCATCCAAATATTCAACTACCACTTGTGATCCAGGTCCGACTTCAAAGTCTACTTCAGATAGGTCTTTCTTGCTCATAATATTATAACAGAGAAACATTTGTTGTCTGAAGCCAGGGTTTTCAAAATGTTCCTAAAATTACATACAATATGGGCTAAACGTTTGAAGAATCGGTGTTTCGCTTCAAATCGGATTGTCCAGAAATGAAGTAAGGGTCCCAAAAGTCTTATTTGATGAGGTAGTGAGTCATGAAATGACTACTTGCACACTTGCACACTTCAACTTACAGTTGAGAAAATATAGAGATCTTCAATATCCAACGAGCAATTTTTAATGTAAGAGAAAACGTTGTCATAATTTTACAAATTAATTGCCTCTTGTATTTGAATAATTCAATTTTGTATAGGTGCAGTGCTCTAACCGCACTGCATATAACAATCTTTTATATGACATTCCTTTCACGGGAAAACATTAGCCCAAGAAATTGACCTGCTCTCCACTGTGTGACTTCATAGCTCAGTTGGTTAGAGCACTGCACCGGCACCGCAGAGGTCGTGGGTTCAATTTTGTATTGTTGTGCACTTCGGCATTCATTGGCGTCTCTTTTCACGGTGGAAAATCACACTGGCCGGTTAAGAAAACTAACTAAAGAAAGGGCGAAAACACTTCGTCGGAATCTGTGCAGAGTCGAGTATTTATCAAGGTACTGAAAGTCTGAAACTAACGTCATTCCATTTAAATAAAAGTAGACAGAAATATAGTAGAAGTTGTATTAAACCCGGTCGATACGATTGTCGTTCAGCAATGAATAATTTGGTTCTTTACAAGGGATGGGTCGTATTTACGGGCAATGGACTTAAATTGTTGCATGTAAATATTTTCGCACAATGTCATATTCTTGACTTGCAACCATTCTCTTGAGATTTAACGAACAACGTTGCTCGCCCACGTCGGCCGATGCCTACAATAGCACAGAGGAAATATTCTTTTGTATCAGAAAGATCACCAACATGGCTGAATTGAAAGTCAAGAACTCAACTAATTTTGCACCCAAGCACGTTTAAATTATATAGAATTGCCAGTTTCGATTGATATCGTGAATACTGAAGCAAATCTACTGTTTAGTATAACAACTTTATCAAGTTCTTTTGCGATTTGTGAAATGTGACTTTCCTTTCGAAAGGGCAAATATTTTGACTTGTCGATCCGTTTTACATATTACGAAGCCACGGAATCGAACGTTAATCGAGTGGGACCATTGAGTTCTATAAGACCTGGAGGGGAAATGTCAACCAAATTACTATAAATTATTAGCGCGCGGCCGCGTAGTCAAAAACATGGCGGATTTTGGTTGTCAAAGTCAGCGGAAAGACGCGGGCTCATAAATAAAATTTTTGAATGAAATCTGCATGCTGAGCGTTAAGATGCGTCTCCAAAATTTCCACCTAATGACAATACTGAATAACTTTATTCCAATACATGTTTTAGGTGTACTTGACAAGAAATGTCTTCCATATTAAATGCTTTCAAAGTTGCATCTCTTTCGAATTGCCGTGATTTTTTGCGAATAGTTTGGCAAGATGGACGACAATCCAAGTTTTCAAACATTTGGCTACGGTCTGCCGTTCGAGACGCGAAGTTTTTTGACGCCAACTCACTGCTGTATCGTCGGCATGAGTATGTTAATTTCATAGCCAATCATACGCCTCTGATGTCAGCCGAGTGTGAAGATAATAACGTCCTAGTGAAGTGGGAGAACCACAGCAGTAACTTTGATGCTTCCTGGCTCAGAGCGCACGACGGCAGTGTGAATGATGATTTGGTTGGCCCATCTGAAGTTGTGTTATGGGATTCTCAGTCTGAGTTTCCGGTTACCTATCATTACAGTGAAAGGGCGGAGAAACTTGAACAATGGATGATTGACCTTAGGAAATATGGAGTGGTGTATTTTGTGAACGTACCAGCCAACGAGAAGGGTCTTGATGACGTCATGCAACAGATAGGTGTCTTAAAACAACGGTTTCATCCAACTAACAAGCTTCCCATAACAAGTGACCCCACTCAAAGAAAGGCCATAGATAGAGACGTCTACAGCAGTGACTATCTATCCGTGCACAATGACACTGCCTATCACCCAGTCCCCTATAAATTATCTGGTTTGCTTGGAATAAATTACGATGCTCCTATCCAAGACACGGAAAATTACTTTGTAGATAACCTCCGAATCATTGGAGAGCTTCAAAAAAAGCACCCGGAAGCGTACGATCTGTTACAAAGTATTCCTGTACAATTGAGCCGACGACGTATGAATGTGCAAGAAAAATGCGACCCTGCTGATGTGCGCATGTACCAGTACGATTTGGTTTTCACTACCCCTCTCATTTCATATGATCACTCTGAGGGATTACCCACGCTTCGCTTTACGGTAAAGCATTCCGGCTTTGAAATGGACAGCATCAAAGATCATTCCGTAATGGAAAAATACTATAAAGCCTTTTTGCTGCTAGAGTCGATGCTTTCTGATCCCTTCTATCACCAGAAGGTCATTCTCAATGCTGGAACTTTGGCAATTTTCAATAATAGCCGCGTCGCCCATGGCCGTGGACCCATTCATCCGACGACATCTCGTTTTGTCTACCTGGGCTTTATGTCCGAGGAGATGTGGCGTACTCGTTGGCGAATCATTCTTGGAGAGAAGTCCGGACTTCCTGAGAAATGGCTGTATGGTTGTTCTGAGGCGACGCTTCAAGTGTTGGCAAAAAGAAAGATATCGGAGAATGTCAAGAAAGATTTGAATGTAGCTAAAAATCGTTCAAGTAAACAGACGAACACTAAAAATAACAATACATAAATAAGGTTTTTTAAACAGTTCATGTTCCCAGTACTTGTCCACACATTTGGATTATAATTTTCTTAATAAATGTAACGTGATCTTTACGTACGAAAAGTTGCCATTTGTACATTTTGTGGTTAGGCGAACAGAGAAATTGGCAAACATGTTGTCACATGCAATGTCACACTGGCTGACCATTTTTTACGCCCTGAGAATTAGTAGCATTCATTTTCTATTACAATATTTCTATTAAATATTTGAAAAGTCACGAACTTCGAAGTGTGTTTGCTATTGTATTCTTGCTATTAAGTCGAATGGAATTTGAATAATGCCGTAAGTTTACCAAACTTCTATGTCCACATGGCAATGAGCTACATTTATTCTCCTATGGCGATACTCTTTTACTCTTTGGTGTAGTTAGCCTAGCATTGGGTGTGTCGTGTACTGATAGCAAGTGGCTTCTTTTTGAACGAGAAAGAGACACATTTTGGCAGAATATCGATCATGGTTGATTCTATATTTGATATTCAGAGAGCTACATTTTTTGGCAAGAATGTAATGTAAATGTGAAGTGGAATTAAGTTGTATTCGAGCGAAGTTCTTAATTTTCCATTGCGTTTCACTAACACAAAATGTTATCATAACTTCCCAAAATGGTTGGTTTGCATTGGTGAAGACTTAATTCTCCTTTTTTCGCTTCGTTGCCTCTTTTAATATGCGTCTTTATTTAAATAATTCAATTTAGTATTGTTGCGCAGTTGTGTATGGGCGTCCATTATAACGGTGGGAAAAGTTCAAATCACACTGGTCTGGTTAAAAAAAACTAACAAATAAAAGGGAAACGCTTTGAAAGTCTTTGCAGAATCGTTCATTTATCAAGGTACTGAAACTAATACCATACTCATTTCAATAAAAGTAGACAGAAATACGATATAAGTTGTAGAACCTAGTCAATGCGATTGTCATTTATTCGACAAGAATAATTTCGTCCTTTAAACAGGATGCCCGGGGCATCTAAAAGCGATGGAATTGAAATATTGCTGGTAGAAAATTCCGTACAATGTCATGTTTAACTAGTTTAGCACTAATAGCTCTTTAAAATATCGTATGTACAATCCCAAACGAACATATGAATTTTAGAGTTGCTGGCTTCGATTGATGCCGTGAGTAATGAAGCAAAACTCATGTTGAAGCTCCATATAGACGAGCAAATTTTCTATGACAAGAACTTGTTATTTTTGTTATGCCGTTTGTACGTGCAGTGAATTTTCTACGAAAAATTGTTATGTGGCAAAAGATTGGCAAAAGTAAATTGCATTTTCCGGCAAATAGGAGCGCTAGGTGGCTAGCCGCAGCCAGTAATCTAATTAAATATACAGCACCATGTTGCACAGAAAGGTAGGACTACTGAATGTTTGACTGATTGTTTCTATATTTTGTTGTTAGTCTGTACGTATCGAGTTGATGCATTTGGTTGATTATCCATCATCATCCCATTTTATCTTTGTAGAGTGTAGTAGACCATACCAGTCAGATACACGAAACCAGTCGTGTGGCAAATTATTCTATAATAAAAGCATTTGTTCAATAGCTGACATACCAGCTTCTGAACAAATGCATTTTTCAGTGAAAAATTTGACAGTGTCCCCTCTTAAAGACTGACTAATAACATTGGCCTCATACAAAGTTGTTATCAGGGACGCTGGAACGTCGATAATTGTGGGGGGGAGGCAGTTATTCATTTATACGTGTTTTGCATAATACTTTCTTTTGAAATCAATTGTTCTTTACGAGCTGTGACTACGAATATATGAATATTTGTCCCCCCCCACCGATTATCGACATTCCGGCGTCCCTGTTTGTCGCGAAAAACTTGCTCGTCCGTTACCAGCTTCAATAGCGCCTTTATCGATTTTATTTGCGGTTTTCTGAAAAGTGAATTTCCCTTTTCGCTCAAAAAATCGAAAGCATCATACTGAGCAAGTATGTGCATTGTCGACCTGACTCGACCAGTATAATTACCAAGCCTTGGGTATCAATCCAACAGCGAGAGGGATATATATTCATATATTCGGCTGGGTCAGGCTGATTTCTTTTTGAAATGGTCTTTTCCGATTATTCTACGATTGACACCAATGTACCAAGCTTTATAGTCAAGCTTTCTTAGAAATAAGCTCCGCTAAAATTTAGACTGACTTGCATCTTTCTGCGTTTTTCAATTTTATTATCAAGTAATAGTTTATTATTAGAAGTGCTGAGTGCAAGGGGGCGTCGCGATTGTGGTGAGGTGCCAGACCACCCCAATCATCGTTCTGTCTGCGAAAATGCTTCTCCATTGGTAATTTTTAACGACATTTCAATTCAACTACGCCGGCAGCTATTGTCAAATTATTACCAAAACCCCCTCAAAAGCAAAGACTTGTTTTCCATTTTGAACATTTAAGTGATGGTTTTGGAGGGGTTCCACTCTAACAAATTATTTGGTTTGGCTCTCAGGAAAAACTTTTATGATATTGGTAGTGAAATAATAGCGCCTCCAGCTGGATGGTTGACAGAAGGCAATAATGGTTTTTCATAAGTATTGACTCTATCAAAGAACGAGTTGGCGGCATCGTGGAAACTAGTAAAGTTTGAAAACAAGGTGCTTGATGCCATTCTACCAGAACAATCAGAATTCCACAAATTCCAAGAACGAATGTTTATCAAAAGTTTCAAAAAACTAACTTTGACTAAATCGTTTCAACTCTGTCAATTGAAATCTGCATGTTGCTCGTTAAGTTGCGTCTCCAAAAATTTCCACCTAATGACAATACTGAATAACTTTATTCCAATACATGTTTTAGGTGTACTTGACAAGAAATGTCTTCCATATTAAATGATTTCAAAGTTGCATCTCTTTCGAATTGCCGTGATTTTTTGCGAATAGTTTGGCAAGATGGACGACAATCCAAGTTTTCAAACATTTGGCTACGGTCTGCCGTTCGAGACTCAAAGTTTTTCGACTCCAACTCACTGCTGTATCGTCAGCATGAGTATGTTAATTTCATAGCCAATCATACGCCTCTGATGTCAGCCGAGTGTGAAGATGATAACGTCCTAGTGAAGTGGGAGAACCACAGCAGTAACTTTGACGCTTCCTGGCTCAGAGCTCACGACGGCAGTGTGAATGATGATTTGGTTGGCCCATCTGAAGTTGTGTTATGGGATTCTCAGTCTGAGTTTCCGGTTACCTATCATTACAGTGAAAGGGCGGAGAAACTTGAACAATGGATGACTGACCTTAGGAAATATGGAGTGGTGTATTTTGTGAACGTACCAGCCAACGAGAAGGGTCTTGATGACGTCATGCAACAGATAGGTGTCTTAAAACAACGGTTCCATCCAACTAACAAGCTTCCCATAACAAGTGACCCCACTCAAACAAAGGCTGTAGATAAAGACATCTACAGCGGCGATTATCACCCCATACACACTGATACTGCATATTACGCAATTCCCAACAGATTATCTGGTTTGATTGCAACGCATTACGATGCTCCTTTCCAGGACACGGAAAATTACTTCGTAGATAGCATCCGGATCATCAGAGATCTTCAGAAAGAGCAACCGGAAGCGTACGATCTGTTAGAAAGTGTTCCTGTCCGAATAAGCCGACGACGTATGAGTGTGCAAGAAAGATGCGACCCTGCTGATGTGCGCATGTACCAGTACGATGCTTACTTGACAACCCCTCTCATCTCGTATGATCACTCTGAGAGATTGCCCATGCTTCGTTTCTCGAATAAGCATACCGGCTTTGAAATAGACAGCATCCAAGATCATTCCCTAATGGAAAAATACTATAAAGCCTTTTTGCTGCTAGAGTCGAAGCTTTTAGATCCCTTCTATCAACAGAAGGTAATTCTCAAAGCTGGAACTTTGGCAATTTTCAATAACAACCGCGTGACCCATAGCCGTGGACCCGTTCATCCGACGACATCTCGTTTTCTCTACCTGGGCTTTATGTCCGAGGAGATGTGGCGTACTCGTTGGCGAATCATTCTTGGAGAGAAGTCCGGACTCCATGAGAAATGGCTGTACGGTTGTTCTGATGCGACGCTTCAAGTGTTAGCAAAAAGAAAGATATCGGAGAACGTCAAGGAGAATTTGAGTGCAGTGAATCCCCAGCGTATTGTTGTTTAAATTATGTCATTGTAAAAAGTGTTCAAGTAATCACACTAACACTAAAAATGACAATGCATAAATAGGCTGTTTTAAACAGTTCATAATTTCTGTTCGTGTCCTTACTTTTCAAATATCATTTACTGAATAAATGCAACGTGATCTTTAAATACTTATCTGGTCGACATTTTCTTTTTGAAAATATTTGAAGAGTCTCGAACTTCGAACTGTGTGCTTTTGTAATTGCAAGATTGTGATTAAGTCGATATTTTTCAAAATGGAATTTGAAAAAGATGCCTTATACCATTGAACTAAAATACATGGAACGCTACCTGTAATGGAAAAGTCTAATAAATTCTTGAAGCCAAATTTTACACCCAGACACGCGTGTGTAGTCAATCAATTTTCAAAATCTCGAAACACTACACACGCGTGTCTGGGTGTGTTAGATTTGGCTTCAATTATTTGCCTCAGGTAGCGTTCCATGTATTTTAGTTCAATGCCTTATACTTACCCAGTCTCTTTAACAGCATGGCAGTGAGCTGCATTTATTTCTCATTTTGTGGATACTGTGGCACTCTTTTGTCTAGTTAGCCAAGTCTGGCGGAGAGCTATGCATTTTCGTCAAAAAGGGATATCGATTTTTTTTGCCACTACGCATAAAATATACAACGATCGTATTTGTTTGTGTTTGTGCTCCAATTGCGCTTTATTTGTGTCATATTTTCGCGAGTGATTTTACTTTCAGATGAACCAATTGGAGATCTGTTTCTAAACTACTTATTAACATCACAGGTTTTTGCAACCAACATGTGCACCCATGCACCACTGTCACTAGCTATGTCACCGTCAAAACTTGGAAAGTGTTGAAATGAACATGTTTCATAATGAGGATTTCTAATCATTTGAGAATATGATTTATACAATCCACACTTCGCATGTGTTACAATATCATTAAAAACATAAGAAGTTAGACACAACAAAGCCAACAGGATTTGAGTGATAACACAAGCAAATAAATACAGCAAAATTTAGTCTAACCGCAATATCCCTTATGGATTTTCGTATACGTGCATGAGCGTGCAAAAATAGCAAACTAAGGAGGACTTTAACCCAACGAGCTGTTGCGTTTTACGTTTGTCTTATAATCGTGCAAGATATTTTAAAAGTGCTTCTCGGTGACAAAATTCTCACTCATAAAATTATTGTCATTTGGCTCAGTTTTACGATGAACTATTGAAGACCGAACAAACTATTTCCAACTAAATTTTTTGCAAACAAGCAATGCTCATTGATCTAGCGATATTTCCAAAACTGCAAACTGTTTTGATACCCCGTCAATCATTCTATTTGTCCAGTGGTTTCGTAAAAATTGAAACGTTAAAGATTTAAAAAAAGAAAAAGAAGAAAAATAAAACTATTAGAAAAAAAATTGAAAAGAGAAAAAGAAAAAACTAAGATAAAAAAAGGGAAAAACAGTCGAAGAACTGAGGAAAAACGAAGAAAAATATAAAAAAAGTAAGAAAAATGGAAGAAAAACAATGGAGCTCAAAGGATGAAAAAAATGAAAAACTTCTTCTAGCAAAAACGCTATTATAAGACCTGTAACCTTACTTTACATAGCACCATAAATGGTCTAAATAATTTTCCCATGTTGAGTGGGGGAAGTATTTTGATAATTCTTAAGAAATAGAAACCTATTGTTTACTACATCAAGCTAGCCAGGCCCATGAGCAAGATTTGTACGCAGTTTAGAGCAATTAAACTGTTTAACGTTGGAAAGATTGTTGCTCTTTTATTTATTAAAATACTCACTGCCAGGCCGAAATCAAAAACTTGTAAAGACATGTAACGTATAAGAGTTTGAAAAATTGAAAATCTTGATTAAGCCAAACGAGGAAAGTCTTGAAATCGACATGTTTCATGAGATTTTTAATTATTTGAGAACGTGATTTGTACAATTCTCACTCGGGATGTATAGGAACAAGAGAGAGTTTAGACGATCTAAGCGATAAAACAAGACAACAATATTTCTTTCATAGTCTCCTACATGAATTTCATTGTTACAACAATTGACCTATATATCGAAGAATTGGTTGAGGATATGCTCGTGTAGTAAATGTACGTAACCACAAGATTGACTAATCTCCAAAATAAAGTAAAGCGCGAAAAATACTCTAACGGTTTGAAACTAATAGCTTACCAGTGATTTGGTTGACAAATAATTATTGTCCATATCAGTGTATGTGGTGAATATTAAATAAATTTATATAAACTATAAATCTTAACGTCATCGTTGGGTTCGGTTTCGTTCAATCGCGTTTAAGATCAGTGCGACAATGAGAGTTGAACGCGTTGAACCGCGCAGTAAACCCCCCACATCTCATACTGTGCGAAACTAATCTGTAATCGAATCATTATTACTATGGGCTTTACGTCATGAAAGGAAATAGATGTTTCGTGTTATGCAAAATGGAAGCACCCTCCACTTCCCTCTTCTGTGCCTGCGGATAACGCTGGCTTCATCACCAGCATACTTCGTATAAATAAATATGTTCAATATCTCGGAGGTCATCTGGACGCTTGAACTAACGCATGCGCATTGCGTGGTACTTTAGCTTCTGATAAGACAGGACCTGCTCCACAATCCAATTCCATTTTCTTACAATCGTCACTACGAGTGAACTCAAGAGAGCGTTTGGCGGGATTTTGAAAGGAGCCGTTGCAACCGTTAGGCAGTCGATTGGGTTTCCACACATCTTCGAAGCCAAATTTCGCTTCCGTATTGCCGTTCACACGCAACGGGCTAAATACACATCATCACCACGATCAATGAAATAGGTTTCTCATTAACTAAGCTTTAAGCAGTCTTGTGAGTTGTTAGAAATGAAAATATCACTTTTGTGTTACCTCATAGGCGCTTGAAATTCTCTTGAAGGGCTAAATAGAAAGATAAATAATGAAATTAGTAGCTATATGGGACAAAATGCTGATAGTAATTGAACTACTCATTAATAGAAAAACTTCTAAAAGTGGAGTCAAAAGTTTAAACCTTAAATTAATAACATCTCTTTGGAAAGATTCAAAAACTGAAGGTGCCACGTACGTAAATCCCTAAAAAGAGCGACAAGATTGTGTATGAAAAAAAAACGCGATGTTCTCGAAAGCTACAGCACAGTAACACGGCACTGTAGAAACTTACTGAGAATATTTGATTAACACTTTCACTGAGACATGAATCGTCGGGTGAATCGACCGGAGTTTGTTTGGTAAACTTTGTATCAAATTGACTAACATCCTCCTCACCGGTCTACAAAATGAATGTAAACTTTTGATGAAAAACTTGGCTAGATTGTCATGTCAAGCAGTCTTCCCACAGTCCTTTGGTGGTCTAGCATCAACTATTGAGACTTGGCATTAAGTCACTTCAAATAGTTAAAACATTTAGGCGCCTACCACGGATGGTTTAAAAGGTGGCTCCGTCTTCCTCGCCACTAAATGATCCCAGTTTACGTGTCGGAAAAAGTTGTGTTTCTGAATGGGAAGTGAAATTGGTTTTCTTAAATAAAGATAACGGCAACAAAAGGAATTCGTTAGAAATTTAGTGCAATCCACAACCTTTCATCTACTGAACCCAAAATTGCTTATTTACTTTAAAAGTATTAAATACTTAACAGGTAGTTTTCAGATAAAAATTGACAAAAATAAAAAGTATAATTCACTTTAATCGGATGGGCATCATCTACTCCACCGCCAAACCGTAAATGCGAGCGCCTTTTCAGCAACTAGATGGTAGAAAAAAAGATAACATTAGACGCAAGAGACCACATTTGGGTTGCGTTTTAACTATCACCTTTCGTAAAAGATCTTTTGCTTCCGGTGTAAGATAAGGGGGCAGTTGAAGTCTTCCTTTTAAAATCTAAAAATACGAGAGACAAAGTTATATTTTGGCATTAGGTAGTGAAAAGGTTTCCTATGGCACGTAGCATCTACAGCAACATCAAAATTTCTTGTGAACTTCATCATATCAATCTCAAAAATAGGACGTAATGTTAATAAAACTATTTCATACCTTATCTATAGTTTTCTTTCTGTTTTCTCCACAAAAAGGAGGCTAAAACAAAATAATGAAAGCTCAAACTGCGTCACTCTAGAGAGCTTTCGTGGTTATTATTTTATAACTTAATAGACAACGCCTGTAATTCGGCCTTCAATAAATATAGTTTGTGGAAACTATACTAACTGCTCCGGTCAGCATGTCGTACATTAGAGCGCCCAAACTCCACCAATCAACAGCTTTTCCGTGTCCACTGCGGGTGAGTATTTCGGGTGCCCTGTTTAAAATACACGTATAACGAAACCTTAAGTTGCAGAATCTAGTATATACACATAAAGATGAAGGACACTGGAAAGGAGGAAAGTACGGAGTTGAGTTTTAAAACCAAATCTAGTAAAATTGAAGTATATAAAGGACTTGATTGTTCAACATCGTATTATTCGTAATATGGACAAACACTGCAATGAAGACAATAGAACAAACTTTTTACAACGGACGCGTTTATCAGCTCATTATTATCAATAAGTAATGTCTTGCGTCAAATAAATCAAGTGTTTACATGTATTCGATGGTTCCACAAAATGTATGAGTCACATTATCTTCAAATATGGATTCTTTGCACAAACCAAAATCTGTTAATTTAACATGACCTAAAGAAGACATAACAAAAAGAAGATGAATCGAAGGTCGCATTTTATATATTTTATAAAATTTATTCAGGAAAACCTTCAGAAAAGAAACAAAACAAGCAGAATAAACAAGATCAAAGGAACTTGTCATCAAGAAAGGAGATTGTTACTAATAATGCAACTTTTGACCACTGACGGACCTTCGCACCAATAATGATAGGAACATAGTACGAATGTGGGAAGTTCGTACAAAATAGGAATTTACTAGTTGTAAGCGATGAGGGATGTTGGAAACATTGAAAGACGTGTAGAAATTTAGTATAGTGGTAAATATTAGAATGGTTGGAAAAACAACTCACATAAATTACTCGTGAAGCTTTAGTTGGAGAAACGAAAGTCTGTTTGCTAATCAAACAAGCACAGATAAGAAGGTGAAAGTGTAAATAAGAATTCGGGTATGATAACTGCAACAAATCAAGAACAAGAGTACACAGTAATGTATTTAGTGCGACGCGGTTCTTACAAATAATGCACTCAGAAATTCAGCACAATTTGCTGACCATTCAGTTAAAAGGATTGCACTTACCCTTATAAGATAAATTTTCTGAGGCTGCCGTGAAACTTAGTGCAAACTTTTAACTTAAGGCACTTGTAAACAAAGAAGGGAGTTGGTTTATTGAAAACGAAAACCCTACCAACGAAAGGCCATTTAAAAAAACTTTTGTAAGCAAAGGAAGTTCGCAATCGCAGCAATACAGATACTTGTCGCCACTGTAAGGAAATTCCTACCGAAAATGAATTTGGCATCAATAAACAAATCTCTTGGTGTTAACTAAGAGGAACATGCTGGTTATAAGTAATGGAACTTATCAAGAAAGAAGGAAGTAGCGAAGTTGCATCTTACATAAAGAATAATGAAGTGACTATCAGGTAAATTAATAACAAGTCTTTCAAATGTTTTTACTGCAATAGACAAACTGCAAAATTACTTTAATGGCATTCACACAATTTTGCCAAACATGATAAGAAAACCTACCATCAGCTTGCAATAAAATATTTTCTGGTTTAAGATCTCTGTAAAATGAAGTAGCATTTTCAGTGGCTGCACTTTATAACTTCAACTGTCAAACATGTACCTGTATATTATTCCTTGTTTATGTAAGTGTTCTAAAGCCAAGGTTATCTCTGATAAATAAAATCTACAGCAAAACATTCAAACTTGTGAAGAAGTTTGGTGGAAGACTTTCTCATGCAAAATATGCATAATTTTGAAGATGACAAAAACAATATCTGAATGTTCAAATGTTGTTTTTTTGTTTCGAATGGAAGGCAATACATACGTTGCTGCATCTTCCATAAAAATTCCTTCTCTTTCTAAATGCATAAAAAGCTCCCCACCTACATCAAAGCAAAAAACACCAATAAAATATAAGGTACAACTAAGATTAAATAGAAAAATTGTTCAACTTTCATCTAAGCTTCTCTACTAATCATAATGGATGATGTAATGGCAAAAAAAAACACAACAGCATTAATTTCATGGGTAATAATACCGAGCAACAAATTGTTTTATAGATTTAATCTTAACTTTCAAACTAGCCATTTAGAGATGTAAAATACTAAATATATTTCTAGGTGCATACATATAATGCATTTGTAACAACCGTACTCAGCATTTTTTGCAAAAGCAAAATCTCAAGTAACTGACAAAACCATATGATGTTCAAAATATGGTCTTACCACTCAAATACTCTAAGATAAGATATAATTTCCCGTCAGTTTGGAAGGCATATATTAAATCCACAATAAATGGATGCTAGAAAGACAGCATTGAGATTTCAGTCAATAAATTTAGGTATAGTTGTATTATCATTTTAATACACCAGAATGATTTACTATCACACCTTGACAGCTTCAAGTATATTTCTTTCAGCTTTTGTATGTGCTGTGTCCTTTTGACTGCGAACAATCGTTGCCTATCATAAAATGATTCATTTTAGCTTCATTAATATCAAACTTATCACTAAAAAATCAAAACACATGTGTTAAAAAAACACGGAATGACTTTTAAAGCAATGTGACAGACCTTTTTTAATACTTTCATGGCATATATCTTCCCAGCATTGTGGCCTGCCACCTGCCTTACTTGGAAAACCTTGTTTGGAAGAGAAATATAATTTTGGCAATTTCATGACACTATTGACTACTTTACTCAAGAAAACTCTTCATGCTACTAGTCAGTAATCTAAATCGGCAATGTGGCATGACCTCATCCTAGATGTCGACTTGATATGTACCAATGCAATATATAACTTGACAATTCCTATGCTTGTCCAGTCTACCATATACGCTTATGTTGTTCCTAGTAGACTGGCACAGATGATCGTATATTGTGTAGTGACACATGCAGTGGCATCGACTGGATTTTATTGGGGGAGGGGGGCAACATACTCCCAAAATGTCATTTGCATATACTATCCACTGTTTGATAACACTGACTTTTTCAGTTACATGTATAAAGACACAAGCATGGGAAATATTTGGGGCGGGGCAGTTGCCCCCTCAATGGCACCACCTGCCACATGCCATGTAAGAAAGTATTTTGGGCTAGCTAAACTTTGGGCTTACTTTTCCATAACCTCCTTTACCCAATACTTTCAACAACTCAAACGATTCTGGCCCAATTTTCTCATCACTAGGATTGACCATTTCTTCGGAAATGGCCACTGTCTCCATGTTAGAATCACTAAACACAGAAACATTTCATGCTTACCTTAATGCAATGCCCTTTCCTGGCACAACCAAACCATGTAAGTATGTTCAATGAGGTTGACACATAAGGGATGATTATTTATACATTTTAGAATAAAGTTTTGAAAAACTTTGTATTGGCAAAGCATGATTTCTGACACAGTTATATATGCAAATAAAAAACATGTGGCTTATACGAGATTTAAAATCGCACCTGCTATGCAAAAAGATATATTGTATCTGCATTTCAAACTTATTAAATACTTTTAACTTTTACATATGAAAGTTCTTACTCACACATCAAAACGTGAAAACCCCCGCATTGTTTTAGGTCACATGATCAAACATCGAATCAAATACAGTGATTAACTACCGGCTGAATCTTAGGTCTGTTTTGTATACTATATAATCACATTACTCGAAAATCGAACACTGAAAATTCGCAATACGAAAAAGAAATCGAGTAGCAGGGACCTCGGCAGAGACCAGTTTCAACTTGACCTTTGAAAACCTTATGGTGCGAGTCGATCCGTATGATTTAATACGATAAAATGCGTAACAAAGCCGGGTTAATCTGCCAACTTTACCCACGAATCGCACACAACGCGACTTTTATATTACAACTTCATTACTTACTCTTTATCGCAATCAACGCAGTCTGTACAACAGGACACTGGCTGAAAACGAAAAATCAAGCCACTAAGAAGTGAAATCTTTTAAAAAATGACTTTATATAATATGAGTTTAAGATTCTTTATTAGGCCCATTCACATTAGAACGCATACCGCATCTAGTTCGTCCTCGCTGAAATGATCTGAACTGTCGTGAAAACCTTCGTTGATTTCAATCGGGAACAAACCATCCATGATGGATAAAAGTTTTATTGAACGGCAACTTTGTTGACTTTTAACGCTCAATTTCAACGTTTCCCGAAAGAAACAGATATATGACTTTCGCTCTATGATATAATTATTGTAGCAACTGAATAGTGTTCTTCATTATAAATGATCGCGTTCGTAAAATATTCCGCGAAAATTTCGGCCAATTCGGCGAGTAATTGTCGATAATGGCAAATTGTCGCGATTTTTTCTCAAATATTACGGTCAGATTACGGTTGTTGATTTGCGACTTCCGCTGATCTCTGCATAGCAAATAGTTGAAATGCCATTTAGCTTACGAAAAGAATTTCCGGTCAATCCGGTCGGGGCAACAGATAGTTAACCAACATCCCATAAACCTGCCCCCATAGAACCACAATTTTTGTCCGGCATTGACGTCATAAGAGCAAAATTAAAGCATTTTGTTGCAACTTTCATTCATTAAAATTTTTTATTATGCACAGTAGTAAGCGTTATTTTCAAAAAACTTCGCGAACAACACTGATTATAGTCGATAACAAGATTAGTTTGGTGGTGCTAACACGAAGCATTTCTTTAACATTGTATATGGCTACACAGATATTCGTTCGGAAGAAACAGCTCGAATGAAGAGACTCCAAACTCCAATACTCCAAGTAGTAAGTTTATAAAATAATTTTTTTTTGTTCTTTTTGGTCACTGGTCTCGGCTTAGTCGGTTCATTCTTCCATAATTCTCGAGAAAACTCCCACCTGAAAAAATTAAGAAGTTTAAAACGTTTGGCAGTTTTTATTCATTCATACATCAGAGAAACGATAGAAATGCAAACACACAATAAAGTTGTTTTTATTGACATCAAGTGTCCAGACAACTAAGGGGGTGTTTACATGAATCCGGAAAGAGTTTCGATCCGGAATGAACTCATTCCACTTTAAAAGAAATCCTACTGCATGTTTACATGAATCCGGAATGAGTCACAACTCGATCCGGATCGAGTTCATTCCTATTTTCATTCCGGATCGAAATTTAGTTTTAATCTCATGTAAACGCGAATTGAGTTTCATTCTGGAATGATATTGTGATTAATGACGAAGCACGCATGTGCCATGGGTATTGTCTTCTAGGAAATTGAAGCTCATAAGCAAATAAAGAGGCTAAATGGGTTAAAATGAGTGCGAAGAAAAACAACAATTAGTTTCATGCAAGTGTAAAGCTGTATTAACGCAGGAACAACAGAAAAAAAAAGGGTTGCTATTATGTTTATGTTCTCCATCTTCAAATTTCAAAATTCCCGCAAAATGTCAATCCTTGTGTTGAGTTCCCATGTAAACACGGATTGACATAACGCTTCGATCGGGATTGAAAGTCATTCCGGATTCATGTAAACACCCCCTTATAGAGAGAATGACTGTTCAAGAGTAGGTTGGTAGAATTTTGCTGGTAATACTTATCGTATTGAGCAGTTTTGGCCTTTCAAGCTCAAAGTATACAAGCAAATTAAAACGTTCAACATCCAATTTATATCTAACACCGAGGTTTTGATATTTCGAAATTTAGTAAAAAAGCTTGCAACGGATGATGAAAAGGAAGAAATTAAAACGTAAAACAAGAGCTTCTAGGCAGCTACAGTGTATTTTCTGTTTTAGAAAAATGGATAGCGGCCAGGACGTACTTTATCTTTTATCTGCTGACAAAGCTGAAGCGAAATCGCTATCATCTTAAAGGCCTCCTCAAGCCAAGTTACGGAGCACTCCACCTAAAAAAAAACAAAGCAAGTCTAAATAGAATTTCCTACTTTATACATGTTTAAGGTAAAAAAGTTCGCGAGAAGAAGAAAATCGCACAAATCAACAAATTACCTCAAAGCGATTAATGATTTCAAACCATTTACCGCCATGTTCGCTAAACAGAAAAAGAATATTAACTCATAACTTCTTCTTGAATGTTTTAGACGAGCTAGAGCCCTTACAATATGGTCGAAGTTTTGTCGCTGTTCGTTGGTGACTTCTAGAAGATATAGGAAAAGACATTAAGGTACGAAGATCGATAACTGGAGGGAGGGGTGGGGGAGAGTGGGAATTTATGTATTATATATGCCCTCCTCCTCCCCCCCCCAATTATCAATTATACTATGTCCAAGTTGTATGTATGATTCATACGCATTTTTGAAACCAAATTTTTCACCAACCCCACAAAGAAGAATTTTCAAATCATAACCGAAATCACAGTACGCATGTCAGTAATAAAGTAGTACCTGCACACCAGAAAGGTTCGCGGCAGACAGCGAATTGAGGACATATACAACGAAGACAAGTTTATGACAATTTATATGAAAGTTTACGACGACCTCGCCCGGTAATGATGGTTTGAATGCATTCTGGTAAGAAATTATTACATCACATTAAGGGGCGAACGTCATAAATATTATGTTATAACGTCAATAGGACGTCAGACATGTAAATTGACTTCCGGTTTACTCTAACTAAGTGTATGATGTGGGTAAAAGTAATTACTAATTAGTATAATTATATCCTAGTTATTGACTCTAAAACACCTTAAATTGGTCAAACATAACATTGACTGATAAAATGATCAATTATTGCGAAGAGTTTCAGCTGGGGGGTTGATTTCTCTTAAATCCATGCATGCCTCATGATGACGTAATACAAAAACACCAAGAACACAGATATCTTATGAACTATCTAAACTAAGGAAGATTGATTGATTTCTACTGGTCAAAAGCACACTCAATTGAATGGTACGGATTCTTATTAGCCATTCTAGTAACAAATGTCGAAATTCAGACACCAACTTGTATCTGACAATGTAAACTGTTCAAGTATTACCAAAGATCCATTTGACATGATTTCTGAAACAGTCTGTCTTTCAGGCACGCTTAAACTGGCCTTTCCACGGGAAATATCACTGATGAGTTCGTCAACGATCTGTAAGTTAAACAGCTAAAGCTATATGTTTTGTTTTGTTGGTTTTTGAAATGAAATATCACCTCAGTTATTTGTGCTCTAGTTGTAAATGTCTCCAGCGAAAGAGCAACGCCAATTTTTTCCATTGCCATCTGGAGATTGTTTTTTGCATCTTGCACCTGCAATAAGCGATTTGAGTTTTACCATTTCAAAATAAGTATTGTCATAAACAACAGCAGGTCTCAGCATACAACATTTATCAAGAACTGCAATGAAATTGGAAACATGTTGGATTTACTGTTAATACAAGTAATATATTCACCATACTTGACCAAGTCGCCAAGGAGAAGCTTCTTTTATATATGTATGAATGTCACCATTGTTAATTTTTGGCACTTTCAATTTAAACTCCTAAGAAATTTCAAGATCAAATGGACGCAAAAACAAAAAATTGTGCGATTAAAGTCTGAGGAAATTGGTTTTGGGTTGGGAAAATTGTTTCCTACACTGAAAAACATCAAAAACTCACCGCATTAGTTATAGAATCCCCATTAACTGTCACATAACCTTTAAGTACGTCTACACTGCAAAATAATATAAAAGTGTAATTTCATTTTTTCTATCATGAAGACTTGTTATCATCTATCAAGTAAACTTAATATTTTTTGCCACTCAAGGCCTTTGATCTTAATCTTTGTCAGATCGTAAAATCTATCTAAGAAACTTGCCAGGGTGTTTTCAACAAGAACTTGTCTGGCTTTTCTGTGAAATAAAAAATAATGAAAATAATACTCAAAATAGCCATTGAAAAGAAATTGAAAATAATTATTATTCAAGCTTCCTTGAAAAACGCAAATGATAAGAGCTTTTATGTACCCGTTCTCTTTCTTGGAGCACTATTGAATTTATCATCACATGCCTATGAAAAAAAAATTTTAAATGATAATTGCCATAGCAGAACGACAGTTACCATAACACTATGACAATCACCATTATACTACGACAGTCAACATTGATCACAGTAGAACAATCTCCATAACACTAGAATAATCTCCATAACACTTCGACAACCACCATAACACTATGACAATCTGAGCTACTAAACTTAAACAGTGAGCATAAAACTAGGAAAATAACACTACACCAGCCATCACAACACTACACCAGCCATCACAACACTACACCAGCCATCACAACACTACACCAGCCATCACAACACTACACCAGCCATCACAACACTACACCAGCCATCACAACACTACACCAGCCATCACAACACTACACCAGCCATCACAACACTACACCAGCCATCACAACACTACATCAGCCATCACAACACTACACCAATCTCTATGAATCCAGGACAGTGACTGTCCCCATAACACTAGCTGGTGACCGTAACTCTTATACAAACTTTAATATAATCTTCCATGATAAAGTAAATGGTTTGAACCCGGGAGTACCGTTACATGTTTGTAAATGATGATCGTCCAGGTTAATAAAGTTGGTATAGAAAGTTGGTATGCCAACTTGGAACAAGCCCCCCTGAACAGATCACAGCAATTATCGGCACCTTACAAACGACTTATTCACAATACAAACAAACGATCAACTAAAAACATTACACTTCACACTAATCCACAATGACAATACACATTTCCTGTACACACAATACAATGACGTAAGAACCAGATAACAAATACGGCTAACCTGACGTTTACTCCTCATTTGACTCTGAAGATGACTACCGCTAAGGTTGTCAAAACGTCAGTCAACAACAACAAAAACAGTCCTTCTCAGGACTTTATTAACCTGGACGATCATCATTTACAAACATGTAATAATCTTCCATGCATGATGTGAACTGAACGAGAAATTTAATATGTAAATGCACCTTTAAAATGCTCTCAATTTTTCTTAAAATTGAAGGAATCTGCTTTTCTAAAAGCCATCGAAACTCTAGTTCCTGCAACGACAAAGTAAAACAATCCGGTAAATTGTTGAACGTCTTCGTTTTCTTTCTAATCCAGTGCAAAATCGCCCAACAAACCATTATTTTTACATCTTCGCCACTCCTGGCCGACGCCATGTTTGTTGTAAAAAGTAAAAGACTTTAAATTGACCCCATTTAGTCGGTAGATCCACCATTGTCCTGCTAACTTTTGCCTTATTTATCAATATATGTACTCGTTTTAATGAATCATTTTCAAAAGAATCATAAGTCAAAAGAAAAACTTTCAACTCATGGCTATTAACAATTTCCAATTTGTTTTTGTCGCGTTGCAAGGTATTGCACAAGTATTCGTTTATCAAAAATGCTTTAAAACCTTTAAAATCCTTCTATTTCTACGTATTTTTTCCAGTGTTTGCCATATTTGTGTTTTGCAACGATTTCCAAACAAACGAAAATCTTGAAAGATTCAAGTTTGGGTCAATTGTTACGAGTGGGGAAGACAACAGCACGTCTAGTGAAAACGTTAGTGATACTCTGGTGATGCTTGTCAATTTCTTGAGCTTGTATAGAAACTAGTATCTCCCATTGGTTTCAATCATCTCCTAGTTTTATTTATTGCAAATAACTTGCAGTTGCAGAATTTTGCAAGACTCAAACCAGATACTTTCGCGAAGAAGTATTGCAAAAAAAATAAAAGAATGAAAATTTTATTTCTACCTTCAGCAATTTGGCATCAATGTTCTAAGACTTTTCATATATTTCTAATTATTTTTCAGGGACTTACAGGCTTGGGTGAGTTCAAGTTAATTTTGAAATATAATCTTACCGTTTCACTGGAAATTTGGAATTTTTGGTCGCCCTCTAATAAACGATTGAATAAAAAGTTTTTTTGCTTGAAAAATCACTGTACATAGATCAACTTGTTATAATTCTTCGAAGTCAACATGATTCTTATCATCGGCAAAAAGCAGAGAGATTTAAAAAGAAACTCAATGAACAAATAACAGCTAGAGCACTTCAGGTACATATTATAAATATGAATATTATAAATATTATATAATGTTTCAAATTTCCATTACAGAATAAAACTTACGAGCTTGTTATGCTGATGTTTTTTAATAGATCTCACTTTCTCTTACATGTTTTTGCATATTCTAAAACCCTACTGCACACTTTATGCCTTTCTCATTCTAAACAGCTGTTCTTTTATCCTTAGGGTCAACTTATTTTGAAAATGCTTCATGAAGACTGGGCCCCATATGGGGCATGGACAATATTTCCTATTATAAACATGTATGTATGTAAGTACATAAGTTGTCATTTTAGGACAAACCATGTCAGCCTGATGGTGCTGTGCATATGCATTTTGTTTTAATATCTGTAATGTTTGTTTAGTTTGGCAAATGAATTTTTGAACTTAAAATCATGGTTCTTTTTCTGTGAAGATGATACATTGCTTGATCTGCATGGAGTCTTGAGAGTATTGGGTCGCTACAATTACTCTGAGGTAAAATGGAGAGTTTTTGTCTCTTCATGACGCACCTGTACTGATGTTTTTATGTCAACATTGCTATACAGTAAAATTGCCTTCTTTGTAACAAAGACAGTCATTTCTTATTGTGTGTTTCCAATTTGTGTTATTCTTTTCACGATAGCTTCACAGTGATACACCTGGTAGACACTATATGCAAGTGTAATGGCCCCCATTGACTGAGTGAAGTGAAATGCATTTCATTGAATTATGTTTTAAGTTAGTCATTCCTTTCAGCACTTTAGTGCTCTTGCGAAAACCAAGGTATCTAACATCTCCTTGCTTGAAGGAAAGGAAAGAAATCACTCCATAATAATTTGTACAAGAATCTATCATTTGCTTTTACTATAAATTCACCAAACTTTGAGATGCAGAACTGAGCACTACATGACTTTCAAGAGAAAGATGTAGTAGTAACCAGGCCTGCTTGTACCATGTTCTTCTGAAAAAGTTGTTTTTATATGCGCTCCTCATCATGCATGCTTAAAAAGCTTGTCTCAATGTAAAATCCTTCTATGTTTTCATTCAAACAAATTTGATTTATTTAGGAGCATTTTCTTGGGCATGCCTTGCAAGATCCTCAACCTGCCATAATTCATCATTTTGCCTTTTACGAAGATCCATCAAAGTTTTCGTTCCCTGATTTCTCAGCTGGCTGGGCGATGAGCTCCGCGTTATTGAAAAGGTAATGCTGAAATTTTTACTGTTGTAAGTTGGGTTTGTACTCAGATCGTTTTAAAAAGTCATAATGAGTTGTATTGTCCTGTTTAATTATTTTGTAAAGTAGGTGTTAGATTATTGGAGTCTTAATTCCAAATCGCCTGAATAAGTTTCAGTGTGAAATCTTTAATCTGTTGTGAATTAAGTGGGATTGAACATATTTTTTGTGTTGATTCCAGATTAGCTCAACGTCTCGTTGACAAGCCACTTGAAGTTGATTTCAGCATAGATGTGCAACACGAGGTACATACTAGCATATAGATTTTCTTCAACGATTAACTGTTTTTCTTGCGGTTTTTGTGCTTTTATAAAGTAAATCTTCAATAAAAGTTTTGATTGACTCGTGAAAAAATCAAATTTGTATATTTCGAAGGTGGCGATGTACATTTTTCACGATGGAAAGGGCATTAAGCTCACAGATATCCCAGAGTTCTGTACAAGCACTCTCGATGATGACGAAACTTGCGTGACGTCGTTTATTGATTCTTCCATGTCGTGTGTACGTAAGTCATCAATAAAGTCAGACGATTTATTTCCCCTTAAGGTTCTAACCCTTACACGGTTTTAAATAAACTTTTACCTACATGTAAGTTACTCGTCTTGGATTTTAATTTGTGTTGATTTTAATTTTAATTATCTTGCTGTTGTTGTTGATGTTAATGATCAAACGCTTTATTTTTCTTACAATAATAACATCATTTCTCTTGTTTTTCTCTGCTGATAAAATCATAGGGTGAACTTTCAAACGAAGATCTATTTTTTGCCGTCAAAACAACCAAGAAATACCATAAAGACAGAGGTTCGTCTTTTTTCTAACTTAATATTCAGATATCGTATAAGGTAATTTAGATTTAGTTTTATTAATTAAATACTGTAAACGATAAAAAGTCTTATTGAATGCAGACAGTGCATGTCAACAAGGACTTTTGATTCGAAATGTATCGATGTCCAATCTATGCTGTAATTATCATTAAAGTTCACTAACTAGAAAATCTGGTGAAGATTTTATTAAATCTTCAGCTAGTTGAGCAAATATGTTAGTATGTATATATATAAATATAGTGTGTTATATGTATAGTGATCGTATTTACTGTTTTACATACGATGCGTTTTTATTTATTCTAGTTCCGGTGATCAAGAATACTATTGGTCAATACACGTCACGTATTGTGTATTATAGTGAAACTGTCGATGCCAGTATTCCGACTGAGGATACAGGTGTACCAAATATGGAATCTGGTAAGACAAAGCGAAACAGAAGCAATCCAAGTAGACTTTGTCACCAAATGTTTCTTTTTCTTGCGCACACACTTGTCTAGTATTTTAAGTAACTAGTTCATATGTTACACAGACTGAATGCGTTATCCACATAGAAGACAGACCTTGTAAAAATGTGGTTTTGTGCCTCTGCAATGTGTTACTATACGTATATAATACTACTTTCTTGCAGGACACTGCGACAAACTGTGGGCAATTATGAAAAACAGTCAAAGCAACAAAAAAGCAGAAGGGATGAAATGGCTTGTTGTTGTGGACGATGATAGTATAATGAGGTGCTCGTTTGCAAATTTATAAACACTGTGTGCCGTCGTTGCTTAAAGCGAAATATCATGTATATATAGTGTTTCCCGCCTAAGACGGTTGTTAGCATGTTACAATTCAAAAGAGAAGATCTTATTGGGCGAGAGATATGGGTACGGATGTAACGCAGGTCGAGGATATGAGTACATAACAGGAGGTGGTGGGTAAGTAGCTAGAGTGACTAATCTTTACAGAAAATCTAGTAAAGTGCTTATTGTCGGTAAAGAAGAGTTCATTATTTCACACAAAACATACGCCAATGGTTGTATTAGTGAACAACATAACGTTGTTTAGTGGCTTATAATGGTTTATTTTGTGGGTTGTTTAGGATGGTTCTGAGCAAAGTTTTAGTTGATGCCATGTTGAGGTCTGATTGTGGTTGCCAGTCACCTGATGCCCCTGATGACATGGTTCTTGGGCAATGTTATAGAATGTTCAGCTTACATACTGTCCACAGTTCTTCATTTCATCAGGTAAACTTTTTTCAACATCGTTCTTATACTAAGTATCGTCTGGATAGTTAAACTGTTTTGCAAGTGTTTTTAATTCGAATCACATTCTTAAATGTTTTTTTGTTTCGTTTATTTTGTGTTTTGCTGTTTGCATTACGAAGTTTGTTTACATTTGACTGTAAAATTACGCGTTTTGGACCGTGGTCGAGTACGGGAAAATAACCGACCGGCAAAAAATGTTTCTGAGCCAATCAAAGCGCGCCATTTTGCCGGAAGTGACGCTTGCCATATAATAAGTATAAGGTAATACAAGTTCATAGAAAAAGTTGCTTACCAGCAAACTTAATAAAAGGTTTTTCGACGATCATACTTAATCTACTCCTAATAATTATCGAAGTTCACTGACCGAAACAATCTTTTATTTCGTGAATATTTCTAATCTGTATTATTTGACAGGTTTAAAACTAGTCAAAATAAACTTGAAATAGTTGATATCTCGCTTTGCCTTCATTTCTCAATCACAAACTTTCCCTTACGTTATTTTTACAATTATTGTTTTTCGGTTTAGGCGCGACCGGTAGAGTATTCTCCGAAACTTCTTGCACATCAAATTCCTGTTTCTTTTCATAAACATTACGATATTGATCCATATAAAGTTTACGAAGATTATTTGAGTTGACATCTTACGAAAGGTGATTATTGTAATACTGCTTCAAGTGCACCCGCCTTTTAAGAAGTTGCAGTTCCGCCTTTGAAAAGTTGTAGGACTATCCGTTATGTTGCTGTGTATGAACAACTTATCAATGCCTATCGCTATCATTGTTCTATAGCCATCAAATGTCATGTTGTTAAAAGTGCCTATGAATCGAAAATTTTGCAAGTTAAATTGTGTTTGAAATGACTAGAACTTTTGAAATGACAGTGTACTTTCTAAAACAGTTAATGCTTATCTCTTTTTATTCTCGTGATTTTGACGTTTTTGTTACTTCAAATTTATACAACTTGTGACGTCATGTTGCATAATGACCTCGCACAATGTTTCAAATACTCTTCAGTTTCCTGACAACTTTAGGTTGATACCAGTAGGAAACATCTTTTACAATTAACCACGTCACAATGAAGGGAACTCTTTCCTTGTGAAGTAAAGTATCGGTAAATATACCCAATGATTTTAGATCTCCATTATGCAATTTGACGTCACAAGTTAGATAAATCGGACAAAGCAAGAACCTCAATATCTCAAGAATTAAAAGTGAAAATTAAAAAATTAAAGGAATACTCAGACAAACAAACACTTATCTCTATTTATAATGCCCTGGTACATCCTTACTTCACATATTGCTGTGAAGTTTGGAGTGTATTGGGGGAAACTCAATCCAAAAGACCACAAAAGCTTCAAAATAGAGCTGCAAAAATGATGATAAGCATGGGCAATGATGTCGATCATTGTAATGCATTACAAGAATTGAAGTGGGAACCTTTGAAATATTTAGAAAAAAAGCTAAAGCAAAGTTTAAATTATTAAAAAATGCAGGACCAAATTCACTTACTAGATTGTTTACCTATAGAAAAGACATCACTGATTACAATTTACGCAATATTACAAGTTGTCTGAATGTTCCTATGCCTAGTACTAACTCCTTGAAGAAAAGCTTTTCGTATGATGGGGCTTCTGTTTGGAATTCAATTCCAGCAGAAATCAGAAATAGCAAAAGCGTGTCACTTTTTCAAAAGAAAATTGCTGCTTGCATTTTATAATTTAGTTTAACATGTAACTGATTGAATAAACTAAACTCTCTAAATATTTAAACTCATCTTTCTCTTCTATAGTTATTTTAATTCTTAGTAAATTTTGTAATCGCTTTTCAACAAAAGCACGCCCCTCGTGAAAATCAACCCCAGTTGACGAGGCCAGCGTGTCAAAATAAAGATTTTCATTCATTCATTCATTCATTCATTCATTCATTCATTCATTCATTCAATAAAAAGTGAACCTCAATATCCCAAGAATTAAAAGTGATATGCATAAACTGGTTTAGAATGTCCATTGTCATTTTAAAATATCTCTTGAATAAAGTACTATAAAGTATTATAATTACTCAGATATGAAAATTTTCGTTTCATTGGTACTTTATCAGTTTGTAGAGTATGGGGGGAGGCATAGAGATTATAAATAATACTATGTATATATGTTATACTCCGTCATGGGGGAAATTGCATTTTTTCTTTTCCTGGAAAACTTTTCAAACCAGATTTCTTTGGTTCCGAAATTTCTTTAGGACACAACTGTGACCGAAGTATCACATTCTTAACAACACTTTGCGAGAAAAGTTATTAATTGTAAATTAAATACATTAAATACTTAACATGTTTAAATATATAAATACCATTGATTTCTATTGAACTGACGTAACTAATAATTCATGACGTCAGGGAATGCCGATGTCTTTGTGCCGACCGAAGTCCGGATTGTTACGACATAAAACGACCATCCATCCATTAAGCCAATTGTAAAATTAGTAATCGTGTCAGCTGTTTGGTTGATTTGGTGACTTTGAGCCTCACTTTTTCACTTCAATTGATAGCAATATTTGAAGGAAAGAGTAAACTACAAATATCGTTCTTGATAATGCATGGCAAGCAGTGACCACATAAAGCATCAAGACTAGAAAGATTTTATACAGGTATTTTCTTGACAATTCACGTTAATTATCGTGTGTATTTTAGGGGTTTTTGTTTTATGACAAAATATTTCATTCATGTAGGTAAATAGGACAAAATATCTTTAGATAAATTGGTTCTTGATGTCTGAATCAAATAATGTGGACTCAGATTTGTCCAAAAATTTGAATTTGGTGGAGAAGCCTGCCGATGGAGACGAAGCAAGTGGAAAAGATGGAGCTAAGGATCATAGATATGCCAAAACGTATCAAGTATTCCAGCAGATGGGCCTGCTTGAATACACATTGCAAATGGCAAAACTTTGCAAGGAAAGCGAGCTTCTTCAGCAAAAAATCAATAGTTTGGAGAAGGAAGTAAATGAAAGCAGTCAAAAAGCCAGGAAAGGATTGAAGGAGAAGTTGGGTCAGGTATCTCAAACTCCCTCTGACAGCCCACCCACTTAGCATGTACTCCATAAAGGAATGGCTTGCATTGTAAGATTGTGTTTGTAAAGCATTTTAATTTGCCTTAAAGTCTTTGGATATGTAGGGAAAGAGCTTTATTTGGGATATACAATTTTTACTATATGGTCTTTGTGACAATAGAATGTAAAAGCATATTTTCAAGAAATCATGGCCGCAACTATGCCAGGCTTAAAATTCTAGCCCTCAATAATAGGAATATTTATCAACAGATTTTGATAAGTTACGATTTTTTTAATTTAGCCTGTATCACATAGGTCAGTTGTAAGTTATTTTTACTGGTATGTAATCATTGCTATAGCTACATATTTTTGACATTGTATTATGATGAGTATAACATACTACAGTCCATGAATAAATTTGATCTTTCATCATCAGGTTCAGCAATTTTTGAGCATAACTTACCAAATTTTCTTTGGTGACCAATCATGATTGAGTTCATCACTATCCAAAATATCAAATAAGATTTACTGTTCAAAAAAACATCAACATTGGTTTGGCACATACCAGCATCTACCATCTGTTTCCACCCAGATACAGAAACAAGGGGTATAGTCACTCCCCTTTATAAAACCGAGTGTTTTTGCTCGAGATTATGCATTTGCCATTTTTCACTTGATGTAGAAAATGGGTAGATTTGCTACGCATGGGTTGACTTTAAAACCTGCAATGATTGAGAAAATTATATGAAAGACAAATGTCAAGATCATTGTGTGATTGTACATTTAGTTTGTTTCTCTTGTCCAATCTCAATGAGTTTAGAAATACATATGTATGGTACTTACTACTTTGTCACAGGTTTTGTTGCATTGTATTCTTCTTGCTGACCTGTGTAGCTTTTGACTTTTCGTGTAATTTTATTGGCTGGTTTCGAGGGTCATTATGTCATAATTTTGTCACGAACTATTGTTTATGCGAGTCGTTCTTGGCGTACTGTCAGATGGAATTATGCTAATTTAACAACATAGTTGTCAATTTTCTTTTTTTTCTTATATTATGCTTGGTTCTTACTTTCAATGAATTTGTTTGAAAAATATTTAAAATATCATTTCTTCGACCCGTATAGTGAACAAAAATTATGATAATGCATCGACGACTTTCGAAGAAACGTTTATGCGAAAGTGTTTACAAGTGTTTCCTTCGTCATACTCTCAAACGTTTTGTCAAAACATCGTCGGTTTCTAGTGGTACAGGAATTGACTCGAAGGAAGATATTATCAGTTTTAATGATGGCAAAAGTGCATACAGAAGTAAAACAACGTTTGAGATCTTTCGTGCACTGCTTGTGTTCAGATTATGTTCCTTTAACTTCTTGGTGGATAATAATCTTAAGGTACGTTGTGAATGATTTAGTTTGTTCGTTTTTTATCGATTGACATGTACTAATGACAAATGATCGAAATTAATTGTCTGGAATGATTAAATCTGGTTGTACGATAATCCAATGAGTTCCATTCAGATTTACCGTGTAAACGGATGTATTTCTTCAGGTAAATATTACTTACTACTTGAACAAAATTCTCAAGTATGCATTCAAAATGAAAAATAATCATTAGTTTGCACTGCTAAAATCAAGCTTTTAGCAAGATATGGTATTAAGCCAGATTCCCACTTCTCTATCTGTGGCCCTCAGTGGCTTGGAAGGTGAGGTTTCAGTCGACAGTGCTAATTGAAAAAGTGAAAAAGCATTTCTTCAAATATTGCTACCAAACAGTGCAGCCCCCACCCTAGATGATTGGTCCATGGTCCTTGTTGTCCATAGGTGTCTATTTGCCCCTCCTCAGCATCGCCATCCCTGTATAATGTGCAAGGCAGAAGCGAATGTGTAAAATGCAAAGCAGAAAGCAAAGATACATGAATATTACTGTACACTCTAATTTTATTGAGCAACCTCACTCTGCTGCTTTCATGTTTCTATTAGTTGTCACTTTCAAGGCTCTTTGCTATATTATGTTTGGTACCTTTGGTCTTTCCCCATGGCATATTGTCACACAGAAGTTGCAAATTTTCATAGCTATAATTCTGCAGAGAGTACTTAAAAACCAGTTTGTGTATTTATTTTGCTAAAAATTCTTTACTTCTTCAGAACTTTTGATGATTTAGATTCAAGCCTCTTGCAATATTAAGGCAGTTTTTTGGGGAAATGGCAAATTATTCATTTAAGTTTAATTTTTTCATCGAAAATTGTTTGACCTTAGAATTTTATGTTATGAAAAAGCTTAGAAAAATAATTTCAAAATTACCGTAACTGCATAAATTTGTTATACTGTTCAGTATAAGATGACGTCGTGAGATGTTGAAACATGTTATTTTAAAAAACTTGTCGTATTTATTAAATGCAAATTTCAAAACTATTTTAGTTAATGAAATTTGGAAAGAAATTGCTTGGCATTCGGTTATTTGATGGCTTGATGAAAGCAACCTTTTATGGGCATTTTGTTGGAGGAGCAGACCAGGCATCCTTGAAACCGGTGGTTGAAAAATTGAATAAGTTTGGTGTGGGAGCAATTCTTGATTACTCTGTTGAGGAAGATATTGATGGAGATGTCATGAGGTACTGACCTGTTAGAGTTGAAATAAAATTAATAGACTCAGATTTCATTATTTTTGTATATTTTTTGATGATGTTGTCTTTTTTAGTGAAAATAATAGAAACACAAACAATTGTTCTAAAGACTCCCTGAAAGGTGAGATATTTTGTGACTCAACATTGAGATTTTGATTTTTAAGAACTGAACTACTGTCAAAACTTTCTTCCATATACTCTTCATTTTTGATGTCTTTACGAACATTTATTGAGGGAGAATCAGTCCGGCAAAACTTAAATATAGGAATAAATCCCTCCCTTCAATTGATGTTTTTACACTAACCCTAGGGATCTGAAAATAAAGTTAAGTCATCATACACTCCTGTCTGGTGTCTTCATGATGTGTTCTGATGTTGAAAGAACAGTCATTATATACTCCAGTGAACATGTTCATCAGTAGTGATCTGATGTTGAAATTTCATTTTATTAAATACTCCAGTTGAACGTGTTCATCAGTAGTGATCTGATGTTAAAATTTCTTTCATTATATACTCCAGTTGAACGTGTTCATCAGTGGTCGGGTGATGTTAAAATTTCTCCTGTTATTTGTGTTCGTGAAATATCTGATATTTAATCGTCTATACATATGTTTACTAATATTTATTGAAGACTTTATTATTTTCATGTCAGCCTACGGCGAGGAGGCCACAAAGCACTTTCAAGTGAACAAAAATTTTATGGACAGACGAGAGAACGTTGTCAGCGCTAGGACGTATTTTTATGAAGATGAACACAAGTGTGATGCTCATTTGGAGACTTTCTTACAAGGCATCGATGCCGTTGGTAAAAAACTATTAGTTATATGTATTTTATGGCAGTAGTTTATGCAAAATGCTTTCGCATCCCCTGCAGCCCTGATGGGAGGGGAGGGGCAAAGGGAGAGTTGCTCTCTAGCATGATTTCAAAATCAGATTCAATATCATATATGTTATTTTTATAGTTTGTTTTTTTGCTTGAGATTGGGGCAGTCAATGAGACTTTTTCCCCCGACCCCAATTTTTTTTTGAGCGGATCTGCTCTTACTTACTTTACCTAAACGTTAAACGTTATTTTAATGTAAACATTAAGAGAGACTTAAGCAACCAAGCATATGAACTGTTTATTTATATGAATTGCTTGCTTACGCACGTATAGACAACATTGAACTATAGTACTATATTGGTGCATGAACGAAAATACATTCATAAATAAACTATGACCGAATTTGAACAAACATAGCTGTGACGATTTTGTTTCTGTAGGTTATGCCAGTGACAATGGATTTGCAGCAATTAAACTGACTGCACTTGGAAGACCGCAGTTATTGGTGAACAATTTAGAATTTTCAATTTTTCGTTGAAACAAAGCATGCATTTTTCCGTGTTGTGCATATACGACAAAGTATCGTAATTGGATACATAGACTGTAAAACATATCGAGTTGTTTATGCTTTTTTTAGCTGAGACTTTCGGAGATCCTTTTCCAGACAAAATATCACTTCGATCAGATGGCAAGCAAGTGTGCCGAGGGACGAATCATGAACAGAAGAATTGCCAGAGACTCTTTCTTTGATGGACTTCTAAAAATTGGAGTAAGATTTAGCATCAGCATGGTTTGTGTCAATGCATGGTCTTTTCTGTCCTATTCTCGCGAAGTTGTTTATTATCCTTATGAGCATCTTTACTTTTCCATCTTAACAATATTGTTCACTGTTCTAATGAAGATCTTTCCTGTCATATCCGCACAATTTTGTTTACTGTTCTTATGAAGATCTTTCCTGTCATATTCTCACAATTTTGTTTACTGTTCTTATGAAGATCTTTCCTGTCATATTCTCACAATTTTGTTTACTGTTCTTATGAAGATCTTTGCGGTCCACTCCGAATGTTGTGTATTTTTCTTGTGAAATGAAGGTCTTTCTCATCCTCCTGAAATTTTTACTTTATGACGTAACAAGAAAACGTAGCGTGCTGTGTTCCCTCTTACCCCTTTTCCTATCCGTTTTACATCTCATTTCAAAGTAATGTGTCAGTTGTCCCAGTTTTTCGGTGCCTCGTATTAAAATATTATAAGACCAATTTTTTCTTTCAGGTGACGTTGACGGAAAAGGAGGCTGACGCAATTTTTGATATGATCGACATTAACAAATCTAGGTAAATTAATCATAGAATAAATCACGAGAGGTTTAAATTTTGGCCTTTAAATTCCGGGAAACGTACTTCGGGGTGATTGGCAAATAGGATTATAAAATTTTTCACAAGTTACGTTGTATTTATGCGAGAAACGACAGCATAAAAAAGTATGCAACAAGGTCTGACTGTATAAATTTGAAATCTTGCAAGGCTTTTGATACATTATGTCACTTTCTATGAATGAAATACGACGTGAACTTCTGAAGAATTTTAATAAGTTCATCGTTGCTCAGTCTCTTTTTTTCTTTTGATATAGTGACATTGACATCATTGAATGGAGTCAGTTTCTTACTCCACAATTGGAACTAACGAAGTTATTCCAAGCTAGTCCAGTAAGTCATCAAGGGACAATGGTCTTTATACAAGTGACAGAACCAACTTGTTTGTATTGCTTGCGCTTGAAGTCTGATTACGTCATCCATTACACTGCATGAGTTTGTTTGAAGTATATTCGAGTTTTTTATCTTTTTGAATTTTTGTTTTTAATTTTTTACAAACTTTCACGTGTCCAAAGTTTCGCTGCAAAACACGCGCAAACTAAGGGTTGATTTTCATTCAGATCAAATTTGCGTTCATTGTCGTCTGAATTGCACAATTTCATGTGGGACTTGAACGAGCACATTTTAAAACAAACTGTCGCATAAATTTGACCGCTCAACATTTTGTGTTGAATGAAAATTATTTTTCAACCCCATTCCATGTGTTGAGGCAGTTTTAGTTTTCCTGCCTATGCAAATTTAGTCATCCCGGTTTTTTCTCTTCAACAGAAAGGAAGTTCTCGCAAAGCTGTTATCTCCGTTCTGAATGATCGCGAGTTGGAACAAATGGACAACATGCGTAAAAGACTACATACATTAGCTAAGGTATTTTATCTTTTGTGGAGAAAGGTTCAGGGCCTTATGAAGATTGATAATTGGGGTGCTCATATTCATAAATGCATGGTAGCTATACCGTTGTAATTTCCTTTGAAATCCATCGTTTTCTCCAGGCTGTAACATGAATTTTTCAGTATGAACCCCAATTATTGATCTTTTTACGTCCATGCGCAGGTTATGTATAGGTTGATGTTCGACAGCGATAGGAGAGAGATGTTTCTTTCAGAATGCATACCCTGTTTTCAATCGTGCCCACGTTTTGTTTTGTGAAGTTTGGCTTCTGTTATAATAGGAAATTAAAATGTGGAGAATTTATTATTCAAAACTTGATAATTCAGCGTTATTTTTTATCCGTGCCTCTCCTCTCCACCAATTTTTGTGATGGTTTACATATAGTTGACAGTCAATGCTTTAGTTCTAAATGTCTCTCTTCTCTCTCTATTATTGAGATGAGATTAAAGCCCGTGCTATAGTTCTATGTGCCTCTTCTCTCCCCCAATCATTAAATGGTTTGACGGTCAATGTTATAGTTCTACGTATCTCTCCTCTCCCCCAATCATTGAAATGGTTTGACGGTCAATGCTATAGTTCTATGTATCTCCTCTCCCCCAATCATTGAGATGGTTTGACGGTCAATGCTATAGTTCTATGTATCTCCTCCCCAATCATTGAAATGGTTTGACGGTCAATGCTATAGTTCTATGTATCTCCTCTCCCCATTCATTGAAATGGTTTGACGGTCAATGCTATAGTTCTATGTATCTCTCCTCCCCAATCATTGAAATGGTTTGACGGTATGCTATGTATCCTCTCCCCAATCATTGAAATGGTTTGACGGTCAATGCTATAGTTCTATGTATCTCCTCTCCCCCAATCATTGAGATGGTTTGACGGTCAATATTATAGTTCTATGTGAATATAACTATACATGAATTTCGTTTTACTTTTTCAGAGAGCGATGGAACAAAACGTAAGATTGATGGTTGATGCTGAACAGACGTATTTTCAACCAGCCATCAGTCGGCTGACACTTGACATGCAGCGTTTGTACAACAAAGAGAAACCAATCATCTTGAATACTTATCAATGTTACCTAAAGGTCAGTGACTCATTATTAAATTTTTTTTCACAACAAACGACGACAAAATTTTGTTGTGCGGTTGTGCAAAATATAAAGTCTTAGTTCAAAAAACTGTGCAATCGAATCCTGAAACACTAGTTTAACGATTGATGGTTCTTACTGGATCTCTGTAAAAATATAAGTTCAGAGCTTTTGTATCTCAAGTAAAGTCACTTTGGTAACTTTGAATCACTTAGCCATAATATTTTTTTATTCATAGTAAGGATGATATAAAAATGGTAGCCATTCGCAAGGTGTTGGTTGACATCCATTGACCGGTTGCATAAATACCTACATAGAATAACTCAGTCACATATTCGCACTAGCGTAGTATAAATCAAACTTGTAGAGCCTTAATTCTTAACTACTCTATAATTGCTGCAAGGACTCGTATAACTGTGTGGAAACAGACATGGAATTGGCTCGAAGGGAACGCTTCAAATTCGGTGCGAAAGTCGTTCGGGGGGCGTACATGGAGCAAGAAAGAGCCCGCGCTCAGGAGATGAATTACGAGGACCCAATACATCCAGATTACGAAGTTACCTGCGAAAATTATGACAGAGTCGTGAACTTAATTTTAAATGAAGTTAAAAGATCAGGAGCTAATTTGGTTGTCGCCAGCCACAACGAGGAGTCGGTCAGGAATACATTACAAAGGTAAATAGCGTTAGATGGTTTCTTATTGAAGGAAATGTTTTCACTTGGACGCGTTTTCCGTCCAATCAATGCTTCGTTTCCGAGTTCATTGTTAACGGTAAGTGTTTTCGTGTGGAACATCTTTTTCACTGTCTGTTGTACGATTAGAAAAAAAGTTAGCATAAAATATTTTTCTTTGTAGGATGAAGGAATTGTCTATTCTACATGGAGAGGGGACTGTCTACTTCGCTCAATTATTGGGGATGTGTGATCAAGTGTCATTTATGTTAGGTAAGGCGTTTCTTTCTAAACTAACTAGCTCTTGCCTTTGACATGTCAGGTACTTAAAGCATGCCATATTCAAAGACGATTTTTTGGCCGTTTGAGCTTCGATGAAACGCTAGAATCTTTTTCAGGTCGACATGGTTGTAATGTATATAAGTACGTGCCATATGGTTCGGTTTCCGATGTCCTTCCTTACTTATCACGACGAGCGGCCGAAAACCGTGGTCTTCTTGATGGCGTCTTCAAAGAACGCAGTCTGTTATGGAGTGAACTCAAACGACGTTTCCGCGAAGGCGAGTTGTTGTACGATCCCAATTTTTCCCCAGTAGTTGGTTCCGTAATTCAGGATAAAGAGGGAAAGAATGACCGTGCTTATATTGGAAAATGATGTGCGATTCATGTATTACATCTTTTCGAGCATCCTCAAAGGTAACAATAGTTTTTGTAGTCAGCGGTATGAATGATTTTGTTGGGGCTTGCAAGGTATGAGGAGCCTGCGATACATTTAATGTTGATTTATGGAACTGTGCAACAGCAGATTCAGGATTTCATTTCATTTCGACATGTAACTCTAAAAACTTTCATTAACAAACTATTTAAGATATCCGTACCCAGTGGAAGATGCTCCCCCTCCCTGTGCCTTTTTCCGCTTTGGATCCGTCCATGCCGTGCAATGAGGCAAATGTTCAGTTTTCCCTGTCAGACATACAAAAAAAACACAGTACAATTTGAGTTGCAAGAATAGAAAACTTCTCATAACTGCTATATTTTCGTCGGAGTCGCGTTCAAAATTTCGGTACATGAAATTTGTATAAAGGTTGTAACAGTTCATTTCCAGCCCGCAGTTAAACTCGTGTTATGTAAGTTTCAGACAATTTGCATTTCTTTATTTTCTGTTAATCTATTATTTTTACTGTGAATGAACATCGAAATTTTTATTGATATTACGACCGTACTTGTGGGCTGGTCACGCCACTTAACATCACTTATATTGCACGCGACGTATTAACATCTTATAAACCATATATAACTTTATAGTCTTATTAATTGCCTTATTAATTGTCTAATTAATTGTTAACCTTAGATATATAACTTTCTAATTTAATAAACAGAATTTACATAAGTACATGATATGTCCGAATAATTATTTATAATGTAGTTAGTAAATAGAAATGGATAATCGTATTATAGTCAACTCAAAATTATTTATCATTAATCTTTGAAATAAAAGGATATTATTAATAATAAGCCTTTAATTACCGAGCTCGACGATATTTCTCAGTAAAGACCGAGAGAGCGAGGTTATTAAAAGGATTATTATATGGCATTATTTGACCTGAAACGAAGCTTGCTTTCTTTCTCGTCCTTGCTGTTTTTACGGGTTGGTTTTTACTTTTCTAGTTTTCGTCCATAAAAAATAAATCGTTTCAAATTGTAGCGTCTGGATAGTATAACTGTTTTTTCCAAGTGCTCTCCTTCGAATCACATTCGTAAATGGTTTTTGTTTCGTTTATTTTGCGTTCTGCTGTTTGCTTTACGAAGTTTGTTTACATTTGACAGTAAAATTACGCGTTTTGGAGTTTGGACCGTGGTCGATTACGGGAAAATAATGGACCGGCAAAAATGTTTCTGAGCCAATCAAAGCGCGCTATTTTGCCGGAAGTGGCGCATGCCATATAACAATGATAATTAATCTTTGAAATAAAAGGATATTTTGTTAATCTATTTTGATATAAGTATTTTACGACAGACATTTTCCTTCGTACTATTATACAGCAATCAAGTCGATTCTATGGAGAAATAAAGGTTTCGACGAAAGCATATATAAGTTATGCAATCTTATTTAATTAAACTTCGAACCTTGTCTATTTAATCAGCTGTTATGAAGCAGCTTTTACGATTTGAAAGATATCTGTTTTGTCTGAAAATCAGGATATTATATCAGGAGGTGCGGAAGATTGACAATTAGGGGGGTTATTCATTTATCTAAATAAAGTAAAACATGCAGACATGAATATGAACCTCTTCAATGAGTAATCTTCCACCGTCCCTGGAACTAGCAACTGAAATGTATGAAATTTTCTTTTTATATGCAGTCAACTTTTGTTCAGCGTTGCAAACTGTTTTCGTTCCAAATTGAATCAAAAATGTTTCAGGAACAACACTTTCCCTCAGTAAGCAACTTGCTCTTTAAGTCGTCTGTTGTGGCAATAGTGCCGGCAAAGGTTTTTGTGTGGTGGGGAAAATCCTCAAAAATGGCTCTTTCCTATTACACTTACGTACATTTTTTCACTATACAAATGAAGGCAATAGTCTTTGCAATTTTATGCGGGGAGGGGGAGGGATTTATCCTCCCACTTAGACCCCATAAGCCGGCACCACTAGTTGTGAGAAGTTTTTCTACAAAGCCTGGCCTACAGACTTGCGAAGTCTGCGCTTTATTTCGTTGATGAGGATCGAACTTTCTTTTTCGTTCTGGCCATTACATCTTTATTTTCCCTTGCTCGTCGCAGTAGGTACAACATAGAATCATCCACAGTACCGTAAGGGACAGATTTATGGACGTTATATCCAGCACTACCTAAAAATCAAAGGATTCAAGTAAAAATCACGCGTCTCTTCATCCCACTTCGGTACTCACGTGTTACCCCTAGCTATGTTCGTTCTAATGTTCGGATGTAGGCGGGCTTACCTAGCTCACAGCTCACGTGATCACACATGCCATAAAGTTGTCCGAACGATACGTGGCCTTGTTCGGGCTTAATGTTTAGTTCTTTCATACGTTTTACTCCATACTTAATACACTCTTCGTTGTGCGTGGCTATCATCACCTCGCCTTGGTCTTGAGCCACCTGTGTCAGCATTAGATCTATGGCCTGTGATTGGTGGAATAATTAAACAAACTTTTTTGCAAAACCAAAATTGGTCTACGACTAATTTGTTCTGAACGTTTCAACTTTTTCTTACTTCCTTGTAATTGCGTTCTGTTTCTTCGATATTTTCACATATCGGATCGTCGTAACCTTGTTCAGCAGCTTGCTGTCTCTCGTATTCCATGTAAGCTCCACGAACCAGCTTGCACGCAATCTTGAAATCGTACTTTTGCGCCAACTGTATGTCGTTTTGTAGTCGACCTGGAGTGTCCTAAAATTGTTGATCTCAGCCCATAAGTGTTGCTTAAGACAGCTCTTGTTATCTGTTCATTCATCACTAATCACACAGAGTCATGTTATATAGTGGTTACATAGTAAAGACTATTCTCGTCTTCTGTTTTCCATTTTCTAACTATCTACACAGACATTCGTATTAAAACGGTTGTAATTTGTTCATCAATAACAATATTTATAGATTATATTTTTTATGACATCAAGAAAGTGGACCATGTATATCGATAATTAAGTTGCGAAATACCTTTCGGTAACATTGATATGTGTTGAACACAACTGCCGTTTGTTGATTGTACTTCTGCTGCAAAGCAAGTATAATCAAATCGATTCCTGATTGAAGATGTATGTACTCGGCGTCCAGCATCAACTTTACACCTGTCTCTCCGGCTCTCTACAAAAGACAAAAAACATTTCATCATGTGGGCCTAACCTCGTGGATCTAAATTATACGTCTTTGGCAAAGTGCTATATGGGGGTACGTGCACCATTAAAAGTCGCCAATAATCAAGACTTCTCACTTTTAAGGCTGAAAGTGTTTTTATCCTCTTTCTCTTTGTGTGCGATCGTTACAGCAATCAAACCATTGTTAAGTCCATTTTTTCCATTCTTTCATAACATATCTTTCTTAATCACTTACGCTGGCTAAAATCCCCAGCCTTCGTAATCCGTTTCTGACGTGTTCTTTCGTAGTTCGGGCAAATCCTGGGAGTATTTCATGTTGCTTGTTAAAACAGAGTATTACGAGTTAGGTGAGGCACGGTGAAGATTTTAGTGACGGCGTTTGCTCAATCAAACTGTAAAACCGAGGTGGAATACGAAGCATACTGATTTGAAATAAACTGAGTTGACATGTGACTTTGATGGTGACAGGTGATTGGTGGTGGAGTTTGCCCAAAACCAAAATTGTAAAACCGATTGCAAAACATGCTAAATCCCATTAAATGATACAATCTATCCCGCTACCTCAGCCACAATCAATACATGCGTGTAAGTGTTTGTGAGTTTACCTCAACGTTTGCTGTTAAAGCCCTCGACCATGTTTTCACGTCAAGATGAACTGGTCGATCTTCATGGTTTGTGATATATCCTGTTAGCATGTCGGCGATTTCGTTCTGGTTGTAAAGTAATACTTGAGGCATGAACCATTACTTTTATTTGAATGGGGAATTGATAATGAATTTAGGTTTCTTCACTTTCAAGAATATATCTTTTTTCATATATCTTTTGTGTATTGTGTCCTTTATTTATACAAATAATAACTACTTGGGGTGTGCTAAACCCCTCTACCCTGACCACCCCCGTACTGACAAACGTTTTACACCCCACGTACTTTACGTATGCGAATGAAGAATAAAAATACGAGTAAATAAGTCGTTTCTACGATGAGCTTTGAAAAGATAAAATGAAGCCAAGGACTCTCTTTACACCCGTACATACTTACTATTACGTCTCCGCTTATAACTGGAGTTATCTTGCTTTGTGCAAAATTTCCAAGTGATGCTATAGTGTTAAGAATGAGAAGACATTAGTCGTTGCTCTCTGTTGCTCACATGTTTTTGGAAGATTATAATGCAGTGGGAACATTAAATTAGTTCTTTTCGAAGCCAACTATGCGACATTTGCTTAACATGGATGGAGTTTGAACTGCTGAAGAAAAGTTCAGTTATTAATTAGCTCAGCAAGTGAAAAGGATTCAACCGGGATCGCTTTTGACGACGTTATATGTATGTTGTGGAACGTAGCAGTGTGTTTACTTTTAAAACTTTCCATGTGTAACTTGGATTGTTAAATTATTTTGATCAAGTAGGTTTGGAAAACACTCGATCTCTTAGATCCTTTTTACACTACACTGCACACGAAAATTTCCATTTCATCGAGGTTTGTGGAAAGAAAAGAAAAAAGTGCACAAGGTCCACGGTGTTAGTGGGATTTCTATCTTATAGTCGGTTTTGCTCTGTTGACAATTCTCAAATGTGCTTGACTGAAACAATTTGCTTTAAATAACTTTTGACTGAAATCGTGCTAGACATTGAAACTTTATTGTAAGCTGGATCAGTTGCTTTCGCTGTTGTAGCTGCAGGCCGTAAAACGAGCAAAGTAATTAGAGAAGACCCAATATATATTATTGTAATAATAAGAATTCGATTTCAATGGAACAGTTTAAATTTTTGTACCTGTCAAATCTACGCAATTTAGCATCGAACGTAAATTTCTCTCGCATTGTTCTTCTCTATGAAATCGTTAAAGTAAAATGATGTCATTAAATGGAATGTTAGAAAATATTGCTGTTATGCGTTCACTTATATTCCTTGGAGTTTTTAGACGATGAGAGATCCCTTTAAGAAGATTGAAAACTTATTGTATCCTTTGAAAGACGTTTCGCATAACCAACATAATTGTTCGTCCAACTTTACTTACAAATCAGCGATTTTAGTGCTGTTTATGTCATCCTCCAAAACATCTTCTGTAGGAACGCAAAACATACAATTCACGTTCAGTTTTCCTAATTCCTTTGCGACTGATTTGACATCTTCTGTTGTTTCACCTGCCACAAATTGCTTGTAAATTGTAGCCTTCATCAATGTTTCATAAAACGCGCTACCAAACATACTTTTGCACAGTGATACAAGCTGGAAAGAGGACATAATTATGATGTCAATGGATATACGTACGTGACACATTTGAACTATGAATAATTCGCTGTATAAAACGATTGTGTGAGACCATAGCTCCAGATTATTGCAGTTGTTCACGTCATGTATAAGCGTACAGAGATTACTTGAGCAACATAATCTCAAACCAGTGAATAACACGAGGCTTGTTAAGAAACGTGAAGCAAAATAGTTTACGGAGTGAAACGATTAAAGCTGACGAGAACTCTTCAAGTTGGCACTTGTGTAAAGAATTTTAAAATAAAAGGTTTTGAAACGTTACTTCCTGTTTATCTTAATTTATATAAGCATTCAACCAAAACCTCTCTCTAACCTGATGTGATCAATTGAAAGCGACAACAAAATTCAATAACAAAAGCAAACTTTGGGCAAAAAAATGATGTGTTATGCTGCATTACAATTAGCGTTGTCTACGATTATTCATGACACTAGAAATACTGGGCCAAAAATAATTTACAAAATTTAACTGTAACAAATTTTGCTGCAAGAAATTAATTTTGCAAAATTTACTTCTCGCCTCTTCGTGAGATAGCACTTACGCGGGCATATACAGTTGGGGTTATATTGACGAAGATCTAAGTGCAAAAAACACGAAAACAAAGTAATTTTACAACAAGTTGGTGTCTTGCCAAAATTACAAAATCAATACCTACCTTTTCTCCATTATCAACAAGCCTGTCAATTTTACACAACCTCAAAAGGATCAAAGCTCTTACAAGATCGAACGTTGTCCTTGACTTTGTTGACAGACTGCTATCGTTAAAAAGTAGATCCTGTGCAATTGTGTCATCTCGCTTCTCTTCCAAACGACGTCTGCTTATACGATCATCGACAAAGAGTGGACGAAATCTCTTAAAATTTCGGTAGATTTTTGGCACATTCAGAAACTTGGTAGAGTGAACAGTATGCAACATGTTCTACAGTTCACTTCACTTACAAACAACAGCGCGAAGGAAGGTTTACAACGCTAAAATCGATTGTGTAATATTTACTACATGAAAACATTCAGCCATTAAATCAAAAATATTTTCGGGTATGAATATTCATATTCCTGTAAAAACTGGTTTTATTTTTTTAAATGCGGAAATGTGCAATTACCGTGGTATGCATTTCTCGAACAAAAATATTTGACGTCTTTGATTGGGTTTTATCCGCAATATCTGTTAATATTATCAAATTTTCCGAACGCTGTAAGGCGATAAAGATTTTAAGTAAACTCATCTGTTAATTGAAAAAATTCAGGTTATTAAATTAGCGCGCTTTAGTTGAATATTCGTACGTAACGTCGTTTTGAGAAATTTTCAATTTATTTTTCGTAATTTTTTGACTGTTTATTTAACGACCAATGGGAAAACGGTTGAACTGGACAATTCATAGGAGCAATTAAAGTGTCATTTTTGTGAAATATATCCACCACATATTATGTAATAAGTTGCTAACTGACATCACTGTATAGCGCTTGGTTTTTTTCAACCATGCCCAGAATTTGAAGAAACTCGGAAAATCTGCCATCTTAGACTTTACTCGGTCAAAATTAGCGAACATAACGATGTCGAAGACATAGTAATGTCATAGTAAAATTCCACGGCGCAAATTCTTGATTCGCTCGTTTTGGTTTTGAAACCATCACAGACAGGCCTCGTGACTTTTGATAAGATTTGGCTGGTTTTCAGACACACCAACCTGATGAGTACAGGTTGTATCCAGTTGTATGCAGCCACTTGAATGATTGACATAATATATATACGTATATTATCGTCCTAAATATTCATTGCAACTTATCTATTTTCCTAGCAACCTGCATAAATTAAACATGGCGAACAAATCGTATTCTTTTGTAGATTTCTGTGTATTTTGTAAAAGCTGTTCTCGCTTCTTCTTTGGAGGCTATGGACCTCATTTTATGTGTACTTTGTCAATCTAGGATGTTCAGAGCCGCTAAATTCAGCTGACATGGCCTTGGACTTGGTGTTAAAATCGCTTCTCAAGTCAAAGAGGTTTGTCGGTTCTAGTGTTGAGGAAAAGGATTGGACTGCTGTTTCCAAATTAATACCTGGCTATACGCCGCAACAGGTTTGTTTCAGATGTTCTAAACTGCAAGATTTATTCAAAGCTTATAAAAATTGTTATGCTTGTTGTCCCGTGATGTTTTGCATAAAAAAGTTTTCTTTTCAGTGCAAGACAAAATGGAACGAACTCTGCACTGAAACGTCTTCAGTTTCACGAGGTAGGAACGAAGAAGATGATCTTGACGATGTTGTGGAGTATTTATTAAAGAGGAAAGAATCGAATCAATGCTCTGATGAAGTAAATAGAAGCGTAGAAAGTGATATTTCAGATCATGAAGTGGCTGACCTGACGGAATCACTGTACGATTGTGGTAAGCTGCCTTCAAGCTGCACACGCTTAAGCCATTGGAGCTTAACTGGTATAAAAGACACTTGCACCATTGCTGATGGAAGAATACCTTTGTAAATTGTTGGTTAATATTTTGTGCATGACATGAAACCAATTTAACCAGATTCCTTTATTTTGACTATAGGAATATGAAATAATTTTAAGTTCTGTTGTTATAGATGTCAAAGCCATAAAGACTGATTTCTTTTGTGAGATAGTTATTCCTGAAAAACCTGCGGAGTTGATGAAACCGGACATATCAAATATAGTAAACAAGAAACTGAAAGCAAAAACAAAATTTCCTGAAGGGTAAAGAACACTGCCAATTCTTGTTTTTTCTCAAACCCTTAAATCTTCGTGTTATTTTACTGAAACAAATGTTTTTGTTTTGCTAGACCAAATATGGTCATACATGTTTGTGATGAAAGCAAGAATTGTAAGTAGTTTGTTATAATGTTATTACTTCTATTATTTGTTTGTTGTATTGTTATTTGTATATATATTGTTATTGAGTAATATTAACTGTAATCAATCTCTAACTGGGGGTGGTGGTTGGGTAGATATTCATATTGGTGGTTTTCATGTGTGCCATGCTGGTGGAGTCCTTACAAAAGAATATCATTAGATTTTATTGTTATTGGGCAACATGGTGGATGCTCTTTCTTTGTTGGCTATTCCCTTGAGACACACATGAAAAGCAAGAATATGCTTGTTATAATCCATAAAAAAACAACTGATTTTAAAGAAGCTTGAGGCAGTAAACATGCTTATATAAATATTCCCCTTTTAATAATGACATTGCATATTGGTATGCTACTGACTATGATATGTGTTTGTGTATTGTTGTGGAAATGACATGTTACAATGCAAAGAAAATTATAAAGACTAGACAACTGGGGAAGGTCCAAGATTTTATCCTGAAAAGAATGCATCATTTGTAAAGTCATAACATATAATGATATTTTCATCAGCAAGCTATCGCATTATATGAGCTCAAGATTGTACACTCCACCCTCTACCCCCACCAGATCTGTTCCTTGACAATGCAAATACTTAACAAAACCCAACCTTATTTTTACTAATGACACCTAACATTACATGAATTTTAGAACAAGCGAACAATGTATGACATAAACATTTGACAAACCTGTGAAGAAATGTATAAAAGGACAAATGATGACATGAAAGATTTATGTCACATGACCTAGAGATACCAGTAATTGTTACATTAATTTGAAACGAATTAAAGACGTGTAGCACTGATAACCTGCCATTTTTTACCAGTAAAACAGGATTTTCTATGCCCACGTGATTTGTTGGTCAGTGAAATGAAGTATTTTGCTGAGTATCTAACGCTGGAGCCACAGCGTTGGGAGGAAGTAGACATCTCCGTTCACTGCGACGTGCAGATATTTGATTGGCTGATGAGATACGTGAAACGTGACGTCAATCTCAACGACGACAACACGCCAGAGTTAGGTATAAACGTATAAAAGGTATTTTTGGGATGTATGATGTGGAGTTTGAGTAACGGTTTAGTTTGTGTTTTTTGTCATAGAGCCAAGTAACGTGATTTCAATCCTAATTTCTTCCGATTTCCTGCGGATGGATTCTTTGGTTTGTTGAATTGTATAAGTGTTTCTTCTCCATTTTCTGTGCTTGGACAATTGCCATGCAAAGGACTTTGTCACAAATCATGGGCAATGGCTTTACCCTGCTACTAAATATGAAAGCATGCATTATACATTACTAGCATATATAGACATGTGCCACATGAAAGCATGTATACGTAGGCAGGTGTGCCACAAAAAAGAATGCATCTGGATGACGTTGTTTCTGGATAGCGAATATTTAAATCAAATAAGAACCATGAAAGAGAAAAATATCTGTTTTTAATATGGAGATTTATGAACTACTGATTTCATGAATTATGAACATGTCACTAACTCACTATCCACTGCCCTGATTTTTTATACCTTTAAATTTGAATAACGCTGTCCACTGGGTAGTGGGCGCTTTAGGTTTTGTGATATTTTTTCACTTAGGTAAAACTTCGAATCTTCGATTTAATATTTTCTTATAATAACTGTCTTGATAAAAATTGTAGCCATTTTGTTTTTTCATAAAATTACTAACCATTTGGGTTATGGTGTTAACTAGTCGCTACCCGCCAAGGCAGCTGCTTGAAATGATTTTTTTCAGAGTTTGATGTTTCTGGTTTTTATAGACATGTTAAATGATCTTGTTCGTTATGAAACACCGACTTTTACGTAAACATTATTTAATCACTTGTGCTGGTTACGTTGTTTGACAAACTCGTCCTTGAAGAAAGATTTTTAAAAACAGTTTTTGTGACAAGAATGTTTTAATCGATGTTTATTCTTTTTCATAGCAGTACATTATTTAAAATTCAGTTTTCACGAGATTTGAAGAAATATGAAGCAGAACTTTGCACGTTCATTTCACCCATATGACTTTGAAAATTGTCAATTCTTCATACCCTGTGAAAACAAATTTTGTAATTCTCAAATGAATGTTTTTGTTCTTTCAAGGTGTCAAAGTGCTTAAAATTCTGTCATGGTAATATGTCAGCAATTCTTTCAACTCCATGTAACATGAGTTGCATCAATGATAAGCTGGTCACAAGGTAAAACAGTTCGCTGTTTTGGATTTGACTCATCGAGGTAATGAGTGAAGTTGAATCAAATACAGTTGACTGCAATTTGTAGTTCACAATTACGTGGTGGTGTAAAGAACACGAGTTCAAACATTAAATTTGCTTCTAAGATGTCAGATTTTTTACTACACAATGATTTCTATAACTATTGCCCACTAACTAATTTCTCCAAATGTTTCACGTCCATGATTTTGTTTGTAAACTGACATTTTGCCATTATCCTCAAATTCCCATCGTTTTGATTCAGAAAACACACGAGTTGATGATTTCCCAATATTGAAATTTAATAATATTGAAATCTATTTACGAATTTAACCACGCATAAGTGAGTTGTCTTTACGAAGGCAATACATCAATTGTGACTTTTACCAATTATTCATATTAATTACTCATAGCTAGTGCGCATATCATACGATTTATCCATCCAGACGACCTAGTTTGCATGAATCTCGGAAAGCCTGGTCAGCTGGATATTGACTTTTTAGGTTGCGTCATATTTCTTAACGAAAATATAACTTGCTTATAGTGGGTCTACATTTATCGTCTAGTTTAGCCAAATCGTGGATTTTTGCTTTTAAAGAGAATTTTCAAACAATCAAAAAATTTTCTATCTAGAAGTTAGTGCTATCCAATATTCGCTCAACTTATGTCTCACTTACAAATCATTCACACATTCCAAGTGAATGAAACGATCATGCTATTGAAAACAACTCTTGTTTTTTTTAGAATAAGCAAGCTATTTAATCATAACGAGTTGGATGCGGTTAGGGATAAGAAAGATAAGTTTAAAAGGTGACATGTCCATTTCATTTCTTCGATCAATACTCATTCATGACTACCATTTTTAATATTGAATGTAAAGCAATTTTATCAGTGGCATATCCAGCTTGATATTGCATGAGGGGGGGGAGGGGGGGTGCAACATTCAACATCCATATGTACTCGCCTTATTACGTTTATTTAAATCAATTGGTTTCTGCTCATTATAACATGCATATATGAATACCCCCTCCTGAAATTATCGATACTCACCACTCCCTGAAGTTTATCGTCTTTGAACTCAACAAGAACACACAAACAAGTTTCTGATAGCAATAGCTGCCTATGGAAAGTAATCTAAAACAATATGTCGACATATACGTGTTTCAAAGTAAATGGTTTGAACCCGGGAGTATCGTTACATGTTTGTAAATGTAGATCGTCCAGGTTGGTATAGTCCTGAGAAGGACTCTTTTTTGACTCTGAAGATGACTACCGCTAAGGTTGTCGAAACGTCAGTCAACAACAACAACAGTCCTTCTCAGGACTATACCAACCTGGACTATCTACATTTACAAACATATGCGTGTTTCATTGTAAGCAATCTTAGTTTTTTGTGTGGCAGCAGGAGGCTTCATGAAAAGTGATCTCTTGAATTCTAATCTTTTTTTAGCAAGTTATTTTGTAAGAAAATCGAACAGTTTGTTCAAGGTAACATTGACGGGAGGACTGGAACGAACGAAGACAACGCCAGTTCTTTGTTTCGGTATGATCTCGTATGTCTGCTATTCCTTTGACTTTGACATGATGTTTTTAAAGCACTGTCGATTACCACGCCATTTATGGTTCTTTCTAACACTCTATTATTTGCAGGTGTGTTTCTTGCCAAAGATTGTTAACCGCGAAAAACAAATTGAAACTCCCTTGCGTTCTTAACAGGTGTGTTTTCGTTGATGTAATAAAGACAATCTTTATGTGGTATGCATGCATGCAAACTTTGTACCTTAAGGTTTTGAATTGCAAGTAATTTTACTATGAAATATAATGTCATTGCTTTTCAACCTTTGTGGTCTTAGTTAAAACTATTCAAGCATCTTGGTTTTAGAATATTTGATTAAATTGTGTTTTTCTAAAATATTTTTTCGGTGAGTTGCGTTGCTCTTTTCTTAAACTCGTACTTCTTATCATAGAACAGAAGCTACAATAATCATTTATTCTACCTTTTGTTTTAAAAGGATTTTGCTTTTGTATTTAGGATGAGCATTAACTCAAGAGGACACATACAATATCACCACTTGAGGTAGCTGTAATGTAACATATCGTCAACTACTTAATACTTAGGGCAGCTATTCCTAACATATCACCACCTATAGACTGTTCATAGGTAGTGCACAGCGATATGATTGCCCCATCAAAAATACGAGGTTATAGTAGTTCGTAAAAAAAAGCTTCAGACGTTTCAACTTCAAACATCCCTTTGAACTAACGCTTACGAACAAATGACTCCGCTTTTGTATGTCATTTTCAATTTTCACATCATGCTTACGAGGTTTCTCACCAAGCATTCCGAAAAGCATTGTGACGTTAAGCAAATGTACACCGTTCTTACAGGGATAATTCTTGGGATATCAATGACTATCTCGTCAGTTTGAAGGAAAAGTTAAAATCATGGAGGGACGTTTATTGGAGGTAAATTAAAGGCAATAAAATATGATAAACGAATCATAGAGGACTACGTGCCCTTGTAACATTCTGTTTACTTGGCACGTGTAAAACCTCATTCTTTATCAACTCTCCTAATGAAGACATAAGACTGGAGTATATGATCTGACCTATATACGACAACCCCTGATGAAGAAGAAGAAGGGCGCATATCTTCCAAAAGAAGACGGGCGCCTATCTTCATCAGGGGTTGTCGTATATAGGTCAGGATAGTGTCTTAGTAAAATTTTGAAGCCCCACTCACACTCAATGAGTGGGGCTTCAAAATCACTTCATAATTATTCGAAGACCGCAATTTCACACAATTGATTGCTTGATTTGAAATATCTAGGAGAAAATCATGCCATAGATGAAGTAATGACTTTGCCAATGAATAGATAAAGTGTGATTTTTACGTCGCACCCAATAAGTGTGAGCGTGAGTGAGCTTTACTGCCAATGGAGTCAATAAATTACAATGTATGACTTTCACTATCAGATCACTCCAAGTAAATACCCCAAACTGGAGTATATAAAATCATTACTGACGAATAGTCGACATCAGCAGAATAAAAGTCATTTCATTTCGGAATTTGATTTTTCTTTCAAAGGTTGTGGGGATCTTGTAACATTCTCTTCTGTTATCAATGTCGATGTTACTTTCGTTGCACCGATTTTGGTCACTGTCAATATCATCCTGAGAAGCCTGAGTATGCCAATGGAACCTTGGAACACAAATCAATTGGAGTTCATCCATGTTGTGGAGAAAAAGTATTACAATTTGATACAGTTAGAGTGATAACGGTATGATTTTATTTTTAAGATCAATTTAGCAAATACGAACTTGGTATTTACATGTTTTTGTTAAAGGTTTTTATCATGTAGAAATGATGTGAGGTTGAGCTTGAGTATTTTCTTTGCTCAGTCGTGTGTTATCATTAGGAGTAGTCTGATGTTTCGATGTAGAAACTTGGTATTTCGTTTGATCTAGTTGCAATGACCGTATGTTAAAACGGGCATCGTTAAGTTACTTACCCAAGTCGATAGTATCGTCATCAGCAATGATGTTATGTTATGTCGAAACTTTAGTCGTTAAATTATTACTTCCTGTCTAAAATTTTATCAATAATCTGGTGATGAAACTGAGTTCTTAAGTTATTACCTCTTGTCTTATATTTTCATCAATAATCTAATGTTGACGCTTTAGTCCTTTAAATTATTACCTCCCGTCCTATTTTCATCAACGATCTTAATGTTGGAACTTTAGTTCTTAAGTTATTACCTCTTGTCTTATATTTTCATCAACGATCTAATGTTGGAAGTTATTACCTCTTTTTAGAACTGGTAGCTACAATCATCTGAAATGCTCTAACGTTGCAATTCATTTGCCGTGCTGATTATTCATTTTGTTTAGGGATGTCGTGTTAAGGATCATCTTGTTACTTTTCCTGACCCCGTCAATTCCTCTGGTACCACGAATTGCGCGAATTCAGAAGATACGAAATCTCTTCAAAGTCACCATTCGAAATCTCCTTGCGACCACCTTGATGACTCTGTCATTGTGAACGACTCAAACGTCGTGAAAGATTTATTATCTCATCGAGATGTTATCTGCGTACCCTTCAAAAGATCGGCTAGTGCCAGGTAATTTGACGAGCGGCCGTGTGGAGTTTTAGGTACTCTTTGCCAGTCCAGACAAGTTGCGATAAATGAAGCATAGAGATTCTTGTTCTGGTTTGTAACGATGAGCGAACGAAGAAAACAGGAACGGTCACCATGGAAACTGTAGTTAAACTAAGTTGTGTTTTAGAGAAGGACAAAAATCTTTCTACCAGATAAAATGCCGTTTGCAATGTCTTAAATGCATAAAAGAGGTTCTCGAAATTCTGAAATATTTTTTAGTAAAGTTAAAATTGATGTATTCCACTATGATGAATCAACAGAAGCACGGAAATCAAACAGTGTAAGTTCCCTCCTTTGGTTCACCTTCAGTTATTGAAAAACATAACTGATGTTCTTGTTGTCATCTGTTATTACAGAAACTCTCGTCTAATGGAATGGGTAGAAAGGCAACTGTCGAGCAATCATCTGTAAGTTTGCAATGTTTTGTACAACTTGACAACAACGTAACGACTACTGAGCTGAGTGGCGTGCTTATTGTATATACATCAATTAAAAAACGTGTTTCAATAGTTTTCAATAGCAAGGGCATTCATTTAAAGTGCATATCAAACGAAAATTTTACTGTTCAAACTATATTTTAATTCAACAGAACTTTTAAAATGACGGCGTACTGTGTGAAACAATCTATGAACATCGAAATATTGAAGTTTTTGTAATGTTTGTACTGTCCAATTTACACAACTTGTGACGTCATTTCTGCATAATGTTCGTTGCAGAGTTTCGAACTTCTTTACTTGCAAAGCAACGCTTAGTTGAAACTATCAGGCATTTTTTAATTCCATTAACTCTTCACACCGAAGGGAACTCTGCTCTGTTGAATAAAATATCAGCAAATATACTTGTTATTTCAAAAATGTCTCGTGTAAATATTTCGCACAGGGATTGGTGCCACTAAGAAAAAGCAAAATGACCGTATCACAGCGCATGCCCAGTGGTCGACGAAAAACCGCTATCTTGAAAAATTACGATTTCTTTGATAGCAGCGAGGAAGAAGAGGACGCCGAGGAGTATGATAGTATTAACGGTGTGTACAGCCATCTCCCTGCTCTAACAATGGAAAATAAGTATTCTGAGACAAACGAGTCACTTCGTTTAACAGCTCGCCATATTCGTCGAATGAAGAAGAAGATATTAGCATCGGAGGAGCGACTTTCGTAAGTAGTTTAAGTTATTGAAGATGAAGAAAACTTCATTTCTCCCATTATTGATGCCCAAATGCAAGCCGACTTGACGTAATTCAATAGTATATCCGAGTTTAAATGGGATCCTCGGCGTTCGTCAAGATGGAATCAGGACGCTCAACGCGAAGAAGGTCTGGGCAAGAAAAGAGCATTTAATTCTTTATTATTAGCAGTGTTTAATGTTCCAGAATTTTTTTCTCTAGATACAAAGCGAATAAATGAAGTCATAAACAAAATGGCGACACTACGATCCACCGCAAATCAAGAGAAGAAAACGAAAACAAAAGAGGTAGAATCCAAAATCCATTTTGCGTGGCTTATTAAGTTGGAAAATCATGGCAGACATTTGTTTCTATGATGTCAGAAATTGTAGCAAGAGCGACAATTGTAATTGAAATTACAAATATTGAAAGATTCGCAGTTTCGGTTTTACAAAAACTCGTTGAAAATTTTGGGCCGGATGAATAATTGCTGCATTAATGTCAACTTCAATTTGAAGAGGAAAATTAGTTATCGTGTCTTATGTAATCCTTGTATATTCGCACATAGTATTGCACTTAGCTACCATTGCTGTTTGTCTGTCGTTTCTTGCAAATGGTTTCATTTTACATTTTTTTCTTTCTTTGCAGTTTCCTGGTGGCCTCTTCCATAAACTTGACCATCATTTCCGTGTTTTGATGCAACCGCCGGTTGTCAGACGACAGACTTCAGGCAATCAACTTCAGCAAAGGTTGTTCCTATCGCTGTTACATAAATCCCCTGTCTGTCTTGACCGAGCAAATACATGTGTTCCAATTAAATTTACACAATCTAATGTATCCAACAGACAAAAGGTCTTTGATCTTCAATGATCTGGACACCTGAAGATGTTAGTTTATGCACTCCCCCCTCCATGAGATTAGAGCAAGGAAGATTTAGGCGGCTGCTTGGTATTATTCATCAAACAGTATCTATCATAGTTGACAAAAAATACTCTTCAAGGAACGAGAACAGAGTTGTTTTCATGTTTTCTTATAAGTGGCTCATGAGCCGTCAAAATGTTTTTTTTCAATATTCTCAAAAATGTTTTGTCAAAATGTTTGAGTCAAAGTTGGAATATATGCAGGAAGAGACCAAACAAGAACTGTAGAAACCTGTTTACAGTGGTATTAATCTAATTTATTTTCTAGTTCGCGCAATAAGAAAACAACCAACAGGACCTGATCGAGAAAAGAAGTTTTTTAAGAAAGTCAAGTTCGTAGTTACTGGCTTTTTTTTGTAAATACTGCTTTATTTGTTCTATGATATTATTGTTAACATTAAATATTGTATAGATCAAATTGCACATGCCAGCATGTATAATACAATAATTACTTTGACATTCGAAGTTCTTATTTTGATGTTAACTGCCATGCTGACTGCACCTTTGCTATGTGAAAAGATGACATGTGAAGTGGAAGCACCCTTGACGATCGTTTGCGCGCCAACTCCGAACGTGTGATCTGTGTTGTTGAAAGCTCTTAGATACGATTGATGTCTTCCTATTTTTCAAAGAAACACTCCTATGTTCGCTCGACATGATCACATTTTCCAAGATAGATGTCATGACGTTTTATGTGGGGAAAAACTAGCCGTGGATTAATCGTTTGAAGCAATGAAAATAAGTTTAGAATATACCTAAAGTTGGTATTTCTTGACTTGGACCGTAAACAAATGGGTATCCAACTGTTGTGATTGAAGTATTGTATCGTATTTCTAATCCAACAGGACAATGCTGTCATCTAAAGGTATGTAAAATTTGTTAAATGTAACTTAGTTTATGTATTATTGTTGAAAATGTTAGGAGAAAAAACTTTCTGTTGGAAGAAACTTTCGTTGACATACATACGTAATGCATTAGTAAAGTTGTCCCGTTTGCAGATACTGGGTGTACTATGGGTATTGGTATCATTTTGTTGTTTCCAAAACAAGAAGTGATGTTAATATTTACTGAAAAAGTACATCGAGTTTGTGAATTCGAAGGGAGCCTTGCATTTTTCCACAGTTTGTTGCAAGTACGTCAAAATTGCAACATTCAAGAACTCGGAAGAAGGATTTGGTGGGAATTTTGGCTTCAATATTCCCACGAGCTAATCTGTGCAGTTGAATGCTTGATTGAATAAGAAATGTTTTCTTTTTCTGGCATAATTTACCTTATATTTGAAGGTGCCTTTATGATATATTTGCTGGGATTTTTACTATGGTTAGATAATAAACATATTCTTTTTAAGAGTTGAACAACACTTCTCAATTATTTACTTTGTGGGAGATGTTCATTGACAGTACTAATTGTTGTCAACGTTGATGTTTTCATTTTTCCTATAGCTGGAAATGACTTCAATTCCGAAATATTGTATGATATTGACAACATTTCAAATATTTCCAATACAAGCATAACCAATGTTGACTACATGGACCACCATCGCCAACGATCTGAGAGTTTTGGCAGTGACAATACTGATGCTCTACTTAATGCATCTTTTCATGAATTTGATGATGATCAACCACTCTTTGTCAACAAGTCAATAGTAGGTGCAGAGACTGGGACCAACCAAAGCCTCAAATATGGTTCCTCTTCAAAAGAAGGGACAGTTGTGAGTACTTATGGTTATGATGGCACATCAGAATATTTGAAATCTGATGAAAAGGTTACTGGTGCTGAAGTTTGGAAGAATAATGGGTATGGGCTTGAGAAAAGTATGATCAATTACTCTGATGAACATTTAAAGCATTTGGATGGTGTTGACAACTACGGTTTACATTTCCCATCAGTTAATAAGAAAATTGAGCAAATGGATAAAAGTTATATGTCAAACACCAATTTGATAATGAACGGACGGGAATCTGTAATTAAAAGCCCCAACAATCATCATAAATTTGATACTGAAAAATCTCAACAATATTTGACTCACTCAAATAAACGAAGCAATGTAAACATAAATTCTGATAATATTATGTCAAAATCAGAAAGTTCAGCACAAAGCAGGTTCCACCAAAATATTGGTGCGAGTGAAACCCATCTCAAACACATGTTCAACCATGACACATCAGCCCAAAGTCATCATGACGTACATGATGGGATCCATGGTGATAATCCATATACTCACTTGGTTGAAATTAAAAATAGAGATTTCCAAAGTACTGACAGGTTTGGACATGGTCATACTAGAAACACTTATGGATATGATGCTATTAATGGCAAGGATGGATGCCCACTACCCCAACATGAGGAGCATATTGGTCAAAGAAAGTTTAGGAGCAGTAATATGCAAGATTGTACAAATGGCTGTCTTGGAGACATTGATCCTCACTTCGGAAAACATTACTATGAGTTTAGGTGTAGAGATAACGATGGAACAGGCCAGGATTTTAGTGAAAACCATTCCCATAAAGATGGCCACGAAAGAAGCAAAAATAGAAATGACGACGATAGTCATACCAACATACTTAAGAAGCGCGATTTAACCATGAATAACTCCATGAAAAAAAATGAACTGGGTGAAGATTTGAACTCGTTGACCAAGAGCACGTCTGCAGTAGACATTGCGTCTTTACTTGATGAAAATTTCGTCGATTATGATATTGCACAGAAGAGACGCTCTAAAAATTTCGAAAGCTTAAAGAGGAATTCGTTTGGAAAAAAGGCGAAGAATAATGAGTTATTGTTGTTGGGAGTAAAACACGATCCTTACACAAACGGTAATTGTATTTTTTCATTATTATTTTTTGCAATGCTTCTTGTTTTTGTGGAATTGTTTTCAGTGATTTGCAATCAAGAAATTACTGCCAGTTGAGTTTTTTTAGTTGAAGGATTTGAGTTGTATCGCAAGAAAGAATTACTGATTAGTGATTAAGAATTCTTCCATCGATCGAAACGCGTAAATTGGCAAATATTGAGCGATTGTTATGAAGCGTTTTTTATGCCTTTAGCTTTCAATTCAAACATTACGTTGATTTTCGATTGGATGTGTTTTCAAAAAATGTGATTATTTTATTTCCTTTCAGAGCTTTACGATGATAAAGTGAAAGAGGGAGCAGATTTATTATCCAAAATCCTTGGCCAAAGTGATCACAACTCCTCATTAAATTCTCACAGGTAACATCTGTCGTAAATGAAACTAACTTGAACAGAAGAAGAGAGCAGTGTTTCTAAACAACTATAATATAAACTAAGATTTATTTATAACACGTGTCTGTGTAGGTTGTTGAGATTAGACAACAAATGAAGAGAACAGTCATTGCACTTTGTATGATATGCGAACAGACGTGTTTCAATGCATGTAGGGAGTGATTGAAGAACAGAGGAAGAGAACAGTCATAGCACTTTCTATAATACGAACTGACGTGTTTCAATGCATGTAGGGAGTGATTGAAGAACAGAGGAAGAGAACAGTCATAGCACTTTCTATAATACGAACTGACGTGTTTCAATGCATGTAGGGAATGATTGAAGAACAGAGGAAGAGAACAGTCATAGCACTTTCTGTAATACAAATTGAGGTGTTTCAATGCATGTAGGTAGAGGTGACAGAAGAACAGATGAACAGTCATTGTAGTATCTTTAACACAAACTGAGGTGTGTCAGTGTAGGTCTAGGGATTAGTGAACAACAGAGGAATAGAACGGTCGAGATAACGTTTGTGGCTTTATGCTGTTTGAAGTAGTAAATCAGAAACAGAGTATGCATACATTATTTTAACACTTCTATTAACATCACAAAAATAAACGTCTTAATTTATAAATAAAATAAATTATGTCACAGTTATAAACATGTTAATTAAAAAAAAACAACTCATATCACCCCTACAAACTTCTTTATTTATAAATAAAACAATTAAAATAATTATGTCACAATTATGAACTTCTTAATTTATAAATATTAAACAAAGAAACTCATGTCACAAATATGAACCATTTTCCAGCTCTCGAAGCAGCGACACAATTTCAAGAAGTAAATCTTTCTTGGACAACGCAACCTTGAAAAAACGTCAGTACGCAGACTCGTCAATCCAAAGCGAAATCTTAATACTTCCCAGATCATCCTCACCCAAGAAGTAAGTGATGGATCATTTTAGTCCGTTCAAATATTTTAGTAGATATTACATAAATAAATACATCGATCGATTTGATAACAATCCATTCGAAATTAAAATGTCAAATAAAAATTGAAAGCACGTGAATGTGTAAAAAACACAGGTCCAATATCTTTAAAGGGTCAGTATTGGGTTTCTGCTGAGAGGCCTATCGTTTTGGTAAAAAAACGCGGATAACGGATGGAAAAACGGACGGCGGTTAACTCATATTTCAACCGTTGAACACAACATGCGTTTTTCATCGTGCCATCTTGTATAAAATGTTTGCCAAAACATCTCAATCTGATTATTTGGTGATGGCTTTGAAGTAGAACCATTTCACGGTCCCGTAATTTTTTTCTTCATTAATTTCACGATTTTTTTTTACTCTATATTTTTCGAAGAAAAAGAGACTAAAAGGCGTTAGTTGCTTATTTTCTTCATCCCCCATACCACATCCATACGAATGGTGCGTCAAATGCGTTAGTCAAATGTAATGAAATTCACCGCTAACAGCGCCAAGTCATATGACACCGAATATCACGCTAGGCTTTTGTTGTGAACGGAATTTCTTTGTGTGCGTGACGACCGCCATATTGAAGACTTCTGCCCAATGGATTAGATCTAACATCAGTGGAGAAGTCATCGTTTTATAGAACATTTCTATCGCTCATTTAGTACTATGCCTACTATAGTTTATCGGTAATCATTTCCTACATTTGATAGGAATTCACACTGTGAATGTAATTTCACACTGTGAGCAGCTCTGATATTTGCTTACAAAACCGATTCGTGTTTTGTTTGTTCGTCAGACTTTTAGATGTGAGATTTAAAATTGCTTCGAGGATTTCCAGTTTAAGGAATTTTGGGAATGTTCATTTTATATGAACCGGTTCTCGACATCGAATAAAGCGACGTTTTTCCTGTTTTCCTGCTGATTCCTAGAGACGAATTAAGCACTGAAAGACGGAACTATTTTGATGGTGACGAAGCGTAATTATTGTACAGATTATCTTCAATCAATCGTCGACCTTTATATGTCATGGCCATTCGTCATCCCATACCTGGTCGATTTTTTGCTGTCAAACCAGAAAGCAAAACACTGGTGCATCAATCGTTTGTTGCAAATATTAATGCAAGCGAGAGCTTGGCTATTAACATCCCCGACAACCATTCAGAGCCTACCGGTACTCTTTCCCTTTCCGATAATCGCATCGACAATCTAAACAAAAACCCGAGTAAATTAAAGAAAAGATGCCCATCAACATCATTGGATATTTTCTCAAACGTACATTGTTCTTGTCCCCATACATTAGATATGGTTGATGCTGAAGTAGATCTCGAAATATTTTGTGATTTACGGTCATTTTCTGGTCTGATACCAGAAAGATTTTTATCTTCTCTTGAGATCTTTGCCAACAACAATCTCGTCCGTACAGATATATTCTCAAGTAATCCTGGAAAGAAATTCCTGTTTTCTACAACGCATTGTCCGTCGAAGAATCATCTTCTTGATTTCAGACGGTTTCAAGATCACGCGAGTCATTCCGGGCCAACTAAAGGATTTCAGGTGAGTAATGAGAACACGCAAGAAACACTGGTAGAAAAACAAAGAAAAAGGCTTGTGTGTTGCGCTATCTGTGGCTGTTATCGCTGGGTTGAATGAGGAGAAATATGGACAACGACAACTTTTTACTCTTAGTTAATTTTTGCAAACGTTACCTGAAGTCGATTAAAGAAATCGCGTGTATTTTTCAACGAGTAGCATCTACGTGGATATTGCCGCTTGTTATCATGCACTCTGGCATTGATGCATTGGACATTGATACCTCCGACATTGATACCTTTGACATTGATGTTTTTCACATTGATACATCGGGCATTAATACCTTGGACATTGATATCTCGGGCTTTGATACCTTGAACATTGATAATTCGTTCAATGATATCTCGGGCATTGATATCTAGGACATTGATATCTCGTGCAATTATATTTCAGGCATTGAGTTTTGCTCGGTCAGACTCTGTCTTAAGTATTTATTACACATTCGACGATGAAAAAACACCTAACAATGTGGTCTTCAACGTATGTTTTTTACGTAATAATAACATTTGGTATTCTTTCTAAATTGTAAAAAATTGTGTTATTTCTTTATTTATTTATGATGTAAATAGTTCTGTATAAGTTTATTATAATCATCGGCAAAGAATCGTGATATCTCGTTTTTTATGGCGTTGTTTAGCGAAATCATTATTTATTAAAAAATCTTTACGTATTTGAGGAAAGCGTTTCAGTATTTGTGTTGATGGGTGCAATATCATGCAGTTACATGTTTGTAGATGTAGATCGTCCAGGTGAGTAGAGTCTTGAGAAGTGTTTATGTTGACTGCAGTTTCGACAATCTTGGCGGTAGTCATCTTCTGAGTCATTCCCTCAAGATGGCTACCGCAAAGCTTGTCGAAAAGTCAGTCAAAATCAACACCAACAGTTCTTCTCAAGACTCGCCTAACCTGAACAATGTACATCTACAAACATGTAACAATACTCCCGTGTTCAAACAATTCTCTTTATAACAATCAGTTTATTAGAAAGATCCAGCCTACAGCATGTGTTCATTCTTCAGACAAACTGATGTTGAATACCAAGATGACTTGAAGCATTCAAAGTTAGAAGCACAGACGCTGCTCTCGGACAAAGAGGTTGAAGATCCGAATTGATCTTCTGCTTTTTCTTCGATTACTCATCAAGTCATCATTTGCTATATTTGCTTCCCCCCCGCAGATTGCCAAACAAGAACTGCAAAGAACTCAAGACTCCATCTCTCGAAGTAAAGAGAACATTATTTTTTCAAAAAGTTTGGATGAGCAATACCGCTGGGAACCTACGCCAGACCGGTACGTATGTTGATGATATATATACGTGAGTGGGGTGACGTAGAAAGATTGTAGAACCGTTTCACTCCGTAGAAATGAACTAGTACACCAGAGTTGGCTCAGTTAGTGATGAATGGAAAGAAGAACTTTTGGAAGAAATTCTAGAATTAAAGTAGTGTCGAATCATTAACAGAGAAGGAGAGTTTTCATCACCTTACGTAAAATATATACACTAAAATAGCGTTTAGGTAGAGGTGAATGAACAAAAAAGAACGAGAACTGTCTTCATGAACATGTGCTAAAATGTAAAGTAAGACAACGTGTGTCATTATTAGTTGTGATAAATGAACAACTTTGGACGAAAACAGTGTTGTTACTATGTAAAATTTATAACATACGTTTACCTGTTTGTAAATGTAGATCATCCAGGTTGGTATAGTCGTGAGAAGGACTGTTTTTGTTGTTGTTGACTGAAGTTTCGACAACCTTAGCAGTAGTCATCTTCAGAGTCAAAATAGAGTATCGTTACCTGTTTGTAAATGTTTTGACTCTGAAGATGATTACCGCTAAGGTTGTCGAAACGTCAGTCAACAACAACAAAAACAGTCCTCAGGACTATACCAACCTGGACGATCTACATTTACAAACATGTAACGATACGCCCGGGTTCAAACCATTTACTTTATTACGATTACCTGCGTCAATATATAGGTAATGGTGAATAAACAACATGTTTACACAATATTTACATGTGCTAAAATGTGAACTAAGATAACGTGTGTCATTGTGTATGTAGCAATGAATGAACAACCGAGTGCGAGAGAAGTCTTTACATTATCTATAAGATACAAACTAAGATGACACGTGTGAATGTTGATAGTGATGAATGAGAAATGGCTACTAAATTTTTATATTTCTCTTTTTTGTAAAATAGAAATGAATTGGTAGAGCTTAACTGGAAAAAAACACATTTGCCAGACGAATATTCAACTCCGGAAGAAACAATCAATAAAACGAAGCGAAAAGAGGTTGATCACAATACAAACGAGTATTTTGTTTCCCTCGTATCATGCTGACTGTTTAGTCTTGTTGATCTGTTCTTTGATTTCAGGCTAAGAACAACGAGGTCATTTTGTTTGGTCGAAGTAAAGACGAGATACTTCAAGCTCTTAACGATCAAGAACGACTTAGGCGGAAGTTGGAAATCATCGAAACGGCCTTACAGCAAGAAAAGACTACGAGAAAGATAATTGAGGGCGATCTTTGTGAGAAAACACCACTCTTAGACGGTGCATTGAAAAATCAAGAACACGAGAACGACAGAGCGCTACAGCGCTTACGAGAGGTAGCTATGCTTTTAAAGGAAATTGGAGGCTTTTGGAATTTGCTAAGGAGGACTATCACCTTTACAAAGTGTTTGTCCTCATGAACAGTGCATGAACGGAATGAAATTGACAAAGAAATGAATTATGATTTTACTTGAAAAATTTGCGCATTAGGAGTAAAGTTCAAGTTGGCTTCGTCTCTGCTCCACATAATGATGCAATTTCTTGAAATTTCATCATATAGTTAATTATTCGTTGTGATTTATAGCAGTCATCATTTGTAGGAACATAAATTTGAAATCGAAAGATTTCAAGAAAACGTTACCAGAGAAAAGACTAACTGGAAGCAGGAGAACGAGGTAGGTCGTCAAATCCCGTTTGAATCACCATCCGCATTCATTTGTACGTATAAAGATCAGTTTCATATGAAAAAAGAAAACCAAGCGCCTTAACTCCTATTAACAAGTGTACTTTCTTCCATATGAAAATAGTGTCTTGAAGATTTTACAATGAGTACACTTGTCATTTTTAACCAGCGTCACGGTATAGAACACAAGGATAATGCGATTCTAAATACGATACAACGCTCTCTTTCAAGGCTTTTGAAGTCTATAACGTAGATGTTTTGTAATATTCACTTATAGTGGTTTATAAGTATATCAAAGTTTCAAAGACTTTCAAACATTTGCTTGTGTTCATCTGTTTAGGGTTTGCACTTAAACGCTCCTGTTTTCTCTTCGTAGAGTATCGAATTGAAAAAGAGACAGTTGGAAAAATTTGTTTTTGATAAAAACAAAGAGTTGGATGAATATAGAAAACAAATTCGCGAGGAAAAACAGAAGAATGTCGACAAAGAGAAACATCACAGGTCACAGCTGGAAAGCGAGCGACAACATTATGAAATTAAACTGGATGAACAGGTTTGAAAAATATGCGTAATTTAGCAGAAATAAAATTCGTACCTTGAAGTGTCAAAAGTTATACCGCTCTAAATTGTTACGTAAATTACTTATTGTTGCTTTAGGAAAGATCTTGGAGAGAACGCGAGAAGAAATTACTTGATCAGCAAAGTCGACAAGAAAACGTAAGAAAATGGTCAAAGTATTAATTTCAACCATCATCTTCCTCGTCAAATCCTTCATGATGGAATTGGGTTAGACGAATGTAATTACTGTAGTCACTGTGACAAACAACACAAACTGAAATATGATTGCTCAGGACTGAAATTGAAGTGGAAGTCAACTCTAATTATATGTCTGTGTCGATAGGCTCTATATTGGAGTAGCTTGTTAGGGTTTAGTTAGACTCTTACAGAAATGGATAAGCCCCTTGCCCAAAAGAGTTGGATTAAAATCAACGGATTAAGCTTGGCTAGGGTTATGAAATGAATGTCTTGATTTCGTGGATGATGGAATTATAGAAGTTTCATTACATATGACCTGAATAACGTCTCGTAGTACAGGATTATTTTTTCTCTCGTGTAATCAAACTGTTTTCAATCGTCGATTCATTTATTTTATACGTAGTTACTTGATGAGCGCGATCGTGACTTACGTAGATTGGAAGAACGCTGCAAATCACAGGCGGATGAACTGCAAAATATAATAGAGGTATTATAGACTGTCTTCATTTGTTGTCAACTTTAGCTGACAATGTTGAACATGGTTTTTTATTATGAATAGAGCAAAAATGATGAAATAAAAATGGTTCGGGGTCTTGTTCGACAACAAGAAGATGAAACACGAGCACTCGGGGAGAGATTAAGGACTGAGGCGAGAACATGTAAGATACGTCGGACTCCGACACATGGAAGTTGTCATAAGAGCAGTATTTACTGAAGTGAAAGATTACTTTATTTGACTCATCCTAAACTCTACGCAATGTTAACTGTACTCAATGTTAGTGCATTTGGCAGATTTACAATCGAAGTTTGCTCTTTTCTTGCACAGAGCCTAAAGTTTTGTTTTCATACAAGTTAGTTTGTTTTCATACAAGTCACGACTTCTTCAACCCATCTGCAGAGTTTGTACTGGATTTGCACACGTGGAATGACTGACGTCGTGTATTCTATAGAACTTTTGAAACCGTCACTATTTCCAAGATAAATTCGATGAAGCTGCAATATTTTGCGTTTTATTGGTGTTTTTTTATTTTATGTTGTGTTGTAGGTTCGAAATGCAGTGGAAAACGAAAGGCATTCTTTGAACGAAGAACGACAACGTCTAAGGAAAACAGTTGACGAAGAAAAAGAAAAACATGAAAAGATTTTGAAGAGACTGCAAGAAGAATTAGCGGTCGAGAAAGAAAACCACAGAATAACGAAGGAGAGCTTAAGTAAAGTGAAAGAGGTAAAGTCATGATGGACCTGTTTCCATTGTTTAAAATGCAGTTTTTTATAGTTATTACGTAATATACGTTTAGGAAGACGTTGAATTGAGGAAAGAATTGTTACAGAAACGCGAGCCATACTCTGACAAGTTTGGATTGAGAACACAGCTTGTGGTAATATACAACATAATCAATAAAGCCTGTCTCTTCATTAAGAGGGATGTATTGAAGATATCTTTTTAAGGGAGTATGGCCGTGATTTTAGGAAGGGTTAGCCATATCAGTTTTTTGTCTTCTTACAGGAAACAAGCGCAGCTGCTGAGGAAGAGTTAGGCAAACTCCGGAAGCGTGTAGTTGAAAAAGTGAGTTCGCATTGAAAATTTATGTTTTATTCATTCGTAATTTTCTTTGCTTAAAATATTTTATATTGTTTGCCTTCAAATCTCTCTAACCACACGTTATAGGAAGATGAAATTTTGCAGTTGAAAAGGTGTGTACGTTTGACTTGTTTTGTATTTGGTTTAACCATCAAATCAAAGGCGTTTGTTTTTTTGTATTTCGTAGAAAATTCTCGGCTGAAATTCAAAAACTCAAAGACGAGAGGAAAAAAGATCAACTCGTACGGAGTCATTGACGAAATCAATTTATTTTCTCGCGTTACGTTCTTTCATTCTACATAACTTCTTTCTTCTGTATTTTTCACTGTAGTCTTACAGAAAGACGGTCGCTAAACTTGAACAAGAGTTTCAAAAGCTGGTCACAGCAAAAGTGAGTTTCCATCGATTTCCAAACAACTCATACTTTTTTTGAGACAGCCAGATTTTTTTCGTTTATCTTTTTTCCTTTTGAAGCCTGTATGTATATGTGCAATCATAGATCACTTGCTTCTTGCAAAAAAGTGTACTCTTACTCAGAAATATTGTGTGGTATAACAACGCCGTCAGAAATAGACCAATATTGCATGGGGAGGGGAGGGTGGGGGCTCCATGAAGCATAACTCTTCCGTTTAAAGTACTTGCTGTTTGAGGAATCGAAGTTTATGGGACCCCCGATTCTTATGGCCTTATAAATAAGTTTAGAGAAGAACAACAATTGTGTATGAGATCATCTCATTTATCATTTAGATTTTTTGGATTACGTAAGTTAGCGCTGTGATGATTTTTTCTACCTTTAAATTTCATTCATTGCCGTAGACGTCAAGTAGTCCACATGATAGTATGTCCAGTCTTTCTTCCACATCACTCGGAGTGTCGTCTCGTACCCAGTCTCCTACGTCAAGCAGAAACCCTCGAGTGACAGAGAAGTCAAGTAGTGTGGATTTGCTGAAGCATTTGCAAGATCGAGTAAAAAAATTACGAGCTGAAAACGAGAATTTGAAGAAAATTTCAGCGAACGAGAGCTCGAACAGGAGCAAGTCAAATGTAAGTAATTTTGGTAGAAATCGATTGATTCGATCCTACCATGCAGGTGAATCACAAGTTGATTTTCACAATTCGAAAGACTATAGAATTCTTTGTGGTTTGGTTACACTGTGATTTCAATTTTAAAATTTTATTTGTGAGCTTGTCCGAATGTGTGAAACCTCGAAAATTACTGCCGAATGCCGAGATAAAAGTGATATTTGCAATTAAATTATGACATTACTAAAATTCTGTAGTTATAACATTTAGTGTTGAAAACTGAACATAGTAAAAGGACAAATCTGGTTGACCTAGTCAATTAACTCGCTTCATGTATACCAATGGATCAGCATGGGGATCATATCACAGACCTTAAAATTTGTTTTTTCAAAATTATCATCTTATAGATCGAAGAAAGTGGCAGCCTAAGTTTGTCTCTACTCCGTACTCCTAAGAAGGTATGTTTTTAAGTGATATCAAAACGATATAAAAGTGGTAATGTTTACATTATTTTCATTTGATGGAGAACTTTAGATTCACAGCAGACTTTCTTTCATGCACATCTCTTTTCATTTTCAAAATATTGAAGTTTTTAATGATTTACTTCCCCAGTGACGTTTGATTGCATAATTATTCGGCAGGAAAATTCACATACTCTTCTCTCTTCTGGCAAGTTTTGTGCGAAACGCATAGAAAATTTCATAACGTTCGGCAATTTTTGTTTGATAATCAGTTAAATATAGTTCCATTGTGCAATGTGAGGTCAATGGGAGGGTTGATCAGACATTACAAAAACCAATTTACCTTAAAAATAAGAAGTGATGTACATGAACTTTTTAAGAAAATCCATTGTCATTTCACCATGTCCGTACGTAAAAATGTAATTTAAACATGAAACTTATCTCTTTTTTTACTTATTTAAACATGGTCGTTACAGTGAGTGAGATAAACAATGTAGAATATGGCTGCATGATTTGCTCATTTTCACTTAAACCAGCATCCTGTTTCTGTACTATCCATGAAAATTTCAGATCAGCCGTGTTTCGATGAACTGTAAGATAAATATTATCTCGGAAGGGCGTTTAAAATCATTTTATTTCTTTCAAGGCTCCTTCCGCGATGTATGAAAATAATGAGTCAATGTCGCGTATTCAGAAACTCTTAACCGACTCCACAAAGGTAAAACATTAGATTGGATTATTAATCCCATAACGCTCTGCTAATGTCTTTTTGGTGCTGCTTCATTTCGGTTGGGAAAAATATCACACACTGTCATTGACAAGTACATACTATTTTGTATGTTTTAATGCTTTTTTTGTACTTTTAGGATGTTCATTCAGTGTGAAGTCTCCGACATTCTACTGGAAACGAGAGGAATTAATTTTCGTATTCGAAGAATTCTTAATGTTATTGCATATGATTATGGAGATACGGTGCATTGATTTATTATTGAGATATTGATTTATATATGAGGAGATCAAGTACATCGATAGCTTTTGTACATGTTCTCATGAAATCAGAATAAGGAGATGAAAGACGTTCATGTGCTATGCATCATCATCACATGACATAAAAATAGGAAGATCGAGGACGCTGATTTTAGACATTCTATCATCACATGACGTAAGAAAATGGAGATCAAACACTTCCATTTTGAGGACCCATTATCACATGACATACATCATACATTAACTATGACATAAGCTTATCAAAACTTGCTATCTGATAATTTTATTGTACAAAAATGCCTTTCATATGTATTCTGAACGCATAATTTAACTATTTAATTTTCATAGCATGTATATGTTACTAGAGAAAGCTAGGTATGCCCACTCCCTATTGTAACTTTTTTTAGTCTTGCAGATGCTGATGGCGGTGTTAGGAGTTATGTGTATTTGTTTCCATCACGACGTTGATTATGTTTGGTGTTTGCAGATGATCAGTATTTTAATTAGTGACCGCAAAGCTTGTTCAAAGTAGGGGGGGCAGAATTGCTTAAGATCGAACTCTTTATGTGGCATGCTGCATTTTAACCAATGAATTGCTCGTCCTTAGAAAAGGGAGGCATGGCCCCAGCCCTCCCCCTGCTCTACGCTGCCTCTGTGGCTTGTTATCTCAACTGTGACATATTAAGGAACTGTTGATCGACTCTCAAACATTCAGAATTTTTTGAGTTATTTTTCGCTGAGTGATAATGACTGTTTTGACCGAGTCTACATTTTTCGACATAAAGTTTTCCTTGCTAACGATTTCAAACTCTGGTCGAACGTTGACGATTTTTGCGATTTCTTTAGCTGGTTTGGTGTATTGTGTACGCCATGCGTACCTATTTCATATTTTCTATTCCAGGCAGTCCAGCAGACTAACGTTATTTTAAAAAATTTAACTTTGTCATGTCGATATTTACGCCAACAAATCAAGTGAAGTTAACTAATGTTGCTGTTGTTCGACTGAAGCGAAAAGGAAAGAGATACGAGATCGCTTGTTACAAGAACAAAGTTGTATCATGGCGCAATAAAGTGTAAGTTACACTTCACTAGGACGTTTAATTTAAGATTTTCAATCGACATTAGAGTGAAAAGAAATGGGGATTGAGGTCAACATTCATTCGGCTTTTAGAATGGGAAACAAATAGTACGTCTTCTTGATCTTGAAGCTCATACATGACATTTGTGCTTTTTAAAGGGAAAAAGATTTGGACGAAGTTCTTCAGACCGACTCGATATTCACAAACGTTTCAAAAGGTCAGGTTGCGAAGAGAGAGGATTTAGTCCGTGCTTTTGGAACAGACAATCAGATGCAAATTTGTCTTGAGGTGAAAATGTTGACACAAGTTTAACAAAAAGAAATCTCTATTTTCAATATATAATTGTATGTATTTTTTAGTGTTTACTTTGAGCTGTAATAATCACATATGTTATCATTGTTTAGATTTTGGCCAAAGGTGAGCTACAGGTATCAGAAAGAGAGAGAAACGATCAACTGGAGTCTATGTTTCGAGATATTGCTACTATAGTTGCTGATAAATGTGTTAATCCAGAGACTAAGAGACCATATACTGTTGGAATAATTGAGAGAGCAATGAAGGATATACATTATTCAGTAATTACAACACGAAGCACTAAACAACAGGTATGTGCATTACTGGCATACTCAGTCCACAAGTCTGGTCAAACTATGTAAATATTTTGGTGTTTATTCATTGTAAAACAATAAATTTATAAAGAATTAAATGATTTACATAGCATTACTAAACTTATGCGCTGGCTACAGCCACTTGGGCTTTCTCGCAACCTCATGATTGTAAAGGAATTATCTTGTCTTATTTCCCCACATGACTGAAGGCACTGGAAGTGATTCGTCTGATCAAAGATGCTGGAGTGATGCCAATTGATCGAGCTCAAATGCGAATCAGACTAGTGTTACCACAAAGAGAGGCAAAACAAGTTCTCGAGAAACTCCGATCAAGTTTTACTAGCATTGAGAGTGAAGAGTGGGAAGGAAATCTGGAAGTGGTAAAAATAATGGATTTTTTGCACAAGTCAGACCATAATGTTTATCACATAGCAAATCTTACACAGTGGCTAAATCTGTAATTTTTTTAGTTCTGCTTAGGTTTGCAAATACTTCAAAAAAGTTCATGTCATTCTCATTTTGTCTTTCCCATAATAAAGAATGATGGAAAATTGACTTTGCTTTTCCCGTATTACACCTATTACCTGATAAAAAAATTTAACATTATTATTGTTTAGGTTTGTCTTATTGATCCTGGTTTTTACAGAACTATTAATGAATCATTAGCAGCCCAGACAAGAGGTAGAGGAACACTTGAAGTTCTTAATTTGAAAGAAATTGAAGTAGGAGATGATAGACTGGAAAGCTGATGATATATTTGTGGAACAGCAGTTGACTGCTGGCCGAGTTTTGTGCCAAAGGATCTCAATGCAACTGCCTGATGAAATCCCCATTGAATGGACCAAAACTTCTTCAATAGACTAACACCAGAGGTGTCATATATTAAGCCATGAAATTTATATAAGGTGAAAGTCAAAGGTGCTTCATGGCAAGATCACCTTGTCTTTTCTTTTGTTCATTTACAAGTGTTTGTGTTGATGGTAGCTGGCTTAGCATTTCAATATTTTCTCTCTTTCACCTAAGAAGGAAATCAAAACATGAACATTTTGGATGCTACAAGCATGTTCTATTATTGATTGGTATAGTACTTTGACACTACATGGAAATTCATACCTTTTGTCTTGCACTCAACCAGCAAATGACTCAGTTGTTTCTTGTTGTACTTTAACAAATATCTTTGACAAGATTTTATTGTTCCTAACAAAACCATCGCACAAGTCGTTATAGCATATATATGAATAAACAAAACATGCCCAGGTGCAATGATCCACTAAGTTTAAAACAGTGAATTGCTTGCATGAAAAATCTTGATTTTTCCAACTATGACAGTTCCATCCTGAATAATTACTAGTGTAAGTAGTTTAAGTCTTCTGGAATGGTTGTTCAATAGCGATTAATGCTAACCTAGGGTTAAATAAAACTCAACAGAGGGTTGAGTTTTATTTGTAGGTTAGTTTTTAACTCTAGGTTAAGTGAACCTACCTCCTAAATGAAGTGTTGTCAAACTGCATTGTCGTCCATTTATTTTCTTTACAAAGGTTATTGCATGCCATAGCATACGATAGTAGTCTCGACTGCACTTCACAAACACAACACCAGTGTAGGGGTTCACATATTTAACTAAAATTGAAAGATAACATGCGTCATGAAGGCAACACAGTTGACAATTGTCATTAGCATTTAAAAAAAGCTTTACTCCTGCTGAGGGCAAACCATACCTTTAAAAGTCATTTTAATGCAACCATATCCAAAATCGCCATAAGCATTTTCAACCGACTTCATGATTTCGTTATAAAGAGCGCTGGAGTTGATACTTTCGTCCACCATTCCATCTTCAAATCGCATTTCCATTAACAAATACCTGTTTAGAATGGATTAATCAGATTATTCAGATACTGAGATTGTGGAATCTGTAGAAAAACCAGTCAAAGTCAAACAGAACAGAGGTCTGGGTTAGGAACACGTACCTCGACTTCAAACGAACCATTATTTCTTGTGGTTTTTGATCACCCTGTCTGCTTGTGATATATATTCTCTGTTATTTTGTGATATATATTCTCTGTTATTTTGTGATGACTATTTTACAACTAAAAAGTTTGTTTCAATTCCTAACCTCTCCACCCCCCTGTTTTGCGAACATTAAATCCAAAATGGCGATTATTTTAACGTGAAAAATGTATCGTGATTGTTATTGTGGCTGATTTACACCATGATATTTGCTGAAGTTGGTAAGATATACATGTGAATGATAATTTTTTCTACTGCACATACTTATCTATGTCTATTGGCGTAATTTGTGTTTCGTTAGGACCAGCATTTTGGAAAGTATTTTTGCTGTCTGACACGTGGTTACTTTTCGTTGAGAAATGGTGGCAGACTTTATGTCTGACTTTCATATCGGCGTTCATCGCATCTTGCAGTGTTGTATGGACGTTAAAATGTGCTTCCAGCGTATCAGATGACGAGGTTTGTCAAATTTGACCTGTTTACAGAATTACCATGAAAAGTTTTCTGGAAAATGTTTATCTTAGTATCTTAATAATTTCAACATAGACTATGGTTGACATTTGAGCAGCAAGCACTATTGTGTACGCAGGATGATGATATATGACCTGTTTAGTTCACATACTTGTTAGTTTGTGTTATAAGAAATAGGAATATTTGAATGTTGATAACTGGGAAGGAGGGGTTGTGTTCATATCTTTGTTGTAACAGCTTGTAGAAAACAATTGATTTCAAAAAGTGATAAGGCAAAAAATGCGTATCATCACGTTACTAACTTACCTAAGTCATATTTTTTCAACTTTGAAATTTGTGCATGAAACTACTATTTTGTCTACTAGTGAGTGTGTATTTGTTGCTGAAGTTGATTGAACAATCATAATGACTTGCATGTCAAACTTTGTCATAAATCGTCGAGAGCTTTCAGATGAGCTAAAGATCATCACCGTAGCCCTGTAGTTTAGGAGATAGCATTGTGCATGCGCAGAAATACCTCCACGCATGCATAGATTCTACCTCGCAAAAATATTGGAGTTACAGTGATTTTCAATAGCTCATTCGAAAGAGCTCATCGAGAGCTTTCAGATGAGCTAAAGATCATCGCCATAGTTCCAGTAATTTAGGAGATAGCACTGTGCATGCACAGAAATACCTTCGCGCATGCGCAGATCCTATCTCGAAAAATATTGGAGTTATGGCCATTTTCAATAGCTCATTTGAAAGATCATCACCATAGCCCTAGACAAAATTCATGACAAAGTTTGACTGTTTTTAAAATCATATTGATTCTTTTCTCTTGTTGTGAAAACTCCCAAAAATTACATAGACATAGGAGTTAGTAATGTGATGATATACAAATATTTGCCCATCCATCCAATTATCAACAATCCGAAGTCCCTTCTTCGTTCATTTGTTATTTATCAAATGCTTATGACATATTTTTACAATTATTTTCTTAATGAAGTTAAAACATTTTGCTCTCAGTTATAAAAACATTAAACTGTCCATATCTTGCTTAGGAAACAGTCAGCAATAACAGGAATGTAAGGATGAAAAAGTTCCTTATGCAAAAAAATCTGCCGACCTTGTGAAAGTTTTTTATGCAACACAAACTGGAACTGCTCAGGTTCAGTATTTTTTAAGAGAATTTTATAATAGAACACTAGTTTTTCTGACTTTTCAAACATAAGTGCCCTCTTTGCTTTAGTATTTTGCAGAGGTATTGAAGGATAGACTACAACAAGATCTTAAACTCAACACAAAACTCATTGATTTACGGAAATATGATCCCGATGAATCTTTGAGGAATGAGGTTTGCTGTTATTTATTGTATTCTATAGTCATTTGAAATTTTCTGTCTAGTATGGTGCAGATTTGAATCGAAATGAACAGTTCACAGTTCTTATTTGCACATGGAGTATTTGTAATGTAGTTTTTTTATTGCTAATTATTAGCTGGCTGGTGATGGATTATATGAACATGGGCGATCATGTTGCATTTTTATTGTTAGGGGATAATGAAATGATCCATGAATTTTCACCCCTCCTCCCTTTTACCATTATAAGAAATGTAAGTTAACAAACAAACAAACAAACAACATTTGTATACCGGCCAGTATTAATCAAAGGTTGATCTATGAATTTTCACTAAACGTCTCTATCTCTCGCCATATCTCTCGTTATACCCATCGCCTTCATAAGAAATGTAAGTTAAAGTCAAAAATATTTGATGGCTGCAGCCCAAAGTCCTTCTCTCCCTGGTCTGTGGTCTCAGAGCATATCTGCTGCCAGTTATATTAGATTAAAAGAAGGATGATTGGATTTTTGTGGTCCATACTCACTATTCTGTACCTGCTTCCATCTTTATGTCATTAAATGAATGTGTTTTTGATCAAGGTCAAAGATACCATATTATGCATCTTTATAATGGCTACTTACACTGATGGTCAACCCACAGATGGAGCAGAATGGTTCTACAAATGGCTTAAAGAAACTGCTGTTGATTTCCGAGTTCAGAAAACACTTCTTAGCGGGCTCAACTATTGTGTTTTGGGTCTTGGAAATTCACTTTACGCAGATCATTTTAATAAGGTAATTAGTCGATATAACTAAAGTTGGTGCCGCAAGAAGTTATTTGTCCCATGATTTAGTGAATTTAGCTACGTATTTAAAAAAATCCAACATTGAATGTATTTAATGAAGATAATGATATTGGAATACAGATTTCGTCTCAAACTCAAAATAAACAGTTTGTTCTTCATCAATGAAAGGAAACTTAAGTCGATTTCACCATCATAAAAATTATCTTTTGGGTAAATCACTTTTGACAATGTTTTGTCTAAAGGAATTTTTGAAAGTTGCGTGATTTATACAGACAACAAATCTCTGTAGACTTTAAACTGTCATTTACTAGGTGGGTAAGGATGTTGATAAATGGCTCCATGACCTGTCTGCCATCAGGTTCATGGCTCTTGGCACGTCAGACGAGAATGTATCGAAAAGTGAAAATGGCGGTGAGCACCACACACTGTGGTTGGTTTGAAAGATGAATTAAATGAAACTGAAGTGCAGCCTCTGCAATGCACAACTACACTCGTTTTAGGAAAGGAAGAAGACTTTCGTGCTTGGGTACAAATTTTGATGAAGAAACTGAAAGCACCTGGATTTTATTCGGCAAATAAGGGAAACGGTCTCTTGAAAAATAAAGACGAAGAGATCTCCGATTATCAGAATCATAATAAGTCAACAAATGTAAGATTTTTGTGATGGAGATGGGTGAGCAACCTGAGGGCGAAAACCGTTCACCTAAATATTTCCATGAACATAAACATAGATACTAGCATTTTGATAATAATGAAATTGCAAAACGGACTTCACAATACCTGAAGTATGAATTTCATTTTTTTAGGCCAAAGAACAGTTATACGATAGTGCGAGTGATGTTGAACAAGATAATGAGAATGGATACACTGACGGTGCTGAAGTCGTTGACGTAGAAGACTTGGGGAATATAGTCGGGAAAATGAATGAAAAGAAAAAAGAGGGAGTTTCCTTAGTACCAAAAGAAATGATTACACCTTTACTTCGGAAATCATTGACAAAACAAGGTATACAGTGTGACTGTTATGCATTTTCAAAGAATATGTTGCTCATGTTCAAATGTTCATAATGCGTTTATTCCTGATGATTATGTTGCTCATGTTCAAATGTTCATAATGCGTTTATTCCTGATGATTATGTTGCTCACGTTCAAATGCTCATAATGCGTTTATTCCTGATGATTATGTTGCTCATGTTCAAATGTTCATAATGCGTTTATTCCTGATGATTATGTTGCTCATGTTCAAATGCTCATAATGCGTTCCTGATGATTATGTTGCTCACGTTCAAATGTTCATAATGCGTTTGTTCCTGATGATTATGTTGCTCATGTTCAAATGTTCATAATGTGTTTATTCCTGATGATTATGTTGCTCATGTTCAAATGTTCATAATGCGTTTATTCCTGATGATTATGTTGCTCGTTCAAATGTTCATAATGCGTTTATTCCTGATGATTATGTTGCTCATGTTCAAATGTTCATAATGCGTTTATTCCTGATGATTATGTTGCTCATGTTCAAATGTTCATAATGCGTTTATTCCTGATGATTATGTTGCTCGTTCAAATGTTCATATGCGTTTATTCCTGATGATTATGTTGCTCACGTTCAAATGCTCATAATGCGTTTATTCCTGATGATTATGTTGCTCACGTTCAAATGCTCATAATGCGTTTATTAATGATGATTATGTCTCAGTTGCGCTCCATTACGTACTTGTTTATATTTTTAAGGATACAAACTTGTTGGTTCCCATTCAGGTGTTAAGCTATGTCGTTGGACTAAGGTAGTATAACATGCATTGAGGTGGCCATTTAAAAGTTTAGAATCATTTATATGTGCGTAAACTGGTATTTTTCTAGTCAATGCTACGCGGTCGTGGGGGATGTTACAAACATACTTTTTACGGCATAGAAAGTCATCGTTGTATGGAAAGCACTCCTAGTTTGGCTTGCGCGAACAAGTGCGTCTTTTGTTGGAGGTAAGATGTCAATTAAGTTGGATTTTATCATAGTAAAATAACACATTCTTTAACCTTTAATCAACAAAGAGTTCGACAAAGAAGAGATGTGGTACATCGCTCATTCATGAGAATATTTAGGGTCATGTGTGAGCGTGATATACGATAGTAAAGAAGAAACATGTTGCGTGTCTTTTGGGATTTTTGTGAAGTTGCATGACAGTACAGTGCTCAAGAGATGCTGATATAAGAAATGTATTCGCAACTCGATTGCAGACCTTGCAAATTATATAAAAGTTTTCAACCAATCACCGTTGAGTCTGCGTCATACTTTACTTCTTCAAATACCTCTGTCTTAATCCTTGGACAACTTGTCTGGTGGAAAGTTGATGAAAAACAACGACTTATTTTGGAATTTTGAGATTGAATTCCCGTGAGGCTTTTGCTCTTTACCTAACTGATGAAAATCATTATCTGACACTCTTGGTTACAAATCATTTTTTTTTATTTTATTTGCATCACGACTTAGGCATCATACAAATCCGGTTGGAACGGAATGGCGTTGGAAAATGGACGAGCCCGATGATATTGTCAACGAAGCCATTAAAAAGCACTGTGATATGATAAAACAATTCAAAGGTAGCTACTTGTGGCGTAGCTCGTAATCACGTGTGAATAAGCTTGTCCAAGTGTCTGAGTCACATTTGTGACATTTATATGAGAGTTAGTACTTAGGTATTATTGGCATATGTGATGTAGTCTCTTTGAGGAAACATCCTGCATTTTGAAATCTCCCCAAAAGGGATTGAGAGGGTGGAGAAAAAATGTAGCTCCCAAACTAAAATTATCATTATAGGATTGTAGCTCGTCATTCTTTGAGAAATTTGATTGAAATGATTAGGCTTGCTTTTGAAGAATGAATGAAATGAAAATGTAATATTGACGATCTTCGACTATAAATTTAATCAAAGGACTAAAGGGAAAAGAAAATGTAGGAAATTACAGGCATATTTTTGGTGTCATACTATTGTTATTCTGCAAGGTTCAATCTTCAGCTTCGCTAAGCGAATGTTCTACGGCGAAATAAATTGATTTTCGTTGAGAGGTTCGTAGTGTACAACAAAAACTGAATTTTTATTATTTTAGCAATAAAATGTTTTATTTCTAAAGGTTATGCGCAAAGTGAAATAAATCAATCCGGTCACGGGTGTACATCCATGGATGTCTTTAAGTAAATGGGTTAACTTAAATGGAAGGGCTATTATTCAATCTCCACCCATGGAAATATGCAATACTGAATGAGGTATATGGTATAAGTATGGGGAGTGGGTGGGGGTGGAGAGACCGAAAGGGATATATTATAAAAATGGTGGCTGTAAACGGTGCTAATTGCCAACATTGATTTGTAATTTTATAACTTTTACGAAGGTGTTCCTGGTGTGAAAGCCGAACGTCTCGAGGAAGGAATGGCAGTCAGACATTGTGCTCTGTCGTTAGTCGGTATGTATCGATTCTCGTTATCTTTAATTACTGCTTTATCTTTGGACTCGCTTTATCATGCGAATTAATGTGTTACAGTAGTGAAACTCTCCGGTTGAAATGCGAAACTTTTCCAGCGATTGTTTCATTTAATAAACGCAAATTTCCCTCTGCTTTTTAGTGCAAAGTTACAATGGAAATTTTGCAGTATTGTGATAAATGGCAAAAGTTAAAACGAGCTATGCATATACCGTAATGTAAACTTACGTGGGTGGTGTGGGGTGAATGTAATATATATGTTAGTTGTGTTTTAATGGAGTTAGTCGATACATCGATGGTTATTGAGACAGATGTCGTTTCCTAATTGAAAATTCTTTAGACATTTTGCCAAAACCAGAAAAATTTTGGGAAATCATTGTCTTGCTAACTTTGAAATTACAACTAGCTTCAAGAGACAAGTTTTGAACTTGCATAAATTTTTGACCAAATGCTAGAATAATTTTGTTATATGGCACGAACAACCATAAATGTTTACAAGAAAAATTACTACTGGAATCAATCATAAAATGTTACATACAATCGTTGGATCCCTACTTTTACATACAATTTTTGGATCCCTACTTTTACATACAATCGTTGGATCCCTACTTTTATATAAAATCGTTAAATCCCTACTTTTACATACAATCTTTGGATCCCTACTTTTACATACAATCGTTGGATCCCTGCTTTTACATACAGTTGTTGGATCCCTACTTTTATATACAATCGTTAAATCCCTACTTTTATATACAATCGTTGGATCCCTACTTTTATATACAATCGTTGGATCCCTACTTTTACATACAATCTTTGGATGCCTACTTTTACATACAGTTGTTGGATCCCTACTTTTACATACAGTTGTTGGATCCCTACTTTTAATTCTTACGTCGTAATTATTGTTTATCATTGAAGCTTGCATTAGGAAATCACTTCTTCTTTCTTTGTTGAAAAAAAGTCTCAAACAACAAAATGTTGAAGCAAATGTGTTTTCGTTTACAAACCGTTAAATAGAGTTACACTAAGTAATGTTTTTCTTAAGCCAATACTATTATCTTTTTTTTCTCAGGCGAACCAATCATGTACCCCAAGATCAACGATCTTCTTACATTGCTTCATGGCCGTGGTATTTCGTCTTTCCTGGTAACTAATGCCCAGTTTCCTGACGCCATCAGGTATACTTGATCCTACGTATGTCTGTACAAAGACATTGTCATAAGAGTTTCCTAATGGACTACTTATCCTTTATTATTCACGCTTGCTTGGTCGTTATTGAGAAGCAGGCAGGGATTTTTGTAGAGAGTAAGTCCTTATGGCAATATGTGTACTGAAAGACAGAGTTCTAGTATTTCTCAGTTAAATCGAGCAAACGAGGTTATTAAAAAGTTAATTACATGCCATTAGACGTTTGTACTTTTACTGTTTGCTTCCTTAAAAAAGAAAGGAATTATGCTACTGTTTCCAAATGCTATGTAATCACATTGCATTCGTTTAAATTGTTTTTTGTCTTTGTATTTTGAAGAAATCTTCTACCTGTAACACAGCTTTATGTGAGCGTTGATGCAAGCACCAGAGAAAGCTTAAAGAAAATAGATCGACCTCTTTTCCGAGATTTTTGGTCTAGATTTCTGGAAAGCCTTCGAGCGTTAGCCGACAAGGTAAGATTTGGTGTATTTTCTGGCGATGAAGACTATCTCGTGCATACGGATTTAAAATGTTTATCTGTTTAACCGAGTTTATTTTTTCATCGTCTGTTGGTTATGAAAAGGGAAACATAGAGCTCCATTGATGGGTGTGTTTTTCTTACTTTCGGAGCACCTTCTGTCTTTTGTTACAAGGGGGTGCACGAGGAATGGTTATGAACCCACTAAATATTGGTACACGAAGCAGTCAAGCAAAAGCAATTGTACTTTGTGTTCAATAGAGCACACTTCCCATAAATATTTGCCAAGCATGGTATAAAAGTAAAATAGCTGACATTCAAGTATTGTAGGTAGATGCACATAATTGCGCTGCTTCTGTATCATTTGGTTTTAACACGTTTTGGGGGCAGCGGTCTTACACACGAAATTTCTTATTTGTTCATTTGGTCATCTGTAAACTGTCTCAAATTCAGATTTTTTCTTACCAATAGTATTGACATTGCATACTGATTAGAAAGATCTCAATGGCATGTTGTCGTCTTAAAAACTGCTTAAAACTATTTTGCTTTTCAACCAATGCCCAAAAACCTTTCAGTAAACAAATTATAACTTTTGAAGTAAAGCGTTGTCAAAGCTAAACAGTTCTTTGTAGCAAATCAATCGACTCTTCATTATTATTTCGATGAAAATTTATAAAAAATTTTGATATCATACAGGGACAAAGGACTGTGTATCGACTGACTTTAGTCAAAGGTTGGAATGCTGAAGAAATAAAAGGCTACACTGAACTTGTGTCTCTAGGAAGGCCTGACTTTATCGAAGTTAAGGTATAAATGATTACGTTAGCTTGTTTGATTAAGGTTATTACTATTATTTCTTATTTTTCCTTCCTGAATGTAGGGAGTGACTTATTGTGGTGATTCAAAAGCATCGTCATTAACTATGAAGAATGTTCCATGGCATGAGGAAGTATGTTGGTTGTTATTAAAACTTAAAGCGTCGTTTACACGAGCAATTTTTTGGTGACAATTTCATTTGCTCGCGAGGAAAAAATTTTGGCATTTTTTGTATAATAAATACGTTTGTTGAAAAGCTGACGTGTCAATGCGGCGAATAAAAATTGTCGTATGAAAAATTGATCGTCCAAACGGCTCGTCCTATAAAGAGATGGTCGTGTTTGTGCAAAAACAAGATTGTACGAGAACTTCGCGCTTTTTGAGAGAGTTGGTTTTTTCTTGCACGAAGACATTTGCTCTTAAGAAATACTTGTTGCATCGTCTACACGAGCATAGACAGTTGTCAAAATAAATATTGTAACATTAAAAATTCCTCGTGTAAACGACGCTTAACTGGTTAATTAATTACGTAAATGGTTTGAACCCGGGAGTATCGTTACATGTTTGTAGATGTAGATCTTCCAGGTTAGTAGGATCCTGAGAAGGACTGTTGGTGTTGACTGACGTTTTGACAACCTTAGCGGTAGTCATCTTCAGAGTCAAACTATAATTGATAATTACGTTAAATTATTAGTTGCACACTCGCCGTCGTGAAGACAACTTAATATTATTATTTGTCCAGGAATCAGGACGTAGATTTTGTATTGACTTCATGAATGGTTCATCTTGCCATCCATGACAAAATTATAAGATAATCACTTTCATTGATCAGTTCTGGATCATGGTAACCATGGCAACAGTATAAGATAATCTCTTGCATTGATTTGTTCTGAACCATGCTATAACCATGGCAACAGTATAAGATAATCTTTTACACTGATTAGCTATCGGCGATTCTAAGTAAGTTTAATAGTAATGAAATGCATGTAGGTATTTGTTGCGAGCTTGTTCAGAAAGCATCGGAATGATTTGTTAACATGTATGCGTTGAAAGCTGTTTGTATTTTTAGGTGATTGGTTTTGTAAAGCAACTCACGGATGCATTGCCGGATTATGAAATTGCTTGTGAACATGAACACTCCAATTGTCTTCTTATTGCTAAGAAAAAGGTGTTGTATAACAATAGAATGAATTTGATTTTCATAAAAAAAGATATTGTGTTATATTGCAAAGAATATCGACATATCCATCGACATTTCAAGTGATCATTTCGTTTTATAGTTTAAGGTCGACGAGAAATGGCACACTTGGATTGATTATTCAAAGTTTCATTCATTGGTAGGCAAAACCGTGCTGGAATCACACGTTTTGTAATTTTCGTATTCATAATTCATGAATAGCAGTAAATGCTGCTAAAGATATGGAGCGAGCAAATTTGTGTTGTGGAATGGCTATCCACTCGTGATTTAAAATAATTATGTTTCATGTTTTGTAGATGAAAAGATACCAAAATACAAACGGCCTGGCTTCGTTTACCTCCTTAGATTACATGGAAGCTACGCCTTCTTGGGCCGTTTTTGGTGACGTTAATAGAGGATTTGACCCAAACGAAGCCAGGTTTAAGCGTAAAGGCAAAATGAAAGATCATGCTAGTATTTAGTAAAATACTTCAGACTTTCAGTGCATGAATGATCACAATCATGCATAGTAATGATAATGCTGTTCCTTTTTTTGAACATTAAAAAATATGAATCATTCCATGAAAAAAATGTAGAATCAGCGTGTCCGCTACAGCATTTTGTGTTCATTTGTGTAGTGTGACAAACATTTTCCATCCTCTCATTCCATGAAAAAAATATAGAATCAGCGTGTCCGCTACAGCAGTTTGTGTTCATTTTGTGTAGTGTGGCAAACATTTTCTATCCTCTCATTAGTTACACTGTCAAACTAAAACAAAGATAAACAACAAAACTCTTTTAAAATCGATGGATGTTTTTCAATGCATGACATACCAATGTGGCGTAAGCAATTCGTGCTTTTCTTTCAATAAAAACTGCGAACAAGTTTTTTTTATGACAGTTTGGTATGTTTGTCATATATTTCTACCACAAAGATATTTGTTCAAAAGGTGTGTTCGCTTTAAAAATGCGCGTGTCAGAAAATTTTTACTGATGAACAAAGAAAACATATAATTAATGGAAAAGCGATTTGTCCACGTTGTCTACGTTGAATAGAAAAAATGTTTTATAAGAATTTCTTGTTAATACTGTCTCCACGTTGTCTACGTTGAATAAAAAAAGAAGTTTTATAAGAATTTCTTGTTAATACTGTCTCCACGTTGTCTACGTTTAATAGAAAAAGAAGTTTTATAAGAATTTGGCTTTAATGCAAACATGCAAGTGGCCCCATCTGCACACGCATTGAACACTTTGTAAAGAAATTAATATGAAGCAAGAATATTTGGTACTGGTTCTAGACCTAGTGTTGGCGTTAGTCTTAATGTTAGTATCATTGTCGTTGTTAGTCTTAATCTTTGGACGATGTTTTATAGAAGTTAGACGGCGGTTATTATAATTCTGGATCTAAAATGAAAAAAAACTTAGAACGAGAGTGAATGGGTAGACTTCCAATACAAAATTACATTGCAGTTTCAGTGACTGAAAATTGTGGACTTTTGAAATTTTCTGTGTAAGTGTAACAAATTTATTTTTGTTTTGTTTTACTTTTGTGATTTATGAGCAAATAATAATTCTGAAGCGGAGCTATTTATTTATTTATACATTATGCTATGAATGCAGATTATTTCATTGACATCAAATCATAAAACAAAAGCTTTCGTAACCACAAAACTGAACAGTTTGATTACTTGTTGTAGTCGGCAGGGTAAATCAAGTAATAAAAGCAACAGTGCTTATTTTGATGTAAAAGAAACTTCTACGAATGACATACATAATGTGGGCTACTTTTGTCTGGGAAAGGTTATAATGTAACAAAACACAGTGCATGGTCGTAACACATCGGCAGAGTGTTGCACAAGGCATATGATAAAGGGTATAGAGAGGAATGTTTTTCATAGGGGGTGGGAAAGTGTACAAAAGAAACTTCTACGAATGACATACATAATGAGGGCTACTTTAGTCTGGGAAAGGTGATAATGTAACAAAACACAGTGCATGGTCGTTAGACATCGGCAGAGTGTTGCACAAGGCATATAATAAAGGGTATAGAGAGGAATGTTTTTCAGGGGGGAGGGAAAGTGTACAAAAGGAACTTCTACTACTGACATACTAAGGCCTCCTATACCTTGGGAAAGGTGATAGTGGGTAACAAAGCTTAGTGATGGTCATAAGGCACGGTTAGAGTGTCGTACAGGACATATAGCGAAGGAATAATTGAGGAATGTATGTCACTGGGAGAATGAAAGTCTAAATGAATTTGTTCAGTTGTCTCAACTCTTATTATTTCGTTGTGTTGTTTTTGTATTCAATATTATTTATATATTTACTTGTCCTGTCAGTCTTGGTAAATTCCAGTAAATTGCCTGTTGCAGATTTTGAACATATATCTTTCGTACTAGCTTTAATTTGATCTTTTATAATAGTTTGCATATCAAAAGAAAGATTTTGCAATGTTCTTAATGTAATATAAATGAAGGCAAAACACTTGATATACCCATCTAAAAATTGACTGAAATTGAACTACCCGTATAACGACACAAAAATTGTGCAATTAAAGATGCGAAATTATGCAAGGATAGAATATTTCAATTCCAGAGATGAAATACTCATGTTCTTCATGATTAAAGAATTCTAATGATATGTAAGTTTGTGTGTCTGCATCATTACCCAATTGAGCTGGGACTATGAAATTGTAAGAGACGTCAAAATTTGAAATTTAGAAGAGAAAATCCTTGAACTACAAGAGTCAACATGAGATAAGTAGAAAGCAATCCTTAATTGATCATTGTGAATAGAACTTCGGAGCTAATGAAGCTTGTTAGATCCGGACAGATCGTTTTTAAAAAAGTTGTAAGCGGTTTGATTTTATCGTATTTATTAAAGTAACCAAGTGACGTTTCGTCTTGGCTCAAGATATTTTAAAACTCAAAATATTTAGAGATTATGTATATACAAAATGATTTTTTGTTAGTTACATAGTGAAAACCATATTGTAATTGCTGTCGCTGCAATTGTGTTCTAATCCCTCTCCTCCTCCCTCTGCTCCTCTCCTCCTCTACCTCTCCTACTTCTCTGACTCTACTCCTCTCTCCTCCTCCACTCCCTCTCATCCATTTCCTCTCTTACTCCTCTCCCTCTCCTACTCTACTCCTTCTCTCTCTCCTCCTCCTCTCACTCTCCTTTTCCCCTCTGTCTCCCTCCCTACTCTTCTCACTTCCTCCTCCTCTCACTCTCCTCTTCCTCTCACTCTCCACTCCCACTCCTCCTCCTTTCCCACTTCTCCTTGCCCTCTCCTCGTCCCTCCCCTCTACCTCTCACTATCCTCTCCCTCTTCTCCTCGTCCATCTCCTCCTCCTTTCACACTCCTCCCCTCTCTCTTCTGCTCCTCTCACCCCCCTCCTCCCCTCTCTCTGTCTCTCCTACTCCTCTTGTCTAGGTGTGAAGATTGGTAAAAATTTGTAAAAATGCGTGAATTATAGTCTTTCTTTAAAAAATGTGAAAATATGTGAAAATGCGTGCATTATAGTCTTTGTATGAAAAAAGGTGAAATTTTGTGAAAATTCATAAATTATAGTTACATGTTTGTAAATGTAGATCGTCCAGGTTGGTATAATCCTGAGAAGGACTGTTTTTGTTGTTGTTGACTGACGTTTCGACAACCTTAAACATAACAGGAACTTAAAAATAAGACTTAATGAACACAAACGAGCTACTAAGAAACACGACAAAATTAATCACATTGCCAAACATCACCAAATCACAAAGCACAACATTGACTGGAACTCGGCAAAATGCATTACTTACAGTACTGACTATGGACAACGGATTACATTAGCAAAATGGTATACCAACTTGGAACAAACCCCCCTGAACAGGTCACAGCAATTACCGGCACCTTACAAACGACTTATTCACAATACAAACAAACGATCAACTAAAACATTACACTTCACACTAATTCACAATGACAATACACAATTGACACCCACAACTAAAAACATCACACCTAAATCACACATCACAACTAAAAATATTTCACTTCACACTAATTCACAATGACAATACACATTTCCTGTACACACAATACAATGACGTAAGAACCAGATAACAAATACGGCTATAGTCTTTGGCCTGAAATGTGTGAAAATGCAAAAACTATAGTCTTTGGCAGGAAAATATGTGAAAATGCAAAGACTATAGTCTTTGGCATGAAATGTGTGAAAATGCAAAGAATATAGTCTTTGACGTGAAAATGTGTGAAAATCCAAAGACTATAGTCTTTTTCATCAAATGTTTCAAAATGAAAAGACAATAGTCTTTCTCGTGAAAATGTGTGAAAATGCAACGACTATAGTCTTTGACATGAACATGTGTGAAAATACAAAGACTATAGTCTTTTGTATCAAAATGTGTGAAAATGCAAAGACTATGTTCTTTGGCATCAAAATGTGTGAAAATGCAAAGACTATAGTCTTTAGCATGAAATTGTGTGAAAATACAAAGACTATAGTCTTTTGTCTGAAATGTGTGAAAATACAAAGACTAGTCTTTTGCATGAAAATGTGTAAAAATTAAAGACTATAGTCTTTGGCACAAAAATGTGTGAAAATGCATGAGCTATAGTCTTTGACACGAAAATATGAGAAAATGCAAAGACTATAGTCTTTTGTCTGAAATGTGTGAAAATACAAAGACTAGTCTTTTGCATGAAAATGTGTAAAAATTAAAGACTATAAGTCTTTGGCACGAAAATATGTGAAAATGCAAAGACTATAGTCTTTGGCACGAAAATATGTGAAAATGCAAAGACTATACTATTTGGGAAGAAAATGTGTGAAAATGCAAAGACTATAAGTCTTTGGCATGAAAATATGTGAAAATGCAAAGACTATAGTCTTTGGCACGAAAATATGTGAAAATGTAAACACTATAGTCTTTGGCACAAAAATGTATGAAAATGCATGAGCTATTGTCTTTGGCACGAAAATGTGTTAAAATTCATGAGCTATTGTCTTTAGCATGAAAATGTGTGAAAATGCATGAACTATAGTCTTTGGCATCAAAATGTGTGAAATTACAAAGTCTATAGTCTTTGGTCTGAAATGTGTGAAAATGCAAAGACTATGTCTTTCGCATGAAAATTATTAAAAATGCAAAGACTATATTTTTTGGCATGAAAATGTGTGAAAATGCAAAGACTATAGTCTTTTGCATGAAAATGTGTAAAAATTAAAGACTATAGTCTTTGGCACAAAAATGTGTGAAAATGCATGAGCTATTGTCTTTGGCATCAAAATGTGTGAAAATGCATGAACTATAGTCTTTGGCATCAAAATGTGTGAAATTGCAAAGTCTATAGTCTTTGGTCTGAAATGTGTGAAAATGCAAAGACTATATCTTTCGCATGAAAATTAAAAATGCAAGACTATATTCTTTGGCATCACAATGTGTGAAAAATGCAAAGACTATAGTTTTTGGCATGAAAATGTGTGAAAATACAAAGACAATAGTCTTTTGCATGAAAATGTGTAAAAATTAAAGGCTATTGTCTTTGGCACGAAAATGTGTGAAAATGCAAAACTATAGTCTTTGGCACGAAAATGTGTCAAAGTGCAAAACTATAGTCTTTGGCACGAAAATGTGTTAAAATGCATGAGCTATTGTCTTTAGCATGAAAATGTGTGAAAATGCATGAACTATAGTCTTTGGCATGAAAATGTGTGAAATTGCAAAGTCTATAGTCTTTGGTCTGAAATGTGTGAAAATGCAAAGACTATGTCTTTCGCATGAAAATTATTAAAAATGCAAAGACTATATTCTTTGGCATCAAAACGTGTGAAAATGCAAAGACTATAGTCTTTGGCATGAAAATGTGTGAAAATGCAAAGACTATAGTCTTTGGCACAAAAATGTGTAAAACTGCAAAACTATAGTCTATGGTACGAAAATCTGTGAAAATGCATGAGCTATTGTCTTTGGCACGAAAATGTGTTAAAATGCATGAACTATAGTCTTTGGCATGAAAATGTGTGAAATTGCAAAGTCTATAGTCTTTGGTCTGAAATGTGTGAAAATGCAAAGACTATATCTTTCGCATGAAAATTATTAAAAATGCAAAGACTATATTCTTTGGCATGAAAATGTGTGAAAATGCAAAGACTATAGTCTTTGGCATGAAAATGTGTGAAAATGCAAGACTATAGTCTTTTGCATGAAAATGTGTAAAAATTAAAGACTATAGTCTTTGGCATGAAAATGTGTGAAAATGCAAAGACTATAGTCTTTGGCATGAAAATGTGTGAAAATGCAAGACTATAGTCTTTTGCATGAAAATGTGTAAAAATTAAAGACTATAGTCTATGGCACGAAAATCTGTGAAAATGCATGAGCTATTGTCTTTGGCATGAAAATGTGTGAAAATGCATGAACTATAGTGTTTGGCATCAAAATGTGTGAAATTGCAAAGACTATAGTCTTTGGTCTGAAATGTGTGAAAATACAAAGACTATGTCTTTTGCATGAAAACGCGTGAAAATGCAAAGACTATATTCTTTGGCTTGAACATGTGTGAAAATACAAAGACAATAGTCTTTTGCATGAAAATGTGTAAAAATTAAAGACTATTGTCTTTGGCACGAAAATGTGTGAAAATGCAAAACTATTGTCTTTGGCACGAAAATATGGGAAAATACATGAGCTATTGTCTTTGGCATGAAAATGTGTGAAAATGCATGAACTATAGTCTTTGACATGAACATGTGTGAAAATACAAAGACTATAATCTTTTGTATCAAAATGTGTGAAAATGCAAAGACTATGTCTTTTCCATGAAAATGCGTGAAAATGCAAAGACTATATTCTTTTGCATGAAAATGTGTGAAAATGCAAAGACTATAGTCTTTGACATGAACATGTGTGAAAATACAAAGACTATAATCTTTTGTATCAAAATGTGTGAAACTGCAAAACTCTAGTCTTTGGCACGAAAATGTGTGAAAATGCATGAGCTATCGTCTTTGGCATCAAAATGTGTGAAATTTCAAAGACTATAGTCTTTGGTCTGAAATGTGTGAAAATACAAAGACTATGTCTTTTGCATGAAAATGCGTGAAAATGCAAAGACTATATTCTTTGGCATCAAAATGTGTGAAAATGCAAAGACTATAGTCTTTGGTCTGAAATGTGTGAAAATGCAAAGACTATGTCTTTTGCATGAAAATGTGTGAAAATGCAAAGACTATACATGTTCATGTCTTTGACATGAACATGTGTGAAAATACAAAGACTATAATCTTTTGTATCAAAATGTGTGAAAATGCAAAACTATAGTCTTTGGCACGAAAATGTGTGAAAATGCATGAGCTATTGTCTTTGGCATCAAAATGTGTGAAATTTCAAAGACTATAGTCTTTGGTCTGAAATGTGTGAAAATACAAAGACTATGTCTTTTGCATGAAAATGCGTGAAAATGCAAAGACTATATTCTTTGGCATCAAAATGTGTGAAAATGCAAAGACTATAGTCTTTGGCATGAAAATGTGTGAAAATGCAAAGACTATAATCTTTGGTCTGAAATGTGTGAAAATGCAAAGACTATGTCTTTTGCATGAAAATGTGTAAAAATTAAAGACTATAGTCCTTGGCACAAAAATGTGTGAAACTGCAAAACTATAGTCTTTGGCACGAAAATGTGTGAAAATGCATGAGCTGTTGTCTTTGGCATGAAAATGTGTGAAAATGCAAAAACTATAGTCTTTTTCATCAAATGTTTCAAAATGCAAAGACTATAGTCTTTGACATGAACATGTGTGAAAATACAAAGACCATAGTCTTTTGCATGAAAATGTGTAAAAATTAAAGACTATTGTCTTTGGCACGAAAATGTGTGAAATTGAAAAGACTATAGTCTTTGGTCTGAAATGTGTGAAAATTGAAAGACTATGTCTTTTGCATGAAAACGCGTGAAAATGCAAAGACTATATTCTTTGGCTTGAACATGTGTGAAAATACAAAGACAATAGTCTTTTGCATGAAAATGTGTGAAAATGCAAAGACTATAGTCTTTGGCATGAAAATGTGTGAAAATGCAAAGACTATAATCTTTGACATGAACATGTGCGAAAATACAAAGACTATAGTCTTTGGCATGAAAATGTGTGAAAATTCATGTAATCGATTACACGATTACAACGTAATTGATTACAGGATTACAAGGTAATTAGTAAGAAGTTTCCGATGTTATCAATTTCACGATTATAATGTAATTGATTGCACGATTACAATGTAATCGATTTTAGGATCACACAAGTAAGTCATTCTGATCACTTAATAGTCTTCAACTTAAAGGTTGACATAAAGATAGACAGTAGAGTAGACGCAAAGGTAGACATTAAGTTAGAGACAAGGGTAGACACATAGAAGTAGACATGAAGGTAGACATTAAGGCATATAGAAGTAGACATGAAGGTAGACATTAAGGCACATAGAAATAGACATGAAGGTAGGCATGAACGATATTTCAAAATGAAAACATGAACTTTTGTCAATATGACCACAAACTTGTTTCATGCATTTAAATAATTACTGACCCAACCAGAATTTGAACGTAGCACACTACGTTTGTGGACTGCGTGTTTGAACACTTGGCTATAGTTCATGCACCCGAATCCAAAAGACTATCTAAAGTTCATAGACTATTTAACGCCCAGTTTACTTTTCAGATTGGAGACTTAACCAATTCTGAAATTCCAGCGTTGTAATAGCTGGATATTTCACCCAGAATATTTTTCAGGACAAGCTACTCACAAGTTTTGGCTATTAACACACTTGTTGGATCGAAAGTGCATACAAAATAACTCAGGTACAAACCTCAAATTGACCACTGATGTTTACTCCAGCTCAGCTGACACGAAAGATCCAGCAAACTTCAACAGCAGTTGAAACAGTTACAACTTCAGACGCTTCAAATTCAGCAATAACTATAACAGCAGTTGCAGCAACAACTGCAAGATTTTTCAAGTAGCAAGTAAAGTTCAAAGTCTCTTGAGCAGCATATACAGGCCATGGAATACGGAAGATGATTTCAAGCAAAATATCTCTTCTAGCTCAGTGTTGCAAAATTTCATGAATAAATGTTAGTAAATTTGTCAAATATTTGTCTGGCAATAATATTCTCTGCAAAATTTTTAAAAAAGAAGGCACTTGAAACAGTCATTATTTAATAAAAGACGACATGAACTACATTGAGAAGTCGTTGTTTTCTTTAAAGACGAAATGAACGACATTTGGAAAAAGTCTCTATTTTTTGAAAGTCGACATGAACGACATTTGAAAAGTCGTTAGTTTCTAAAAGACGACATGAACGGAATTTTGAAAAAGTAGCTATTTTTAAAGACGACATGAACAACATTTAGAAAAAGTCGTTGTTTTCTTTAAAGACGACATGAACAACGTTTGAAAAGTCGTTATTTTCTAAAAGACGACATGAATGACATTTGAAATGTATGTCTACCTTTATGTCTACATTTATGTCTACCTTTATGTCTGCCTTTATGTCTACCTTGTGTCTACCTTTATGTCTACCTTTATGTCTGCCTTTATGTCTTCCTTTGTGTCTACCTTTATGTCTACCTTTATGTCTGCCTTTATGTCTACCTTTATGTCTACCTTTTATGTCTACCTTTGTGTGTCTCCTTTATGTCTACTTTATGTCTGCCTTTATGTCTGCCTTTATGTCTTCCTTTGTGTCTACCTTTATGTCTACCTTTATGTCTGTGTTTTATGTCTACCTTTATGTCTTCCTTTGTGTCTACCTTTATGTTTCTTTATGTCTACTTTTGTCTTTATGTCTTCCTTTATGTTTACTTTATGTTTACCTTTATGTTTCCTTTATGTTTATATTTATGTTTACTTTATGTTTATATGTTTACCATCTATGTTTACCTTTATGTTTACTTTGTTTTATGTTTACCTCTATGTTTACCTTTATGTTTACCTTTATGTTTACCTTTATGTTTACCTTTATGTTTACCTCTATGTTTACCTTTATGTTTACCTTTATGTCTACCTTTATGTCTACCTTTATGTCTACTTACTACCTTTATGTATACTTATATGTCTACCTTTTTGGCATTGATGAAATCAAATCTGTTGGTTAATCTTTTCCGAGTAAAGTATTTATACATTCCGTTTTGTTATCAACTGATTCACGCCAAACCCAAGCACGTGATATGTTGAACTCAGGAAACAACATTTAAAGAGCAAAGTGATCCTTGATGTACTTGATGGTAAAGTACAGTAGCAGTATGACAACGTAGTTATCCTTTCTGGTAGAGAACAGACACTTGATGGTCAATTACAGAAAAATAAGTTGACTACGCTTTATGTTAGCTATAGAGTATAACGAAACATTTAGGTTAGTGTTGAAAAAAAAGTTACTTTCACATCAAGAGATGCAATTCAGGCATTGAAATTGAAAAAGGGTGTTTCTTTTTTAATTGAGAGATGCGCCCTTGGCGTTGGAATCGTATTCAACGAAAACACGATGAACTAAACAAAATGACTGTTCATGGTTTAATGGTTTTTTTTATAACTTTTTGATACTCGATTGGTTTTTAACTTTTTCGACAAACCTACGCGTTAATGCTTTTGCAATTTTTCATATTTTTTTCGATATCAATGTATCGAATTTTTCCAATGCCGAAACAGCCTAGATAAATGTAATGTTTTATAGCATATTCAATAATTTAGCAGTTAAAAAGTTCAATGGAACATCGCGCACAATTTAATGTTTTACATAAAAAAATTTTTATTACTTATGTAAAATTACAGCTTACATGAAATAACGCCAAATTCAAAATGATCACTTACATGAATAAACCACGATGATTCCTATGTTAATCAATGTCTCAAGAAAGACGGCACATTTTTTCCTGCCTTTTATTATAAATATGCAGCACGAACGTGTTTTCCGATAGCGAAGGATATAAACTAAAGAATGATTTCCAGCAATTACTTATAAAACCCTAGCGTATTTACAGGTTTGAAAATTTTACAAAAGTACATTAATTTCATAAAGTCAATTCAATTGTATTGTTACATAATTTTAGGGGTACGACTGAATAAATTGTGTTCATTGTCATAAAAACTAGCAATTGCTAACTCATAATAAATTCCTACGTAAAAATTCATATCTAACTCCCCAGGATTTAAATTCGTGACATTGATTAAATTTAGTGCGTTTCGAAGAACGAATGCAATGATTATGATACTATAAGAACACGAGTATCTCGATAAAAAGAAAAATAACTATACTCGCTGTCAGTTCTTCCATTACGTAAATGATCCAATGAACTCCCGGGAGAGTTTAATTAACTTTAGGTGGGGGCGTTAAATAAAAATAAGAGAGGTTTTCATATTAGCTTAATGGCACCTCAGTTTCATCAAATGAAAACAAAACAGGGATTAAATATAAAGTAATTGAGCCAAATCGAGAACCCACGAAGAAACATATTACTATAATGGCAATGAGGTGATGATGATGTGAGGGGTCGATAATTTGAAAGCAGGGGCGTTTATTGCATCATTTACGGCTTAAAATCACTTACACCTCAAACTTCAGAATTGCGATTTGCTGATAAAGCTTTCTTCAATTCCTTCTCAGCAACGCGCTGCGTGAGCGAGCGTTTTCGACGATTTCTATCTTTCTCTTTCCTGTCCTTGTTACTCTTTCGTCTAGAGGACAGACTTCTCTTCATGAGGGATGCCGGTTCAATTCCATCTCTTAACAAAAGATCGTTTGGTATCGACGTCAAAGAAGACGAGAGACAATTATTGCTACGTAATGGCGGTTGATCGAGTTTTTCCGGAAGAGGTTTGGCGAGAGAAAGACAGCTCGCTCTCAAACTGTCATCTAAGACGCCACCACATGTCTCGAGGACTCCTTCAGCAAATCGAACAAATATCTGAGCCCGCGTTTCATATTGCAGCTCCTACATAAGAGCATACGACTAAGCATAAATCGATGATCACTTCATTAACAGTGGCAAAATCTCAAACCAGTCCAAATCGCTCATATTTTATAGTCCCATGTAATTACAAGTGGAAGACTAAACTAAACTATAAGCATGCAGAAGACTAAACTAAACTATAAACATGCAGAAGACTAAACTGAACAATAAGCATACACAAGTCTAAACTGAACAATAAGCATACACAAGACTAAACGTAAGAATAAAGACGTATGAACCAGACAACAAATACGGCTAATCTGAAGTTTACTCGTCACTTGACTCTGAATTTGACTACCCCCTAAGGTTGTCGAAACGTCAGTCGACATCAACACCAATAGTCCTTCTCAGGACTCTACTAGCCTGGACGATCTACATCCACGAATATGTTAATAAACTAAAGTATAAGCATGCAGAAGACTAAACTGAACTATAAGCATACACAAGACTAAACTAAAGTATAAGCATGCACAAGACTAAACTAAACTATGAGCATGCAGAAGACTAAACTAAACTATAAGCATGCACAAGACTAAACTAAACTATAAGCATGCAGAAGACTAAACTAAACTATAAGCATACACAAGACTAAACTAAAGTATAAGCATGCAGAAGACTAAACTAAACTATAAGCATGCACAAGACTAAACTAAAATATAAGCATACACAAGACTAAACTAAAGTATAAGCATGCAGAAGACTAAACTAAACTATAAGCATGCAGAAGACTAAACTAAACTATAAGCATGCAGAAGACTAAACTAAACTATAAGCATGCAGAAGACTAAACTAAACTATAAGCATGCAGAAGACTAAACTGAACTATAAGCATACACAAGACTAAACTAAAGTATAAGCATGCAGAAGACTAAACTGAACTATAAGCATACACAAGACTAAACTAAAGTATAAGCATGCAGAAGACTAAACTAAAGTATAAGCATACACAGACTAAACTAAAGTATAAGCATGCAGACGACTAAACTGAACTATAAGCATACACAAGACTAAACTAAAGTATAAGCATGCAGAAGACTAAACTGAACTATAAGCATACACAAGACTAAACTAAAGTATAAGCATGCAGAAGACTAAACTAAAGTATAAGCATACACAGACTAAACTAAAGTATAAGCATGCAGAAGACTAAACTAAACTATAAGCATGCAGAAGACTAAACTAAACTATAAGCATGCAGAAGACTAAACTAAACTATAAGCATGCAGAAGACTAAACTGAACTATAAGCATACACAAGACTAAACTAAAGTATAAGCATGCAGAAGACTAAACTGAACTATAAGCATACACAAGACTAAACTAAAGTATAAGCATGCAGAAGACTAAACTAAAGTATAAGCATACACAGACTAAACTAAAGTATAAGCATGCAGACGACTAAACTGAACTATAAGCATACACAAGACTAAACTAAAGTATAAGCATGCAGAAGACTAAACTGAACTATAAGCATACACAAGACTAAACTAAAGTATAAGCATGCAGAAGACTAAACTAAAGTATAAGCATACACAGACTAAACTAAAGTATAAGCATGCAGAAGACTAAACTAAACTATAAGCATGCACAAGACCAAACTAAAGTATAAGCATGCAGAAGACTAAACTAAACTATAAGCATACACAAGACTAAACTAAAGATAAGCATGCACAAGACCAAACTAAACTATAAGCATACACAAGACTAAACTAAAGATAAGCATGCAGAAGACTAAACTAAACTATAAGCATGCACAAGACTAAACTAAACTATAAGCATGCAGAAGACTAAACTAAACTGTAAGCATACACAAGACTAAACTAAACTATAAGCATACAGAAGACTAAACTAAACTATAAGCATGCACAAGACTAAACTAAACTATTGCCAAAGTTGCAGACTGGCCACGCCACTGAATGATCTGGTCAGAATTATCTCAATTACATTTTATTCAAGCACACCATATGTTAAAAGAAAATAAAACCTCACCCCTTGATCATAAAATGGTCCAGCAAATTGACTAAAACCATCAAATCCAAAGCCTATAAAATTAAGAAACGTTTCAGTAAAAAAACATAAAATGCATTGCATTACTAAAATTTGACCTTGCAGGAAATTCGATTCCAGTTGCCTCTCGGCAAAATTGAGCGATACTGTTGACTGCATAATTGTCTGGATTGCTTGTAGGCATTCCACGTCTTGACTGTGGCCCAAGACCATTGCAAGCTTGCTACTTATCAAAGTGTAGCTACATAAAATAAATCAATGAAACATTAACACGACACGCATGACAAAAGAGGACACGAAGAAATGAGAAAAAAATTGATAAAACCCACAAATAGAACTTACATAACAGGAAATACTTTAGGAAAAACAAGACTTGCTTCGGCCAACACCTCGAACAAAAACTTCTCAAGAGCATCATCTTTTGTGTGTCGAACCAGAGTCGACTATTGGAGTTCAAAATTAAGGTATTACCAACAAAAAAATGAAAATATATAACTAGGAGACAACGTTTAGAGGTAAGTCATTCTTCATAAAATTGGAGAAAATGTTTCAAGGTAAGTTTATCTTTATGAAACATGCCTTGAAGACAACGTATTAGAGAAATCAATCAAAGCAAATGATCTCACCAATAATGTGAGTAACAAAGCCTGCGTTTGAAAGTCGTTGACAACGCCAGGATCCAAGAGACGATTCTCGACCTCAGCAGGCCATGGAAAAACGGCAGTCTCCGACTCAGAGATCTCAGCTGGGCCAGGAGAGATAGGAGACTCGATAATGATCGTCACTGGGCTAACAGGTATTGAGTTTGGTGGAGTGACCGATGATTGGCTGTCGGGGATGGAATTTGAACGCTTATGAGAACAATGTGGACGAAGTTTAGCTCGGATTTCATCAGATACTATTAACAAAGCTGAAACGATATTTTTTAATCGAATGAATATATATTTCCTCTACAGTATTATAATTAAATTTTTATTTTTCATTCATATTCTTTATTGAGTTACAATAAGCCTCAGCAAAATAGAGATTGAAAGTTACAATAAACCTCAGCAAAATAGAGATTGAAAGTTACAATAAACCTCAGCTAAATAGACATTAAGAGTTGCAATAACCCTCTCGGCTGAAATAAACGAGAGTTCCAGTTGTCTTGAAACTGAGAGTTATAACAAACCTCAGACGAATAAAGATTGAGAGGACAAAGACAATAAATATAGTAGTCTCTTACCAGCAAGATATGGTATTGTTTCTTTATAAACTGCAAACTTCTCTCGTCTACAAAAGCAATGCGGTTTGTGAAAAACTGAGCATACGCATGTACAGTACAGGTGATGAAGTGCACAAAAAATAATTCGCTTACCCATGAATCGTCTTGTGTTTTCCAGCAATATTGAGCATCAAGTTCAAAATACGTATGGCGCGTGTGTTGGTCGACGGACTGCCGTGACGCAAGCCTTTATAAAATTTTTAAATAAATTTAACTTTGAAGCAAATGAATCAACTAGTCTTGATAAGTGTTTGTGCATGTGGGGAGGATGGTTGTGTGGGGGGTGGTGTGGCGTGGCGAATTCTTATATGTATATTATTATCCGTAGAAAAAAACTGGTGTCAAGAGCACTAAAGAATTTAATAAGACAGGAAATACATCCATAACCATTGCTCCCCACAATTATCGAGCCGGCTATCTAACAGATTCATAACGCCACCTTACAAAATGCATTTAAACATCAATTTTCTGTTGTTATATCAAGTGAGTTGGGCTATACCTTGCTACCTTTGCTAAACCGTTATCGTATACGTATTACTTGTTCATGACAGACAAGCTTTGGATAATCAAGTTAACGAAAATATGAAACAGTAAAAGCATTGATCTAGGTTGTTTTTGAAACATGCCATGGTTCTAAAACTGTGTCCAACATTTGTGTTCTAGAGATGATAAAATTATACATTGATCATCCACTCATATTCATTAGTTTATCAAATGATTCCAAAGCTCTGTCTGATGTTTGTTTCCGTCTTAAGTGCAGATGAATAAGGATCAATAACTTATATTTATCTTTTCCAAATCACATGACTCTTAACGTGTACCTTTCAAGAGGTAAGTGACCAAAGCAAAATGAAAATTGTAAGCGAAGTTCACCCCAATAATATGATCAAGCTGTTGGCAATGCCACTCCATGCGGGGATCTTGGCGAAATGTCAAAAGAACTTTGTCAACGCTTTGTCTTTCGAAAATGCCTTGTGATTCCAACGTCAGCAAGGATTGTTCAAGTAGTGCCAGGCCCGCAGGATAGAGACCGCTCTCCGCCAATTGGAGCGTCGCAATTGCAATCCAGAACGAGGCTGTATGAAATTTCGAGTTCTTATTCAGGATAGTGAGCAATTTTGTGAAGCAAATGATTGTGGCTTCGATCAGGTTTAAGTCACTGAAGTCGTTCAGAGCCTAAAACATTCAAAAATATACAATGACGCTTCCCAAATCACATTGAATGAATATTGAATAGAAACACGATTTGTTGACTCTCACAAGTTTGTTTACTCTTTTTGTTTACTCTACAAAAATCGAGTATATTCACCTTGATGAACACTAAGAGGAGTTGTCGTATCTTTGCATCATCGATATCTCTACAAACACAGCCATAAACGACGACGGCTCTCGCCTGAAGCGGTGGGTTATGCTGGAATACGAATCTGGAAAAATCAAACAAAATGTTAAACACTTCCTTTACATGATGTACAGAATGATTTCCACATCGCGTACTCTAAAGTCAGCTTCGTCCAGGTTTCAAGCCATGTACATTGAGGAATATCTTTCATACAAGCCTAGAATATGGCACAATCAATGTGATTACCACAAAACTATTCTCAAAAGAAGTCTTGCAAGAGTCGACTCTTGTTGTGTCACATACAAAACTAATTACACTTTATCTACTTGATCTAACCTTAACAGTCACCTCTATCCTCAAACACCACCTTTTGTAACAATCATTGTCACAACAGATGGATGCTTGTATCAAACTAACAAAAGTTTACTGCATTGCTCATTCTGAACTGCTCAAAATATAGCGCAAAATCGTAACTTATAGTCGTTACTCGCAATTTATTCAGTTGTACTAGCCTCCCCTTAACAAAAATGAAACGAATTCAAACATACCTCGACAACTTCAAGAAGAGAGTTTGCAATCGTTTGAATTGACGTCATATAAATTTTGTCCGAGTCTCGCAAGTTTATCACGTGACGAGTACCCCGATACGAAGACTGAAATGCGCGGACCGGAGCTGACTTCACCTGTGAAATACCTAAAAAAAATAGTACAAATATAGTTTTTGAAAAACTATAACAAGCATGTTCAACGACAAGAAAAACATACCAAATAGCAGATAAAACTTTGGCAGGGAAAATTCCGACATGCGCAAACGTAAGACACGTTTTGTTTCATCTAAACCAAGTATTGCGGAATAGACAAAATTAACTTCATCATAATACTAACAAATGTATGTCTTGTTAAAGGATGAGATCTTATGCCACTTACCCGGAAGTTCAAGTGAAGTACATGTGGAAAGGGACTGGATAACATTGATCAAAATGCCGTGTATGGTCGCACGAAGGAACAGGGGACCCATGCACACCAGACTGATAATAATGTGGAAGAGATCCGGCAAATTATTCGCGACTATACAAAGGTAAAGTTCACTAAAACATGATTCATATCAAAGTACATAAAAGGCTTTCTTCAAATTACGACAGCTAAAAAGATTCTTTACAAATGGAGAAAATTATTGTGATCACAGAAAACAGATGTTTAAAAATTTGCTTCAAAAACAGCCACAAAAAGACAGTCAACTTGTCCTCATTTCAAAACTAAAAATTGTATTGGAGGCTACAATTGAAGATATATAAGTCAATGATCACATTTTATTTTTAACCATATTGTAAATGATCACAGTTGAAGAGAGTATAATGGTTAATGATCACATAATATCTTTGACTATGTTGAGGAGAGTATATTAGTTAATGATCACATAATATCTTTAACTATGTTGAGGAGAGTATATTAGTTAATGATCACATAATATCTTTAACTATGTTGAGGAGAGTAAATTAGTTAATGATCACATAACATCTTTAACTATGTTGAGGAGAGTATATTGGTTAATGATCACATAACATCTTTAACTATGTTGAGGAGAGTATATTAGTTAATGATCACATAACATCTTTAACTATGTTGAGGAGAGTATATTAGTTAATGATCACATAATATCTTTAACTATGTTGAGGAGAGTATATTAGTTAATGATCACATAACATCTTTAACTATGTTGAGGAGAGTATATTAGTTAATGATCACATAATATCTTTAACTATTTTGAGGAAACTAAAATGGTCAACGATCACATTCTATTTCTATTTATACACACCATCGAGGGAATCATTAAAAGACAGCATCAATAAATATCTGCTCAGTATAGCGATATCTTCCCACATTAGATGTTCTTCCAGTCGAGGCGTCGGTGTAATACATGTTTTACGAATCAACTAAAATAAAAAACGAAAACCACGCCTAGTTTTCACGCGAATTCTCTAATCGACAAGTCCAATCTCTATCGTATTTAATTACCCTTTATTAACTCGCTCACCATTAAAACTCTGTTGATAAACTTGCTAGATACGACATGAACGTTCGCCGTTGCCAAAGCAACAGCCGTGTCAGCCATCACCTCCGCTTTTACCGAGCCCAATCCTCCAGTCGTACTTGCCTGGAAAAAATGAATCGCGCATGTAAAAAAATTGCATGATGTACATAGTGGACTAGTGTTTCTCTTTGATTACCTTGATAAAGCTATCCAGAACAGTATCAACGAGTTCAGTGACCTTTCCCATATTTCCCCATATTTTGGCTTGTATCGAAGGGTACATCGCCTGAAAACCGTAAACAATCATCACATATAGTTAACCGTCAAAATTCATCTGTATTTCTTTATTCATATGATTGATACGAGGCTCTTGAAACCCCAAGTACACAACCCTTTTTTCTACCAACTTAATCAAACTCCAGTTTATCTTTTTATAAAGAACAACCATGAAAATATAACACAGATGATTGAGAGCAACCAACCCCTTTTTCTGCAATGGTCAACTCAATCAGATCTTCCAGAATGGCATTCACTTTGGAACGTTTGTCGCCTCTGCTCGGCTCTTTGCAGTAGCTACAAATTAAAATGTAGAGAGGTTGAAAACACGGAGACAATTCAAATAAATTGATCAAAATAAACTCTCCATCAGCAAAACTTCGCTCCTTTTATTGATGTTATTCTGGTACACATCGAAAACCTTCTGCTTTTCAAGTATTTCATGAAATATCTGAAGGGCGCAGATACTCGAAGTGAAAAGAAAAAGCACACTTCGATCATTGAACTAAAATACACGGAACGCTACCTGTAATAGAAAAGCCCAATAAATTCTTGAAGCCAAATTTTACACCCAGACACGCGTTGTGTAGTCAATCAATTTTCAGAATCTCGAAACACTACACACGCGTGTCTGGGTGTAAGATTTGGCTTCAACTATTTGCTGAAGGTAGCGTTCCATATATTTTAGTTAAATGACTTCGACATACGTACCGAGATAAATTTGGAAACCATGGAGCCATGTACTCCAAACATAAATGTTTTAGTTCGTGATTCGACTTCTTGAATCCAGTTATGCACTCTTGAAGGAACTGGTGAGAATTAACAACGTTTAAAATTACATCAGCAAATCGAAAGTCTCTTGGAATTGTCTCGCGTTAACATATCATCGACGACGAGGGAAAGAAATAAGACATAACAAAAATTTCATCTGGTTGCTTAAGATAAACAGCTTTCTAATAAAAACTTTAACAACTATTTCTAAAGTTGAAATACACCATTTTCACTAATTACAAACGGAGACAACAAACCAATGAATGAAATACTTCATTTAAGAAATGAAAGATGTTTCCTGTGTTTGTACAGGCTTATGCAAACCGAGAAAACCTTTGTGAGAACTCGAGAGCAGATCAGTGTAAGCCCGAAGGTCAGATAAATTTAAAGCATGCGTTTTGATTTTTCCATAACAAGTATTCATGATTGATTTGCAAATTCTCTTTGATTGATTTTAATTGACAAAGTTCAGATGGTCCTCCCACATTTCCCACAGGCCAATGCAAACTCAGATATACGCATGCGCATGCATTGTATTGTTGCTATTTTATAAATACAATTGCAGTTAGACAATTTATAGAGCGACATTTCTTTAATTTATTACCTCCAAAGTGAGCTGAGGTTCCTTGCTCGCCAAACTGATGCTTATCCCAACGATAAATATTGTGTTATTAGCAGGAATACACAAACCTTGAAAATGATAGCAAAAAATTGTAACAATCGTCTTCTACATTTAAAAACAATATAAGTACAATAGAAAACACAGACCAGTTCCTTCGAATAATCGTTCCTCTATTTTAAAATGAAACACGGTCGTTAAAGCACAGAGTAAATTGTACGCAGCAAGACGTAGGTTCGGATCTCTTGTTCCCAGATTCAACAACGCCTAAAAAGAAACACGTTCAAATAAATTGCATTACGTACAATCCCAATTGCAGCAGACAAAGCCTACCATATTTAGCAAAGTTCCTGGTACATCTTTGGGAAGAATTTTTTTAGACAAATTGGTTTGGTTCTGCAAAAGGAATGTCGTACATCAATAACAAGGACACATAGACACATAGGAAAACCGTATTCAAAAGATACGGTGTGTGCTAAACCTGCATGTCCCATTTAAAAAAATAGATTACACTTAACCGTTGTCTATTCAGTTATAGATACGCGTATGATGTAATTTGTGATAAGAATCAAACAGGCAAACAATTTTTTTTGTTTTCGTTTTTTTCCTTTTTTGTTCAAATAGGGTCAACCACCTCAACTAGGTCTTTTTCAAGGTTTCAATGGCTCAGTCAGCGATACAATTCAGGCAGATGTTAAAATAATTCCGCCATTTTTTTTTTGTAATTTAAAAACAAGAAATTTTGTGTTTTGTCATTCCGTGTGTCTGTCCTCTTATAGATCACGGCTCTCGACCAATGAAATTGCTTGAATGCTTAACGTTATTATGTAATTACTAGTACTCAATTCTTAAAATTGTGACTTCGACATAAAGATATAGCTCAATACTTACGGGTTGTGACATTAACCATCGCTTCTTCAAATGCGTGACAGCTTGAACAATTTTATCCGACTCATTACTTAAGAATAAAGTGTGTCCAGACGTCTTGAACTTCAGTCCAAACAAATTATCATCTAGCTGCGACGAAATCTAAATCGAACAAATCTTGTCATGTACAGTTATCACTTGGAACGATTGACAAAGGAAAACATAAGTTACGTACATCTTCTATGTCACTGGGAAAGAAAATTTCTTTAATGTGAAAACTATAGCCAAGAACCTTCTGCTTCTCCGTAGTTTCGACTTGAATGCCGTTCGGTCCGACCTTAAACACAGATACCCGTCACAGTTGTCATATAGCAATATAACAATTACGTGACTCGCCATAATTTCGTAAACGAGATTCAAAAATTTCAGTGTCTTCATTTAAAGAGAATGGAGAAGATAAACGCACATAAAGGAAACAAAAAGATATTGCATACCTTAATACGAACAGAAATCCGGGAATGGACCCTGAAGGCGTTAAAAACCTAAAGAAAAACATCAAAAACTTAAAGAGTTCAACACAATGCATCATCACCAAAATAACGACCCAACAACATACAGTGAGGTCTTTCTCCAGCGACGTGGTTGTGCTTGGTAGCTTTAATTCTTCCCATGAAATAAACTCATTGAACTTACTAAGATTATCGATAACTATAACTTGTGATCGATGCTAAAGAAGAAAATCGCAATTCACCAGCTGTACTTAAACTATGCCGTTCGCTTCTTACTTATGAATTATTCATGTCGTGTTGTTTCATTATCATTACCTTCAAATGTGAAAAGTATCTTTCATTGATCTTTATGAATTCTTTCAAAGCGCTGTTCATGTTATACAGATAAACAGCTCGAAGACTATGTTTTATATCATTTGGAAGAACAGAAATGCATTTAGTAAGAGATGTCAGCTACAACAGGAAAAAGTTCAAATTGCAAATTAACAAAACACGTACAAGCATAAATCAAACAAACTATTGACAAACACGTACATAGTTAAAAAAACAATTGCCCAACATAAAATTCGAAACAAAGCCATTTTTTAAAGAAATTACTTATTATTATTTGTAAAGTTTCGTCTTTACACAAGACATCATCAGACAGGTAGGTAAAATGATCAAGTGTGCGTTTATATTTACATATTATAAGTGTAGTTATGAGTGTTAGATCTAACACTCACAACTACACGTTTCGTTGCAGCATACATAAAACAACATACTATTTTACCCAGTTTTGACGAGAGGTAATCTGAGTAGAAGTAGCTGTCTGGGTGAAATCACAAACCAACTCCCAAGGCTGTCCCAATGAAGATTTGAACGTCAAACAAACGTAATATATCAGACGCTCGGCACTGATCACATCACTCCTAAAGAAATAGAAACTGCGATGAAGAGGGAGAAATAAACATGCAAGGAAACATGGAAATGTTGTAACATATACATTTGTCGCGAAAAGGATTTCACGAAAGTCTTTTTTTTCTTGAAACGAGGCTCAAACGTTTCACCATAAATTCCCATCTTATGTGAACACACTCATAAAAATTTTTGCACCCATCTACTAACTATCCTAAGGACATTTCCTTAGCCTATATGATAAAATTGATTCACGTTGAACAACGAAACCAAACACAAAGTTATTTCTGTTCATCATCACTATACCTAAATCTTCGCGGAATAAAATAATACACTAAGTGTCCAGTCTTCGATCTGCCATCCTGTTGAGCAATAAAACCAATATCAAGACAATTTTCAAACTAAAATGTGTAAAACCTTTCCGCAATTTGAAAGCGAGGTTCCGTGTACTTTAAAGAAAATTCCAAATAACCTGATAGAAAATCTTTAAATTTCTTATTTCTTGCAAATCCATATCACCAGAATCAGCATGACGCGCCATAAATATCTCAAAATCAGAAGAACCACTGTTAACTGACCATCTAAAAAGACATGAAAGTACAATTAAGTCGGTTTGTTCACGTGATCATTAAATGTACAAGACTGTAAAATATAATCTTTTCATAAATCAGCAGCGGGCAGAGTCGCGCCATTAGTTGATACTTAGGAGAAATGTGTTTCCAACTTTACCGCTTAAGTTGAAGTAGTAATTTCAAAGCTTAACATAGTTACTTAATTGATGCGCATAATACACAAAAGAAAACGTACATAAAAAGAGCTTTTTAGACATTTAATCAATATTCATGTCTGAATTGTTTATGCATTAGAAAACTGCATTATCTGGCTCCTTCTAAGATTCCCAGACTGATCTTTTGATAAAAGAAACGCTGCTCGATAAAAATTCGGGCGTTCTGGAGTAAGATCCTTCACACAACCGACATTTGAATGCTACAAAATTTACCATGAAGACAACGCTTTCCGAAAATTTTTGTGCTGTTGGCAAAACGTCTAAAGAAATTTTCAAATAAGATAACTAAAGTTGCCTAAATATCCTTCGATGCATTGGGTAACTACACATTAAATTACAATAAGGTTACGTGAATACTTTATTTATACTGAAAAGGGGAAAATTTCATCTAGAATTTGTGTACAAGTACGTATTTTCAAAAGGACTCACTTTTTATGGATTTGAAGTCTTTGCGGATCAGGTGGACCAAGACGAGCCAGTAATGTTGTCAGTTTCTCAAAAACTAAACGACCGTAGATCTTGAATTCACTGGAAAAGAAAAAAGTTGAGAATGCGTCAGTATGTCTGGAAGAATAATGTGTGAATTACACCTTCCTCATAATGGAATAACTTAAGTGCAGTTGGAGTATGCAGGAGCTCTTACATCAGCACTAGATTACTCTTAATGAAAACACCAGACCTGAGTATATACAAGTGCTTGGCTTTTTGAATCAGGTAAAGTCCTAGTGGAATAACTTTACTAGACCAAAAAAAACTCATTGGTCAACATCTGATCATTCGTGATGAGAACATCACATTGGAGTACATCCAGGAGCTTAAATTTCGGCTTTAGGTCACTCCCGATGAGGTGACAATGACTGCGAGTAGACTATAATATAAAAGGACTCGTGGATCTGATGCACAGACCAGATTGGAGTATACACAGAAGGTGAACATAAGTTCTATCAGAAAATAGCAATCGACGACGCTTTAAACTCACCCCCTCGCAGCCATATACAGGCCAATCTTTTCCTGACTATTCCACAACATACGATGAAGGGTGAATATGTTTGCATCGCTGATGAATGAATAGACGTCACGATCTTCTCGAAGTGAAGGACGATGCAACGAAATCGTTTCGAAATATCTAAAGAGGTTTATGAAATTAAATCTAGCAGGCACACGTCGATACAATCTACTGCTTTAGTACGATCACGTAGTAAATACATAAGAATATCCTTTTCGAATACTTACTGCTGTGTTTTCGTAAGATTTTCTTTTAGAAAGTCATTTAACGGCTCCATGTGCTTTTCTTTCGTAAACAGCATGTTATTAGCAAGACTTTGAAGGATCTGATTGTTAACCAAAAGTAAACGTGAGATTTTATTGTCCACATTGCTTAGCGGTTTTGCGCATGGCAAAAATTGTCAAAAACATGTGCAATGATACAATTAGTTCTTTTTCCGAATAATGTAGTACGAATGATGTTTTTTTAAGATAAAATAGTACGAATGGTGATACTTTACAGTAAAATAATACGAATGGTGATACTTTACAGTAAAATAATATGAATAGTGATACTTTACAGTAAAATAGTGTGAATGGTGATACTTTACAGTAAAATAGTGTGAATGGTGATACTTTACAGTAAAATAATACGAATGGTGATACTTTACAGTAAAATAATATGAATAGTGATACTTTACAGTAAAATAGTGTGAATGGTGATACTTTACAGTAAAATAGTGTGAATGGTGATACTTTACAGTAAAATAATATGAATGGTGATACTTTACAGTAAATAGTACGAATGGTGATACTTTACAGTAAAATAGTGTCAATGGTGAAACTTTACAGTAAAATAATATGAATAAGAAAAAATTTGTTGCAAAATACATTTTGAAGGCATGAGCAAGCAAACGAGGAAACAATTTCTAGGGGAGTTTCTGTAGCAGAAACAGTTGAAAAAAAGTCTATAAAACCAGCATGTACCTTCGAAAGGAACATAAGTCCTCTTCGAATATTATCAGGCGGAGGGTGCTCAATTATTCCAAGCATTTGAGGTGAATCTAACAATAGATCGTTTTAAACAAATTACATTATGTTATTGATATAGCCAAGAGCATTTTGAAAATATTCTCACTTATTGCTGGATTGATAAAACGTAGAAATATAGCGCTGCCAACAGCCTCCGCTTTGTGTTGACGAAAACGTTGACTTACAACCTGTGTAAAGACAATTGCAATATTATTTGCTGAGATGATTTACACAAAATTAATCCAAACAGTTAAAAACAACACGGAGACGGGGGGATGCAGTAGGTTACCAAGGTTACTGAGGGCTGTAGTAGGTTACCAAGGTTGCTGGGGTGCAGTAGGCTACCAAGGTTGCGGGGCTGCAGTAGGTTACCAAGGTTGCTGGGAGCTGGAGTAGGTTACCAAGGTTGCTGGGGACTGCAGCAGGTTACAAAGGTTGCTGGGAGATGCAGTAGGATACCAAGGTTGCTGGGAGAAGCAGTAGGTTACCAAGGTTGCTGGAGGCTGTAGTAGGTTACAAAGGTTGCTGGAAGATGCAGTAGGATACCAAGGTTGCTGGGAGATGCAGTAGGATACCAAGGTTGCTGGGAAAAGCAATATGTTACCAAGGTTGCTGGGGGTTGCAATAGGTTACCAAGGTTGCTGGGGACTACAGTATGTTATCACAGTTGCATGGAATTGGTTTGTTAGAGCCTTTTTACCAAAATGAGCACAAATCATATCACAATCATACCTTCTTCAAACAGTAACAGAGAAGCTTCAAAGGATTTGGGAAGCTAAATTTACCAATAGAAAAGTTTTAAGAGTAAAAAACATGATATTGGCGATGGATTCGTAAGACTTACTCGTCCAATGACTCGAAAAAGCTATTTAAGAATTTCTGCGCTAAATCTTTAACATTTTGCGTGTTCTCTTGTAAAGTTTCTCCTGCTTCCAATCTAGGTCAGAAAACAGACAATTCTAGACAACATAGAAAGGTTTGCAAAGGTTAACAGGAGCTCGATCAGAGAACTCACTTGTTCGGGTCAAGCTCAAAAGTAAGATTGAGATTCTCTTGTTTCAATAAGGGTTTTATTAACGGTCCAAGAAGCGAATGAATGTAATTGGTACCATAGATTTTGAAACAGAATGTAGTCACTTTCGTTGCAAGAGTGTTGCCACGAAACAGAACGTGAAAACCTTCACAGTTTCTCACCTAAAACAAATTAAAAATACGAAATGTTTACTACAATGGAAGTGTCACTTCTTCCTTATAAAATTCTTCCAATCCACGACTTCACCTCTTGAGAAAGTACGTTCCACAAGAACTGATAAAGAAGATTCATAGCATCGAACAGCGTCACCATTACTTGGGCAAGATCATCCTGTTCAGATGAAGGCACAACATTGGCTAGTGCAACAGCCAATAACAGCTCTCCGTTTTCACTCATAGTTGCCATTAGATTAGCGAGTTGCTCGTAACGATCGCGAGTTGCTGTCTCTGCTAACGTATCGAATTCAGTTCCTTGATTGAGGATCTTCATTAAGACTTCCATGAAGATTGCCCTAGTAGTTAAATCCCTGTGGTATCCAAGACCTCGAGAACAGAATAAATAATCACGGTTTACACATTGCATTAATAAATATATAAAAGTCGATATCTTCAGTGAGGACATAAAAGTGGAATTTGAAGTAGAAAAGGGCGTTATTTTGGTAAAGAGTACATTGTAAAATCCCAAGGGTTAAATGTGTTTAATCCCTTACCAATTGCATGTGTAAGTCCAGCGTCAATATTTGCGCTCAATAAATTCGACATGGCGGCGACAGTGCATTGATGAACATTATCATGATAGGCCAAAACACTTTTCTGTCGTTTCTTGGCATTCGTTACTTCGCTCTCATTGTTGTCACGTCCAGCGCATTTACTCAGAAGATTCAAGAACAATCTGAAATATCTGTTATGAAAATAAATTTATAAATACAATATCCTAACATCGACAAAAATCACGAACTTTTTGCTCACTTCAAAAACAACTTTGATTTCTCCTCCATGATGTCCACGTCCGTATTTTCAGGTTGCAGAGGAAGACAAGACAAAAGCTGAGATATCGCTTTCATTGCACATTCGTCCAACAACCTTACAGAATATATTGCAATATGGAAAACCAATCAAATAAAGCCGATCTCGGTTTACAACATCTTCAATGAAATCATCTCTAATGAAAAATTTTACTAACAACATTGATCTATCGATCAAATCTCTATTGACAACATCTCCAATAACAACGTATCCATTGACAACTTCTCTATTGACAAAATCTGTATTGTCAGCATCTCTACAGACAACGTCTCTGATGGCAAAACTCATGTAGACAACATCTCTATAGACAACATTTCTGCTGACAAACCTCTCTATTGACAATATCTCTATTGACAATATCTCTATTGACACCATCTCTATTAACAACATCTCTATTGACAACATCTCTATTGACAACATCTCTATTGACAACATCTCTATTGACATCTCCATTAAAGATGGCTGTATTTGTAACAACCATTAAACTCTATTTAAAGACTGGAACGATAACTGCAATAAAAATGCATCGCGCTTGGCTTCAAACATGGCGGCGAAGTTATCGTTTCAGTGGTTTATAGAGTTCATTGGTAATAACTGACAAAACTTAGACGTTTTCTTCTCTATTTTAGCAATTCATGTGATATTACTCCTGGCTTTCACAAAAAAAAAAGGGTTGTCCGAAAAGAAATCTATTTTGCTGTTTGTTAACGATTACATCTTTCGATATTCTTCATAAAACTATTCCCAATTTATAAATCACGCATGCTCCGTTTTGAGAGCGTTGACTTCGACATAAATTTGAAAGCGAAACAAAGAATAATTGAAGAGATATCACGATGTTTTGATCAAGAAATAGATTTCTATTTGACAAAGAGATTCAGTCGTTTTACACGGACCAATTTTATTGTACCTTGAGTTCACCAAAATTTCATGAGTAAAATCGTTGTTTTCTTCGCGTGCAACCCAATCGGATAAATATTCAACCAGCTTATTACGAAACTTGATGTCTTGGAAAAACAACACTTCATCTCGATGACTCATAAGCTAAAATAGGAAAAAACGTCATGAAGTTTCAGTGGAGTGCACCAATAAAAGCATTCCTAAACTTTAAAAGCAATCGACAGTCGTTAAAACCAACCGTGACAACCAGTTGACAAATTCGTGACTTGATTATAAACGTACGAGATATCGGAGGCAAGTTTCTTGTGTACCTGTAAAACAACTCCTATGTTGACAATGCTTAGCGTGCTAAAATAAAATTATTCATTAATTCACTTATAGAAACCGTCAATAAACTCGGAAATGCCATTGACAAATTACTTAAAATAGCTAATTTATTAGACTGTGATAGACCGTAACATTTTAGTACTCTATATAAGTTTCACATATTATCATCATTCATTTCTTAAAAAATCTGTTGTTTACGCAGTATGTGAACACCACTGATCTCATAGTAGAGATGTACGTAGTGTACTATGAGATCAGTGGTGAGCACAAAGAAATTTGCATAGTACGACTAGTTAAACGGCTAGATAAGGTACTGAAGACATATAGTACCTTATTATAGTCACGATGATAGGTTCAATAATTTCCATTTTAAAACAATCTACGGAAACGCAGTTCTTGTTTTCCAAAATATGCTTCATAATAGCGATGACCTAAAACAATACAAATTGAAGATGAATTAAAAAGAAAGATCAGTAGATCGAATCATTTAGTGAGCTTTCATTTGGGGTTGATATGAATCTCGCAGTTCGTGTGAGTCATTGGATGCACTTTAAGAGATTAGCACAAGTGTTAAAAATCTAACAGCACCTGTGTTAAAAAGCTCGCAACACCTATGTTAAAAAGCTCGCAACACTTATGTTAAAAAGCTTGCAACACCAGTGTTAAAAAGCTGAGAGCAACTGCGTTAAAAAGCTCAGAACAACTGCGTTAAAAAGCTCACTTATACAAACACTCAATGAGTATTGCGCTTCAAAATCACATCATAACTACTCGCAGACATTTTGTTTACTCCACTGATTGTTGATTTTGTAACAGCAAAAACTTTGCAATTGATGAAAAAATAATTAAATTGCTATTGATTGGTGGGAGTAGGATTTCTGTAAAAGATTGATGAAAAAATAGTTAAATTGCTATTGATTGGTGGGAGTAGGATTTCTGTAAAAGATTGATGAAAAAATAGTTAAATTGCTATTGATTGGTGGGAGTAGGATTCCTGTAAAAGATTGATGAAAAAATAATTAAATTGCTATTGATTGGTGGGAGTAGGATTTCTGTAAAAGATTGATGAAAAAATAATTAAATTGCTATTGATTGGTGGGAGTAGGATTTCTGTAAAAGAGTGAGTGCGAGTGAGCTTGTACAGAATACGGACGTATAACTTATCAATGGGCGATCTTAAATACAGGCGCTTTAAAACAGTCTGAAATACCGTGCATACCTGGTCAACAAAACATGTATTCAATTCATGGAGGATCGCCTAAAAAATAAAACATATAAACTTTAGTTAATGCGACAGTGTTTATCATAAAGAGGAGTAATGTGGATATACAAAGATAAAAAAACCATAGAAAATTTTAAATGAGGTACGAGGAGGAGTAATATGAACACACAAAGGTAACAAATAATAGAAAATTTTAAATAAGGTACGAGGAGGAGTAATATGAACATGCAAAGGTAATAAATAATAGAAAATTTCATATGAGGTACGAGGAGGAGTAATATGAACACACGAAGGTAATAAGCGATAGAAAATTTTAAATGAGGTACGAAGAGGAGTAATATGAACACACAACGGTAATAAATAATAGAAAATTTCATATGAGGTACGAGGAGGAGTAATATGAACACACGAAGGTAATAAGCGATAGAAAATTTTAAATGAGGTGCGAAGAGGAGTAATATGAGCACAGAAAGGTAATAAACGATAGAAAATTTTAAATGAGGTACGAAGAGGAGTAATATGAACATGCAAAGGTAATAAACGATAGAAAATTTCAAATGAGGTACGAAGAGGAGTAATATGAATACACAAAGTTTAACAAACAATAGAAGACTTGTGATGAAGTACCATGAAAAGAAGCATAGACCAGAAAAAAAACAATCGACGATAGAAAAATTTAAATGGGTTACAAACCTGTCCTGCAGGCGTAAAAAAGCCTTCAATGGTCTTACGAATTTCTATGAACAATGTATTGTACATAGCCGAGCTAAGTTCTTGGCCAATCAAATCTTTGATGATAACCCGTATCTGAAAAAAGTCCGGAAACTCTAAGTGTCAAAACATCTTACTTTTCGCGTGACTTTTAGCCCTTTGTCAAATACATACTAACATTATATGAGCTGTCATACCTTCGTTCCAACATGATCATTTGAACAGACACTTAACTGCAGCAACTCGCCAACAAAACTAGAAACATTTCAAACCAAATAAGATGAAAAATTCTCTCAATCAAAACGAAGAGAAAAGGCAAGTTTCGTAATTTATAACAGATAACAAAGCTTCTTTTAGTCAACTTTCCAGAGAAAATGCCTAATTCGAGACTGAAGGCTTTAGATAATGCTAGATAACATCGTCCATAACAAAATGAAGGATTTGAACCGGAGATGATTACTTGTATGGTAACAAGTTTGTGAATGTAGATCGTCTAGGTAAGTGTAGTCCTAAATGGCAAACAGCGAATCAGACATAAACTCCTTGACTCTGAATGCGACTATCGCGATAAGGTTGTCGAAACGTCTTTCGACACCAAAAGTCCTTCTCAGCGCTGTGTTATTCATAATCTCGACAAAAGGTTTACTTGCAGTTTTTCACTTCAAATACTAACCAAATCAGCAATCAACCCCCCTCCCAGTGATGAAATCAATTCATTTATATTTCGCAATATCGTAGTAAATTAAAATACCTTTTTACAGTTTCCAATTCGGGAGAAACAGTAGGTAAGGAAGCCATTTTGCTAATACTGCTTCTGCATCGGCTTATTCGACGACTGAAACAAAAATAACACGAACCATTAATTAAAGCTTTGCAATGAAAAGACTTCCAACGTCCCATGATCCATTTACCTTAATTCAGGATTCTCTTTAAAGCATACGGCGCCAAGAGAACAGAGGAATCCAGTCATGTAATTCCATTCATTTATGTAACCCTGAAAATCAAATTAAAGTTAACATGAACAACAGGATTTGCATTCATATTGTAATATATGTCGCTGTGAAACTCTCATACTAACAACGCTACATACAAACATACTTCCACACTTTCCAAAGATAATTTTCCAGTTTGACTAAATCTTGTTGTCCGTCTTCGCACGCTTTTTGGCAAATAGGTACCAGGCTCCCCGGGTATTTCCTCTTTTGGAAAGTTTGCCAATGCACTGGTGAGTTTTTTCCATCGAATGAACGTGTTGTCCCAGGCTTCTTTGTTTCCAGGGGTTTGAACTTTTACGTTTCGCAGGAGAGCCATGATTCGTTTCTGAAGAGCTAGACGACCTACGAATAAACCAAGTTATTACTAACAATGAGTATTCGTTCCTCATCGCTAGTTATAAAATGCGATATGAACTCATAAAGCTGTCTAATATGAACAATACAGCAAATTTACATAATTAGTTTAAGTTCTTAGTGTTTTAAAATCAACGATGCAAAAAGAACACAAATTGTATTGAATAAAAAAAGAGAAAGCAGAACAATTCTTGCTGGGAGTTGGAAAGAAGAAATTACGTTTCCTTACAAAAAAAGAGCTCTACCTGTAGATATTCCATTAGCTAGATCGGCCAGTTCTTCGTAGACAGAGAAAATTGATGACATGAGATTAAACTGTGCAATATTATCCATACTATGATTCGACACGATGTTGATTTCTGTACACAGAAACTTTAAACACGAGAGGGAAGTAAGAATGGCCTCCGATTCGGGATTCCATAAGTACTGTAGGAACACCTCCTGCGATTAAAATATGACAGTTTGGATCAAGAAGGAGGACTAATGGAAAACATTTAATTATTTTGTCCTTCTTTTTGTGTTAACATTTTCCCTCAATTTGCTCGTGACGTAATACTTTTCGTAATGAGAGCCCATGATGGTAATTGAAATTTTATAATCAGCTGGTTCTCCCCTCCCTTTAAATACGTAATTGGCACAATATCATCAGCGCTTAAGAGAAGCATTGAGTTTTTTTAACCATCGTGCGTGAGACATTTACACTGTGATTCTTCTATTATTCTCGGCTATAAGCGTAGACAACAATTGCGAACCTACAAAGTTTGGGATATTTATGGTGTCCTACGGTTTCACTTTTGTTCTCAGAGATACAAAGGCAAATGTGCCGGGTCACGTGTATGACCCACATAAATTGACGTTTCCTAAGGTCTTTTAGACCAGTGACCCATTTAGCGAGCCCCTTTGATACAGCAAAGTAATGAACAATACACGAAATACAATATCCACCAATCATAATTTAAACTGTAATCGACATATTAACATTACAAAACATATCATACAGGTAGCTTTCAAAGGATTGCCACCGTGTAGGCTCATTTTCAGAGGATTGCCACCATTGTTAACTGTTAAGTAAAAGATTCATGGTCATTTCTTTAGCAAACTATATACAGAAATCATTCTCATATCGTCGCCATCTCGGGAGTGTTTTAATTAAAATAATTAAAACAATGTGCAATTTATATTTACGTACTAATGGAGAAAAGGCTATTTTCTTTGGTTCTATCTTTTATGCCTAACATTTAATTAGTAAAAAAATTATTGCCTGATATTTGAATTGTTTGTTATCAGTCACGTGGTTTATAGCAGTAACGAACTAGCACCCAGAACTTGCACGTTGACATGTTAGTTCCCATATATTTTAGAGTATATTAATAAGCCCTTAATAACCTAGCGGAGGGTCTTTACGGAGAAATATCGGACCGAAGTTTTTTTTGTACAGACCGAGCCCGTAGGGCGATGTTTGTACAAAAAGACAGAGGTCCGATATTTCTCAGTAAAGACCGAGAAAGCGAGGTTATTAAAATTTATATTACATGGCATTATTTGACCTGAAACGAAGCTTGCTTTCCTTCTCGTCCTTGCCGTTTTTTTCAGGTTGGCTTTCACTTTTCTAGTTTTCGTCCATAAAAAATAAATCGTTTCAAATTATATCGTATGGATAGTTAAACTGTTTTACAAGTGTTTTTCCTTCGAATCCCATTCATGAATGGTTTTTTGTTTCGTTTATTTTGCGTTTTGTTGTTTGCTTTACGAAGTTTGTTTACATTCGACTGTAAAATTACGCGTTTTGGACCGTGGTCGAGTACGGGAAAATAATGGAGCGGCAAAAATGTTTCTGAGCCAATCAAAGCGCGCCATTTTTTCGGAAGTGACGTTTGCCATATATTAAAGTATATTAAAATAAATTTTGAAATATTTCACCTCGAGCTTTACTCTTGCCGAAGATGCGATCATTGACTGACAACTGAAATTGGGATCGTCCTAAGAGAAAATGAAATATGTTCAAATGCCAGTGTGGTGACATGATGTTTATGTTGTATTTGTCTAATAACCTTGGGCAATGTGTATTAATAGGAATCAATTTAGGAGGACAGTGTTCATAAAATGTAAAATATACGTAACCTAAACTATCGTGCGTTAATAAAGATGAATAAACAGAAGGAAGACGAGAAGAGATGTGTCTATAAATGATGAGCTATACCGTATTACTCCATTAATATTGCACAATGATAAACTAATCCATTCCTAAATCTATTATAAATCCTTCAGCAAAACATAATAATTTTCATACTAAGATAACGTGCGTCAGCGTAAGCAGAGATGAACACCAGCGAACTACAAAAGTACTGAGCAAGATACATATCAACTAAAATTTGAAATGAAACTGAAAATTCTATACCTTATTTTTACCAATATACTGGTCACGACAAGCCATTAACTTCTTCAAATATTTAAGCAGCCACAAGTCCTTAGAACCATGATTTACCAGCGAATTGCCGATGAAAAGAATGCACTCTGAACTATATAAGCGGATGCAAACAATTAGAAGTCTGCACAAATGTTTGTCCTCTCACAATGCGCAATTCAGTCGGATTTTCTAGTGAAGAACTAACCTTATCTCCCAAAACGAGTAAACTGTGTCCAATGGATTCCAAAGTAAAACATTTTCTGGCGAATGGAGATCGAGAAGTGTCTATTGCAATAATAAGCAACAAATAATTGTTGATGTTTATATGGGGCAATAAGAACAAAAACAAAGCTCTTTGCTACTAGTTGAAATAAAGCAATTTGCTGCAAATTAATTGGTTGAAGCAATTTGCTACTCTAAATTAGGAATATTTGAAGCACTTTGCTCACTCTAAATTAGAAATGGTTGAAGCACTTTGCTACTTAAAGTTGGAATGCTTGCAACTATTTGCTATGGTAAAGGTGAAATAGTTGAATCTCCTTAATGCATGCTGTAAAAATAAAATGGTTATAGCTCTTTGTGACTTTAAAACTATACATTAAACTACTACGTATAATTAAAGAATCTAAAACGCTTACATAGAAAACCATTTTTCGCTGGCTGCATTCGATGCTAGAATATACATTGTACCTGTGATGCTTCCTGCGATAATTCTTTGCCAAATTGAGAGGAGAGTGTCATTTGAACAAGACCAAATAACAACTTCTGTGAGCTCTGATGAATTTCAAAACTTTTGCTCTCAGTGCTCTGAAAAGAAATAAAATGCATTGATAATACATGATAAAAATTTCAACATACTTCCAAAAGATAAAATACAACCATTGATATGTATATTACATGGATCGCGCATCACTAATTAAATTTGAAGACGGAAGGAGGCCATATTGAACAGTCCCACTTCACGAGGTTGACATACTAATTATATCAATTTCTGCTATGAAAAATTGCGAGAAGCGTCTCTTATGATGCATTGACAAAACTGCTACGTATTAGCTTTAACAAGTGTAGGAAGCAGTTGTACTATTAAGGATTTATTCCAAAATTTTCGTGACACCATTTGAGACATACTATCGCAAGAGAATGCTTCTAGCTTCACGTTTAAATGATTTTTTAGGGTGTATAAGTACAATGCGCTCTAAAGTTCATTGCTATTGTGTTTCTTTACTATAGATTATTATTATTATGACTGGGACTTTTCAATATGGCGGCGCTACAATATTTCGTCTGACAAGCTTACACCATCCCACTTGCTTAATGTAGTTGCAAACCTCAGAACAGGGGGGGGGAATGTTTAAATATGGCAACATAGATCAATGAGCATGTTTCAAAGACTTTCAAAAGTAAATGATATAAACAACAGAATTTACACGTCGAGGGAAAAATTAGAGTGATCTTTCAAGACCGCTGCTATCAGGGATAGATTCACAATGGTTTCATAGGGTAAGGAGGGGATGGGAGGGGGGTGCTATATTTTGTATTAGATTTCGATAGTTATTTGTTACCGTACAATGTCAGACTTTTACTAGAATTCTGCTACCTTTTTATCACGATTAAAACATTTTTGGACGTGTATTCCATTACACAAATTACAAATTGCTTTCGCTAAATTATTTAGTATAAAAATATTTGGTAGGAAAATTGGCACCTTTCCCCAAATATATGTCAGGGAGTAAATGGTCAGGTAGTACAAAAAATAACGGTATTCATGTCGGCTTTTGACCTCCTAAAGTGCAAGCAATGAAACCGAGCAACACTTTAACTCTTTAGGGGGGCCGGACGTTTTCGTCAATAGAATTTCATTTTGTTTCGTGATTGTAGCTCGAGTGCAACAGTGGCAACTTAAGGATTAATACGTGGATGAGTAACATGGAAGATACACTTACATAAAAGGCAAAAGAGGGTTCTATTCGGAAAAGACGAACAAGCCAAAGCATAAGATCCTTTTCGGCTTTCATCGAGCTCTGTTCTTCTTCTTTGCCGCGTTTTTCTTTTCCTTTGTACAGCTAGAATAAATAATAAACGTTGCTTCAAAGTTCACGAAATGTTTCTCAGGAAGGAAAAATAAACATCCGAAAAATGATTCTCTTTGCACAGTTTCAATATGTGAAATAACATACGTGCAAATACCATGGATAGATCTAAGATTGTTTTTTTTGGAGGGATGTGGGGCTTATGCTCTAGTTTGGACTTTTTTGTTAAATCGTATCACCTTTTTATTATGATTGGGAGATTTTTCACAGTGTGCTCCATTAAACGCTGATCACAATTGCTTTTGTTTAGTCGTTTGATAAATTTAATATTTTCTAAGGAAACTGGCATCTCTACTGCACCCCCATTTAGGCAAGTCAAGGAGCCTTGAACACCCGTCCACAACCTCCACCTAATCCATCCTTAGGTTTCCACACTTTATGCTTCATACCCTCTATTACTAAAATACTGAACTACGGCAGCTAATAGCAACTTACTACACTCATCCTTGAGCCACTTTGAAAGTTGTCCAAAGCACGAAACTTCTCCAAAGTCCTCTAAGGAATAAAAATTTTATAACTTGCTTCCACAATCCCTTGATGAACAACAGTGCGTGAAAGTAAACGATACGTAAAACAAGTACCAACAGAATAGAATATGGAACATACAATAGAGCCACATCGCTGCACAGTATACTTGATAAGACTACAGGCTGCAGTTAGCCATTTCATCATCTCATTGGTCAAAAAATAGCGATTCAAATAGTCTTTTTCATTATGGTAATCACATGCGTAATAAGACATGGGTGGAAAAAAGTTTTGGAGTTGGAGTTGAAAAAGACATGGAGTTGCCCTTGAGTATATTCCTTATTCTGTGCCAATAGCCCTCCTTTCCCTTCCTTCGACACAGGTAACCTTATTTAAAAAATAACAGAAGAATGATATCAAGTTCAGTTCAATATAGTTATTCACACGTACCTCAAAGAGATTTCGTATTGACTCCGCTTTGGAGTACATGACTTTGAGCGTTGGCCACCATTTTAGCGGTTTCTGAAAACAATTGAAGATAAACTTCGTGTAACTTGATAATTTCCACACATCAATGAGAAAGGGTTATCTACGCGTCACATAATCACGGTCCCAACAATCACTGACCTGCCTCACAATAGTGTACAATCCTTTGACGTAGACAACATTGAATAAAACAGGAGCAGTGGAAGAGAGACAATCATCGAAATGTTGACTATTACGGTAGTTTATACGGAAACTCGACACAAAACAATCGACCATCAGTGACTCAACGGTGATCGTAGTTTGATTTACAATAGCAAATGGTTTATTGATATTGAAAAGTAGAGCCTAAAAAAAGGTCAAAGTTGGATAAAAAGGTCAAAGCTGGATAATAGTCAATATTCAACCCTAACAGATCTAGTTAATTACGCTCGCTGCGCATGCGCAGTTTGAGCACTTTCGGATTGGGTTGAGTCTCATAATGAGACGTTCACCGCTTTCGCGCTATGCAAAAGTCACCTTTTTAGGTTTCAGCACTCTGGTGACTCTACAATACAATCCATAAAATGTGTAACCGTACATCCTGTGTCCCAAAAGCAGGAGTCACCATTTCACGATAGTGATAGCCGGGAGGGCGCATTGTTATACACTTTGTATATAAAATAATATTTGTTAATAAAATCATTTTATACAATCCGGAGAAACTTTTATTTTTATACAATATATATCATATGTATAATTGGTCTCCCCCTCCCGAAAAAAATACCCAATAAATCCTAACGCAGCTAACCAGGGGTGAAGTAGGTGAAAGATTAAGTAGTCCCCCACAATACACAATCAATCTTAACGCAACTCTAAATAGCCAAGAAAATATCAGTCCCAACTTGCCTTTAGCTCATTCATGAATGTCACAACAAGAAAGCAAAGCACGGAGTTGTCCTCGGGTCGAACATACGTCGAACATTTACACAGTTTGACGCAGGCGATGGCCGAGCTTTCGGTCAAGGCCTTGGCACTAGTCAAGGCAGTCTTTAAACTGTCCAGAAATTCTCGCTATACACAAAACAATAAAGTTCGTGAAGTTTTTCACAATGAACATTCCACGTAAGATGACAATATCATCATGAAAATGAAAATGTTAATATGAAACAGCTAAATAAGACATTAGCTTAAACATCCATGCAGCAAAAGACATTATAAAAGCATAGAGTTCAAGTCTATTGTTAGCACTTCCATCAAACCTTCAAAACCATGCAGTGATATGAATGTAAGACCGTTTCAAACATGGAATTTTTCGAGCCAAACATGAAAAGTTCGACGTTTCAAACGGGCCTTGGTTACCTTTATTTCGAGATGTGCGTCCTGTTGTTTTTCACGAGAAGCTATTGCTGTCAAGGTCTCCTATACGTAGGATATAAAAAATCTATTTTACTGAAGATATGCCATAACATATACTTATATCGCAATGCTCAGGGGCGCATGGAGTGGGAAAGAGAAGGGCGTGACCTCCCCTTTTTTTGAAAATAGTTGGCAAAATTTTTACAAAGTAATCGTTCGTCGGTTTTCTGAACGATAGCAGTAGTGAGTGATTTTTTAAATTCACGCAATTAAGAAAAGCATTTCATTCATTGGTCGGTGATGGCAGTTATTCACCTTCAGTCCTGAAAACCTACTCACACCCTAATATCAATCCTCTCTGAGCGCCTCTCGCATTGCTAACACTCAATTCATACTCAGCTAAACGATTCTAAAATCTTTTTGCGTGTTCTAACAATGACTTACAGGACTAAGCATCAACAACATGATTTGCAGAGGGCACACGGCTGCTTTGCGTTTCGATTTCTCAGCAAACGACACCAAAAGTTCGAAGAAGTTGTCACACAGGTCTGTTAAAGAAAACTCTATCGATATGCACGTGTCATGGTAACTCTAATTCACGTGTTTAATTTATGATCCTTTACCAGAAAGCTTCTTTTTCGGCGTTCTTTGGACGCATGCGAATTCTTCGGCATTATACTTGATCCAGTTCCAAATAGCCTAGTGTAATTTTGAAAAAAATATAAGCACATGATTAAGCCTAAATCAAAAGAGGTCGTTTGTGATAAATTTTCCTGTAGAATACGTTCTTCTGAGTCAGTCTGTGAAGAAGAAATCACCAAAAAATAGAACCAAAAAATAATATATTTCTCTTTCAAAATAATAGTTGTACAGCATAGCTAGCTTGAGTTGAACTAAGGCCCTATCTTCTTATCTTTCAAGCGATCATAAATTCAAACTTCAACAAACCTTTTCCAAAGACGATATTAGAAACAATTTCGCTTGTTTCTTTAAAGACGTAAAGGTATTTGAGCATTCTAAACAGAGAAAAAAAGCACTTTATACAAACATGTTAATCCTTGGCTAAGAAAGAGAGCAATTTTGCACCTTCAAGTAGTATGATAAGGGAAGAGGAGGTCAGTTTAAGATATCTAATTAGTACAAGGTAGTTCACATCATTGTTTGTATCATCAACGCTGGATAATTGATGTAGTCTAGAAAACAATAGAGCATTTACCTTTATGTTTCAAAATTTGACACAATAAGCAGGGAAAGAAAACAATACACACTCTCCCTTAAATAGCAATGGATGGGTCCAAAATGATTTTGCGAAAGAGGTGCTATAGTTTGAATAAACCTTAGGAGGCAACTTTAGGGTGACGCTGTGCATTGTTTTCTCAAATTCAGGTTTGTACGACATAATTGAGGGTGATTTTTTTGGGAACATAAATGATTTAGGGTGACGCTGTGCTTTGTTTTCTCAAATTCAGGTTTGTACGACATAATTGAGGGTGATTTTTTGGAAACATAAATGATTTAGGATGACGCTGTGCTTTGTTTTCTCAAATTCAGGTTTGTACGACATAATTGAGGGTGATTTTTTTGGGAACATAAATGATTTAGGGTGACGCTGTACCTTGTTTTGTCAAATTCTGGTTTGCACAACATAATTGAGGGTGATTTTTTTGGGAACATAAATGATTTAGGGTGACACTGTGCCTTGTTTTGTCAAATTCTAGTTTGCACAACATAATTGAGAGTGATTTTTTGGAAACATAAATGACTAAATTTACTTTTGCTAGTACATTATTACTTTGCAGGAAACTTGGCACCCCAATCGCACCCACTCTAACCAAGGATAGGATGGGTTCAAACCCCTCCAGGCCACACATGAGGCTGGAGCATCCATAATTGAGAGGCAAATATTCACACATTAATATTTTGCCTAATTACTTTCTTTTAAAATCAATTGCTTTATATGAACTGTGCCTACAAATATATGAATATCTGCCTCCTCAATTAACAAAATTTCGGCATTCCTGACCATACAGTAAATCTCCCCCCTACGAATAGCTATTTTCTTTATTGGCATACTATAGAAAGTAAGTTCACCTGAAAGAGACTTTATTGAATATGGCAGAGAAATGAAATGAGCTGATGTGGGAAACAATTTTTGCAGATAGTTTTTGAACTTCTGTCGCGTGAGGGAAATCATACGTCTGAAGGACAAACTATTGAACAACAACAAGTAAATGACTTTTGTAAGAGAATGAAAAAAGAATTGCATAATACAGCAATTCATAAATATAAAAATACCTGCATGATACTTGGCAATAGGTTGGACAAAACATCATCTTCAAGTCTTGAGCATTGTTCGGGAAACTGAAATAAAAATTACTTTAAAATGACCTTATTCTATGCACATGAGAACTACTTGTTCAGTTCATACCTTACAAAGACATTTTTCTATTGCGCTCAACACAACCACATTGGACTCGCCAATTTTGTCTTTTTTGCTGTTTGAAAATGAGCTCTAAACATAACAACACAATTGCAATAAATTTAACGGCCAGTACAATTTCTTCTTGGCCCGATCATTACATCATGCCCCAAAGGCTTGACCTTTACAAAAAATCCTTGGTCCAGTATTTCTCAGAAAAAACCTTGCTTCAGTTTGCTTAGTGAATGAGAGCTTGCTAAATGCAATCATTTGCGAAGACTCTGGCTGTCTATCCACTTCAATCTGTTACAACGGAATTGTGGTCTAATCTAGTTAATTTTCATTCAAAATGCTCATTGTTTTAGTTGTAAGGCATTTCCAATGAAATAGATGATGATTTGTCTCTTAATTTATAAAAAAATCAGTTTATTAAAATTAAGACTGTAATCTTGGATCAAATAAAATATTGATTGGAACATTAGAGTTCAAACGTTGAAATTTCCTGTTTGGTTCAATTCATTATTTCCTTTTCCAACTTCACATTTTGTTCATTTTCACAAAAGCCAAAAAATGAAATATTACTCACAATAAAATAGGGGTCTTTGATCAACTTTGACAATCCTTGAATAACAAGTGGAAATCTCTGTTCACTAAGTGTGATAAGCGTATCCTGGATTTTTTCAATGCTCTCCTTTGATTCATTGTGCTCTGGTGTTCTTTCGTGTGGGAGCTATAAAATATCAAGAGAACATTCTAGTCTGCAGTCAAAGATACTTGTATTAATTTGCTTGGGTGGCTTGATGTACCAGGAAGGGAATTTTAGGAAAATTGGTGAAACAAATTTTACATAAACTATGATGTGCAAGCATGGACATAAAATGGTGCATGAAATGATGTAAGTGCATCAAATTACAGGGGTTTTCAACTCACACCAAAGAAATCTATCAACCTGAACCACCCCCAAATGCCACACAATATGTTCTATTAATTATTAAACAGCCATGAATACATAATGTACCACATGTTATCAACTTCGAAATAATATCCACCACAAATTTTGAATCAAAATGCCATTTACAATATAAATACCATTTACTGCTACACACAAAAGTTGAACATAGAATATGCTGTGGCATGTTGTTCTAGTAGCATTGACAATAATCTTTTTAAAGAATATGTTTACTCAAGTCTCTCTGACATCACACCAAAAATTGATATGAAAGGGATTTTTACCTCATAATTACGCAATTTCAAAACTTTGCGTGTTCTGAACATTAAAAGTGCTTTACACTTTGATAATATTGCGCTGATTGAACTTTATACATCTTCTCAATATCTTAGAGTACAATACAAAACTTTACACCAACAAATATAATTAGCACTCACGGAAAAATAAATACACTTTATCTTCCATTTCTTAAAAAATGAAGAAAATTATCACCTGAACTTGAAATCGTTGTAATACAATTCGAACCCACTCGTCCGGCTTATTGACAAGCATTTTTTCCCCCATCAAGGCATCAACTACTACAAGAATTCGAAGTACAAATTCCGCCGATAGTCGTCATGTTTCATGCCATTTTTGAAATAAAGTACTATGCGCTGTCATTTCTACTATCTTCTCGTAAATGTGGCAGTATTCCTGTTGTCCAATCGTCCCCAACTACACGAAGGGAAAGCAGCCAGTAAATACGGTCACAAAGCCTCGACAGGAACTGTCTAGGACGTGATTTTTTTCGAAAACCTTATCTCTACGACTTCCAAACACAATCACAGTATCCAAAGGCGAACGTTGTCAATGTTTCTTCAAAACCCAAAAAAACTCTAGCGATTATATTTGACCGGCTAAAAACATTTGAAAACGTACTACTTAATACAAATCGGCAAGTTTAAACTTCATATCATAGCTGGAGAACACACACACTCATCTTTGTTAATTTGCATACTAATCAATTTAAACATTATTTATTCAAGGCACTGCAAGCCTAAAAATTAACAGGTGTTTCAAGTACAGCATTATATAAAATACATTTTAGGAATATATCAACACAATGTGAACATTCATATGAACTATACAAAACTGATGTAATTGAAGCATTATTTAATACCATATAAATATAATCCATAATTACTCCACACATTGAGGTGACATTCGATCACAAAAGGACGGTTATAGACGGTGTAAGAATTTAGTTGTGGGCTCACGAGCCAGAACACTAGACTGATCTAGCGAATTCAAAAATTCTCCCCATTTCAAATAAAAAATTATGACTCCATAGCCCTTTCTTGATTTAGCAAAGGACCTCTTGATTCAACTCCATCCTCGTTTTCGTTGCCATTCTCTCGTACACCATCAAGTTTTGGTTCTCGACTCAACTGGCTCTCTAGAAAAAGACAAAAATAGCCTAGCTGCTATTCTTGTTCTCAATTCAGTAATAACCTACGTAGGTAAACTAACACACAATTAACCAAATAACTAGTCTAACTCAGTCTAACAAACACATCAAATGATTCACATTTTTAATCAGGAAAATTATTTCCTTCACAAAAGTTATCTTAGTTTAGATTGTTGATAATGTAACATTTTTTTCGTTCTCCAATCCTCATTTATCATTACCACTTTTAAAAACGTTAACTTAGACTAAATTATTGATGATGTAACTCTTTTTCTTTCTCCGTTCTTCATTGACACACGACCACTAAAAAAGCCACCCGAGGCTTAGTTATTTCAACAAATGCACGACTATTATCGTTCTCCGTCTTATTTGAATTTCATATTTTGGACAATCGCTTTTGTTTGTTTCCATATGACAAGCGATTAAAATTCTTACTTCTCATCACACTCTTCATTTTATCGACAATGCGATTACTGACAAGAAAACCAGGTATGTCATCTGTGCTAACGTTTTCGTTGTTTCTGAAATATCAACACCAAAAAATTCATCAACTTCCATTGCATGGGAAACACAGTACCATAGAATGTCGCGTACTTATATTCATCCTGCTTCAATAAATCGTATATATTGTCTTTAATCATTAGACATGCCTACAAAAAATAGAGTCAGATCATAGGCGGCCCAAAAAATACCTTACTTAGCCAAATACGACAAACGATAACTCTCCCCATTCCGCCGTAGTTATAATCAACATGAAATTTTTGTTTCTTTTCTTCTTCAACAGTAAAGTTGTTCATTTACATTTCTACACACTTCTCCCAATTTTACAAGCTTCGAACCTTTTGACAATAATTATCTACGGAGGGCATTTAAATACTTGCACGATGATAAAATGAAAAGAGTAATGGCCGGCATTTTAGCATTCAGCACATCTGAACATCGAATGCTTTTGTACGGTGACTGAATGGACCATTGTCAAATGTGTAACCTGCAGTTTATAACCCTCAACATCAAATAAATTAAACTTTGATTTCGTTCAATGCTTGTGAAACCAAACGCAATTGTAATAATTTGAACCTGTCCTTCAATTAAAGAAATTGAGTATTAAGCAAACCTTTCCACCAGTTATTGGAAGATGACCGTTCTCATAAAGCCATTGTTTGTCTTCTGGGTCGCCTACATACTAAAAAAAACACATTTATCAAACCAGTCTCGATGATTTCTAATGCTTTTCAATGTCGAACTAATGCATGTTTTTCCTTACTTTGAACAATTCAGGATGACGACTGTAAAGTTTGCCACGTGTGGCGGCAAAACCTAAAGCTCTAAAAATAGCAAATGGTAATGTTGTCATTTTCTACAAAAAAAACTAGAACATAATGCTTGGGCATGGTAGCTAAAATTCTTATTTCAACAAAGAGCAGAACATAATGGTAGTGTATGGTAAGAAATTTTCCACCACAAATATAGTAGCAGAAGTTAGTAGGAAAACTATGGAACAGACATCGACAGAAAATTAGACAAGAGAGAAACCTACTTGTTTGCCTTGACGCCCATGACAAATTCTGTATCGTAATTGATACAATCGGGATCCCACTAAAAAAAATCAAAACAAATATTACATGATGAAAAACTTGCCGAAAAGCCATTTTCTTGAACCAACCCTAAGCGTACGCAAGTATTTGTTAAATAAAGAATCAAGAGAAAAAAGACAGAAGTGAAACCTCGTGATGAGCGTTCTTGTCCGGACGACTAGACTTTGCTGGTGCAATATCATCCTTCGGCTCTTTCTGTCGTCTCCTCTGCAATGATTTAGGAGTAAAATAACAATATAACTTTCATCTTCACAATTCAAAAATATTTAAGACCTTAAGGCAATGTTTATTTCAGTCTACCTTGCGAACCACGGTCGAGCCGTTTCTTGTTTCACGTTCAGGCTGCAAAAAACATGGACGACGTTCATTAGCATTCCATAGAGCTGATTTTCATTTAATACAAAATGAAGCGTGATTTTTTCTGCAATCATTTTTTTTGCAATGCACACAGCCATCCGGAGCGAAAATGCTTGAAACTGACTCTATCGCAGAAGTTTTGTAAGGAATGGAAACCGGGTTTTAGATAAGCATGTGTGAAAGAATACGATTTGATTTTCACAAGAACTTCCATTGCCACTGAAGAAGCATTGGTTTACGAAAAGCCACCAGATTCTTACTTGGAAATATAGTGAATGGTAGAAATGAATACAGGTACTGATAAAGTGGCAATGGACGAGTAAAAAGATTCTGGTTAAAACGTCACTAGAGTCATTGACAATTGAAGATATGGGTTTGAAGAATGGAAGAGAGAATTAGAGAAATGAAGTTACAGATGAATGATTTGTGACAAGAAGAAAAAATATGTTGAAGGAAGATTGAGGGATATCAAACTTTTTGGTTTCATAACATTGTAAAGAAATACCTTTTCGTTGCATGATTTGCCATCGGTGCGAAAGAGTACTTTTGCCTATACGAGGAAAAAATTCCTACATTGAAAACAGCTTCAAATGTTAAGCTTCAAACATCTTAATCTCATCTTTCTTCATAACTAAATAATATACTAAATAATGGCAATAATCCAAAGCACTAGTGCACAAAACAAAATGGCACACATAATACCTGTTTTGGATTGTTAACTATCATTTGTTATTGTTTTACTTACCCTCCCCCGATAAGGACAAAAAAGAGACTGGGAACATACAGTCAGAGAAACGTAAATTTTGTTGTTAATTTGGGCAAATAAAGTGTTCAATATGTACTGTGTTCAATTTAATGAGTTAAAATACTACGGGACGAGTTCTATTTGAGAGCAATACTAGACGCTCATGAGTGTATGTGGAAGGAAAAATAGTTTAATGGCTATAGGGCATGTGTTAATTCCATGCTTTTATATAGCAAATACTTGTAAACAATGAAATAATTATCATATGCTCCTTGCTATGACATACTTATTTAATAAAATAAACAGATGTTTATTGTTGTGCCTAATATGATAAGGATGCCCATCAAATACCTCATCCAATGCTTTGCGTATGGTGGAATTAATTTGTTCATCAGAAACCACCTCTCCAGTGTTATCTCGGATGTTTATGGCTGCAAGTCTAAGTGCCTTAAAATTATAATCAGAAAAATAATCAAAAACCTCACAGATACATGAGACATCACATCCTGTATAGCAATGCTACAGGTAAACATGTATTATAAATATAAGTGACATAAATATGTACATATTATAAATATTGTGAATATGTACTATATATATATTACAATATTTAATAAAAGCATGAATTCACCTCTTGATGACATTTCATAATACTTTCCAGCTCCAAGTTTAGAGAAGGTTGTAATGCAGCCCGAACAAGATCAAGAGCTTTTGCTGGACTAAATGAACTAGCCCTAGAGGAATATTACCAAAGTAGCAATCTACGCCGATTTAACAGAGAATACCTTAGAGATAATTGGGATACTCCTCAATCACATATATGATGAAGGGAATATTACGTAAATACTTTGTCGTAGGGCTTTCATATGTAGACACTTGAAGTTGTAAAATGGTGTTTACCAAAATCAAAGCAATTACTAAAATAAACTTTTTTTGAAATTTTTAGATCATATGAAATGAAATGAAAGTTTTACTTTCGAGTTTTATTCTAAACAATGGCTCTATGAATAATAATCATCACCACACTACAACCATATTTTACTAAACATACTATTGAAAATTATCAAGATCATTACCTTGTTCGATTATTTGCACTTGCTCTGTAATAATTCCTACAAAATGATGTAATTTGTGATATTTGTTTATTGTCATTTGAGTCTATTGAGAAAGCAATACAGAATTTTTTGGGGGTAAGAAAAGCAGTGGCAAAGCTAGCCTATCTTTTACAACCACAATGCACATTTTTTCAATAGATAATTTAGATAATTAATACCATTTATGGTTTTTCCAGTATTAAACATAGGAATACTTGCGTTGCATGAATAAAAAATGAGCTGGTTTCGCTGCTGAATAAAGGCAACATGCACGTGGGATGAAATACCCTTTAACATGAAAAACATGTTAGACGTATTACATGGTTGCAGACTAGCCAACTATATTGGTTTGCAAGGGGAATCTTGGTTTTCCCCTTTTTGTAACCTCTGCTACCAACTAAGATACACTTCATTTCTTGGTTCATTCAAATTCTCATTAGAATGCATTTGCAACGAAAATAACTTTTAGAAGTTTGTTAATTGCATCTTTGCAAGAATAGAAATATGCCACGAATAGTACTCAAAATACTACACAATGCTACCTCCCAGCCCATAAATGTTTAGGCATGATATTTTTATTTCACATACGTAATTTTGTAACACTCCTTCGAAACATAGATGTGTAGAAAAACAGTACATGTTTCGTTCAGTTAAAGTTCATATGCCAAAACTTGTAGCAATTGTATCTATTATCATAAAACATACGCACATCAAAAAATGATGCCATACAAAAAAGAACATAAATCTTTAGTACTTTTCCCAGATCTACTGGTTTTTTAGCATATATTTTAAGATAATGCCTTGGTTGGCAGGTCTGCAGTTTCACTTGAACTGACATACGTAGTTTTGTAAAACCTGTACATAAATGCCTAGTAACCTAAACATTAGTAGTAACTTTTTTTAACAAAGGGCACATTACTTTGCATTAATGATCATTAACCCTATTTCTCACTACATTGTACATCATAGTTAAACGAATAAATTAATTTTTACCGGTGTCGCTTTGGAAAGTTTCTAGCTGTCATATTGAATGGGTTCGACCGCTACAAAGGTAAGGTATAAAAGTGGAAATTTAGTTACCTTACATCAAAACTCATTAAATAAAATTTTAGTGCTTTGTGAATACATTTTGAAAATATTTACCATTGCCACCTCCGTTTGAATTTCTACTTCTCTACAAAAATAAAAATATTTAATGCGTTATCAGTAAGTCTGGAACAGAAGAAACCATGATGCGCAACCACAATAACAAGTAGTGAGAAGCAAGACTACCACAGTATTGAATACAAAAACACTAATTTCCACATTGTACAACATTTTCTTATTGTGACATTTCATCATAATGTAAAAAAAATCAAATTACACATTTTCCCCTTATAACTTTAACCCAAAAGCAATATGTCGTCGATCATTAATAGCTAAACAAAGATTTTCTCCATGTGCGTCACCAATAAATCTGTGTTGAAATATTGACATAATTTAATACTATATTAGTTAGGAGTTCATAGAGTTAAGTCTTTCAAAAGTGTGCATTTTCTGCATGCCTTCTACAAAATAAAACCTCTAAAAAAGCAGCTAAATCTATAAGATTTATATACTTGGGTTGTATCAGTTGATTGCGTATCTCAATTGGGCAAACTTTTATCAAAGCTAAACAACGTTTGCTAACCACACATTCCTTTAACGGTAAGAAGCCTAGAGACTCTGTTTTGCCAACCATGTATGAAATAAATTCTACATTAACTGCTCCGTATGTTTATAACAGCTTGCAACACGCGCTTGTGAGACTTTTTGCATTAAAACAGCTTTACATATTGGCAAAGCAAAATCCCGCGACAGTGATAAATTTCCTACATGAATGCACACAGAAAATACCTGCTAGTTTTCTTGGGTTTTTCATCTTCTGAGATACGTTGATTTTCGAAATTCTGCGTGCTAATTTGAGGGTAAAATTTAGCCATTCTGTTTTGGAATTTGATTCAATGCTCTTGAAACGATAAATTTCTTCGATTAACTTTAGAGCTTCCGTTTTGAATAATTTACCAAGAACTACAACTTCCGCTTACGCCGGGCAGCGCACTAGGAAGAGGGTTTGTGAAGCTATTATCATATCTTTCGTAATAAATTGGCATTTCTTGTGCGTGCAACAAATTCAAAAAACTTAATTCAAAGGGAAAATAAAATAAATGCCTTAAAATTTCATGTTTCATTTATAAAAAAACATACATGACTTTACCAGGACATCTCAACACGCTATACACGATCAATGTTATCGACACGATCTAAAGCAAAACACTCAAGATCTTTTAAGACACTATCCTTCAATTGAGCGTCCAAAAGTCTCATAACGCTTCTATACACACAATTCATGTCATTATCGTTGGTAAAAACACATCGCAACGCGTGAGCACGCAAACGAGGCGCATTGTAAAGAACCGCAGCCGAATATGCGTCCACATAACGAGCGCTCGTTAGGCTTTTCATCAAAAGCAATTCACACTGATCTTTGAGGGGTTGTATAAGAAACCGATCTGCGCATTGCAGCAACTCCAAGAGCAAATCAAAGCACAAAACACCACCGGAGTCTCCCTCGTCTCCATGCCCTGGTAGTAAATTCAAAAAATAAAGACAATACAAGCAAACATTGTCTTCGTTACTTGAAGATGGAATTTTACAACCACAACCATAGGCATAATGAACCATGAAAAGAATCACACTATGAGTAATATCTTTAGTGGAATCTCTGACTGCGAGCCTTCTTTAAATCCATGAGATAACATAGCCGCAAACACTTCAGAAAGATCTCTTAAGACACAGCGATGAGCAGGTAAACACTCGTCAGACTCGGTTTTCAGTGAAACATCAAATGGTACAGAATGCTTTGCTTTATAATAACAGCTTACGTTAGAATTTTTTGCTAGTGCATGTGATATGTACGGAGAAGTCGATTGAGACCTTGAGAGAAAGATGTTGAAACAGAAGGTGGCAAATCTACATCAACATCTCTATCGAATGAGTTGCCTGGTACACTTATTTCACAATCCATTTTGGTTCTCTTGCACTCCGTACTGTCTGCTAAATCAAGCGGTCTTTTGGATAGGCCGAAACTTGAAGTACAAGCATTATCCTTTATCTCGGACTTTAACTCTTTTTCTGACTTACAGGCTTCATTACTCGCTTCTCGCACATCTTGTGCGCTAGATTTGACGATCTGATCTCCAAGTGCAAACTCGGCAACACGCGATGTATCGTGAATCCTCCGCCTAACGGTTGCTTCAGCGCTACAAGATTCTTTCATTCCAGAAGTTCCACCATCAGAAACTTGTCGTCTGACCTCAATCACATCCGCAATAGCAACTTCAACTTTGGAATTTACGACGAGATACGTAAGAGAGTTCAAAGCACGAACGATGTCTGCCTTCTCCACTGCGTTTTGCAGAACAGAAACGATGATCGCGATGCCTTTATAGTCTACGAGGAATTTCTGTTTCTTGGTTATTGACCTGTTCAAAGATTTAGTACTACATTTAATGTTGTGCTAGCGTTTGGTAGTAATAAAATAAGTACAAAACATGTAAGGACACTACTCTCGTTACCTGTGTGTCGTTTACTCTGTAATTCTGTTGTTACTCTGCGCTTTGAGCGTAGACAATAATTAAGCCCTTACAAACATAGGATATTCATTTTGTCTAAGGGTGACTTTATTCAATAACATATACTGTCAAATTCGGGGACGTCGAAAGCAGTCCGCAAATCTGGTGTGTTATGTAAATTTCATTCGCATTATTTATTTCTTTAGAAATACATTGTTACAGAGCATGCACAAACTGTTAAAGTTCTAACATCTCAAAATAGAAAGTGCTAACCTCTTAAAATAGAAGGTTCTAACCTCTTAAAATAGAAAGTTCTAACCTCTTAAAATAGAAAGTTCTAACTTCTTAAAATAAAGTTTGTACCTATCTATACATCTTTACATGTTTGTAGATGTAGATCGCCCTGGTAGTAAAGTCCTAAGAAGAATTGTCGATGTTGACTGACGTTTCGACAACCTTAGCGCCTAGTGATCTTCAGAGTTAAGAGTCAGGTTCGCCGTATTTGTTGTCTGGTTCCTGCTTCATCGTATTGTGTGTAGTAGACGTATGAACCAGGAATCGAATACGGTGAACCTGAATTTTTACTCCTCATTTGACTCTGAAAATGATTACCGCTAAGGTTGTCAAAACGTCAGTCAATATCGACACCAACAGTCCTTCTTAGGACTCTACTAATCTGGACAATCTTCATCTACAAACATGTAACGATGCTCACGGGCTCAAAGGATTTACTTTATCCATATATCTATCTATGAGCATAACTTACTTGCAAATCAAAGGCAATGAGAGAGCGCAAGCCTCCACGTGCTTTCGAGAACCTCGGAGTAACAGATGGGCAAGAATACCTTGGCCAAACGAGGTGCCCGCTTGCATTGTAAGAACGGAAATAAGTGATTCACCAACACGCAATGACCACGGACACCTGTTCTCCGGTACTGGATCATTCTCGGACAGATCAATGAGTGTCCTATTGCCTGAAGAAGAAGAACTAATTGCACAGTTGGCAGCAGTCTTCTCGCTCCATTTCGCACCTACTGATTCATCAACACGAGCTGCCTTTTCAGCAGAAGCATGCCGAACAAAAAACTCCAAATTTGTATCATACTTAGAACTTGCTTGCAGGTCATGCTCGAAATTCAGCGTTTTTGATCCCGTGATCTTAGACGAGCCATAAACAGGAGCCATGAAAAGATCATCAGACTGTTCATGAACGTCAGACAAATGCAAGGAAGAGCTACTGTCAATGTGCCTCGATGAGCTTCGATGAAAAGATCGACTTGTCAACTCTATCTTAAGAAGAAATCCGGGCCGGTGGCCTCGCAGCAATTGTTGGTAAACAGCTCCTGGAAACATTATGATAATGAGGGTTTCGAACAAATTTCGATCCCACGCAAGACTGTTGAGCAATCGCACGCATCTGGAATCGGGATTCGAGCTGTAGCACAGGTAATCCAACAGAGTTTGAACACATTCTGGAGAAGTCAAGGTTTCAGTATCGGCAGTGCTTGGCATCTGACCAATCCGCGAGAGAAGATAAATTATCTTGGCTTCCATTTCACAACGCTTGTCCCCATTTGAGTGCGAAGTTTCGGAACATGTCTTCCATCCTTTACCTTGCGAAAGAGGAGTTTGAAAGTTGCAACAGGAGAAGGTTGGTCAGCAGAAAAAAGATTCTCTTCAGGTAAAAATAAACTATCATGATCGTTCAAGCTTGTTTTAGGCATCTTACTAACTGTGTCACCTGGAAATGCATCTATCAGGTTCCTGCTGGTGTTCTGGAACTTCGAAGAGTGCGTCGTCCCCAATTCCTCCATTAATGAAGTTAGGATGCTTGCATTTGGTGTCTTTGCAACATCACGAGCAGCATCATCCATATCATCTTCAGATCCCGATGGTGAATACAACAAAGGACTCGCTGATAGACCGGAATCAGGACTGCATGATGACATGAGAGATGTACAAAGTTCAGGGCTAAGTTGCAGTGATTTAAGCGATCTCACGGGATACTTCTGTTCGACACTTGATGTCGACTTGGACAAGGTCACGTTTGGTTGCTCAAAATCTGCTTCCGTTAAGTTCTTCGATGCTGCAGCTATCGGCAATGATGCGGCATCCGCTGTTGATTCGCTGGCCACCGTCTGCTCACTTGGTTCAGAAGGATTCCTATCCGTAATTTTTTTGCACATAGAAGATGCATCATCAGGAAAAAGAAGCCCTTGAAGAAGATACACGAGAGTTGAGACAAAACCACGGCTAAGCAAATATTTTAAAGCCAGATCATCGTAGGTAAAGCATGTGTATGCACCGAGGATATCATTATGAACTTTAGAAAATTGTGGTAAACGTAAGATTTTCAAAAGAATTTCAAGACCACCACGATGTCGCAACTCGCTACGATTTACAGCTTCACGACAACACATACAAACGCCTTCGACAGAGTAAAGAAGTAATGGTGTGTACCATTTCACTTGGTGAAGGAAGGCGTCAATACCACCCTGTGTACCAACTGAAACTCGAATTGTGGGATGCTTCGTAAGCGTACAAAGAATATGGATACATTTTCCCGCGATGTCTTGATTATTTGAATAGGACAGCTTACAAACGACTTTGATTCCACCATTATCGTGCATTGCTGGTGCCAAGACGCCATTTGACGTCTTCATCAACTCGTGCAATGTCTGAAGACATAAAGACCTGACTTCATCGTTAGTTTCCTCCTCAAGCAGATGAATAAAATGATCAACAACGTTTGCCTCTTTAATTTGTTTCAAGAAAATTAACGAGTTCTTACTCATCAGTCGTATGGCACGTAAAGTATTCTGAAACAGTGTTGTGTTACTCCAACAGCTCAAAAATGTGAGAAGTGTAGGCAGGACTCCTTGCTTAGCAATCTCGTTAGCAATCAAAGGATCATGTGAAAGATTAGCCAGTCCACGGACCACACGACATACAATACTTTGGTCAGCCAATGAAGACAACAGTTTGCCTAAAGCAATTGAGAAAGACTAAAAAACAACAGTCTAATAAATAAAATAAAATAGAAAATCACAGCTATGTCACTTTGTTTTCAAATTACATGAAACCAGTGGCTGTAACTAAAGCGGCAAGGTGGGCCCAAGCCCCACCAAATAATTTCAAAAGACTAAAGATCACTAATTTTAAAAGTATTCTGGTAAGCATGCCCCAAATCTCACTATAAATTTCATGCCTTGAAAATGAGCCTCTCCCCAAATATTTCAAGTGTCCTTCACTGCATGAAACCAGTGTTTTCAGATCAGTCACAGTGGCATAATGGTTGATTAATTTCTGCTTGAGTCAAAATAAATTACAGCAGCTTAATTATATATTTGAATTATCTGACTTTTAAAATACACAACAAATTTATTCAAGGTAAACATGTTTCAGTGTACTATATGCCATCTTCAGTGCAAAATCAATAAGAAGTTTACATGGATACAAAATGATATGTATAGTGTTATGTGATAAAAAAAATTGCTGTGCATATTGTGCAACTACGAAATTATGAAATAATTGAACCATAAAAAAGCTGTTCGATTTGAATTTCCAATAAGCAAAATTTCCATATGCAAACAGTTTTTGAAGGTTGTCAAATGTAAACAAATGCAAGAATGTTCTGTAGCAAAGCAAAATTTACACAAGCAAAGTTCCTGTGGCAAACTTGTACGCCACAGCAGTATATCAGTGTTTAAATGAGTAAAATGTCTATTTGCCAAATTTTTCTTTGTCAAAGATTATTTTCTTGTGTAAATGGGATATTCTGGGGATATTGCTTGTTTTTCAATTGACATATTAATGAGTAAGTTTTCAAAACGCAACATATAGTTGCATGCACAACTTTTCTTTAGCTACACAAATGTGAAAATAAGCAAAGAAAAAAAGCGAGGATATTGGGGACAACCATGGTCTACTCAAAATCATAGGCATTCACAGGCCAACCTAGCGTGAATTGTCTGCAACTGATTCTGAAAGCTTCAAAAAAATTTCTTGGTAGAATCGAGACTTTAAAATGCATTCCCATAAATTCATGTTAAAATGTTCGTTTGTGAAAGTCTTGTCATGAGACGTTTTATTAAGCCATGACAAACTTTCTTTGCTGGTTTATTTCAACGAGCAAATTCTGTGATGAGTTCAAAAACTTTCTATGCCAAAGATGCTTGTTGAAAAACTGGCATGCCATGTCATACTGAAATGTCATAAAAATATTTGTCAATTTCTTAATTTACATGAGCAAAAAACTTTGCAAAAGACAACTTTTCCACAAAAACTTTTGGTTGTGTAAATTACGCTTAAAGAATTTTGATTCGTCCAAGACCTTCCAATGATCAATCATGTTTGCAAATGCATTTACTTACACAGAAGAACTACTCCACTTTGTTGCATGATCTATAAAACAACAAGAATGTAGACATTTACCAGGTGTATGTTGCTTAGATTACAATTTTCTGCAGCCTATTGATATCAGTTACAACTGCGAAGATACTAAACAGTCAAAGGGTACCCATATAATGGTGGGGTGCACTACCCTCCATTTTTTGTAAAATGTGCATTATGTCAGTCCAAAAACTGATTGATAAAGTATAAACAACAAGCTAGATGCAGCTAAATTTGTGGAAAGGTTGCTTCCATTAACGTAGAGCCCCTAACACCGGCAGGTTTTTCTTTTTTTGGGGGGGAGGGGGATGTTCTTTCGTAATTGTACCATGTTGTACATGAAATTCCCAATTAATTGCTCCACATTTTTATCATGTATGTATGAAATCATTTTAAATGGTTACCTCGCTTCTACTTTGTTTTTCCATAGCACAATTTGCCAAAACACTGACGGCCATGTCTAAATTTTTCTTGTTCGATGATCGAAGAAAGGACAGTAACACATTAATTGCGCCTGCTTTACGACATTTTACCACATTCTCGGACTTTCTCGTTGCTTTTGATAACGATATTAAAGCTTTTGTAGTTCTGGAAGCAGACGAACCTTGTAATTTTCGCAATAAATCTGTGATGTGGCAGTTCGTTGCTATTATTTCCTCCGCCATGATATACACGAGCGTGTAATTTATTATAAACTATTCGCATAAATTTTACGAATTTCATTCTTTGGGGTAAGTCTTGTCAGTTGAAAAAGTGATTTTAATAATTTGATGCACAGAACAGCAAGAATGGATGATACTTGACTAAACTTTCACAGAGTTTTTGCGGGCATAATACCTCTCATAGTTCGATTTAGTCACTTACAGTTGATTCGCACGAACTTGTCAACCCGAAGCGATAACTGAAGAAAATGTAGAGTAAGAGTAACTAATATACTTAAATTATTGATTAATGAAGAAGTGATTCACTACTAGTGAATATGGTCAAAGATAAAATCGACACCGTATTGGGTCCTGTAGCCGCCAATGCTCTACAAAAAACCTTGACACATGAGCATCTTGCAATGGATTTCACAAATCACTTCGTGCAAACCACAAACACTCACTGGCAAATGGAGAACTGCTCATTTACCATGGAAAACCTCAACTGGATTCGAAACCATCCCTATAGTCATAGGAAAAATTTGGTCTTGTCAAGCACAACGAATGCTGTTGTTGAGGATGTTGCATTGTTCAAAAAGGCAGGTGGATCAACTATTGTTGAGAACTCAAGTCTTGGACTTGGCAGGAATGTTCAAAAAATGAAATTCATCTCGGAGGAAACTGGAGTAAACATTATTTGTGGGACTGGATTTTATGTTGAAAAACAACTCACTGATGAAATGAAGGAATTAACCATTGAAAGAATGAGTGAGGTTGTTCATTTACAAATAGAGGGTCTGGCAATGGGGGGGGGTGGGCTGAGTTCCCTCCCCCCTCAATATTTTTGTACTAAGGTCTACTTATATTTTACCAAAAAAGTCATTCACATAAAATAGTGGATAAATTGTGTAAGTGACATTTGGGGTGTCCCCCCCCCCCAACAATAAACAAAATTCTGCAGGTATCACTGTTTTAGGAAACAATTAGTTTGGTTGAGTTTTTTCACAAAAGTATTTCAGTACCTTCCTACTACTGAGTGAGAGGAGATTCTTACGGTCTCTCGGGGAAAAGAGTTGATCAGGCTATATTAAGATTACACTTATTTAGTTTGCCATAAGCATGTTTTTGTCGCCTGCCTTAACCAATATAATAGTGAATGTTCCATTTTAGATCATAGTCACAGAAATAGATGAAGGCATTTTTAATACGGGTGTCAAGCCAGGAATCATTGGTGAAGTGGGATGCTCTTGGCCTCTGACCGACGTCGAGAAACGAAGCATTCGTGCAGCAGCGATATCCCAGGCTCAGACCCATACCCCTGTTATGATTCATCCAGGCCGTAATCCACAGTCCCCCGGAGAGATATTACGAATATTTCAGGAATCAGGCGGAGATTCAACACGTACAACAATGGCCCATCTTGATCGCACGTTTTTAGAGGAATCTGACCTTTTAGAGTTTGCCAAAGAAGGCACTTATCTGGAATACGATCTTTTCGGAATCGAAGTATCGTACTACCAATTTGCTCCGGACATTGATATGCCTAGTGATGCTCAAAAGATGTCAAAACTTTGTTGCTTAATCTCTGAAGGTTTTAAGAATAGAATTCTTTTGGCACATGACATACATACAGTGCACAGACTCACAAAGTTTGGGGGTCATGGGTACACGCATATATTTAATCAAGTTATTCCAAAATTATTATTGAAAGGAGTTTCTAAACAACAGGTTGACGACATGTTAATTTCAAATCCCAAATCATGGCTCACCTATGCATGAAGACGATCGCATCGCAAGTTTGATATATTGTGTCATGACATTTGCACGATTTTCTCGCGTCATTGCAAGGGGAAAAGATGAAGTATTGAAATGACTCTCTTTTTTAGATAAGTTGGCAAAATTTGTTTTTTTTCAAAATTTAGATAATATAAGAATCCAAGTCATCAAGTCTCTAAATACCTATCAATTAAAAATTAAAATAACAATGTGCCTTTTTTACTATGTTACATCTTAGATTTGCTACACATTCGAACTGTTTTACATAATAAATAATCGATTAAGCATACCCTACAGAGCACTGTTAACGTCTCTCGTGGCACTTTCACACACAAACACACATCGTTTTTGATGAACGTGTCAAAGACTTCAGTCGGTTTCACTTAACTCATATAAACATGTGAAAAATAACGCACACGGCCAAAAACATGAAGGAAACAGTTGTTGAAGTTGATCCATTATTTCCACCACGCTTTCCACTATCTTCACATTTTTCACATTTTACACATTCAACCTTACATTTACTGTTCCAGTAAGTGATCGGTCGACCGTTGATGGGCTGAATGCTACGAAAGTTGCGGATGATATTGTTGCCGTTGGCGTCTTGCATCATACGGAACTCTTGAAACTAAAATGACAAAATATTGTTTCGTGATCGTCAATTCAAACATTCTTCAAACCGCATGTTGAATCGTAAATTACTCATTCTATGTCTTAGAGCAAGCTCCCATCGCATTCTATCCATTCACACAACTATCTTAAAATGTAAAGAATTAAAAAAATTTGCGAAGGCAGACCACTACTTTTTATGTGTGGCAACACCTGGAAAATTCGCGGTCAGCGCGCTGACCTATCCAAAACAGCCATTGATAGGCAAAAAAATTGCCATTGACAGACAAAAAAATTGGATTCCCTTAAAATTGAATCTTGTGAAAGGTACATACTTGTTCCTTCGACAATTTTATGGTGTCGTCAAAAACAGTCCACGTGACCGTTTCATCACAGGAAGGAGTGGTCAATGATCCCTGATATCGATAGAACATGCCGATGTTTTCGGGTAGCATGTCAGCCATGTGAAACGCTTCCACTTTTGTGTAGTTACCTTGATTGCGAACATTTTAAGTCAAAAATGAATAGATATTCGACATAAATATACAACATGAATATAGTTGTAGTACCACTACAAGAGAAGGCGAAAATAGGTTTAAAGAATTATTTATGGTACAAGCGAAGATGAAAATGTGATGGTTGAAGGCTTATTAATGGTACAAGAGAAGAGAAAAATGGGATGGTTGAGGGACTATTTATGGTACAAATGAAGATGAAAATGGGATGGTTGAGGGGTTTTGAAATAAACGATATGATTAAGAGGAAAAGATTAAAGATTCTTGGGAAAACAGCCTTATTTCACTTTGACAATCAAAAACATCAAAGGATTGTGACTTTTGAGAGTACAATGTAAGAGGACGTCAAGAGGTTTGTAAAAAAAAATATGAAAAAGTAAAGATTGAGGTAGCAACAAATAATTTACCTTTACTTTTCACGTCGTACTTTGACAAATTTAAAAATTTCTCAAATGTTGGATGGGGCTCAGGGCCAACCTGCGAAATATTTTTAATGTTATTTGTCAACTGAAAAGAAAGTATATCTCATAAATGCATAAGAAGAACGATGTTAACTTTGTTAAGAAAGGTGTGTCTAGTGTCTTGTCCAACTTTCTCTCTGGTTTCTTTAGTGGCGTAACACAACCACTGGGGGCCCTCCGTCAAATAGCCATTGTTGCCCCTCCCCCCGCCCATGTTCCTCTAGAAATTATCTTGAATGATCGTACATGAAATGAATTCGAAATGATCGTAACGCAAATCGATGTTGCACCTTTGCTTATTGTTCTTGTAAAAAATGGGCTACACATATAAAGTAAACAAACCTACCTCCATGAAAACTCCAAGTACAGCCAGACCATTTTCTCTGAAGTATGCATTACCAAGTGAACCATACATGGTATTATAGTGAACGTAATGAAGCTAAAAAGGAATGTCAGATAATCAGATTTACATTTTCGTCGATCTTTGATTTCTGAAAGATATTGCATACATTACCTCTGCCGGGAATGCTTTGTCATTCAATAGATGTTCGGATCCTTCAGAATCATTCTTACCCCAATGAAAGTGTACTTGCTGTAGTTTGAAAGTTCCTTTTCCATCCAGTATAATACTCGCATCAGTAGAAGCCGTTGTCAGCTTCATAGTACCGCCAGTATTCAAGACTTTGAACTTCTCTTCACCTTTGTTCTTATAATTATTAAAAGTGATTGAATTAGCGAGAGCCACATCACATTTTGCGCCTTTTATGTTCACTGGTGTTTGCTTATCTTTGCCGCACAACTCATATTGTTCTGGCCAATCGTCTCCACCTAAAACAAAAAGGGGTTTTTCCAATTCGGTCATGACAATGTACTGTTTCATGTTTAATCTGACACAGACTTGCTTCAAGTCTGTCCAATTGCAGGAAATTTTTCTAAAAACAGCAATTAATTAATAAATAAATGATTAGAACAACCCTCAGAGTAAGTTTACGTTGCGCTGCGTGGTAAGAAAACGAGTAAGTCGTCTGAGTTCAACCATCTTCGAAACAGACAATTTGAAGACCCTCGACAAAAGTTCAAATCACGCGTGACAATTTTGATGGTTAGGTATTTCGTTCAACAAACTTATACATTAATTAAACTGAACAAATTTGTCCTGGCAAAGCACGTGAGGGAGTGCTGACTCGCGGCAGGTACACGCTTCACCTCGAAGGAAATCAAACAACAATATTGAAAGTTTTTAATTTTTCACATTGATTATGTAAAGATTAATGTCATTACCTTGTTCATAGTCATAACCTAAAATGAAAAAAAAAAATATGAAAATGAAGTAAAATTTCTGCACGAGGACAGCAGGAAAACGTGACTGACTAAACGCATGACTGTAACTATAAATGTACACAAGATGAGCGTAAGAACTTTCCGTGCTAAGATTACGGCAAAATCCACAAACAATGGTCGTGGTAATTTTTTAATTCTTAAATAAATGTGGCAAATAGAAGTATTCCATTAAATCCCTAACTTATGGGTATTCCAGAGCTCTCTAATTGTATTCTTTTGCCACTATGAAACATGTGCAAGTATTACAACGGGATGCAATTATTTAATTCAAAATTAGAGGTTCAGTCTTTACTAACAATAATGATGTAAAGAATTTATGTAGAATCACAATGACATCCTCGATAGCCATCAACAGAAAACCATATTCAGTCCAATACTAGCAAACATAATATGATTTACCTAATATGCAGTTGACAACGCAAGCGAACACGACAATCGTGGAGAGATTCATCTTGTTCTAAATGGCTGAAATATAAGATGGTGAGCTGACGGTTCTTGAAAGCTTAGCAAGCCACCGAGCACAAACAACAAAATGGTGAATGGCACAAGCGAGAATGGCTATTTATTAGGTGAGTGAGGTCGAAAGGTGATGGGCACGTTGGTCCTAAGACTACATTACACAGACGGTTGGATGCCATGGGCATGACCAAGGACGGACTCACTAAAATGTCATTCGAGGTGATCAAGACAATGCAGAATAACTATCATTAACACTTTTGCTAAGGTGACATTTTCAGTTATATCTTATCTAAATCAAGGATGTCACACTCGAAAATTGTTTTTAAGGTTTTGCCTTTGACAAAAAACCACACCGAACGAAGAGATCGGAACATTTGACTATAAAAAAAAAACAGAAAAACTTACAAATAATATGATTTGTTTCCCGAATCGTAGCGTTCCCAACTCGATCGTTTGCTAAACTGTTTAAGAGACTTAGTCACATACAGCAAATGACGCAAAACGACCACCTCGGCGATACTTATACACGTGTATTGCATACTTGAAACAGAGTGGTCAGAACATTGGCAGAACACAACGCTGCCAGTATAGGAACGATAACGACTTCCTTTCGTTATGTAACAAAAAAATGGGAACAAAAAAACACTTTTTATGTTAACGAAGTTAAAAGAAATACTACGTCATTAAATCACTGAAATAATAGGTGGCAGGTCTAGCGTTTTGCCACATAAATTCCAACATTCTTAAATTCAAAACACCGTATGTTTAGCAATTAGATTGCTAATATTTTATTCTTTGGGGATTCTTAAACCAATGAAAAACACATGTATGTAATGTAAAGCAACAAAGGCCCACATCAAAAAGAACATTAGAATCGCATATTGCAAAATACAGCAAGGCTCACATGATTAAATCATTTTTTTTAAAAAAAATCTAAATTTGTAATAAGAATGTAGGAGTGACCTTTGTTTCGTGAGTTTGGTAGTAAATGCGGTACACGGATGGACGGCAAGATAGACAAACAGCTATAAGGTGACTTCATTAAGTTGTAAATGTATGAGTTTCAATTAAATGTCGGCGTCTATATAACAACAGCATTTGGCAAAAACAAAACAGCCAATAATAGCTACATCCCAAATAAGCTAACCTTTTCTGTCACCTTTCCATAAGCGATAGGAACACATTCCATAACACTTTCAATAACCCAGGCCAAATGAAATATATTTTCTACCCATTTCTGTTTAACATTTGTAGCAGTGAAAATTGTTGAATGCTGTCTTCAAACGCGTTTTGAGATTTAGCATAAATGTGATGTTACTTTCTTAGAAAGAAATATGTTAGCACGTTTCGTATGACAATGCATCAAATCTAAAAAAAATCTACAAAAAAGTTTGAAGCAAAAATACGTTCGGAGCCCACTGTTGTAAAGCTCTTTATCATCTAACTTTTAAGCAGATTCTTCACCAATGAAAATCTATAAGCTTTCCGCCTACCCATTTATCCGTCCACGCGTTCATCCATCCACCCGTGCATGAGCTTATCTGACATTCAATAACCGAACTTAAAACGTGCACGTCTCAAGAGATAAGATAAGAATAGACATGCAATCGTGCTAATGATACCTTGTCGTTATCTTACATAACAAAATTATTGCGCACGTGCCCATGTAAGAGCGACTGACTGCAATGTGCTTTTCTTGCGTGAGTCTGATGATGTTTCTTTAAACCATTCTAAACCTGCGCGTGTCTAAGCAACAACACAATTAAATCTACATTAAGCATAAAAAATTGTCTATTGGGATATAATTTGCTTCAAGATTCATAAGGATGTTGAATAAATCATCATAATTGTATTTCTGAAAGAGTGTAGACATTGCTTGACCTCATCAGCCTCGTGTCAATAACGTCAGGTGCATATTCCGACAGACAGGAATACAATCAGATGATTACAAAGACAAAAGCAGTCATTATGATGATTTGCTTTCCAAAAACGTACAAAGGTCCAGTTAAAAAAAAATTAACAAAAAACAGTTCGGAATCGGCAAATGTTTCCGATGGACAATAAACGCCCAAAAGATTCAATGCCATATTTAGTATTGGAATAATTGAAACAAAATTACATAATTTTCATGAAAATTTTGTAATAAATAGCATGCAAATGTAGCAAAAGCAGGAACTAATATGACAACTAATTTCTTTATGTTACTTCGTTGTTTCATAATCATCGTGAAACAGCACTTCTTTAACACGGAAAACGTGAATTTTAGGAAGTCCTATACGACGCACACCTATATTCGGGTAAAATTCGCTACACCCACATTCGCTGTCGTATCCACAACTTGTAAATAAGGCAACAGGTGTGCACGTAGTTGCATTAATTTCAAGTTGATTATACCAAAGAAATGTCATAATTCTTGAGTTTATACAGTGCTATATCAGTGGAGGTCACAATATTATTTACATCTTCGTCATAAGATTAAGCACGCGACGAACATTACTGGCATATTTTTACGATAGTGCTTATCAAAGGCGGCGGAAGATTGATAATTGAGAGGGAGGGTAAATTAAATATTCCTATACGTAATCACGATTGATTTCAATATAAATTTACAAAGTAAAACATGCGCATATGAATAGTAGCCCCGCCGAAAAAATTATCAATCTTCCAACGCCCTTGATTAATTTACACCCTCTCTCTTCTTCACAAGGAATTAGTAAAATCCAGCATTGCTCAGCATTTCAAAACACACCTCACAAACGCGTACAGGCTTCGTAAGTTCATATTTTACGATTGGCATCTGTTTACTTGAACATTTTGCACACAACAAGCGTCCACAGTGGCGACTAAACGACAAAAACAAATATTTTGTTGTTTCTCGGTTTCGTCTTCACTAAATCAGTTTGTGACGGTATTGGAGCTTAAAGAAGAGCGACTAAGAACAGACGACATCTCTATCATCCAATATTAGCCTAATTCCTTCTGTGCCAAGATTATTTGACTGAATTTCCAACTTCCAAGTTGACAAACCGTTACACGAGGTGAAATGTGTAAACAATGATATCGTCCAATATTAAAATAAAGTAAGCGTATTCCTATGTCGGTAAAGATTATTTGGCTGGATTTATGAGAAGAAACTAACAGAACCGTGCAATGTGTATGAAATGTCATAACAGATGCTGTTGTCCAATACAAAAACATTTAGCTTAATTCTATCTGCCTTATGAATCATTTGGCTAGACATCCAAGAAGACACTAAAGGAGTTGTACAAAATACATAAAATCCAACCTCAACCGTTTTGCCAGCGACTAAACGACAAAAATAAATATTATGTTGTTTTTCGGTTTCGTCTTCACTAAATCAGTTTGTGACGGTATTGGAGCTTAAAGAAGAGCGACTAAGAACAGACGACATCTCTATCATCCAATATTAGCCTAATTCCTTCTGTGCCAAGATTATTTGACTGAATTTCCAACTTCCAAGTTGACAATAGAAGGCCATACAATATAGATGAAATGTGTAAACAATGATATCGTCCAATATTAAAATAAAGTAAGCGTATTCCTATGTCGGTAAAGATTATTTGGCTGGATTTATGAGAAGAAACTAACAGAACCGTGCAATATGTATGAAATGTCATAACAGATGCTGTTGTCCAATACAAAAACATTTAGCTTAATTCTATCTGCCTTAAGATCATTTGGCTAGACATCCAAGAAGACACTAAAGGAGTTGTACAAAATACATAAAATCCAACCTCAACCGTTTTGCCAGTGACTAAACACAAAAATATTTGCATTGTGGGAATAAAATAGGGGCGGGCTTAATTAAAGCTTTCTCCCGACAATAAAAACAGAATTATATTCATGACATTGACTGACCAGTGGTGTTTCCTATTTTTAACAGAAAATTTCAACGAGCATTCGTGACAGAAACTTCCATCAGACCATGGCGGTTCAGCACACAGCAGGTCTAAATTAAATAAATAATTGCAACAACCAAAACAAATACAGGCACACAACGTGCACGCACCGATGGAGAAACAGAAAAACACTCCTCAACTAAGCCTGTACCTAGCAAAGAGAATAGCAGTTTCTTTGAAGCGACTTGGGCATTAAATATCGAAACGCCTTCTTTGTTGATAGTTGCCAAAGTGCTGCCATATTTAAGCAACTCTCGACAAAGTCTCCCGTTTCCATTGAGATATGCAAGTAGAAGCGCTGGAAAAGAAGATGAAAGGTAAATTAACAGCAGTAGCGGTTGGTGGGCTAAATAGGCCTGAGACTACAGGTCCAGAGTTTCGAGAGGCCCATGGTATCAAGACAAAATTAGTGTTTGGTTTTTGCTATTTTGGACTAGTTGAATGTGCTTACTTTAGACCAATTATTCACTTAAAAACCGTACGAGCGATTGAATACTGAGGGGAAATGGTTTTCGTATTGTCAAACTCATGATGTAATGAGTTTCCGATTTCTCTGATCATGTCGATGATTTTTGAAAGTTCAAACTCTTAATCGAATTACAAACACAAGAATGGAGATGCAAAAGCAAAAGAACGTGGAGAAGACAAAAGTCTTGAAGAGACTGTACTTAGTGGGAGGAATGGACGTCACTTAATGGCTCGTAACATTATCTTAGCCTACAGGTCCCGTAACTAATAATCCGCCATTGGTTAATACATTGGGATGTAAAAATGTCCTCAATTAACGTTTAAGGAAAATTATAAAGCACAAGTTCAAATATTTTCCTTTCATTTTAGGTTTAAAATGTCAGGTTTTATTCAAAAGCTTTATTCAAATCTTTCGACGATTTTCGTTTTGCACTGCAATGGGCCACACTTGAATCTGACATTCTATAAGTTTTGTGTCGTATCGTATTCAATACTTGGATTTCTGTCGAAAAACGGTTTGTAACTGCCAGATTGAGCCATTTAATATAAACAAACGTCGCTTTTTTACGCTTTTTTCCACGTTTGTAGGTGTGGGTCGTCCAGGTTAGTGCAGTCCTGCGTATGACTGTTTGCGTTAATTTTGACTGACATCATCAGAGTCAAAAGAGGAATAAATGTCAGTTTAGCTGTTTTCTTTCTCAAGACGACATGCACTAACCTGGATGATCCACGTCTACAAACATGTAAAAATAGTCCCGGGTCCACACCATTCACTTTTTCACCTTACAAGATCACTTAGACGAAAATAACTAAGATATTTATCATGTATAAATAAAGTTAGAATGGTTAAGCGTATTGTATAAATAGATGGAACAACAAAAGAGCAATATCTGCTTTTTATACCTACCAGTATTTTCGTTCACGTCCAGAGCATTGATAGGAAAGTCGGGCAAATTTTGCTGAAATGTTTCGAAAATAGCGCCGGCGTTGTCTTTTGAATACTGAGCCAAAGTATGCAGGGCATTTTGTCCCCTATGACAAAACATGTCTTGATTTAACCGTATTTCAGAACTAACCAATAAAATTAAACCGATTCCTGAACTACCTTCCATTTAAAACTTTTGCGTCCACAGATGATTCAGTCAGGAGAACACGAACTGAGTTTATATGTCCAAGCTGAACTGCCAAATGAAGAGCTACATAAAGGGAACTGGAAATGAACAATGTGACTTAAACAGAAACCTATACATAAACAGAATTGATTTCGAAACACTCTTACCATTATCTCTTTTTGCATCGACTTCATTTACGTTGGCACCATTAAGTAGCAAAACTGATATAATGCTGGCGCGATCATGCTCAGCGGCCTCGTGTAACGGTGTTCTCTTTTTCTTGTCCGGTGCATTGACATTTGCACCAGCTAGAATCTACAAGAACCAAGCAAAAACAGCTACACTTTTACTTCAAGTAACACTGGGTTGATAAGAGTTCAAGGGAAATCCCGTTGGAAGAACATTTCAGGTTTGACAAACGAATGATTTCATCGTTGGTAAAAAGAGTTTCACAAGGATAAGTTACACTACATCGAATTAGTGGAAACGCTTTCTTACCATATGCCTGACGAGGATTTCTGATCCAACCCTGACCGCAAGATGCAATGGTGTTGTAAGACTAGAGTCTTGTACCGGAGTTTGAATATTAGCACTAACGCCCATCAGAAATAGCACGGTCTCAATATCTTCAGAGATGATTGCACGGTGTAGATAATTACGACCTTTCTTGTCGTACTGTATAAAGTAAACACAACCGATACATCTTTTTAAGTTAATGCAAGACCTCAACATTAGCGTCTGTGAGCTATACACTCTTTTTTTATATAAAAACCGGTAAAAATTAGCTCACGCTCAACTGAAACTTTCACAGATACCTAGATGGCAAAAACATGTTTTTCTATTCGAATTGGGTGACCTGTACCCACACACACATTGCTCGCATGTTCTATCTTATAAACACCCATCAATTTATCTGTCTATCTGAAGTCTCGTGATATGAAAAAAAACAACAGAAAAACACAAATTTAGGAGCTTTGAAAAAGAGATTAACCTTTTCAGCAGCCAATGGCTCCCGCGACAAAATCGCCTCGGCCGACTTATGATCTTTGGTATCCAAGGCAACAGCGAATGGCGTTTGACCAACCCGATCTTCAAGCATAAGATTAAGTTCGGGATGTCCAAGCAGGAGTTGTGTCGGAATAGAATATCCACTTAAAATTGAAACATGAATTGGACCACGTCCTTCCGAATCCTAACAACGAAAAAGCCAACTTCACACGGTAACAATTGTCGGACAAGAAAACTAAAAAATCTATGCATAAAGAGTAAACTCGACTCAAAACTATTAAAAATAATTGGTAAACAAAACTCTCATGGTTACCTAACTGGCCTGCCAACAGCGTAACGTGAAATGCACATTTGGTACTATACTATGTAAAGTTCGAATCATTTCCCATAATTCATTTCGGTAGAATAGGATTGTCCTTACAGTCAGTAAAACCAAAACGTTTGCAGGGCGAGAATCTGGCTACGCTGTTGTACCTTACATGAACGCCACGCCCACTAAACTTCCTTTCTTGATATTTTTTGTCGACCATAATGTTACAGACATACTATATCGAGTTGAAACTCTAACCTGAATGTTGACATTGGCATTTTCTTGAACCAAGGATTGAACGATCTTATCCAGGCCTGACATACACGCTAAATGAAGCGGTGTGAGTCCGTCCCAGGCTTCAACTCCACCTGTTCCATCAGGCGCAGGTCGTCGGGGACTTGATTAACAGTGAAAAAACTGCATTTAAATTTTAGCGCAATGACTTGTGTAACAGTTAGAAGTTTTATCACAAATACACACACACCTATTTATATCGCATTTACATCTAATGAGAAAACAGCCCGCGTCTTCGTTTTTCTCCTCTATGGCACGATGCAAAAGAGCTTGGGAACAATTTTTTGTCCCCCGATGCCAAGCATTAACATCGCAACCATGGCTGACCTAAAGCAAACAAAAAGACTATCGCAAAATAAGTCTACCAAAGTTTTCTACAAGATATACGTACGTCTTAAGTGAAGTCGATGTTTATCGATGAGGTCAGTAAATAGAAAAATGTCAATTATAAAGATCACTAGTTTCACTAAAGCACTCCTTACCAAAGTTTCAGCAATATCAAACTGTTTCGTCCTGATGGCTGCCCATAACGCACAGTTGCCATACTCATCATTGACGTCAACCTTGGCCCCAGACCTACACAGAGCGTCCACAACTGGCTGTAAACGATGACCGATAGCCAACTGAAGAGCTGATTGGTTTTCCTTTGTTCTGACGTAAGAGAAACGAATGGATATAAAGCATTGGATGTAACTTTACCAGCCATGCTTTCACAGAAGGGTCTGGAAACTAGATGCACAGCATTCAGGCATTAGGGCATTTTATCATCAACAACAAACGAATATGTTGTTCTTCCATCTATCTTAGTCACACACCCAAAAGCAAAAGACATTACCTGACATTGATGTCTGCTCCCCGTTTGATGAGAAACAAGGAACTAGGTGCATCCTTTCTAACTATTGATTTTAACATTAACGTGAAACCCTCCGAATCTGGAAGATCGATGCTCGCTCCAGCTTCCAAGAGACTCTCAGCTAAACGATACTGAGCAGTAAAGAGCGCGTGTGCCAACGCCGATTGCTCTTCTGCGTCACAAATATCGAAGTCAGGAGCTAAATTCAAGCGACCACCACTGCTAACCTTGTCTGAGAGAATTTTGATCAATGAGAACAGGTATATATCATCATTAGACTAAACATACCCTCAGACTACTTTGAAAATTTAACGCATTCAAAAATACATTCTGCAGATAGGTTTTGCAACGTTTTCAAAGTGAATTAACTTTCAGAAGTACATTTTCACTTAAATCTGATTTACTTATCATTTTAAACGATGGTAAACAAATTCACTAGGCCAACCATATGCACCCTAAAGCGCATGCGCTGATTTGCTGAACCCCGCATTAAGGGAAATTGCATATATTTGCAGCTTATATACCATGAGTATAACCATCAGGCTCTTTTCACATTACCGTCAAACTCTTTGAAACAATTAACAACATTTTCATGCTTCTCGATGATGGAATAATGAAGAGGTGTTTTGCCATGACACTCGATCACAAGTCCACGGAGATTTTCCTCATACAAATCATGCTCTAGTATAATCTGCTCTATTTCTGAATCGGAGAACGCCTTCCGTGGCTCAAGAATGACGTCACAGTTGCTCGCTGATGCATTAATGGCCTCTAAATGAAATAAGGGTTGAAATAAACTTCGGAACTATACGGCCAAAGGTCATCTCGTCTCATCTGATCTTTCATCATCTTTTACAGATTTGATCTTTTCACAAATTGTTCTTTCATAGATTCAACAGTGACCATTTTGTACAGACCTAGAACTGCTTTAGTAGTCAAAAACCTTAATGAAACTACCTTTGTTTATAATGGACTTATACAAGTCTACACTATTTTCTATTATAGATCTATTTTCGATCCAATTACAAAAGAAACATTTCATGCTGATGAAAACGAGCCCATAAAAGAACAATTATCAGGTAAGTGCTGTTGAAAGACAATACACATACTCTGCTCGTCAGTAGAAGTCATTTCAAATGGATTTTTATCTCCTCTTGCAACAGCTGTGGCTGCCGATGCAGCGCGGATGTCGTCAATGAAAGGGTTGCTCAGGTCTGATGGACTTAACGACGATATATCGTCGTTTAAAAACGGATTACTGATGCCTGCAAAGAAGATGAGGAACAACTTGGATTACAGAGTCAAATTCGTGACGTCATCTAGTACGTGACATCACTCACTTCAAATGAAACAGCCTTGGACATACTAGCTATAAAAGCATAAATAGCAACAAAACAACAATGCCCAGTTATCTCACCTAAATCAGCTTCGAACGAGTCATTTGGAGGAGCTCCATTGACAGAATCTGTATTGACGCTATTTGAATCACGTTTACTACTCCTCTTCTCTTTACCTTCGGCTGCATGGATGGATTGTATTTTCTCAATCTCCAAATCCGTTGCTATAGCAATGGCTTTGCGTCTCGCTTCAGCGCGTGCATCCAACCGATATTTCCTACGCTGCGATGACTTTTGTCTAAGTTCATCGGTTTCAATTGTTTGAATGTTGGGATTGGAACCACTGGAAAAGCAAAGTAAAAATTGCGTACACAAAATAAAAAGCTATAACGCCCATTTTGATTGGTTGAAACTTGAAAACGGTGTTTTGATAGGACCATTCAAGCACTAAACTCTCCGTAAACAATCTCGACACGGATGCCTTTAAAGGCAGTTGTTTAACAATACAGTCAAAAAAATATCAAAAGAAATCATATCGCTCTTTGTTAATCCCGTCCTCCCTCCAAAAGCATTACTTACCATTGCAATAACTTTGACACCAAGTCGATTAAACCAGTGGAACACGCACTATGAAGTGGACTTTCACCAACATTGTTTGTTACGTTTGGTTCAGCACCGTGACTGGCCAGAAATAATCCAGCTTTTTGCCTTGATTGCTTGGCAGCCTGATGCAAAAGTGAATCACCTAGAAGTAAAAGATACACATTACGTTGGATGCTTGATACAGACAAACTTACATTGTCGATTACATTAAAATTAACACTCGTTAGTTTTACATATACGTAGTTACACCCGTTAGCTTATATTCTACATGCAAAGTATTAGCTTAGCAGCACATTTTATACTGTAAACTACATAGAATGATCGGCAAAGCAGTTATAAAAAATGAAATTCATAGAAATCTCAACGGTCAACCAATAGCACGAAGAATTGTTTCATGTCACATATGATGGTGCTAAAATATGGAACATTATTCCAAATGATATTGGAGAAAGCAAATCGCTGTGCCATATTTTCAAAAGGAAATTGCTGCTCACGTGGTTAGTAATAGACACATATTTCGTTTTTTGTAACTTCTTTACTAATTGTTGTATCTAGATTATAGTATAACCTGTAACAAATATAGTATTAATGCATAGTGGCTAAGCCAGTCCACGCATTTCGTCCTGCATTTCAAATTTTTCTGTGTTCACTCACTGCAATAACAATGGTAAGGATAAAGTTCTGAAATTTCCATATAGCAGGACAAAAACTTGTGAGCGGGCGGGCTTGGCAACCAAGAGTATGCGTATGGTGTTAAGAAAAAGTCAACTAAACTTAACATTTATCCTAAAATCGATTAGTGTAGGCGACTTTTTACTGATTTACAACTCTGTAAAACTGTGCACACAGCAAACCAAATTCATCATATGAATGTTTAGACGTAACTATTTTCAAAGAATACTCTAGTGAGAGAAGCTTGAAATTTCAAACAAAAAAATATGGAATGATTTTGATTGTAGATTTAAAGACAGTAGCTTTTTGTAAATGATATATAATTATCTTAATTTTAAATTTAAATGTAAATATAGAATAACTATACTTTAAAATACCATTTTTACTTATATAAGCTTGTAAATAGATTCAAAAAGCCGGCCCGTTTGAAGAAGATCTCATTGCATAATAATACGAATAAAATGCATTAACACCACAAACCGGTTGTTCCATCAACACAATCACAAGAGGCACCAGCTTCGTGAAGTCTGGCAGGAACGGACTCAGTGTCGTCGGCATCAAATTTATTATCGGCGATTGTCAACGACAACCATAATGGCGTTCGACCTTTATCGTCTTTTTTTTCTAAATTTAAACTAGAAACATAAAGAGGTAAAGAAAGAAAAACCAATTTAGAAATATCAACATCGTAAACTGTACTCGAATGGTGTCACAAACTCTCTCTACCTAATCATGTTTCATTCAATAGCAGAGCATATGGCAACTTGCTTATAATTATATTGTACTTATTACATGCGATACACAGTTTGCAAGAAATTCACTTACTTTTTCTGTTCCAAAAGAAGACTTAGAATTTCCTCGTTCTCTGACAATATTGCTTGGTGTAAAGGCGTACTTTAATAAACACAATAAAACCTTGGATGTTAGTAAAATATACACAATGTTAAGGTTTTCTGATTACCAAACTGCCTCACCATCCGTTGATATCTTGCATATTGGGATCAGCAAATGAAGATAATAGCAGTTGAGCAACTCGTCTCATTCCCTCCGCGGACGTCCTGCTGGATGCATCGATCGCTTTGTCGTGATTGACCGACCACGCTCTAAAATACACATTATATTTTATTCGTGTGCCAGGTGAAAGGAAACAAAATTTATTTTATTTCATCTAAAAATACATCTGAGCAAGTCATGCTTTCAAGTAGATAATTCATCAACCCACAAGTGAACTAAAAGACGTTTGAGAGCGGTCAAAACCCTTCACCACTAACTTATATGACGCGGCCAAGTGTAATGGTGCTATCTTGTCTGACATAGTCACAGCATTGACATTCGCTCCATTTTTTATCAGAAATGTAGACGCGAATTCGTCACCGCGTTTGATTGCCTTATGAAGCAAACAATAGCCAGCCGTGTCGGGAACATTGACGTCACAACCATTGCTGACGAGCTGTCTAGCAATACTTTCTTGTTGCTCCTGTAGGGCTATATCCAGAGGAACACCACCAATGGATGGGTCGAATTCATCTAATATTTGAGGAAGCTAAAACAGTTACAGAAACGTTTCATCGTTGATGAAGTATTCAGTTTCGCAAATTTTTCATCTGGAGGAAATTGTATATTTCTCCAAAAAGGAAGCCAAACTCTATAGTCTATAGATACTGCAAACTACTAATTACCGTCTTTACGAGAGTTGCAGAAAAGTGTAACTAGCGAGGAATCTTAAACCTAGATTACTCTCAGATTCACGATTATTTTAAACTAGATTACTCTAACCTGCACAATTATTTTAAACTAGATTACTCTAACCTGCACAATTATTTTAAACTAGATTACTCTAACCTGCACAATTATTTTAAACTAGATTACTCTAACCTGCACAATTATTTTAAACTAGATTACTCTAACCTGCACAATTATTTTAAACTAGATTACTCTAACCTGCACAATTATTTTAAACTAGATTACTCTAACCTGCACAATTATTTTAAACCTAGATTACTCTAACCTGCACAATTATTTTAAACTAGATTACTCTAACCAGCACAATTATTTTAAACTAGATTACTCTAACCTGCACAATTATTTTAAACTAGATTACTCTAACCTGCACAATTATTTAAACTAGATTACTCTAACCTGCACAATTATTTTAAACCTAGATTACTCTAACCTGCACAATTATTTTAAACTAGATTACTCTAACCTGCACAATTATTTTAAACTAGATTACTCTAACCTGCACAATTATTTTAAACTAGATTACTCTAACCTGCACAATTATTTTAAACTAGATTACTCTAACCTGCACAATTATTTTAAACTAGATTACTCTAACCTGTACAATTATTTTAAACTAGATTACTCTAACCTGCACAATTATTTTAAACTAGATTACTCTAACCTGCACAATTATTTTAAACTAGATTACTCTAACCTACACAATTATTTAAAACTAGATTACTCTAACCTGCACAATTATTTTAAACTAGATTACTCTAACCTGCACAATTATTTTAAACTAGATTACTCTAACCTGCACAATTATTTTAAACTAGATTACTCTAACCTGCACAATCATTTTAAACTAGATTACTCTAAGCTTAACCATTATATTACACTAGATTACTCTCAACTTCACAATTATTTTAAACTAGAATAATCTAAACTGCACGGTTATTTTAAACTAGATTATTGTGAACTGCACTTTAATGCCTATTTCAATAAAAAAAATGTCTGAGCTAAATGACTGTAATTGTAAGCGTCAGTAGTTTACCTTGGAATTAAACTCAATAAGAAACAAAAATACAACATCCTCTCTATGGTGTTTGACAGCTAGATGTAGAGGAAATGATGACTTCTTCTTAAACATTTGATAAAGAAGTGAAGCAGACATGTTGGCAAAATCTTTTGTCTTCAAATCCGACTGAAAAAAGATAGCTCAAATAAGTCATTTGACAAAAATGTTTCATGATCATTCAAAGGGTCAGTTTTTATTATTAAGAATAGAAGTAAAATAATCTTAAGGAATGGCAATAATGATTTTTTTGAGAGGCTCAACCCTCCTAACTTCAGGTAAATGTTTTCTTTTCTGATTTTCAATAATGCCCCATACCCAATGATTTGTGATTATTTCTTCACAGTATTTTCTCAGTTCAATCGCACCAATATCCTCGGCAGTCTGATAAAACTTGATGCAATTTGAGACGGATACAGATGACATAAGCATTCTCTCACATCTAGACAAAATAAAACCTATTTAACATGACATTACTGAGGTGAACAGACGTTATTTGCTGTAATTCAACTTTCACCATGGACAAAATGCATGTAAATTGTAAGCTGTGTATTGACAGCATAAGCATAACTGAATAATACAATTTTCAAGGTCATAGCATACCTTCCTCGAAGATCAGTCAGCTTATACGTATTTGCAGCTTTCACAAGATTGACAAGGAAATTCTCTTCATTTTTTATTTCTGCTTTATCTGTGTAAACCCATCTCATTAAGGTGAGACCAACTTCAGCATTGATGTCTGCAAAACAACATAAACAGTAATTGAAGACAATGCGGTCATCCTCAATACAAGCGATTGCTACAATTGGTCTATTGTTGATAATTTATTATGAAGAAAGTTAGCCAATGTTGTCACTTAGACCATAGGGGTAAGGTAAGCCCATAGGGCAAAGGTTAGCCCAATTACACAGGTCTCACTTACTTAATGGAGTTTTTCAAAGGGTGATTTGTTACTTAATGGAGTTTTTCAAAGGGTGATTTGGTATTGCTCCTATAAATATCAATTCGCCTCATGTATAGAACATAAACATGTTTTAATTAAGCTATATTAAATTGCAATTACCGTATATACTCGCATAAAAGCCGATCTTGCATATAAGCCGACCCTCTAAACCTGCTTTAAAATGGCCAGTTTTTGATAAAACCCGCATACAGGCCGGCACTCAACTTATCTAGTTTTACTCCATATTTTTGGTTCATAGAAATTTGTTACTGTAAAGATGTAAAATGCTTACTTTTATGTTACATACTAAAAGAAATAGAAGAAATTATCAAACTTCCGCACACTTTTAAATTCTGTGGCCGCGTGCTCACGTTTGCCCCATTGGTTTGCTGGTCTTCCATAAGTCAGGTGACCCTGTCCCCCTTCCCATGCACTGCCTACCAATTGGCTGCCTCTGATGTCCCTCTTTGACTGCCTCTGTTTGAGCATATTATTTCTAAGAAATCAAACCGTGTACTAATGACGTCTAGCTCTAGCTTGGTTACGGCCTGCCACTTGTGACACACAATGAAATAATGAGTCAGATAGCGATAAAAATGTGTTGCTGGAAAATTGGCATTAGTATCTGTCCTTGTGTTCATTTTGTTTTATGCACATATAAGCCGACCCCTGATTTCAGCATTGAATTTTATACTTCTAAACTCGTCTTATATGCAAGTATATGGTATCGATCAAACTGCTCAAATAATGCACTTACCTTTTAATTCCAACTCACTAAGTTCATTGAGATCACGGTTGCTCCAATAATCGCTTCTTGCTGCCAAGATAAACTTGTGGGCACTTAATCTTTGATCTGCAAACTTGACTGTGATATCACTAAAAATATTACAGTTACATGTGGCATAAATATTTCAAGAAAAACACCACTCAGTTTTACCTATAGAGTTCTTTGTCAAATAGCTCAGCCACACTTTTTAAAAGTCTTGCAACAAAACTATCCTTTTCAAAATCCCCGCCGCCACTTTCGACAAGAAGCAAGTTGTATTTTTGCTCCAGCTCGACAAATCTATTTTGTAGCTTCACATACTCCTGACGAAGCAAGCTCAGATGATTTTGAGCTTTTTGTAATTCAACTACAAAAAAATCATACATTTTAACTTTTCAGTTTTTGTGCCTGTCTGCAGGGAATCTACCAACACCTTTGCTATGGGTTTTTAGCTTAATCAACATAGAACAGACTACGTACAAAGTTTTCAAACAATTTTCAAGCAGTAGTACGGTAGTTTATGATGAAGGACTTTGCTATTCTGTCTAGCAGAGAACGTATTAAATACTAAGTATTGTATATATTAAAATTACAACACAGTAATTTTAGGTAAAAGCTACCTATAGGCTATAGCAGCGATAGCTTTAACGTTCTCATGGTCTTTAGTACGATAAATAAAAATATGCGAGTGAATCAGCATCGAATAGGCATAAAAAAACACCATAAGAAATTAAACCACTCAGTAGAAAATTTTATTAAACGGTAAATAACAAGACTTGGTTACCATTTACTCAAGAACGCATATCAGATCAGATCGTTTCCGATGTAAACAATGCGAAAGTGAAGTGAGGTATTGCAGATTATTTGCAAAGATAAAGACTAAAATCGCACGAAATCAAGCAAAACTTTACACTCGCACAAACCACATTGTTCTATTGGGCATTCTCGCAGAAATATGGATTCATGAGCTATATAAATGAAGCGAATTTTTTCCACCTACCTTCGTTCGCCATGTTTCAGAAGGAGAGTGTAAGAAATTGCGCATGTCTGTAACGAATGCATGAACACTGGACTCAAAGTTCAAATTGTTCTAATTAATGAATATTATAAACTCTCGGAATTCTTGTTAAATACCGTGCAGTATTATAGAGCATGGAAGTAAATAAAGCAAACCCACTAGACAAGTTAAAATTTACATGTACATTTGTATAAAGATTATTGCTGTACATTTAATGTTTATAAGCCTTCGTTTGTTTTTGTTCTGACCGATTGTATTTCAAATTCTTTAACTTTAGTCCAAATTGTTGCACCCCAAACTCTGTGTAGGTGTTGAAATTTTGATTTCACATTTTCTTCAACATTACTTAAGTCATCAGAAAAGCCTCTCCTGGAATTGCTCAATGATCCACGATGATCCTTTTTTGTACCTAAAATGCTTCCTGGTTTGCTTTTATAGCGTTCAGATTTCACTCGTCTGTGGATTGAGCTTACCTTTAACTTATCAGAGAGGGTATTTATCTCAACTTTCTTATCAAAGTACTTGTTTTCATCAGTTTCCGAGAAGTCAATGATACTGTTGTCTTGTATCTCTTCATTATTTCGAAGTTCTGAAAATGATGGAGAAGTAAAAGAACTTCTAAACTCCCTCCCTGGCTGAGGCTCCCAAAGAAAATTAGTTTGATCTGACAAACTTGAAAAATCATTGATTTCACCAGGTGGGCTTGTCGACAAACTCCATCGATTCCAACTATTGTTGCTAGTCGGTCTTGGCCTTCGTCTTGATGGAAGGGTTTTGTAAAACATCTTCGGTCGTGAATACACAGGAGGATTTGCTAAAAACCCATCTGCTTCGTCCAGTTCTTTAGATAATGAATTTGTGTCCTTTGGTAACTCAGTGTCTGATTCAGAATCAGACAAAGCATCAGGCGTCATTCTTGATTCTTTGTCTTGTAGCCCTTTCAGCTGACAGTCCAAGTCTGTCACCAATGTTTTCAAGTAAATATACTTTGCATGTATCAACTTTGTCATCCACTCGTTCATGCTCTCCTCGCTTTCCGCTGAGAGTACGTATGTACGCGTTCCAATACCATCGAAAAGAATTTGAAAAGCAAATGGCGATACCTCGTTCGTACACAATTCAATTCGACAATTCTCGACGATTATTACGCCAACTGGTTCTCTGTCGTGCTCTTTTTCGAAATAAAACAATAGGTTCCCACGTAACACAAAATATCGTCTTTGAAAACCCTTGTTTAACTCTCCTTTTTTTAATAGAAATCCCTCCTGATCCCCTTTACTGTGATCCGTTGCTAATCTCAACAATGATCTTTCGTTTAATTTCATCGCGCCTGCAGTGACAGCCACTTACAAAACATGTAAATGCACTCCAATTTTTTTGACAGATTTCTTTCACGTTGCCTAAACAAATTCGATTTTTCACCTATGATGTTATATGCCGTAATAACTAAACCCTTCCGCCTACAGTCTTAGCTCACTGGGAGGCCATTTTGATTATAAACACTTCAGTAAAGTATGAGGTCAGTCCAATATCGTCGTCGTTCAACGTCATAGATCAGTAACACTTACGGTCATCATCCCCAAACTTTTCTAAACTTTACAACTTCCTTCTTTCCAAAGGGAGATGACGATGACAAACCCTAAGCAATAATTTAGGTTTCTTTTGGCAAAGGCTTGATGGCTTTTAATAATTATTCGGACAGACTGTTTCTTCTTCAAAGCAACGCCACAGAGGAAAAATTAAAATTTTAAAAATATGTAGAGCTTCTAAAAAGTTCTTCTAGCTCTAAAAAGTTGTTGGTTGTTCCTTCATCACGGACCAAGGGATATGGTGACAGGGCCTTCTCTGCATGTGGACCCAAATTATGGAACAATCTGCCTGAATCATTGCGACACGAAACTAAACTGGAATCTTTTAAAAAGAACCTAAAGACCTATTTGTTTTCAATTTATTCAATTATTTATTTTCCTATTTTCTTATTTTCGTTGGTTCTGTGTATATTTTTAATTAGTGTATTTTTTATTATATTGCGGATTGAATGTGAAGCGCCACTGAACTTTTGGATTTTGGCGCCATACAAATTATTTATTATTATTATTATTATTATTATTAAAATTTCGGGAAACGTAAACTATTTTTGAAAGTGCCCATCGTAAAACTAATTTTGTAAATTTTCGGTTAATGTGTTTTCCTTATAAATATCTCCAGTGAGAATGACTGAGCTTTTATAATACAAAAACGGCAAATTCTGGCTATATCTTGCATGTAACTTCCGTCTAGGATATTTGTTTTATGAAAAAAGCATATTACGATTGATGAATGAGCTCAATAAAACCATAAACAATGCAAGTGTATTCCAGTAAACGTCCCCTCGCTGTAAAAGTTTCAAACCTATAATCCTTTCAAAAGCTTCCAAATGAAAAGATTTTGATAAGGTGGCTTTCTTCATCCAACGTATATTGCAGATAAATCTGCGTCTGCAATCAATAGCATCAGTGGTATATATCACGCCTCACTACGTCTTAAACTAAATGAAGTGTGATGATTGAGTCATTTGAGTGTGACTCATAACGTCATATGACTCACATATTGCTTTCTTCAACGAAACAATGAAGTATCTTCAATTCACTATTCTCTGTCTTGTCCTCACTAAGCTTGTAAATGCAAAGGATGAATTGTACACCAGTGTCATATTGGATGAAAACACAGGCGATCTTTCAATTAAGGAGGAACTACTTGCAGACGCAGTGTCGTGGGGAGTATTTTCAAACGAAGTGAATAAAACAGGGTGGGTTGGGATTTAGTTCACCAAATGTTTTAAAAAGTTCCATCGACGAGTTGTTCATCTATTGAAGACATCAGTTATGTATTTCACATTGTAAATAGTTTTGACGCAAGTCGCACGAGCCATAAAATTGTCATCACTGCTTAGTGCATGACAATCACGCCATTTTGAAAAAAAGTATATAATTTTTAATGGCTAGTCCACCAAATGCTGCTGGAATATTCAACGACAATGTTTTACGCAACAATCAGAATAAATCGTATACGCAACAAATACCAATTGCATCTTCACCAGAGGGTTGCCCTTTCCTACAATTTTTTTTGCACATTTCTTTTCATAACTTATCAAAATAAAGCGGTTTCCTTTGCCTGTAAATCAATAGTAATGTTTAATGTCAAAGGCTCAGTTGTTTGAAAGTATTGTAAGAAAAATCTACATCATAACCTTGGTCAAACGAAATTTGATCCTTTAGTAATCAATCCCAGCACATACAAACATCAACCAAGCTGACATATCAGACATACAAAATTCTTAATATTTATCACAATTTGCAAAAGGCCTGTTTTAAAATTTTCAAGTTTTGTTCATCATGAAAAGCAAAATTCTTGCACCGTTAAAATGAAATTACTTGCTCATGAAACATGACATATGTACGATTTCATCCATAACAGTTTTCACATCACTAATATCCATTATATATATATAGATGGTCAAATCTTGAGATCCACACGTCCAGCAAATTTCCCGACGAGATCCAATCTGTTGCCGCAGGAATGGTAGAAGGATTTTTGACGGCAGATTTTATTTTAATGTCTTGGCAGAGCGGTCTCGCAAGCTTCTGCAAGAACAACAAAAAGACGTGCAAAAAACTGAAAAAGTACCTGCAGGAAAATTCAGCATTTGTCACCTCACAAATCAAATCAAAACCTAACGATCCTTACTGGTACCAAGTAAGAAGAAAAAATATCTTAACTCTATATTAAAGGTTTATTTAAAAAGAATTGTTTTGTTTCTGCCTTCATAGGTAAAATTACTTTACGAACAACTCTATGGTTTGAAACGTGGTTACGCTGCGACTGAAACTGGAAAGAGAGACCCATTGACAACTTTTGATTTCCGGTTTGTAATCATCTCACTTGATATCGACTATAAAATCCACTATAAACAAACACAGAAATAAAATAGTCATTTGTATGACGAAAACCGATGAATAAACAATAAAAAATAACAAGACAAGGACAGCACTTTCATTATATTTTGCTATCGATTAAAAACAAAAAGCCGTTTATTTATATTGATTTTTACTTAAAGACTAATGCAACTGGGAGGTCTGTACGATCTAGTAAGCGCCTTCTCGCAAGGAGCAAGAACACATCACGTGGTCGGTAGCGGTTCCTGTTCTGCTTTGATCAAACTTCTTCCAAATAACAGGGACATCTTCATCTCTCAGGTCACTTGGAGTGATTACTCGTCCATGCTACGAGTGTATAAACTATATGATTTACAATTAGTGAACAATAGTAATTCAGGTAAGATCATCAAATGATGTACACGATCTATCGTTATCCTAAAAATAACACTGTTACTCCTTATGTTCCAGCTCTTCATGTTGCTGCACAACAGCACAGTTTTTCTTCTTATCCTGGAACCCTTTACAGTGGAGATGACTTCTACATGCTTAGCAGTGGATTGGTATTGAAAAACTGTTTATAGAAATCAGCATCTTTTGTTTTTGTTACTTCTTATAATATATTAACTTATTGTCAAGAAAGACAAATTCTTTGAAATATTATCAAAACGACAGTAAACATGTCAGTTTTGTTCAGCTACGTCTTAAAAACGACGTCATTGTCTAACAGTATTTACAATTTTACGAGCAGATAACGCAAGAGACAACCATTGATAACTACAACAAAGATCTTTGGCAATATGTCAACGGGAACACGGTTATGGAATGGGCACGAACAGTTGTAGCCAATAGGCTGGCAAGAAATGGTCAAGAATGGGTATCGATATTTTCAAAACACAATAGTGGAACGTAAGTTGGTGACATTCGCAACAAAGAATTAAAGATGAAGCATTTTTATAACTAACTTTTGTTTTGTCTTTACTTCCTTTCAACTTAGCTACAACAATGAAGTAAGTGAACTAGATTTTAAAAAAACAAAAATAATTCAGTTACTTGATAAAAGACCGTTGTTTTACTAGTTTTATATTCATATTTATTAGTGGATGGTACTGGATTACAAACTGTTCACACCAGGACAGCCTGTGGTACCAGGAACACTTTGGGTTTTGGAACAAATGCCAGGGATAGTGGAGATGGCTGATTTGTCAGTGATCTTAAAGGAAAATGGATATTGGGCAAGCTATAATTTACCGTGAGTTGATGAGTTTTATATAAATGCATTGAAGTGGTGGGTGAATAGAGAATATTTTAAAATATACACCCTCATTTTCCACTATAGAAATTCTTAGCACATTATACATACTGTCTGCATGTTTATAGATATTTCAAGACAATCTTTGACATAAGCAAAACTAATACTTTTGTGGCGAAGTATGGAACTTTTTTCGACTACAATCTTGCTCCTCGAGCACAGATATTTAGACGCGATCAAGGCAAGGTTGTAGATTTAGAAAGCATGATGAAAATGATGAGGTAAGGGCATTGATCGTATAAGGCTGATAGATACTTAGTATGAAACTCGTGTTCACCATTTGCATTAATACGACATCTTTGAGACATCATACTCTTCAACGAGTAAATATTTAAAGTGGCATACATAAGTCGAATTTCTACAAAGTATGAGTTTTGAGTCTGTTGTACCTGGATAATTTGTTCCTCTAGGTACAATGATTTCAAAAACGATCCTTTGTCGAAGTGTAACTGCACGCCACCCTACAGTGCAGAGAATGCAATTTCAGCAAGAAGTGATCTTAATCCTGCCTCGGGAGTTTATCCAATTGGTTCTCTTGGGCATAGACGCCACGGTGGAACTGACGCAAAGGCGAGTATCATCATTTTTACTAAAGTGCTCTGCAAACGTTTGGCATAGAACAAACAACATTTTGCATGACAAAAAGCTAACTCATGCACTTTTACTTTCTACTATTAGAAGCGATTCTAACTTTCTACATACTTATAACAGATAACAAGTTATGAATTGTTCAAGAATTTTACGGTATATGCAGTCAGCGGACCAACATACGATCAACAGCCTGTATTCAAGTGGTCAACTTCAGGATGGAAGCGACCTCTTGGTCACCCAGACAAATGGGACTTTGATCCAGTAATGATTACGTGGGGTAAAAGCGATACATTGCGCAACTTTCAAAGAAGTCTCCGTGATACAAAGGAATAACAGTTACGATAATCAAATATAATATATAATAAATACAATCATCACTGGTTTTTATAAGAAATATTATCTCCACTGCAATCTGCTAACATGGCTAGTATATAATATGCTACTTAAACGCTTTTCAAAATGCGTTTGAATGCGAAATCTCAGGTGCTCTTTTAAATGTTGTAAAGAGGACAATACTCAGATAATTTTCATAATTTAATATTGGTTAAATTCCTGCAGATTGTGTGTTCCAGCTTCTATATACCACCTACTGTTACATTAATTAGAACGGTCAGGTTACATTATTAAAGTGGCGTCGCTCATTGCACTCTCTCTACTCTTCGACGTAACAATGAAGTTTCTTCAATTCACAATTTTCTGTCTTGTCCTCACTAAGCTTGTAAATGCAAATGGCAAATTGTACACCAGTGTCATATTGGATGAAAACACAGGCGATCTTTCAATTAAAGAGGAACTACTTGCAGACGCAGTGTCGTGGGGAGTATTTTCAAACGAAGTGAATAAAACAGGGTGGGTTGGGATTTAGTTCACCAAATGTTTTAAAAAGTTCCATCGACGAGTTGTTTATCTATTGAAAACATCAGTTATGTATTTCACATTGTAAATAGTTTTGACGCAAGTCGCACGAGCTATAAAATTGTCATCACAGCTTAGTGCTTGACATTACTAGATGAATCTACATTATCAGCATAATTTTCCTCACAAGCTATATGACGATCACGCCATTTTGAAAAAAAGTATGTAATTTTTAATGGCTAGTCCACCAAATGCTGCTGGAATATTCAACGACAATGTTTTACGCAATAATAAGAATAAATCGTATACGCAACAAATAACAATTGCATCTTCACCAGAGGGTTGCCGTTTCCTACAATTTTTTTTGCACATTTCTTTTCATAACTTATCAAAATAAAGCGGTTTCCTTTGCCTGTAAATCAATAGTAATGTTTAATGTCAAAGGCTCAGTTGTTTGAAAGTATTGTAAGAAAAATCTACATCATAACCTTGGTCAAACGAAATTTGATCCTTTAGTAATCAATCCCAGCACATACAAACATCAACCGAGCTGACATATTAGACATACAAAATTCTTAATATTTATTGCAATTTGCAAAAGGCCTGTTTTAACATTTTCAAGTTTTGTTCATCATGAAAAGCAAAAATTCTTGCACCGTTAAAATGAAATTACTTACTCATGAAACATGACATATGTACGATTTCATTCATAACAGTTTTCACATCACTAATATCCATTATATATATAGATGGTCAAATCTTGAGATCCACACGTCCAGCAAATTTCCCGACGAGATCCAATCTGTTGCCGCAGGAATGGTAGAAGGATTTTTGACGGCAGATTTTATTTTAATGTCTTGGCAAAGCGGTCTCGCAAGCTTCTGCAAGAACAACAAAAAGACGTGCAAAAAACTGACAAAGTACCTGGAGGAAAATTCAGCATTTGTCACCTCACAAATCAAATCAAAACCTAACGATCCTTACTGGTACCAAGTAAGAAGAAAAAATATCTTAACTCTATATTAAAGGTTCATTTAAAAAGAATTGCTTTGTTTTTACCTTCACAGGTAAAATTACTTTACGAACAACTCTATGGTTTGAAACGTGGTTACGCTGCAACTGAAACTGGAAAGAGAGACCCATTGACAACTTTTGATTTCCGGTTTGTAATCATCTCACTTGATATCGACTATAATATCCACTATAAGTAAACACAGAAATAAAATGGTCATTAGTATGACAAAAACCGATGAATAAACAATAAAAAATAACAAGACAAGGACAACACTTTCATTATATTTTGCTATCGATTGAAAACAAAAAGCCGCTTATTTATATTGATTTTTACTTAAAGACTAATGCAACTGGGAGGTCTGTACGATCTAGTAAACGCCTTCTCGCAAGGAGCAATAACACATCCCGTGGTCGGTAGCGGTTCCTGTTCTGCTTTGATCAAACTTCTTCCAAATAACAGGGACATCTTCATCTCTCAGGTCACGTGGAGTGATTACTCGTCCATGCTACGAGTGTATAAACTATATGATTTACAATTAGTGAACAATAGTAATTCAGGTAAGATCATCAAATGATGTACACGATCTATCGTTATCCTAAAAATAACACTGTTACTCCTTATGTTCCAGCTCTTCATGTTGCTGCACAACAGCACAGTTTTTCTTCTTATCCTGGAAGACTTTACAGCGGAGATGACTTCTACATGCTTAGCAGTGGATTGGTATTGAAAACTGTTTATAGAAATCAGCATCTTTTGTTTTTGTTACTTCTTATAATATATTAACTTATTGTCAAGAAAGACAAATTCTTTGAAATATTATCAAAACGACAGTAAACATGTCAGTTTTGTTTAGCTACGTCTTAAAAACGACGTCTTTCTCTAACAGTATTTACAATTTTACGAGCAGATAACGCAAGAGACAACCATTGATAACTACAACAAAGATCTTTGGCAATATGTCAACGGGAACACGGTTATGGAATGGGCACGAACAGTTGTAGCCAATAGGCTGGCAAGAAATGGTCAAGAATGGGTATCGATATTTTCAAAACACAATAGTGGAACGTAAGTTGGTGACATTCGCAACAAAGAATTAAAGATGAAGCATTTTTATAACTAACTTTTGTTTTGTCTTTACTTCCTTTCAACTTAGCTACAACAATGAAGTAAGTGAACTAGATTTTAAAAAAACAAAAATAATTCAGTTACTTGATAAAAGACCGTTGTTTTGCTAATTTTATATTCATATTTATTAGTGGATGGTACTGGATTACAAATTGTTCACACCAGGACAACCTGTGGTACCAGGAACACTTTGGGTTTTGGAACAAATGCCAGGGATAGTGGAAATGGCCGACTTGTCAGTGATCTTAAAAGAAAACGGATATTGGGCAAGCTATAATTTACCGTGAGTTGATGAGTTTTATATAAATGCATTGAAGAAGGAAACTGGTGGGTGAATAGAAAGTTGGTTGTTTTTGTGAAGATGACGTGATAAATGCATTTCATATACAAAGCGTTATTGCTATTTAGACATTTCCTCCAATGGATGATCATGAAATGATCTTCATTATAACACATCACAGTTCAGACATCGAATACGTTATATAATATTGAGTGGTTACTGCTTTTTTAGATACTTCAAGACTATCTTTGACATAAGCAAAACTGATACTTTAGTGGAAAAATATGGGACGTATTTTGACTACAATCTTGCTCCTCGAGCACAGATATTTAGACGCGATCAAGGCAAGGTTGTAGATTTAGAAAGCATGATGAAAATGATGAGGTAAGGGCATTGATCGTATAAGGCTGATAGATACTTAGTATGAAACTCGTGTTCACCAATTGCATCAATACGACATTTTTAAGATATCATGCTCTCACAACGAGTAAATATTACATAAGTCGAATTTCTACAAAGTATGAATTTTGAGTCTGTTGTACCTGGATAATTTGTTCCTCTAGGTACAATGATTTCAAAAACGATCCTTTGTCGAAGTGTAACTGCACGCCACCCTACAGTGCAGATAATGCAATTTCAGCAAGAAGTGATCTTAATCCAGCCTCGGGAGTTTATCCAATTGGTGTTCTTGGACATAAACGCCACGGCGGAACTGACGCAAAGGCGAGTATCATCATTTTTACTAAAGTGCTCTGCAAACGTTTGGCAAAGAACAAACGACATTTTGCATGACAAAAAGCTAACTCACTTTTACTTTCTACTATTAGAAGCGATTCTAACTTTCTACATACTTATAACAGATAACAAGTTATGAATTGTTCAAGAATTTTACGGTATATGCAGTCAGCGGACCAACATACGATCAACAGCCTGTATTCAAGTGGTCAACTTCAGGATGGAAGCGACCTCTTGGTCACCCAGACAAATGGGACTTTGATCCAGTAATGATTACGTGGGGTAAAAGCGATACATTGCGCAACTTTCAAAGAGGTTTCCTTGATACAAAGGCATAACAGTTACAATAAATAAATATAATATATAATAAATATAATCATCACTGGTTTTTATAAGAAATATTATCTCCACTGCAATCTTCTAACATGGCTAGTATATAATATGCTACTCATACCCTTTTCAAAATGCGTTTGAATGCGAAATCTCAGATGCTCTTTTAAATGTTGTAAAGAGGACAATACTCGGATAATTTTCATAATTTAATATTGGTTAAATTCCTGCAGATTGTGTGTTCCAGCTTCTATATACCACCTACTGTTACATTAATTAGAACGGTCAGGTTACATTATTAAAGTGGCGTCGCTCATTGCACTCTCTCTACTCTTCGACGTAACAATGAAGTTTTTTCAATTCACAATTTTCTGTCTCTTCCTCACTCAGCTTGTACATGCAAAGGATGAATTGTACACCAGTGTCATATTGGATGAAAACACGGGCGATCTTTCAATTAAAGTGGAACTACTTGTAGACGCAGTGGCGTGGGGAGTATTTTCCAACAAAGTCAATAAAACTGGGTAGGTAGGACAAAATTTAATTTAACAAATGTTTTGATGTGTTAAGTCGTCATTGACAACATCTGACACGTATTTCACATTGTAAGTTGTGTTTACTCAACAACCACGAACCAAAATATGTAAAAGCGTAGCGTCGCTTATCAGTAGACTGACTCATACGCGCATTTGAGGATATTCTTTTCCTACATCTGAAAAAATAACAACAAGCCACACTTGAGTTTCACATAAATAAACGCAAGAAGCAAAGATATGAATGGGCAAACGTCGATATAGATTCAACTCAATTAGCTACTTCCTAACGAAATTCAATAAAACATGGTTACTTTTTATTTGTCTGGAGAAAATCATATCAATTTGCAAACACAAATAATTTTGAAGAATGGCTGACAAAATGCTGTTTACACTTTGATTAAACTTAAAATAATCCTATGTTTTTATTCTGCGTATCAATTCATAAATCTTGGTTGCCGATTTGTCATTCGCGCATTGGTTTCAAATCGTCAATTAATTACAAAAATAACGAAGCAGAAAAGGTTTATTACATTGCACACCAAAAGTTATTCTATATTTCCAAATTGAACTTCCGACATCAACGATGCGAAATATTTGACCTTATAAACAGATTGTGGTAACTGTTTCGTATTTTTCCTTCACACAAATAGTTTTCTGGCTATTTCTCCTAAAATACACAATTGAAATGAAATAAGATTGTTAAATCTAACATACCAATTATACTTCGTAAGTCGTTTAACAATATGCAACAATTTACAAGAACTTGCAGAAATCTACAAAAACAAATAAAAATGTATAACAATTTACAATAATAAATGTAAAAATAAAGAATTTGACCATTATGTAATTTCACTTTTAGTCTCCCCATTAATTATTTGATTTTGTTAATGTTACATATGATTATCAATGTGTAAGAATATGCAACAACGTGCAAGAATTTGCAGGAATTTACAGAAAAAACAATATATATGACAATATTCAACAAGAAATAAGAAAACAGAATTTCATCAATACCTAAACAATTTCACTTTTTATCTGCATTTACAATTCAAAGATGGTCAAAACTTGAAGTCCACACGTCCAGCAAATTTCCAGACGAAATCCAGTCTTTAGCGGCGGGAATGGTGGAAGGTTATTTGACAGCAGATTTTATTCTAATGTCATGGAAGAACACCCTCGAAAGCTACTGTAAAAACAAAAAAAAGATGTGCAAAAAACTTTCAAAGTTTCTTCACAAAAATTCAGCATTTCTCTCATCGCAAATCAAATCAAAACCCAATGATCCTTACTGGTACCAAGTAAGAGAAAAATAAATTTAGTTTTACACAGAATCCACGTCTAGGTTTCAACATCTGTTTTTTTTTCTTTACAGGTAAAACTACTTTACGAACAACTCAAAGGTTTAAAACGTGGTTACGCTGCGACTGCAACCGGAAAGAGAAACCCATTGACAACTTTTGACTTCCGGTACGTAATTACGTTTGACTATGGATGACATGTAGCAATGGTATATATATTAAGCTGAAAAAGTTGTTTTCATTAATGTATACATTCGGCTTCTCATATTTAAGTATTGTTGATATCCTTCAGCTTGTTGACTACAAACTTTGACTTTATAATTGAGCAACAGAAACAACTAGCATGCATTTTTAAGAATGATCATGTAGCAAATGGTGTTCGAATCCAATTTCTTCTTCAAGACTTATGAACTTGGAAGGTCGAGGTGATATAGAACAAGTCTTGTTAAAAAGAACAAAAAATCATAACGTTGTTCGCCGTAGTTCCTGCTCTGCTTTGATCAAACTTCTTCCAAATAACAAGGACATCTTCATCTCCCAGGTCACGTGGAATGATTACTTTTCCATGCTACGAGTGTATAAACTATATGATTTACAATTAGTGAACAATAGTAATTCAGGTAAGATCAACAACAGATGTACATGATCCATCGTTATCCTAAGAATAACAATATTACACCTTATGTTTCAGCTCTTCATGTTGTTGCACAACATCACAGTTTTTCTTCTTATCCTGGATTACTATTTAGTGTAGACGACTTTTATATGCTTGGCAGTGGTTTGGTAATGATTTTCACTATTTGATTTTTTCACACGAAAATATGTCTGTCATCCAATGTTTTTTATCTTGTCGACTGAATACATCTTCATAGGAAGCGAACAATGCATGAACAACTTATGTTAAAATTGAAACGTATGAGCGAACTTTGTCAGTTCTTCTTTGACTGTATTTTTGATTTTACGACCAGATAACACAAGAGACAACCATTGATAATTACAACAAAGACCTTTGGCAATACATCAATGAGAACACGGTTATGGAATAGGCACGAACAGTTGTAGCCAATAGGCTGGCAAAAAATGGTCAAGAATGGGTATCGATATTTTCAAAACACAATAGTGGAACGTAAGTTGGTGACATTCATAAAAAAGAATTGAAGATGAAGCATTTTTATAACTAACTTTTGCGTTGTCTTCTTTTCCTTTCAACTTAGCTACAACAATGAAGTAAGTGAATTCGACTTTCGAAAACAAAGACCAATCTGTTACCTAAAGACGATCGTTCTGCTAATTTTATATTCATCTTTATTAGTGGATGGTACTAGATTACAAACTGTTCACACCAGGAGAGCCTGTGGTACCAGGAACACTTTGGGTTTTGGAACAAATGCCAGGGATAGTGGAAATGGCCGACTTGTCTGTGATCTTAAAAGAAAATGGATATTGGGCAAGCTATAATTTACCGTGAGTTGACGAGTCTTATATAAATGCATTGAAGAAAGAAGCTGGTGGGTGAATAGAAAGTTGGTTGTTTTTGTGAAAATGACGTGATTAACGCATTTCATATACAAAGCATTATTGCTTTTTAGACATTTCCTCCAATACAAGATCATAAAATGCTTTTCATTATAGCACATCACAGTTCAGACATCAAATACGTTATATAATATTGAGTGGTTTCTGCTTTTTTAGGTACTTCAAGACTATCTTTGACATAAGCAAAACTGATACTTTAGTGAAAAAATATGGAACTTTTTTCGACTACAATCTTGCTCCTCGAGCACAAATATTTAGACGCGATCAAGGCAAGGTTGTAGATTTAGAGAGCATGATGAAAATGATGAGGTAAGTGCATTGATTGTAAGATTCTTATCTACAATAATAAGGGAATTTTAAGATATTATGCAATTGAAGTGTAGATAATTACATAGAGCGGCAAGTACAATTCTAGTTCATACAAATTTTGTAAGTTGTAACTAACAATTATTTATCTTTTAAAGGTACAACAACTTCAAGAACGATCCTTTATCAAAGTGTAACTGCACACCTCCCTACAGTGCAATGAACGCCATTTCATCGAGGGGGGATCTAAACCCTGCTTCAGGGGTCTATCCATTCCAAGAGCTCGGACATGCCCGTCTTGGAGGAACAGATGCAAAGGCAAGTGAGAACGATCAATGCAAATTATTTTGATAAAGTGAAATTACTGATAACGACGAAATAGGACATTGCTATCGTCAGACAAGATGAAATTATGAAAGCTTTTTCTTATTATTTTCTTAAAATTCTGGATTTAAAATTATAAATTTTTCTCCACTTCGTCATCACAGATAACAAGTTTTGAATTGTTCAAGAATTTTACGGTATATGCAGTCAGCGGACCGACATACGATCAACAGCCTGTATTCAAGTGGTCAACTTCAGGATGGAAGCGACCTCTTGGTCACCCAGACAAATGGGACTTTGATCCAGTAATGATTACGTGGGGCAAAAGCGATACATTGCGCAACTTTCAAAGAACCAACTTATAAACGCATGATAATATACATATATTTCAGTGTTTTTTTGAGCCTAACGATGAAATTTGAAACCCGCCTAATAATACTCATTTGAATCAGATATCAACTTAAGAAAGCCTTGTCACCCACCAAATTAAATACACTAGGATTAAAAACACGTGAATGAATTTTGTCTTGTTGCGAGTCAATGAGGCACTATTGATCAAGGGGTTTGAATTTTTATGTTTTTGTTTATGGAACATCGAAATTTAAAATACAAATCAACTGCACTGAGTTTGAAGAATTCGTGAAATCGTAAGAGATTCGTAAGCATTGATTACCGTTTCTACACCGAGGTGTGACCGAATCATTCCGAAGACAATACAGACAATTAGAGGCAAAGTTCTCTGCCCATCATTAAACGATTGCACAAGTAAAAAAAATGATGAATTGGATAACTTTATCAGTTTTATGTATTTTCCTCGCACAAAATACACTAGGAAATGCAGAGAAAAAAGCCAGAGTCAACATGGATCTGATTACCGGCAAACTTCGCCTTGATCAAGGTTATCAAGTCGATGCTGTAGCTTGGGGAAGATTTTATAACAAAGTGAATGAGACTGGGTTGGTTTACAAATTACATATGTTGTTGAAATTATATAGAGTATTGTTTCACACAGTTTTGTCTTGAATATCTCCCGAAATTTGATCTGAAAATGTCTCAAAATGCCATAGCAATAATATAGAGACACGTAACTACATGCATTTCCTGCTAATTTCAAGATTCGCATCAAGACCATATGCTCATCGTGCGTTTGTTTCTCTTTATATGTTAATGATATCTAGGTTGTGAGTTAACACACGACGAAAATCATCTGATATTTTCTCAACTGTTTTGTGACAAAAGTTATTTAAAACTAACACAAACTGGGAAAAGTGAATTGTAATGATGACGCCGTTTATTGCAAAACGCAATACGTTGAATGCCATACGTTCATAGATATAGTAGGTCTAGATCAGGGGTCTCCAAACTTTACAGCGAGAGGGCCACATGAACTTTCATCCATCATGTTGAGGGCCGAAGAATATAAGAAGTTATCCTTCAGCTTTTTAAATTTCGCAGTGCGCTTGAAACGGAATTAGGAAGTTGGGAGAAAAATTGACGTAAGCCATTCTTGCTAGTTGGCTTGCGACATAACGTGAACTTTCTGCACAAAATTTATTTTGTTTAATAATATTATTATTTTTACTGAAGTGCCTCTGAGGGCCGGATTGAGAAGCCCAACGGGCCGCATCTGGCCCGCGGGCCGTAGTTTGGAGACCCCTGGTCTAGATCGCTAACGAATGTAACGTAATATAAGACTTATTAAGAATGCAGCGTGACATTCATGATAAATCCAAGATGGCGCGGGAACCGGGCAAAAAACTTTGGGCTAGTATGAGGCAATTGTTGTTTTTTGCAGTTTACTTCGTTTCAGTGTTTTCAAACTCCTCCAATCAAGTTTTATTGGAAACAAAGCGTTATTAAAAATGTTTTGAAGCCATATTAGACAATTGTTATTGGAATACAGGCGAAAATATCGCTTGCGAAGTGTTGTGTAAATTGGTCGTTTGGTTGTCTCGAGGCGTTTGTCTACCAAACTAAACGGATTTCGTCTGCTTTAGTTCCCATAATTGTTCGTCCACATTGAAATACATGATATTGAATACATACAAAAAGATGCGAAAATTAATCTTCATCGAAGGGCTTTATCTGCTGCTTTTACTACTTTTACCAATGAGGAGGATGGACTTGTAAGCTTGCCATAGGTCTTGAAAGATGTTAAGCTTGACAACAGAGCAGTTGGCAGTTGCTGGGGCTGTCATGTATTGAACAAAGAAATATCAGTAGTTTACTTATCTTTGTACGTAAGTGTCATAAAATGAACCAACTGAGCAGTATGATACAATTTTTGTCAGAAGTCATTAGTTGCATGTTAATAATGTGATGCAATTTAGACATTTGCAGTTATAAAATTGTATTGCCATTGGAAACAACTGGTATCATAGATGGTGTTGTAGCTATAGCATAATAAAAACATATACTATAACTAAGTATGATAAGCATAAAAGTCACATATGTTTTATTCACAGCTATATCTTATAATAATCTCAGTCATAGCCAGCATTTTTATTTGCTCATGCTATCTCAATCTTGCTGTGTTCACTCACTGTAAAAACAATAGATTTCTAATGAAATGAGGAATGATGCAGTGAAATTTACATAGCAAGTGTAAAACATTCATTTTGGATATGCCACCGATGACATCCATATCAAATATTTCATAAGATAATACATAAATTTAATGAACACCTTAGCTCTGGTAAAAAATACTTTATACAGAGCTTTATAACTCTCTCAAAAAATAGTATTGTAACAGTATCTTGGGTTATGTGTTTGAATGTAATTATGACAGATTTTGAAATAACCACTGTTAATATAACAAGCTTCTGAACATAAGTTCCTTATCTTTCGTTGAACCACTTAGCTGTAAGATCTCATCAGTATAGCCAATGCTCCTGGATACAATTACTTGAGATGAGGTAAGTTTCCTTCAGTTAAGTTTACTAACTTTAATAGCTTCACTAAGATCTTGTCAGTAGATAATAGTGCTGCAGTGTTATGTATCTCCTTGCTCCTCTTTTCATTCATTCAAAGTCGGATGGCCTTTCTAAACCGTGTTTGAATCTCACATATCAGTACGAGTACAGTGGGAGTGCTTTCTCGAATAAGTCGCTTTTTTGTCAGAAATATTCAGATTGATTCCCCAATCTTTCTGTAAATTGTCAATATGACATATTCCGATGCGCAACAAATCAGTATGGGAGTTAAAGCTGAAAAAATCTGTTTCTCTTAGTGGACAAACGACTTGAGACAACATAACGACCAATTTACACAATATTTCGAAAGCGATATTTTCACCCGTATTTCAATTATAACTGTCCAATATGGTTTCAAAACACTTGAAATAAAGATTTGTTTCCAATAAAACTTTATCGGAAGAGTTTGAAAACAATGAGAAGAAGTAAATTGCGAAAAACATCAATTACCCTATAGTGACTCTATGTTTTTGCCCGGTTCCCACGCCATCTTGGATTTATCATGGATGTCACGCAATATGGCGGCTCGTCAGTAATCTCGACCTACTATATCTATGCATACGATACATGATGTATAGCACTCGTCTTAGAAAACTACACAAGAGTCGTATCTTTAAGTTTTTAAAAAATCAAACGGTTTCCCCAGCAGTGCAAGGGAATTTTTATTTGCCGTTTAATGTTGAATAATCAAAACGTTTTGGACAGAACATTTTTGAATTAAGCGTAGCAACGCATAGTTGAGCGGCAAGATTAATCGTGTTATGGAAATTTTACAGCATTCGTTTTTCTTTAGAAATCTACAGTTCTTGCAGACTTGCAGTGAGTAAACACAAAAATGGTCACATAGCTGGACCAATTAAACGGATGCGGCCATGCCAAGCACATGCACGCACAGAACAACGTTATTTAAAAATCATAATAAAGGACTATTATAAGGAATAAAAATCTTACCGGGTCAATCAGCTCACCAGACACCACCGTCACTAAAATGTCCATCCATTGTGATATCAATTTTCCAAGTATAAACCACTGAAAAAGAGTTGATTCAAGGAAGCCATAAAGCCTGCAGATAAAAACAAAAAAGTACACTTGCTTAGAAATCTTACAAGCAGAGAGCTGTTGATATGCTATGTTAATTTTATTAAGATGCAACAAATACAACGACTTGTTTTGCGTTCAATTTGTAAGACTTGTTGTTTCGTTCAATTTTGTAAGACCTACATCCCTGCGCGAACAAGCTTATAAAATGACATAGCTACAATAAAAACAAATATTTCGTAGATGGTCAAATCTTGAAGTCCACACGTCCAGCAAATTTCCAGACGAAATCCAATCTTTAGGTGCAGGAATGGTGGAGGGCTATTTGACGGCAGATCTTATCTTAATGACATGGAAAAATTTTCTCTCGAGTTCCTATAAAAAATACAAGGACATCTGTAAAAAAATTGTTGAGTTTATAAATGAAAATTTTGTGTTTATATCAATGCAAGTCAAATCAAAGAGTAACGATCCCTACTGGTACCAGGTAAGGCTTGAGTTCAAAAACAAAACTTTACTAAAAATAAATCTTCAAACATCCCTATTTGTTTTCATCATAGGTAAAACTCCTTTACGAACAACTTCATGGTTTACAACGTGGTTACGCAGCAACTGAAACTGGAAAGAGACACCCACTGACATTTTTTGATTTCCAGTACGTACATATTTCTGATTTCCAGTACGTTCAGTTCTCTGGTGCTCATAATCATTGATATTTACAATGATTAAGGAACACCAGAGAACGAGGACAAACTTATTTTGTACGACGAAAACAAGCTTACCCTGCAATATGAAATAAATAACGTTTATGAGTGTAGGTAGTAATCAAACTACAACAGAGAAAGAAAACAGACAGACTTACCTTTGACTACAAGAACAGATTTACCGTGTCTAAAATATAGAGCAACGTCTATCAGTGTAGGTAGTAATGAAAAAACAACAGAAAAAGATAACAGACTTACCTTGCAGAACGAGAACTAACCTACAGTGTCTAAAATATTGAATAACATCTATCAGTGTAAGTAGTGATGAAAAAAACACACAAAAGATAACAGACTTACCTTGCATAACGAGAAAAGACTTGCAGTGTCTAAAATAATGCAATAACATCTATCAGTGTAGGTAGTGATGAAAAAAACAACACAAAAAGATAACAGACTTACCTTGCATAACGAGAAAAGACTTGCAGTGTCTAAAATAATGCAATAACATCTATCAGTGTAGGTAGTGATGAAAAAAACAACACAAAAAGATAACAGACTTACCTTACAGAAGAGAAAAGACTTACAGTGTCTAAAATATAGAACAACGTCTGTCAGTGTAGGTATGGTGATGGAGTACACTGTAGAACAGAGAAAGATAACACACAGATTATAACGCAGGACAGATATTAAGCTCACATCATGAGATAAACCTTTTTCCCAATTTTGAATTATTTATAGATTGATGCAAATTGGACTAGGTGTTGGTCTGAGTGATCTAAAAGAAGCCTTGCTAAATAGAACACATCACGTGGTTGACAGCGGTTCCTGTTCGGCTTTGATCAAACTTCTTCCAAATAACATGGACATCTTGATCTCTCACGTCACATGGGCCAATTACTGGTCCATGCTGCGAGTGTATAAACTATATGATTTACAGTTAGTGAACAATAGTAATTCAGGTAAAATCAACAAATGGTGTGTATGATATTATCCAAAAAAATGACAACATTGTTCCTCATCTTCCAGCGCTCCATATTGTAGCACGAGAGCAAAGTTTTTCTTCTTACCCTGGATTGGTGTACAGTTCCGATGACTTTTACATGCTAAGTAGTGGAATGGTAAATAATGAGCTATTATCTTCATAATTAAGTAGCCGGTAGTTCATCTAAAAGACGAGACAAACATTACAAAAAATTACAGATATTACGAGTTAATATACACAGACAAAATGAGGAGAGATAGAGAATAAAATTCAACAACTAGTTCAGTATGAGGACAACTGTAGGAAATCACAGCAAAATAAGCAGCTTATAGCGCTGCCCATTGTCCAACTAAGAAATAGACATTAAAATTTCTATAACAGGTCACTCAAGAGACAACCATTGATAACTACAACAAAGACCTTTGGCAATACATTACCAAGAACACGGTTATGGAATGGGCACGAACAGTTCTGGCCAATAGGCTAGCAAAAATTGTCAAGAATGGGTATCGATATTTTCAAAACACAATAGTGGAACGTAAGTTGGTGAAGACACGACGAAGTCTGAGAGTTTCTCACAACTAATTCGTTTTTTTTTCTCTTTTCGTTTCTCTTAGGTACAACAATCAAGTAAACGATATTAGTGACACCTATGATAAGTTGTCTCAAGGATACATTATTTTAATTAAAAATATTAGTTTGGAAATTCTATGGTTGTTTTGTTACTAAAAACATAATAATTATAACATATTCATGTGATTATAAGCTAATAGATATAAGCTCCTGACTTATAAATTTTTCTCATCAGTGGATGATACTGGATTACAAACTGTTCACACCAGGACAACCTGTGGTACCAGGGACACTTTGGGTTTTGGAACAAATGCCAGGGATAGTGGAGATGGCTGACTTGTCAGTGATATTAAAGGAAAATGGATATTGGGCAAGCTATAATTTACCGTACGTTGATGTGATTAATTATTTGTTTACATGTAAAGATGTAAACACATGAAAACACATTCGTCACTTTATCACAAGCTTCATCGCAGAATGATATTCCGAAGCTTTTTTTATAGATACTTCAAGACTATCTTTGACATCAGCAATACCGATATTTTAATGGCAAAGTATGGAACATATTTTGACTACGATCTTTCTCCTCGAGCACAGATATTTAGACGTGATCAAGGCAAGGTTGTAGATTTAGAAAGCATGATGAAAGTGATGAGGTAAGTTGAAATGGAACAGGCCAATATTGAGTTTAGCGTTGGTTTCCCATTGCCGCACGTTAAGACGTGATCTGTCTTATGTGAAGTTTCTTCAATGACAGAGCAATTTAACTATAGAAGAAAGTATGCTTAGTTCAAATTCACCATGTATTATGAGGGTCGAAATGTAGTAATCTCACAGGTACAACGATTTCAAAAACGATCCTTTATCGAAGTGTAACTGCACACCACCCTACAGTGCGATGAACGCTATTTCAGGAGAGGTGATCTTAATCCTGCTCATGGAGTATATCCTTTTCATGCCCTTGGACATATCAGTGAAGGTGGAATCGATGTAAAGGCGAGTATTATCGTGTTTGTAGAGATGAAGCACTTCTCACCTTAGGGCCTGTTCATGAGACGGGCCAGCCCGCTTAAACCGGGCTAGCTAGTTTGCCTGGCCAATTTGTTTCTTATTCATATCTTCCTTCAAGCGGGATCTCGCCAAGTCTGGCTGGCCCGCTCTTTACATGAACGCAATTGCAAAAACACTGTAAAATAATATGAGGTGAGATATCGGCAAAGCTAACTAGCCCGTCTTAAGCGGGCTGGCCAGTCTCATATGAACAGGTCCTTAGTGATGTCAAAGGTCGAATTTCTCTTCTCTGCTGTGAAATGCCGAAAACCACAAGAACACGTCATTTTGCTATCAAAACAGACATTTCGTTGTAGTGCCAAATCTAGCGCAGAGTGCTTGGGTTATAGTATGACAACAGTTCTTTTCACAAATATTAGGGTTGTTTTGCGTTTTCCAGTTTTAATTAGTTGCATTCACCATGGCAAATGAGCTTTTCATACACGTACGCTGAGATTTCTCGGATGTAAGCTACGTGTCCAAGCTGTACAACGCAAATTCCTACACTTAAAGTTCTTTAAAATTATTTCTTCTTGCTCTGTCATTACAGATAACAAGTTATGAATTGTTCAAGAATTTTACGGTGTATGCAGTCAGCGGACCAACATACGATCAACAGCCTGTATTCAAGTGGTCAACTTCAGGATGGAAGCGACCTCTTGGTCACCCTGACAAATGGGACTTTAATCCAGTAATGATTACGTGGGGTAAAAGCGATACATTGCGCAACTTTCAAAGAAATTTCATTCGTACAAAAATATGATAAAGACGGGAAAATAATCAGGAATTTAAAATATGAAAAGAGCGAGATGTTCATTGGACACGGTAACGACGGAAAAATAATCAGGAAATTAAAATATGAAAAGAACGAAATGTTCATTTCTGAGTGTAATTGAGTATTTCGTAATTGCAAGAATAAATTAATTTACTTTTTTTTTATATAATGTATACTTCTGAAGTTGAGAAACGACCTATGCAATCCCCTGACCATGTGTGTTGTTCGTTAATGATAATTGCATTACATATACATATATACATTTACCAATTTTCAAACTTATATAAGTATTTATAGACGGCATCTCCATAAGGTGTGATAAAAGTTATCCGGAAATTTTGATTCAAAAACGAACGTCATAAAAATTCTATGGACCATTGAGTGGACAATTCAATTAGCAACTTTTAATTCGTTGAGCAGTTCGTGAAAACTGTTGACAAACCACGGCGAATGATCGCGAACTTTTTCTCGAACAACATTTCCACCAAATCCTATAAAACCATCCTAAGAAAAGATAAGAACTACCATGAGCATCACAATGTTTAAGTAACAATTTTATTGTGACTTATCATTGCTCATAAGACAAAGAGCTTTGTTGTACAAAAGTGCTTGGGCACAAAGTTCAAGTGAATAACCCAATCATTTATGATCATTACCAAGATAAGGTTACAACTACATCATATTACTATCTTTATATAGATGAATGTCTGAGGAAATTTGGATAATCAAAAATAATTCAAACGATCAGTGAGATGCAAATAACCAGATACATTACATCAAATAAAAGACAAATGATGTTTAAATACAGTGCTTACAGCTGGTGGACATGTTTCCATATCAGTTGCTCCATCCCCAATCATGACCAATCTAAAAAAATGAAATGTGACAATAAGGAAAGGAAAAGCACAACATATGTAATCTATTTATAACTAAGAAAAACCACAGTCATACCTTTTGAAACCATACTTGTCTTTAAGACGCTGTACAATTTTTGTTTTACCTCCAGAATCAGAAGTAGGATTGTTTTTATTGAAGCCATGATATCGACCTTTAAAAATTCAAAAAATTTAAGTTTATTACTTTAATTCAAATTTGCTCAACTTTAAATAAAAAATAAATAAGTTAGCATGAATGGAACACACCATGGAGAGTTTGGACGACTTACCATCACTATCAAATAAAAGTTCCACAGAGAACACATTCTCAGAAGGAATGTTAAGACGATGGGCCAAAGGTACATTTAATTGCCTAAAACCACCACTGATCAAGAATACAGGAATCTTCTCCATGTGTAAATATGCGATTAAATCTCTTAAATAAAAGACATCAAATCAGAAATGCTATCAGGACTATCAAATTCAAATGTGGTAAGCATATTTCCCAGTCCATTGGCAATACTTACCTTACTCCTTCAGTTAAAGTCAGAGGACGTTCTTTTTTACAGCGTTCAAGCTGTAGGATGGGGAAAAGAAATGTGTGAAATGGTGAAGAATGGCATTAAACAGAACAGAACTTAAACACAAATTGAATTGATCAAGACTAGGAATTGTAAATTGATTCAAACATTAAATTTAATGAAAAATACTTTGAAAACTGAAACATCATTCTTGTCAATAGGTAAGTAATGAGACAATACCTGCTCTAAGGTAGGGCTGCACATATTTAGACGGGTTTCAAGTGCTGTCCTAAACCGTATATTTCCTCCCATGGCTTGCAGGGTCCTGTTTCATAAAATGTATACAATATTAGCAATTAAGCTGGATAGCCTTTCAACATTAATTTTTTGGCAGAACTGGCCAATTTCCAAACTCGAATAATCGATAGATTACGCAAAGTGGTTCTTGTTTAAAGTTCAAAGTTTGTGGACAAACTTGCTGACGGAAGCAAACATAAATAAACGCACGTCAAAATATACGTGTATTATTAAAATAAAGACAAATATTTTATAAAACGTATATACGCTGGTTAACCAAACAACGCAGTATCTTTTCCAATCAGCATTGACAAATTCGTCTTTTTTTCTCTAAATATATAAATCTCACTGGGGTATAAATCTGATTCTTCAGAACTTTGAGTACGCGTACTTGAATTTGATAATATTTCGAAAACCAAAAACCGTTCAACTAAATATTTCATGTAGTCGTTTCAAAATATCTTACCATTGCTTAACAGCTTCTCCGACTCCACAGAAATCTGCTAATTCATCAATGCCCTCTTCCTGCACGACAGTGCTGTCGACATCAAAACAGACACAATCAACAGACCTCCAAATCTTTTTCATTTCGTCTCTGGTCAAACTCTCAAGACATTTCTTCGTGTTGTTTGCCGGCATATTTACTCTTTTAGGAACAAGCAGTGAAGTCAAATATAAAAAAGTAGTTCTAAGAAAATGAATTGTGGCCCGTTGATCGTCCTCTCCCAACACACAAGCAGTTCAAAGTAGAGTCATCAAGAATGTATTTATACAGTATCTAACATCTATGATTGATGATGGCATAATGCGACATCACACCATGTAATTGTCATGCGTACTGCACGTGTGAATTTCAGACAACTGATAGGTTGTAATTATACATTTTTGTTACGCCGAGAAATAGCATGCTTTCTTCTTCCGTTACATTCAAATATTTGAAAGAGCAAAATTTCTGAAGAGGTTTTTGAATATGGCGCATATGTTCTAGATAGACCATATAAATGGCCGTAAGCTAAAGGGACGCGTGAGGCGGAGAAAATCCCTTACCGGATAATTAATCCGCGTGGGCGTTCCGTATATCTCTTACGGGTAAATCACGGAGGAGGTCGGGTTTTACCACGGTCTCTACCTGGTATTTAAGTGACATCCTTTTCTAGCTAATAATTTCAAGAAGTGCTGAAGAGAAAATATTCTCCTCACAGCATCGTCTTGAAATTTAAACCATCCATAAATAAAACCAAAGAGAAAGATTCAGTGTAATGCAACATTTTGACTTTTTTTCAATTTCAAGGCTATATTTTGCGTTTCTTTCATCTTGGCTTTGAGAAGGAAAGATGTAACTATTGGAGGTTTTTTAGTAACATTACCCATGTGTTTTCCCAAGATTGTTGCAGATTGTGTGGCATCATACGATGGCACGTGGCGATGTCGCGTGAATTGAAAGCTTAGACCGATGATTTGACCTTGACACTTGCTAGTTACAAAACTCTAAGTAAGTGCTCGAATTACAGGCAGTCCACTGTGCACAAACACTGCTTTTCCAGATTCTGTTGACCAATTATTCCTTGGAACGAGGATGGCATAGGCCTTGAGAAAGTGTGAGAAAATAGATGTCACCCATTCTTCAATAGAAATAATGATGAAATAAAAAGGCGACTTTTTTCTTGCCAAAAACAACACATTCTCCGGTCGATTTAGTCAGTGTTTACATGAATACTTACATCTTTGACTTCTCCGGTGGTCCATGACGTGTGTAAACGAACTCAAGTATTTCTTGGGCTGGCTGTGTCATTGGTTGATAAGTAAACAAATATGGCGGACGAATTGGAAAATGTCAGCGTTGGACATTATCGATCGTTAGATTTCCCTAGAAACCTAGCATTTCGGTACAAAAACTGTAAACGCATCTTAAATTTCAGACGCTTGATATTTTATTGAAAACCTTGCTTTATTTATAAATTACAAGGGTGAATTTAAGAAAAGTCACTGCAGCCAGTGCTATTCCCATTGCAAGTACATCGAGGATAGGATCGACTGCAGAAAACCTGAGGAATATCAAGGAACCCGGTCAAGAAGCTTTTGAGATGGAACGTATTGATAGAAGAAGGAATAGTATGTGGAATTTACATCAGTAAAGAAAACTTAACCCTTTGAATTTTGACATTCATTTTCATTATCTACGTACTTAGATAGCGCTACACAGCCTGTACAAAACTACGAGTGTTTGTGTGTGTGTGTTTTTTCTTTATATTTATATATATGTCATGTTTGCGTCTGTTCATGTGTGTAGGAGCTAACGTTGATGATGATAAGGAAGAAACGAAAGTGGTTTGGCAGGAAAAACTGTTTAGTCAGGTTGGATTTAACGAAAAATGCTTAAGTAGCACTACAGGAAAAATGAGACATTCTACTTTGCCAATGATATTTTTAGCGAGAAGAAGAATATTACAGTATTCGTCAAAATTGCTCTTCCGTCCTGGGGCAGCAATATCATCGCGTTGTGATGAAGTTGAGGTGGCACATTTCGTGATCTGAATAAGTTTACTTAAACTCTTTTAAACCCAAATCTTCATTGTTCACATGCAGGCAAAAGAACGGAAGACCCAATAAAAAAATCTTCACATACGTCGATGAAGACGATTACGCCAACACTGAAGAGGTTCGATCCAAGAATTCTGAAACTTCGCTTTCATTAAGATACACATCAGTAAAAAATTAGTGAATGATTTTAAGCCTCAAAAGTACAGTTGGAGCGATATTTGATAGTCCTGAATGAAAAATTATAAAATTTCCAGGGACCGATTTTTGATTTGAAGGGGGAGGCTATAGACCGCCAGAGCCTCAAAATTTGGTTGCCAATTGGGAGTCCGTAGCCAACTTTGAAGGCTAAATTAATGCAGGGGTATAGCCCCTCCAGCCCTCTCCCCCGGTCCCTGCTTTTCAAAATCATTTTCTCTCGGTGAAATCTTTTAAGCTAATTCCTACAAAAGGAAGAAAGCGCTGGTTCAATATTGCTATTACATCAAATTGATAGAATGGCAACATTTATATATTGGCAATATTGCCATTATATCAAGTTGATAGTATGGCAATATTTTTTATAATAAATTAGCCAGATTAATGACTTCGTTTCAAGCATCTTTCTCTCTCAAATGCGAAATACGTATCTCATGTAAACTCACAAAGCTCCTCAGTAAGCCAGACATATTTGAGTTTTAGTTGTTGAAAACCATGACGACGAATCCGAACGAAACACCGCATTACCTGACGAACAATATGGTACACGTTCGTAAAAGAAATATCGATAGAACCGCTGCTAAAACTCGGTATGTGCTTGAAGTACTTGATGTTCAAGTGTTAACGAGAAGTTTTGTAAATTAACTGATAGACAGTAAGCTTATTGCATTTTCTGAAGTCTTTCCTGTAATACACTAGAGTTTGGAAATTCAAACGTTTTTCATAAGGGAGACGGATCCGATACAATTTGCCCGTGTGAACTAGCCCTAACAGCAATGGCTTAGCCAGCCCGAAAATTTGGTCGTGCTATGTACATTTCAGATAATCATCATTTTTCATTTCTTTAGAAATCTATTGTTTTCAATATGAGTGAACACAGAAAAATTTACATAGCACGACCAAACTTGCGGGCTGGCTTCGCCACTGCAGGCTAACAGCATACGAGAACACAATCTTACAATGATCGGTGTTTTGACGTTTGACGCCATTCCTCGCCCCAGTCTTCTTACCTTTTTAACGCCAGTCAGATCTTCTTTGAAATAATTCCATTTAGAACATACGGTCATCGAGGTTTACGATCCCACATTGTCACCGATGATCCCAGGGAAGTGGCCAAACAAAACAACCACGTTATCTCAACTCCGTTCAGAATAATGTATATTATGGCGGATTTGAGTGTGGATGGCAGGTACGAGAGATTCTAGAAGTGTGACTTTTTTAACTGAATCTGGTCGAATGAGTTTAAACACTGTTCTGAATTTGAGAATGTATAAGGCACGTGGGAGTGTGCTTCTCTCCAGGCCAGATCGGGAGTGTGCTTCTAAACCAAATTCACTAGACCTGATCTAGTGAAAAAAAATCCACTAGATGGAAGTGATATGCATACATCATCTCTGAAAATCATTTGCAACTAATGGTTAGACACCATTTAAGATTTTACTCAATAAAACAATCGATCGTAGGGTGTTGGGTGATTTCTTTGTGGCTAACTTCTCTCGGTATGAATAAGCAACAATCATCTTGTTTCTTTTACTTTCTTTTTTTTCTAGAATTGGTTCCTTAGAAGACGAATATATACTTTGTTCTGTTAAGGTCTTTTTGGTTTACTCAATACACACCATTTTATCCCCTTGCGGAAACTCGACTTGAGATCGTAGTTACCTTTACTAGTGTTCATTTCCTTATTTATTGTGTTCTAGATCGATGGAACGGGTCAAATCACAATAAAACCTGACTTAAACCACGGTAAAACACCTTACAGAATACAGACATCTGGTGATTTGAAGGGTATTTTTTCAAAGTATATGACATTTGTTCATTCTTTTCCTAGCGTTTTAAGGCAATGTTGTGTTTCTCATTTAGAGGTATATGAGTACACTGTGGAGCATGCTTCCATTGAAATGACAAGGTAGCAATGAGTAGATAGTGGAACATGCTTCAGTTAAAATTACACAGTATCAAAGAATATAAGAGAACACCGTGGAACATGCTTCCATTGAAATGACAAGATAACAATGAGTATTTGAGTACACAGTGGAACATGCTCCATTAAAACGACAATGAAATGACTGTATTAATGCTGTTTATTTCAAATTATAGAGACGAAAAAGAACGTGAGATAAAGAGTTTTGACGAGGTTCGTTTAAATAAGTCTAAAACGTTTCACGTTTCGTCTCGTGATGAAAATGAAACGGACACTACAATTGATCTGTACTTCATCGACTCATTTCCAATACGCAGTTATTTTTTAGCTTTACAACAGACACGCTATGTACTTGGCGAGTCAAGTTGGAACGGAATTTCACCCTTTGGTATGGTAGAGTCATAGGTTTTATTTACTTTGCCACAGACACATGTTTATTAAATTGACTGCATTCGTATGAAAGCGACAATGCAGCAACTCAGAGCTAGTTACAGTGGGTCGAGTCATTACACCCTTAAAGCAGGCGACCAACAAAAATCCCATGCAACAGATACATGTTTATTAAGTCAACTGCATTCGTATGAAAGCGACAATGCAGCAACTCAAAGCCAGTTACAGTGGGTCAAGTCAATTACACCCTTAAAGCAGGCGACCAACAAAAATCCCACAACCTTCCCATTTTCACAACAGAGGCATGGTTCGCATTTAAATTGCTGTCCTGCTACGTAAATTTCAGAACATTACATCATCATTCAAATGTTTGTTCTCGCTGTAAAAAGAATAAATAATTTACATAGTAGGACTAAATAAACGTGTTGGCTATGACGCTGATTTTCAGCAACAGTCAAAGTAAGACCAACCGGTAAACAGCGTTTATATTATCGGTACAAATTTAAGTGGATATTTCTGCAATGACGTCATACAAGTAAACAGTATTAATGGTTAAATGAGCAACAAGGGTAACTTCAAATAACGTAAGCATTTTGCATTGTTTAAGAGTAACGCACCGTTGTTGTTTACTAAAAATACAAAGAGGTTACCGGAAAAATTTATCTTGAATGTACTGAAGAGGCTTACATTGTCTTTCTTGTATTCTCTTTAGCCACAAGACGGAGTACTAAATACGTCCATTTTTGGTGAAATTGGTACGAGTGTGAAAGTTATCGAAAAAACGTTGAAATGAATGTATTTCAAAGACTATCTTCAAAATAGAACGAGACGTTTTTGTGTATTTCATCTTTCAGTGTCTGCGCAAGATTTTGAGTATGACGGCTTGTACATTCACTTTTTTGGAACTACCAAAACGTACGACACGTTTTATGATAAGATTTACTGGTAGTAAGCAACGTATGCTATATTACATTATAACTATTTTATTCAATATAAAGATTGGTCTTCGCAAGGATCTCCACATCTATCTGGAGTGACGCAAACGTGTTTCACGAAATCAACAGAAAAGGTTTTGAATCGCTAGTATATCATTTCGCAATCTCCTTACAAAAAACCTACATGCTCTTACCCTTTTTTGCAAAATTTCTCACAGCAAGGACTTCTCTCTTTCTTTCTTTCAGAACAACATCGCGCATTTTTCTTTTCCTTTCGAGTTTCACGTGAGCTATCAGCCAACGGAAAGAGAAGATGGTGATTGAAAATAAACGATTGTGACGCATTTAAACTTCGAGATTTGCAAAACACTTTTACCTTGATTTATTATCAGGGGATTTCATTCGTTGGCCAACACTGTTCATTGAGGTTTTGTCAGTCGACTTATGGGAATGTTTTCGCACGGAAGGCTACGGATACGTCACACTACCGAACAAAGCCGGCAGCCATGACGTCATCATTAATACGTGGAGGCCAACAGGGAATGGACTTGTACCAAAGATGCGTCGTTTCTTTATCGGTGGATCACCGGAACTCGAAGATGCTACTTACGTTAAGCAGCCGGCAGGCAGCGAAAATGTACGAAAAGTTGTCCATTTTGGTGATTATTAGCTACTTTCGTGAAGGAAGACACGAAGACATTAAATTGTGTAATGGTTTTATTTATGTATTATGTAGAGTAAAGTTTTAAGCAAGTTTGGATTTAGAGCAGCAACATCTGGCTGTGTGCGAGTAAAATTGAACATTGTACAACAATGTGGGTAGGTATATCATGCTTTTGTGCATGTTAGAGCCTCTATGCAGTTCGCACATATTTTATCGGTTATTAATGACATATTTCGCCTGATATTTGATATAGACCCTCTTAAACTAACTATTTATCCATTCGAATTTCGAGCTGTTACGATCATTGTTATTATTCAATGACTCATTTGTGTCTTCTAACCTTGACAGGGGTTTCATTGACCGTCAAATGAGGAAGAAAAACGTTCGCACAACGTTTCACGGAACAAGGTATTGGAAAAATTGCAATGTTGTCATCAGGCACCAAGTCATAAAGAAAACCGGAGGAATATCTATTGTTTCATCCTCCCTTTTTAAGTTGTCTGCTCATTTGTAAAATGCATAACATGAAAAGAATTGTTGAAAATACGAACTTCCATTTTGTTGAAATTTCATGATAATATTTGCAAATTGAGGTTAAGATTGTCGAACTACAAGTCACCGCATGAACTTAAAAATAAATTATTTTCCTTTTTTTCGTGACAAATTCATTGAGACTTCTAACTACTTAAAGTCACATATTAATCAGGTTTGAGCTAATTTTCCTTTTTTTTCGTGACAAAGACATTGAGACTTCTAACTACTTAAAGTCACATATTAATCGGGTTTGAGCTACTTCAAATAGCCTGTTTTTCAAGCAACGATGAAAAATAATTATTTTACAATCCCGGCAATAATATCGTTCCTTTTTTGACAGAGGATTTGGTGTAATGGAATCATTAACACAAGTGTTAGGTATGTGGGGTTCAATGTTATCAAATAATGTGCGAACGTGCGTGTAATAATTTAAGTGTACATTTTTTCGTCAAGATGCATTCAAACGAGCAAGAAAGAGGATGCAAACAGCTCGTGAAACATTACCCTCAGTACGATAGCTCTCCGATCATGAAGAGTTCACTACGTCAAATTCTCCTTATCGTCTTCGTCATCGCTTATCTTGCGAGGCAAATCATCCACCGTTGTGTGTTCTTCTGAAGAAGCCATAGGTGTCTCGACTTCACTGCTATTTTTGTTCAAACCAACCGCATCTGTAGAAAAATGAATAGTTGAAGGTGAAAATTGTGTTTTAAGTTGGTCATTGCACAAAGGACAGAAAAAAAAGTGTTCCAGAAGAGTTTTTCTTTTTTCAACTGGATATGCACACGAGTCTGGGAAATTCAAAAAATTATGCCGGATTGTCAAAATGTTTATTGGCAAACATTTTGTTTTGCAGACACGTGAACACATGAAAACGAAAATACAATCTATCATTATCTATCATTACCTATCATTATGTATCATTATCTCTCAATATCTTTCATTATCTTTCATTATCTTTCATTATGTATCATTATCTATCATTATTTATCATAATCTATGATTATTTATCATAATCTATTATTATTTATCATTATCTATAATTATCTATCATTATCATCTGTCATTACACACCAGTCTTATCTCCTTTATGTTTGAAACCAAACTTGGACAGTAAATTCTTCTTCTTTTTTTTACGACCGTCCGATTGCTAAATAAAATAGCACATAATACTCCTGTCAAGTGTCAGATTCACATAACACTAAGTCAGAAGATCATATGTATATACAAACCCTGTCTCCAAATAATATACGAGTTTTATCTTGCCTAAACGTATACGAAGAAAGAAACACTTTAGTAAACAATCTCAATTAAAATATACAAAAGAAATGAAAAAGACAAACGAATAAAAAATACTTTAAAGACATTGAAAATTTCTTCTGTTAATGAACTGAATACTATGACGTAACATTTAAAACACGAGTAGAAGCAATATAGATATAACGCATAAAGTATTTTAAATGACTTCTAATATGCCGCTAGGTATCGTGATGTTTTGTTTTGGTTTGATTTGTCCATGTATAAAATGCTAATAAAGTTGAAACTTATAGAGAATAATGATGAAGACAAAACATTATATTATGTGCCATCCTAATTGCCATTTATATACTTCACCATGTACAAACCACGTGAATTATTAAGGTTGATTTCATAAGGTATAATATGATATATTATTAACGAGTTTTTAAATTGTAGTGGTTCAGAGAGTTCGTAAATCGTATTTTTATATCATAAGTTCGTGTCTGAAATCCTTTTCCAGCAGACAATTTCAAAAAATAAAAGAAAAAACACACTCCAAAAAACATCATCTTGTAAAAAGATTCGAGTTATAAAAGCAAGAGACTTATTTCGACTTTATTTCAAAGTCACTATCAAGCTAAAAAGCGACAAACTTCACTAATACCAGATATATTTTTCAATGGTTTCACACATTGAACTAAAATACATGGAACGCTACCTAAAGCAATTAATTGAAGCCAAATCTTACACCCAGACACGCGTGTTTAGTGTTTCGAGATTCTCTCGCGGAGGGAAAATTGATTGAATTACACACGAGTGTCTGGGTCTAAGATTTGGCTTTAAAAAATTATTAAGCTTTTCTATTACAGGTAGCGTTCCATGTATTTTAGTTGAGTGGGTTTCACCATAAACAACTTACGCCATGGGTTCTTTAATTTCTTTGTGATCTCCTACTTTCCAGTGTAATTTTTCCTTTATTAACTAGAAAAGTCGATATTTAGAAAATTGAGACTCGTGAGATTGTGTATGAAGACATCTGGGGCCGATTGCACGAAGGTCGAATAGCGCTATCCACTGGATATCTTATAAAGGAACAATCTACGATTCGAACGGGACAAACAATGAAATACAATATTGGTTCTTGAATTACAAAGTTTCATTATCGTAAAGAAAAACAAAAACTTTTTTATAAGTTTGAAAAAATGCAATTCAATGGATAACGCTATCAGGTTTCTTGAAACAAGTCCCTGAACTAAAGTTGAACAAAAAATTGGCCTGCCTGTCCAACGAGAACTTGTTTATAATCTTTCTTTACAGCCATCATGAGATCCAACCATGTCCATGTTCTATTCTGGTAATGCAACGTAGGTAATATCAATCGAAAGTTATGAACATCGACCAGATTTTTCTCCTTCTCGCCCTTCAACAAAAATAAATGAGATATCATCCTCCTGACCATTTAAATTGCGTTCATTTCAAAGGGAGGCGGTGGCTTCTCCCCCATTTTTACCTTGTAACTGAAACAAATTGGAATTTCAGGAATTTTCACATACACGAAGTTATTTGTTTGTGCCGCCCGCTCCTATATGGAAGAAATGTTTTAAGGAGAAAGTAGTTTATGACTATGGGATAGGCAGATGATAACGATGAAACAAATGGATGAAAGGAAAAGACATAGAGATGGAGAGATAATACAAAGAGATAAGACAAAGAGATAGCGGAATAAGGTAGAGAGATGGAAGTATAAGACTAAGAGATGGAGGTAATAGACAAAGATAAGGAGAAAGTAAAAATAGATGAAGGGAACAGAAAAATAGATGAATAGATAAAGACATAAAGGATAAGACAAAGATATGGAGGGATAGAGAGAAATAGACGAATAAGACAAAGTTTTAGACAGAAAAAACAAAGAAATGGGAAGAATGACAAAGAGATGGAGTTGCATGCCTTCATTTTGTCAAGTTCTTTCGAAGCCGTCTCGGATAAACTGGCATAAAATCTGCTCGTTCCAGGTTTCTAAAAATGAAAGACGTTAAGCAACGAAACACAATAATTTATATATGGCAAGATAAAAAGATCATTATTCTTGTAGAACATAAATTTTTATGTCCATTTCAACTCGAGAATGAATCAAACTTTTAGATAAAAGACGAAGAATTTTGTGGTAATCTTCACCTTATTTTCCGAACCAACAGGAGAAGATAGTGCCGAAGGGCTCTCGACGCTTGAGTAGATATCCTGCTTCGCGGAGAATCACTTAAGGATAGATCCGAAAGAGCAAGACTATTAGGACGTGACGAACTCTGTGTCGATGTCATCTACAATTAATGGATATGCAGGGATATAGAGGGCAATAAATAACCATTGCGCGTAACGTGTAAGTTCATCTAGAATGCAACAAACACGAAACAGGCAAAGTAATACGCAATAACATAAACAAATTGAGTTCATCTCCTACCCGTTCTTCGTGAAAAACGTCTTTGTCACTCTGTTGAGGTTGCTCGAACCCTTTAGCAAAAAAAAAAACAACTCAACAACAATAAGCGATGTTTTGAGCATTGCAAAAGAACGCCTTTCAATAAAACCTGACGTAAAACAGAACAACAACATACAATCATGAACTTTTTTAAACAGTATAATGTGTTAATCACTGAAACAAAATAAGCACGGTTTTCGAGTAAATATCTTGCTAAATAACAGAGACTTCTGACAACATTTCCCGTTTAAAAACTTCATGAAAAACTCGCTTGAATAAGAGTAGGATCAAAATAAGGACGATGCAAAGAGGATACTACGACCTGACAAAGACTTCAAACCACAACCCTAACCCTAACCCTAACCCTAACCCTAACCCTAACCCTAACCCTAACCCTAACCCTAACCCTAACCCAACCCTAACCACTTCATATATCCCAGGACAATGTAAATTCTTTCTTATCCTGCTCTGGTTCTTTTTGAATAAAACCACGCGACAAATATGTTGATAGCGGTCAGGAACAGTGCAAAGAAACAACAAACAAACAGAGCTTTACACTAGGAAGGTACGGTTGGATAAGTAGAGGGTAACATGGAAATATTGTCGATTCAATACCGACTTGAACAATATCAAAATATCAACAATAATTTAAATTATTTGTTATACTAGACAAGGACATTATTACTCACCTCCAAATGCTACCCCATCATACTCCTCCACGGACACCCTACCACCCTCATGAGCGCGACCAGGAAAAAATACCCCATCATCAAGGTGTACAGTCTGTGAGTGAAAGCAACATTTAAGGGACATAGGTTCACTTCGAAATGATCTTTTACGCCAATGCCACCGACTGAGAAAAAATAAAGCTACTTTTAGCTTAGCTCAGATTTGATAAGCTTGTAAAAACGTAGGACAGATTAAACTACCCAAATAACCTTCAATGAACATACTAACTACATTAAATCACCACGAATATACTTTGCATGCACCCCCGGAAAGTTTACAGGATGTATGACTCGTTTTAATTATCGTCGCTCATCACAGTACTGCAAAGTTTCCATTCAGATTGAGTCAAACAATAGCAGAATAAACATGATCCTTACTGATCCCCTCAAGCACAAGTGCATCCTCTCACCAAAATACATTAAATAGCGATGCTTTACCCGGTGATTTGACTCGACAATACATTCTCACGGCAATGTCTTTACCAACTCGTCTTTCTCCTTTCGGAGTGATAACATTCTAGAAAACGACAAATCCTCTGCAATTTAAATGAAAAAATCTCAAAATATTTGCAACATATAATTCCCTACCTTATACGGAGAGTTGGGCATCAGGTTTGTCATATTGAAATTTCCTATTTCCAAAGAATGAACTCCGGCGGAATCCGTCATCGTCAAATTAGTATACCTATAGTTGAATACGTACACAAGAATATATGATCAAGCCACGATATAGAAGGTGAGTTGAAATCCCAGGAGACATGCCTTAAATCCATAAGGTTAGCATCAACAATCTGTAATTGTCCATCGGGTTGTGTTAGTCTCCATGAAACACGATTCAAAATCACTTCAACCACCTTCAACAACTCACCCGTACGAGCTGAAAGCCAATCAACAAATTTTACGTATGTATACTTCAGTGTGTTAAGACGGGTCTCTGGCGCCTTAAAACTAGATGCTTCGGGCAGGTGGTGGCTCGTTAACCCAGGAAGGTAGCCAACCAAGGGGAAGGAACCTGACTCCATCCGCTGCCTTCCGTAACTAGGAGACGGATACTCCTAAGAAGAATGCACCTTTTCGCAGCTCCAGCACCTGTGGAATTGAGCGTCAGTAGGCGAGAGGGTGGAGACGTCTTCACCTAAAACATTCACCTGTGCTGCTCAGGCAAGCAGGTTTGCCGGATAGACCTGCATGCCCAACTCGAGACTATTTTCGGGTTGTGTAAATTCTATCGACGTCCACCCATACCTTCAAGTTAAAAATTTGCCCTTCTAAAAGTTGGCTTAACTTTCAAAATTTTTCACGAGAAAAATAGTTTGTTTTAACAAAAGAATAAAAACCTTTCTCAGGTGAAAGCATTACACGATCCGTCATAAAATCTTTGTACGCACTAAATAATGAAAACAGTCGTTATTTGAGATGGATGAAAAAAGGCGAAGCTCAACTTCGTGCGAACCAAAAGTAGAAGCGCCCTAAAACTGAAGGTGATATCGTCTTAAAAAACGTGTCTACCTGATCATTATACGCAAATCTGTACTATACACGTTCAGAGTTGCTTTCATTTCCGCGACTTCCACTTCTAACTTTACTCTTTCAGCGTATAGGCTAAAACGATACAAAATATAAATTAAATATAAATATAAATCACAGTTAACGCATGTTCCATATTATCAAAGGCTTATAAATTGAAACAGTTCTATATTACTCTTGAATGTCGACGTCATAGCATTGTTCGTTCTCGTTTTTCGTTTTTTCATTCAGGTTTTTCGTTTTTTCCTTCTCTTTCAATATTTCATTCAAATTGTGCAAGACACGACGGCGTTCATTTAAATTCATGATGCGCGCTCTGAATCATAAAAAATATTCATCTTTGGAATAATAATGAGAGAAACTTAATATCGATGTGACAAAACGTTTAGTGTATCATCTCGTGTTTTTCCACACGAATCTGAGTCTCATGTAAATAAGCCAAGATCCTTTGTATCCATCACAAAACTCACAATACCTCACATTATTTTGGACATTCAATATGGTTCCCTTGAGGTCTTCAGCAGTGTTGAGTTGAAAATAGAAACCCATGCGTTGTTCCAAATCCGAAAATTCCTACAATTCAAAACAATATTAAAGTTAACCAACTACAGACAAATAGTCACATAAATCTTAGAAAATACCTTCTTTTGTGGTTCCGTATATAAAAGAATGTTGCTAACAATGTCAAAAATTAGAGCGTATTGTGCCTGAAATAGATATAATGACACATGGTAAAGACTTTCTCTATTGTTTAACAATCGCTGTCTAAATTGACGCAGTTTATCTATTTATTTGCTGCTCAAGATAATGAAAAGACTTTTCATGTTCTGTCGTCCAACCATAACTAAACCGACACATATAATCATTTACACATTTTAGATGGAGTAAAGTATGTTTTCGTTCTCTGTTATACATCCATAATTTAACAGATACAAGTTTTCTATTCATATGTTCTAGATAGAGAGTAAAGATTGTTTTCGTTCTCTTTAGTCCACCCATACGTAGCTGAGATGACACACGTTATCTAATATAAGTCATCATTAAACTATTTCAATTTTATTTCAAATAATAATGGAACGTACCGAGTTTATACAAATCTCTAAAACTGGATGCCTCAAAGTAAATGTATTGACAGGAGAACAAGACGTTTGATTGTCATAAAGTCTTGAAGATGGTGAAGGTGCTGGCTGAAATTTCAATTGTTATTTCCAATTATAAATTGTGAATTTTATGGTTTCATCGAAGGGTAATAATGAGCCGTGTCGCTTGTAAAAGCCAAAGAAGTATACACACAGATGTGAGTGTTTGACTTTCGTTAATTTACTTACTGTAATTGACGCAGGAACACCTTGTAAACCATCCTCAAGTTCATCATTAAAACTCACATAATAGAAATCGCATCCACACTGAGTAACAATCCTCTGAAGTTTTGTATTGCTGTGTACCATGTTACCTACCAATGAACCAATATCATCACCGGAGCCAAGGACAGAAGTCAAATCAGTTAAGTCGATGCCCGTGTTCTTCCGACGAGTACGAATCGTGGTGGAATCCAGCCATACATTGTCCGTGTTGGTCACTTCTTCGCTTGAGCCCACGGTGCAGAAATACTTTAGAAAGTAATGAGATGACAATGTAGGAATACTTGACAAAATTTGAGAGAAAATAACATAGACAAGAAGGGAATGATTGATGTGAACAATAAATATTGGAATAAATAGATGATAATATTGGAGAAATGTAACAATGCGGGATTTAAGCTACCAATATGGGATTAAAGCTACCAATATAGGAGTAGAGACAATAGTATAGACCAAGTAAATGAGCAGGATGAGAGACAATAATATAGGACTAGTAACAAAATAAAAGAACAGGCAATACTATTGGACAGTTGAATGTAAAGAAAATAGTATAGGAAGACAAGCAGCAATAGAAAAAGGCAACATAAACTTCTACCAATACAGACAGCAATACTAAGAGAGACGACGATATTAAACCAGTACACATGATCATCAACGTGATTATTTCTTAGGATAATACAATAATATCAAAAAACCGGTTGAATAAAAAGACATTATAGTACCTGCATATTTTCAAGATGCCCCATCCATGTGATCTTATTCAAAAGCTTCTTGCCAGTTTGGGTAGGTCTATGCAAGCGATTTGACACTTCAGTGCGACCAGCGGTCACCAGCAGACAGCCACAATGCTCCAACCCTTTCAACATTACTTGAGAGTTGATGAATTCAACTAAATTAAAGAAATGAAAATTCTAAACACTCTCAACACAAACGATACCAATAATAATCAAAGGTAAAGGCTTAAGGGTATTAAATAAATTTAAATGTATCCTGCACTTTAGATATATCGTTGCAAAGCGTCGTTAGCTTAGGACTAAACATGTCATAATGTGAAGGATTGCCACATACAATGCCAGCGTTGTTCATGGACGTCTTCAGTGTTACAAAGTAGGTAACCACTTGATTGACTCTCGTCGCTTGTGTTCTAAACGGAGAAAACAAAATATTGCTTTTATTGTTAGCAAATGTTATGAAAGTGATCAGAAAGGATTCGCATGTACCTCTTCTGTATGAACGTAGACTTTCGTGGAATCCGATAACTCGGAAACAAGTTGTTCAAGGAGACAGTCATTAGAATTGTAACGAGGTCGTCTTGAAGAAACAGGACTGTCCGTAGTGTCGGACTACAAGCAAAAGACAAGTTTCTCTATTTCATATTTGGAAACAAGCGAACATGCAAAATAACATACACTTATGTTTTGAAAGGCCTGCAAAACGAAAATTTTTCTATTTCAATTATATTTTCATTGTAGATAACTCTTGAAAGCGGACTTTCTAAAATAGTTTATTCATATCCCATTTCACTTTCAAGATACTGAAGTTTTGAGATGTCGGCTTCATGCAATCAACGGCGACACATCGCTTAACGAGAATTTGAGTTAAGAATATTTCTGACATGTTACATCTATTCGGACAAAGTTCCTGTCTTTGTAAAGTGTTAATGGTATGAAATTCTACGATAGCAATTCATCCAAAAGTTGTCGGGAAACTTAAGATACTTTAAAATTACCGAGCTCATCGTGCAATGTGACTTTGCCAGTTGTGAAAATCGGATATAATAAAATATTCAATATCTTAAAAAGAAAAGAGATATGAATAAACTGTTTTAGAAAGTTCAGTGTCATTTTAACGATTTCTTTTCAATGAAGCTATCATCATTACGGCAAATTTTCGTACTACAAGCCTTTAAGAAACAGCTGACTGTGTTTTTTTTTTAGTAAATATATGAAACGTCAAAATAAGACCATTTATACTTCATTTATTCCACCGAGGCCTTTCGCGAAGACATCGTCATAGGTCGACTGGTTCGCTGACAGTTGACGGATTGATGACTTTCTGCGAACGCTAACATCAGGAGAGGTCTGGTCCACAACTAGATTCGTGTTCTATAAGGATAAAATATTTTCAAAATATATTTATTGAAAAGAAAAATAAAATTAGTAATTAATAAAGATTTTACGCGATCATCAACTTTAACAAATTTCAAAGCATCAGCGGATAAATCCTTCTTTAATTGCTAAAAAAAAAGAAAAAAAGAAAAAAGACTGATTTGGTAGCTAAATATTTAAATTACGTCGGTCTTTACAATACTACGCTTTAATAAGCCCTTAATGACCGAGCGCGAGGTCTTTACGGAGAAATAACGGATCGAGGTGTTTTTGTACAGACCGAGCCCGTAGGGACGAGTTTTGTACAAAAAGACAGAGGTCCGATATGTCTCAGTAAAGACCGAGAAAGTGAGGTTATTAAAAGGATTATTATATGGCATTATTTGACCTGAAACGAAGCTTGCATTCTTTCTCGTCCTTGCTGTTTTTACGGGTTGATTTTCACTTTTCTAGTTTTCGTCCATAAAAAACAAACTCGTTTCAAATTGTATTGTCTAGATAGTATAACTGTTTTCCAACTGTTTTTCCTTCGAATCACATTCGTCAATGGTTTTTTGTTTCGTTTATTTTGCGTTTTGCTGTTTGCTTTACGAAGTTTGTTTACATTTGACTGTAGAATTACGTGTTTTGGACCGTGATCGATTATGGGAAAATAATGGACCGGCAAAAATGTTTTTGAGCCAATCAAAACGCATCATTTAGCCGGAAGTGACGCTTGCCATATAATAATAGTTTTTAAAAAACACAACATTAAAAATTTCGAAATAATCTATACAGCTATTTATATAAATTATTTTAGGTGAAAACGAGTTCTAAAAACGCTCTTTTGTACAACGAAAGTTGTGATATATTGATATTGGTCTCAGGTCAGAAGTAGTTGAGACGTTGAGACTACACTAGAAGAAAGTATGACAAAGCCTTTCTCTGCGTCCACTTAATAATGGAATACCTGTTGTAATTCGTGCGTACAGAATACGTCAATCTAAACATACATCCACAAGCCTTTACTAAACTGGAGCAAATCTGATATCAGATCTGGGAAAGAGCACAAAATTTCAAGATCTAAAGCTTTACCTGTGATATCCACACTTTTACAAGTTTTTACAAAGAAGATATAAGTTTTGTGTTTGTTATTAACACATATAAAGTCAAAATACACGAACACATCTGTAATAATCAAAAATGGATACCTCTCGAACACTTACTACAGTGCAACATTTATCAATATACCTGGGAACGAGTGTACGTTTCGATAAGGCCAAAGCTAAGCTTCCTATTGGTCAGCGTCCACACACCGCGAAAGTTGTCACAGACCAAATTATGCGTAAAATCCTGCATAATAAATCATTGGTGGTTTCGTTTTCATTTCCTCAGTCAAAAAATGTAAACAACAAAACTAAAAAAGTATTCAAATAGTAATCATGACTATGCTTACTTCATCACTTGGAAATGAACTATCGTCTTCATCATTTCTCTCACGAGAGGTATCGAACTCTTTTCTATTGTAAACAAGCCTACATAATAAGCAAAATAGTGGTAAAATAAGCATACAACGTTGAAACGCTATTTGAAAGTCGACAACAAAATATACACAAAATATTAAATGGTTTTTATTGATAAACCGGTTTGGCCCATTGAACTCAATATAACAGAATGGACGGCTACTTCCCGCCAAAATTTGAAACCAGTACGTAATTGAACTAGTTCCTATCTTTCCACGTGAGGTCGAAAAAATTTACAACGACAATAAGCTAATATGTATTTTCTGGAGGTAAAATTTGCCTGAATGCTGGCGTAAGAATGTTACGTTGCCTTTCAGTAAGATTATAAGTTCAATGTTTGTCCCTATTAATCCTCAATACAATTATACAAATACATATATGTACACATGTATACATTACATACATAGACAAACATACCTGTCAACGTGTCCAAGGAAGAATTTGGATGGCTCTCTTTCAGCTTCTTCGGCTTTTAAAGCGTCCTGGTTGTGATTAAAACATATATTCTACAATTAATGATAAAATTAAAAAAATAAGCCGCAAGCCAAAACATATTTTTACCACCAAATAATCCGGTCGAGTCTCTCTCTCGCTCTCAACATCAACCTCCTTTGAAACTTGCTCAATGCCGACGACGTAGCAAGTGACATCATCGATCTCGCTGTCAAGTTTTATAATGCTCCAATTCGCAGCTGGTCTGCGGACTAAACAATCGTTGTGTTCGACAAGGCTAACTTTGTAGACGGCATTAAGACTTCCTGTACCAAGATTCAATTCGGCCCCAAGTTGTCGTGTCACCGAGCCCCAATAAAAGACGCTCAGCTGGGGAAATTTCAAATGAAGTCCAAGGTTTCTGAAATTATAAATGGTTACAAATGCAAAACAAATTCCTAGTGTTTAAATTACTTTGATTGAACCAACAGCTAAATCATTGAACTAAAATACATGGAACGCTACCTGTAATAGAAAAGTCTAATAATTATTTGAAGCCAAATCTTACACCCAGACACGTGTGTGTAACTCGATCAATTGACAATTTACACTCCGCGAGACAATCAGGAAACACTACACACGCGTGTCTGGGTGTAAGATTTGGCTTCAATTATTTGCTTCAGGTAGGGTTCCATGTATTTTAGTTCAATGAACTAAACAGATAAATATTTTTGTATCTGCAGAGTTTTTCGACTTGGAAACCATATCCTTCCCTAGCACAAACCTGTAATGTCGACTCAAAGGTTTTTGTTGAGGCTGCATTCTGTTAAAAATTGCTCCTTTTCGTATAGGACGAGAGACATTTCGCCAAACAACAGCCTGTTTTCCAAAGAAACAATCTTTGTATCGCTTTTAAAACGCTAGACACTAATTCGCCACATCTTTTTGTTTTCAGCTAGACAATAACTTTATGAAGTTACCTGAAAATTTTGAAACCATCGAAAGGTGCTTGCAAATAGCAGTACTCTGGGCGCATCTTTTTTCTACAAGGATTTCAAATGGCATTAAACTTGAAAACGCTACGAGAATGCTTTAGTTCCCTCATAAAACAAAAAATTGGTAAGTAGCAGACATTACGAAGGTGAAGCAAGGAGACAATCGCTTCCCAGCCCAACAGCTCCCCCCCCCAAAAAAAAAAAAATTATTGAAGATATTTCTTACGAACTTCAGCATGGTAAAAAGTTTGATACCTTGAGTTTTTTAGCGTCAACGTCAAAAGACAAATCCAGACTGATATTTTGAGAGCGAAAGGCAGCGTACGAATCATGAAGCTAAAATAACAAGTCAACGAAGGTGTAAAATTAATAAAACTATTTAAATTAATAAAAAACACTTGAGAAAAACGACGATTTTTTTGAGAGCAAACATGTTTCGACATTATCAGAATGCCATCTTCAGTGCAGAATGGTTAGTGTTAGGTAATATGATACGTAATATGATATAAATACATTAATTACAATGAATAGGATTATGATTCAGTTAGTTACTAAAAAATATTTACAAAAAAGGAAAAGAAAAATAAGTATTAAGAACTTATAACAAAAAATATTATTATAAATATAATTAAAAATAAAACTAATCCCGATTTAAATATCCAAGTTCACCACTACAACACTATATTTACTTTATAATAATATTTTTTGTTATAAGTTCTTAATACTTATTTTTCTTTTCCTTTTTTGTAAATATTTTTTAGTAACTAACTGAATCATAATCCTATTCATTGTAATTAATGTATTTATATCATATTACGTATCATATTACCTAACACTAACCATTCTGCACTGAAGATGGCATTCTGATAATGTCGAAACATATTTGCTCTCAAAAAAATCGTCGTTTTTCTCAAGTGTTTTTTAAAATTGCTGCTAATTAGAAATTATATTAAATTAATAACATTTGAAAAGACAAATTATGTTTTACCATTCCAGAGGGAAGTTCCGGTAGTTTATCAGGGGCACAAGGATGGATATTATAGTGATTGTTTGCATCACCTCCATCTCTACAATGCCATTCAAGATCCGCTCTATGGATATATAATATAACGTCATAGTTATTACGTCATGTGATTAAACTCCCTCCGCATATACATGGAGATAGAAAACAAAAACCTGAATTTTAAGGCAGGTAAGTGAAGGACGCAACAATCATCGTATTTTGAGGCTGTCCTTGTAGAAAGGTCGAGATCACCAAAAATCTGGAAGCAAGCTGCAAGGTAAGAATTTCTTCCAGTATTGGACGATTTTCGGTTCCGCAACAAATGGATTTTTACGTTACATGCACCAACTATGTTTTAGCTATGCAGTTTGCATGAATTCCAACTTCTCAGATCTCAATGAAAAGTGGTTGGTTTCAAATTTACTCAACAGGTAGAAATATTTCATGAACAACTCTTCCACATCTTTAACATACAACATCTTTACATACATTCCGCATGTACAAAAACTCACCATTAGTCCACTCAAGTCCCGCATCTTTCAACTCTATTTCGAGCAGTTCGGACTTATCATAAGGATTTCTCGTAGCTCGCCAGTTGAGTTGGCATTCGTCGATGTTCATAACAAGTTTTCCATGAAGCAACAAACGCATCTGAGAAAATAGAAAACATAGTGTGATGAAAAATTGATGAAAATCCAGAATATACACATACAATGCGATCGTTACACATAATCTTTCTTTAACTATGGACCATCTTATAATTTGACTAAAGGACAATCATATAATATAACTGATTGAACGTTGCATAATTCAAGTGATGGACAACAGTATAATTTAGTCGATGAACCATTGTATAATTTAACTGATGATCATTAGTGCAGTCTATTATATTGAATTGTAGAATTCAGTTAAGTATCATGCAATATTATAAGATTGGGGAGTGCAAACAGGGCAAAAACAGTTCCTACCTTATCCCAAAATGGTAATCCGAGACTAGGATCAACACTAGCGCGATTAATGTGTTCTACAAACAGGAATACATTTTGAAAATCTCTTATAAAAGCTTGTCATACACCAAAGACAAATGCAGCAAACACAGTTAACACTAGAGAGATTATCGCCTTCTTAACAAAGATCCATAATTCCCAGAAAGAGAAGGAAGGAGAGGTGAGGAGAGGAGAGGAGAAAGGAGGAGAGGGGAGGGCTTAATACATACAATGCACACCATTGTCAATCATAAACTGCTACCTCCACTCCACCCCACACAAAAGAACCACAACTCACTGATAAAAGGGAGGGGTTAAAGCAATGCACGTGTACAAATTCATTGTCTTGACATATTCATTTTCAATAACAGGAGTTTCTGTGAGCATCTGTTAAATAATCTAAAAAAGTGAATTTTCAGAAAGTGTTTATAGAAAGACTCAGTACCAAAAGCGACGCCAACCATGGTATACGCAGGTTGTATGTCAACACCCCAGGTCATCTCAAGTCTTCGGAAATCTGGAAAAAACGTGCTTTGAAACATGTTTCGAAAACGCGATTCAACATGAAAACAATTCGTTAAAAAAAAGACAAATTACCGAAAGTCAAATCGTGGAAATACTTCAAAGGTTTCATTCCACGAATTATTTCCTTGTCACCCCAAGGCTGACGTATTTTTACGACACTTGTTCTTGTAGCTGAGGAAACAACATATGCATAAAAATCGATGCTATAGAATGATAACTGAATGCTATTTTTACCTCTGTCGCGTGACACTTGCTCCGCACCAATCAGTTGCCCAGATATTGTAACTGCCTCGCATTGAAACAACGGCTGTTCGTAATCACGAAGAGTGAACTAGAAGAGTGATAACATCGCTATAGTGCGTATTACATAAAGTGGAGGGTCAAAAGCATGGTTCTGCGACTCAATGGCAAAAAAACATTGAGAAGAAAGAAGAAAAAACAAGAAGACAATGTTTATATGTAAAAAATCGTGTTATTGACTATGTGACGAGGCAGGACATACATAAGGTATTACTCACAAACATTACCCCGTAAAAAGATTATTATCCTGTGCACAGATGCAAAGTAACTATTTTTGTTCGTTATCGCCAATACGAATACAGCATGATCTCGGTTCGATATAATACAGTTCTCACCCTTATATGATAGATCAGTAATATTCACACCGACATGTAACGTCCCTAAAAGTAAAGTTTAAACATACCTTTGAAGATGAAACAGTCCCTTTAATGTAACGAGACCAAAGGCTTGTAAACTGAATATCGGATGGCAGAGGACTAAATAGAGCCAAAGATTAGGTCAATGATGTCATAATGGTTAGGTCATGATGCCCTCAGGAGAATTCTGACGAATTATCATTTGAAATACCTCGCATTATCAATACGCTTTATATCAGGAATAATTCTATCCCTTCCATTCATTGATTCATCCGCGAGAACCATTAAATCCACGTTTTCGAATGCCCAACAACACAAGCGTGTACGCTTGTCCACTTCGTATAACTTCTAAAAAAATTTTAAACAATCTCTTTTGAAATATGCTTTTTCACATAAAATGGAATATTAAAAAAAAACTATTAAAAAACAGCAATCAAAAGCCCCAATAAAAATTAGATTATGTGCATCTTTCCAAGCAGTAAATCATTGATTTGCTAATCGTTGAGTAGCCAATCCATAATGCCATGTATGGAAATACGTGTTGTAGTCTAGTCGAAATATGTTTTCCTGCAGTTTCGACCTCTATGCGTGCGTAAAATATAACCGAACTAATTCTTTACACAACCAACTAAAAATTCAAAAATTTCTGTATATTTTGAGGTGGAACCGATCGTGTAAGTGCTACATGTTTGTAGATGTAGATCGTCCAGGTTGGTATAGTCCTGAAAACGACTGTTTTTGTTGTTGTTGACTGACGTTTCGACAACCTTAGCGGTAGTCATCTTCAGAGTCAAAAAGCGGCAGTCATCTTAGCGGTAGTCATCTTTTTGACGCTAAGGTTGTCGAAACGTCAGTCAACAACAACAAAAACAGTCCTTCTCAAGACTATACCAGCCTGGACGATCTACATTTACAAACATGTAATAAAATGTATTCAGCACCATTTCAAGAAGACAATGTTAAAATTTATGTTAAATACATGTTAAATACAATGTTAAACTTATAAGGATTATATGATTTTCAGATTGTGTTGATGCGTTTCATAAGAATCAAAAATGCTTCAAGGCATCTACTTTCGACCTTTAATGAGATGGATGTATGTCAGAAGCGAATAATACGAGCGACTTTACAAAACTAAAGCTTAACCGTTCCATGTTTTTGTATCAAAGTCACTAATACACAAGAAGAATTTTTGAGTCATTTTTTGACTCTGAAGATGACTACAGCTAAGGTTGTCGAAACATCAGTCAACAACAACAAAAACAGTCCTTCTCAGGACTATACTAACCTGGACAATCTACATCTACAAACATGTAACGATACTCCAGGGTTCAAACCATTTACTTTATTACGTGTAAGTGCACTTAAGAACGCTTTAACTCGTTATAAGTCATACTTACTCACCAGTGACCTTTCGATGTAAATTTTCGATTTCTTTTCACTTAAACTAACGTACAGACTTTCCACCTTCTTGTCTACAAACATTTGATGAAAAACCAAAATATATTCCTGGTTTCTTCACGACAAGATAGCTACATACATAATACATACCTGACAGTAAATTGCCCGGATTCTTTCGTTTCTCGCTAATCCTCTCTTCCAACAGCCTTTCTCGTTCCGTCCATTGCAAGGCTTCGTCACAGAGTAACTGCAGGCAAAAGATTAAATTGAAGGAAGTCATTTTGATCCAAGGGTTCATCGGTTCATCCAAATTCGATAAAATGAAAGGCGAGGCCTTTCTTTGTCTTATCAAAAATACTCCACCTCATAATTTTTTCCAAGTTTCACTTCAAACGGATCATCTTCAATCTCAAAAGATAATTTCTAAAACAAACATAAACAAAAACAACCCATACTAGATAAGACAGGAGGAAATATTTGAACACAAATGGAAAAATTCAATTCATAAACAAACCTTAAGTTTCACCCAAACGTCTGCATAAAGTTCATCTTTATCTTTCACAATTGGACGTTTGTATAGTTGCCGCAGAAATTTGCTCACAATAAGCAATTTGTCAAATGACTCGGCAAAATTAAAGCGATAAGGGAAAAACACGTAAACATCACCTTCCAGCAACCTATAACGATACGTACATAACTAAAGTGTTCAATACTTGAAGGCAATCATTGTTGTCTTGTTGCAACTGCTGCATGTGTAAAGATTGTGTAAGTTTTTCATTGTTGTTTTGTTGCATGTAAAGATGGCATTAACTTTGTCATAGTTTTCTTGTTGAAATTTTTACATGTATAGAGTGGGTTAAACAAGTCATTGCTGTCATGATGTAATCGTTGCATGTAAAGATGGCATTAACTTTGTCATAGTTTTCTTGTTGAAATTTTTACATGTATAGAGTGGGTGAAACAAGTCATTGCTGTCATAATGTAATCGTTGCATGTAAAGATGGCATTAACTATGTCATAGTTTTCTTGTTGAAATTTTACATGTATAGAGTGGGTGAAACAAGTCATTGCTGTCATAATGTAATCGTTGCATGTAAAGATGGCATTAACTTTGTCATAGTTTTCTTGTTGAAACTTTTACATGTATAGAGTGGGTGAAACAAGTCATTGCTGTCATAATGTAATCGTTGCATGTAAAGATGGCATTAACTTTGTCATAGTTTTCTTGTTGAAATTTTTACATGTATAGAGTGGGTGAAACAAGTCATTGCTGTCATGATGTAATCGTTGCATGTAAAGATGGCATTAACTTTGTCATAGTTTTCTTGTTGAAATTTTTACATGTATAGAGTGGGTGAAACAAGTCATTGTTGTCATAATGTAATCGTTGCATGTAAAGATGGCATTAACTTTGTCATAGTTTTCTTGTTGAAATTTTTACATGTATAGACTGGGTGAAACAAGTCATTGTTGTCATGATGTAATCGTTGCATGTAAATATTCAAAGACCAAAAACGGTGAGAACTGAGTATGATTATTTTTAACGAGTCTAAACATGAAGCTTTCATCTGTAATTTTTTTACCACAAAAACCTTAACTGAATCAAAATACTTTTTACGGAAATCCATTCAGTTTCATGCAAAGAAAAAAATTATACATACCATAAATTGTTGATGCCGTTCTCAAATCCTTCCACGCTATTACGCAATGACGTCACGTCGTTATTTGATCGCATTCGCTTCAATAACAGTGTCTTTAGCGAGACGATTATTTTCCCATCAAACAAGACATCAACTTTGGAGCTTCTAGCGTTCATTTCATGATCGTCCAGCGATAGTACTGCAGAAAACTGCAAGCCAAAACTGTAAGAAAAACATCTCAGATTAGGAAGTATGGATTTTGCCTATTCGTACGTATAATGTTATACCCAGAAGTGAATTTTCTGTGAAGGCATCCGGGGTAACACACCTATAAAATTTTCTAGCATAACTAGAAAAATTCCAAAGTAGCTCATGTACTGTAGGATATTATTATAATATTTTAGCGATGTCTACGTAAACATTGGTGTACCGGATATATCAAGTATAACAACCCATCCCATCTTATATATATTCCATTACATCAAGTATAACAGCCCATCCCATCTTATATATATTCCATTACATCAAGTATAACAACCCATCCCATCTTATATATATTCCATTACATCAAGTATAACAACCCATCCCATCTTATATATATTCCATTACATCAAGTATAACAGCCCATCCCATCTTATATATATTCCATTACATCAAGTATAACAACCCATCCCATCTAATATATAGTCCATTACATCAAGTATAACAACCCATCCCATCTTATATATATTCCATTACATCAAGTATAACAGCCCATCCCATCTTATATATATTCCATTACATCAAGTATAACAACCCATCCCATCTAATATATATTCCATTACATCAAGTATAACAACCCATCCCATCTTATATATATTCCATTACATAAAAGACACGCCATATATCCGATGCAAAAAAACTTAGAAAGTACTTTTACATTAAATAGAACACATGCCACATTACCACACATCTTTCAACAACAAGGTGTTACGATGAAAGACATGTTGTAGCGCAAAACCAGACCTCTGAAAGGTTCATTGAGGCTTAAAGCGATTAGTTGAAACGTTAAAATGACACCTGTTAGCAGCTGAAGTATTCATCGTAAAGTTGACGTCTTGCATGGTGATCTGAAGTTGACTATATGACAAAGTTACACTTTCTCTCGTATCTTCCATTGAGGAAATCATTCCTAATAGCGAAGAAGCTAGCTAGTCAAATTGTCTCAAGTGCTCCTTACAAACAAAAGATCAACGTATTTACCTTTTAGTTCTGTGGTATCCTCCATTATCCCAGATATCGCATCATGTAGCACCATGTGAGATTCAACGTCCCAGTTGACTTTAATAGTTGAAAGATAAACATTGGCATCCTATATTTGATGGAAACGCAATGCACGTAACATCTTATGCAATGAAATCGATAAAATACTTTTTACGTAAAATATACAATAGTTGGAAATGGAGGGCTTCATAGGGATTCAAAGAGATTAGAATTTCTAGCGTTCAATATCAATACTCGACCCTCTCTATTCTCTGATGTACCTCTAAGTTGATCTTGGCGGCCGCAGAAGTCAAAGACAACAAACTTTCCGCAACTTCTGACGATTTTGAACAGCAAAACGACTTCTAAGACAAAATTTGCAGAATATAAGAGACGTTACTAGCGACTAAATACGTTTAAGTCATTAACCTCTTCGAACACTTCAAGTCTAGCAATCTTAAGCTCATGTGCACCAATCTGTATCGCATCAATTTCTTTCTTCACAGATACCATATCAATGCGAGCAAACATAGAGTCTATACCATCTAAAGGAGAAACAGTTTCATTGTTTAAACGTTACTTGTCAAACTGAAATATCAAACGACCTTTTGGCGAGAAAGCCTCAACGCATAGATGATGTCATACCTTTGCATTTTCCGACGAACACAATATTTATATCGTGGATAGAGAAATCATAATTGAATAAGACTACAAGAAAAAAATTTCACAACTGTACAGAACGAATATCTGTGGGATCGACAGCTGCGACTGTGGTGCTGGTGTGTGTGTGGGGGAGGTTGACAACTATCCCTGTGGTGTTGGTGGGTGTATGAGGGTAAGAGTTGACAACTATCACTGTGGTGTTGTTGGTGTGTGTGTGTGGGGGAGGTTGACAACTATCCCTATGGTGTTGGTGGGTGTATGAGGGTAAGAGTTGACAACTATCACTGTGGTGTTGTTGGTGTGTGTGGGGGGAGGTTGACAACTATCACTGTGGTGTTGGTGGGTGTATGAGGGTAAGAGTTGACAACTATCACTGTGGTGTTGTTGGTGTGTGTGTGTGTGTTGAAACTATCACTGTGGTGTTGTGTGAGGTAGGTTGACAACTATCAGGTGTTGGTGTGTGTGTGTGGGAGGTTGAAGGTGTTTGACAACTATCACCCTGGTGTTGGTGTGTGTGGGGGAGGGTTGACAACTAACACTGTCCTTTTGGTGTGTGTATGTGGGGAGTTGATGTAACTATGACAGTGGTGCTGATGTGTTTGTGTTTGTGTGTGGGGGTTGACAACTATCACTAAGGTGGAGGTATAGAAAACAATGACTGCAAAGGATAATGCAATAAGTTGTTTGCTAATACCTAAGATGTCGACGAAAAATTATTAAAATGTTTAAAGTAAGCTTTATATACCACGAGAGTTGACGAAAGTCTTTTTCTTCGAATCATGTGAACGCGTTGTTTGTAGAAGCTGTTTTATATTTCCAATATTTAGTAAAGTAACCAAGCGTTGCTTTGTTTGCATTGAATACTCGATTATCAATGATGATGAGTCGCATTTTATCACGACTGATCGTGGATTGAAGGTTGAATCCTCTTTAAAATCCATATTGCACTGAGAAAGTTTATAAAATATTAAGGCAGTTCAGTCAGATTCAAAAATGGTGCATGAATATGACCTCAAGAAATGTAATAATTATTTTACAGTCGAACAGTCAAAATAACCAAATCATTGTCACACACCTTGACACTTGTGCTTCCCAGCTCAAACATCCTGCCCCACAAATGCTTTTTAGAGCTAGGCAGTATTGATGGAGTATCTTTAACAAAATGCCAACTTTTTCTTCATCTGTTACGTTGAAATACACATAGAAATTTTCGAGTCGTGCGGAAAAACTAAACACGACAGAAAAAAAGAAAAGTCCACCAGACGATACAGACATGTTGATGAAAAATTTGGTGATTTAAAGAGTTTCTCGTGTTCACACACGATACACTGACACTTACAAAGCTTTCTTTTTTTCGTCCTGTAAGTCTAAAAAAATAACGATGTTATCATTAACATGGCCATCATCAACATTGTTATCATTAACATGGCCATCATCAACATTGTTATCATTAACATGGCCATCATTAACATTGCTATCAGTAACATTGCGATGAGATACAGTTACATTGCAGTCAACATGATTGTCCAGACGTATATCATTTGTCTTTATCATGATTACCACTTGTCAGTAACATAGTTGAAAGTAAAATTCGACATTGTCAGTATAATTTAGTCAGCTATACTTTCATTCTATAAAGTCGATAAGATAATAAAGGTTACAAGCAATCATAGATACCTTGTTTGTAAAGTTGAAAATTTGTCACAAGCGACGCCAAAACAGCCTTACAAAGCACCGTATTTGAGGTGGATTCGTTGAGATTCATTATAAAATCATCAATTTCCAAAATATTTTCAACACGATACTTGCTAGAAAGATCTGACAAGGTTTTGTTGGACCTGCGAAATTTCAAACTGCGTCAAAAAATACCCTAGTCTGATGTCCTCTAACATGAGTGATTTTATGTTCAAACTTGACCTCTTAAGTAGTACAGACTAGCGTCTTTAATTGAACTTATCTGATGTCATTTCTTAAGTCGATGTGCATATTAAAGTTTAGTGGATTCATTAAGAAAGAGTTGATGTCAAAACTACAGTCTATTGTTTTATCAAGAGTGATCTGATGTTCAAACATCAACTTTTGTTTACCTTTGTTTTCGTCATTTATATTTTGTCGTAAAGGTAAAATGTTTGTCCAATGAATTACTTCTTCGTGATCATATTTACATTGACAGGAGGCAAGATAAATTCTCGTCCATAAACAGGGCAACAAGCTGTCTCTCTCCTTAATCTACAAAATACAACGAACGTTATTTCCTGATCGACGAACGTCTTACGAGGAAAAAAGAACTATAAATTAAAAAATTATAAGATCACCTTGAGCGCCAGGAGAAAATTGCTGAATGACAAAAGTTCTTTTGAGCCTCTCGATTTCATTTCAAAACCTTTCGTGAACAATTAATTTTAAATTAGTCTAGGGCTCTACTTTAATAAATACCGTCAACTAAAAGTCGAAAAATAAACAAAAATCAGTTCTGACGAGACGAAGGTAAAATCCTGACTTTAATCTTTCAAACTGGTCTCACCATTTAGTTGTAACACCAATGTGTCCAAAATTGACCACGACACCAAATCATCACTGAGTGTTGCGGTAAGACTAACATTTTTTACATAGAACGACAGTTCCCTGAAGAAAATAAAAACATTTACGTTTGTTTAGCAAAAGAGCAAAAGCGTCAAAATCGATATGAATAAAATAAAAAGTTGCAACTCTTAAGTTTAACCTTTGCTCCTCATCACATATGAACAGGTCAAAACTTTTTAATATCACGTCAAAATTCTGCAACATGAAAGAAACACACAATTTACAACTACATGCAAACATCGTTCACACATCTAACATCGAATATACAAATGATGACATTGTAATGAAAATTTCTACATATATAAGACTCGGGATTAAAAAATTCAGATACCTTGGATGAGTAACGTAAAGGTGTATGTGATCCTGGTGGATTTTCTCGCCCAGATACTGCTGGAAGTTAAGTATGGAGAATTGTTTCCAATACTACATAGCTACTTACACGAAAACATTACGGAGCAATTGCATACCAGAAACTAAAGAGTCTGCCTTGTTTCTTGATGGCCGAAGTTGATCCATTTTCTTGAAGAAGTCTAAATTTGAGAAAAAATAAGGAAAATTTAGAGAGAAAAACTTCCACTCACAAATCTTTCTAATAAACAGTTTCCCTTCATATCTATGCCTTCTTGTTCAATCTTACATGTACAAATCTTTCTAATCAACAGTTTCCCTTCATATCTATGCCTTCTTGTTCAATCTTACATGTACAAATCTTTCTAATCAACAGTTTCCCTTCATATCTATGCCTTCTTGTTCAATCTTACACGTACAAATCTTTTTAATCAACAGTTTTCTTTCAAAGCCTTTCTATTCCCAACATAGATATAATGCGAAGTCAAGCGAATAGCTCGAAACAAGAGCGCAAGAAAGTTTTGTTATTTACCATCAGCCAAAGATACGCGAATTGGATCAACCTTCACACTGAGATCCTCCTGAATAAAAAAAAAGAATAAAAATACTCAGAAAAACTCAATTGCCACGTCACTTCCCATGAGTTACAAAAACAAAAACCTGTGTACGTTGTATCTAACATAAATCAGAGCTTGAGATTTAACGGCTTTGTAAAAGTAAAATCGTAGTTCAAGGTACGGTAGTTGGTAGTTGAGAGAAGTTTTAGAAAGCAAGCAAAGCAAATACCATAAGTCTTTCTGCCTCAACGGAATTTAAAGACCCTCCGACTACAGCACTAAACGTCACTTCGCCCAAAGTAATATCTTGAAAAATATCCATCTCCACCTGAAATGCATTTTGAACAGATCATACAGAATACGTATATTATGAAATACAATAAAGGCAGCAGAAGCATTCTTTTGACGACAATATTATAAAGGAACAGTTAAGAGCATCATTATATTATAAAGATCGTTCACAAAAGATGTTTAACCTCCTTAGCTTGGTGAAGCTTCAATACACACTTAGTCATCTTTACGGAGAAATTCAAACACCTGAAAAAACATCGCACGAGATGAAGTTTAGGGAAGTTTTAAGTGCATGATGTAAAAGTTTTCAGAACTCCAAAAACCAAAACAGATTTTGTGGAATGAGTATGGTTGAGATGTTTTCAATGGAGATGCTGTTCATTGAGATGTTGTGAATGGAGATATTGTGAATGGAAATATTATAGAGATGTTGTCAATAGAGACGTTTTCAATAGAGATGGTGTCAATAGAGATGTTGTCAATAAAGATGTTGTCCTTGAACGTGCAGGCATTGGAGATGTTGTCAATGAAGATGATGTCAATAGAGATGTTGTGAATAAAAATGTTGTCAATAGAGATGGTCTCAATCAGCGTGACCATACGTTGATCCGTGAACAATGCTTCCTCCTGTTCCAAATGTTACTATTATTTAATCAAGTGGGACTGTCTAGGTACCAGAGCAGATATGGTAATAAAATCTTCCAGGTCTGGTCACACTGGTGTCAATAGCAATGTTGTTGATGGAGATGGTGTTAACTGAGATGTTGTCAACAAAGATGTAGTCAATGGAGATGGTGTCAATAGAGATTTTGTCGACAAATATTTTACAAATTTGTAGATGTAGATCATCCTGGTTAATTAAATCCTGAAAGGGATTGGTGGATTTGATGTTATGTGACGTCTTAACAACCTTCTCTTGTCATAACAGATGTTGTCAATAAAAATGTAGTCGATGGTGATGTTGTCAATGGCAGAATTTTACCTGTGATTAGGTTCACATACAACTTGTATACTCTTGGGAACTTGGAATATGACATTGAACAACCTTTGAGGTCTATCCTGCATAAAAACATCCATGGAACGGACATAGAAGCCGACATACTAGAGAATTAACATTTTCCAAGAAAATATGATAACAAGCAGGGATATTGCATTTGACATCAACTTGTCTACCTGGGTGACAGTTTTAATTATGCTAAGAAATTTTTGAGAACCACCATTGTCTAGAAGAAACAAAAAATTCTTTCATAGTACATTAAAAGTGAACCTGAAGCCAAAACAGTTATAAACAATAATCATTACCGTTTTGTTGCATTGCACGAAAGTTTTCAGCCTTAATTTCGGTCTTCTTCTTTTTGGCAACAATACTGACATGCCCAAAACAAATCATTAGTGGCCGCCTTAAATGTACAGAAAATACCATGTAAAATAATTTGATAGTGAGTTCGCAAGCTGGTGATAAATATCTTACCTCGACGAAGGAAAACTCCATTTTGTTCTTAATATGATATTCTTGATAACCTATGAAAAACAAAGCACCTCATAACTCCCCGAGTTATCTCACTCACAAAATAAAATTAAAACTGAAAAGCAGATGCAGCCACAGTGGGATAAGAACTTATGCTAGTCCTTCAAGGATAAAAGAACATGAGACATGCATTCCCATTTGTATTGCTAGTAGTGGAATGTGTCTCAGGACATTATAGACAGACTATACCACTCATGACATGTAACAATAAACAAATAGCCCGGAATATTTTGACAATACATAGAAGAAATCATTTGATATCAATCTAAACATTGAATGCAAGTTGGAAATTCTTATGCTATATTATACGTCAACCAGAAAGAGAGAGTTATTAAAATACTTACAACTGAACTTTCTCCAGAACTAATTTTAACGCCATGAAGCGTTAAGAAACGAGCTCCTTCAATTTCTATGTTAACCTTGAACAGCCTCCAGAAAAGCCATTCTAGGCACCTTGCAACGACTCTACGATAAAATACCATCCGCATAAATCAAGTTATTTTGCCTGCGTCGTATCATAACTACACATAACTTATCTCTTAAAGATAAGTTGTTTATATTTTTATAGTCTGACTTGCACAAGACTAAAGGCTTACTTTCCAAGAATAAAGAAAAGGAGTAAGGCCAGCAAGAGAGCAATACAAATAAAACTTGTAGGAGAAAAGTACATCGTTTCGTAAGGTTAAAGAACCTTCGAAATGTATTGAAATTAGAAAGAATTACATTCTTCTGCAAACCTTCGACCCCTTCGACAGTGGTAAACTAAACTGCGCCCGCGATACATGCGTGGAGGAAGTTGGGAATGGGAGGAGGCATCTTCATCCTACCCTGCCCAATGGTTTCACTATTAATTTCACCCCCGGTTTCACCCTGCTATTTCACCACTTTACAACAAAAGCAAAATGATATTTAGTGAATTTTTTTCATATTATTTGTAGTCTATTTATGACAAAAGTCCATGAAACGGCTCTTGTGGACATCAACTTGACGAGGCTCGTGTGTCAACGTAAAGATATTCATTCATTCATTCATTCGTTCGTTCGTTGATTCGTTCATTTGTTCATTCGTTTATTTGCTCTTTCGTTCATTCATACCACAAGAAAATATTTAATTTTGTTGTTTGTAAAGTTTATTTCACCACCCTAGAATTCTAATAAAATTTTCACCATGTAGGTAGCTGTTTGACAAATCAAAGCAATACATGACCGCGTTTACACTTCAGTAGCTTAAATGAAAATTATATTCTACAGACATTACTTTCCACAGTTTTAAAATATATTCAAACAATAAGCACAAATTACAACATATTTACTTTATAACACTACGGCTTTGAAATCCATTGAGATTACAAAACACACTCCATAGGCATTATGATAAACTCAAGATATGAATGGTAGAAAACAAAAGAGATAAGAAAGACGTCTAAAGCAGTATTTCGTTTTGATTTCAAAGTCAAAGTCAAAGTTTTAGTAAAATAGTTGGGACGCGCTTTTCCGATGGAATATATTTCATTGTCATTCACTCTGCAAACCTTCGCAAAGTAGCGCTTCAGCTCTGTATTTCGTAAAATTGTCATGAATTAAAGATATTTCTATTGCAAACCATCACCAACTTCTCGCCATCTTGTAAGCAGAAAATATTGTTGCAAACAGACCTTACGCAAGAGGCACAGCAAGAAACATAGAACTTGTCATTTATAAACACTAGTAAAAAGGGGACACATTATTTCTATTCCAAAACGTTAAATACGTAGAAAATGGCCGTCCGATGACACAATTAATGAAACAAGATGTGTAAAGGGACAATGACAGACTTGAGGGACAATGACAGAGGTTAATCGATTGGTAATTTCCAAGGCTTGTTGAAGCGACATGAGGTTTTCTTATAATCAGGGGCGGATCTAGGATTTTTCAAACATCAGTCATAAAACGTCGAAGGCGCTCCGCACCTGTGGGGGTCTGAGGCATTCTCCCCTGAGAAATTTTGAATTTCAGAGCCTTGAAAATGCCATTTTCAGCGTTTTAGAGCAATACAAAATGTATTTGTGGGCATCGTTTTTGCGTAAAAACAACACATTTTGCTTACGTTTTTTTCAAAAAAAAATGAAGTGAACAATACTTGAATGTTTTGCCAAATATTTAGGCTCATTATCATGCCAAATATATGGCTCATTAGCATGTCTAGGAACGTAAAATTTATTTTACAATAATGCTATTCAAAAACAGATATAGTCTTTAAAAATTTCTACCAAGTTGTCAGGCATAGACCCCCCTAGAGACACCCATTCAAACCTCTATGTAATGAGTTTAGTTAAGTTAGAAATTTGGTACTACAAGTGACAGTTCATAGATATAGAAAAGCTCAGACTTCAAACAATGCAAGTTTATTGTAACCCTTTACCCATCTCCACATCAGTGCCAGCAAATTCACCTTTTGAGAAAAAACTCAAAATCTTTTTTCTGCCAAAGGTTAAGCAAAAATTATCAGAGTGAAAATTTGCAGTTAAGGACAGCTTAATGCCATAAATGTTTATTAGGCATTTCACTAGACTATTATCTCCTCTAAGTATATGCAAGGTGTGCTATATAGCAATCACTAGTAGCATTGTATTTGCAAATACAAACAGAATGTAACCAACATGTCTTTAATTATATAATTACATGAATGTTAAAATTGGTTCATGTGTGTCATGCTTACTGGTTATGATAAATATCTTTTCATATGATCAAAGCTTGTTTAAATGTAAATCAGAAATAATTTAGTTTAGAAATTATAATGATCATCAGAAAAATTACCTAGTGATCATGAAAAATACTTTGCTGTTTTGCGAAATTTCAAAGTTTATCTGCATACATAGAAAGACATTTTTACTTTATAGAAAATGCTTTTCATACATCAATAGCCCTTTGGAATTTATGGCAAACAATCTGGTATGAGCCGTAGATTAACACACCTTTACATCTCTACATGAGGTGTTCAGTTAGAAAAGGGGACAATATGTGACATGGGACAACATTCCATGTATGTGAAATACAGGTTTAATACCATTCCAGTCAAATTGTCAAAATAAAAAGCTTCATGGATCAGAAGACTCAAAATCACAGGTTATAGTAAACAGCTTCTCATGTAATCAATGTTAGTTTTCTCAAATCTTAAACAATATGTAGTATAACTGTCCAATGATTGAATGATCAATGATCATAAACTGAAAACCCCAAACATTTGTTTATGATAAAGTAAATAATAGTATGGCGCCTTATGGCTACAGATTTTATGTCCATTGAAATATATTGGCAGGAATGTAGGATTTCGCTGCCATATAACGGCCACGATTCCCAAGCACTAAAGAAATCATAGCTAAAGTCCTTCGTCAACAACAATTTTAGAAGCATCGATCTGCTTACCATACGCCATATTGACATAAATCGCATCACACTCGCATAAATTGACTTTGATATATTACATTCATGCATACACTTCAATTGTCCTTTACTTACGATTTTGGATGTAAATTTCTGCTGATAAAACTCAAAACAATGTTGGCTTTCTTTTGAACATCAATGACTGAAATGTCGCTCATGAGATCGTCTTTGCCAAGCATTTAAAATTTATCCATAAATTTTCACCCTCTTGAAAAATTCACATTTTGGACAGCAGCATTCATGTCAATATGAATTTGTAAAAGATTTCCATAAATTCCATCTGATTGTAGTTTAGTTTCTATCATGGTTATAAAAATTACTATAAAACGATCAAACATTCAATTCAGACAGTGAGCTTGACTATGCTAGTTCAGTTGGCTATCAGTCGAAATCCGTCAAACCAATCACAATAAAGCAAAAATTCAAATGAACCAATTGTAAGATAGCAATTGGACTCCCTTATACGTCCGGCCACCCTTATTATCAGTCGAGACCATTCCAGACTGTCCTCTGATCTGGCTATTGACCAATAAAATAAGCGTTTTTGACGTTCATAGACTCCTTTATCCGTCGAACCAGTCAAGCCACCTCGCTTATCAGTCGGTTATTCCAGGTCAATTAAAATTCAACTGATCTGGTTACCAACGAGATATTCATTGGATTAGTCATTAGTTTTCAATAATAAATAGTGCGGGATTTTTATCACGAAGTAAATGCGATAAGAAAATAAGAATAATTAATGGCTTTTTAATTAATATGAATAGGTAATTTTTGAATTTCAAACATCAGTCGCGCGACGGATTTGACATACTCTAGATCCGCCCCTGCTTATAATCTCGTTTTCATTATTCGTAATTTAATTCTTATATTGTATACATGTGTTCCTATGTAAGCAAAGGGAAAAAGCGAGCTCAATCATTTTTTGATAGTTCTACCCAAGAGGAGTGAAACAAATTAAAGTTAAATCTTCTATAATATACTCATTTGAGAAAATACACTGTATTAGTGAGCTGAAAAAACCTGCAAGTACGCAATCAATAAAGGAGTTGCCAAATTTTTGCGCAATGAGTTATGAGGCCTATAGAGTTTGACGTAAATCTTACAACTTTCCCGCGACTTCCTGTAGGATAGAATAAAGGCTATTTACCACTCTTGTTACGTGTGTCCAGCTATTAGCGTCAAATACTAATCAATATCGCAGGCAATCAGCACTTCAGTTACGTGTGATTTTCAACAAATTTGAATGAGAAAAATTGCATGAAATCATGAAAAAAGGATTGCAAGCCATTTACGACTAAATTCTCTCATGTCTCAATAGAACCATCGATGTGCGGTTGCATATTATTCATGAACAAATGAAATGCAACAGTTCATTTATACAGTTCAACAGAATAAATATAATTAGAAATGCAATAAAAGCACTTTTCATCAGTAAGATTATTTCATAAGTTAATCATTTTGACTTGAGACCGAGTTGCCTTATGAAAAAAATACTACATTATCTAATCATTACAAACATGCAGTAGTGCACATATTCTGAAAATTCGGGTCGTCATTGTTTCTACAAAACAACTAAAGCACTATTTTTAGGTTGTAATCAACATGCTGAGTTTTAGAAAAAAATGTCACTCGCCTACGTCGGCTACTGTCCTGGCATCAGTAACGTAGTGGAGGAGGATGGGGGGCTTCTATAACATATTTGGTGTGGAAATAATATGTTAAATGATGCCATGACTGCAAACCTAACTTTCCCATTGATTCTTGTTAGCATTTTCCACCGCTTTTTACAAGTAATCAATAAAACATGGCGGCCTTCTAACCGTCTGAGGTCTTTACCTCTAAACAAACACTACTTAACGAGCATCTTATTAATAGCAATGATTTAATGTTCTTTTATACAAGACCACAAATATGGTTGATGTACCAAGCAGGCATTATGCGCATCTAACAAATATTGTACATATTAAAAAGTCGTCGAAGTTTTTGCTAATGTCTCATTCTTTTTGTTAAATAAAGCCTTTTTAAAAAACGAAAATAGTCAAGCACTTCCTACAACAATCGTATTTGACGAATAATGAGAAGCGAATGACCTAAACTATGTAATTGTGACGAGTTTAATCACGCAAAGGTAAATGTTTCGCGTAATTATTGACTTCCAATGACATCACCGACATGCGTTTGTTGCATAAAACAAATAGTATAAATAGGTTGCCTGCCATGAAGCAACAGGACATATATATCACAACTGATAGCAACGAAAGGAGTAACAACGAAAAAACAAGAACTTAGAATAACTGCTCTCTGATTGCAAAAATGAAGAAAAACTTTGCCTTTCAATTGTTTGTTTTTGTGGCAACTATCAGCATTGCTTATGGATATCCATGTACGTATCAAGAAATATTTCCTGAGTCTTTATTGCAGTTAAAGCTTTTTTGTATATTTCAGCTGCTTGAATGCATGCAGAACACTTTGCCAAATCATTTTGTTTTTGACTAACATTGAAGTTTTATTCATTGCTGTTAATGGCAGCATTCATTTCTTGCTGTTTCTGTAAAATGTATGATCATCATGCACTTATATTCCATTCTAGTTAGTCGCAAGTTGCAACTGACAATTTCTCAAACAGAGCAAGCGTGTAAAAAAGATCTGGAAGAGTGTACCGCGGGTGACCTGTGCTGTGGTTTTACGCATCGCTGTGATTTTCTTTACCCAACAGATAAAAGTAAGTTTAATGCTTCAGTTAAGTGAATGATCTTAGCGGAATAAATACACTAAAAATGCTTTCAATGATCACCACCGACAAAACTTGATCTATTGCCGTTGACAACTTTTTTCTCCCTACAATTACCGGCTTCACAAAGATTACAAATACTCTTATTACAGTTACACGCTGCATAGCTCCGCAAACTTGTGTGGTGGAAAATGGAATCTGTGGATCTGGTGATTATTGTTGCAAAGGTTTAGAATGTCGAGGTCAGTATTTGGAATTTGAAATTGTTAAGGACATTGCAACTATGTCATAAACCATGCGATAAACAATGCCAACGAATTGACATAATCTATGCAACGACTTACTTCATATTAAAAGAGCATGCGTCGATGTGCAGTACTTGTTTTTTCAAATGAAAATATGAGACAACACACGCAAATGAAAGATAAGTTTCATTTCTCAAAAAAATAATATTTGGCCCATCAAATTATTAAAAGAAAAAGTCAACGCACAGAGACATGGTTTGAACGTTAAATTGAGGAGTAAGGAGTTTCTATTCATATAATCAATTGTGACCGTATACACCAACTCAAATTAACATTTTAACATGACGTACTTTCCAACGTAATTAACTAAGAGGAAATTGTATCCAGAAAACTGTCAACTAATGTCGATGGGTTGACTTTAAACTTCAGAACCACAAGAAGATCAAGTTAAGTGCAAGAACAAAGGTTTCTTTTGTTACAAGCCGGAAGTTAGAAAAAAATGTCCGCTGACCTGCAGCTTAAGTGGAAAAGGTGAGCACTTGACATGCTTTGTCAAACTATTCTAAACGTTGATGTTATGCCAGTTATATCTAATTAAAAAACAACAATAATAGTTATGAAAAACTTTCGAAACGTGTTAACGGTTTCATCAAGTGATTAGCTGACAGATTTCTTTACATTTTCAAAAGAAAAATCAGACGAGTACAATTGAATATAGGGATATTTACACCCCAGTCCCCACTCTCCAATGTAGTGATATCCCTGGCAATCAACATCAGTTTCTTTCTTATATAGCAAATTACAGATGTCAACGAAGCTTAAATCAAACATCCGTTCAACAACAGCAAACGGGAGCTATAATGGCTTAACAATCGACGACAGCCCTTAAGTGATACCCTCGCTCTATTCAAAAACGCTGCTCAAAAACGAGTGTTTTTCATTACTAAGCATGTTGTGGGACAATGATTGAGGAAACTTTATTTATACCAAAATGAACAAAATTGAAAATATTTAACTGTAAGTCTGTAATTCTGTAAAGGAAGTACAAATATATTCAATAAAACAAGATTTAATAAACGTACTATGAAAATTATTTAAAACTGTTATCATGGTGTGATGAAGACGTTATGTATAGTTTCACAGGCTGGACCAGTGTACAGTACATTGACCAGAGCTGAACTACATAGACAATAGCTCGAACGACTTATACACGAAGATGATAGCTGTACCGTATATCAGGAATTCACCCTGGTTGTTGAGGGAAGAGTTCTCTAGTTTGGATTACATTTCGATGGCTACTTTTTTGCCTTACCATATCAGACATTTTCGTTGAATTATGTTGCTTTTTATTATGATTGATAGATTTTCGAAAGTGCGCTGCGTTATAAACGCTAATCGCAATTTCTTTGGTTTGATTGTTTGGCACATCAATGTTTTGTAAAACCACCTCATCTACAAGGCTAGGAAGGCATGCCACTCTTACAATACAAGTTTTTGAAATTTCGGTCCTGAAATGGGTATCTTGCTGCTTAAAATAAGCTATTTATTTTTTTTGTATGATTGAATCGGTTTTCAATGATCTTTGGTCACTGCTGTATTTAGCATATCTACACGAATTCATGTATTCAGATAAAGCCCTATCTTGCAGGGCTTATCTGGACACAGCCCTTAACAATCGTTTCAACTTGGATATCGCGCTTTAAACCTGTACCTAATTTACGTTCATATTTCACTCACGTTTGAATTACACTCATATTCTCAAGTACCCCCAACGAAGTGTTTCACAAGATACCGCCTCGTTACATGCGGTATCTAACGTCAATTGACTGAATCGCGGATTTCGTGCTCTTGACCAATCCAAAAAGCAAACTTCTTACCGATTAGAAGCTCCATCGTATTTAACAGCCCCGTGAAGATCGTCTAGCAACTTTGAACTCTAGAATTTGTTTTCTACATCTACAGGGAATGGTTTAGCTTTCATGGAGACGCCGTGCAAAAAAATTTGAATTTTAATTATAGCCGAATATCAAATACCTCTGGGATTTTTCACTCATTCTACTCGTACACTAATGGCATATCTTTATTGTTGGTGAATGCACCTTTTCTGTTTATAATTATTATAATTAATTTTGATACACACAAAGTTCTGCACGTATAGTCAAATTATTCCTTTGGGAAAGCCTCTTCAATCTTACATATAAAAGGTTACCTCGGCATTAAACACCAAACAGAATATCTAATGTTAATAAATGCCTCACCAATACCATCACCATCCAATATGTTGGATCGAACAAAATCGCATGGTGTCAGACAAAAAATGTATTTGTCTTGTTTGAACAGGCCCCTAAAATAATCTCCAATCTGCCAGCCTGCTAAATTAGGGTTATTGGACTTAGAAACTATGATTGATTAAATTATTATTGGTGAACAGACTTCAAAAACAATCCAAAGACTTGGCGAGGATCTTCACCTTCCGGACAACTGCAGTACATAAACATATACAGGAAAAGAATCAAAGTCAATTTCTGGCGTTAAAGCACGAATCATCTTGCACACTAAACCTTACAACAAATATTCACGCAATTTTTATCTAAGTTAAACACCTACGACTGTTACATGCCACAACTAAAACGGCAAAAAACAAAAAATTTGGCGAATGTAAACAAAAATGCAAACCTTTGTTTGTATATACGATTTATGGTCTTTGAAATCAACAATATTATTCAAAAAAAGTGAAAATTTATGCTAAAATGAATTTTGTCAGTCAAACTTATACTAAAAAAATACTTAACATAAAGGAATAATCCATACACATTAAATCTATTTTATTCTAAATTTAAAACTAAATCTATTCGAGTCAGTTGCTGCTTGGCGGATGCATTCGATGCTGTTGCTTGGTCGAACCATCTCTTCCCGAGTTAAAACGCGGTCTATTATTTTGTCGTCGACCACGATGTAATGAACCACCTCGAGCTGAGAAACGAGGCCTTGGATTTCGTGTTTCTAGCAATTGGCCGTTCAAGTCGACGTTGCAGGGACGATTTTGAGGTTGAACATAGGTAGGCGAAAAAGGTTGTCTTGAACGCTCGTTGTATCTCATGCTCATAAAAGGAGCACCACCTCTTGTGAAGCTCTGTCTACGCGAAAAGCGAAAGCTTTGTGACTGAGTTGCTGTTATATGCTGGAATGTACCAGAAACTGATGAGTTGCCAGCGGTAATAGTTTGGCCATGCAACGAGTGTAAGCTTCGTGTGCGAGTCGCTGCCCCATGTAAGGATGATGTATTGTTAACTGATGAATCGCCAAAGGTAAAACTTTGGCCAAAAGACTTCGAATGAAAACGACGATCAACGTGCGAATCAGAAAATGAGCTATTTTGCGGAAATTCCGATGTATAAAGACTCGTGTTCTCTCGACTCTCACCGCCTAAAACATTTACTTCTCGAAATCTTTGGGGGAAGTTATTTACCTTCGAAATCGGTTTGCTCGGAGATTGTTTCATATGCCGCCGAAACGGCGCTTTTGACTCGCTTTCCGTCGTGGGCTTTTCATGCTGATCAGAGTTGGTGAAAGATGAAGTTTTAACCAAACCATTTGTGGGTAGGGGTGACCTTTGGGAGTGAAAGTTTGCTGCAAGCATTCGCTTCTGCGGTTTTCTTTGTTTACCAGGTGCTGTGGAACTAGACGTCGTCTTTTCCTCTTGATTTTCATTCTTTGGGGCTGAACGCAGAAGCTCAGAAGCGTCCAAGGCTTGAGATTCTCGAGATCGAGCATTATCGTGGGATACAAGAGTCCGCCCAGTTGCAGGAGGTCTTTGAGCATCGAGCAATGTGTGATTTATGGATAGAACCGGGTTAGCATGCGGATATCTTTGAACGTTTGGGTTTTCTGGGCAGGTAACCTAAATACACAAAAGATGAAAGCCATTTCACAGAGAATGTAAAAGGTTTTCAACAACAACAACTAAGCAGTTTCAAAAGAAAGTAGTATTCCTAATTACGAAACAATTTATGATGAACACGCGCTTCAAATTCGCAATATAGTATCCATTTTGTTTTTTTGCCATATTTAATCATCCATTCACTATTGTGATCAGCAAAAGAACTACCAAAGGGTCACTGTAATAAACCTACTCACGACCATTCTTTCTCACATATGTCAACACTCTGCACTTGCTAAAATGCCGGCTGATCTGAGCTAATCAACTAACGCGACAAAGTACATGACAAAATGATTAATAAACGTCAAGAAATAACTAACTTCAATCCGATTGCCTGTTGATGACTTTGCAATAGCCTATGCGATGTCATAATTATGTTCGACAGCAAATATTTAGTCTATAAAGGTCGGTTGCAATCATTACACAACACCAGCTTAGAGATGCACACAAGATCATCAAACGCATGTTTTGGTGAATAAAGTATCTTTCAAAGTTCCATCACCAACCTGATGCATGGCAAGATGAGCCAAAACAATTGACTCTGAGCAAAATTCACAAGGAGCGAAGTTTTCGTCGAGTCCTACGAAAAATTACTTCCGAATCATTTCAACACGAGAATCAATTGACTACACCATAAACACAAACCTGGACTAGTCTGTTCAAAAAAATGATCAGAGTTCTCTTGCAGTTCACCGTGTGCCGATGTGCTGTATTGAAAAGGTTCGAGCGACAATCGCTTCAATTTCGGTGGTGATGGAGGTCGAGGTGTTTCAGAAACCAGGTCACACATTGGCTAAGAACGAAGCAAACATTTGGTGTGGTAAGTTTTCATTAGATTATCAAATTTCCCGTCGTGCAACATGGTGGAAAGCATCTGTTACATTTTGAAATTGCAAATGTAATTTTTTTCTATAATGACTAACATTAACACAACTTACCTGATGTAAAATCAAGGAATCTGCTGGGAACAATTCGTGACAAAATTCACAGGGCAACATCGTGTCGTCTGTTAGATCAGGACGTACTGGATTTTCTTGTTTAACAAACAATAGAAAGTGAATGGTTTGAACTCAGAAGTAACGCGATAGGTTAGTGAAGCTTGATCGTTCAGTTAAGTACAGTCTTGGGGACTGTTGGGCTTGATGTTAACTGGCGTTTCGAATTTTATTTTTCACTTGATTACAAAGATGATTACAGCTAAGGATGTCGAAATGCCAATCAACAACAAAACACCAACAATCCTTCTCAGGAGCGTATTGATCTGAACGAACAACAGCATCGAAAAACATACATACTTAGGGGAAAAAAGATGATCAAGTTTAATGAAAATATCTATCACGGAAGAGTTTATCGAAAACGCACTCTCAGTAAATTCACTAAAACTGCGAGATCCAAGAGAAAAGTAAATAAAAAGATTAACGAATAAGTCAACAATTACCATCGCTGTCAGAATCTGAGCTAGAGAATCCACACCTTTCGACTTGATAATCACTATACCTATTCCAGGCATCTTCAGTTTTCGTGCTATGCGCTTCACTAGCCATACTGTATGTGGTATCATGCAAAGATCTATTTCCTTGGTTTGACGAAGCCTCGGGGCGAAATACGGGTGATCTATTTGCACGAGTTCTCTCTTCAATCGTACTTTTCATTTGGTTGGAACTTTCAAAATCGCTAACGAGTTCTTCGCCATTGGCGGAAGAAAAATACGGATTATCGTACGTATTATTTGAATATGTTGCACTTTCTAAAAAACGTGGATGAGGTTGAAATCCAGATGAAAAATATGGACTGTAAATTGTATCGTCGAAAACTCGTTCTGGTGATTTTGATCTTTCAGCGATGTTTCTCTTAACGCTACCATTGATTAGTGGCGGGTGTTTGCAGCCTGATAATGCATGTTGCTCCAAGTCTTTAACTAGAATTCTTCTTTTGCAAATTTCACATTCCTCTGTTCGGCTACCGCAAGCTTCCTGATGCTCTTCAATCTCCAGAGCGAGAAGAGAAATCTCGCAGTATTTACAGTTAACTTTGCGTTTCTTACATCGTGAAATCTGCAGTAGTACATGAAACATGAGCACTTTCATTTCCACCAGAATCACATTTTGAAAAATGGATTAAGAGATGCCTATTTCGCATGCTAATGCAGGGCATACAAGAAACATCCACAGAAACATCCTTCCAAATATAGTCAATGAAATTTTGTTTCTGAAAATGAAGCATTGCTGTTTTTTTCATAGCAATACCTTGCAAATCATAAGTTCCTGCAGACTTTGGTGCATGCAATAGAAATTGTTTTTAAAACCAAGTTTCGATAACACATATTGGAAACATAGTGTACAGGTAGTGTATGGACAAGCATAAGAGTGCAAGCTTTTTCATCAATACAAAAATTGATGAAAATAACAACTTTGTACTACGAGAATGTGAGCACTTTAATGAAGATCTTGGGTCACATAATGGCAATCTTTACATTATGTAATGTATTTTAGTTAAAAAGCATTTGGTCGATCAAAATTTGAGTAATATTTGACAACAATCCTTTAACAACATAACGGATAAAACTATTCATATATTATTGTTGTCATCTATGTTTCAAGATTCAAGCATGACAAACCTTATGCTGATCAAGATCCATTTTCTCCACACTCTCTTGGCACACATCACATTGAACCTACAAAACCAATTTCTTTAGTTCAATAAATATTTAGGGCATCATCAAAGCATAAGCATGCAATGATACCTTCACATGGTTCTCCTCAATATGCTCCTCAAGATCATTCTTGTTCACCGAGTCTCCACAATGCGGACAAGGTACTAGGAAACGCTTGCAATGAATGGAATGCATTTCAAAATTTTGGACGGGAACATCTTGTTTGCTGCAAAACAATACAATGTATCTGTTATCATGTATCAGACATGTGATGGGGTCAGCCATTTTGGAAGGCGTTTAACGTATTTCTCGTTAATCTGATTGAAATCATGGGGCCATTCTTGGCTGATATTTACTGTTTTAGCAATTGGTATCAATGAAACAGCACTTACCAACTGGGACAGAGCTTTGTCTTGATTTCCCCATCTTCATTTGCCATTACAACATAAATTCGTTTGCCCAAAATACCGTTTGATGAAATAAAATGAGTAAAATCCTTTTCAGTCACTGAAATTCAGTGAAATTTCAAAAGACGATTCTTCAAATACAGACGATTTTAGACGTCCAGTTAAGATAGAATTAGAACATATAACAATGCCGCATAAAAACAGTAGATTAAGAATGCTGAGTAATAACGAAATTACCCTATCGACTAGAAATGTCGTCATTATTCAAAAATATTTTGTATACTTTGATTGTTTGAAACTATTTTCACTTTCACTTTGTTTACAAATTTTAATACGTCATGTAAGGATCATTAACTGTAGTACATACTTACAGGAAGTACATCACAAAATGTTCATTTCAAAATTCATATTTACAAATATTTTTTGGTTCTGGTCCTTAAATAATTGACGCAAATTGATCAATTCCTGGTGGCTAAAACATAAAAAAGTGATATTTTAAAGAAAATCAAGCTTTAATGCTCAAACAATAATGAACATTACAAACTACCTTAATAAATACACGAGACGGAACGGTTGTCTTGACGACGGTCTCTATATCCCCTTGGTAACGGGGAAGGCTAAGATGTAGTCTTGGTAACGCGACGTAACCACACGATAATGGGAAAAGTTGATATTTTAGAGTGTGTCGAGAGGAAGGAAGGATGCTGAAGTGTATCTGAAAATATTTCACATTACCTTACCTTACAATTCGAAAAAACATACCAAGGGGCAGGGAAGTACTTTGAGTTAAGGCTGAACCGAAGTTATACACCAACACATATAAACTTCTACATTCCGCAAGCTCGTGTCATCAACCTAACCACAGAAACATTTGATGAGCACAGGCTCGGACTGGCCCTAGTTTTGGGCCCTAGTCATTTTAGCTGTAATGAGTCAACTGAAAACTATCATAGCAAAATTTCGAAATTAAGACTTCAATGTCTCAAAAAGGCGTTTCTTGCATTTTAAATGAAGATTTTATTATATTCTGCAGAATAAAACATACATTTTAGAGCAAGTTCAGATTTTAGTGTCCTTGCTAGTAAAAATAATTTAGTGCTATGAAAAAGACGCTGGTCTAAAGAATTTACGCATTTTTTTATTGGGCCCTTTGGATTGTTTTCCTAGGCCAAACTTTCACAAGTATGGAAATCAAATAATTAGTTGATTTTGACTTCCTATTAGGGGCCCATGGGCCATGGCACAACGGCACATAGAACAGTCCGAGCCTGAATAAGACTAGTACAAGTTAATGAAAACCTCTTTACTCCCAGCAAACATAAAATCATCACTTTGTTCGATTTTCGCTTCAATCTCTTGGACCGTAGTCGTTTTGTTCAACAACGTGTAAGACATTGGAAGAGCCGTTCTTAAAGTGCCGTAAGAAGGCAAATCTAAAAAAAATCAACAAACAACGAATATGCAATCATTCACAATGGACTTTAATACAAAACACGTTTAGTTTTGCGATAACGAATTTTGTATGAAAGTGCAAGAGTACCTGTATATATAGATAGAGGAACTTTCTCGATGACGGCTCTGGGTAAATCAACACAGGTTACTACTGAAAAAACTTTGGATAGTTCATCAACTCTGTGAAATTTTAAATTAAAGAGAAAATTATTGATAACACGCACGCAAGACGTGATTTCCTAAACTGTTCTGTAAGAACCTTTTCCATTCTATTTGTAGTTGACCCAGATCAACAGCTCTTACGACGATATCAGATGATTTGCTGACAAGACAAAAACATTCCGATGCTGACTCATTTAAATCGAGGAGAAACTATAGTAAAAAAAACGACTTCATTGTCACGTTGTTCAATGTGGTTTGACAATCTCTAATCCATTTAATTCATACCACCGGTTAATTGCGAATCCGTTTCATCTTCGTCTAATTGAACCTCGGCCGACTACAAGGAAAAAGCCATAACTATTTGTATTTAGAAAGAAACATAAAAATTAAACTACACATACCAAAATTAATTTCGCCGAATGAATGCACACAGGCCAAGGAGAGATGCACTTTATATCAATTAACAACATAAACAACTCTTCATCTGGGATTTTCTCAACAGCTATGAATTCCTTGGAAATGAAATATACATTGAAAATGCTAAGATGTTTTGCTCAATCATTTTATTGGAATGACAATATAAAATACACGAGGAGAAAAATAAAACAAAAACAGCTGAAATACTTTAACATCAACTGCCAGACTAAAAACGACGATTCAAAGAGAGTGAGCAATAAACTATACATTAATTTTAAGCATACCTTACTGACAAGTGAACATGTTGTTTTAAAAGGTTCCAGGCTTTCTACCGTTGTAGACGCAGTCTAAATAGCAAATCACATTATCAAAGAGAAGAATGAACTTAATATTACAGCATTGAAAGTATAATTTTTACAACTAACTATTGTCATGAGTGGACTTATACTAATTCAACATACCTTGGAACACAAACATTCCACTCTATGTTCACTTGAATTAATCAAAACAGTGACGTAATACATTACCTAAAATTTATAGCATTTAACCCTTTCTTAATAATAGGTACCGTATATTTTGCGCTGTATTTCATCCAAGCTCTTACCGTAAAATCTAAAACTGTTTTCCCAGCATGCGAAGTCTTAAAGTAAAGCTGACGCTCGACCTATAAAGGGTCACACAAACTATTCAATAAGCACAATTCATGTACTTTGATGTTCGAGAAATTTTCAAGCACAAGTCTTGCTAATCTCGGAAAGATTATCGACAACAATCTCAAAATCATTAACTGTAAGCTACGCTTTAGCAAGCCCTCCAATGATCTTGCACTACAAGCTCGTACACATACATAGAACGTTTCGTTGCATAAAATAAACCATACACAGCCAAAACCATCTTACATTACCTTGCCGGTAACTTCGGTAACATCGAAAGAAACAAAATGTTGATTATCTTTCTCAAATTCCAGATCATTTAAGCTCAACCAAACTAAACAAATTCACGGCCATTCTTATTCAAGTAAACATCACTATGTAAAAATACAAAGACATGCTGTGTATACCAGATTCAGATTGTGTCGTACTCTTTTCCGAATTAGTTCGAACTTCACATCTAAATTCATAAAATACGTCAGCCAAAGAACGACATCCATGTTGATAACAATTAATAAAGAAAACACACTTGCAGATAAGAGCTTTAGTATAATATCACAAAAAAAACGTAAATTCACCAAGTTTTTAGATGAATGGCCAATGAAACACTAAGTGTTATGGACTGACAAAAAACCTTTAAATTATTTTAATGGGTGATTGTATATGCAATATACATGGACAATTCTTGCAGTTAAACGCATCACGCAAGCATTTAGAGTATATATCAATGAATGTAAAAGAGAAAATGTGAAGTGACAAACATTTAAAGAAACTAACTTAACATTCGAGATTTGAGTATCTTCGTTGTTCGTCAATCGTAATTTCAGAGGGTATATTTCGTCAAGCAGCGACGGTTGTTTATGCTCAAATTCAATGATAACATTGGGTTCTCGAGGCAACACGCTGAAGTACGAAAAAAAATGAAAAAAAGTATTTAAATGACTTCCTATGTATGACTTAAACTGAAGGTTTGTTTTTCGTGTTTTTTTTTTATTTTCTTTATAAGAAAATAAAATGTATCTTTCCTACTTTAGAGAATTTTTCTTCAGTAATGTATAGCTTGTAAAATTGTTATTGAGCAAAACTCACATTGACGAGATTGATTTCGTGTATAATTAAGATGTTATCTCAAGTGATTATCAAGTGTAAAGATTAGTAGGATGAATAAATAAACAAAAAGATATGTTAAAACATGCAGGTGGAAACACTTCATCACAGTTCAAACTCCTACGATCAATATAGTAATGTCTCCCCCAAGTCCCTTTTAGCTACTACCTACGTCGACGCACTCTATGAAAATGCCATGAACCCAAGCCACATCAAACGTAACATAGTTGATACCCATTTGGTAACTTTAGTTATATCTTCATTAAGAAGCCCTTCACTATATTCCTACTCAGTTTCTCACCTCAATTTCGACGATATACGAAGTTGTTTCCATTCTTTAGCGTCCTCGCTCAACGTTTCATTTTGTTGACTACCTAAGCCAAGAAGTGTTGAGTCAGCATTATTTGAAACTGAGGCTCCACCTCCGTTCCACATCAGCACAACACAGCACACCTCCCGGGAGCCAATATCTAAGACGACTTGGCTCACCTGAGAAGAGAAGACAACAATTCAACATTAGTCTAACCAGAGCTTTATGGTAAAATATAGGCTGTTTTTATTTAATTGTATAAAAAATAGAATACGTTTCATTATATATGAGAACCTCTATTTGCTTGCCCACATCTTCAGGTAGAGGTATAAATGTGAACATAATATGTTTGATTTTCCTGGGTTCAAGATACAAGTCACCCTTTTCAGGGACTTCTAAATTATCCGATCCAGGTCCATTGATGACGCACAGGGAATCGTAGTTTTGGTTGTTGAAATGAACCGCAAGACGATTGAAACGTATAGGAAACGGACATGTGACTCTGAAACATAACATTATCAACGAGAGTGATGACGATTAAGATGTAAAATAAGCTTGAATTTCGAATCAAGTTGACAACACTCTAAATTTTGTTTCTTTTGTGAACGTATTGTTATAACATGATTCCAACAAACACTGGAAGTCAAATGTCTAATTTGAGTCAAAATTTTGTCTAAATTTATAAAAAATGTTTTGTGAGTTAGGAAAGTACAGAAAGTTATGAAAATATGATCTTGGACTCTCATATTGACTCTCATATTCGTTCTTGTCAGTTGCTGTTATATTAAGGTAATCCCATAAACCACTTCGAAAGAAGATCATTATAATATTAACAGAAGCCGATTTGTTCTCCATCAATACTGAAAATAGTCTATGTACATTTTTTGCGCTTTCTTAAGTTATAAATGTGTGATTCATTTACACAGACACTGTCCTAATGACTGGACATAGACGTTTGCTCCCCTGTAGTGTCTTCCCCTTCAAAAATTTTGCTACATGCTACGAAGCAACTTTACTCTACATGCAGTAAAACATCCATAGACATTGTTGTACCTGAGGTATACATCGAGAATAGCACTGGAATCTGCTTTAATGCGCTGAGAGTTGAATATTGCTTTGACTTCCACTAAAACACATTCAAAACAAGTTAAATGCCAAATGAACAACTTCAGAATGCAGCCTCTACACAACTTACCAAAAGCGGCAATATTTGACATTTGAATGTTGACAACATGAGGTCCTTGTTTCATTAGTACCTTCCATTGTTCCTTTGCTTCTTCTATTGCCTCGACGTCACAACCTGGTTCGTGATCGGGTGAATCCCCCTGTGAGATAATCACGCAAAAAATGAAGAAACACCGTAGAATTTCAATAAAGGAAACACAAGGAGTGAGCTCTCGACTATGTAGCTACGTTATAAATTTTAACGCTAGCAAACGGAGCAATTTCAAAAAAACAGCTTTTTAATCGTCAATAACTCTAAAGATTGTTCACAGAGCTTTAGTTCAGCAAATTAGTGATGATAGCATATTTGGCACAACTCTGAGCTCGATGCAAAACGTTAAAAATGTAGAAATGAGGTGGACAATGGCCTCGGCGAAACTTCGGCATTCAACGTCAAATTCCGATAAGAAGTAAAGCTGTTCAAAAACTATTGAGTAACAAAAGAATGCGATCTTTAAAAAACAAAATTAAGACTTGATACATAGCGGAAACTGAACCTTGTTGCAGAATACAATCACAAGACAAGCTATCGAAGCAGGTCAAACGGAGCTTTCTTTTCTTGTTAACTTACCGAAATGACTCGAATGAAATTCATTTGCACTCGAGTTCGTTCATCAGAGTAATGAAGCGCATCTTTAGTATAGAATTAACAAGAATTAACAAACATCAAATATTCTTGTAATGAAAAAGCTTGGGGTGATTGTAATGTTGCTCAATATAAGCAGTTCTTATCACACATGCCATGTACACGCAGGGACATACTCCTTTTACATGAAAACAAACACAGACAAAAACAACTCAAAGAATTAAAGACGAAAGGATACATTGACCCATTAATTCCACGCAGACGTTAAGATACTCTTGTATATTCGCCAGGAGATAGGCACATCTAGAGCAGCAATGACAGAGATGGCAAACGTAGAGAAATTCTCGACACAGACTCTATAGTCAAATGAAAGACCCACCTGAGGGACGTACTTAATACAGCAGTTAACAGGGGCCACCACTTCTCCTTTCGATAATCGCCAGTAACCACACCAAGAAGTCTAGGACATATATATTAAGATAAAGAGTGAAAAAAATTATTTTAGCAAGATTTTGAGGTATTTTTAGCAATTATTTTTAGCTATTTGAGTCCGCGAGAAAGAAAGTATATAATAACTTATAAAGTACTTAATCAACAAATGGTTTGTTCGATTTCTGTTTTCTACACATTTTTCCCCTTTATCAGATGATTATACAATTTCTTTTGCAACTAGTCCATAAATACGATATACGCTCCCTTCAATCCTCAGGCAATCTTTCATATCTTTGTCACACGAATAGAAAACTATTCCCAATGTTAACCTGTATATACTACTTACGCTAAAGCCTTTAGGTAATCTCTTGCGTGATAATACTCTTCGCCCATTTGAACCACTGTAACATAACGAAATCATGATTCATTCCGCGTTGTTTGCTAAGGATATAGTCAAGTGCAAGTAATGTCAAAGATATCTGAAAAAATCGTCTGGTTCTTTTATACCGCTCCTGCGCAAGAACGTGAACTAATGCGTTTATTTGCATACACTAGTTTCACTTAGTTAAGATGAAAATTTTATTAAACATTCTATTTGACATTAATAAATCCAAAGCTAATGCATTAAAATAAATGACAATAACCACGCTTATTATAAGATTTGAGTAGCACCATAAGAGTTGTTTCGATAGTTCTTTTTAATGCACAAAAATACAAATCATATCCAATATAAAACAATTTTCATACTGTTCTCTCTTACTTAAAAAACGCTTCATCCTTGGAGATTTATACTTCTTGAACTGCGAGACGGCGTTGCTCAGCAACGGAATGATAATCCACTAAAAACAGCATAAAATGTATTCAAGTAAATGGTTTGAACCCGGGAGTATCGTTACATGTTTGTAAATGTAGATCCTCCAGGTTGGTATAGTCCTGAGAAGGACTGTTTTGTTTGTTCATTTGACAAACGTTTCGACAAACGTTAGCGTCAAGAAGACAATCAATCTACCGCTAAGGTTGTCGAAACCTCAATCAACAACAACAAAAACAGTCCTTCTCAGGACTATACCAACCTGGACGATCTACATTTACAAACATGTAATAAAATGTATTCAGCACCATTTCAAGAAGACAATGTTAAAATTTATGTTAAATACATGTTAAATACAATGTTAAACTTATAAGGATTATATGAATTTCAGATTGTGTTGATGCGTTTCATAAGAATCAAAATGCTTCAAGGCATCTACTTTCGACCTTTATTGAGATGGATATATGTCAGAAGCGAATAATACGAGCGACTTTACAAAACTTAACCGTTTCATGTTATTAGTGACCTAATACACAAGAAGATGCAAGCATATACAAAGTACGTACATAGAGAAGGATTTTTGCTGACTTACACAATGATCGACCATTGTCTCTTGTGCTTGCAATGCCAACACTCCAGCGGTTTCTTTGGTTTGATCAGGCAGTTTGTCGCCTTGAAACAAAACATATACGAGCTAGTTGAATAACTAGTAACGAAAACAACACACAATATTTTGAAGGATGAGTAGAGCTTGCAGAACCTTGATGCTGTTGGCGCCATGGTCTTTGGCCGAAATATTCTAAATTTCCAGCCTCATTCAAAGGACCAAACGACACGGAGTCAGGTGACTGAATAATAAACAGCAAATGTGATAAGAAGCGCGATCATTTCTCTCTTCCGTGTTTATTTGTAAAAATAAAAAAGTGGAGAAAAGATACTTACAATATGATGACAAAGTCCTTCGGCAAGTTGACGTCGTATGACGGAATGATTGGCAGCTTGCTGATAGTAGAATCCCGGATGTTGTGTCTATATACGTATTAAACATAGAATAGCAATAATTTAATTGCTATAGATGTGAAAAGATAACTTAAAAAGCCATTTCAAAAAAGGGTCTTTTAATTTTCAAACCTGAATTGCAGTGAGTCCATTTTTGATTGCTTCGTCAAACAGATCGCCAAACACGCTGAATCTGTCCAAATCAAACAAAATATCAGTTCGGAAGCAAAAGCTAAAAGATGCAGCTAGTTAATTTGCAATTCTCATACACGTCCACTTGAATCATCCATCAGGATATCAATAAAAGAAATAAAAGTATTTTTCAATAAACTTAACAATTTGCAGCGTTCATTTTTTCATCAATTGAGTTTCATCGCGTTGCATGATTATTGCTGTTTGCTGTGGAAAACATCATGCAGGAAGGACTTAGCTAGCTATCTTGCACTTGCTTGATGGCATCACTTTGCAGAACTTTGCTAGATATATCACACTACCTTCATGGCATCCCTTTGCACAAAATTTACTTAATATAGATGAGAGCTTGCAGTCTGCCGAAAGAACTTGAGATTTATTAACTTATAGAATTAATTAAACTCAAATGAAGTTTATGTCAATTGAGCAGGAGCTATATAGCATGATCGTTGAAGTTGAGCAACATCTTGAAGAAAGGATTATATTAATCGGTTGTGTCAGTGCGACAGCGCAAGTTTGTTGATTCTTGCAAGGTAAATATTTCGGTGTTCAGTCACTGTAAAACCAACAGATTTCCAAGAAAGAAATGCTACGATAAACGTGCTGGCAGTCTACGTCACCAATTGAACGGACTTACTGTTTTGACAGCCAAGCAAGATGTTCAAATGCCAAATCTGGATTACCAGCTTTATCTTTGAAAAAATCAACATGCTTTCGAAACTGTGAAATAGCATCGAGGGGAGCGCTAAGGCGAAAACTCAGGTGGCAAATCTATATAAAAATAACAGCAACATTTGTTCAAGAACTTCATGCTTGGCATCAAACTATCACAACATTACGACGCAAACGCAATTTGATTTGACTAACTTTATAATTGATGAATCCAGCGACAATTTTGATCTCCAGAATATTTATTTCGTTTTGTTTGATTTCAGTTAACAGGGAATAAGCTTGCCTGTAATGCCTACAAATTAGAAATTGACTTTGTTGGAGAAATGACCGCTTCTTAGATTTAAACATCAATTTTTTAGCTACAGCGACATACTTCAAAGCAGAATGAGTGTCTTGTCGAATTTCAGAGAAAAATGCAATCTTGAATTGATGTCGTACTAGTAATTGCTAAGAAAAAAAACAAGGATGTTTTTGAAACAGACTGCAAATTCACAAAAACCTGCGGCTCTCGACGGTTGAGAGAGTAATAAATGAAATACCTGATGATGTGATTTTGTCAAGAATTCCTACAAATATTTGGTAAGTAAAAACTTTACATTAATAAATGACTTGAATTATTTCTAACTGCATAAATCCAAACAAATTTTCGAAAAATTTCATGCATAGCTACATACCTTGTGAGATTTCACACGTTTTGCTTCACCTTGATAGTAATTCATTGCCAACTCATGAAAAGCCAACTCCAGCCTTAGTTTGAAGAAAAAATAAAGTGAAATGTCAAGGATAGTACATAAAGAATTAACTTTATATTGTGCATCATCAGTTGCCCTGTTTACTGGTAAGAGGCCAAAGGCAAATGAAGCTAGTGGCTCCCCAATAATATTTTTAAGACTACCATATACTCTTCATTTGTACAATAAATGTATATATGTAATATGTAAATGTCATTTTGGTAGGTTTTGTCCTTCCAAATCGTACAAAAAAACCTAGCATGCACCACAGTGTGTGCACATTTTGAATGTGCCTTTCTCTCCATTAAAGCTTAAAAACTAAACACAAAAAGCAAAAACAATAAAAGAGGAAAGAAACAATAGAACCAAACAAAAAACAAACAGGAAATATATGAGAAACAAAGGCAATGAAAAGTATTTTAATTAATGGAATGATTAAGAGCCTGCTGGTTTGGCATAACTCGGATACATAATGCCATGCTTTGCCATGTCTTGCTATTTCTTATTACTGAATCATATTCAACACCAAAATTTTCTAAACACATCAAATAAGTCAAGAAATAACTATGAATACCTTGTTATATATCCAACCAAGTTCACAAAGAGATCCGTAAATGGTAAGACAAACAGTGACTTGGCAGACAATTCACAAGCTGTACACAGTGTAGCTACTCTTTCCGATACTTGTGTGTCATCGCCTTAAATATATTTCAGTTATCAAAACAAGTGGTTGATCCAGGATTACATCAATAACAATCACACAATGCATGCAATCCCTACCTGGTGGAACTGGTGCATTTTTTTGGACGAGGACCACAGCTACACGTGTATTACGTCCCTGAAGATTTTGCCTAATGACAAAATTTATTATGAAATGCAAATTACTTCTCTGCAGTAAGAAAAGTACTGAAAGTTTGCAGCTGAATTTGCAAGTTTCGAAAAACTTAATTCTTTTGTTTCCTCATATGAGCACTCTACCTTATTTTCTTCAGTGTATTTGAGCATTCTTCCTGTTTTTCTTTCCATTTTGGATGATCCCATTCCAGATCAAAGAAGTACACGACAACTGAAGGAATTAAATGTAACTGTTTATTCATCCATTTTGTTTTCAAGATTCCTTTCGGCAGATACCAGTCGTAATTAGTGCGCTGAAATCAAATAAAGGCAATTTTTCAATAAAGATGCAAAGCTGAAAATATAATTGACATGTGAACCGTACTTTCGTTTTACATTTGGGATATTCATGGTCAGTTTCGACAAGGCTAAAGACCAAGGGGATCCGATCAGACTGCCTGTTTTGTGTGAAAGTCTCCCAGATTTTCAGGTGGGCCGTATTTCCCGAGACGTCAAGTCCGCTAAGAGCTATAAAGCTCAAAGGGCGGGCAGTTAATTCGGTTGGAAGATCACTTGCAACAGCCATATTGAAAATTTTTTGGTGTCTTTCCATCGTTCACAATGACGTTCTACTGTTGGTTTTTGCAGCAAAATGGTGGCAAAAACTGCCAAAAAGATTAAGGCAAATGAAGACATCAATAGATTTAAGGAAAAGAACTTTGGCAGCAATGAACAAAACGTAAATTACACTTAAGATTGTTATTCAATATCATTATTTGGTTTATATTTAGAAAATTATCATTCGATATTTTTTTCAGGTAAAGTGACTTCTTCATAAAACCTAGAAGTCTTATTTTGATGGATGAGAATTGCTATATCTCCATCTTCAAACTCAAAAGAACATTTAAACATTCAAAATTCTAGTTTTTCTAACAATCATGAGCGATAGCGATGAAACAATTTGGGAGGATAAAAATGAATTGGAGAACTCTCCATCTATATTGAGCCGTTGGCATGAAATTCGTGAAACTGATGGGAATGACGTGGTCAATGATGGACATAAGCAAAGGGAATCAACGGACTCTTCTTCAGCACACCGAGGATTGAAGAGAAAAGGTAAGATACTTTTATAGTTCATTCTACCATTCTATTAAATCAACCACAATCTACAGTGAATTTTTTTCAAGAAAACTTCGAAGAAGTTTCGAGTGAGGCTCGAAATGAATTAGAGTACAGCGATGAACAAAAAAATGTCAACAATGAAGATTTGATCAAGAGAAAACAGAAAAGCCCATTCACGACAAAAATACATGATGCAACGGCAACAGATGAAATGATGCTTGAAAATTTACTAAAAGATGTTGAACAATTAGTTACGAAAAAGGAATTTGAAGTCGATCAAGGTAGACTATTTAACTGTCAATACACTTCGATTTACCATTCAAAAAGCCGAATCTCAATTTTAGGGCAAGCGTGCAATCCTGAAGAAGTCGAAGCTGCCAACATACAGTTGATAAAAATTCAAAAATGTTTGACCGAAAAGCACTTCAAGAATCAATCGAACAGGAAAGTTATTCTGTCTGATGCGACTGACAGTCAAACACTTTCTATGGAAAAAAGGAAGGCCGTTGTTGATTTGGCGAGAAAACAACGAAATCTGCTAGAAGTTTTCAAGAAGTATAAAAGTTTAAGTGAAAGAGTGAGGTCAATCAGCAGTAAGAAAATTGGTCCGTGCACTTTGTCAAATACGAGGCGTAAAACTTTATTTCATGCAAACGTTCAAAACGATATCACTCTTACTTGTACGCCATCCTCTGAGTCTAATCAGTTTCATTTATCCGAGGACGCTAATTCAAGTATCTTTAAGCTGAATGTATTACATGACAGTGAAAAATCTCAAAAGAAAATTCAACTGGTTGTGAGAGTGACCAGAAAGCTTCGCAACTGAGCAACAAAAATTTTGTTTTTTCCAAGACACAACAAAGACCAAAAACAAACACATCTTCAGTGATGAATGCTACTCTGCTCACGAAAAACGGACATCAGTTGAACGCAACTGAATTTCATCTAACATCAACAACGCCCGCTCTAATGCACACGAACACCATTCAAAAAACACCCAAAAATTGCAAAGTTTACAATTTTACGAAAAAACAAGTTTGAGGAAACAAATTCCAGAGCTGTCACTCGAGGCTCTTGTTGGAAGAGGAATACTAAAAGCTGGAAAGAATGTTCTTTCAACTGCATCAGAGGTAAGCTCAATCCTAAAGGAAGGTAATCCACTGTAAGTCTTCTAAACTGACCATATACGGTAAACCAATCGTAAGATAGCTACCACACTGACCATATGCAACGAACTAACCATATACGAAAGAACCGATCATCAACGATAAAACCAACCATAAGATACGTAACTACCACACAACCGATCATGACATGATAAAACCAACCATAAGATACGTAAACCACACTGACCATATGCAACGAAAGAACCGATCATCAACCGATATAAACCAACCATAAGATACGTAACTACCGTAACTACCACACTGACCATATGCAACGAACTAACCATATACAAAAGAACCGATCATTGAAGATAAAACCAACCATAAGATACGTAACGACCACACTGACCATATGCAACGAACTAACCATATACAAAAGAACCGATCATCAACGATAAAACCAACCATAAGATACGTAACTACCACACTGACCATGTGCAACGAACTAACCATATACGAAAGAACCGATCATTAAAGATAAAACCAACCATAAGATAGCTACCACACTGACAAAGCACGATAAAACTAACCACATATGATAAAGTCCATAATTTACGATAAAACCAATCATAAGATACAAAACTCGCTATTTACAACTAAACTGAAAAGTATTTTTAAGGAACCATTATTCCCCCAAACTGAATTTTATACTAGACCAATTCACCATTTAAGACGGAAAAGGCGTCTCAAAAATATTGCTACATCTAAGTTTTGTAGTATATATAATTCCCACTTAATCCACTTTAGCTCCCTAAAAACAAAGCGGTGCAATTGTTACATAACACAATCATATCTAGGGAAGACTTTACTCGGCCTCGTTGTCCGACAATGGACGCATCATTTCAACTGGAGGCGAAGGATTCAAATCACCAAGAAGTTGGATTAAAGCGATTTGCGGAAGCAAACGCAAGGTGAAAAACGACGTCGCATGGAAAATGGTATGAAATGTGTTGTTTTGATAAGCAGGGAGTCGTCCATCTTGTACGTCCATCTTGTGCCATAAACCTTCCCTCCAGTCTTGTACACATAATAAATGGACAAACCCTATTGAGTACTACCACAGTTGATGTTTAACTATTAATATGAGAAGCATCTCTATTATAAAATGTTTTTTGAATTTCCAACGAAGAGAGCTGTAATATTGCTATCTTTTAGTTTTCAAATATTACAATAGTGTTCCCTGTGCTGTCTTAACGTAGCATAACGTATCATATTGTTCTCCGTCTTATATATTCACTTCTCAAATTAATTATTGCTATAACTATCCAATCAGGCACTCTTATATAGACAATCGTTATCACTATTACAGGAGCCTTTTACAAAATTCGATTGTGTTCATTTTGATCCTAACATACGACTTGACACCGATGGATAATTGGCGAAACTGATTATTTGATGTACTTCATGTTTAGGTGTTGTACAAAAACAAGCCATTGCTCGAGTACGCATTAACAACCGTTGCGCCAGAAACATTTGAAACCGCGACAACAGCACAAGCAACAAGTTCAACAGAAAATAATCGACGTAAATCATGTAAAGAAGTGATCACAACAGCCGAAGGACTCAAAAGTCTACTGAAAAACTGTCGTGTAACAGGAATAGATAAGAATGAAATTCTATCTGTTCCAGTAGAGATGCAAGGAGACTTTTGGGATAATGACGAATTCGAGTTGATGAATGTTGATGTTTTAAACGATCGTCAAATCAAGGATTAGACTATTGGCAAATTTTTCTGATTTAAGACAAAAATCACATCAATAAAGTAAATGGTTTGAACCCTGGAGTATCGTTACATGTTTGTAGATGTAGATCGTCCAGGTTAGTAGTCATGTTCAGAATCATTTGACTCTGAAAATGACTAACGCTAAGGTTGTCGAAACGTTAGTCAACTATCAACAACAACAGTCCTTCTAGGGACTCTACTAACCTGGACGATCTACACCTACAAACATGTAATAATCATATCATCGAAAAATATTCTCATGAAATAAACTTCATTCGCTTCAACGCGCACATTCTCTCCCCTCCCTAAGACCTTCATTATCCTAAAGCAAGAAAATCTCAGCAATAATATAAAGTTTAGGAATTCAGTACTTGAGCTTGTTTTCAACACGATTCAATTTTTCTGCGTCAAGACAAGCGTTAGTGTGAACTTGTATAATGGAAATAGGGAACATACGGCGACAAACTGGACACGACTTAGGCTACGTTTACACGAGACCGGATAAGTTTTCGTCCGCTCAAAAACTTGCACGGGCGAAGGTGTTTACACAAGTCGTTTAAAACTCGAGCGTTTACGCTTTCCGTTTACACACTATTTAGCTTTGTAGCACTTATTAATGGATAAGAAAGGATTCGTGGGCATTGTTCGTGGGTCGTTTATGAGAAGTGAGAACACTGTATGATAGCTTGTGCACACAGCCGCGCATGTAATACATTTCACTTAAAACATGGCGTCCCGAAATCATAATTTTGTTTGGAGTGACGAAGAGACTGCTCTTTTGATGCGCGTAGTTATCGATTATAAATCTGATAAATGTAATGCTGGTTTCGACTGGGAAACAATCAAGAACAAGTACGAAGAAATACTGCAGCGTTTTCGCGCAGCCTACCCAAAAAATGAAACAAGCATGGAACACTATCCGAACTGCAACAATTTAGCTGTTTTTACCAAAGAAAAGATATCGCAAAAGATAAAGCGTATCAAAGCTAATTTTCGTAAGCTGTGGATAGTGGTCGTAAAAGTGGTGGTGGAAGTGTTGTGCTGGGTCTGTATGACGAATGCTTTGAAATTTGGGCAGGATCTCCAGCAGTTGAAAGTATGCCAGGGGAATTGAAACCGTTGACCTGGATGGTGGCAATGTTGGAAGCTCAACTCCAAATGTTAGAGGTATCTCACCAACATCTTCAAGTAGTCAATGCGATGATTCCATTGATTTATACGATGGAGTGAAGTTGATTTGGAGAGTGAAATTGAGAGAAATGCTTCAGATAAACAAGTGTCTGCACAAGGTCAAAGATATGGGTGAATTCAGACGTAATTTTTAGAAATCTGAAAGAAAAGAAAGTTTTCAAAGCTAATCTTCTTTAAAGCAAACCTCTTCTTCAATTAGATTAGAAAGCCAAAGTTGTTCTCAAGAAAAGAGTTGTTGATATGATGGAAAGCTAAAGAAAACATGAGAATGACAAAGTGCTTAAAAAAGCATTGGAAATCAGCAGCATTAACAATGGATTTAGTTCTTGCCTTCTTTCAACAACAATGCTGAACTGACCAACATGGATACAGAAACCATCAAAATGGATATTCGCAATCTTTGATCTTATCCAAACTTTTGATAGTTTGCTTTACTTTTTCTTTTATTTTCCCAAAATTTGTATTTTTCTATACTTTGTTTTTTATTGGAAAATTATTTCTAGACTTCATGTTTTGTGTTTGTAACACTGAAATTGGATTATTCTCATTGAGCTAAAACACATGTCCTTTTTCAGCTAATACACAATTAAAAATATTCATATTATCATCCGATAACTTTAACTAGAAAATTTTAAGTGATTGTTATTGGTTTCATCAATCAAAAAATTTTACAAAAATGTCTCTAATTATTTTCCCACTTTGTTCATCATTATTACCAAGGGTGTATCTGTTTCCCAGAATGGGTGGTTGGAATTGTTTTTCACATTCCATTGCTTTGCTTATTTCTTCTTCAGCAACAACCTGCTTTTCTTCTTCACAATAGTTGTGGAGAAGAAAGCATGCATAAATGACATATGGTAGATCTTCAGTGTTGATATCCATTTCACGCTTTAATATTCCAAACCTGCCTTTCAGTCTTCCAAATGCACATTCTATGACCATTCTTGCTGAAGAAAGCGCCACCCAAAATATTGTTGTTGCACACTGTTGCCACCACCTGGGAACTCTTTCATAAGAAATGGAAGGAGAGGATAAGCGGGGGTCACCCAGTATACACACAGGGACTGGCATCTCATCATCAACAATTTGTTTTTGACATTTAAAACTCTCATTTTCACGAAACTTACGGTTAATGTTGGAATTAGAAAATATCCGTGCATCATGTACACTACCCGGCCATTTAATGACCACATCCATGAAACGATATTTAAAGTCACAAACAGCTTGAACATTAAGAGAATACCTGTTCTTTCTGTTAAGGTAATCTGTTGGTGAGGTACTGGGGGCGTTTAATGAAAATATGCGTACCATCTATTGCACCCATGCACTGTGGAAACCCATGTTTAACAAAGAATTTTGAGACAAGAGTTTGCGTCTCTTCCTTATTTTGCGGTAGTTTTATGTATTTGGATCCCAGACTTTTTGTCAAAACATGGCATACTCGTCGAACGATTAGTGAGACTGATGATCTCGATACACCAAAGGCATTTGCCACTTTACGATATCTACCCTCGTCCGACAAGTAATAGAGTGTTATTGCCAGTTGCTTTTCAACCGATATAGGTACGCGCATATTAGTAACTTTTTTCTCGAGAAACGGCTGAAGTAAATTGCATAATTTGGTAAAAGCCATTTTCGACATTCGAAAATTTTCTCGCCATTCTTCCTCAACTACAAAACCATTCATGAAATTCGTCCACCATTCGGAGCTCCTTCCTGGTCTCACCCAGAACCTTCGCCTTCTTCCTTTTCGCTTCCCTCTTTTAATGGAGTGTAAAAGCAAGCTGAATTTTTTTGTTTGCATGCCCAAAATGGCTGTCATAGTTGTCAACCGTTGCCTTCGTTCACGCTCTCTTTCTAATGACATTACAACAGCCGGAATAATTTCCAAAGTTGCAACGGAGCTTAGTAAAGCCGACGTGAATACAACTAAAGGAAGTTTTTTCTTCCATTGGTCCATGATTCGTGTATATATGTATTGCTACTACTGTTTTGTATACATCTGTATTACCGAAAAAATCAGAGACATAGTGAGGGGTATGGATCGAATCCGATCGTAAAACAACTGGATTGCGTTTACACAGTACAGCTAAAATATTCATCCGCACAAGTTTTTATTTGCCCGCTTTTACAGCAGCACGAATATTCGTTCGGATACATGTTAAAAAATTAGTACGGATGCGTGTTGTAGTGTAAACGGAAGGGCTAACGGCGCAAATTTTTGAGCGGACGAAAACTTATCCGGTCTCGTGTAAACATAGCCTTACACTCTTCCATCATATCCACAATATTTGAGTCAACATGTGGACTACGTACGTATTTCTCAACTTCCGTTTCTTCCTTCGGTGTTGCTTTACCCTCGCACGTGGACGCATGTAATTCGATAGTTTCGAACGAAAAAAAATTTTCGCAAAGAGGGCATTCGTGTAGTGAATCTGACGTAGGTGACTTCATAATTCCTTCAGAGGTTAATGTACTTGATTGATAAGGCAAGACAGGTGAAGCTGGAATACTTTCACGTGATTCTTGACCACTGACGTTTGGCTTTCGCGCAACAATTTCATCGTCCTATAACCAAGACAAGATACCGATAACTGAACTGATATATCAAATGCGTGGACAAAGCATTTCACATTTTTATGACAAATGTTTCCGCCGAATCACATCGTTTGAACAATTCTTAATATGAAACTGATAATTACTAAAATCTACGTGAAAACTTAAACCAGTTATGCCGATAAATTCGTTTGGAAATCAGTTTAAGGATAGTTCATGACACAAGAGTTAAGAGTAGAAACCAGACAATAGCTTGTCATACAATTTCATTCTTACCTTTCTAAGATCCGGTCTTGTCCTTGTCGCTAAGATATTGTTCACGTGTTTGCTGACTGTCTTTAAATTGAAAAAATCGAAAAATCACAACAAGCAAATGTAGAAAGAGGTTAAACATACAACAAAAGATGATAAAATAACTTTTAGTTCAGTAAACGGTGGACACTCTGCAAGGAGGGTGGCTTGAACATCAGTATTTCGGTACTGCCACCAGACGAGTGGTGCCCAGTACCTCCACAAACATCTTTTTTTCTTCTTTTGTTAATCTACGATGGCGTTGCTCTTCCATTTTCTTTTCCATATCTGGTAAAGGAACCGTTGGCAAAAAAAGTTTAAAAAGTGTCCTGCACGGCTTGTAATCAACAATAAATGAATGATGAATACATACTTTTGTACGTCATTGTCTCCAAAGGCAGTTTCTCGAAATCATAATCTTCTAGAAAACACTCAACCTCTTCTTCAATCTAGAGTAGAGAGCCACACTTAATTTGTCACATAATTTGTGGATATTTTTCAAAACAAACAAGCAACTCAAACACAAAATTCTTATATATCTATGTACATCAGCAGCACTTCGTCTGGGGACAATTTTTCGTCGCTCTCGCTTGGCGTCAACTATATTGAATAAATAAAATGGATATCAAAGTTTGTGCAGAACTGTGAAAGCATTCTTGATATGAACATGGAACTGTCAGCATGATGGTTCTGAACTTTGCAATTTTTAAATCTTAAAGTAGGCCAAAGTTTCAACGTGAACGACAAACTTTGCATAACTTTTGCATAAATTTTGTCATGGTCGTATAAATGATTTGTTGTAGAAATGATTTGTTATGGTTGCTAAATAATTTGCATTACCATGCGGTAACAATAAAAAGTTACATAATCAACAGTCTACCTTCGTAAGGTGAGTATTGGATAGGTTTATAATAGTTACGCCTTTCGTGTTTCTTTTCGGTTTGGAATTTCCCAACTTGAGCCTTTAGAGCTGCTTTAACAAGACCAGCGGAACGAACGGATACTGAAGACAAATGACCAGGTAAAGTTGCGTTACCAATCAATGGCTCACAGACAGATGGGCACGAATGAACTTGCTGTTTGCTGAAAGATAAAATAAGTTACTTCCATAGAGCATATTCCTATGGCTGAGGTGTGCAGAAAAGACCAGCTGAATGAAGGCAAAGTTTGAATCTCAGAGTACTTTTTGAATGCGGATAGAGATTGAGTTGGATGTCTTCTTGTATTTGGACTCTCTTTGGCAGGTTTGGTATCTGCAATGATATCTATAAATTGTAGCCCAAACTGCTTGTTCTTTGTGTATGGCTGACGACAAATGACACGCAAACGATCCCATTTCTCATCAATCACATTCTTGCAGAAAACACCTTAATACGTATATAAAATTTGAATTTAAGCAACTTTTTATGCAAAATTACAGATAAATACACCAAACCTCTGTCCAACATCTTCACAGCTTCCATATTTTTTCCTGCTTTGCTATCAGTGGGCGACATTAACATTGTGGATGGTAAAAGAGTTATAAAATTTTTACCAGCTGACCACATGGAACTACCGACTAAAAGTTCAACAATAGCAGACCCTGCATTACCTGTAAAGGAAATTAAAATTGAGCAAGTAAGTGTAGTCATGGAAACCACAACCTCACTTCACTCAAACTTGCAAAGGGAGTCTTAAGGGAGTTTAACTCATACCAGATAAGATTTGCAATTCTGATTTAAAGATACATTTTCGAAGGGAGTTAGTTCATAATTCCATTAATAATTTTTGATGGCAATTGGCTATAGCTTTGAGCCTGCACAGTTATCAGTAGTTCAATTATGCTAAATTTTCAGGCGTATTATAGTCTTATAGATGAAAAAGAACAAGAAAAGCAGTTAATTGCTAGTGTACTACCTATGTTAATGAAAGCAAATTTTATAGATTTTGCCAAATGAATCTCGGCTTCAATTTTGCCAGATTCATCATCCTTATTGGAAAGCCACTTCTTGCCTTTGGAAAGAATGTTCTCCGCTCTATGTACTGGATCCTACAATAAATATATCCAAAAAGATTTTGTGATAGTCATATGTACCACAGTATTGGTAGCAAGTAGTAGACTAGTAGGTACACTATTAAATATTATGCTCATCACTCAGTTTCTGTAACGCCAAAAACGATAAAACTTCGAAGAAAAAAATAGGTCGGATTTTTAAAATATTATTTTCATTTTACTTACTTGCGAACTGTATCGTATGATACAAAAATCATCGGCCTTTAAAACAGGCGCCATGTTATTTTGATTGTTGCTAGCTTATTTATTTGTAACGCGCAAATTTTCCCGCTGAAAGTAGCCTGACGTTGCCTGCACACATTTTGCCTGTCATTTTTAGGGGGACACTTGCTTTTTTCGTTACTTTCATCAGTTTATCTTTCCTTCCGTTTTTACATTATAATTATACTTCGAACCGTAATGGATGTTGTTCGAACAAATTTTGAAGAAATTTTACCGCAAATAGAAGAAGCTTTGCTCAAATGTGAATTTGTGGGTTAGTGTCAGTATTTTCAATTTTGTGAATAAAAATAAACCACACCCTTGACCCAAAATGTGCTATCATCATCTACCCCCGAAAAATCATTTGCATACCGAGTCTCCCAGAGATTTATCATTGTGGGTGGTAGCGAAGCCAGCCCGAGCTCTACAGCTTTTGATATGCAAATGTTTCGCGTCCACTGATTGTTTGATTCCGAATAAAACGATATAATAATAATGTTCAAAATTAAACGTAGTGGTACTTGATATGCAGGTACGTTTATACGATTCCATTAACTAAAACGTTTTCGTGGCCTTCACCTTTCAAAGTTTAGACAGTCCCATGTTTGCTTCTGGCTATGTTAACTTCATGTTATATCAATGAAAAAGGATAAGTTTGTAGGAAAAAGGAAACTTTGCCCTATAAATTCTCTCGAATAATAATTAGTACAAATGTTTGCGCTATAGCTTCACATATAGAAGCACAGTACTTACATTCCCTGACAGCACCTGGACTTGAACAAATAAATGAATGAATTGAGCCATCATATACCATGCAACAACTCTAAAATGATCGAAACAATCGAAAACAACAATCCTAAAAATATTATTGGAGAAGGGTGATTCCCCTCTTTCTGGCACCACTGATGATGGTCATATGTGTAACAAGCATGTGCATGTGCTACATTAGAAGTCTGCAAGCACACTGATTTATGTACTTTTGTATTTTCAGCAATAGATGCGGAATTTACCGGTCTAACACTAAATGAAAGCCAACGGCCAAGTCTGTTTGATGCCCCTTGTGACAGATACCGGAAACTAAAACAAGTTGTTGGCCATTTTCTTGTCTCTCAGTTTGGTTGGTGTGATTGTAGTTACATAATATCATGTAGTTTACATACTTTATCAAATTTTGTGTCATTCATGCAGTTGTTATGGACATTAATATCATGTCACAATTGATTTCTCTTCTATTATTGATGTTTGATCCAAACAATCAATGCAATTTTTGATCCTGTTGTATCCCAATAAGTGGGTGTGGCCAGATTTACCACACCTAGGTGGCACTCTCTCCAACTCTCTATCTTGCTTGATCTATGGCATCCTCTTTCTCTACACTAACTCCCTTGCTTTTCTTCTCCACTAGATTTTCCATATTTTCTTCAGTAATCTGTGCTTTTTCCTGCCCTTCATCTTTAACTCCCATACATTCCATTGAAGATCCCCATTGTCACCCCCTAAGCACATGTTCAAGGCATCTCATTCCATTTCTTAACCATCTTAACTATTGTTTCCAACTACTGTTTGAAGTAGTTCTTACTTATTTCATGACAGGCATCAGTGCTTTTGTTCAAAGTAAAGATTTTCCAAACACGTATGTTCATTGTTGTTTGTGGTGTGTGGGTATCAATTCAAATAACCTGCTAAAAGAAAATGAACTTATTGAGCAAAACTTTTTTTTAACATTTCATTCATTCAACAGGTATGAAGTTCACAGTTATAATATTTATCTTTTTCCAACGTCTTTTGGCCAAATTGATGCTAGATTCACATGCCAGGCAAGTATACATTCTACACCACATGCTTTAGAATTTAATTTGTCTATGAGATGTTTCAATTTTCAAAGCTAGAGCTATCTTGCATTAACATTTCTTATATGTAGGCCTCAAGTTTAGAGTTTCTATGTAACCACAAGTTTGATTTCAATAAGGTAGGCATAGCATGGCAATTATTGATTGCAAAGTTTTAACGCACCTAATAATTACCTATGCACCTAACGCCCTTATGTACAAATATGGATTGCAAAACGATGTTCTAATGCATCTACTTAGAATAGGATGTACAATGATGGATTGCAGAACGATTTTCTAATGTACTTAATCATAGTATAGCATATACAAGGATGAATTGTGAGGTATTCTAACCCAACTAATTAGTATAGCATGTGCTATGATTGATTGGTAAGCGACGTTCTAACCCAACTAATTAGTATAGCATGTGCTATGATTGATTGGTAAGGGACGTTCTAACCCAACTAATTAGTATAGCATGTGCTATGATTGATTGGTAAGCGACGTTCTAACCCAACTAATTAGTATAGCATGTACGTTGATGGATTGCAAACGTTGTTTTATTGCACCAAACTAAATTCTAATGCATCACCATTTAAAAATTTCACATTTTCATTATAGTTTATAAAAGAAGGCGTTTCATTTCTGAATAAAACGCAGGTAGAATGAATGGACATTTCTGACATAAGTGTTGTACTGTTTCCTTTCGGCTTTGATCGGCAATTCTCTTTTCAGAAGGAGGAACTTAGAGAATTGTGCGTGAATAATCACCTTAAAATTGCTGGTACTTTGAACAGGTTGGTGTCGCGGGTAAATACTTTAATTTGCCGAGCTTTGCAATGAGGATCTAGCAAATAAGTAGCTGTGCACTTTTTTTTATTATTTTATAAGAATTTTAGAAAGAGATTTCATCACTCCCCAATGTGAAGAAATTGAGAAATGGTTGAAGGAAAACAAGGAGAATATTTTAGTTTTGGAATGCAAAGAAGGTGACGTATATTTAGTGTTGTCGAACTTCAATTATTGAAAAGTTGTGCCGCCTCGGGAACTGATTGAAAAGATGGTCTAAAAACCGCCGATATTTCGATTTTTCTCTGTGTTACTTAAACATACGGAATGCATGACGACTATCCTCATGTTTTGTTTAGCATTCTTACAATTCTTGTTGTACCAAGAAGTGAGGAAAAAGTTCCCAAATCTGACGTGTGACATCGGAACTCAGGGAAAGGTTCTACAGTCATTCAGTTTGGATGAATCCTTGATAAAATATTTTCACGTATGATCTTTATCTTTAATATATTTGCAGTTGCAGGTGAAGAAGAACTCAGAAAAAGTTGATGTCGAGAACTACAAGGAACAAATAAATCGGTTAGTTTGTGTTGCGAGAGATTGCTAAAACTATAACAATTAATTTGCAAGAGTTTTCTGCACTTTTCCTGTAGAATTGTCGAGCATTGTTGTGGCTTTTCGAGAGTTTTCGATTTACTGGTAAAATTCAAGAAGGTATATTTGCACAAGTGAAAGATGTTTGGTTGTCAATGTTGATATATGACACAGTTGGTTTGTCGTAATTTTATTTTTAGCCTCTCCTTGGACACAACATCTTCACCGATGTTTTGTTTATGTATGAAAAATTTCACAAGGCCCTTCCAGGTTCACGATATATTCATCTATACAAGGATGGTTTTTTTGTTGTAAAGATTTTCTTGTTTCGACATTTTCAGGGAAAGCGACTATTTTTCAACGAAACTCCCTTTTCTTCTCTTATACAGATGAATACCATCAATTCAAAAGAGATATTCATGAACTTTTCCCCTGCATCATCGACACCAAACACTTGGCTTATTCACTTGGCAGACAGGACGTAAGGCAGGAATTGGCAAACCTTTTATATTCTAACATAATCTTATAGCATCTGATGTTGTAGCTGTATTATGTAATTATTTATAAAACAAATCCTCGTATTGTTTAAGAAATTACTAGAAAAAACGTACTACATGCCTGGAACTAGATGATTAAGTGTATAAAGTTTACGTGAATACTTGAAACGCGTGTTTCGTGATAGTGAAAATTTTTCAATTGAAAAACACATCTCTCAATTAAAATAGCCAAAGTTTTTACATTAAATTTCCCAACATTGAACTTTGATTATAAGTTATTTGAGATAGAACTTATGAGCATTTGTATTATAAACAATGAAACCCCATTTATATCACTTGTTTGTCTGTCATTTTCTGATTTTTCTCTTTTTTCTCTCAAAATAATCGGCAGCTATACAGAATAATCGGATGACTAGTTACGACAATCGGCTTACAAACCATCTGTCTCAGTAATCGGCAATTTTTCTTATCGACTCATCCCTGTATTAAAACCAAAAACATATTGTAAATTGTATAGTATTTTGTTTATTTTAATAGCTTAAGTTTGACAATCTATTAGATCTTGCGAGAGTCGGGGTTGTTTAAAAAAACAAGTCTGGAAGAACTGTATACTGAATTGAGCAGGTAAAATCGGATGGTAACATCTTTGTTCACAATTTTTACTGACATAGCTACTAGTTTGCATGGATAAATAGCAACGCAGCTAATTGCACTTTACTTTATTTTTTCTCTTTGTTTTGTCATTTCTGTAGTCATAAAGGCCTGTATTACGTATTATACACTCCGACAATAATCCATTCGAAGAACTGTCAAAAATACGGTGCGTTTCTGATATATTTTAACATGATATTTTAAAAAAACTACAACAATTTTCAAAGTCAGCAAAGGAGCAATACAAACGTATTCATGCACAGACGCGTTATGTGAAAGATACGATAAAGGCATTTTAGGATTACCTGTACACATGATGCATCTAAGTTTGCGAACAAAATTTACATGTGCTTTGTTTATATAAGTTGACTATCCAGGTTAGTGTTGGTAAAGTTCCTTTGAAATCAAATAACTTCAATTGTTTTCCACAGATTAAGACATGCATATGTATGAATTTGTACCCCTCCCTCCCCCCCCGATTCAAAACATTCTAATAGACACCAACAGTTTTAAGGAGCGCATGCGTACACAAACACGTGCATGAAAACATGTAACGATCATTGAGTTCTATAATAACTGGAGCGGCTATCTTTACTGGGGCGAGGTCGCCAAAAAAATGGCGGCCAACGGACGTATTTCCGCTGAAATGATCGCTTTGCAGAAAATAATATTCTCGACCTCCCCTGGTGTCTATAGTAAATTATAAAGAATTTTTCAAAACAAACACGATATCACAGAATATGGATATCGTTAGTTCCATATTCTGTGACGATTCTTTTTGGCATTTCTTTATAATGCCAACACTTCAATCGTTCAATTGTTGGATGTCGTAGTTTCCACAAAAGGTACATATCGCTTCCACAGGTGAGGTAGTTGTTTGTTTTGTTAGTCCGTCAACGATTGAAAAGCAATTATACATGCACTTGAAAAGCCATAAAATACATATTAAAGATCGTATTTTTTAAGACTGACTTGAACGCCAAATATACTGATGTTTTCCTGTTTTTGTCTATAAAATTCTGCATACTTTTCTGTCATTTGTTAATGCATGAAATCGTAAATTTACCTATCTATTTGCAAAATAGTTTCCCTAAAGCAAAAAGACCCTGCACACATTTTGCTCTGTGAAAAGTATCAAGAAGAAATGATCAGCCAACAGTACCCATGATTTGGAGCAGAGCTTGTTATGTTGTATTTGCTGACAACATGCAGGGAAGACCAAGAAGTAAAGATGACTGGAAGATGTTATTGATCAGGCAGAGTCTTAAAAAAATGATAATGCTGTAAAGATAATTGATTTATTGTCTGCCTTATCCAGAGTTATTTAATTTGATCATGGTCAAATTCTATGGATGGAGACAATGGATTCACTAATGATGCCTTGAATGCTTTGAAGTTGAAGTTCATGAACCAAAAAAAGATGGCAAGAAGGTTGTGTGTTTTTGATGCTTAATTAAATGTCAATTCACAACATATAAAATGGAAAGGCCATAAAGTTTGTGTCTATGTAAACATTTGTACTGAGATTGATGATGACTTGATGCAGATGTGAAGCATTAAACTGAATAAGCCATTGGGTTTTATATAACATAATGTTTAAATCATGTCATATCTTTATCAAAATATTTTAGTTGAGTGTTGTTTAAATGTTACTAATATCTAATGCACTATACTGAAGCATTAAAGATTCAGTGATGAAACCTTTAAATTTACTGTACTGTATATTTCTTATATATTTCTTATATTTCTTTAAGAAACAGTTTGAGCTTATTTACCTATTAGAGTACAGAATGGGGATTTATCATATGCATCATTGCTGCTTTTTAAATAAATGTTTTCACTTTTCAAAGCTTTTCTACAAATATTTTGCTTCTTATTTCTTTTCATGAGATTGATGATATAGAGGTAATATAATCCAATAACTTTATAATTTCTAGAAAGCTTTTAAGCTTCTAGCATAAAAGTACACTATAGGTATTTAATTCATTTGGTTTTATTGCCTTGTTATGACATATCCATATGCATTTCATCATTCATGTATGAAGAAAACACCAAATGTGGATACTCAGAGAACAAAATGCACTACCAACTGCTTATGAAATTTATTATTGAAGTGAAAACTGTTTAATCATTCAAATTGTGCACTTATATTGAAAATATAGGAAAAACAAAACAAAGTGAAAAATAAGGGTAGAAGTATTAAAACTAAAATGAATTATAAACACCATTGGAAGCATAAGTGTTTTGATGATTATTTGCATTTTGCCCAATTTATATATCAATACAACAAAATCAAATGTGCTACAACTTTACAAGTATTTGATGCAGTTGCACTTCAGAACATCACAAAAGGTTACTTAAAGTAATTTCTATACAATATTGTTTGTTTTCATTTACCAAACCTATGCAGACTTGAGTCTTTTGAAATTTAATATGAAACTCAATTACAGAAAATACGTAAATATCCAGAGATTTAATATTTACTTTTTAAAGAAACAAGTAAAAGAAACAAAATAGCAATGATAAAATAAGCTAACTTCTCTCTCGTGAACCACTGTGGAGATGAACTATGATATACTTTTTGTATAGACTAAAGAGTTTAATCGATCAAACAAGTTTGACGCTGGTAAGAAAACGACGCATATCTGCATTCATAGATGTGTAGCCGACATATAGCTCTTTCATCGATAGTTATAAATACATCCTCGTAGGAGCCGATAACTGAAAGCTATGTTGACTCGCTGTTACGAATTGTAGGTTTTATCGTGATTTTCATCAAAAATTGCTTGCCGAATCCCAAATACACACATTTTCTTCTCTTTCCTCAGGAGGTGGGAAATTGTGAAATTTTCGGAAAAGCGGTCAATTTCGGTAAATCTCAGCGGCAACGGACGAAATCCGCCATTTTTTTGGCGTCACCAGATATCTAAGGCCGCGCTTGAGATAGCCGCTCCAGTTATTATAGAACTCAATGGTAACGATGCTCCTGGATTCAAACAATTCACTTAAATGAAATCTGTACCAGTTGTTCACAATGTAAAACTCATTGTTTTTTCAGCTAACACTTGTAACGCTCATGAGGCCGGCTATGATGCCTATATTTGTGGCTATAGTAGGTCAATGTTGACAGCAATTCATTTGATTTTGTCTGCGCGAAAAGTCGATACTTAAGCAATCTTATATTTATTTTCATTTACGTTATAGTCTTCATAAGAATGGCTCACATCCTGACGGCGAAATTGTTAGGGTAAAAAACCGTTAATTTATACATTTTACAATTGATAGGTTCCTTTAAACAGTTGTACACAGTACACTGAACGCATTTTGAAAAATAAGATGGGAATTTATTTTAGATGAACTTCGAGTTTTTTTTACAGTAATATTATACGTATCTATATTGTAAAATTAAGGGCAAATATGGATGGTCCTTTGGAGTTTCATCAATACTTTGACAGTGTTGAAAATTGGTGCAACAAGATAAACTTACCTCGTGCAAGAACTCTTTATTTGGTAAGTGCTGGAGAACCATAACCTTTGATTCATTGATCAAATAACAGAGAGTTCATTTAGTCGAAGAGGATATGTCACAGATTTAAGAATCTATACATTTACATAGGCAGATTTAGCGTATTTAACGCACGTTTTCCCAAAAACTACTTAGTTCATGATCCAAAAAATTATGAGCGGAGACCAACCTAATCGTGTTCGTTCACCAACAACAGCTGGCAGTTCTTTTATGATTTACATGGACAATAAAACTGACAATACGCATGCGTCCAAGTTTTGACGATTAGTTTAACTGTGAAAAGTAAAGGAAAAAACAAACGAGGAACTTTGAATAACCAATACAACGGTACCGTTGGAGATAAGGATGCCAGACACTGCAACATGTCTCTAACGGCATTGTAAATAATGGAAGCAGGTTCAACTTTCCATTCAAAATCTTCTTTTACAAGTTGCCAACTAAGAGGGGGAGGGGTGGTGGTAGGTTATCGTTTCGATGTGCATTACAGGTTGCGGTAAAAATTCTATGTGTGACATGGCGTTATGGAAGACAGTTGTTGATTTTTACAATCCTAGAATTTGGTTGGTGATGATCCTGAAATTACGAGACCACACTGGATTCATATTTCACAGCGTGGCCGCTTTAAAAAGATAACTGCCGCTCAGGTATGTCCAGCATGCAGTCGTAAACACTGGGTTTTACGAGGAAAAGGCTTTTTAAATCATTTTGAAAACTGACTGACAATTGCTGGGTTATGACGTAATTTGACAATTTTTGGGTAATGACGTAATTGTTCCATTGGTGATATTTCTATTTCAGAATCAATGTCAATAAATGTATAATGGAGTCGAAATATCGCCAATTGAATTAACGCTTTTGATGATGGGTGTTATTTTGATGAATTGAGAGGAAGATGGGTTTTACATAAGCACCAAAGAGAGCTTATGACCTCTGTCGGTGTTTTGATGCATTTCATGTCATGCATTTCAAGGTAGCTTATTGACTAACATACAGATTTTTTTATTTATAGATAATGAAAGAATTAGAAAGATTTGGTTCTTTAGATGTGAAAGTACTGGATAATAGAAGGGCCCTGGTAGCTACAAGTCATTTTCAAGTGTAAGTACGAAAGGGGACTTTCTACTCTCGGTATGGACGAAAACGGTTATAATAGGCACTAATGGATTGCGAAAAGTTACGTTCACAATTCTATCTTGTAATTTCAAGCACAAATGAAGAAAAAGTGCACATACCGGCGACAAAAGATGATTAAAATCCGACTTTGTTAAAGTGGACAGCGGTTTGACAAATCTACAATCGGAAAGTTACAAATACGATAAGCGCATGCTCAGTTTGCTATTTGTTAGTCCTTTACCGCATATGTTGTGAAGATGATGTCTTCTTTTAAAATCTCTCTCATTTGTTCAATATAGCCAATGTACCTTGTAGCCATTTAATTTCCAGAAGAGGAATTCCGTCTTTACTCTTCTGGCAAAATTAACAAATTGACATCTCATTTGTTCAATATGCCAATCTATCTGGTAGCTCTTTAATTTCCTGAAGAGAAATTACCATTCTCATACAATATTATTAAATTATAACTTTTCATTTGTTTAACATGTCATTGCAACTTGTAGCTCTTTAACTTTACTGAATTAGGAATTCCGTCGTTACTATTTCCAGTATTAATAGATCATAATCTCTCATTTGTTCAACATGCCGTTGTATTTTGTTCCTCTTAGACTTTTCTCATTCAGGAAATCCGTCTTTGCTATTTTCAAAATTAACAAGTTTTAATCTCTCATCTGTTCTTGTGTCATTTTTTAGTTCCAGGAGAGTTTTTACTGCTTTTCGACGGCACAAGAAACTGAAAGTTAGAAAATACTATCCACTTTTTGATAACCCAAGATTTCGAGCATTTTTATGGTAAAGTTTGATATTGCTGTAATAACGAAAGTTTCACCTTGTTGCGTGACATTTAGCTATGAGAAGCACTTGATAATGGGGGTTTTTTTAAGCTCATTATTCTCTGATATACCTAAACATAAAAACCGTGCTCGTTGAGGTTACTCTATATTTTATCATGCTATATGGAAGCAACAGAATTTTGTGCCAACATTTCAAGAAAAATCATTTAATTATATCATACTTTTGCATGGAGTGTGGGTTGCATTTTAGTTCAAGTGACGGGCACAAAGTGCTTCGAGAAGTTGAGATAATAAGTATTTAATATTTTAGTGTTTTATCTGTTTTTAAAGCTTTAATCTGTTAACCCTTAATCTTCGTTGAGATATAGTAACCCGCTGTTGATTCTCATCATTGTATGGTCTTTAAACACTCTAGTACAATACTTGAAGTGTTTTATTGAAAATTTCCCCCGCTTATAACGATGAGGAAATAGTAAATCCAACAATCTTTGTCGTTTCTTCGGAATTGTGAATGAAATTGCCTAAAATTAAATTTGATATATTATCTAAATAGCTATTATATATATATATCCCTCTATACTTGTAATTTAATACTGTCTGATGATGTCTTGAGAGTCAAGACGAAACGGTACGCTTCTAAATATTTCTTTTTATACGTTATTTTGTATTGAATGGCTCTTTTAAAAGCACTTTGCTGGGCTTTAATATTTATATTAAGAATTTTTGTCGTGTTTTTATAACAAAAAAATCCTCATGGTTTACGCCGTTTTCGTCATAGATGTTTCCTCCTTCGTCAAATGAACTGACTTTTTATTCTCTTTTATAGGGCAAGTGGAGTAACAACTGCCATTCTCACCTTGTTTATAGGCGGAGTAGCCGCATTGTATTATGGGAAACGTACCATGAACAATGGACGACAGTTGTGAAGGAAACACGATAACCTCATCAGTTGCTAAGAACACGAACACCGACCAATCCATTTTGTGAATGCTGAATTCTTTTTAATTACCACAATGCATAACATATTGGCACTAGGAGCTTACGTAAAACTTGATGACATAATAGTTGTATAATTAAATATAAATCTATCTATTCTTATAAGAAAAACTTTTCGTTCTTATTATCGTGCGTATAGAATTCATACATTTTGGTGAACTAATTCCTGCATGCGTCACAAAAATGGCTCAAATTGACTAATTTGAAGCACGTTTTGCACGACGTGTCCAAAAAAATACATGATGGACGAAATTGTTGTAGAAAATTTTCATATTTACGCTCGCCGAAGAATCGTTTCTTTTCATAATCTTTACATGTTACACAATCGATACACCAAGCTTTACATGTTAATGCACCAAACATTGACAGAGTAGTGTGATAAAAATAGGATTCAATCCAAAAATAACATGGTGGTCCTAATTGTCTTGAAAAAATTTCGTAAACAAGATGAAATCAAACTAATCATGCACAAAACAGTCACACGACTAAATAAGGTTTTGCCTTACACCTGATCATCCATGCTCGTAGGAAAGTTGAACTGAAAAAAATTGTGAGCCAACATTGATGCGAAAACAGACTTTCGCACGTTCAAACTTGTATCTATCCACAATGAAACCGACATTTGTCTCTTCATATAAACATGCAGTAAACACAGACAGACTGGAAAGATCTTCATAATTGCCTAACATGTAATTACGATTGAGAGCAATATACTGTGACTACAGGTGACGCATATTTGAATCAAGACCAACGGGTCGCACCTGTTGTCAACTGAGTTGGAGCTAACTTGCCGCCAGTTTGTATTTCACGCAATGCACACATGCAACTTGGAACAGGAAAAAGTTCGTTTTTTCTGACAAATATGAAATATAATGAATTGTTTATAGTTTGAGTTAAGTCTTGTTTTCAAAGGAGATTGTTTTTCGTGGGTCATGCATTGTACTCGGTGCGTTAACAGGACAGCCCAAAAGTAACTGTAATGTCCATATTGAAATGATCACATAACCGAAGACCTTCCAACACAATGTAGATTCTGGATGTCGTGTGATCTTTTCATTTTTGCTGCTATACCACATCTGATTTTAGTGTGATGCAATGATAACCAATTCGTGCAGTGAAAAATGAAAATCAGTAGGTCCACATATCATTTAAGAAACATTTTTATGAGTTAGATTCTGCCTTGCTAAATTTTGTAAGATAATGTGCATTGATGAAAAAGTCTAGAAATTTGTAACGTGCAATCATAACGAATATTACAGATAGTAATTATTCAAAACGTGAAACTGTGTTTGAATGTTAACGGTGATCGTTGGGATGTATGAATAAAGCCAACGAGCCGTTGGCATTTGGACAAGTAACAGTTTTCATTAATCTCCCCTCTGGGTACACCACCTTTTAAAGAAAAATTCTTTCATTCAAATAAACTAACATATCAAATCTCATAATCATCTCACCGACCGTGTCAACCCATGAATGGTTTGCAATTAAATCCTCATACTCAATCGAATTTTTCAAATAGCCATATAAACATCGCATTATTTTCACTGTCATGCTGAAATAGTTGTTTTACAACGCTGTTTTTGTATGCATCCTGCAGTTTTGAAGCACACATAACCCTTTTCAAACGAAGTCAACATGTAGTTTGTATAAATAGAAAAAGTACATAATTTTTGCTTTCTACTGGATGCCTGATGGTCTGTTGATAGGCAGATATGGAAAACTGCCTAGAATTCCACTCTCTTCTCAAAAAATTGTTTTCAACAATTAAGTTGTTTAGTCTTGCTTTCGGCAAATGCAGATAACTTTAAGTTTACGTCTGCCATCGAAATGATCGAGAGATCAGATCTGTTTTCCACATTCTAAGATTTTTCAACCGACATTGAACTTAGCTACAGATAGATATGTCATTGTAAAACATGTAAGACGCTAAGCTGGCGCATGGAGTCAATGAAAAGCTTTAAATAGTTTCGTAATGATTTCCCTGACTATAATAGCAATGAGACAAGCGTTCAGCCCAAGCAAGCAAATGAAGAACGGTTCACGTGTACAGTCTCAACCAAATTATATGTTCACCGGGAGACCTTCGATACTGACATAAGCAGGAATTTACTCATCATAAATCAGTAATAATAACCAGTTGAATGTATCTATGAAGTACTTATAAAAATTATATAGAAGAAATTGTTAGCACTGAAAATGCACGCCCGTCGCGGCGATGTATTTCTCTTGGCAGCCATTATTTAAGAAAACGAAATTATCCATTTTTGGTACGGCTCACGCAGTCAGTGAATTAGAAGCGATGTATATATATGGAAGTCAAACGTACATGCACAAGTCCATGCACGACAGCATTGGTCCAAATGGTTACACATGCAAATCAGAACATTTTAGACATATCTAATTGAAAGATTTCTCTCTAAAAGGAATGGCTACATGAGGCAATGACCCAAGATGGTTTTTTTTCAGGGACAGACAATTATAGAATCGTCGCTTTCCTACATGTTGAAACATGTTTTTTTTTCATAAACGATGTTATACAATAAACTCCTCAAACCGTTTCGTACAAAATAAGGTTAGCCTATGATTACCTATATACACTCTTAATAATCTTCTTTCGTTCGCCCAAAAACACGATAACTTCAATATTTGAGTAATATACGGACCGCTGTAGTTCTATAAGTTCAAACAAATTCTCCGTGCAAAGGGTAATAACTGCTGAGTGACAATGTACGCGTATGCATATTAAAGTTTAGTATGCTTTCTTGGTATACAAAATGATCGTTTGGTTGTTGTGACTTGAATAAGCAATATGATCACCATTTTAATGGGATTTACAGAGTATGGGGTGTGTGTACTCATCATCAGAAAACTTTAGAAGCTCTGAAATAAGTTTACTTGCAACAAAAATAAATACAGCATATATATTTCACATGCAAGAACAAAATTCTTGAAATAATTCAAAATGCACGGGAATCGTTGCATGTATTTTTGACCTCTGAGAATTCATACGCAGACCAGTGAAACCGATTTACTTGATCTTCAGATTGCCACATATTGAACTGTTTAAACATCGAACTGTTTAAACAGTCGTGACAATGATTCATGCAAGACTTATAGCTATTTGATCAACAAAGATCAGTAAATGAAAGATTTAATCATCGTATGTTATCGATCACATATCGGAGCAATTCGTCATTTTCCACACTGTTGAAAGGTAGAAATTCTTAAAAAGGAGCCCCTGGTGTATTTGTCAACAGTTGAAACAACGCAATAACGGTAAATTAGCTAAGTTACAGCCTACGTTTCACATGGCAACGAACAGTTGACATCTTGGTCTAATTTACAATGCACGCGGCTACTGTTCAATTAGTATTCACAGCGATTGTTTATTTTTGGTTTGGGCACAACCTTGAACATCATTGTCCTTGCTTAAAACGCACTCGCGTGATTAAGGCACACGTTTCAACATACTTTCGTGACTTAAAAGCTGGTTACATGATTCACGTTGTCAAAATATTCCTGGTGTGAGGAAAAAACGTCTACTTTTTAAGTAAAAATGCTTCAATGTAGGAATTTTGTCGGGTACGAAGGTCTACCAAGCTGAGAAAGCAAATTTACAGTGAAAAATTACAAGCTCTAAAGCGATCCTCTATTATTTTATATTAACACATGCTTATTTTTTCAAATGTATCGTTTGAGCGAAAACCAGACAGATGGTATTCATTTCGATTTAAAATTCCTTAATAATTATTTAATTATATAAGAATTAATAGTAAACAAAAAACAAAAAAGCTGTTTATAAATTTTGCCGCTTTTCAATAGACGAAATAAACTAATCTCGGCGATTTGAAGTATGGCCACCGATTACGACAGAAGACAAACAGGCCTATCAACAGAATATTGCTACAAGTTCGATCGTCATAAACAAGACAGATGTCTTTAAAAGAACTGAATTGCAAAATCAGAATTTACAATAAATTTCTAACAAAGTCGAGTTAAAGTAGTGGTTGTGTGTATGGTCTAACTGTTCGCGATTAATCTCTCACGCCTTTTAAGACCTCAAAAATAAGTTATGCGAGCACATGAACTTTTCATCTAAATATGTCCAAACTAAGAACTCAAAGCCATCGTGGTGATTTATTTTGAAATTTTCAGACATAATAAAAAGAAAGCAATGACTATTTATAGAAAAAACAGCTGTAAGAGTCAGAATTATGATTCTGCCAATAATGCGTTTACTTATTCTACCCACAACACGAAAAATAGTCTGCGATGTCTCATTGATTTTGATTGCTGAAATGACATTGTACCTCTTGAGCCGTACAGGCATGACAATTATAGATTAAAGTTTTCAAAGCCCGCCATGAGATGAGAGTAAAGCTTAAAGAATGACGGAGATAATTTCAGGAATTCCAAACTCGCAGAGGAATTAGCACGACACAATGACATAAGAGGAACACGAACTTAAAACACACGTTGGGAGCTTTGAAATCTCCTGCTATCATTTGATTGGTTCCTGTCATCGCTAACGTTTAAATCACGCGATATTGACCGAACGATAGGCAGTTTTCGCAAGGTCGCTTCGAGAGAACAACGTAACAACTGAGCAAGTTCATTGTCGCCGCCAGTTCAAGTCGCATCATAGTACTGTCGAGTTTTTAGAGCACAACAAAGATACCAGAAGATGTATGTCAAAAGCCTGTCTCTATACGTGTTTTGCGTGATTGTTATCATTGCAAATATAGGTGAAGGGAAGAGATACCATAGCCGAGGTAGGTTCGAAATTCAATATTACAGGGTTGAGGCAACATTTAAAGCGCATGAGCAACTTCGTTGTCGCTTTCCGCTCATTACAAGTTTTAGCAGTTCCTGCCAATGTTTTTTTTGCAGTAATCAACTTATAATTCGCGTAATTTCCAAAGTGCACGTGGTTTAAACGTTAAATGAGGAGTTAGAGAACATTGTGCTCCAAATGCGCTGCAAGGCCACCTTTTCACAGTTGAATTTGAAGATCTAGATTCAGTAAGATTTTGCTGTATTCATGACAGACAAGTAAATCATGCGCATTCGTAAGCATCAAATTCACAATAAAATTTCGATTCCGCGCTTCTAAGCAGACGATGTAGCTTCGAGGAAAATCGATAATAATTGCAGTCGTTAAGCGAGGATAACACGGTGATGAAACAGGCAAATGTATCTAATACGCAATACGGCAATACAGATTAACATCTTTAATAAGTTAAAAGTCTCATTAGCACTTCTACGTTTGTCACGGAAGACCTAGACTTCAGGAAATACACGGAAAACGTAGCGTTTTGATAGAATCGATGCGTCGCATGCTATAAAGCAATCATTTGTTTCTTAAACCTTGCGTTCGTTTTCAAACGATGTCAAAAAATATCGGTGTTATACATGGATTGCGTTGCGATTAGATAATCGAACATAACCCTAATATGCCTACGCAAGTCAGGACGTTGAAAGACATTAATTAATTTAACGTTGCTAACCTTCATGCATAATAGGACCACTTGTCAAGAATATAAATCAATGTTTTCGCACGTAGTCGTCTCTCCATTAAAGCTTTTGTGCCAAACGATATTTAAAATAGCGATAACCAAACATAGTCATAAGTACTTCTCGACATCGGAGAGTGTTATTTGAAAATCTAAAAAAAAGGCAACGCGTAAGAAGAGAAGGTCTTTCATCATTGTTGCAATCTTTTGTCAACTGGTAATTGAGTTATGAGCATGCAATTATGGTTTTTTTCTAGAACTTGACGTTTTGATTGAATTTCTTCCTATCATAAAACTCGTATATTTGGGCATTATACGTTGAAAACGATTTTCGAATGGTGGAACACATTATTTCGTAAAACTTTTTTTACACGAAATAGCCAAAAGTCAAATAGGTAATAAGTAGATATTTTAAGCTCATAAAGACAGCAAACGGAACTTCATCAACCTGTTATCTCATCACGACTTTTGTCACAGCTGTTTGTCATAGAAATGATAATTAGTGAGTTGCTTTTACCCCTCACGTATTAATGACGCATATTTTGTGATGAACAGATGAAGTTATTCATAATCTCAAGAAATGTAGGCTTTTCTTCACTTCAAAGCAAAACAATTAATGTAAATAGAGGTTTGGCTGAAGATTATAATTCTTATTGCAAACATCGTATTGTGCGGCAGATATGTAATCCTGAAATAGTATAGGATCGTCCTTCGTCAACAAATACTTGACTCCTCGAGGTCAAATAAACAAAAATCGACCTAGTGGCGACTTAACATTGTTTGCACAAAGTGTAAAGTGTCTCAGCGTTGTTTACAATAGACGATTCAAAATATTTGGATATTAAAAAGGCGTTGTCTGCACTGCATGTATTGACGCGTATCATTTTGAGCATTTACGATCCTCTAACACAAGCACAGTTCCATTCCGAACAACTCATTAACGGCACACTTATCGTGCAAAAAACGAAGACAAGAGTGCTTAAGCCTATTATATCGTAAGGTTTTAATGTTGCTGTAATTCTATCGACATTATGAAGGTCTACCGTTCGCACTGAAATAGTTGTAATTATTGTAAATGTTGAACTAGATCCAACCATCAGCTGGAGAGTAGTGTGGTCACGCAGCTCAATATGAAGTTCCCACGACTGATTCGTGAACGTCTTCGTAAACTGTGTAAATTTCATCTTTTTAGGTTATGGTCGAACTGGTCAGTACGTGACTAACACCGAACTATCACGCAACGGTAAGGACGAGCGTTTTTCTAACTGAGCTGATGATCATTATAACGCTATAAACGTATGCATTCGAGCATGCAAAATAGGGCTGCATTAAGCTTCAATCGGATTCTTTGTAATTGAGAGAGATTGGATGCTGTGAGAGAATGGCTCCAATTCCAAAGTACTTTTACTTCAATAGGAGCTAAATTTAAGATAAAGACACTTAGAAAACGCGCCTAGATTCTTAAAATGATTTTCATCATAATCAAATCGGATATACACCCGTATTCTGAAACCCATCTCACAATCACACTCACTGGGTTCAACACAAAAATCACGCTCCTATCAATCAATGGCAAAATTAACATAACGTGCGTCAGTGTAGGTAGCGATGAATGAAGAACTGAGAACGAGAACAGTCCTCGTTCAAACGAAAAGTACGCCATGGCGAGATTTTTGCTAAAATATTTCAAAGCAATCTTCTGGGTGAAAATATCATATTCAAATAGTTAGGAGATGGTTGTGAAGAGCAGCTCAATGAGTGTTAGCGACCTAGGTAGACAAAGTTCTTGAACCAGAAAATAAGTCAATTAAATGTCTCATATTGATTGAACAACCACTTACGAAGAATTTTTCACACATAACTCATCCTTAATCATTCGAGCTTCCAAAAAGTCTCCGAACTATGAATAACAAAAACTTGTTACCATTATTTTTAAAGACTGTCGAGATATGGTGAGCGTTGACTACTGCAAAAAAGTAAAAGAAATGAAATATTGTGGTTTGCCTTTGTACTCGTCAAGATGCCGTTTGACTTGTGGGATTTGTACAACTAAACGCGAAACAGTAACAAAAGCCAACAGCGTTGATAAAGGTAAGAGTTCTGAATACGATTATCATCTCAAAATAATGAAATCACAATGATGTTTGTTTAATTTGCGAGGCTTTTTGCAAAAACGAATACCTTGAAAAAATACTGACACATGCATATCACAATATTAGGGAAACGTCGTGCTCCCTTACCTCGCACAGCCTTGTAGACCTGAACGAAGGCAGTGTAGTAATAAGAAATACTTAGAGAAAGAATATATGGAGAAGTACAAACAACCATACTCGCTTTTATTTAGTTCATGTTGTTTTGTATGTTTAGTTTGCAGAGATGTAGGTGGCAAGAACTTCTGTAAAAAGACATGTCGCAGACGACCTTATGTCGCATTTGCAAAGACTTTCTGCAAAAGAAGTTGTAATTTCTGCAAACCAGGTGTGTTTAATTGTTTCAATAGAATGTAAAATTTTGCCAGTGAAACGAGTTAAGTCTCCGTTCGTTTATACACCATCCAGAAACACACTATAGCAACGTGTGTGTGCGTGTATAGGTGGTGATGAATGAAGAAGAAAGAACGAGAACAGTTCTCATTCCATCTAAAAATACATTACGATAACGTGTAGATATAGTGATGAATGAAGAAAAGAACGAGAACAGTTCTTATTCCATCTAAAAATACACTATGATAACGTATGTCAGTGTAGATAGTGATGAATGAAGAAAAGAGAACGAGAACAGTTCTCATTCCATCTAAAAATACACGATGATAACGTATGTCAGTGTAGACAGTGATGAATGAAGAAGAGAGAACGAGAACAGTTCTCATTCCATCTAAAAATACACTATGATAACGTATGCCAGTGTAGATAGTGATGAATGAAGAAGAGAGAACGAGAACAGTTCTCACGCCAACTAAAAATACACTATGATAACGTATGTCAGTGTGATAGTCTTAAAACCACCTATGATTGTGTCTGTTAGTGCATCAGAAAAAGATCACTTTTCACACTTTACAAATAATAAACTTAGATAACGTGTATCAGTGTAGAAGTAGATAGCCTTAAAGACCAACAACTAATTGTTTCTCATTGTTCGTTTAGAGTCAAAATGCAAGGACGAGAAAATATGTGAAAGATTGACAACCTTTTACAAAATCGATAAATGCTCAACTTTGCCTCGTCGACTTAGGAAACGAGCAATGAGAAGGTGCCCAAAACTTTGCGGTGTTTGCTTGCCTCCAGTACAAGAAACATCCGATTCCCAAGGTAAACATAGAGTTCAGAAGTTGCAGCCACTACGAGCCTCATATCTACATCTGACATCACTATTTTCGTTTTATAGCTTCACAAGCATTACGTACAGCGGTCGACATCATCGAAACACCAGCGCAACGCGGAAACACAATTCACAATAATCGCAGACAACCTCATCCACAGATACAAAGCGTTGGATCAAACCAAACGCCACGTCGTGGAGTATTTTACATGTATACGGACTATTTATCGCTTTAACGCGTTCGAAGATACTCAAATAACAAGACTGGTTACTTGGTGAAAGGAGCAGTTGGCAGCAAAAATTGACGGAAGTAACTCAAGGAATGTGCAAAACACGATGAAGGAAGCACCAGAGTAGATTGACTAGCATTTATCAAAATGTAGAGTGCGACGAAGTCGTACAACAATACCATTATACACAAGTGTAAATAGACTTTTTATAATTATGTAGCTTTGTCAAACAAATGCGAATCACCGATAGACACAGAAATACAGACATTTAAAACAGATTCAAATTCACTTGTGCTTGTAAATAGCGATGGATTGAAGAAGAAAAACACACATGTAACTAATATACCTTGTGTTTTGTTTCCCTTTTAGTTAAGTATGATTAACTCTAGGCCTACAAAATTAATACAATGTTGACCAAGATATTTCCTCTATTTAGACCTGCCCTTTCTTATAACCCCCCTACCTTGACGGAAAACACCACCATTAACCCCCCCATACATAGTAAATGAAAAATCACCTGGAAGTCAATGTCAAGATGAAGTCATAACACAGTACAAATGCTAACTATGCTTTGTCCATTGACATAGGAATTTATTCGTTTGAAAGTCCCGTATACGTAAAAATCAAAATAGTCACTTCTTTTGAGTCAAAATTTCAAACAAAAAATCCTAGCCATGTTTTTCTTTTTCCAAAATGCATTTATGCGCATACTGGATCGGGTATTACATATTAAAATTATTATCAAAACATGTGTTGTGTAAATTAGTGTGAGCTAGAAATTTGGCGTGAAAATTTTTTAGCCCCCAGCGGCCCAGCCTTTTTTCGCCCCTTCCTTTGTAATAATCCTCGACATGTGTGGTAGCATAATGAAAAATCTTCCAGTTGTCTAAATAGAGAAAAATACTGTACGTATGCCAACCATACAGTTGTTGCATACATGCTAACTATATATCGTAACAATACATGTCAACTACACATGTGAACTAAACGATTTCTTAAACTTCAAGAGCTGTATAATTCTATGTACTAGGATTAGCAAACTTACATCTTTTTCTTACTTGAGAGGTAGAACTTCATGCTGGAGTAATGTTAAGTGGATTCATAGGAGTTGAATGAAGATGACAGGTGGACATAATAAAACATTCACGCTGATGTACATTTCTCACATTTTTGTGTCGAAGTCATCACCGATGAAGACACTAGAAGGGGAAATAATAATTGGTATTTGAAAAAAAAAACTCTGTAAAAATGCCAGTCGAAGATACCAGACAGCAGACTTGATTACATAAGAATTAAAACTTCAGAATTTTAATTAGATAACACCAGAAGACACAACACTTGAGCATATATGTTTTCAATTTACAGAATCGGACCACACCAGACAGAGACATCACACTTGAGTATATCTTTACTGAAGCTATAACGTCAGAACACACCAGATAGAGACATCACACTCGAGTATATTTGTAGTTAAGTTATAACGTCAGAATACACCAGACAGAGACATCAAACTCGATTATATCTTTACTAAAGCTATAACATCAGAATACACCAGACAGAGACATCAAACTCGAGTACATCTTTACTAAAGCTATAACGTCAGAATACACCAGACAGAGACATCAAACTCGATTATAACTTTACTAAAGCTATAACATCAGAATACACCAGACAGAGACATCAAACTCGAGTGTATCTTTACTAAAGCTATAACGTCAGAATACACCAGACAGAGACATCAAATTCGAGTATATCTGTAGTTAAGTTACAACGTCATAATACACCAGACAGAGACATCAAACTCGAGTATATCTTTACTAAAGCTATAACGTCAGAACACACCAGACAGAGACATCAAATTCGAGTATATCTGTAGTTAAGTTATAACGTCAGAACACACCAGACAAAGTCATCAAACTCGAGTATATCTTCACTAAAGCTATAACGACAGAACACACCAGACAAACACACCACACTCGAGTACATCTTTACTAAAGCTATAACGTCAGAGCACACCAGACGAACACGCCACACTCGGGTATGTGTGTACTCAATTTTTTAACATCAGACCATATCAGACAAAGACACCAGACTCAAGCAGGCGCGTACCCAATTTTCGTCATCATACCACATCAGATAAAGACACCACAATTGACTATGTTTGTACTAAAGTTTTAACTTCATAACACATACGATGAAAAAATGAAAACATCACACTCGAGTATGTGTGTATTCAATTTTCAGCATCAGACCACATAAGACAAAAACACCACACTCGAGTATGTGTACCTAGTTTTCAGTATCCGATCACACCAGATAAAGACACCACACTGGAGTATATGTGTGTACACAATTTTCAGTATAAGATCACACCAGATAAAGACACCACACTGGAGTATATATGTGTACTCAATTTTCAGTATAAGATCACGCCAGATAAAGACACCACACTGGAGTATATGTGTGTACACAATTTTCAGTATAAGATACAGATAAAAACACCATATTCGAAACTACCGACTAGTACTCAAGTTTTAACAATAAATAAATCACAGCAGAAAAGAAACAAAATCAAAGCATGTTAGAACTCAAATTTCAACATCAATTCACAGAATAACTATAACACCAATTCAGTCATCATCAAGAAGCTAGATTTAACTTTGTCTATGGATGGAAAAGCACTAGATATCTCTGCACTAACTCCAAATAAAAAAAATGACAAGAATGAGTGCCCACATGACCGTTTATAAACGTCCTTGACCCACTAATCCCTTTTTTTCCTGGATGTGTTAGCCAAGAAGGACTTAATTATGTGATCTACATAAGGATCACTCAAAATTCTTTTATCACTGCACGCAAAATATAGACAAAATGGAATCTGCAAACTGACATACACGAGATAAATAAGATGCAATAAGCCCGCAAGAATTTCAAAATTGATGGTTGAATTCAAATTCCATTCGTACATTCGTGAAGTTAATTTACGCTAGATTCGGAAATCGTCTCATTTCTACATACGCAGCAACACAACGTTTACATAACTGGTAGACCTTCTATGACTCATGACGTCTTTGTTAGGTGATGAAATAGTGCGAGTAAAGACGTTTCACAGATGGAATAAAATACAAAAACATAAAGTTTTTGGATCCCGAAGCGAACTCCGCGTCAATTGCATTGCACAAGTAAATGAAATAATTCTAGAGAAAAACAAACTTTGGTAGTTTCCCATCGCCCCACTCTCGTGACGTCAACATACAGATTTTTATATTCACATGCTAAATAAAGTTTTTACATCACCGTCTTTTTTATTGACTTAGTAAAAGTATAAACATTACTGATCAAAACATGCTTACGCCTAAATGAAAACACTCTGGATTTAACAATGATGCATTGACATGGTTCAAATCTTGTTGATTTTCCGTATGTTGTTTTAAAAACCGTAACGTTTCTCACATATTCTATGGTCTGTTTCCCTCTTGATCAATGACGGTTCTACCCAGAGTGTTAGCTGCAGGAACAAATATCATAAGTTCCCATGGAAACAAATGAGACAAATTCAGAGTAAGAGTATACAATTTTCTCTCTCCAGTGTCTGAGAGGTTGAAACTTACATTTGGTCCCGAACTTGTTATGCAATCTAAACGCTCATTAATAATGAATTCTGAACTTAGAAAAATATGAATGACTGGAGTGATCTCGCTAAAACTCAAGTCATAACTATTGGAGACGATAGCAACATTAGTTTATTGTTAAAAACGAACGCTACCGTTAATAGTATTTCAATTGAAAAAGTTCCAAGATAAAAATCTTCAGTTTTCACAATTGTTATGTTGATAATATTTCGAAAATACTGCAGTTAGCGCTCTAAAACAATAAGAAGCTGCATATACTGGTTAAGATACATTAGGTAAAGTGTATAATGCAACAAGTAAGCAATATTTTTTCTTCGTGCGCTACAGCATGGGAATAGTATCAGTGGCAAATCGACTAATAAACTACAGAAACTACGAAATTGGGTTGAATGGAAAATAACATGCTCTTAATTCTAACACTATACTTTAAATTTTCGCTCTTGAAGAGCTTGGATTGGATGAAATAATGTAATTGCTACTTGTAAAATACAAAGCGCTATTTGTATTTACAAGACCCTGTGATGCACAAGATTTTTGTAATTATAAAGTCAGTCATGACAAGTGCTCCTTATGTTATAGTGGAGCTTTATTATCGAACATTAACCTAAACCTCTTGGTTTGCCTAAGCTTCTTAGATAAGGATTATCGTCACTCCTTTTATCGTCAAAACTTTTTTAATACTTATAGCTATTAATTTCCCAATCGCAGCATGCTACAACTAGTTTTATTCTTGTGAGTTGGTATACTCATATTTTTCACTGAGTCGACTTTGTTTGTGTGTCATTTAAGCCATATAATGAATGCTTGGCCGTGTTTCTAAATAAGGATGGTGTAAATGATTTCCCTTTATATGTACCTATCTTTGAATTTGTGTATCCGTGCGCCCACGATTGAAGTTATAGCAAATATAAAACCAATCAAGGTTATCAGTTAAACAAAGCGATAACCATTGCCGGGAAAAATGCAAGAAAAAATAGTCAAACGCTGTTTTTCGATTCTCCGACAGACCGAGTCCCAACTTCCCACATCGACGAATGCTCTTAACATGAAAAAAATGTTGGCTTCTTGATAACATCTATTGAACACGGCCAAAATTCATCGCCAAAATTCTTTGAATAATATTCTTGACAGAAATTTTTTCGCAGCGTGAATGAAAAAAAGGGTTGATTAAAACAGACATATAGCCAATCATAACATCAGCTTTTTTACTAAGTATGTTAATGAAATCATTGAATAATTATCGAGGGAGTTAAACTGGACAATAAAGGAAAGATTACGAAAAGATAACCATAAAACAGACTATTGTGTTTTTATAAACAACTGCACGCGAAATTATTAGGTATTTTTAGCTCATTTCCCTGTGCATTAGTGTCATCCCAAAAAAATGCCATCACGTTCATTGTAAAATCTACCACCAGAAACGACCATCGCATAGCAGAAAACGGCAAATGATTATCATGCATCATGTGTTGAAAATACTCAAACTACGGGCCACCCTATCTCCCAGCCACATAAAAGAAAATGTAATTATTACGGTGAAGATCATTTTGAGCGCTGCCTTTCAAATTGCGTGAGATGAAATCAATCATTCCCAATCTTTGAGCAATGCTGTTCTAGTACATGAAAATTCTTGTGTCAAAAATTAGTCTAGTAATTAAGATAAAAAATAGTTTAATACCATCCGCCCAATCACACGGAAGGCGAAAGTGTTCATGATTAGCCAAAAAGCCGCTATTAAGCAAAAGGAATTTGGCAAATGGATCGCTGTATCATCACATCCATCTATACATAAACAAACACTGCGTGATCAAGGAGTTACATACACGTAATCCTTACATAAGAATAAATTAAAAGATCAGTAGATATGAGGAAGACAGATGAGTTGGAGTATAACGCGATCTTGAACAATAAAATGATTGTTAAAATTATTCTCTACACCACAAAAAAAACGGAGATGAGATGTGAAGTCTGTAACTTGATACAGTTCGAAGCAATCCGCGAATTCTTGTAAATATACGAAAGCAAAAATAAAGTAAAATTTCAAATTCAGTTAAACTTGTATCAAGTGATATTTCGCCAATTGGAATTTTCTCTTCCTGCAAATCAATTTTTGAGAGAAAAGTTTCCAAATACCTTGAGATGTGCTTATGATAAAAATCCATTTTCCAAGCAATTATAGCATGTGCTGAATTCTACCAGACAACCATCATTCTTCATGCTACAGTTTGAATGTAGTACTATATACTTCTATTTTAATGCATCTTTTGGATAACGAATGTTAAATTTGAATATAAGTCAAGGTCCGTTTAAAACTGTCGAATTCTTTATTTGTTGAATGAATGATTTAAACGCAGAAAATAAGGAGTGTAAATTGTCATTATCTCTTGTTTCCTGATGCATTTGGCACACGAAGTCTGGAATTGCTTTATAATATAAGAAATAATAACCAGCAAATTAATGATGTTAGAGGCACATCAATGAGTACACAGACTTCACAAATCCTTAGCGGCATCATCACAGCGACAAATGCATAAAAGAAACACACTAAGATTACGAAATGTCTTTTTAAGGAAGTCTCCAAAAGCAAAGGAGAAGGATATTTTCATAAGGGGGAGTTAATAAAGACATATCGTCATCTTCTAACTATTTGGCAAGTTCCTCATCCCTTCCTCGCCAATGCTAAGACACAAGTGGTCTGGGAAGTCTTACATTGAGATAACATTGAGGTAAGGGCCATATTAAGAACACATTATTCACGACAGCATGGAGCACTTTCTTTTAAAAATTGCAATTTTCACGTACTTTAGCCATTTAGGGAGAGGTAGCAACGACTTCAATGGACTATCAAAATAACTTATCAAAAACATTGTCAAAATTGCCTAACTTTAGTAAATTCAAAATAGCTCCCTGAGCATCTGGGAACGCAATATAAGATTACGACTGATGATTGATGACATTAATACTTGACAGGCTTATTAGATTTTTTCGCACCTCGCACCGTATAAAAGCGCGACGCATTTGAGCGTGGACAGTAGATGCAAGCGATCGTCCAAACAGAGACAACATCGAAAGAAAGAAAGCAACATAGACAAAAGACAACAAAGTTTATCTAACGAAACATCTCAGCGATAAGATGGCATTGGTAAATCTTCAACTCCTGGCAATACTCGCGTGTCTTTTTAACATCGCAGAGGCTTTCGAAAATGGTAAGTGTAATTTCTTGACAATCTGTGAGTCCTTTTATAATTGGTAAACGAGGCAATTTCCTCTGCAATTTAAAATGGCAATATCCGAAACACTTGCGACAATAACACGAAATGAAAACGGAACCTCCACATCGCCTGAACACAAATCGGACGACGGTAGCAGGGAGATATTTATTGAAAAGGTGTTGGGCATACATGAAACAGCCTATGTTTTATACGCTTCAAAAACTGATTATGGCTGCGGCTGCACATATGTACATACTGCTATAGACATTTCTCTAAACAAGCAATCGGTCGTTTTCAAAGGATAACTGTGCACAAATTTTCACATGAATCCAAGTCAAATTTTGCGAAGCGGCAACGTTTAGCAGTAAAAAAATTTGATAAGCGATAGTTTTCTCTATATAAGGAAATATTGACCTTCATTAACAAACATGATTAAGGTTTAAATCAGTAAGAGTGATCAAGTCAAAGAATTTTAAAATCGTTCTCCTTAATGACAAACATCCTAAAAAACTATTAGCCTACTTCAGGGGCATGACATAAAAAGTAAATGGCAAATGCGACTGTTCGTTTTGGGGACAAAATATTTTTATAATTTCACGATGGACAGTACGTCCGCTGTGCAACAAGATCGAAACAAGTGTGCCAAACTTATATCGTGTAGTTATTTTAAACCAGTGTATGCTGTTGAAAATTATTGCATGAAATTATTACATTTTATCATATGATCACTTTTGCTTATCACCTCTGATCATATCACTAGAAATCAAAGAGCGCTCCGATAATTTTCATCATCAATAAACAGATCCATACATATATGAATTAAGAAATATCCTATCAAATATTTTTGACTGTTTCTTCTTCCGTCAATTTCCTAACTTTGATTATTAAAGCCATTTATAAGTGAGAAAAAAAGCTATGGTTCTTAACTGCAAGTTGAAAATGAGCAAATGACATGGAGTAAACTGCGTGTGCTCATACAATGTGAATGCATGGAAAGGATGAAAAGATGAATTTGTGAGCAAACTTTCAGAATCAATTTGAAACATGCTCACCCATAAACATATTGAGAGAGTTTAATAACGTTCGGCAAAATACTTCAATACGCAAAAAATTTCCACAGGTTCATAAAAAAACTTGGTTTGAAAAAGCGTAAATGCAATGTAGCTAAAAATTAGTAAACCAGACGATCACAGCCAAGTGCACAGAACACCACGTTGGTCTCGCTTCTTTTTAATACGTACGTATGATGAAAACGTAACTTAAACACTTTTCTCGAACAAAATAATAAAATTCCATCCACGTTTGCTCTGACCTATAGTCAGCGCGCAGCTGTGATCCGGTCTTTTCATGTCAAACGCTGAGTTCTTCGCAAGCGACCAACGCACGCACAACATACACCGCCAAAAATGCAAATTAAAGTCGACATTGCATCTGACACATGTGTTGTAATTCCATTACGTAAGAAATTTAGGTAACGATTGTGTAATAAACGAAGAGATCGTCAACATAATATTTCCTCCAAAGTTTTTACAACTACGAATTCCATTCAACATTAAATAGGACAAAGCATTTTACATTGTGAGAAGATTTCTTGAGTTTCTTTTGACAGCAGTTTAAGTGAGTTAAGGCAGGGAGGAGCTGTGGAAAAGGAGGATGAAGCATCTCTTAGCATGAAACATTGCTTTTGCACACCAAATGAATTTCCTAACGTTCCGATAAAACAAACTCGGATGTTTTGTAATCTCGGATGGTAAAAGAATTATCTCTTTGCATGAAGCATTATATCTTACAAACATTATCATCTCTTCGCATGAATCAAAAAATGAAAAAGTCAGGAAAAAGCAACCGAGTATTCATTTAGTTACAACCTTCAATTCAGTAGGTTGTAAGGACAAAGTGGATGAAAAAAGATGTCGTGAAGTGAAGCTTAAACGGGGTTGCGACAGAGAAGATATGATGATCAACTGCGCAAGAACTTGTCAACTTTGTTGTAAGTGATGATTTATGTATAATTAAATATATAATTCATGAATAATTTATAATTTAGTAATTTATATTGTACGGTTGTACAGAAAGCTTTTTAAAGACTGTCGATAGAAAAATAAGATACGGAATCGAATGTATATCGTTGTACAAAGCATATATATATATATACCAGTCAGAGGTAGTTTTGTTTTGTATACGTTTCAAAGATACTAAAATGATTAACACAAGTGGGAATTCAATGAAGCCGAATTAAAGTAAATGATCAAAAATTATAGACGTCAAAGGTCTACGAGACAAAAGAAGCTGTAGAGCGTTTTTAGGAATCGTAACCGTCGATTTACAACAACATTAATCGAATTGTTTCATTTCTAACAACTCAAAATACTATGACTGCTTCCTACTTTGTGTTATGCACACCCATTGCAAGAAAAAATAAAAACTAAACCTACAATGATTTTTGCCACCAACTTTCAAACATATTTTTTTGAAGTTGTGCTGTGTCATACACCCCACTGTTAGTACAATATATATACAGCACATGTCTTAGCTACAAAGGATAAAACAGACATTGAATTAAGCTAAATGTTTTCAATTAAAACAGACAAGAAAGCACCGTCGCCACCAAAGAAACTTGATTGTGCGCAGACAACATATGGTTGTTGCTGGGACAATAAAACACCAAGACGGGGATATGAAGATGAAGGCTGTCCACCTTGCAAGGACGATAAAATATTTCAAAGCCTTTGCGTTATTTGGGAGAAGCATTGCCATAACAAGACGAACATCGTTGAACATAAAGTTGTTAGCAGCCATTGTCACCGAACGTGCAAAAAATGCACTGGTAAGTCCTTAATCTTTAACGATAGATGATGATAAAAATTCTATCCGCTATTACGAGGATTTCATTGTGTACTCAGCTTATCCTCACATATCCCCATATTTTACATTTCTCTAGATCCAAAACCTAAAGTAGTACAGAAGTTAACTGTACGAACTCTACCTCCAGCAGACGAATCGTACTTAAACTCCGACGAAGTGGCTCGTAAAGGAGCCTTTTATATATTCACTTCAGTAAGAGACCATTCAGATTATCGCACGCAATGAGGAACTGCCAAGGAAAGTGCGCTTGACGATATTCTTAGTATATGAAATAGCACAAGACTAGACATGCATAACTGAATGCAGTTATATGAACACTCGTGCCGCATTTATAAAGACCAGGTGATCTTGTATTGAGATTTTGACCAATTAATGGCCAAAAAGGAAAGCTAGAATAGAAATCCATTTTGCTGTATATGTTGACGGTTACATCTTTCGCTATATTCTTTATAAAAGTAGTGCAAGTTTTTGTCACGTTCAATTATGAAAGCTTTAACATCGACATAAATTTGGAACCGAAATAAAGTACATTTCAAAAGATATCAAAATTTTTCAATCGAGAAATGGATTTCTATTAGACGAAGAGTTCCACTCCTCTGCATTTACAGACTCACGTAGAATGCACGAGCTTCGCTATAGTAAATAGCTTAAATTATTTTGCTGAAAAACGAAGTATTTTATTTGAGATTTCAAACGTTTTTGCTCAGTCAATTATAAATGTCAATAGCAACATGTAATGTATAAAAAGTAAAAAAAACAACAACAAAAAACATTGTAAACTACGTGTATATTTGAAAGCAAATAAACAAATGAACGATTTTCTGAACTTATACGGTGTTCTTATAAACAATCTTCCTGTTATTTTTAACGACCACAGAATGTGCAATACTTCATCGGGGTCAGCTATCCAAAAAGCAATCTTTCAGGGAGTTGACTACTCAAAGAACAATTCTTAATTCAAAGGAGACAAGCCATCCTTCAAAAGGTCAACTATCCAAAGAACAATTTTTAATTCAAGGAGGATAAGGAATAATCATTCAGGAATAATCAATCATTTTATGTGGGTAATGAGCAATCTTTCCAGGGGGGGTGACTATCCAATACACAAACGGTTAGAGAAATAAAGTGGTGCGGCGAGTTTCTATTGACCTAGAGCTTATAGTATGCAATTGGACGCAAGAAGTGCCAAAAACCAGACACGTATCACATCTGATAATGTACAGCCATATAGTAGTGAGTAGGCGGTGAAGTTCAATTGCCCCATATCTATAATCAAGACACACATGGTTTAGTTCTTCCGGGACATAAAACGAGCATCACTTTTACTTTCAGTCCAGATATTCTGGCATAGTCCCTGCAAACGGTGATTTTGTTAAAAGTATGGACAACGCAATTCTTTTCTTTTTTGTACGTGAATTCTTGAACGCTTAAGTTGACCCCATACGGCACGCCTATTGTCTATCAGTATGGATAGTAACTGAACGATGATATGTGAAAGGCATTGAAAACATTTATTATCTATACTTCAATCCAGCACGATGTGGTCGATGAACCTATCGATTGGTTAGATCATGACGCAAACTTGTACATATAAAAACCATAAAAACCCAACAGGAAGTTGCGAAGAAGTCGATGTACCTATCGGTAGAAAAGATCATGAAGCGAAACACACTTTATATGTTTAACCCAGCATAAAGATGTGGATAAACTTCTCTTATCGTTTGGAAAGATAATGAATGTGATCGAACACACTTTATCCACTAATACCCAACTTTATCCCCTAATACCTAAGACAATTATGCAAGTGGATAAACATTTTATATGAAAGACTTATATCAGTGTAAACAAACTTTTGATAAACGTGTGATGAAATTTGACGAAAAAAACCCTTGCGTTCTCTCTACCGGAAAGGTTCGATCGCTTGCCTAAACCCAATTCTAATGCCTTGGGTAGCTTACTTAGGCGGTTACGCTTTGGAATAATCTAGGAGCGAACAACAAAATTCTTGCTGCACCACCTAAACTATCGATTCGAAAATTTATAAAAACCTGCGTATTTGTTTTAGTTACGTTGTACATTTTTGACAAGACTTCTTTTGATCGCATAGAAACAGCCGTCCAATTTATTACGTGAATGCATGTAGCATGCATTTCGTTGTAAGAAACCACGCTACCAAGGAATATCCAGATCCGATTTTAGCCGCATCGAGTGAAGAAAATTGCAAGTCAGAGAAATTTTTTTAACTGTTATTTTTATAATATTTATGATTCGACGTATCACGAGATTCCAGATGAGATTAATGACTGCCTTTGAATAGAATTAACACCTATTCATAATAAGACAATGTTTTATGTTATCATTTAGCGTCATTGTAATTTTATACATTTAAATTCATAGCTATCGTTTAAAATTCCATTTTTACGTATATAACTTGTAAATGAATCTAAAAAGCAAGTTTTAGGGAGATTTCATCCATAAATAATAATAATAGAGATTAATGAATATAAGACAGCGAAACCAACATGTAATAAAAATAACAGTTCAAAAATTTGTATGGCTTACTTTTTTGCGCTTTATGCAGCTGGAATCCGTTCTGGATATTTCCCGTAAAGGCCCGTAACAATCATTACAAAAAAGTCATTAGCGCGAATACATGCCAGTATTCAAGCTTTCCTTCGATCGTTCTGCTTTTTTCTAACCCAAAATGGTTAATATTCACTGTTATGCCTTCTGCCATTATAAATGATCATTTTGAATAACTAGAATCAGATTCACAAATGCCCCAAAATTCAAAAGTATCTCCTAACCATTTTATTTCCACTGAACTACATAAATAACACTATATCTGACCATTTGATTGTCCGAATTTTGTAATCTGATCTCGCAATCTGTTAGGTTGTACGACAAAAGCTCACTCATTACATTCAAAAATACCCTTGGTTATACGGACACTTAAAACAAGGTTAAAAAGTATCTTGTTTTCAGCAAATAAAACAGCTATAAAAAAATTTATATTTTCGTCACGTAGCTATCTCATAACAAGGTATAGATACCTAAATGTATGGCAGGCAGACAAACTCTCAAAAATTATTTTTTACACATGCAATAAAAGAGGATTGCTCAAGCTTTATCTAATAAGGCGTCGGTGATCATTATCGTCCAGGCAATATTTAGACTGGTCAACTTGATATAGACAGGCTAAGATAGCATGTCTAAACCTCGCTTTAAACAATGCAAGCTGTAACTAAAGAATACCCACTAGTTATTGCATATATACTATTATATTTTGTATCTATAACTTATATCTAATATTTTAACTCTTTGCCAAAGTGCTATCCCACGTTCAAATATTTTAAAATTCCAGAGAGAATTTTCCCAACTGCCGAAAATATTTTTTAATACTCTTAAAGTGACTGAAAACCATGTAAAATATGAAGAAAATTTTGAATTCGGTCATTTTCGATGTTCAAAATTACCCGGGTAAACAAGTTATAAACTGCAATTGTTTGCCTCTTAAAGCCACAATTAATTTTAAATATAATATTTATCAAAATGTTCCTGAGTGTTTGTCACAGGGGCGTCAGAAGTGTAGGCAGAGAAGGCTAAGCCCCTTTTCGTAGAAGAGGAGCAGGGCCCCACACTATGCATTAAAATAGTAATACTGATATATGAAAGAGCTTACTATATTACTATATTATAATCAACTGTTTGTTTTGACTGTAATACATACATATCTACAAATGCAGCTGAGTGGACTTGTAAAGAATCGAGCAGGAACCTTTTGAAATTCTTTTAGTTTATTAGTTTATTACATGCATGATTGGGCGACCGGCGTTGCTTAACTTTAAAATGGCGTTTACTTAGCATCATGTCGTAGATTGGTACTCATAATTTCAATAAAATGTGCATTCCCACTTTTATGTTCCTTCCGAGGCTGAAGTGTTTTGCTAAAGAATATCAAATTGCCACAAGAAATAACGAGCCTATTATGTTGACTATTAGCAGCAAAACGCTTAAAACACGTAACTCTACACGTTTCGACAATCTTAGATTTTTTTACTTTCACACCTAGGCTTATAGTTGTTTGACGCAAGCAAAAATTGTGAGATTTGCTGGCCTTCTTCCAGCGTGAAAAGTAGGCGAATATTCTTGAATTTCAGATTTTTATCGCAACAAAGTTACATAAACAAATAAACTGCTGGCGATAACGCCCAAATTTGGATGGAAAAGGTCAAAGAAAATAATGAATTTCATTGTGTGTTTTAAATCGTTTGCATTGTGTGTTTTAAATCGTTTGCATTGTGTGTTTTAAATCGTTTGCATTGTGTGGTTTAAATCGTTTGCATTGTGTGGTTTAAATCGTTTGCATTGTGTGGTTTAAATCGTTTGCCTTGCAGAGATCTATGCATGTAGGTAGCTACATCTGCTCGACAAATGTTTTACAACTTTCGTAAATCTTAATGCTGGAGACGTGAACAGTAGACAAACGTTAATTTATATTTAAAGAAAAAGAAAGAAGACAACGTAGATGAAAAAAATACAGTTTAGAAAACACTGTAAATCAAAACATATACTATGCATGAGCAAATATGTAAAAAAACTGAACAAAAGTTCCCGCACCTCAATAGGAATTTTTGTTCATCCAAATTGTCTCGACTGACAAGTACGCATTATAGGTAGGTATTCTACAATCATGAAAATGTTCAACACAATGTAAATAACCTGTCATTATTTTGTTTGGTCTATAACCTCAGACAATATTATGAAATATACAAATTGAAATGATTCTGTAAGATATTAAACAATGTTTTATAAGTTGAGTTCTGATTACAATACCAGTCACCGCACACCGTTTTTAAGCAAGAAAACTCGACTATTGCCCGCAAAACTATTCAACTGTATATTGCATCATCACTATAGCTTCCATATTATCCCATTTTGGATTCATTTGTTAGTTAATATAGCTTTCAAAACACAGGTGGCATCGGAGATCACTAATCAGATTAAGAATTGATACAAACCATCATTTCCTACACAGATGAATGAAAGAAAAGATTTAAGATAAAACAAATAACACTTTGACTTTCCATGTCCAACATTTTGTGAATACGTTCTCTATCATTGCATGTTGACAGCGCATTAAATTTGTTTATTATTTTATGAACGACGATATGTCCACCATATTAAAAGATTAGAGATTCCACGCAGTGAAGTTTAAATGCGACTGTCAATAGACAAGACTTTTGCATGAACTGCAATTGTAAGGATGTTCTGTTGTGCATGTCGCGTTTATCATGTAAAAGAAATAAAATCGACAGATGATCACAGATAAGTTGCAGGCAGCAGAGCCAATATGCAAATCACAATACGCAAAAGAAAAAATAGTGCTTTTCGTCATCTATTTTTAACCTAGTATATGAGTACATATTCTTAATTCTTCAAAAGAATTAGAGTCAAAGGATGATTACAGATACATTGCATGCAGACAGAACCCATATAAGGAATTATAAAGAAACAATCACAATGCAGAAACGAAATGTAGTGTAAGTGCTATACAGTGATCTGTTTTAGCAAGGTATATCCTTCAAAAGAATTAAAGTCAACGGATTGCATACAGACAGAACCTATATAAGGAATTGCAATCACAATACACAAAAGAAATTGTGCAAGTGCTATATACATGCGGTCACAGTATTACTGTGATCTGTTTTAGCCCAGAAAATACTTCAAAAGAATTAAAATCAACGGATGATCACAGATACGTTACATGAGTATAAGGAGTTATGGAAGCGCGCAATGTGAAAATGTGCTGAAGAGAAACCACAATTCTAAACAGACAACTCTTTTAAACGTTGAATATGATATAAATGCAGATTGATGTCAAAGAGACTGCTGGATGACGGTTTCTAAAACAAATCACACATGTGGTTTATATCAGTCATTGAAAGAGGTTTTGACTCATTGTTGACGTTTTTATAATCTCAATTAAAATTTTGACGGTTGCTCAATCGCTATCACATTCATATTTGATTACGACAGAAACAAAGATTCCCCAAATAAATCAGCCAAAAATCACGCAAGGAAATATTTTTAGGTTTTCTAGACATGTACGTCTGACTCTACATCTGTTTGAAAAAGATGCGGTTTTACGAAACATTTAACCATGCAAATAACCAAATGCAACTGGCAAAATTCCCGCAAAAACATCTTTTTCAATGGCAGTGTTTATTTGATAAAGTTAAAATGGAATTAAGTTCAAGATTTCTCCCATAATTGGTACATTTCCAAACTTAGCTTGGATTAGATGATGGAAATGTTTGCGCATTTATTTGGTATGTATGTATGACAAATTTACGTTTTTTGACGGTTTCATGCGAGGCACCTTTTTTTTTTGAGCCCTTTTAGTAACAAACACGCCCTATGCATGTCTATGACAATGTAGGTCAATTTGACACTTACCTCAAAGTTGTGGTAAGTAATATAATAGCCCACCCACGGATAAATACCACCGAAAATGGTCAACATTACACACATTCCCAGCATGACAATTGGTATAAAGAGCCTCTCGAACACATAGATTTTATCACTTAAGTCGAAGTCAGCTCGAGAGAAGAACGAAGCACTTACAGGAAAAGCGTTTGAAGACAGTTTTATTGGGAACATTTTTTTGATATAAAGAAATATGTTTGCACTATCGTCACGAGATCTTGTCGTCTTTACATGTTGCATAGTATCGAGTGCATGTGTTTTGGCGTTATCAAGTATAGAGAAAGGTGAGCTAAACTATTGGTAGACAAACTTGGCTTATTCGTAAAACGTTTAATATTAATCATATATAGTTATATGCTATGTCAGCTGCACATTTCAGGTGACATATGCAACGATTACAGACTATCGCAACAGATTTAGTGTATCACATGAAAAGTGGGACAGGCAGGCAGCGCTTAGCATAGGAAAGAACAAAGCCTCTTACCATAAAACAAATGTTGTATATCTATTTTATCCGCATGGGGGTTTTCCATCTCGAGTCAAATAACACAAGATGATAGAGCTCGTATCAAAATAATTAGATGTATTAACAAGTATTGTAAATAGCAAAGTCTAGAGAAGATATTGACAGCAGAATGTGCTAACGATATACCGATCCGACGAAGGCCTGCTGAGCCTTGCACCGCATGCTTTTCTATTATCACCATTTTTTGCATCGTCACAGACATTCAATGAGGTAAACAACAAAAGAGACTTTAAAACAACTCTATCTTTCGCAAATGAACACATCAAATGATTAGCAGAGAGTTTTTAAATATTACAGTGTGCATAACTTCGCGAGCCTATGAAATGACAGCGTCTTGTCATAGTTACAAAATGACACGACTATATTTAGAAAAGTTCATTATTAATCATCACAAGTGTCACGCAAAGTAAAAAGGTGCTAAACATTTCAAAGTTGTTGCCTTTATTGTCCGATTGTGAAAAGGCTGAATAACTATTATCAAGAAAACAACTCCAACGCAGTCTGCCGTCGAATGTTTTTGTTTCTACGCATGACCGGTAAAATACGCGCAATTTATCCTCATTACGGGAACAACTTCGCATGGATATTCATAAAAAAAACGCACTTGGCAAAGTTGGTAATCATACAGCTTGCGCGCATGCTCTGAACTGATTGTCGAATCTTTGTAGGTATAACTACACTAGGTGCACGTACTAATTTGTGAATATACATTTCTGCATACAACCGCATTTCCGTTTTGCTTTGTTCAGCTACGATATAAAAATACACAACCAAATACAAACTTATACGCCTATTATCTCACAAGGAAAAGTTTAAAGCTTGTGTAAAGAATATAAGTTGTTATCTATACCATGTTCTGTAAGCAAGACATGCATAGTTAATTTGTACAAATAGAAAAAAAAACTGACCTTAATCCCCTGTGGTGTGCCGATTTGGATACTTATGTGTGGTACATTTATACCAAAACGCTTGAAACGTAAATTCTGTTGGTAACCATGTAGGAGGGATAAACTTTGACGTAAAACATTACTCAAAGCTTTATCCTCAATTAATCGGTTCAAACGAATTCTTTCGTATAATATAGACGTAGAAGAAAGGTATTTTTATTGGCTTTAAAGATTAGAAAAAGTAATCACTGCGCTAAGTATCGGTGAAGGTTAAATAAGATACTAAACACGCGAAATGATTGATGGCATAAAAAAAACTTACATATCCAAACGAAATATCTTTCCATATCCCGTGAATCATTTTCTCCAGAATCTGTTAGGTATTCCGTTGTGCAATTTTCATTAAAAGGTATGGATGTTCACGTGTTTCACAGCATCCGCTCTGTGTGAAATACGACTATTTCAAATTCCATGCGTTTGCAGTGGGGACAGTGTAAGTCGTCGCTTTTCATCATCTACATAAGTACAGAATTCCTGCATTCCTACGATTTAAAGGTGAAGATTAATGTACAAAAATCTTTCAAACAATGCACATGAAACTGCATGGTGGATATCAATTACGGCTAACGCAAAGGATTGTGGATTAAGTATGCTCTCAAGACGGCGCGCAAAGATTTATCCATATCTATCCACTATAGAACGAATATTTATATTAACATATGCATTTTCAAACGTTATAGTAAAATGCAAAACCTTATCACAGTAAACAGCTAAATATACTTACGTGCCGACAGCGAACTTAATTAAAGTTGATTAACATAGCAGTCTAGGTTTTGAATGGTTGCTACTTAACAAAAGGAAGGAGGCGGTTGGACAGATTTTGGATAACGAGAAATATGTCGGCACAATGCACTGCAAGTAACAAAAAACTTCCACGATGAGCAAGACCACTTGAAATAAATAGCTGTATTGTTGGTTTTCTCACATTGTTACTTAACGCGAAACTAACTTTTTTTCACAGACGGAGCTCCAGTTGAACAAAATAGGTTCTCCCTGTCCATTGGTAAGACCTTGGTGCACGATTTTCGACGACAAAAACGAATCGTTTATAATATGAAAGTACTTTTTCTAGAATCAAGATGCAGAGATCGACTACTCGGATGCGATAAACCTGGGTTCTGCTATAAACACAGAGCAAAATTTTGGAAAAGAATGATTAGAAGAAATTGTAAAAAGACCTGTGGTCATTGTCGTAAGTATAACTTATGTTCCTTCCTATCTCATATTTGTTTAATTTATAACGCAAAAAGAAAGAGAACGCGATGTAAGAGTGCAACATTCCTTATCTTAAAAAAACCAAATACATAATGGGGAACACAATCTCTCATCATATTGCAAGCAATTTGCAATCTTGCCTCTCACAATCATTATCTACAATATCAAGGCTGTCACAATCCAACGTATTGTTCCGTATTTCTTAAATAGGTGCCCCATCACCACCAGCATGCGTCAATTCTGAGTTCGGTTGCTGTTGGGATTACATCACGACTGCCCTTGGTCCTGGGGGTCTGGGATGTACCAGGTGTGAAGATAACATCCGCTATCCTTATGTTTGTAAACGATTTCGCAAGTACTGCAGAAAGTCTGGGGTCAGTGGTAAATGGATGAGGCTAAACTGCCCGAACGCTTGTGGACATTGTGGTACGTTTGAGGACAAAATAAGTACTTGGACATTTCTTTTTTATGTTTTGAAGTTTATAAGTATATAAGTATTATAAGTATACTTTAGTTATGAGAGAATACGAGCGCCTTCGCTTTATTTCACTCATAACATTTTTTCAATTTTTTTGCTATCAAATAACAATTCTTCGCGTCATGGTGAAATGTGGTTAGACGAAGGATGTTTCAACAGAAGCCTATTTTCTAATTCTGATTGCCCTTCGTCGCCCTGTCCCCTATGGCCTGACCATGAAACATTATAATTATTTAATGAAATCATCATTAAGTCCAATCTTCTTCGGGCATGTCACGCAAACAGCTTGGTAACATGGAGTAAGGCGTGGGATAAATTATAGAATCTATTCTACAGTGATTCAATAACATTCAACGTTCAATGATGCCAACGAAGTATTCACAACCACAAATCATTACATAAAATCCTTACCGCTTATCTTCTTACAGATATATGGCAGTTCAAGTAAAAATCCAAACCCAAGACAGCGTGATTAGTTGGATTGTATGCAACCATAAGGTCATTAGACTAATCAATTTTTGGTCAGAATAAAGAAAGAGAAAGAAGCAAAGGTTTATTTAATTTACAAGATAAACAAAGTGAGACTTTTAGTTTTGTAATCCCATTAAACCAAAAAATTGGATTTTAACCTTATACTTGAAGTATAGTATTCGTGTAATATTTTCAATATAATAACTACGGTAATTTTTTAATAACGAAATTAAGTGAAGTTTAAGGATGACGATGATTGGTTCAATTATGGCCACGTGATCATATATCTTACGAAAGAAGCAAAGTCCCAACTGTTGCTCTTTGCAAAACAATCTATCACAAATTGTGTATCATCATCGAATGTAAATATACATAATAAATTTACTTTGTAATTTTAAAGCGAAAACAATGAAGTCAAAAAATATCTCATGACATTCTTATCGACATTTTTATCAATGATGACATATTGTCACAAGTGCCCTTCACTTGTATTTACCCATTAAAATAGTTACAATACTTTTCTCTGCGTTCTTGGTGTCTTTGACAGCTTTTGCCACATTTTAGCTCCAGGCAGCGAAATGGGCTCAAATTTCCTTGGCATTTTCGCACTTTTCGAATAAACTTCATTCACGCTCATCCAGCAAAATTTTGGTGGAAGCACAACTTTGATAGCGTTCAAGGAGTCACAAAATTCCGAGACAATTCGATCCTCGATCCGTTTTGAAAGCATCCTTTCCGCTTGCACCTTTTGCACGTCAATTTGCGGTGGTGCAGGGGCAAGTTGCGACAGAAGGTGCACCTTAGTGAGATCACGGAATCTTTTGCGTTCTTCTTGCCATCGTTTCGGAACACTTCGCTGGCCTTTTGTTGCCATGTTGACACTGGAAGATCGCAAGCATCGAGATTCGTCTAAGTGCTCCGAGACTTTCTCCCAGGCTTTTCTCTTGAGTTCGAGAGACGTCGACGGTCTTTTCAAATCTTCTTTACTATACGAGCTTAGTTTCACGTAAGGAACATTTGTATCGTCGCACATTGCCTTAAGTTTAGCCGAGAATGCACCGCCATTCCGAACATTGTTAAGATTTGATGAATTTTTTTCAGAATCTGTACAATCGAGGAGCTCTTCTGCATCACAAGAATGAGAAAGCACTTCTCTTTTGGGGTCAACTGTTGACATGACACCAGTTTTTGATATTTTCTTGTCTTTATTATGGGCAGAGGAAATTGCAAATTTTGTACATTCATGTTCCTTCAAAAGTAGCTCACTTTTCCTTAACCGGTTAAGAAATCTTCTCGTTTCCCTCCGTTGCTTCAACACCAATGTCGACAAAGTAACTTTCTCGAATGACTCGATGGCTTTTAAACGCCTTCTTAGAGAAAAATCTTCCTCAATTTGCACAGCCATGCTCGTCGTAGAATTTTTCGTAGAAAATCGCTGTTTTCGACCAACGCAAAGAGCCGAAGACACAACTGCAGTCTGTCGCATTTTCAAATATTTGATTAAGTTCAAAATATTTCGGCTGCAGACGAATTGAATGTTTTAAGTTGCTCTACACCAAACACATTGTCGCATGTACTGATCAGTTGAATTGAAATATGAAATTTGTGGTCTTTATAAAAGTACCGTGATGTTAATACAGTTATCGGAAATTGAGCACTTCGTTTGACACGTGTCCACAATATACAAGCGTTTACTGGTAATACAAATTGCGAACGTTATCTTTCTTTTTCACAAAACTAATTCTTCCCCAAATCAATTTTAATGGGAATTAACAATGCTGACCAATAGCAACTCGTTGAGATGTAAACACTTCATGGGAGATAGCAATAAACGAGCAGACAAAATTATATTTGAGGATCTTCGTGGCTTACAATGATTTGAACGCACGGTGGAAGTCGTTCATTCGAAAGTCAACGGTCGCATTTCATTGTCGTCACAGCGCGAAGTTTCGTAAAACTTTACATGGATGGAAATTCGCGCAGGTGCAAGCGGGAATTTCAGAGTCACATTATCAATAATGAAAGAGATACAACGTTATGAATGTACTAAAAGCAGAACCTGTTATTGTGTCATAAAAGCGCATATCTTGCATGCTTATCTCAAAAAAAAGCGTGGAAAATCAATTTATGGCGCACATGGCCATGAAAGAAAGAAACTTCTCTAGCTTTGATAAAATAATTAAACGTTTCATAAATGTTGAAATATTTCATAAGCTAACGCGTTATTTAAGAACACCTGTCAGGTATCACAGAGCTCAGTAATATCATTTCGTGAGACAACAAGCAAAATACCAAACATTTGAATAATTTGTGAACAATATTACGAAATATGAGCTGTATTTTCCGTACATGAACTTATTGAGCACTTGGACCATTGAATTTGAAGGGAATGTCAAGTTACAAAGAAGTTGAGTTTGAAACGTCATAATCACGATGATGATGGCACAGAATGTACAATTGTACTTCACATAGCAATCTGTTTAGTCACGTGAACTATAGACCAATAAATTAACATATTAGATGTAGTGTTCATGACATCCACTCCAAATGGCTTTATTTTATCAGCACAACTGCAAAAGATGACCCAGGCATATCATATAAATTTGAAAAAAATTGAGAAATGTTTCACGAGCCCGAATAAAACGATTCGTCACATTTTGAAAATTCTAAGTTTCAAATATTTAAATACCATAAATAGTAAATTGAGATTTCTTCCTTGCTTTTGACAGTAGCTCAATGGTCCTTGATTCAGATAAATTATTTAAATATTCGTGATATGAGCTTGCTTTTTCCTTTGTCCCACATGGGACTCCCAATAAAGCCTTTAAAAGCGAGTGTAAGGCTGTTTTAAAACTCGTTGCAAGATCAAATACTTGACATATTACCTTATCAATCAATGTTGAATGTTTGGTCAATCTACGGCCTATGACGCATATTTGTGTGAATGCCACAGAACATGCACAAGTATTTTTCATGAAAAGAACAAAATAAATAGAAATTTTTAACAAATATTACATACCAACAGATTTTGGGGGACTGTTATGCTTTGCCACAACTATCAGTGTCAAACTATTTCAGAGTATGCTACGTTTCAAGTACTTCAATAAGCCAATTGTTTAGCGACTGAGATGGTAGAAAACCAAATTATCGACGAAATGTATAAAACCACGAATAGTAGAGTTTGAAACCATCAAATACCTTTCAGTTTGAAATACCTTTGCAAAGCCATAATGTGGGAAATAGCGTGGCCATTTTGACCTTGCCCGCCACGAAACACTTTATTTTGATTGGACAAACGTTGACATGTAATTTATGTAGCGTATAATTACAAAATACCGGCAAAATTGGGCAGCAGCGAAGTGTCGGATTCGCCTTTTTTAACACTTTTTTCCAATTCAGTTTTGAGTAACTAATGATGAACTTACAAGCACTGATTTTTTGCAAAAAATATCAAGTGTTTTCAAATATTTTCGCTACATGTATCAGACTCTAGTGGCTAATTTTATGCATGCGCGCTAGAAATCAATATCTGTTATTTAATTGCTGCTGAAGATTGTCTGAAACTGCACGACGCTGGACAAATTTGTCTAATGGTCTAAACTGATAGACTCGATTATAAGCATGCATAACATGTCTCGAAAAGTTATTAATTGCCGTTATCTTGCCTTACTTTAGCTGATGCAGTAACAGTGCATAAATAGTAAGACAACTTAGGAAGTCATCGTTAGAAATGACGACGATATACACATTCGGCGCGTAAAATTTGAAGTCTCTGGATTACTGAACTCTGATAAACAAAAGAAGCAATTGTCCTAAAAATTGAATAACTTTCAGTGGCAGTGATCGTCTTCGACACCACTGCACTGAAACTGATACTCTAATAAGGGAAAATGAATTCAACACTTTTATTTCATCTTGTCAATCCACCCCCACCCTCCCCCCCTTCGTACACAAAGCTATACCTTTCCACGACACGGAGGAGTGACGTTTTACTGTTGTAAGGTAATTTTCACGAAACTCAAGCGCTGTTAGGTTACAAGGCCACTTCTTACTCATGACGAATCAAATTGTAGTAGATGAGAAGTAAATCATTCTCACACAAAGTTTCCCCTTAAAAACTATTGGTGTTTCAAGAACATACAAATTTTATAGTCTCATTAACTCTTTAATATATTTTGCGTGAGGCGTGAATACACAAAAAAGATAGTAGTCAAGATTAGTTCACCTAATGGACACAAAGCATACAAAAACATACATTGTCGAAAGGTCTACATACTTATTGGATGTATAAATATATATATCTATAAAGTGTTTTACATATTTACGATTTGTGTTTTGGATTGTTCAATTGCTCTATAAAAACACCAGAATAATTTACAACAACTTTCTAAACTTATTAGAAAAAATGTGAAGATAAGTATTTATAATGATTGTCATGTGCAAAAATTTAGCTTTGCCAAAAGCTTTAATAATTAAATGAGTTAAAAAGTGTGTTAGTGGAAAATATCAAATACTGTAGTTGAGTGATGAAAAACGAGACAGCTCTCCTTCTTTTTTAGCATTATATTAATTACTTTTGCGATTGAAACAATGCAAATTCCATTACCTTCAAAGGCAATACACATTTGCAGGACAGTCACTTTTCATTGTTAAACATAACTCTTCGGTAATTGCTGTTGCTGTTCTCGCAAAATATTGGGTTTAATTTGCTTCGTCGAATTATCTGAATCTCCGGTCTTGTTTCCGTGGGAATTCGCATTTGATTTGGCTCTGAATTGGTTCGTCATGAATACATCGTCCGATCCCGTCGAAGGTTGACGAAAGACATTCGTATTTGCAGACTGAGCTTGATCTTGAAAGCCATGTCTGTCAGTTTTAACTGTACGACGTGCTTCAGATGACTTTCCTTCCCCCTCCATTGTGACTTGAGGCAGAGTAGCATTGGGTTTAGAGGCAGCATGTTGCTGTCCCCGAGGTATTGTTAGTGCGAAAGGTTCTCTGGGAGAATTACTGTTAGACTGATATTTAGGTGGATCTTTTTGCACAAACCTTTTCTTCTCTCCTTTAATTTCTGATTGACTGTTTGGAACAGGTTGACGGGCAGGATAAGCCTCTACAACAATTTCTGTTGTGTTACGTGTGTTTTCCATCGCTTTCCTATTGGGGTCATTACGCTCGGCAAGGTCACGAGAGGTGGCTTTGTCACGTGCGGAATACTGATCACGTGTAATCTGACCACGCCCGTCGGTACTCATGAATTGGTCCTTGACACGTGGCTTGCTTACATTTGAGGTCTGAGCTTCTCTACCATTTACGGATCTTTTCTTCTGCGGTTCAACGGATTTCTGATGTCCTTTGTTAACAGGGTAAGCCGATGCAACATTTTCCGTAGTATTAACCATCCGGGACTTTTCAATCTGATTATGTCTAATAGTACTTGCAGTTTTGCTTCCGTTACGTCTTGATCCGACGTTGCCCCCATTCATCTTTTGCTGTTGATTATTCTCGAGCTCACGTTCCAGTTTTGATATTTCATATTTCAATCTTTCCTTCTCCTCTTCATGATTTTCTTCGGAATTTCTTATCGCAATTTCAAATCGGTCCTTCTGTTGCATAATTGTCCTTTGCAATTTTTCTTCAATTTCGTTCGACTCTTGATGTGCAATGTCCAGGGTCACTTTGAGTTTTTCAACTTCTTGCTTTGAAGTCGTCGAGTCGTGTTTTATGCTTTCAAGATCGCTCAATAACTTTGTTTTTTCCTCCGTTAGAATACGCAGTTCGTCATCCACATCCGCCAAATTTTTACGAAGCTTTGAGATTTCTCTCTCCGAGATTTCAGCAGCTTCTTTGAGGTCCATTTCAGCTTTGCGCAGTTTTGTTTCATTCTCGAGAAGTTTTTCATCCATCTCTGTTTTCAAAGATTTTAGTTGTTTTTCGAATTTTTCAGAGGCAATGCGGGCTGTTCTTTCGGTAGCCTCGTGCTCATCAGAAACTCTTCTTACTTCAAGCTTTGACTGACTCAGCTCTTCTTTCAACGACCTTTTCACTTCATTGGCAGCTTGGTCTTTTTCTTTCATTTTTTTCTCGAGATCGTCACGAACTGTAGCTATCTCCTCTTTCCACTTAACCTCCTCAGCTTTTAACGCTTCCACTTTGTCTTTCTCCATTTTCAGTAGTTCATCTTTGTGATCCTTAGCTTCACGTCGCCTTGAGGACTGCATTGTGCTTATTCGTCCCAGAAGCTCTTCATTTTCTTTTGCAAGCTCTAAATTCGGATCCTTCTCTTCGACAGAATCGGCAATAGCGGTCACAGGTCGGTCATGCGCAATGGACTTTTTAAAACGTTCGACGTGCTTGATGGATTCAGACAACTCATTACGAATTTTCTCGAGATTTGAGCCCGTTTCGACGTTCTCCTTTTCAAATTTCCAACTTACTTCGGAAAGCTCGTCAAAGATTTCATGAAGCTTCTCCAAAAGTCTCGCTTTGTTTCTGGCAGTTGAAAGTAACAGTTTGTTCAAAACCTTCTCCTTATCTTCGCTTATATCCTTCTTCACCGACGAAACGTTTTTCGTGCTATTTTTACTCTGCTGTTGCTTGGCTCTTGCTTCATGTTCTTTTATCTCATGCTGAAGGTCCACAACATTCTTTTCTAAATTCTCCTTCTCCTCGGTTAATTTTGCGTGTTGAGTTTTTATGTTCTTTATGTAGTCAACGATACGAGTCGGTCCCTCCGTCACTTGACCGCTTTTTTTCTCCGCGCCTTTTTTGTCGTTGACAAGGAGAACCAATGCTCGAAATACTGCTTGAAGCTTTTCAAATTTCTCTCCGTTGCCTTCCAACTCTTTGTTTCGTTCACCAAGGCGTTCTATTTCAGCTTTTGCATCTTTTAAGTCATCATTTATCGTAGAGCCTCCGTCCACTTCATCTTTCATTGTGCATCTTTCTTTAAAAGCTTTCGCTACCTCGTTGCAATAGTTTTTCAAATTGTATTGTCCTTTCAACAAATTCCCCAGTAGGTCCTTAACATCAGCTTCGGTCTCGTTATTTTCTATCGCTGACATGTCATTGAGGTATTTACGGTGTTCAGCGATCATGTTGTCGTCCTTAGGTTCGGTCGAGTCTCGAATGAGATCCGGTTTGCTAGCAGAAAGACTAGACAAGTCGGAGAAATCGTCACCATTAACTTTCGATTCTTCGCTATTCTGTCTCCATACTTTCGTTCCATCTAAGATCTTCATTAGACTTTCGCTGATTCTCTTTTCTTCGTCAAAAGTGTTTATCAGACTCTTTTTCAGCATGTTGTTTTCCGAGTTTAGTTTATCGACATTACTTTGAAGCATGCTTCTTTCCTTTTCAAATTTTTCGCTTTTTTTCTTGGAGCGCGATTCTTTGTTATCTTTGATAAGCTTGCTGTTTTCCTTGTTCTTTTTATCTAATTCCTTCGATAGTTTCTCATTCAATGTTGACAGTTCAGTATTTTTGTTGCGAGAAGCTGTATTTTCCTTCTTGAGGGAAGCAAGTTCGTCTTTGAGGTTTTTGTTGTCAGTCGTAAGCGTCTTGAACTGTTCATTTACTGCATCCATTTCAGCCTCCATTACTTCGAAGGTTTTGGCTGATTTATCCTAGAATAACAATAGGATTAAGATTTAGGGTCATTTTTCTTGTCTATGTATTACTACCACTGTTGACACACGTTATACAAGGTCATAATGTAGGTACACTGCAAAACACTCTTCTCGTTCTCTCGTAATCATTTATCACTACCTTAAAAGGGTGAGCTAACAGAGTGACAACGTACATTGCAAAACACTGTTCTCAGTTCTCGTTCGCATAGTCCTTCATGAATATAACAACAGAGTGACCTTAACAGAGTGTCAGAGTCACTCGTCATCATTCATAACGACCTTAACAGAGCTTCCTCTACTGTGGCAAACGTTATCCAAGTTCCTTAAAGACTGTTCTACTTTTGTTTGTCAATAATGGAGATAACCACAGTTCATTGCACACTGGGTATTTAAAGAGTCTTAAATACCTGCCGTTTATAGGATAAGATAAAATAAAAATGTCTTATTTCAAGCAATTTCAAGTAATTCATGAAGCTGTTTTGCCGCAACTATGTCTTTAAAACTACCTCACTACTATATATTAATCACAGTTGCTAATTAACACAATATTTTGATAGTTGATTTCTGGAGGTCCGTCTATTAAAACACATATTAATGATTATAATGCAAATCGTCATGAGTAATTCAGTCTGATTTAAATGACGTTCATCTATTTTAAAAACAATTAAAAACTTGGAGCAAATTTTTCCAATTCCTGATGATTGTTGATCTGCTCATTGTGACAAGATTATCCAAGGAACTGCGATATGGCAGTTATGTGTCGTTGCAAACATGTTGCCACACACCCTATCGGTTATTTATACAAACATTTAATAACTTTAACGCGTGAAACTGTCAGGGCATAACACCTGCAGCGTGGCCTGCTGCAACTTCAGTCACGCTGGGTGCAAATTCCAAATTATGTCATGCAGCACATTTCTTTACAAATATATTGTTTGTGCAGACAGTAAACACAGAATATTTGCATCACAGGAATAAAGAAATGGGACAGCTGCACCAATGCATGTCACATGCTACTCACATGCAACTCATGTACCTCTCACATTCCTGAAATTACACATTTGTTGAAAAAGCCTGAATTTACCCAATTTGTTGAAATGTATTGCTCAAGTTTTCGACAAGAGTCGAATATAATGTATTATTATGATAGTAACAACTCGTCTTGGAATGTTTCTGTTGAAAATGCAATAAAATCTCCGATCTTGCGGCTGTAGTTTCTCATATAAAACCATTGAAAGAAAAATGACATTGTGCAACGCCGCCTAAAAAAACATCCCTATCTCGACGTTGATAAATTGAAAAAGCCGGTTCTCGCAATGATATCGTAAGAGTTTATGCAAATTTTTCATTTTTCCGGACCTCAGTCATGACGACGTAGGCGTAACAATCGCTGCAAAATACCATACATTCCAAACTATGTTTTGACGCAGACTATTGTAGCAATTAAGATGAAGATTGCCGGTTAATCACCCCCGAACGCCAACCACAATCGAAAATTTAAGAAACAAAATTTCGCCACAGTTCGTACAAACGTGCACTTGATTTAGTTGATTATCTACAAAACCTTAGCATTATTCGAGAACGAACGAAAATAGTGCGATCGCATTTTCAACTATCACCAAATCTCTACTTCTAAGTAAACATTGAGACGCGACGAACGTACAACGCTAATTTAAATGCCATAATACTAAGCAACCAAATAATAAGATGGTTTTTTCTCTATCATTGATAGTGAATGTTTGTTATGCGTTGGTTAATCAACGTTGGAACGAAATATTCACCGACTTGTATATGTACAATCATGAAACAAAACAGTCTATCGGTGAACAAAGAAATTTATAAAGATCAAGAGAGATTCTAAACCTACGCTGCCAACGTTATCGTCTTCCTTTCAAACCAAATTCAAACACAAAGTCGAAAAGTTCCCTGTACATTGTACCAATACTTACTAAAACTCTTGAAGTCTCGGGCAATTACCCACTCTCAAGGAGTAGCAGTCGAATGTACAATGAATGATAAAAATAGATGAACTAATTGACTCGACGAGACGCATACATGGTAATGACCGATAACAAGGTTATCTAGTTGTTCAGTTTACTATGTCAAGTAAACAATGACGTTTATACAAATATGAGCATACCTTATTCACATTTGTTGTTTCAGTTGTTGTTTCGGTTTTGTTTACAGCGTCGCCGAGATTATGATTTTCGGCATCTTCGGAAAGTTGATGTAAGTGTTCTTGCATTATTCCAGCATTACGTTCCCATTCTGATAAAGAATCACGAAGTAAGTCGTTCTCTTGACTAACTGCTTTGACGTAACGTTGTGAGTTTTGTAATTCTTTCTCAAGACGAGAAACTTCGTTTTCAAGTTCACCAACTCGTTTCTCTCTCTCTGATGAATTGTTCTCCATCTCCTTATCTGTACGTAATGACTCGCACGCTTCACTAGACCCTAATTGCTTTTCGCTAGACCCCAGGCTCTTTTCAAGCTCGCTGATTTTCTCTTTGAGTTGTGATATTTCATCACCTAGCGACGATATCATTGTTCTTGACTGACTTAGTTGGGACTCAATATTGGTCTTCAAGTCTTGCTCCTCCTTCAAATGTTTCTGGAGTTCAGTCTTCTGTGCAGAAAGCTCTGATACTTCAGATTCGAGTTTATTTCTTAGTATGTCCAGCTCGGTTAATTGATTCTCCATCTTCTGATTGGCTTTTCTCAAATCCCCTTGTTCTAACTCCAATTTGCTTAATCTATCTGTCAGAGTCGACATTTTCTTCTCGTAGTCTTTTACTGAAGCGCTCAGACTGGAATTCGTCTCTCGTAGGTCCTGGTTTATTTCAGTAATCGAGTCAACTTGAAACTTCAAATCCTTTACACGACCGTTATTTTCATCTGAAATACCCTCCAAGTATTTTTGCTCGTTGTTCGACTTTTCGAGCTGCTTTTCAGAAATTTTCAACTTGTTCTGCAAGTTCAAAATATCCATATCTGTGTTTTTCTTTTCCTTCGCCAATTCCTCAACACGATTTGTAAGGGCCGTGTTTTCTTCTTTCAAATCAACAAAAGACTTCTGCAAATGCTCGGTTCGCGTTTTTTCATCTTGCAGTCGGTGTAAATTCACGCTAAGGACTTCGTTTGTACTTCTTATAGCTTTGTAAAGACGGTTAAACTCTGCATTCTTGTATTCTTTGGTTAAGGACTCTGAGCCGATGGGTTCTATTTCAAAACATTTCTTGATGCTGTGGACATTAACCTGTCTCGCCTGTTTCAACGATGCTTCTAAACCGTTTAAAAGATAACATTACACACATAAAAATTACAAGAAATCAACATACAAACAGCTTCACAGTTACTTGCAAAGAAATGAACGCGTAACACGATTTCATAGGGAATGCTGCCTTTACTTAACTGACAAAATAGTCAATGTTAATACAAACCTTCCTTAAATTTATCGTTCGCGTCAGAAAGAGTGCTTAACACAGCTTCCATTTTCTTTTGAACATCCAACATACTTTCGATAATTTCTTTCAATTTTTGGTTTTCCTCCACCAGTGCTTCCGTGTCACCACCATCCTCTTCCTTGAAATCGTTAAACGCAGCGTAATCTATGTTAGCCTTTTTTGCTATCATAGGTTCCTCTTGCACGACTTTCAAATTACTGCGTTCATTAATTTTAAGTCCATCTGACTTATTCCTTACACGAATCCGCTCGACTCTTTTTTCTAATTCTTGTTTTCCGTCACCCGTACCGTTCTCGCAAGCCATTCCATCCAGTAATTCCAGCAGCTCGTCCCGATCCAAAATGGTAGTCTTGAGATCTTCTTGGAGAACTCCAAGTTCAGTCGTGAGCTTTTGGTAATCACTTCGTGACAATTGTAGTTCTTTCTTAACTTCGTCAAAAGACTTCTGCACATCGTCACGTTTTCTTGTAAAATTTTTCATTTGTTTTTCAAGATCCTCTCTACTACTTTGTGATTCGCCAGAAGATTTCTCGTGAGCTTGCATGAACGATGCGATTGTTTCACTAAGTTTTTCTACCGAGGAAAACAGTGTGCTGTAAAAAAAAATACTCTCCATTATTTCTAAACGTTTTACATAAACAAAGCATTATATCTCACCTGATCAAAACGTCAACTGAACTCTTCGTGTGAACACTCTTTTGCTTGTGTTCTTTTTTCTCTCCATTGCACAGAGATAAAATTCCGAGAACTTTCAAATGAAGTTGGACAAGTTTGGCTTTTCCCATCTCCAAACTCTCGTGAACTTTACTTTTTTTCTGTTCGACTTTATTAATACCGTCCAAGACGCTTTTCTCTTTCGTATTTTCACTCAGCAACTTTTCAAGTTTTGACCTTGAAAATCGTAAAAAAAAATGGAAAAAGTAAAAAATAAACGAAGAGAAAAGTGCTTCAAAAATTCTAAGAAGTGCGAAAAAGAACATACACGTGACCAAAAAATTCTAATCGAAAGATTTAAATCCCAATTCCTCAACAATTTTTGCCACTATAATACCTATTTGACTAAGAATAAGACCTTCCAAACAAAAGAGACAGAGAGTAGTCAAATTGCGCGATCTTTCACACATATGAAATCAGGGCTGCATAATATAGCGGACTGCAGGACAATTGGTCACAGAAAAAAATTTGTTAAAAATGCAAAAAGTTAATTCTCTAAGACAAAAAAACTGGATTGACATAGAAAGCGAAAATATAAAGGAAGAATAAGCTTTATGCATTTATAGGCAAACTGCCAGCCAGACAACAGTCTCAGCACTCAGAAAGTCAGAAGATAGTGAGAAAAGGTCATTTCTTCATCTACTGTGCATTTAACAGAAGTGATTGGTGCAAATATTTCATTCATATTGGTTGAGTGAAAATTTCCACGAGCCTTATTTTTGGCAGAAAATATTTTCGCTGGTCTTGTAGTCGAAGAGAATAAGATGTTTTATGCAGCCCTGTATGCAAGTATGCAATGTATTTGTATATAGGGCTGAAAAAATAAAACATGTATTGCAATAAAATGCCATTACAGCAAGAGTAAAATTGAGCAACCTGCTATCCTGCAGTTCGGCCCTCTCTTCATTTAAATCCTCTATGGAGTCCAGCAAATCGTTTTTCTCGTCGGTCAGATCTTTAAGACAATTTTGCAACGTTTTCGCCATATCTTCCGATTTCTGAAGTTTCTCCTTTAGTGCTTCAATCTCACGAAGCAACATCGTTACGTGTTTATCTTGCCCAAGAACACGAAGTTTCTCAATGTCCTCCTAGAGATGACGATAACAAAAAAATTATGTTTTTTATGATAGAACTTCAACGGATGCTTATTTTAATCAGAACATTTGCTGAAATGTAATAATCCAATTTTTATTGCATCAATACGTCGTGATTTAAAACAATGTGAAACGCTTCAAGTTTCTTCGTTTTATCTTGTGAAAACCATTTCTACTGCGTTTGGATCAACTGGATTGGATTCATTCAAAATAAGGAACTCGACATTATTTTAACAAAAATTCAAAATGATAATGAGTAGAAGGACACTTGAAACGACCTGCAGCAGCAAGGTTGCGTCTGAGAGGCATTGACTTATATAAATAAACACACAATTATTGATTCAGGGCAGCTTGAAAGATGGCTATAATGTTTCATGTAACTATAATGGCAGTCGTTACAAATAGAAAATGGTCTGGTATGTGAAAACAAATGACAGCCACCGTGTAAGTGAAAAACGTCTAAGGATTTCCGGTTAAGACTCTTTATCAGGAGAATGAGACGAGTTTGTGACAAAGAGACTTTTGATATTACTACGTATGTACATCACCTCACCAAGAAAGAGCAAAAGAGACCTACTTTAGCTTCCGAGATGCCCTTGTATCCAGCTTGAAATCCTTTTTCCGATTTCGTATTTGTGCCAACAGTTTTCACCTCAACCACTGAGTTTGATCCTCCATTTTGTTTCATCTTCTCCTGTAAAGCTGCTAACTCTTTATCTAAAGCATCTCTTTTCTCAATATTCGCATCAAATGACATCAACAAGGATGTTTTTTCGCGAACGAGAACCAAATTCTCTTCTTTGACCTGCTCCAATTTCTTCTCAAGATCTCGAAGTTTTCGAGTAAGATCGTCGTCACTTTCCCCATTTTCCTTTATACTAGCTTCATGAAGATCTGTCTGGCACATTTTCGATGTGGTTTTAAGAGCCACTTTACGTTCAGCTCTTAGCAAAACAATCTGCCTCCTAAGTTCGGCAACTTCGGTTTCCAATGCGAGTTTCTCGTCTAAATTTTTCGAAATTAGTTCACGTTGTGATTCTTGCAAGCTTTTGCAAGTGTTCAGCTCTCGCAAAAGGCCAAAGCGTTCTTTATTTTTGTCTAAACTATTGCCAAGATCCAGTGGCAAGGATTGTACACGCTTCACTTTGTTCTTATTACCATCAAGTTTCATTGAATCTTTTGCTTCTTTCAACTCGTTTTCTGCTTGTATTAAGTCACTCTTTATAGTGTTCAAAAGTTTCTCAAAACTCGAATCCTTCGATGATTTTATTATTTGTTTTAAACGATCGACGTGCTCTCCACGCGCTTTTATTAATGCGTTTTCACTTTCTGTGTTCTTCGCTTTGATCGTATTCACGTGGGAACTAAGATGTTCATTTTGTGCGTTTAAATCCTCGATTTCTTCGATATTTGAGTCGACAGCGTCGTTAAATTGCTCCCGCAACTTTGCCATAGAGTTGGAAAGTTGAATCTTCTCTTCATAAAGTTTCGATTTCTCTTCTTCGAGGATTCCATATTCTTCTACTAGTTTTTCATAACTAACCAGCACCCTGCATACCAATGAACTTAGGGATTCAGAAGGATCGTTGCGTACATCACCAATGAGTAAGCCCCATTGTTTTTCACCCACGATCTTGTCATCCTGATAGAAATCCCACAAAACGTCACGCAACTCATCTGTTTCAGCGCGCAAACGTTCATAATCCTGTTCATTGAAAACCGTTTGTTTCGATTCTTGCAAATCCGTGCGCGCGATTCCATCAATAACATCTTCATCTTCGGAAAATTCCTGGTCATCGAAAGTAACGTTCGCTGCAAAACGAACAGACTTTGAATTGTGTGTACTTTTCGGTTTTTCTTGCAATTCGACCGTCTTTTTCTGGCTCATTTCTTTCTGAAGTGTTTGAATTTGCGTCCGATAGGAGAGTTGATACTTTAAGAACGCAACTTCGTCTTTATACTCGTCTCTTTCCTCTTCAACGGAAGCAAGTTGTTGCTCTAGACTTTTCACTTCGTAGAGAATGTCGTCCACATTTAACGATGAACGGGGAGAACAGTTCGAAGTTAATGATTCTCGCGTCTCATTGTTGATTGTGACAGCATTGTTTGATTTCTCGTAACGCCTAGAAAGTAGTGAAATAATTTAAGCTAACAGCTCCATTTTTCTCATAGGAAGAGTGAAAATCGGATAGACGACAGTGAAGTTAACTCAGTTTATGCTTTCATTGAAAAGCGAAGATTACATACTTGTTCTCCATTGTTCATTTATAACTCTTCCCACACAGACAGTTTACTTTAGTTCAAATTTACGTAATGAAAAGACAGCTGTCACTCTCTGTTCTTCATTCATACAACTTTTACGCATTAAATTGTGAAAACCATATTGAAACAATGATTTTTAAAAGCCTTAAGCATGGACCACTTTACGCAGTTAACTGAAGTTCTCCAAGGTACGAGAAATATTCTAGTTATGCATCGTCAAGACTGAAATCAGTCCCGAAAATCACGTGACGTCGGCCAAAGAAGAATCTAAAAGCGTCTGGACCGATGTGAATAACTTTACGAACAAAAAACAACCTGGGGTGCAAAAATTGCTCGTCATGGTTCAGATATGTTTACTTGTTAAAATAGCACTCAATTGAACACAGCTTATTGCGTAGAAACGCGCTGCAAAATTTCACTTGCCCGAGCTCAAACTCATTTTCGTGTAAAAACATCAAAACGACGGTGTATGTTCACGTTGAATAAAATAATCAATAAAATAATTCAAATAAAGTCTTTGTTAAACAAATTATTACCATGCTGAAGCGAAAATTATGAACGGAGCAAACAAATTTTCATTTTTAAACACATAACTATAATACAATACAAAAAGTTTGCCCAGTGGACTGTAGTCAGAGAATCGGTTCACTGGCTTTTGTTTCACCGTGGGTAGGCAATTCAATTTCATTTAGTTTCGAAAGAAATCAAGCAGGGAGTCATGCATCAATAGAAAATTTGCTAAGCACTTAACCTCCTCAGTAATATGAGAGATGGGGTATAAACTCAGTATCGTAAACGAGAAAGACGTTGAGAGTCTACGGCAGGTAAATATGTAAGACTTTTCAAACTGCATAACAAATGAAAGCTTGCCAACAAAATAACGCTTTAAAAACGACGGTTTCCTAGTCGATAATATTGGTTTAACCAGGCTTCAAAATTTACAGTGGAGAGCCTCGAACAGCTTTGGTTTCATTCAATATTTTTCAAAAGGTAGAACTTAAGTTTTTCGAATGAACGTCATCCAAATAAGCTTGAATATATAATAAGATGGCGAATGGCAGCTTTCTACAGTCCGCTGCTGTTCAACGTAAAAAATTGACAAGCATTTAATGTATTTTCGAACATGTGCCCTAACACTAAATAATATAGCTCGATATTTTAAACAAAAAAGTCCAGTGTCAGTTCTGGAGTATGGAACAGAATTCCTCTTCAAAAATAACACCGTTTACAACAAAGCTATTCCATAGCCTACATTAATCATTTCGTTACACTAAACGCGCAACAATTAAACATTTCTCAACACTTACTCGTACGGTCGTAATTTGCTTGTTAAATTGCGCTCGTACATATCGACTTGTTCGCAAAATATCGACTCCATTTCACATTCGTGGGTTCGTTTATTGTCACAGAAAGGAAATTACGATTTAGTAAGGATTAACTGTAGTTGTAGCCGGCTGTAAGTTGGGTAAATATTGTCCTAAAGTCAACCACAATCCATTAAGAAGATAACAAACGAGACGGCAGCCAAAATATGAACCGGAATCGCATTTCATGAAGTATTGGCATGCGTACAATCTGCCCAATTATTTTAAACATTTATGCACGTCGCTGAAGTGGCCTCTTTGCTCTGATATTGGCTTGTGGAGCATAAGTATAAAGCGCGTTGGCTAAAGACAGTCACAAGATACATCAGGTATTTTCGATTAGAAAAAATTCAACCCAGCTTTTAATAAATGACCATGGATTCATGGATGGGGCTCACACTGAACGATTGTAAATATTGATTTCATTTCGTTGGCACATACGAAAATATTAGGACATCATTCTGTCGCAATACGTTTAGTCTCTTTACCAGGAACAATAGAAGTAATCAGAAAATGTTTAATTGCCATTTTAGTCGTTCTTTTTGAGCATTGTTTTCACCGTTTCCTTTAAAAAGAGGAAAGGGGAAGCCGAACGATGCAAGACGAAGTTGCTGACTCTTTTTTAATATAACTGTACTTATACGGTACTCATACAGACAACAAAAGAACAATAAAAAAATTTTAAATTGCAATGACTAAATGGAGCTGACCGTATAAAAAGACGTCTAGAAGCAGGCAATTTTTATCTCGACGAGAATTTTATTATTACATCACAAGCAAACTCCGGGTGTCATGGAAATTACAAGTAAAAACGTGCAAGTCACAACTCACGAGCGACATTATACATGTAAATTTTATTCAAATGCACATTCTCTCCCACAGTTGGAAGTGAAGACAATCGTGAGAACTTGATCACGATTATTTCTTAAACATGTAAGTTAACGATTTAAAACAACAGCTAGTGTTTATATTTTTTGTTTCTTGTTTTGTCTTTTGTGCATTCACATGAGATTTGGACTGATGGAGGTGACCGTAGAGAAAATATTCAAAAGCAAGCAATTGTATTTCGACAACGTACTAGAACAGTTCATCACTAACAGTTTGAAACAAACTCCAATGCCGTGCAAATCGCCAGTAAAAACGTGAAAGTCACAGCTCGATAGCAAGATTATACATGTAAATTTTATTAAAATGCACATTCTCTCCCACAGTTGGAAGTAATGACAATCGTGAGAACTTTATCAAGATTGTTTCTTAAACGTGTAAGTTTACGACTAAAAACAACAGCTAGCGTTTGCATCTTTAGTGCCTCGTTTTGTACATTCACATTAACTTTAGAGAAAACGATAGAGTTCTTTTATAGCCCTTTCGAAATACGGAAATGTATCTTTACACGTTCAATTAATATAAAGTGTTGTGCCAGTTTTGCTGGAGGTAGGTTATGATTGAAACATCAAAGCATCATTTAATTCAAGCTAAGTATCTTAATAGTTGTATTTTAAACAAAAGTATTGCAAATGTATTACTACAAAGGCGCTAATTGCAATGCGACAACCTAATTCAACACCCCCTTAAAATGAAACACGACCAACTAAAAACACACGCAGTAATCTTTAAATCTTTTCGCAAACACGCCTAATATCACCTGCAGCTAAACTCGAGAATATATTTTGCGTGAATACCGATGAAATACAGAGTACAAATACACAAAGAAAGATTTAAAACTTCTTGAACGTATTTACCTCTAACAATTATCCACGCAAACGATAAAATCTTGAGCGACTTGTTCGCTGACAATTTATATGTTCAGTAAGCAAAAACTTACGATTCTTGATCCAAACATTCAATTTTATACAATAGGCGAAATATAATAAGAATATCAAACGACTTTGTTGCCCACAAGGTTTTAAAATCACGATTTGCTTGGGTTATTAGCGCGGGATTGGAATCTCTCGAAACTATTCTTGTGTGAAATTATTCATAGTCAATGGTTGAAATTAAACTGTTGATGTCTCTGTTAGGCGAGGTTAGAAAATTAATAAATAGAAATATTTTAACATGAAAAACACGTGCAAAGCGGTATTGCTTAATTGCCCAACTCAAAGCAAGCTTTTGAAAGAATACGTTTGCATTCGTTTTGAAACATGTATTTGTGTTTCGTTCATTAAAATATGAAAAAATAAACGATCGGAATGAGGACTTACAATAACAATAACAATAACCAATCACGATTGCCTTCCAAGCCTATATTCCTGATATAACACTTTCTTATTCACTATGATAATATATGGACATTCGTAAAGAAATTATGCAGCAATTACCTTGCTCGATGCTTAACTTTTGGTTTGGGATTCATTGCGCAGTCTTTCCTAGACAAAAAGAACACGTTATACATAAATTTTGGTATGTTGACGCACTTTGATTCCAACTTTGATGGATGAGGGTAAGATGGAGCGTACCTATTTTTTAGAGTCATCTGCCTGGTAGCCATATAAAAATAACAAAATGTTGCATATATCGTGGTCACTTAGGGAGACGTTGTCAACGACAAAATATTGCTAAGGATCAACACACACGGAAAGAAAACTTCTTTTATGTTGAATTGTAACCGGTTTTGGCAATAACATAGGGCTTGAAACAATACGCATGAGTAAAACAAAATCCAAATGGAAAAAACTTACAAGCAAATGGCAAAACTAATGTTTAGAACCTGCTGTTGCCTTGTTTTGCAACTACAGATGGCAAACTTCGAAATATTCCAGAACAATGCACAAAAGGAAACATGCCACGAAGGAAAGGTCCACCTTGAACTCAGTATTTGAGAAAACTTCAAGAAATTTTTTTGTACGTACATTTTGAATTCATTTCAAATTCACAGCTGAGTCAAAATAAGCTTGCAACTTTGATCGGATGGTAAATAATATTTGAAAATATTCTTGTCTTAAATATCGAGCTCAAGACGGACCTTCTCTTCGTAGCATGTTTCCTTTCATGCTTAGCAAACTTTTCTCAAGTAAAAATCCCAAAACAAATACATATTTAGGTCAGACAACAAAACCTTCCACACATCGGCATAGGAAGATCGATAATTGGGGAAGGGGGGGGGGCTCATATCTATATATTCAAGATATGCATTGTTAAAAATCACGTGTTTTTATCAATGCATACATATGACAATGACCCTCAACCCCATTATCAATTTTCCTACACCAATGCTTCTACGCCAAACCTAAAACCATTGCAAGTAGTGTTAGCACCAGACACGGGATGGGAATTGTGAAATTAAAACTCCCCATCGTCTAATCCTATCTCACTCCCATAGCTACACGTGCCAACTACACTCATGGGTGGATTTGAAAAAAACATGGGTGGATTTGAAAACAACTCTTAGAGATGAGGTTAGAGATGAGGATTTTTGAAAAAGGACTTTTTATCAAAACATACAACATGAAAGTTCTTTTAACAATTTTCTTTCGATAGAAATGTAATTCAGGGAAGCCGCTAAGACTACAGTAAGATTAAGTTTCCGACAATAAGAATCCGTTGATTACTTGATTTAGTCTATTAAGGCTGAAAGTTTTTTTTATTTAGGGTTTAAGCGTGCAAATAGCGGAAATTTTGATGCTTTTTATGCCCACGCCTAAGCTTATTATAAATTTTTTGAAGCCTTTTCTACAAAATGCTGACAGTCCCCCCCTGGCGTAAACTTAGAAAACACTCGTGTCGGTCACCTGTTCTTTAGCTTAAAATACTTCTACTCATGACACTAAATCCATGGTAACCAGTGCTGTAGAACTAAATTTATCAGATGGCGGGCTCTCTTGACGTTTTTGTCAATAGTGCCCTTTTAAAATTACCCATTTCAAAGGTAGAAGGGGCTCCTCCCCCACCCCCTTCTACAGCACTGATGGTAACCATTGGCACTACATCCCACTTATTAAAACAGTTATTTTCCTCTGTCATTTGTAGTATAGTTTAGTCTTTCCTGGTGTCATATCTTTCATCACGCTAGTTCCCAAGGAAACAAAAAAATGCCCATGGCTAAATTGTTTTTAATGCAACATTAAGTCGATAGTACAACAGCCGACATGAGAAAATTGTAAGAGGGGAGCGAGAACTTTCAACGAAAATGTAATAAAATTTGCTAAATTTGCTAAAATTACTTGGGCACACGTTTCGTTATTTGTAAAGCGAGCTGTCTAGATTCGTTTCAGCACAAGTATGATGAATTGATGATAGCCCTGAACGTAAAAAAAACGAAATACCAATCATCATACGCATCAGGGTAAACTAGAACAAAGAGAGAGTAAACTCGATCAAAGTGAAGCAGTCTAATACTCCTATATTATCATACGGCTGTAGACCTTAAAACGACCATGATATTAATATACAATCATTCGCAAAATAACATAAAATATCTAATGTTTGTCGGACTTGATGAGTTAAATTGAAAAGAACAATGCCAAGACGACGCGCGTCTTATGCAAATGAACCATATCAGACAGCAGCTGCGTCGTGGGATAACAGCTGCGACAATCACGTTTTCATTACAACGTAAAAATAAGATCGTTGACACCAAGCGTTGGTAATTGCAGCGATTAGGAAAAGTGTGCTGTTGGTGTACCTTTCTTTTACCTTGATCATCAAACTTACATCACAAACATGACTACGCGAAATACATACTTAAACAAACACTACATGTTGTAACAAAACATAATCTACGTATTAAAATACGACATTTACCTTTAATAGAGCGTTCTTCTCTTCATAGAAATTTTTTTCATCGGTTTCAAGTCATCCTCAAAACAAACATCAAGAAGAATGACGAAGCAATTATACCTAAGACCGAGAAAGTATCCTCTAGTACATCCGTATGCAATGTGCATTTCAGCATTGTTTCCACATCTCACATGTCAGACGGAAATCACACCTTTACCTTAGTCAACTATCGCGCGCCCATTACAATGGTTTTATATTACGCGTCGAGCTGCTTGAGCTAGCGTTGGGCTGGCATCATTTTAAGTAGTACAAACCACTAGCAGCATTTTCGAAGAGCAGGAATACGTATTTGTGAAAGGACTGATGAAGTAGAAAAGTTTAAACGTAAAAAAACGACGAGGTTCTCATCTGATAACGGGTCTTAACCAGCATTTACGCAACCCTCATGGGGCGTGGTGCTGAAATAATTCGTCGTTCTAAATAAAAATAATCTATGAAGACGTTATGCCTTTTTTTCAGAGTACAGAAATCTAGTCTCATGAAGTATTTGCGATTTGTGAATACTGCTGAAAACAACGCAATGTTAATAATTAATCAGTTCACGATTTGTTTGTAAAATAACTTCTCACTAACATTGTTTGATGATGCTACAAACCATAATTTTAATAGTTTGCAATATGACCACCACAAACTTGTTCATCTTAATCCGAAACAACCTTCCACTCCCATGATTCACTCGTGGGAACGAAAAGTATTTCTGGCATGAAGGCTAGGCAAGGGAACGTGATCTGCTGACCATTATATTCTTTCAACAGCTTATATAAAAATATAATGTCGTGTGCTCTAAAAGTCCATGCTGGGCACGCGATCTTTTGACCATTATATTCTTTCAACAATTCTGTATATATGTGCTCTTTATCTCTCTCCCTGTCTATGTGTATATACATATATATAACAGGCTTGTCGCGATGAAATTGTAGTTTTTGTATATTTTCTTCTTCTCATCAATATATATACACACATATATATAAGTTTGAAAATTGGTAATCCAGGCATTTAATACATAAAAGATAAAAGTTTCTCCGGACTTTAAATTATTTTTATTGAGCTTTCGACGAGATCCAAACGACGAGATCCGGCAGAACATACCCACGGAAATAACCACACATTCGACTGGACAGAAGCTAAAGTACTCGGACGCGCACAGACTAAACACGCACGCGAATTTAAAGAAGCTTGGTACAGTAAAGACAACGACACAATAAACAGAAATATCGACATACCCATCATATAGTCACAACTAAAGAAAAAGGACAAAAAAACTACAAACAACACCAAAACTACAACACGACACTCTAATATTATTAACACCAATCATATTCACAATACACCAAAACCCATGGCAACGCATTTCACCCCATCCAATCACATTAATCCACCCGCTAATCCAATTAGACGCTCTAAGCGTCTCCAAGCTAAAAGCACGTGGAAATATATAATATCCTCATTCTGATGAAGGCTCGAAGCAACGAGTCAAAAGCTCAATAAAAATCATTTAAAATCCGGAGAAACTTTTATCTTTTACAGACACATATATAAATATGTACAGAAAGAGAGAGAGAGAGAGCACATATATATTAGACAATTTAGACACAACGCTCATTTGTCTCACACATAATTGTATATTGAGGGAGAGCACATAAAGAGTTTTGCTAAATAGGAACAAAGGTCATATAAAAAGCTAGTTGCGACCCGAAGACTTTCCATAATCTAAAAGATTTTTCTATTCTTAAAATACTTTTTGACAATTAAATTTAGGTGAAAACGGTTTGCTCGAAGTAAGATCGTGGTTCCATTTATCAAAAAGAAAGTAGATAAATGACCTGTGTGGATTACAAAAAACCCAGATGTGATTTATTCAACTCAACCAATGACATATTTCACAACACAGAAGGCCAAGCATTTCGAAAATAAAAGGACGTCTAAAGGCTTTCAACGTCGTCAATGGAAACGTTTCCTGGTTTTTGCGGAGTTCTCTGATCTTCTTTCCAAAGGAATTTGAACCTGAACGTTAACGAAAAAATAAAAGCCACGTACAATAAAAAATCAGTCAAAGTGAACACTTTTGTCTTCATGTGATGGGCTTACAATTTCGAAATTCCAGAGTGCCGTTCTGTTCTTCCCTTCGTTTTATCCGATGAAATATTCATTTTTAAAGAGGCCGAATCAACCTCATCCTCACTATAAACAACCAAAGACAGTATTTATTGTACAATAAAAGCAGTTTCATTTGCTTACTTGGAGAATGGAAGCCATATGATACGACAAGCGGGTTCTCTTAGTTTGTTCATGTTAGTGTCTACGCTGACACACGTTATCTAACAAATGTTTATATTTAAAGAAGGTATAATTAAGCTGGTCGTATTCTCTATTGCTATTCCTCAATTCAACATGTTTTCTTTCTTCACACTGCGGGTTGTGCAAAAAAATTTTTCATTCTCTGTTGTTGATTCATCACTACCTACACTGCCATACGCTATCTTAGCTACTTTGTAAGGACTTCCTTCTCTTTCGCTTGTAATTTATAGAAAAATTGTAATCATACTTGGTTTTTTTGTAAAATGCCAAGTCCTCCTGCAAAGTGATAACTTTTTCTTTCAACTCGTTTCTTTCCTTCAATATTCTCTGCATTTCTTTCAAAGTGAACCGTGGTCTATTGGGATCTTTTGAGAGTGGGGAAACCTCGACGTTTTCTTTTTTGTTCAATTTACCAACGTCATTGTTTACTTTCGTATGAAACTCGTTATGCAGTCGTGAAATATCGGCTACGTTCGTATTTTTCGTAAGTTGCTGTTTCAGTACTTTGATATCAGCCTCAAGATCTGCTTTTTCTTGAATAAGTGTCGTGTTTCGTGATTTCTGTACCGTGAGATTGCGACGTATTGTTTCATTCACATTCGCCAATCTCTCAATTTGTTCTTCCATCTAAAAATACATTTTAGATACACTGGTCTTTTTCTCTGCTCCTCTAAAATGAGATCGAGACGTATTTTCTCATTCACATTCACCTGCTCAGGAAGCAGCGGCTGTCCGGGTGCATGGACACCGCAGTTTTCAGACAGCGGGTGTCTTATATAATGAGGACACCCGCAAAATTTGCAAATTTTTCAAAGTAATAATTGGTGTTTTCCAGCTGTTCCTTCGGTAAACTAGTTCTCCACAATGAATTTCATTGCCATGCTAACAAAGATATGCTTTATGCATTAGACATTGATGCAATTTTCAAGGCATTTGTTTGTAATGAACAGCGACAGAAACATTTTGGAAAATATTTGTGATCATTTATAGAATGTAAAAAAAGCTGCGTGAGTTAATCCATATTCCTATCCGCTGTACCATTTAAGATGGATTTCGCGTAAAGTATAAAAAAAAACAAGGTTATTTGGATTAATATATGTTGGTGACAAATTGTTGTTAAAATCGGAAAAAATATTGTTTTTCAGAGAGAACATAATCAAAAAATTTTAACATCCTCAGTTTTCAAAAGTTTCTATAGTCCCTGCCTATTTCTATATTTTTTTCGATCTAAATTGTAAGATGAATACACTCGTGTATTTCTCACTATTTTAAAATGAAATGAACTCGAGTTTCAAGTTCATGCGTTTCAACATGAGATAGCTAACGATCGAAGAAAGCAGGAATTCATACTATACCGCTTCTAAATCACTTTTCACGCTGTTCACCTCGGCACTTTTACTTCGAATAACATCACGTTGATCATCAATAGTCGATTTCATCTGCTGTAAGACAGCAATGTCCGCGGACGTCAGTTTCTTGGATTCTCCTGTTGACAGTAAGCAATCAAAACAATTTTGATACAAAATGTGCTCAACGTAACCCTCATGCCCCCGGCCCAATTACAAAACACTTCAGTATCATGCTGAAAACAAAGAAAGACGAACCCTTTTTTTCCAATTGATGAGCCTTTTCTTCGTCGTGTAATGATTGGTTTTCATCGCGAAGTTTCTCTAGAAGGCTATTGAGTGCAGTAATTTCACTCGTTGTTTGCTGTTTGTATTGATAATACTCCTAAAGCAATTACATGACATGCGTTCATTCCCTTCTTTAGCTACGTCAGAAATCTCGATATCTCTTCTAATGTCTACTATGTCTAAATCTTCAAATAGCAATAGACTGCGTCACATTTCATTGAAAACTAAGAATCTTTCTATTACTCCAGACATTTCGACGGTCACCGCTCTGCTAACTAGTATGCTTCAAAAATCAAATGTGGTTAACTTCCTGCTCAAACTATAGAAGAAAAATTCCTGACTCCAGACATTTCGACGGTCACCGCTCTGCTAACTAGTATGCTTCAAAAATAAAATGTGGTTAACTTCCTGCTCAAACTATAGAAGAAAAATTCCTGACGTCATGTTCAATCAACTCACTGAAGAAGACTCGTATGTTATAGCCTGTTTCTCATACACATTGGGCACCTTTTTATTACACCACACATTCTTATCACCGGAATGCAAATACTGCAAGGAAAGTGATGTCAGTGCCCTCTCCTTTCTCCAAAGCTTTTATCGCCCTTGCTTAGCCATTTGTATTGCTAATAATTCCGATGAATTGATCCTTAACCATAGCCTCAATCTTATAGTTCCTATGGCCGACATATTGTTTAGAGATTGGATTAGGGATCAATTTTAGATGTTGTAAAACATTGGAACTTAGTTGTTAAGTAGTTATTTGCACTATAGCAAATATGAAAGTTGTAAGCTTCATTTCTTTATCATGATATCGTACAAGTGATACAACATTTCTATCGGCTTTAGATCGTCAAGGCAATTACCAGAAACGACACTAATTTTGTGTTACAAGGATATTGTTACGGCCGAATGTAGCTGTTTCAAAAATCTCAAGGGAAATATTTGATAATGGCAATTTGCAATTTTCATGATTAATCGCATACAGGAAATAGGAAGCGAAACCATTCAAAACGACACAAAAAGTAATTTAATAATCATATTGAACCTCGTCCAAAGTTCGTCTTAAACTTGCTTCCTTCTTCACTTCAACAAGTAGTCGTTCGTTTTGTAAACGCATTCCTTCTAACTCTAACAAGCAATTTTCACGTTCACCAACACAGATTTCCAATTGTTCTAACACCTCCACGACCTTCGGCATCAAGTTCACCACAGCAGAATGTCCATACAACTCAATTATTTGCTCTATGTCTTTTCCGATAAGCGATGCAGTCTCATAAACATCCGCGGTCGTTAACTCGTTTTCCATCGTGAGGGAAGAACAGTTTACGAAGAACAAGGGCAAATTCGTCTTTTTACCGCTTATTATGCCATCAATATAGTACTTGGTTTGGTTAACAACAAAAAGCGCGTGACTGATCAAGAAACATAAACAATCCGAAACATCAGGTTGAAAGAAGTTCCTCTAACTCAGGAATTTTCTTATGTATTAATAGCTAATAAAAAGGAATTTTAAACCAAAACAAGGAAACGCAAAGATCTGACAAAAGCATTATTAAAAAACAAAAAACGGAGAAAAGAAGATAATACCAACATGGCTGACTTTTATCAGGATTCCTGTTTTATTTATTTTTCATAATATTATGGATGATCGTGGATATTCTTTCGTGCCAATGTAAAGCAATGTCTGCTGTTAAAATATTACCAGTTTATAGAGTGCACAGCGCTTTGGACGACAGAAGAAAACGGTATAGTATTGTAGAGGAGTGAGCAATGAGAAAAGCAAACTGCCATAGTTCACTCGTCTACAAAGCAAACGTCTGGTCTCTTGTCGTTTTGTACGCTAAATATTCGCAAATTTATTGGTGCATTTTATATCTTGCTTATGTCATTCAATCATAAGCCTTGTTCAGTTTTGTAGCCAGCATTAATTACGTTTATTACATTTTAACTTAGAACATAATCTTTTAGGCACAATTTTCGATCAGTTAAGTGTGCATGGTCGTCAACCAACCAAATAGCGTTTACAAGTCATTGCTTAGGAGATCGGACGGAATCATCTAACAATGAGTAAGAAAGTTAATATTGTTTTCGACGTGTGCATTGTACTACCAGTAACCCTTTGTGTTCCTTATAACCCATCATATTCCTTAGTGTGTAGAAAGCACTCTAAAGCAACTTGCAGATGATTTTTAATTATTTGATTAGTTCACTGTACCAAAATTAAAGTCATTTGCTTGTGCAAGTGTAAGATAAAATGTTAGACATTACTATTGTTGCATGTTTTTAGGTTGAATGATGAGCACTTTGTTCAAATAGTAGATCCAAACAGACCATGGGATTTACAAAGGTATGAAGGTATTTCCATAGTATTATTGGGTGTTGGAAACCATGTATTGGAGAACTTTGCTAATTATGACTATCCTGTGAACTATAATAGCATAAAAACAGATCATGCTGAGGTTATCTCACACTTGAAATGGAGTCCATCAGCATCTCATTTTCTCACTGTTGATTGTACTGGAGTATTTAAGCTGTGGGGAATGAAGGTAGTGGTCAGCTCATTATGTTTTTCTTCTTCGTGGTCAAGAGTGATGAATAAACAGACTTAACACAGAATTAACCAGTGATGGAAATCAACTAAAATCGACCAAAACTTCCTTTATACAACAAGTTATACTACATTTCTTGAGTATCATTTGTCTGTTGTGTAAAAATTTGACTTATAATGAAGAACTATTCTTTCAGAATTGTTTGATCAATGAGTGGAAATGTGAGCAAACATACAATATTGGCGAGAAAATAGTCTGTGTATCTTGGATCGGAACATCTACAAAGGTTGTTTGATCGCTGTGACAATTATTTGACTTAACTGCAGCAAAATAAAAAATATTGACGGATTTATGTCGCTATGCCATACATGACATTTTGATATTTTATTGCATAAGTCTGACCGCTTTCTAGAGTAGTCAGATACACTGAAAATTTCTTCAACGTATTCATCATCTAGTATTTGTATGGTGAAGTTACCAAAGATTTGGGTCATTTAATGTCGATGGGTGACGCAAGAGGCTTCCCTAGAAACAAAGCGAAACACCCGTTATCCTACGTCAGAGGAATGAGCGGTGATGGTTGGATCGCTGTGACGGAAGCAGCAAAAGTAGGAACATAGAAATGTTTTCTTTCTGAGTGGAGTTTTTTCACTATTTGTATCCGCTAACTAAAATTTATAACCGCCGTTATAATATCATCATCTTAACCACGACAATAGTTAATGTTTGTAGATTTATGTCGTCCAGGTTGGTATAGTCCTCTCAAAGTAGTCATCTTTTGACTCTGAAGATGACTACCGCTAAGGTTGTCGAAACGTCAGTCAACAACAACAAAAACAGTCCTTCTCAGGACTATACCAACCTGGACGATCTACATTTATAAACATGTAACCATACTCCTGGGTTCAAACCTTTTACTTTATTACAATAGTTACTCTTGGCCTCTCTTAGGTATATTTCTTCGGTATAAATGCTGATCATTTCCCGCAAGAAACAATTGATACTGACTTGCAAGGCGTGCAAGTTGGTGATATAGCGTTTTCCAATGGTACGTAGTTCCCAAAAGGTTCATATTTTCGTGAAATGAAGATAAATTAATCGGGCAGACTTGTGATTTGAGCATTTGAAATGCCTTCTTTAATAAGATGGTCAGATAATCTTGGGACTCAGCGATGGTACCATTGGGTCAGTGGCAAGATTTTATGCAATCAAATTAAATTGTATGGCGAAAAGTATCCTTTAAAAGCACAAAAAAGTTGTTCTCGAACAGTTCTCTTGTGCAAAGTGACTCAATTTTTTTATTTTTCTAAAAGTAATACACGCACTTTTCATCAAAGTAATCAATTTGCATGCAGGAGTTGATTATTATTATTATAGTTATCTTGATCATATCGAAGGAGCAACTTCAGCCCAGTTGCCAAGAACATTGGGTCGAGATCCTTTATCTGGGAACATTATCTGTCAATGAAGGTTTCTTGGTCACACGAGCTAGGGCTTTTGTATTCAGAAAAAGAAAATTTAACGTTTATCGAGAATACTAAACAAAAACTGTAGCGCTAAAAAGTTTCTGCCTTCGTTTATCAAAGTATTTGAGAGTTTTCTTCACTAAAATGCCAGATAAAATCACCATTAGTTCGTCTGCACTTCAGACACTTTCTCCACACGCTAATATATTGACCACACGTAAGTATAGCAATCAGTTGCATTGACGTAACAAAATGAATAAGTAAAATCTTCTTTCTAACAAATTCCTCGTTTGAATTTCCAGCCTTCTCTATAACGCACATTAAGTTCGTATTTCAAAATTCTGGATCGCACGTTTTGATTTGCAGTAAAGGTACCTCAGTACGAGTGGACGAGAAAAGTTCGATGCTTTGCAATAGTGAAACTGAAGAACAGCTGAAATATGTTTGAATTTTTCCGCCTTGATTTCAGGGCTCGTGGAGTCGTCTGTTGAACGATGGCAGTTGACAACTGAAGAACAACAGTTGCACGAGTTGTTTCACAAGCAACAGATGAAACCATCACCCATAAAGGTTTCACGACAGTGTTAAATTTGCATTGAAAGCAAGTCTTTTCGAAGTGCTTGTGTAGGTTTAGGGTGTGGTTTTTAGAATTTCCCCAAAGAACAACGTCTAAATTTAAATTCAAAGAAATTTCTTCTTGTGCAATTAAAGATTTGGGAATGTGTTTCGGTGAACGTCTTACGTAAAACCATAGTGGATATAGCTGTACCATGGTTACCACTTGAACCAGAGAAATCGCAAAATATATCATATCCCAGACACAATATAATACTGGGTTTCTCGGATGGCAATCTTATGGCCTTAAATAGGTACATCCTCTTTGTTTACAAGTCGTGGGAATGTAGAATGCCAAGGTCGTATTCATAGAAAATATATAAATACTTCATAAAACGAAGTTTTTTTGCCACTAGCCACACTTGGAGAGATATAACCTTCGAATTTAAGTAAATTTCATACTATCTTCTTTAGTTTCAACCTACGGCAGGTCGAAGGCGAATATAAAGATTTGGAAAGTTTTACATCATCGCCGTTACATCGTAAGTAAACTGGCGTTGGTTTTCAAAATACAAAAATTGGCAATGTTACCGGGAACAAAATTTTTTTGGGTGGGGTGGGTTGGAGTGGGGTGGGGTGATGTTCCTATAGTTTTTCAATCCTGACTGTCTTCTGCAAACAGATTTTTTCCTTCCCACCCACCGAGGTTGGGTGAAACACACGGACGTACTTAAAAGTTCTGATTGATATTTTACATTGTGAAACTTCTTTGAGTCCATGCTCTTTTTCTTATTTTGAAACAGCAGCGAAACGGCTGAAGACTTCTTACTATACTCAAACATGCGCGTTTTTGGCACTTCATTATTCGCCTTGTTCGTGTTGCATTGTGGGTATCACAGGCAACGGATCGTTGTATTTATTCAAGTGCGAACAGGATGAAGGTAATGCATTGATAAACTAAATGCCAAAGTATAATTTCACAACTGTACAGTAAAACATCCCTCTCTTTCCATGTGTTTTTCTCCAACATAGATGTAAAGTAGAAAAACGCATCTGTACAGAATAAACATCCATCTATCCATGTGTTTTTCTGCAACATAGGTATAAGCCATATTCCAAATTCTGTTGCTTTTACAAATTTACTGAAGTATTGTCTGTTGTCCGACTGGCAGTCGTGGGACATTTTCATTGTTCTCAAACACCAACCAAATGGTAAGACCAATAACAGCTCACAAATTGTATCCAACGTGCTGGTAGTTCACGAATGAGGCAAAATATATGACCAACACGTCAATTTATTTCAATGACAGATATTTTGGACGCAACTCTTCGTTTATTTGAGCAAGAGCTGCCTGCCTCGTCTTCTTTGTATCAAAGTAAAAAATTTCTTTCAATAAAAGCCAGTTTATTGAGGTTTGTATGAATTGGGGGTTCCAGTAGATTTACACACATGCGTATTTTAGCTTCATAATGTATGAAGCGTCGGAAGGGGTGGGGAGTCGTTGCCATATCTCATAAGCTAAACCCTGTGTTGGAAACTTTTCCAAAACTCAATACTGTCAACTTTACCAAATGTAAGAAACCCAAACATCTTTAAAAAGCCACGACTACTGCTAAACCGACAAACACTTTCACACGACTTCAGCATGCATGTTGAAGAATCCTGTTGTTATTGGCCGGCATCGAACTGGACATCTTATACGCTCTCCTCATTTCATAATTTCTCATGGGACATGATCGAATTGCCCATGTTAACATCTGACTTTTGAAAGCAAATATACAAACGATGTTATAGTATGGCATGGAATAAAATTCCTCAAAATCAAACAATCGTTCTCCATCGTATGTTGTGTTTTGATATAGCTTATACCCGGATTCGCACAATAAAGCTTCTGACTGTCATTCGAAGCAGTTTCTTTTGGCGTTGGAGAATTTTTTCAAATCCTTAGTTCCCGTCGGAGCTGAGAGATTATCAGGTAAACACCATCAACTCATTTAAATCCTCAACAATCCGTTTAAATCATAGCCATAAACCAGTTTAATCAAATCAGTGCGCTACATATTTTAGCAAACTTCCCGAGAGCAGTCGAAACTCTTTGATCTATAGACGGCTGTAAAATGTGTTTGTAGCATATCGATATACTTACATAACGTTTCATCATTTCACATTCGGTTAGGATTTTGTGAGCAACCAACCGATGTCGATTTGGCCATGACGTTGCAAAATCTCGACCCGAAAGAATTTGAGGTTGATGCAGGTATATAGATATTAAAGCCCTTTTATACATATGTCACATCTTCACTTCTCTTGCATCCATAATCAATACGCGCAATTTTCTTTTGCTTAATAGATGTCTTGGTAACACTGACTCCGTTGATTCAATGGCTAGCTGATTTCGCGTCGAAATATGTCGGTGTTCTGTTTGTAAAACAAGGAAACGATTTACTGCCAGCTGTACGTCTTCAAGATTTCATCGATTACAGTTGCAATGAAAAATATATGCCAAACCGAAACATAAAATTGTCTGATGCTATTTTTAGGCCAGTCTTCGCTATGATAATCATTGCATCCTGTTGCTGAAACAGATGCTGCTTCTTGTGATAATTTGGTCAAAACAGTCATCACGGATATTACCATATTGTATTGGTCCAATAGGTGAGTTGTGTTGTCGTATGTAATTGGGTATATGTGCTCGCTCTTCCGATGAGAAAGATGTAGGCTTTCACATTCAGCTAACAAACTGCTACCATAAATTTTCATTATTTCTTGCTTCTGTAACCGTGGCTTTCTTGTAGATCTGCCAGCCTACAATTACATGTCCGAGGAGAACTGTCTCAAATTTTGCCGTAAAAATACTTCGTAAAAAGATCATCTTAGCCTTTCTCGCGCAATTCCACGTTAACGTCTCCAAATGACGAACAGATAACTTGCATCTTAACTTCTTTCATCTGCAATAAAGCCTTGTCATGACATACCTATTTACTTCCTAGAAAAGCAACACGACATTGTACAATAGTTCAAGTTGATCTCGTTAACGTCTTCAAATGACCAACAGATAACTCTGTATCTGTAACAAGGACTTATTATAACATACCTATTACTTTCTAGAAAAGCAAGACTACATTGTACAGTTGTTCAAGTTGATGTCAAAACTTTGGATGGTGAACCATCAGAAATTAGATGTGGCAGACTTGGAGAAAAACGTATCAGGTAAAATTGCTGCTCTTTTGTGGAACTTTTTAAAGTTTTCTTCCCCAAACTTCTTTGACCGTAGTTTTACCATTGCAGCAAAATGACGGGCGCCGTGACAGTTCGCAACTAACGTCCTCAGGACCTTCTTTGTTGACTTTCCTTTTATAAACTTTTATCTTTGTTTAGAGTTGGAATCCTATTTCACAAATCATCTGAGTTTCCTCTATCAATCTATGATCGTTTCTTCAACAAACCAAGGTAGAGACATAGTGTGCTTACATTTCCCCATATTCAATACGTAGTTGAGATTGATAGTGTTTTTTTAAACCCAAACAAGGCCAATCTTTCACTGTAGTTATTTTGTCCCTCTTAAGAGTAAGGAAAGGTGGGGAAGCAGTTTCCCCATTAAACTAAAATACATGGAACGCTACCTGTAATAGAAAATCCGAATAATTTTTTGAAGCCAAATTTTACACCCAGCCACGCGTGTGTGGGTGTAATCTCGCGTGCCTGGGTGTAAGAGTTGGCTTCAATTATTTGCTTCAGATAGCGTTCTATGGATTTTGTTTCAATGGTTTCCAAAGATGTTTTATCTTTCCATTTTCTGTGTATTTTCTACCACAAATATAAAACCATGTGACGTCGAACTTAGCCATTGGATAAAATTCCCGTGTGGATATTTTTCATGACATGACGACAATATTTTACTAGCTACGTATGCAATTATTCATTGAATACACCTTGTCCATAGGTATTATTGGCCAGCAGTCATATCTTAATCCGAACGAGCCTGACGTATACGAGTACGGCCAGAAACCACGTGAGCGTATGTTGCCGTTGAGACTGCTGACCAGTCAATACAATGGAGACGTTGATGTCGTCAGCAAGTTTCTTCTTGGCAACGACTCTGGCGTTATTTTACGACGTTGCACGAGGCAAGTGAACGATGCCATTTTTTGAAAGGACCAATCTTCTTGGTTTTTAAAGTAATTAAATGCTGAACTGTGGTTTTTACGCTCGATATAATTTTGCAAACGATATACTTAATGCAAACGATATACTTTTGACGTCCTTGACGTTCGATAAAGCATCATAATATTGAAGAGTTTTGATAAATTCTTGAAAACCAACTATTATTGTCGGTGCACAAAGTTTACCATTATGACTATCAAGCTAAATTTTGTGTTACAGGTATAAATTTCGCCTCATTTGACTAAAAAGCGCTATGAATTGTGTTTCGAATAGGTGCAACGGTTTGTCTCAGTTACCTCAAACGAAAGAAAAGCTCGAGAATATTTGGGAACAGAAATGGACAAAGTTTTGTATTTGTGGAGGTGCTTGGAAACTAGCTAAGTCAAATTGATTTCCTATAAGAATGGTCTCGCTTGAACACAAACATTAGTACATAGGCAACGGGTATTTGAAGAGACGTGTTCAAATGGAAAAATTCTCACTTATTTGTTTATTTATGTTTCAAATAAAGTTATGGTTGTTTAACTTAATTCACTGTGTTTATCAACCAGAGCGAAATCGCGCGCATTCCTCACGGCCATTGACAGTCACGCGTGTGCTGCACACCGTTCCTCGACTCGCGTGAAAAGGTGTAAATAAGGCATGCGTAGTTATTAATAAAATATCTTGATACATCACACGTGCCTTCATAACGTTGATAAAATCTTTATTTTTTCGTACCAAGATCTTGAATGCTATCATCATCCACCTAAAAAAACAATGAGAGTCGCTATCATTTTGAAGAAATTGTTTTGAAGAGGACATAGGAAGTGGGTATCATATGACAGGATTATGGATATGATATGACCTGCTTCATAAAGTCCATTTTGCACACTGTTAATCTAAACTCAGCTTGCAAGCATCACTCATTTCTAGTTACGTAATGGCCTCAGTAATCTTCCCATCTGGCTCGGGAGCGACACTAGAACAATAATTGGGGGAGAGGGGTGTATATTCATACATTTAGTTGTGCCAGACTGATTTCTTAAGCAAGTACATTGGCTTTCCAAAGTAATCATCAGGGCATAACTGAATATAAGAATATACACCCCCCCAATTAGCGTTCTAGTTTTCCCTCTGATCTGGCTGTTCCCAACATCACATAACGGGACTATGAATCAAGGGGAGCTGGAAGGCTGTATTTCCCACAAAAATATTGCCATCCATATATTTGAAATTTGTCCCTGAACCACTACTTGACAGTTGCATGTCAGTTATCTCCTTTGGCAATTGCTAAGTAGCTAGCCCCCCCCCCAATAAAAAATATGATGAGTGGTCACAGTATCCACCACACAGTGGCCATATTATTTCCTAATTTGGTTGAAAAGCTGATCACAAATGTATACAAAATATTAAGTTGACCTAGCTTAATGTGAGTAGTAATTTGCAAAACACTTTATTATAATGTAAGAATTGAAGTAAGAATCCTTTCCCCTTTTAACTCTTCTATACTGGTCACGCAGTCACAAGCTTGGGACTTGTAGCGTAAGGATCTTTGCTTTTGAGAAGCCTTTTCTTGTTTGAAAGAAGGAGAAGTGGAAGGACTTTATTTATTACATTATGATTGCTTCAAGGTAAAAAAACAAGAATACAGTGTTTTGCAAATTACTGCATGCATTAAGTTTGGTCAACTTACTGTCTCATATAGATTTCTGTACATGCGAGTGCATACTTAGTTAATTGACTACAGCTGATCACACCATCAATAAGAAAATATTCATACCTCGGGCCATTTCTCTTGAATGAAGTCAATTATGTCATCTTTTACATCTCCCTGAATAATAATCTCATCGCCGCCGGTAATGGATGTACCACAGGCGAACTTTTGACCAAATGACTTGGCGGCTTTTTTAACATCGATATCTAGGTAGCACAATGATATGAAGAGTTAATTATTCAAGCTCTAAATGTCATGTTCACCACAAATGTTCATTGCCAACTTAAAACAACTTGAACCATGAAATATCTCACCAAAAGTTTTTAGACCCGATACAACAGTCACAAATTTCTTTTTGTTTCTCTGCGAAAGGGAAACTTTAACTTTTTTTGGCCCAGCATTTGCCTGAATAAATTTTAAATCCACCATAGGTAAGTAAAATTGATTTAAATTTTCTTGCAATAGTTATCTTATTTTGGTACCTTTTTTTTAGTCTTCACAACACCTTTACCTCCTAAACACACGCAGAGATTTTAAATATTAAAAATAGCAAGATGAGAAATTGATTTGTCCCAATTTTAAAATTTCTATTCAAATTTCTGTTTGACACTAACATTGTTCATATAGACAGAGGCCCATAAGCCCCCTAAGAAAAAGGGTGATGCATCTTCTATACTAACATTTGTATGCTCTGTATGCACTTGTAGTGTCACCCCCATAAAAGCTGTCGGTTTAGAAACCATGGTTACCTCTAGTTTGTCTTTTCTTTGTTCCCCCAACATCTAAAGCCTCCAGACCTTGGGCAATTAATATACAAACACACATGAAAAAAAAATGAATGATATATTTCTAACACTTTAACATTTGAAAGCTACCTTGAGCTATCATCTCTTCATACTCGTCAGGATAGTTTCCTTTCCACCATTCTATACATTGATCATAACTTGGATTGTATTCACAATACTGGAAAGAATAAATAGCAGTGATGAACTTGACAACTGTCGATCATCCATTAATCATTCACATCCTTTTTAGAAATGGGTGTGTGATTTCTTCAATACAGAAAAATAAGCTACTCCACAACCATTGCGATTTCTTTTATACTAGGTTTATATGCATCAAAATTTTGTATGAATGCAGTTTAATTGCTTCAAAAAATTCTCAGTATGGTTGGCACAACCAGTCATAGGCAGAATTGTGTATGTAGACAACACTTGGAGCCTAAAATCATCATGTTTACCCTAGACCAACCCAAAAGAAATTTCAATGACTTAATGACCTGTCCCAATTAAAATTATGACATACTTAGAGGATCTTTGACCTTCTTAACTATTTTCTCGAAAACTTGAAGTAAACAATGACTTGTTATTGACATACAATAGGACAACTTAAATACACGTTTTGTAATTAAGATTTGGCAAGACAGAAAGAGCTAGTCATAAGTCATCAACATTATTTATGTAAATAACAATACTTACCTCATTGGGTAAGCTACAAACTGCGGGAAACAAAAACACAGATTGTTAGTACTTTTAGAAAATATTTGATTAAATTTGAACCCACCAATTTGTACGAATTACCTCCACAGTAAATTATTTGTAAAGGATAAATTGACTCTTCCTCGTCCGCCATTTCAAACTCATCGATCGAAAGTTTGATTGTGATTAACTGAGACAGGAGGCACAAGAAAACGACAGAGGGGGAACAAAGTGTAGGTCCTGAAGGAAACAAGAAATCTTGTGAAAATGAATCACGTTAGTAAACGAATAGGTACGTAGGAAGTACATGACAAAGCCTCAAAATATATTTTAATCATGTAGCGTAAACCTGGCATATGGACTTATAGAAAGGCTTCTATACAACTGGTGTGCGTGGTGGTGAACTGTATGTATAATATTATACTGCAGTTATATTTTTAAGACCTGTCTCTCTAGCTCACTTCACACTAGAATCCAGTCGTTTTATCATGGACAGTGCTAGTACTGATCACTGGTGCTGACGTGGATAACGAAACATTCCTGCTCTGAGTCCTAGTTTTTGAGGTTAATTGTCGAGGACGAAATTTTATCACAGAGTTCACTGATAGTTATCATAATGGAGGGGGGAGGGGGGGAGGCTCAAGCATGAAAGGGCTTATAGCCAGAGGTTTAATATATGTAACGAAAAATGCTAAATGATTTGATATTTCACGGTGAAACACAAATTGGATTCACAAAGACAAATATATCCAAACTTTGACAAAAATTGTTTTTCTCATAATAACAATGATTTTTTTTCAAAATGCCAGAAAAAAATGCCACCATCATCAAAATATGGTGAGTTGATCATAAAAACAAAATGTAGTGTAAGAATTTTCAAGAAGTTCTGAAAATTCAAACGTTCCACATTAAATTAACTGTAAATGAACTTTGTGATACATATAACAAAAAAAAAGTTGTTAGATTGTTATGAACAGCTTACCTTCAACATTGTCTTAAGTATGAATGACTGGCCTTTACGAATGAAATTGAACAATTGTTGAGCCCATTGACAAGAATGAAAAATATTATAACTATGCTCATGCATTTTATACATTCAATCTAAACCCAAGTGAAACCATTGATACATGAAAAACAAGCTGGAAAATGTATTTGAAAAAGATCTTGAGCTTTTTAGTTCTCAATTTAGCCAACTTAACAGCAAGAGCATGAAAATACATTGAGATATGGAGAACAAAGATATATAGCCATCTGATGGACAGACGGATTAAAGATGAAACATAATGAAATGACAAAATGGTGCATCCCATTAGTGAAGCCTACAAAAGCCTATAGTCTGCCCACAAAAATTGTAAAAATAGTAGAGTACATACAACTGACCACTACATTACATTAGCTATTTTGCGACTTGAAATAAGCAGCAAGGGTGCCATTTTTCTCACCCCCACTCCACTTTTGGCAATTTAGGGTAGCCCTCAGTAGGTGGGGGCAACATTGATGGGGGTAATTGTGAAAGCGGTGGTAGATTTGACAGTATGGTAGTGTTATCATCAATGTCTGAAATTTTCTTTGATTTATTTGAGGTTGCATTTGCCTCCCTATATTTACGTTTCCTTTCCCATTTTGCCAACCACTCGTGAAGTATTGGTTCCCTTTCTTTCAATCTTGATGACATTACACGTGCTTTAATGGTGAAAAATCAACAGCTTCAAAAGCTAATCAACTTTAATGAAGTAACAAACCAGCAATTTAATGATAAATACACAACACTATTACTAACCTCGTTTCTCTAGCAACATCTGAGGATTCGTGTGCGAATACCTACAATTCTCACCAAAATCACATGTTCCTGTTTGGAAAAATCTTCTGCATGGCAATTTCTGAGCTTCTTCTGATAGCAACTCAAGAGGATCTGGAAAATAGAGATTCAACATGGTGTAGTATTAAAATCCAGTTGAAACTTGTTTTGATTACAACATCACACAATGCAGACATGTTGTTCATTTTCGCTGATACCAAACCTGTTCTCACCTTTGTAAGAGTCGTAATGCATTTTACGATTTCGTTTATGCTGAACGCCATTTATGTGGTTTCGGCGATTACCAGGTGAATCAGCGAAATGTCGATTACAATATTCACAATAATATCTTTTTCCCATACTACGAAGAGTCAACAGGACTCAATGGACGATATTGTTACCTTGCAGACAATAAAACGTCTTAATGTTGGTTCAGCGTTTAAAAAAGATGGTATGACAACACACTTATCAAAAACGTAAAAAGTTTACTGAAGACTCGAAATAAGTAATTCTCATTTTAGGAAGTCAATGATCATGTCCAACTGTCACCACATATTTCCATACGCGAAAATCACATGATGATATACACACACAATTGTCTGTCCACTTTGTAGTAAGTAGAAACGACTGATGATTGATGACACCCAAGTTAATGTAAGTAATAGTTTAACCTTTAAGACAATACGCTACATTACAAAGTTATAATTTCATTGCACTATCGGTGCTAAACAATAAACGTTTCTCCTTCTTCTTGTTTCGCTTTCCTTTGCCACGTTTCCGTCCATTGACTGCAAAAAGATTTGAAGAGAAGTAAATTAAACTACAACAAAAACACTCACTACACAAGTTAGATTGTAAGGCCTCATCTAGGAATCTTAGAGGGAGGCTTCGAAAGTCGAAAAGTCTGTATTACTGACTGCATGCAACTAGCATACTAAATAATTATATATCATTACTCAGAAGGAGATAGATGAAGTCATAAACCCTATGGAATTGATTTGTTCGCAAAGGGGGTGAGGGGGTGGGGGTGGGTGGGTGAGTGGGAACCTTTCACAGGGGGATGGTAGTGGAGTGGAAAGAGCAAATGTTGACAGGATGGGTTTCAAATTGTTGAATTTTAATGGTAATTCCCTTGCAATACTTTATCTTTATGTTTACCGGGAGGCGATGATTCCTCATCAGACATTATGTTGAGTTCACCTAACAGGAGAGCATTCGTGAATGACGATTGGAATGATGGTATTGACTGGTATTCGTCGTTTTCTTCTTCAGAATTCTTCTCGTTTTCACTCGACCGTGAACCTGTAGGTTTGAAAGGAAAGCTTATGATGAGGGAAGCATTTAACTTGTTTCTATTTAGCCTTATCACTTAAATGCTCAACATTCCAAATTTCATTGAAGAATAGCAAGTCTCGTGATTCACAAGTACTTGATAATTCACAGCAATGGACAACAGTCAACACGATATTGGACAACAGTCAACAAGATCAACACGGTATTGGATAACAGTCAACACGATCAACACGGTATTGGACAACATTCAACACGATCAACACGGTATTGGACAACATTCAACACGATCAACACGGTATTGGACAACAGTCGACACAATCAACACGGTATTGGACAACATTCAACACGATCAACACGATATTGGACAACAGTCAACAAGATCAAAACGGTATTGGACAACATTCAACACGATCAACACGGTATTGGACAACATTCAACACGATCAACACGGTATTGGACAACAGTCAACACGATCAACACGGTATTGGACAACAGTCAACACAATCAACACGGTATTGGACAACAGTCAACACGATAATGAACAACATACAACGCAATAATAGGCAAACTAACCGCAGGATTGTGTTTGCAACTTGGACGAACAACTCGTGGGAGTCTTTGTCTTTCCACTGGACAATACCTACGTACGTAAAATGCATAACTTTGAATAAGATATAAGACAAAAATAGTGAAGCTCTGTACCTCAACTGAAATATGAGATAGATTTAAAGAACTGCCGATTAATAAGATTATTCACCTTAGCAAAAGAGCTCGATGCTGTCTCGTTTTCTTCGTCTGTTTGAAAAGAAAACAGCAGCTCTTAATTTACAAACAATTTTGATCAAATAGAAGAGCAGACATGATTTTCAACTTTTGATTAGTAACGTTTCATCACAATCCATACCCGTGTACACCTACCGTTAGTTGTTCGATTTGAAGACCATGGTCCATGTGTAGGTGGTGAAGATGCGATCCACATATTGCAGCTGGTATCAACTTGTTGAAATTGTTGTGGGAAATCTTTCTCGCTTTCCAAGTCGGGTGTTTCAACTGCGAATGACAAAATACAACTACAAGGAACTATTTTTAATTACTTCCTGTCTTACACTGACCGTTATCACTATGTTCAATCTTTATGCCAGTAAACTCCGTCATGCTGGATTTACATTTGCTGTCATGTTTTGCTTCTTCCTTTGCTTTCTTCAGCCGTCGTAAACGACACTTCCGCAAGTCATCTGATGAGAAATAAAAAAAAATTCTAAGACTAAGCATCCCTTTATATTGTGGTGTAAGCACAATTTTATGAACATATACATAGAACACGAATAATTGGCTAAATTGGGTTGTAATAATACGATAGTACGCATGCTTCCCATTTTCCCTGGCACACATAAGACTGAAACGGAAATTGCTAATTTTTACTACACAAAAAGGAATGATAAAAAACGACTTACTTTTGAAGAAGTTTAGAGTGTTCAGAGACACAATGGGTGGTTTAAGTTCCAATTCACAGATAACAAACTCACAGGTTAGAGGAAGATGACGAAGATAACGAAAGCGGCGACGAATCTCCTTGAAATACATCACACATAGAAATCATTTAAGTGATTTCATGAAATTCGAAAATTCCTAACGCAAAAAGAGTTGACTCGAATCAAACTACCTCTGTTTGTGTATGGCTCTCCATTTCGACAATACGTCCAGTTATTTTTGAAGGGCAATTTTCAAGAGAACCGTACTCCTACATGAGGATGAGAAAGAAGTAGCTACACTTCTTTAATATTGTACTTATGTAGGTAATATATAACAATAATACTAAATGATCAAAGCTTTGGAAAGATGGCATGTTCGAGGATTTGAAAACTGCATGCATGTACTTTTTAACAACACAATATGTTTTGACAACGGCGCTACACCCAGAAGCAGACACTCACAGGGCATTTTAAACTATACAACTGCTAGATTGTTTGCACCCAGTAGGTCCTAAGCTTGTTTCAGTAGTGAACTTTGAATGACCCTTTGAATTTCCTGATAGAATGATCCTTATTCTCTTATTGTTACTGTGAAGGATTGGTTTTTGATCATCAGTTACTAAAAGTCGGTCTTGAAATTAGTTTGTAGAAATACAGCCAGCTGTGTCGGAGGCTTATTGAAATTACTCCAACTGGTCGAAATTCCTCAAAAAAACTTGGACTGTCATCACATCAGACAAACATTTGAAGATTAAATTTATGCTTGCACACGTATATCTTTCGTGACAAATGAGATGGTAGCGTGAACACAACGCTGAAGCCGCAACCAATTTTGAAAAGAGAAGTCCATGTTTGCCTCGTGCAGTACTTACTTTAATCAAACATCGAGCGTTCACTTGATGAAGAAAAATATATTGACCATCCTCAGCTGCAATAAAATGCAAATAAAATAGATGAAAAGAATTCAACTTGACGTACAAGCCATGTAAGGACGTAGATCTACCTTGATAAAAATAATAATAATGTGTATCTCCTGAGGGTATTGAAGAGCAATAAGAATCATCCGAGGACGCAGACGTACGACTAACACGGCTGCCAACATGTTGATGTTCCCCATCATTCGGGAGAATTCCTTTTGCCTCGAGACTTGAGTTCATGGTTGCATCGCTGTTTTCCTCAAGGAAAGTCGATATTTCTTTCATGTCTTCCTTTGTGCGACCTTTGTGAGAAAGTCATTTGTAGAAATGATGTATGGCAAGATTGCATACGTCATGTAAAGAAGTCAACCAACGCAATAACAAGGATATGGACGTTAACATACCAAAAACGTTTTCTTTGACATCCGTATTACACTCAGCCATCAAAGTCTTCTCTTTTTCCTAACCATACATAAACAGTTGACGTTATAGAAAATGTCACATCTACATAGATACATAGTTTGCTTTACGTACAAAAAAGAGAGCTCGATACTACATGAGTACGTACAAACACGTGAAGCGCTAGAGTTTTGGATAAGTTTTAAAAAGTAGAAACCACAAAACCTCTTCAACTGTAAAGGAATCTTCAGATGAATTGATTTAATATTACATACGTATTACGTATAAGCATTTTACATGTACGGATAATATCAATGACACTTATTACATAAATGAATTTATTACGTAATGACATTTATTACATAAATAACACTTATTACATAAATCACACTTATTACATAAATGACACGTATTACATAAATGCCACTTATTACGTAAATAACACTTATTACGTAAATGACATTTACTACATAAATGACACGTATTACATAAATGACACCTATTACGTAAATAACACTTATTACGTAAATGACATTTACTACATAAATGACACGTATTACATAAATGACACTTGTTACATATATGACGCTTATTACGTAAATGACTTATCACATGACTTATTACATATAGGCACGTACTAGAGAAGAATATTATAGTGGACTGCAGAAACATTGGTCCGAGAAAATTTTTCATATTTTCAGAAAAAAATTTGCTTTAAGGTACAAAAAATTCTCAGAGAAAAAAACGAAGTACACATAGAAAGGGAAAATAGAAAAGAAGAATAAGCTTCAGAGGTATATACACATAGACAGCCTGGGATACAGAAGTCTTAGCACTCAGAAAGTCGGAAGACAGTACGCGTAGATAGCACACTGTACACGTCATGTTTTGATCTGCTACATTCAATTACAGAGAGTGATACAAATATAGCTACCATACATAATGGATAAGTAAAAATTTTCACTGGGCTTTTTTCTGGCACAAAATATTTTCGTTGGACTTGTGATCCAAGAAAATAAGATATTTTATGCAGCCCTGACACACAGATAACCAAAAATATATTCAAAATGTAAGTTTTCAAACTATACTCATATTATACTTCACATTGTGTGTCATATTACTTCACGTAGTTTATCCACGATGAAAATGACATTTTATGATGATTTTAAACATATTTGCTATAAATGGGTGGAAACTTTATTGGTACCGTGAAAATACGAAAATACAAAATGACTGGAAAACATACTTCGAACTGTTTGATTGCCAATTTCACATATTCCTCCTCTCCAGACTGGAAAATTAAAAAAATAATGGTACATTACATTAATATATTTTACATTGGTAAGGCCCCCATTGTCATTGTCCATTAACTTTAACGTGTTTGTTAAAAAATCAATGCACACAAAAAAATATAACATCATTTTCACCTTCTCATTTTGACATTCGACTAACTGTTGTTGCAATTCAAGCTTATCTTTCGTCATTATCTATACAAAAAATTTAAAAGGACTCGAATATATCTTGAGAATCTTCTGCATAGGTCACTACCTCGATTCGTTTTTTTAAAAAACCAATTTTCATTTTTGGTTGTTTTTCAGTAACGCAAAGCGTATTTTTGTAACGATGCAAAACCAAGGTGGTCAGTGTAAGGCGATAGAGACTCCGCACTCAACTAACCAAAAGAGGCAGTTTCGTTTACAAACCCAAGCTACAGACAACACAGGTAAATATATGTATACAAATAAATACATATAGGCTTGCTGTTAAGTCATACCTGGTTGAGGATTACTGACGACGAGGCCACTAACAGCTTGGAAAATTGCAGTTCAACTCCACCTGAATGTACAACATTGAAAAGACATTTAGTAAGCTACACGAAGAATTTCTTTGAGGACATTGTAAGCACATATGAATGTCTACATTTGCAATGTCTTATTATGTGTGAAAGTCATGAAGTGTCTACAAACGTACAAAACAAAAACTTCATCGCAGAATATGATTGTAATGCAGTCTGTAAAGAAAAACAGCATTTCGGGTGTTCACCTGCTGTTAGATTAGGCACTGATGCATGTTCAACCCATTCTTCTTTAGGCAAGGCAAACACAGAGTCTCTGGCTCTCTTCATCAATGACATCGTGATTTCTTCACCTACCAAACGTGTGGTATCAGCAACAGCCATGACACTGTTAAGTACAAGTACACAATTACATATTTTCAAACAATGTAAGAAATTCAAAATGATTAATCAGGTGCGTAGAAAATGAATTACAAAGCACAGCATCAAGAAATAGTAAAGAGCTCAATTTTGACTTAAAGTTAATTGATGATGCATTCATACGTAGCTAGAATGTTAATTAGGGGTTTATTCATGTATTCAAAAAGATCAATTTTGACTTAAAGGTAATAGATGATGCATTAACAGGGACATATGTAGCTAGAATGTTAATTGGGGAGGATGTTTATTCATGTATTCAGTTGCGACAGACCAAATTCTCAAGAAAGCCAATTCACTCTCAAAGAAATGAGACCCCTCCCCACCAATTAATATTCCTGCAATATAGCTATAATACATCCGTGCATATTAATGTATAACAATTTTCTAGTGGTGCAGGCCTTCATTTGGTCGTCATTTGTAGGAAGAATTAACTTTAAAGCATTCTTATAAACTGCATCAATTGCATGGACCTTCTATTGTTTTATGTGCTATGGAGGTTCAAGGGTTTGATGGACCTTCGAGTGTACACGCATTAAAATTCAACAAAAGGAAAAAAATAATAACGTAGATCTCACATCATATACTTGATACCTTGTCAAACTATCCTTGTGAATAGCTTCGTAACATAATGGACATTTTCGCCATGATTTACCACTCTGTCAACAAAAGATTTTCAGAAGTTAAAACCTCAAATCATTAAAACTTTTATCAAAACCAAACTATTTCTTACCAAAGACAAATAATGCAAGATACAGGACCAGCAATAGATATGTCCACATCTAGTCATTTGTGCTGAATAAATGTTCATTCAAGAAATCAATAACAATGAGAATGGGTTTTGAATTCAAACACCAAACAAATAGAAAAAAACAAATAACAAGCATAGGTTGAACACATAGACATTAGCCATGGGAACAAACATTACAAGGTGCCTATAAGTTAGCAAAAAAACTTGTAAGCAAATATTTGCCAATCTGAAACTACCACTACCGTAGCCAGCACGCCTATTTAGTCCTGCTTTTTCATTTTTCTGTGTTCACTCACTGTGAAAACAAAAGATTTCTGAAGAAAAGAATCGTGATGTTCTCAAGCTTACACAGCAGGTACAAAAGTAGCAGGCTGGCTATGTCACTGAAAATTAGAACAGGTCCACACGTGCATTGAGAAATGGAATTAAAGAATAGACATATAGATATAGAAACATGAAAAAGCAAAATGTTTAAATACCAGCAGTTGGAGGATAAAGACAAATTGGACAAAATGGCATTTCTCGACATCGCACACGCTACAAAAAAAAACAACACAATGGGTTGTAGCCAATTGCTCAAATAATCATGTTAGAGAAAAAGATGGACAAATATAATTTTATTTTCCAAAGTTCAGTTGAATATAATTCAATCACAAAGTCCAAACGCATTAATAAAACAGCTCAGAGATGACATGTATTACTACTGTATATAGTTATTATTATTTCCATCCTACCACTTGTTTAATGAGATCCCAATCAACAATGACATCAGGATTTACACAATTGACAGCATAATCACCACCTTCCTTGATCACAAACTGACAACTACAAACATGTAATGAATGCCAAGTCGGTAAGTACTCCTCTAATAAACTTTGCAAAAACATATTTCCTACTTTGCCTGTATAAATTGTTCTTTATTGAATTGGTTCCATTTGCTCGTGGCTGTGTGTTTTCCTGAATGCCAAGAATGCCGAGTATGGTGAAAAGAAGTGTATGTAAAATTCAATAGATGATTCAAAGATGTAGAATTTTTCTTTGACGTGAGGCAGAAATCATAGTCAAGTTGCATTTCATCATCTTCAACAGAAACCTGAAACAAGCAAAATACTTTGGCTTTAAAGTGATTAGCCTTTCTAAATTAAATAACATATAGTGGCTTACAGGATCATATTTTGCAGTTTGTTTCAGCCCTTTGGCAGCAGGGCGTTTGTCGGTGAAGTGTCCATTCTTTTGGGGATTGAATGTATTCTTTGTCCTGTGTTGTCCGGGACTCACATTCTTGGGATTATAGCCACAAGACAATCCTCCTTTGATGAACTTCTGAGGCCTTATCTGGCCATTTTTTCCTTTTGCCAAAGACTTTGAATTATTACCTGAACAGTTAACATGAACGTCTAGTTTTGCTTTATCCCAAAGGCATTCAAGTTATGCCACTGGCTAATATAAAGTCTATAGATTACAGAAGCACACTAGAATATGGAAAATACAAGTCGAAATCCACTTTGTAATATTGAGCCATGACTGTGCTGTGTAAGTTGGTAGGTATGTCCTATGAAATACTTGAACATTCAATATACGATTCAAGCAATTTTAAACAGAAATTGGTGCAGCACATGACCTTTTTAACAAAATACTGAAAAGATTATAGTGTTCTTTTTTAACTTTAAAAGAAATAAAATGCAGATTAACATTCTTGTGCTGGTACCGGTAGCAGCATTTGACCTTTCACTTAAAAATTAAAGTTTCCCTTTTAGCAAAAAATCTTTTTTGAATGCAATATTTAATCTGGTGTGATTTCCAACATATCAGTGAAGAAAGTTTTTAAGTTTGTCCAATCATTCCATTTTTATGAGTGCTTAAATTTGCCAAAAATGCTCCTTTTAATAGACCTTGTCTGTTGTCCAAAAAGTTTGAAACAACTTACTTCTGTTTTCATGCCAGGGATTTCTCAATACAAGATAAATATCAACTACATTGGATGACGTCAGAATTTGCCTTTATCAAGACTTCATGCCACAACAGACAAGGTCCATTGAAGAGCAACTTTACACCACCATAACAAAAACGATTTGACCAAATCAAAAAGTTATTTCACCAATACGTCAGACATTACACTCAGTTTTGATATCGCAAAGAAAAGTTTTTGCTGATAGGTGCACTTTAAGTTTGAAACAATAAGGCCATGTTAAAGAAAATTTTTATCACAGGTACTTCGAAGGAAAATTGACATTATAGTCAAGTAAACAATGAACAAATGCAATGAAAAGTATCTCCCACAAAGATCTACAAGCAACAAGGCTTGCAAACGAAAATTTGCTTTGCTGAGGTACATTAAAGTTGAATGGAGGTAAAATTCTATAGGGGGTTGTTAGCAAACAGAATTCATCCAAAAATCAAAATGTGGAGAATAGGGGTAGCAATAATGAAGATAGAAATAAAAACAAAATCGGAATAAAGACATTTTCATAGCATTACAAATACACTATGGCTCAGGTATTAAGTCCTTGTGTGTCTTTTTAAATATTTGACACAATACATTTTTGGCAACACAGTAAAATATACATGTTCAACTAATTTCTAATTGAACATAATATAGCAACTTTGGCAGACTGAAAATGTAGTTGTCCATAATATATGTGTATGGGGTGGTGGTGGTGGTGGTGGGTGTCTACAGTACAAGTCTGCAATTGCCCATTTCTTGAAACATGTTCGAATAAATTATTTATCAAGTTCTTCAGAAAAGTTGGTCAATAACTGGATTGTACAACACTCTTTGCAAAGTAATATAGTCTTTAGCACCTCTCACAATGAAAAACAGAACACATTCATTCCAGCAGTTTTTGTAACTACTTGTTTTACAATTGAAAAGTTATCATCCGGGAATATTAACAAAACAAAATGGTGAAATCGTTACTTTTTAGTTTTCACCATTGAACACAATTACCTTGCCGTGGACGTGTCGGCGAGTTGTTGGATTGTTTTGAAGGGCGAATTGACTGACTCACTCCTTCCATATTTCGCATGCCGTCTCCCATACACCAGAAAGCCCAATGACTTGAAAGTCGTTGCACTTTGAATCTCCGTAAACATGGCTTTTAGCATTCCATACTCGACACAAAATGGTTCAAAAAAGGGTTCAAATCGTAGATTTTCTTGACAAAATAAAGATATTCGTCTACTAAGTTACGTAAAGATTCGATGGAGCTGACGATGCCCCGTCGAATTAGCAGAGATTGCCCAAACAATGGGCAAACTTTTCGAGCAAATAAATTTTCTAGGTACCGGCAGAAACTCGTAGCATCGGTAGCAAAATGGCGCAGGAAGACATAACAAGAGACTGGGTTTGAGTGATTGCGTCACTGCGTCACTGGTTTGAGTTCAATATATATATAATGGGGATCGAAAAACCAACTTCGGCTGGCAGGCAGGGACTGCAGAGCTTGTCTAACTGAGGAGGGGGAGGGAGGGAGAGGAGAGCAGCATCAGGACATACTCTATATGAGAGACGCTGAATTTTACTCAATGAATTGCATGTCCTTGGAAAAACTCGCCCTTCCTCCAAATCATCACAACCTTAAAACGTAGTTTTGAAACATTGCAAACTGGTATAGCATTTTACTGAATTATTATTCCATTTTCATAGAAACGACAACTTTACCAAATCAAAGATGCATGGGGTAGTTATTAAATGCCTTTAGTTGACTTTAGCTAAACATGCACCATCAGAATAATAAAATGTACACAATTTTCCCATACAAAAAAATATTTAAAATGTCACTATTAGGTAGTGGTTTTATTCATCGCATTGTTCGTGTGAGAATGTGCAAAGTTATATGTATTTGAGTTCTGTACCAGAATGCAAAGCGTTTCTTGCTTTAGCCACAGTGATGATGTAACATCAACTTTCGCCAAGAACGGAAACGATCCATTTCAAGCGATGAGAATTTTCGCAGCGGACAAAAAATTGCAAAAAATGCGTGAATTTCAGTGTTCGCCATGTTGTGTATATATATATATATATACATATATATAAATAATGAACGGCATTTGAAACATTTTGCCGCCTGTACACGTATCATCTAGTAGAAAAAATAAGAATTGGTCAGATACGTTTCAGTTACATATAAGATCACTTTGACATCAACTCTTGAAACGTCGACAAAGAAAAATGGAAAAAAAACCAAAAGAAGGCTCACTTACTTTAAAATTACCTAAAATAAATACTGCCTTCATAAGCTCTCAGCTTTTTCCTAAAACAGAAATGACGCCAACAGTCTAAAACACGAAGTTTTCTTTTGACTCAATCAGGCTTCAATACCTTCTTTTTTCGCTTCTCTTTCTTCTTTTTCTTCTTCTCCCCATCTTCCTGTTTTTTCTTTAAAATGATGAAAAAAGCATTTTGAAATCGCAATCTCTTAAAAATGGTAGGAATAATTGGTTTAAAATTTTTACAGGAATGGTGCAAAAAATTTTAGGGGGGTGGGGTGAACAGGTAAGGTAGTGACGTAAGACAAAGTAAGGGTCTAGATTTTAGGAAAACTCAGAAAAACTCAGTTCAACTGCACTACTGCTTAGTTTTGCTAAAAATTGGGGGAGTTTAACGATTCTTAGAGGATGAACAATCTATTAATGGGGGTTAAATATGATGTTTGGGGGTGGTACTCCCAAGAAACTCCATCCATGAGTGAAGTCAATTTGAGCTTCGACATCTTACAGATTTCTTAGACTTTTTTTCAAGTGTTCCTTCTTGACTCTTTGGTTTTTCTAAAGTGATCAACACCAACATTTGAGTATGGGAATGCAACATAAGTATGTTTAAAGTAAATGGTTTGAATCATTTACTTTAAACATGCTTATGTTGCATTTCCATACTCAAATGCAATATAAGTATGTTTGCTAAGTAATTATGCTGATCGAATAACCAAGTATCACTAAAAGTCTTCTTGGTTTTACACTATATTTAAACTTGAGTCTACACATATATTTTACTAATTTTAGGTTAGTGTCTTCATTAACAGAGATCTGATGTTAATATTCCAATTAACTCTTAGAGTTCTTTAGAAGTGATCTTATTATTGCATTGTTAAATATTTCAGGGCAATACCCTGATCAAGAACGATCCTTTATTGAAACTTTTAAAAACTTCACAACTTTCTTCAATGTGCACTTGTAATTTATGCAGTACAAGGCACAGAAACACCATGAACAAGCACTTGTTCTCACCTTCGACAGCTTTTCCATCGATATGATCTTTTTTATGTTTTTTGTGTTTATGTTTTTTCTTTGAAGGCTGTTGATTAACAAACTTGAATTGATCAGGAACCTGAAAAGTACATGGCATTAAAACAAACTATCAAAAGAATACATGATTCAACATTAATATTGAATGATATAAATAAGAAAACAGCTAGCAAATGAAAAGCAAAAAGGAAGAAAGCAACTTAGTTTTACAGGGCCAGGGTTCAGGCGAAATCCAGCCAGTTGATGACCAGATACGGGAACCAGTTCCTTCCCACCAATGGGTGGTTTGTTTATTAGAGCTTGAAGACTGTAATAAACAAGAAATCATCATAAATGCAAATAATAATTATGAGAAATGATATTAAAACTTCTTGTTTTTAATTCAGTTTATAAAACTATGTCCTTATATTTTGTCTTTCCTTCTGGCAACAATAAATGTTAAAGAGTGCCTAGTTCTTTGTCTTTTAATCAGTACTATCAGGACTTGAACACATCCTCTTGGTTAACATTTTACATGGTACACAGACAGCTTTAATTCTTTGTTGTCCATTAATCACAATGTAAATACCCTGAAACAATTGTTGATGAAAACTACAGACAAAATTTTATACCCCTCATTCGCATTCCCTGGTACATCAACAAGACCTAAAATATATGCAAAGAATGAAGTGCTTGACAATTTTAATACGCAGAACTGAGAAAAATATGCATGATTACCGGGGAGGTGAGTAAGAAATGAGCTCAAGCTTTCTTTTGTTTTTCTTCCAAAAAACTTTTGATATGCCTGTTCCATACCATGTTCGACCAATAAATTGGCGCTTCCTGTCTCTGCCTTTGTATCATCTGTGAAGAATAAGAAAAAATACCCTTGTACGGCAAAATACATCTGTCACATAAAATATGATCCTTTAATCCATTAGCCTCCAGCTCAGTGAAAATAAATAGCTTCACCAAAAGTGATGCGTAATTGAAGCTTGAATGCCTCGGTGGGTCCTCCTAAGCTAATGTAGTCATTAGAACTAATTTGATATGTAAAACTTACTTTTGTTTTAAGGTTTTATACAGTAGGAAATACTGACATAATACAACTATACTTCTTGAATTTATATCATTCCATATACGTTCATCCTTCTCAATATGAATGATCCAAATACATAAATGTATTCACCAATTTAAATGAACTTAAATTAGTAAATATTTTAATAATTATTATTATGATGACTTACTAAACTTTCATTGTCTTCTCTATTATCGCATCAAACCGAAAGCACAATTATTAATTGTCAATTACGTACAATCGAAGTAAAATTTTAGATGCTTTCACAGGCTAAACAAAATCCATCGGTAATTCGCATGAATCATTAACGCTCATGTTTTAAGCTTTTTTCACAAAGCAAAATAGAAAAATGTATACCTAAAGTATCATCAATGTTATGATAATAGAATTCTGTTAACGTTTGACATGACTTGGTGGTCTTTGTCACCATATTACTAGTAGCTGTAGGTTGGCATGTCTCTGAACCTTCATTAGGATTTATTGTTTTACCCTTTGTTACTGTTCGCTTACGCGACGGCGACAAATTCAAATCGTTTGTAGAAGAAAATGAACTATCAAAGCCGCTCGATACCTCCATTTAGTCGCCATTTGTAATTTCTGCTCCAGTTAATGTAGAGATCAGTGACGGATTGAAAAGTTGCTGCCATGGTGATGTGATGGCGCATCATGGCGCACATGGAGGCGCACATGGAGGGAACTGTAACTTACCAATTACCATGAAAGTTGGAACATTACGGTAGGAACTTACTATCAAAAGTAAAAAATGCGAAGCTAACTCAATTCAATGCCTTTATTTATTCTGACAAGAATTTCTACTTAATAAAGAAAGCTTTTTTGCAAACTAAGCATGTGCATTTCGTTCTTTGGCAGGCTATGTCTAAAAGGCATACACATCTTCGAAAAGTTATGGAAAAGTTGTCTTTTTAAGGAAACAAAAATTTTTTTTCATCACACAGTTTTCTAAATCCCATAAAAATTTCTAATTATTAGTTAAGCAAAATTCTCGCATTCCCGGTTATCCACCCCTCTCCCTATTTTCTAACAATTTGTGTTATACATTACCGAGTTACAAAGTACGGACAGTGTGGTGGCCAACACGTACGTTGTTGTGTAAATTACTGTTCGTTAGCATTTCGCAACATATTGTTTATTTGTAAGGCTCGATGAACTCAGATATATCTACGTAACATAAACACATAAATGCTCTCTTTCAAGTAACTGTATTCTCTCTTCGCAGGATTTTGAAGGTAACCATAATCACATGGACAAACTTTGATTCACAATGTCATTTTGGAAGAACATCGCAGTCGCGGTTTACGCGAACATGGAATAGACAAGAGATGCTCGACCACACATTAAATGGCTCAAATATCATGTTGACATGTATGCATAAAAATTATGTTCGGGCTTCGGTCGTAATCATTTGATTAACCAAAAGATCACTAGTGACAAGTAGAGAAAACTCCCGTATCATTACAAAATGCAAAGATTTAGAACAAGAAGATCTGATGTAATTGGTAAAAATTTTATTACTATAGAACTATCATACAACGTAAATAAAAAAGCTTTATAAGTTTGTAAATTAAGTAGCACGTTAAAATATATGTAACGAGTACATCCAGTCGCTGTTGTCTTCAATAGCACATAGAATGACATATGAAGCAAGTCATGGCTAGTTACCTGAAACATGTTTTCAAATTGTAACAATAAGTTTACATTACTTTGGATCAATAATGACTGTCATTGTTTTTTGTATAAATAAACGACATTATAAGTCATAAAAAGCATCCTTATACTCACCGTAATCATGGCAGCTGTTACAAGTTTCAGGGCACAACTTTCTCGTGCCTTTCATTGCTTTGACAAAGTTACAGTCTTCTTTAACGGCATCCCCACTGCAAAGATCTGTATCTATGTCTTTGCATGCTAAATACAAGTTGAACAAACATTCTTCAGTAACATACTTGTTTCAAACGACACTTAGAGCAAACATTTCAAATACTTACGAGGACAATTGCTCTTATCGATATCTTTCGCCTCGTCACCATTCCAACAGCAACCAAATGGGTATTCCTCAGGGCACCGAGGAGGAGCAAACTCTGTGAAGTAGGAATCGAAATGAAATGATGTGATGCAACGATTGTACATACAAAAAGTTATAGACTGATGAATTTTTTTGTTTGGTCGACAGCCGTTATAATTGCTTATAATTAACAACGGTCAACGACTTACGAGGGCATTCTCCACACAATCTTGGGCATTGACTTTTAATAACATCATATTGGCAATCTTTATTTCGGTCGCGAGATTTGCATATATCATCATCTTTCCTTCCCGAACAATCGACGCCTTAAATTAAAGTTCAGATGTATTATTGAATCAACTTACACAGCATGAAATTGGCTATAAATTTCAGTGGCAGAAAATGAACTTACGGCGAAATGAAGGACTGTTGTTGTTATTCAAAAAATCTAACAAAATATGGTATAAAATAATTAACAATCAGCCTTCGCTTGTTTGCCTAAATGGTTTTAGTAATTTTGCAAGTTTATACATAGCAGTTCTGCTCTTTCTACATCTTTGTGAAACAAGTGCAAAATGCAGAAGTATGAATACATATCTTACCTGAATCAAGATAATACGCCGACACAGCATAACAGGCAAGGCTCAAAAGCAGAATCTTGTACATACAATACATGATGACTTTATAACAGTTTCACAATTGATGTTTCCTACTGTACTGATCACTTGTTGATTGCAAAACTCTGAATGAATGAATGGTTCTGCACGAAGCTTCTTTTATAACAAGTTTACCGGAAAATCGTCACATCATGCATAAAGGGGCCGAGCGACATCGAACGTTACAATGGCGTAGGTGTTTTCCCTTTGCCAAGTGGCATCGTGCTTTCTTTTTTACCAAAAATAATTTTGTCATGCCACGTGCTTGACTTCAGTCAATTCTATTTTCGATTTTTGTTGTAGGAACGTGTACGAATGCCAGTCATTAAGATGACAGTTGACATTTCATATTTGTTCACCCATGCGATATACCCCGGTCTGTTCAATATGGTCAATTAATATCAGACATACGTAACATTTATTATCATAATTTTTCAAATACATTTGAAACATCCACATTCAGGTCAGTATGAAATACATACATTTTGCATGGTTTCCACGGTCATATTGATGTATTTAAAGTAAACGATCACTGTCTCTCGCTGTAATCATTGCACGCCCCACACCACAGTGGACAAAGCTGTCGGGTGTATAAACTGTTCTTTTCATGTAAGTCGCAATCTTTTAATATAGCCTTTCTGGCACAGATGCGGTCGCTTCTATTTCTGCAAGCTAGACAAAAACAAAGGGCTCGTCATTAGTAAATACTCGTCTGGAAATTTCAGCAAGTCATTGAGACAAGGAGTCAATAATTCAAGGATTAATTAACCGTTTAACCACATACAAAACTATAACTTTTATAGAATAGGGAGGTTATAAGATCTTTCGTATCAAAACTGTTCTGTCCTTCGTAAAAATCTATGATGAATGAGAACTTTTGATACTAGCCTGTATTACAGAATACGAGTATTGCCGGAGCAGTCAATTGACGGGAGTTGGGTGCATGTATGTTCATATATTTATCAAAAGAAGTCAGTCGCGCACAACGGAAAATGTGAATAACCCCCTCCCCACAATTAACGCCCTAGTTACGGCACTGACGACTCCTGTTTAGTAAACCATTCAACTAGCCAGCCCGTAAAAATATCCCACTACGCAAGTTTTGATATTATTGTTTTCAAATTATCATTTAGTTCAGGGGTCTCCAAACTTTATAGCCGGAGGGCCACATGAACTTTCATCCAGCATGTTGAGGGCCGAAGAATATAAAAAATTTCCACGTTATCCTTCAGCTTTTTAAATTTCGCAGTGTGCTTGAAACGGAAGTAGGGAGTTGGGAGAAAAATTGACGTAAGCCACCCAAGCTAGTTGGCTTGCGACATAACGTGAACTTTCTGCACAAAATTTATTTTGTTTAATAATATTATTATTTTTGCTGAAGTGCCTCTGCGGGCCGGATTGAGAAGCCCAACGGGCCGCATCTGGCCCACGGGCCGTAGTTTGGAGACCCCTGATTTAGTTCTTTGAAAAGTGATTGTTTTCACAGTATTTGCATAACAGGAGTTAAAAATCGAGCTGGCTAAAAGGCCACTGCTGACAACATACGAGGACAATTAGACTTCTCTTGATCCAAAGCCTCTGTTCCATCAAAGCAGCAACCATATTCATATGACGATGGACATATGGTTTTTTGTGGAGCTATATAAAAAAAGGAATACTATGTATGTCAAGGTCCGCATTTCGAAATATATTACGTTTTTATTTTCTCTACATCCAATCAAATTTAACATTATTTCCCGTAAATTTTGGCTAGTTAGTGGTTAGGATAATATATTTGATTCGCGTCAAATAGAAATTCGGCAAAAATGACCGTTACTATTGCGTGTACAAATGCTTCTTGTGTGTCTTCCAGAAGACTCGCACGATGCATAATGACGTTTGTTTGTTTTAGTTCAGCCAATTGCATGATTGAATTCGTCATTGATTGTGAGAGAAACTATTTTATTCTTTATTAAAGTTGAAGGAGCCTTCTAATTTGAAATGAACAGGCCATTCAAAATGAAACAAAGAACTCGTGTTTAACTAAACACGATACTTACAGCAAAATCCGCACGTTTTTGAACAGAGTTTGCGACCAATATCTTGCTCGCAACATCCGATTGATTTCCAAAACCAGCAATAACGACCAGTGTCTCGACAACCTTGGTCTAAATAACGAAAAAGTATTAAATGCGTGGGAAAAAAACGGATTGACAGGGTTTGGGTTAATCTGAAAAAAAACCAGTTGCTTCTCTGGCTTGATGAACTTGAACAACGTGTCATGCGTACACAAAAGTATTTCTTAGTTCAAGGACATGGGTATTTCCATATCATATGCAAAATAAGTATCATGCTCTGTGTAAATGTAAAATCTCCAACGATTTAGTATTTTTTAGGTAAATCAGGCAACGCTATCATTTGTAAATTGTTTTTCATACATCATAATCTAGCGAGTATAAGTCTTTTTAAACAAACTTTATGGAAAGGATCAAGTCAAGATGAAAGTAATTGCCATTTGACATAACTAAATGCAATGAGTACAACGTCAAGGATCGTAGCGAAATCACTGGCGATTTGACCGAGCATCTTCTCAGACGATGCTACAATAGCACGAGATGTCCACTCGAATCAACGGGAAACGTTTAACTGAATGTCGTTTGATTTGATTTTTTTTTGTCTTCAAGTAAAATGATATAAATAATACGCGTCGATCTGCATAATAACGTCATTCTTTTGTCGTTATATCAAAGCCGTTAGACAGTGTTCGTTAGACTGATTCGAAAATCGAACCATGAAAAATAGATACAATTTGCGTACTACAAATGTTGGCACAAAACTGCACTATACAAACATACAGTCTGCGATGCAGGCTAGCACAAAACGCGATGCGATCTTGTAATTTTCATTTGGCGATTTGCCTGTCTCGAACTTTTTCACGTAAAATTTCAAGACATGAAAATGTAAATAATTTTGTCATGTCATAATTTACTTTTGCGAAATAACTGATATAGTTGTATCACTTGTAGAACAGTGTAAGTATGAAAAAGGAATAATTTGCTGATTTAGTATAATTTGAATGGCTTTTAAAGAGTTGTAACGATATCGATAGATATATCGTTCAAGGGCGTATGCTACTATTCTACCGTTAAAAGGCAAAAGACGTCACACAGACTAATTAAACTAATAGCCTTTGTTCTTAACCTCAATAGTGCGATACTTTAACAAATGCAAAACTCATATTTATCTCCTAAATAGTCGTGCTTAACTCTTTGTTATCTGCACAAAAATACACGACTAAAAGTTTGCATTTTACTGCGAAACATTGCCAAGCCATGAATAACCGCTTGAGTTAAACCCTCCCACGTTGCTGGATAAAGCTTTGCCAAGTTATCCCACACATCAATAAACACGTGTTTTCTTAGATTGTTAAATAGACAATATTGTCGATATGGTCAAAACAATATGGTTGATTTCTTCTTTAAATGAAAATGACGAAGCCACTGGTCAAGTGTTTAGTAAATTTATCGAAATACTTACGGGCACAGATATCTCAAATAACTTTAACAAAAACGAGTAAAAAACACTTGGCTTATGTCATGCTGCTTTTTGGAATCTGTCGCAATTAGTCAGTTAGTCAAAAATTGTAAACAGTCATTAAATGTGTCGGTTGGCATAGCGTGGGTAAGTACCGCCCAAAGATATGTTTAACAGGTCAGCGAAGAGAAGTAGATAACGGTAAATAAGCTGACCAATGTTTCAAAATTATACGTCCGTATTTTAAAAGCTCACTCACACTTACTCTTATTGAGTAGGGCTTCATTATCATTTGAATATACAGTAGTTTTACTCCACTGATTGCTTGATTTGAAATATGTCAAAAAAAGCCACTTCTAATTGACGGAGAAATAACTTTGTCATTGATTAGTGGGGGAATGCGAGTGAGTAAATGTGTCAGTAAATGTGACACTGTGAGTGAGGGGTGAACTTTTAGAACGCAGGCGATAGTCTTCACAAGAAGCACGGTTTACATGTCTGGCAGTATCTTTCAAGTGGTTGTCTTGCAGGACTGTAAAAGCCGCTCATTCCATGCTGAGGCCTAAGCCACTAAAGACTACAAGCATCAATACAATTCTATTATACTTCTTAATACATTTCTTATACATGGTAACACAAAGAACGCCGAAATTGCTGTCGTTATGCCCGATGTGTCATTTCTTTTCGGAAACTTGAACTACAAGCAACTGTTAAGTATTACAATTTCATGTATTTGTTGATTTAATGATGTTTGCAATCGCGATTTCAAACATTGCTTTGAAACTAGGAAAAGAAATCACTTGCGAAAAATGGAATAAAGTGAAATGAAATACACACGTGTAATTCAAAACACTCTTAATTCGATTTATTATAACCCAGTGAATATTGTTCAGCCGCTGTAACACGTGTCGCGGGCGGCTATCCACAAAAGCAACTTACATTTCCCACTTGATATTGGTCTCCATGTCGCTTTCTTAGACGGTTTTCTTTTCGTTTTGTAGGTCGCCTTGTCATTATATCTGTCTATTACGCGAAATAAATTCACAATTTAAAATCATTTTTTGTATTAGAAATTGCGAATGTATAGTAATGTGGCTCAAAACTATATACAATGTGGCATTTCATATTCTCGAAATGGCAGTGGTATTACGGTATATTAGTGTATATTACGGTATCAATGTTAAGCTGTTAATTCGTTTTCCAGACGAACTGAGGTTTTCGTAGTTTTAATTATCGCAGTAAAGAGGGGGCGAAAGCCTCACGCTGCAAATAAATTTTATCCGGTCTGCTATAGCAACTTTTGCTTTAACTTTAGTTTCGGCGACACTAAAGATTAATGTTCAAAATAGAATTTAAAAAAATGAAGACAAAACTCAATATAAGTACCATTTCGTGAACTATAGCTGGTCTTTTCAACGACTGTTTCTTGCGGATATGTTACTCGCCCTCAATATCAAAAAAAGAACAATTACAAAGAAAAACTGGAAAGACTAAAAAGAAGAAAGCTAGCATCTCACGATGCAATATTTTCCCCTTGATATATACCAGAGCTCGCAGAGTATTCGCTGAATCTGGATCTCGTCCGAGGACCTAAAGGAGAATGCATAACTTATAAACAAAGGCGTCCGGGACGGGGGGAAATGACGAGGGTGCCAACTCCCCCCCCTCAAAAAAAAAAAATTTAAGCAAAGTAACTCTAACGTCTTAGAGTTTTTGACTAAATAAGCTAAAATACCAATTCAGTTTAGCAATAGTTGAAGACAAGCGTACCCTTCAAATACGTTCTTGTCTCTCGTCTGAATGGTACGTTAGAGTGTGTATTCCAACCTTTGATACAAATTTGATACAAATTTGTTAGCAATGATTCAAGACCTAACATGTAACATAAACTCATATATACATGAGATAAGGAAGATTGAGAAAAAACTTTAAGCTCGCAAGGTGATCGAATGGTATTCGAATTTCAAGGGACATAAGTAATTTATCTCACGAACAAGTCGACGCAGAACCCTCCCCCCTCTCCAACAGCTGTTACTGTAATCAACTGTGACCAACTGGACATGGGCATGGTTTTAAAGTGGAACGAAAGGATAAGGGGGTAGGGGGGTGACTACACTTGTAAAGCAAACCTGATTGTTGGTTGTGATGATTTGCAGTATTCTGACGTTCGCTGTAAGTCGACCAATGTCTGTAGGATTCAGTGTCACCTCGACGTCTATGTGCTAAAATATATTAACAATTTAGTCATCCATTTCATTTTTCCCTAATTCTTTTTCTCTGAAAGTTAATTCTCCGTTAAGCATTTCGTTTAACCCTATTGATCCCATTCTATCCATGCAAAACAATGGATATAAAAGGAACTTAATAAATAAGGCATCCGTGAATGTCCCCCAAACCATCGTATTCTACGCCGCTGCCATTAAATATAGAGCAGGTGAACGAATGAGTTCAAAAAAGTCGAAAGAAGTTTTTCCTCTCGTTCCAGGCTCCCACAAGCTTCTTATCTTGAAACTATTTCCCCAAAGACGGACATAGTAGTTATTTTTTCACTAATAAGCAGTTTTCGAATCAAAGCCATTTTTCATCTGGTCTTAAATGACGTCAATAACGTCCATTGTGAAGTTTCACTTTCTCAATTTCGTAAACCCTCGATATCTTGACTATCCTCGTTCTCAATCTCAGCGAGCCTTGGCTTAAATATGCCTTAAAGTATGCGAGCAAAAACCTTAACTCAAGTAATATCAACTGTGTTCGTACGAGTAATTTAAGCTTGAAAATACAACTTGCAACTCTGCAATATAATTGGACTACTAACTTTCTTATGCGAACACGGCCTCAACCCAATGATTTTGAAACCAAAACCGCGTGAAGAAATTCGAGGATTGGAAGAACAGAACAATAGTTTATTTTACTATTTTACAAAATGTTTCAGTGATCAAGACGTGTTAATTTTGACTGTTTAGCACAGAATGAGATTAGCAACCCACTAACAGTTGTAAATTACATTCTTAAAATGAGGTTGAATGAGTTTGATGAAAGAAATTATTTACACTGCATAAAACCAACAATGCTTCGTGATAGCAAAAGTTTAAACAGGGGCAAAAGAGGACAAGAGAGTTTGACATTTTATAAAGGTAACTGGATAATATAAACAGACTCAAAAAAGATGATTATTTTGACGTCATTATGCCGAACGATAAATTGATACAAATCACTGATAACATTCCCTTGATGTTGTTAATTGTCATCGACAATATAACTGAATGATAAGCTTAATTTCTAGGTTAATAATATGGCTATACGTACATTTCGGAGCTTCGGGAACTTCGTGAACTGAAACGACAGATGAGTGGTCATCTCTTTTATGAAAAGATTTCTCCTTTTGGAAATAATCTAAAATCAAGAAAATAAGACATTTCTCTTATTTTTAATAATTCTCTTTTTAAAAATATGCTAGTATACACACTGGTCTTACTTAAAAACCTCTGAATCAATGTCAAATTTTAACTTTGATAAAAATAACGGAAATTTCTTTATTTAAATGGCAAAATTTGGTACTTTGCAAAAATTCTACCGTCAGATTGTTCAACATTAACCAAGCTCTTTTGCAGGAGATAAAGTTTGTTTCAAAAAGACCTACAGCTCTTTTGAGCGAAAATCACAAGTTAAAATCCAAAACTGTATTTAGAATATGACTGAAACCATGAAGTCATTGAGTCCAATCGTAATTTTATTTTACCCCAAACTCATTTGAAATGCTCCTGTAAACATGAATATCGAAGAGAGATGGGAAAAAAACAAAATATTCGTGGGAAAAGAAATTGAAAAGTATCTTACCATGACGGAAACATTGCGACTCGTTTGCCAGAAACAACAAGACAAGTACTAACACGCCACAACATAAACAGCTCATGTCAACACAGTGAGCAAAGTTTTAATGCTTTCAAATGATGTACTTCGTCCACCGGGCAAAAAAGAACACACTATTTCTCTAACATGAACAACACAAGCAGTTCGCGTCACTGGTCAAGTTTTTACAATTCCCCGCATTTTATGTGTTGGGTTAGGTCGGTTGGCGACATGTTGATTGACGAAGAAAAATAAAATACTTTGTGATTCAAGGAAATTAGTCCACTTGTCTCGAACACTTCAGTCTGCAAAGGCAAGATAAGAAAATGCACGACAAACCACAAGCAAAGTAGACGACAGACACAGGAGGTCAAACGGACATGATACAAACGTTAAAAAAAGATCTAAGAATTTCCATCACATGAAAGCAAGCAAAATCATATCAATTTAACAACACATGAATTTTGCATTTGCAGTGAATTTGGTACTTCGTCCTTTCTTATGACATCTCACTGTGTTTAAATTCAAAATGAATTTGATTATCTGATCCCCCGCATGGAGTCAAAGCCGGTCATTTTGGCAAAGCGCAATCTACAAGATAATACGCTATAAATTCTGACATCATCATCAATAAAATTATTGCATTTTTCACATTGTTCACCAGCACGCAAATTAGCTAAAGAGTGCGACATAGTAGACTGCGCGGGTTCTCTTTTGGTCCTGGATTCATTACAACCGTGTTATCATAGATAAATTTATAAGTATTGCAGACAATTCTCGTTCTCTGTTGCTCCAAAATTCTTTGCTACCACGTTATAGGTACAATTATAGGTAATGTAAAGAATTTTGTCGTTCTCTGTTTGTTCAGGATTCTCTGCCATGTGATCAGCTCGAAGAATACTGGGGTTTTATGACGTATTTTACATCACTGTAATGATCTCGTTGTTCACTCTTGCCATTAGGAAATATGAGTGTGGAAATCGAAGGACAACAAGATCGTTGTTAGATAAAGCTAACAACTCAGATAATTATGGCAGTGTAGGAAGTAGTGAACGAATAACTTAGTTCGAGAGTGCTCCTTGCTTTATCAACACGGAGAGATAGTAAATTAGTTTGTATGTATCATAGGTATAGCAAGGACCATTCTCGCATTCAGCTATTCGTTCATTACTTTTTACACTAAAAAAAATGATCTGAGTTATTAACTTTATCTAACGACTATCTTGTTGCTTTCGATTTCCAAACTCATATTTCCAAATGGCAAGAGCGAATGAGATCATTATGGTGATATCAAATAGATCATATGGCTTTGCGTCAAGAAGACGAACTCATCGAGCAGTGGCGCATGTTGTGGGAGGGGTTGCAATAGAGCAGTGGCGCATGTTGTGGGAGGGTGGTTGCAATCGAGCAGTGGCGCATGTTGTGGGAGGGGGAGAGGGTGAGGTTGCAATCGAGCAGTGGCGCATATTGTGTGGGAGGGTGAGGTTGCAATCGAGCAGTGGTGCATGTTGTGGGAGAGGGGGGTGAGGTTGCAATCGAGCAGTGGTGCATGTTGTGGGTGGTGAGGTAGAAAACAAAAGAAGTTAGACCGACTAAAACCATGGGCCTTTATATGAAATAAAGACTACTACAAAAAGTCGGTCCCAAAACGTAGAACCCCTTCTCAAGTTTTGTTTGCATGGGCGTCTCCGTTATTGAAATTAATGCTCTCTAAATGCCAGGTTCAGTTAATTGATCGCACTTATCGACTTGTCAAAAAATTACTTGGGGGTTAAAAAGCGCGTGACGCGAATTATTGCGGACTATGTTGGTGTTCAATTTTCCAGTCGAGAATAATCCAAAGAATCAATGAAATGCATGCAATGCAGATGAGATGATTTTTTTTACTTCAATGGATCATATCTATCAACATGTTCAAGTAAATTATCGAAGAAACACGTGCATCAAAACGTCAGTATTGCAAGTCACTGAGTGATCGTAAGAAGACAAAAACGACTTAATGTTAACAGTTATACGAGTCAATTGTTTACATAGAAATGTAGTTGATGGCAAAATTATTCTAGTTTCTGTTTGAAGTCATTTTTTACTTTTTACGTAAAAATGTAGTTGATGGCAACATTATTCAAGTTTCTGTTTGAAGTCATTTTTTACTTTTGAATTCATTTAACGCGCTGAACAGATTCATTCGGTTTAACCGGTAACAAACGGTAAAAATTTTCCATATTCAGTATTAACTAAGAAACCAGCAAGTGCGTCAGTCTTGCCATGACGCACGGACATAACTCAAAGAGGTGAAGGGTGTGAACGCGTAAAAAATATCTTTGAAAAAAAGGCTCTTCTTAAAGAAAGTGTCTCGTGAAAGTATTTCAACGAACAACAAAACAATCATTTCAAAAAAAGTGTTTAAATTCTGAAATACACATCACTAACGTGGGAAACTCGTTAATTGGGGGGGGGGGCACATATTCATTCATCTACGCATGTCTTAATTCGTAGGAAACAATTGATTTTAAAACAACTTAATACGACAGAACATGAATATATGAAAATGTCCCCCCGACCAATTATCGAGTTTCGTACACCATTGCACAATTACTAAGTCGTAATTTAGATAATCTATAGAAGACGATAAATCATCAAATCTAAATTCAGAAGTAAATTAATACGTTTATCTATAATGTACGTCAGGGATTATGAAGTACAAAAGCTTCATGAATGGCGGGAAAAACTATTCAAATCGATTCCAAAAAAAGGATTATATTCTCACTCGCAGATTATCCGTCGCAGATATGATCGCAAAGAATTTATTGCAAGCAGCCAAACTCACGGTTTACCACGATTTCAGTGCAGAAAATTGATAGTGCTCTCGCAGCGCTCCTCATACCAATTGGACAGCGGCATAGCAGAGGCTCTTAACACCAACTGGTCAGCGGTATTCATAAGACATTCACCATTAACATTAACAAATAAATCATATATTGTTTTGTTTTGCGTGGGTTAAAGCAGGCAGTAAGCCTTCCAGTTGATGGGCATTGCCAGTATCTGAAAGCCATTCCTAGTAAACATGTGGAAACATGTGGAAACATGTGGAAACATGTGGAAACAGGACAAAATGATAGCAGTCATGGAATATAAAACAAATTTGTTTAGTGGAAGTTTGAAAAAATCACAGACAAAAATCAATAACCTGAAAGCGATGTTGAACGGCCGCCTGTAGTTGTTTACGCTGTGATTTTGACAACTTCGAATCACGTACTAACTGATGCCAGTCTTCGACTCGCCTAAAATTACACAACGCACGCACAACTGACTAAAAATGAGATAAAGTCAATTTTTGCTGAAGCCAAGGGAAACAACGAACACAAACAAAGAGAAATTTCAGGAATGCATGATGACGCAAGCGAGCACTATTCGGTTTGTTGAATAAACTTGAATATAGCTTCAATTTTTTGGAAATAAAGTTTTCTGTGACAGGTTTTAGAAAATCTACGATGAAACAAACTCCCATAATGAAAACTGAAGATATGAGTTATGAAAAAAAACAAGACGCAATAATTTCCTTGGTGACTATTCGACTCCAATGACAATGATTCTGAATTAGAGTCGAAATATCACCAATTGATTGACTGAGTTTGGCGTTTTTCGTAGGAGAATCTTTCACTCTATATTCTGTAAAACGAATTTTAGCGTGTTGTATGTTTTACGATCAAATGAATAAATATTTACATAGCTCTATACAACTTTGTTTTAATGATTACTTAACTCACTTTTCGCGAGAAAGAAGAGCAAGTTCATATTTCTCAGGTAACGGAACGGGACATCTCTAAAAACAATGGGAAAATTCGCTGTGATGAAACATGTAAAACCGACTGTATACAAATACATTTAAACATCAATTCAAATGATTATTCGCCTAAAGCAAAGTCACTTGATGTATGAAATTCCCAGCTAAATACGGTCCAGCTAAGTTACCTTCGTTTTCCCTCTCATGTCAAACGGAATGGAAAACGTGAAAAATGCACTTGGGTCCATTTCTTGGAACACGTGACTCTCATCGTCATGACCTGAAACCATGAAAAACTCGTGAAATGTACCCTTAACTTGAAGTTCTCTTTTCTATAACTTTTAAAATTGTCATATTTGGAATGTTATTTCGGCAAATCAAAGACTTTACTTTGGCGCGCAGGTTTCACAATCAATTCGAAACAGAGTATAGAAACTGATTTCAACTCTCAGTAAGCGCTCTAAATGGCAGTTTTCAATGCAAGCCCAAATGTTTCAATGACGCGAGTCCGTCTTAGTCCGTTCCCCAGAAGAAGAAAATAAACCCAGGAGTTTAGGTGAGTTGTTTGAACTTGATATGGTATTAAGCTTTATGGGAAAAAACCCCCAAAGAAATAGACAATGATACGAGAGTCAATAAACTCACCCAGCAACAAAGGATTATTCCATTCATTCACATTCGCCGACAGTCCCGACATCAACATATGAGACTCCAACATTGGATAATACGTGTGATAAGGAGCAAAAGTTAGATTCTCGTTCCCAGTGCCACCAAACAACAATGGCCGCGTCATTGTACAGACGTGGAAGATGCAATCACTACATCCACTGAAATGTATTAAGAAAGATCAATCAAATTAGGCAGCGTAATTTTTCATTGGAAGTCGGAATATATTATTAAACCACCTCAGACAGAAGCAAGGTTTCGTTGTAGAACTTCGCCCAGTAAATTCGCATGCGTGTTGTGAAAATATACCAGCGAATGAGGAAATATGTTTTTTTCGCGAAAGGAAAGCAAAGAACATGCATTTCAGGAATTCAAGCAGTCCAAATCAAACAAACAATGAGAAAAATTGACAAAAAATCTAAGTCTAAAAAGCAAAAACTGCTGAAAGTATGCGCACTGTACCGTTGAAGTCGAAAGAATCAAATGGTTACATTGAAAATCGGTTACTAAGATTACATCAAGACAATGGAACATGTGAAAAAATATTACACTCTTTTACCTGACAGTAAGTCGATTACACATGGCAATTACTGTGACATTTTCACAACCAAAGACATTCACTGTCGTTTTAACGGTCCCCAAAACTATCGTTGAATTGTGACATTTTTCTAATGTCGCTGACCTAAAGACAAATGTCACCTTCACAAAAGCATGGACATTTCGGCAGCAGTAAGACCAAAGGGATGAGGGGGTTGACATACATACCAAACTGGAGCAAGAAGGTATATGTAGGAGTAATGACAACGATGGACTTTTATGTTGATGTCGATTAAATGATCCCCAGCCTAGAAACACAAACGAAAGAGCAAAGTTGGTGAAAATGACTGACCTACAAGAATCGAAAGCAAAAGTCACATCAACTAATAACCTTGGCGATGGTCTGTTTACAGATTTGATAAAGTATCACCAAACGATTTCTAAAATCGACAGATTTTTTCACATAAATCTGCGTCGTGTCGTAAGTAATAATAATACGTACAAGCAATAATCATAAACAATTATACCAATAATGATAACAATAATAAACAATAATAAAAATTACGCACGATCTTTCGAGAGAAAATCTTTTTCTTGTTTGTAGATGTTGATCGTCGAGGTTAGTTAGTGCAGTCGTGAGAAGGACAGTTGCTGTTAACTCTGAAGATAACTACAGCTAGGGATGTCGAAACGTTAGTCAACACTAACACCAACAAGTAGTGAGAAGGACAGTTGCTGTTAACTCTGAAGATAACTACCGCTAGGGATGTCGAAACGTTAATCAACACTAACACCAACAAGTAGTGAGAAGGACAGTTGCTGTTAACTCTGAAGATAACTACCGCTAGGGATGTCGAAACGTTAGTCAACACTAACACCAACAAGTAGTGAGAAGGACAGTTGCTGTTAACTCTGAAGATAACTACCACTAGGGATGTCAAAACGTTAATCAACACTAACACCAACAGTGAGAAGGACAGTTGCTGTTAACTCTGAAGATAACTACCGCTAGGGATGTCGAAACGTTATTCAACACTAACACCAACAAGTAGTGAGAAGGACAGTTGCTGTTAACTCTGAAGATAACTACCGCTAGGGATGTCGAAACGTTAGTCAACACTAACACCAACAAGTAGTGAGAAGGACAGTTGCTGTTAACTCTGAAGATAACTACCGCTAGGGATGTCGAAACGTTAGTCAACACTAACACCAACAAGTCGTGAGAAGGACAGTTGCTGTTAACTCTGAAGATAACTACCGCTAGGGATGTCGAAACGTTAGTCAACACTAACACCAACAAGTCGTGAGAAGGGCAGTTGCTGTTAACTCTGAAGATAACTACCGCTAGGGATGTCGAAACGTTAGTCAACACTAACACCAACAAGTAGTGAGATGGACAGTTGCTGTTAACTCTGAAGATAACTACCGCTAGGGATGTCGAAACGTTAGTCAACACTAACACCAACAAGTCGTGAGAAGGGCAGTTGCTGTTAACTCTGAAGATAACTACCGCTAGGGATGTCGAAACGTTAGTCAACACTAACACCAACAAGTAGTGAGAAGGACAGTTGCTGTTAACTCTGAAGATAACTACCGCTAGGGATGTCGAAACGTTAGTCAACACTAACACCAACAAGTAGTGAGAAGGACAGTTGTTAACTCTGAAGATAACTACCGCTAGGGATGTCGAAACGTTAATCAACACTAACACCAACAAGTAGTGAGAAGGACAGTTGCTGTTAACTCTGAAGATAACTACCGCTAGGGATGTCGAAACGTTAGTCAACACTAACACCAACAAGTAGTGAGAAGGACAGTTGCTGTTAACTCTGAAGATAACTACCGCTAGGGATGTCGAAACGTTAGTCAACACTAACACCAAAAAGTAGTGAGAAGGACAGTTGCTGTTAACTCTGAAGATAACTACCGCTAGGGATGTCGAAACTTCAGTCAACACTAACACCAACATTTTTTCACAAGACTGCACCAGCTCGGACAATCTACTTATACAAACATGTAACGATACTCCCGGGCTCAAACGATTCATCTTCGAAAAATGGTTTCACATTAAAAATGGTGTTCTGTATATTCGTGAACTTCCACCTACCTTGGTGGAGCGTATTTTGTGTTCTTAATTATTCTACCGCCAACCGTGCCACCTTGAAGCGTCGTCTCGTGTTTTTCAGGGTGCTTACATGTCTGTTCTGTTTCTTCGAGACTTTGACTTAAATCCAAGACTAACAATTAAAAATTGAAAAATCTTTCACATTTAATGGTTCGCTCGACAGGAAAGAATCATAAACCCTTCAATTGTAATATAGTAATAAGTGCGAAGATTTTATTGGTCGAGAATTTACGTCACAGTTCACAGAATAGGGACCTCAAGATTTCACGACGCGCGTTACAACGACGCGAGCTTGGCGCGCATGGCCTGGTGCGAATGCGTCCGCGTGTCATTGTAAGTTAAGTCATTAAGATTGGATTTCCTTAACGACGCGAACTTGTGAGTTCACTACCTATACTTTCAAAAAAATGGCCTCCTTCAAAAAAACAAGAAATGCTATAGCTGTTGCGTATGACGCCACTTTGATAAACGAAGAAGAATTGATGAGCAATCACTTGATGATGATGAAAACTGTTCTGCCATTTTCTTGCCTTGCTAAAAGCAAAAATGTAAACATATTTTACTCGCAGATAAATATCAACACATCAATTACATACCAGACTCCACAGACAATTGTAACAGGTGAATTAAAAGCTGAATACTTACTTTAAAACTTTTTTTGTGAAAAATTCCACCTTCGATCTAGGACGACGTGGGATTAAGCAAAGACGCCGCGTAGTAGAAGCACGACAAAACTCCACGACGCACGCACATGCGCATTGGTTTAAAATTCATTTCCGCTCGCGTTGTAGATGAGCGCGTCGTCAAATCTTAAGGTCACTAATGTCAAATTCACCGCAACAAAGCAAGCAATCCAATCCACACTTAAACTTTAAGCATTCACAAGTTAACTACAAAATCACCGCAACAAAGCAAGCAATGAAAGAATGTTTTATGCAGTGCGGTGTTTGAAATTAAATGAAGATATGATCTTCACACTTTGCTGGACAATTTAAGCAATTGTCTCATGAGCCTGAAAAATTCAGGTGACTGAAAAACCCCGTTGAGTCACCTGAATTTTTCAAGTTCATGAGACAATTGCTTAAATTGTCCAGCAAAGTGCGAAGATCATATCTTCATTTAAAAGCAAGCAATCCAATCCACACTTAAACTTTAAGCATTCACAAGTTAACTACAAAATCACCGCAACAAAGCAAGCAATCCAATCCACACTTAAACTTAAAGCATTCACAAGTTAACTACAAAATCACCGCAACAAAGCAAGCAATCCAATCCACACTTAAACTTAAAGCATTCACAAGTTAACTACAAAATCACCGCAACAAAGCAAGCAATCCAATCCACACTTAAACTTAAAGCATTCACAAGTTAACTACAAAATCACCGCAACAAAGCAAGCAATCCAACCACACTTAAACTTAAAGCATTCACAAGTTAACTAAAACATACAAAACTCGGTTTTGATACACATTAAAAAATCGATGAATCATCTATGATTTGAAATAAAAACCAATGTTGTCTTTTCCTTCGCCTCGGTTGCGACGGCAGTCTGGGAACACACTGGGAACATAGTACATTGATACTTACTGTCTGTTTTACCGTGAGTACTTGTTTCCATGGTACCGCCGTTACGCGCCTTTAAACCATCGGAAAGTAAGCACGCGGATACGCCAAAAGGACTGACACTGAGATTTGATCGGATCCATGATTTAAGATGACGAAAAGACCACGTGCGAGACAGCTGTGAACAAAATGAAGAATTACTATTGGGGGAGAGCTCATGATGTCATATCACGTTAGGTGCGGTGAAATGATTTCTAATGGAAGATAAAATTTTGCCTGCTGTAGAAATTCTTGTTGCTAACTATCATTTACATCAAAAAGGAGCAGCTAAGCGCTTAAGCCTGGTTCTCACAAAGTCGTCCGAGTCGTTTCAGTCGTGCCAAAATTTCACAGACGACCCGCGCGACCGTATGAGAACATTTTAAAGACGACCGGGATGACCTCAAATGACTCACACGACTAAAACGACTGAGGTCGCTTGGATAGAACTTTGCTATATCCGGACGACCGAAACCACCGTTGAGAAAAGCAAACGACCTTTTTATGGCGCAAAACGATTTGACGAAGCAAATAGCTAGCCAAAAGAATTTGTCTTTGATAAACAGCAGCTGCCGTTTCTAAATGTTTCGCGAAAAAATTAATTAAGCAGTCTTTCGACAGCGCTAGTACGAATATACGAGAATTACATAGTTTGAGTCCTCCCAACGTTTTGAAAAACAACGTAATCACTAGGAACGATTCGGATGACTCAAGCAACTTAATGAGAACCAGACTTTACTAAGCGTGTTGTAACAAAACTGAATTTACAACGACACAAGAAGATAATACAATTTAAACTTTTGAAAACAAACTACTGTCTAAGATGCTAGAAAAATTCCACGAAGTGGTTAAAACTCAGAGCCATTTCAGCGTTTCATTAAAACTTTACTGGTCGTGTCATGAGGTAAGCTCAACAGAAAAAGCGACTTTTCCCACTCTCATACTTAAAAGAATTTGGAACTTAAATTCAAATTTTCGCACCGTCGAGTATCCATCGCCTTTGGACGAGATTGCAGCAAGTTTTTGCAAGTCAGATACGGACCTAAATAAAATGAAAAGAAAAATTGTGCATTGGATCACTTAAGCACTAAGAGTTAGCAGAACAAATTGAAGAAAACATGAATGCTATAACACGTATATCAATGCTATAACATGTACATAAAAGCTATAACATGTACATAAAAGCTACAACATGTACATAAAAGCTACAACATGTACATGAATGCTACAACATGTACATCATGGCTATAACGTGTACATCATGGCTATAACATGTACATTAGGGATATAACGTGTACATCATGGCTATAACATGTACATCATGGCTATAACGTGTACATCATGGCTATAACGTGTACATCATGGCTATAACGTGTACATCATGGCTATAACGTGTACATCATGGCTATAACGTGTACATCAATACTATAATGTGTTCATCAAATAAAACGCAAAAATTCGCTAATTAATTGATCAAATCATTAATATTCATAATTGAAAATATAGAAAACACAATCACAAATGCACATTTTAAGTCCCCTTCAAGGCGTTCTTGGCATCTCTTCTAATTTCAAGAGCAGTTCAATTACAAATTCACAGTTTCAAGTAGTTCAAGAACTGGCAAAAGTCCTGAACTAAAGGCCCCAAAAGACAGAAACATACTCATATTACATAGATGATAAATCTTAGTCACCTTTTATCAAAGGATCCTGCAATTAAAAAGCCTAAAGCATGAACTGCTTCGTCTGTTAAAGTTGGATCACTTCCTCTGCCACCAAGTGAAGAGGAATATGATTCTAGAGGGAAAAATAATTGCAACAAATGAATACATGGCAAATACTGCAAAATTCATGAAACTTTTCAAATATATGACAAGTATATGACAAGTATTTACCCGGTTGAGAGACAAGCTCCAATATGTCCTCCAAATGATTGACAACAAACATCAATTGACCATGTTCATCTAAACTCTGTGGTATTCATGGTGATTAGAATTATTCTAATGAACATTCAAGATGAAGGAGAAGCATATTGTTCCCTTTCTGAAATAAGATTCTAACATGATCCTAACATGATCTGACCTTAGATCCAATCATCCCCTTACGATCCAAATCAATTGGGGATCGATTTTTTGTAGGCCATCTATGTTACATAGAGCATTATGAAGGAAAATAAACGAATATCAAATCATGTTCACTTTACTCATTAATTTTGTACTTGTTTTAAATTTCTTTCATGAAAAACAATAAAAAGATACTCTTCTCCACCAACGAGACTTTCCCTCAACGAGATCTTGTGAACTTGTTGAATGTACAGAAATATAATGAATTCAAGCATGCTGACGGAAACTCCTGATTTTAGACGTTCTAAATAAACAGGTGGAGCAGTATGAGTAATGGAAGCTAATGGAAGCTAGTGAAAGCTATAATTTTTCCTTCATTCCTAACAATTTCCTAAAAAAATGATCCAAAAGCTGTCTTGACCTTAAGATTGTTACAAATATGAAATATCTTGCTTTAACAAGACATGTATTTTGATGCTTTTACCTTTATCTTCAGCTGTCGAACATTTTGCGCAATCCTCTTTCCATTTGAGCTGTGTTGTACAGCTATCTTCAGCAACCATGTCAAACGTCTCAAAATACCTTTTCAAAACGAGGAGGTGATTTAGAAAAATGGTTTGAGAATTTGCAAATAAATCATAATTACATGCTATGGGAAAAATTGAAACATTTATTTTAAATTTATATGTTTCTTGTAGTTAATATACGTATATAAGAAATAAAAGATGTTTTTCATGTTCCTGCCGGCTTATGCAACCTTAGAGACTTGTTCTCAGATTGTACTGATCTGCTTTTGAGTTCTCTCACAGGTCTCCTCAGTTTGCATAAACAACAGCTTGTAATCAACAGCTCAATACCAACTCACATCCATGAAAGTTCCTCGGACATTTTGAATTTTTCACATGCCACATGTTTCCAAATGGGATAGCTAAAGATGAAAATTTAGAAAAAAATCAAAATGAATCCAATGAAATTACAGTCTTTCGTAATTGACTTCGAAAAATAATTTTTTACCTGAGGCGGGGATAACCAGCATTTCCTTTGGTTCTAGCATAGGTGTTCAGCTTTTGAAGATTCTAAATTGCGATAAAATTTCCCAATGAGAATAAACATAGCGTAAAACCGCAAAGTTTTGACTTTTTGAGTTAATTTGAAATAAGACATTCAACATCAGTACATTTAAAGATAATACATACAGGTTTAGAGTTTCACTAAGTTGAACAAACTTACACTCAATGTCAGCTTGGCTGGCGGCGGCATTTGAATAGTGCTAACATCAAAAGGTTCTGATCTAACCCATAACTTCACATTCACCATTTTCTAAGGTCAAAAACCGAACACAGAAAGCCAAACATTCATTTGCTTTTGTAAAATTTCTCCGCCATATTGGTAATTGGTGAACAATGAACTACGGGATATAGAACAGTACCGGGTTTATGTCCTCGAGGTGGGAGTATGAAAACATAAGCAGGCATTCTCTCAAAAAAAGAGTATTTAAAGCGATACTTTTCGTAAAGTTTCTTTTTCGGTTTTGAAAAATGCAAGAGTTCATAACGATCCAGAGAGTCTGTTTAACCGTTTTATTTAAGGTTGAGAAATCAAAATTCAAATCGTAATCTAAAAGGTTTTTATATGTACGAGTTATTGACCCATTGTCATTTGGTCGGTGCTTTAAGTTGCCTAGTTACAAAGACGCCATCTTCATTTAAATAAGTCTACAAACAACTAGTTTGTTTGATTAATCTTCTTCTTTGTCAAAACAGAAATCGTCGATTTTGTTTTAAAAAATGAGCGTTAATTTAGAAGATTACTTCAGGACCGTCTTTGAAGACAAACTCTTGGTGTAAGTGTTAATTGTCTGCGATTCTATTTTAAAATATCAATAGTCCAGTTCAAAAGAAGAAAATTTACCTCAAATGATATCATTTTGTTTCATAGTAAAATGCCTGAGCGTGAGGATGATCAACTCACTCCTGCAACGCGACTTCTCGAGAAACGAAGAGAGATGGCTGAAGTAGAACAAGCATTGACAGCACAAAAAGAAGTCGGCTAAGTTAATTCGTCTGGACTCTGGAGTTGAAGTAATTTGATGAAATTTTTTCTACTTCGATCATGAATTACTAGGAATTTCAAATGAAAATGGAAAGCTTACAGCAAAGAAGAGAGGAGTTGGAGAGGAAAGAATACCAATTGAAAGAATCTCTGTTAAAATTTGATAAATTCTTAAAGGTAATAAAACTACGTCCTTTGAAGTGAGTGGTATTACCAGTGCTATGACTATACTCTTTTTTTAAATTTTCATAGGAAAATGATTCGAAACGGGCAAGAGCTCTGAAAAAGGCCTCTGAAGAACGAGAAATGAGGCGAGGAAAGGAAAAGGAAATATGCCGGTTGGCTATGTTTTTTTGAACACTGGAGTAAGTTTATATTCAATAACATGCTTTGTGATTCGAAAAAAAAGGTTAAAAGAAGAGACAGCGAGTTTGATCAAAGTACGCGACAGAATGAAAAAAAAATTATCGAAATTCGTTGTTTTTCAACAGTATCTTGACAAGGTGCTGGAAAAGGCGGAAGAAGTATGTACACAGACGTAGCTAATGAATTTAACACAAACAAGAATTCGGAGAAAAACATTATGAGGTCTTTTTGTTTTCTTAGTTTCAGGAGATTCGTGAAATCATTGCTCGCTACGACACGCTCACAGCCACACATCAGGATCTTTTCGAACGGGAAACTAAAATCAAGAAAAATACGAAAAGGAGAGAACAAGCCTTATCAAATTCACTGAAGTAAGTAAGATTGTCAATTTTAAATAAAGTCTTCTTTAAATGCACAAGCACAGCGTTGCAATTTCAATTTTTTCAACTTTCTTCTTTATAAAGGAAAAAAACAACGAAGTTTTGAACTACAACAACCAGGTATTTTAAAAACGCTGAAAAAAGTTCAATGGCTCAGTATTTGCAGCATTCAAATACTTTTTTTAAATGCATAGAATAGATAAGTCCTATGAAGAAAGTTTAAGAGGTCAAATGTATATATATATATATTAGGGAAAACTTCACCAAATAACTGGAAACTTACATCTCCAACCACCCAAAACCATCGTATGTACAAACTCTGCTTACCAGAAGAAGTTTTCATCGTCTTTATTTACTCCAAAAAAGATATAATCATCGCTTAATCAAAAGCAAGGAAAAATTTTTGGTGAACATTTCTTATAATGAACGAGAAAAGTCTCTTTTCCAACCCCCTCCCTCCCCCACTCTTTTTTAACCATTTACACAAACAAACGTTGAAAAAAGTTCAACAGCTATTTGCAGCTTTCAAGTACTTTTTTTAAAGGCATAGAATAGATTTAAAAGCTTTGTTGCATTGTGTAAGAGTGAACTTAAAATACATCAATAATGGCCGTCGACCTCTCCCGTCTCGAGGCTACCATTGTTGTCGACTTGAACTTGTGAGTAATAGTGATGATAAAATTCTTTGAATTGTAGCTTGCACAGCTTCAGACGGAGTTGGAGAAAACGCAGAGTGTTGCTGTAAAATGGTTTGTCCAATGGATCTTACGTTGTAAATCACGAACGTTTTCTTTCAAATAATTGGTTTGAATGTTTTCTTTAGGGAGTCAGAATGGACACATATCAAAACTACAGCGGCTAAAAAAACTTTGTTGTTGGGAAGAATTAAAATGTACGTATACGCAATAGCCGTTGAAAAGTGAAAAAAAATATTACAAAACGTTTTCATTCATGAACATATCTACCATTTTGGTTTGTCCAGCAAACGAAGCTAAAAATTTTGAAATGGATCGATTTTCTTGAATTCATATTAATGTTTGAGGGTAGAAACAAATCATTGCAGCATCCTATACAGAACGAGCCAGGCAAAGTTAGCCCTCTTTTCCTCAACATATATATGTAGCATGAACACCACGCTTAAAAAACATTGAACAAATCACATATCTATATTTTTCCCAATCCATGATGATTCATTAGAAAGCTTTGCGCTTCGGTTAATTTAGAATGCTTTCCCCGTCTGTACTGATGTAATGTAGAGTTTTGAATTCAGTTAAAATTTCCAATAATCAAGATGGCTTCACTTTGACGTCATCAGTTCTCACACGTCTTAAATAACTATCCTACAACGATAATTGTCATAAAGCTAGATAGAGATGGGTTACAAAGATATAACGAGTAATGTTTTATTGAAATCGGTGATTGACATTTGTCGGCAAAGAATGATCACGTCGTTATATCGACAGTAATAATACTCCATAACTAATTTTTTCTTAGGGCAACGCACAATCTCTTCATGTTGGTCAATGGACAGTTGAAAACTACGGTTGTCATCGAAAATACAGAGAAACAGCTGGAGAAGGTAAGAGATCCACCTCCTACACTTTGTTAACCTGAAACTCAAAAAAGTCTATGTGGAACAACGCAGTTATTAAATGCAGTGAATTGTGTCTTGATAATTCCATAATCATCCTTGTACTAATCTTCATCGCTGAGACAGACCTTGCTCATTCACAGTTTCTTAATTCTTGTTTTAAGATCCAAACTTTCATTCAAGATCTTTCGCAGATCACGCAAGATATCAAACGCGGGGAGAATGGCGCGACCACGTCAATGACGTCAGTTTAATGTAGGCAATTAAATGGTGATATGACGCTCGAATTGTTAATGAATCGTTAACGAGATTAATTAATTTACATTGAAATGCATGTTAATTGTATATTACGAGTATTAATTTACAACAAAATTGTTCGATTTTTGTTTATTTTACCAATTATATTTGACAAATTTCCTTGGCGCCATTGAGATGGAACAAAACAGTACGAGAAAATCAATTTTCTCATTTAACAGTTTGATACGCATTTTCGTGATTCGGACGCTGGTCCAAACTTCGAGCAATCTTTACCTCCTCCAGACGGTTCTGGGTTGGTACATGTCCTTATTCTCGTCTCAACCCCCTCACCGCAGGTTACGCTACAGGGTGCCCAATCTCCCCAATCAGAATAGAAACCATCGCGAGAGACAACATTATTGCCTAGGAACCTGTGTTGAAAAACTTTTTAGAATTATTAAATCATGTACATTCATGTTTAGTTTGTTTCGAATCTCAGGATTTAGGCTCACATGACATTGAACTGACGTAAGCAGAAAAACTTTCAACAATACTATTCAGATAGACCAGTGGTCTCCAAACTTTACAGCCAGAGGGCCACATGAACTTTCATCCAGCATGTTGAGGTCCGACGAACCGTATACCGCTGGTCAACGATGAAGTATTTACACTTCTCTTCTTAAAATCGCCGACATTCATCATCTACTTTTTTTCTTTTAATGAAGCATTGAAATATAAAAATTTCCACTTTATCCTTCAGCTTTTAAATTTTGCAATGCGCTTGAAACGGAAGTAGGAAGTTGGGACAAAATTGATGTAATGCTAGTTGGCTTGAGTCATAACGTGAACTTTCTGCACAAAGTTTATTTTGTTTAATATTATTATTTTTCGTGTCACTGCGGGCCGGATTGAGGCCTAACGGGATCAGAGTTTGGAGACCCCTGAGATAGACCAATGAGAAAGATCTATTTATATTTAACGCACCTGTAAACCTCGTTGACGTAAGGTCCACCAAGACCATCACCTTCAATAGAAATAATTATATTTTTAATATCCATCAATAATCAGCACTACCCTTCGATATACGTGAGCGACAGTGAAGATTCAAAATGATTTTCGCTCGTGCAACGCTTCTTCGCGACTTGCAAGAGCAAGGGAATAATGTAAGGGTTAATGAATGTTTCAGTAAGATTATCACTTATAATTTGCAGAATTTATCAACTATCAGTCTATCATACCAAGGGTTACACATTTTAATTCCACTTGTCCAAATGAGTTCAAGGTTGTACTTACCATGACACAAGTTAGACATGCCGAAATGGTCATACTTCCTTTCCCCATCTTCTTCGGCCATGCACTCCCCGCCATTTTGAAGGGCGAAGATTTTCATTTTCATGTCTAACGCAGCTTCAGCGCACTTCATGAGTGCGTTTGTTCGAGCCTCGCCGTGTCCGTCCATGAGAAGAGGATGTTTCTTCTCAAGAGGAAGCAGTGCTTTATGATCAAGAGAGTCTTTCCAACACCCGATGCTTTGGAACTCTGCAAAAAATATCGACCTCCATATCAATTTTCATCACGTTCATATTCTGGCCATTGAGAAATCAACAAAGATACTTGAGAAATAAGAGATTTTTCAAGGTAAAAACTTTTTCACGGAAGAAGATTTTTTGGGTAAAAACAGAAGATTTTTCAGGGTAAAAATTTTCCCAATGTTTTAGGGCACAACTAAAACAAAGTGATTTTACTCATAACTAAATTTAGTTCCCGTGACATTTCATAAAAACATTTCTAAAATATTCCAAAGCTTAACTTAAACTTGCTGTTACTTAGAGGTATAGTTCCCATAAAAGCAATAATCTTCAAGTGAGAGTTGTTAAATCCTAAAGATGCCCCGGAAGTAGTAATTCGTCACAGATGATTTTTGTCCTTTGCAATCTATCCGACTTACCATAGTTTTGATCTGAAATATTTCGTCTCTATTTGGGTGCAGTTTCTCAAATGACGGTTTCGCAAAACACACAGCAATCGTAGCAACAAAAACTGCTATTTTCCTTCGAAAGCTTAGCATTTCTAAAGCTGAGAAAATTGAAACAGATATTTAGTGCTGATTGTTTTATTTTCAACAGTTAACAGGAATTGCCTATTGTTCATTTAACAAATACAAGCAAAAACAGGATGAAGTTATGAAGAAAATTTCGTTGATTCAAGCTTACCTCTTTACGGGACCACAAAAATGCCACTTCAAAGTAGACAAGAACTTCAATAGCAACACGGTAAAACTTTGAAAAATGTTATCAGTGAATGAAACTTTTAACCATTTTTTAGCAAAGTCTAAAACGCAGCGGGTACCAGCAGTGTGGAAAAGATCGATCTATTGACTCGTCATCTCATGCTTGCAACTCGATTGAAAGCTATGTAAAGTCGCGCGTGCGCAAAAACAGTTCACTACGGGATCTTAAAACTTATGCGTTCATCGAATGACTTTGAAAAACAACATATTGATTTTTTTGTTGATTTTGCCGAAGTATAAATTGTGAAACTTTTTTCTCCACATTTTTTAAGTACAATAGGATTTATTTATACAGGAATAGACGAAAGGATCTCCACCCAGCCCTCTATAATTAGGAGAATCAGGAGAGCAAAGGTCATTCTATATGAGAAATGAATTGACAACACCATTGCATGTCAAGCATTCGCAAAGCTGTAAATCTAAGTTACTTAAAAGCACGATCAAAATAGTGGCACACCAATAACGACTCCTTGAACATAACTAAACCCTTCAACTGCGAAAATGCCGCCTTAATGCCAGTAGCCAAAATTAAGCAAAATGTGCAATCAAATTTTATTGAATTCACACCATTAGTATAGTACATACAACCATATACATTCCCGCACACACACAACGGGAGATAAAATTTAAGCACAAAAGTTTAACCTGCGGTCCAAAATACTTCTTTGATAGTTTTTTGTTTAGCAAAATTTTCACAACAGCTAAAGTGCCGTCAGATAAATGGGTTTGTGTAAAGCAATCAAGAGCAATTTACCCAACACAAAGAAAAAGGCGAACAGGTGTCAAAGTTTTGGAGAACGTTTCTTTAAAAATCCGCATACTCACAAAAGTAATTTGAAATCAACCAGAGCAATGATCAGACGGTGGTCGAGTTCTCCCAAAACGCATCCTTAAGACAATTGTGGAAATATTAGTTTCAAGACGCATACCAACATTTACTACACTATAATATTGTACTGAACATTATAACTCACCAACTGGGTTTTAATATTTTTTCTGATCTCTCGATTTCTTCAAGTCTTTTTTACGCCCTATAAAGCAAGAAGCTTGTTGATACAAGAAAATGCTATGGCATATTTAGTACATCAACGTTTCTACCTTGTTTAATTCGAGTGAACTCCAACTTGATCTTACAGACAATGAACTTGACGAACGTTTCCGAATTGTTTTGGGGTTGTTTTGACTAACTGAAAAAATGTAACATTCAATATTCTTCCGTTGTCTCTCAATACTTTTGAAAATGCAGCAAGTTAATCCATTAAGGTGCACTTGTTGTGATAGTCAAAGATATAAAAGCTATAAAATCTAATCAATCATACCTGTAATATTCAATATGTAAATAGCTACATCTCAGTTTACAATATTTTCTACAGATTGCCTTGTCACATATCTTATCACATAACTTTATATTCCAAACTTTGCTGTATAAACACGTAGAAGAGGAGAATCTTACCGGTACATGCATAATTACAGTCCTTAGCCTGATACGTAATTCCATGACACGTCCGCCAGCCGCTCTTTGCTTTAATACACGAACGACGCCTTGTTCGACGTCCCAATCCACAAGTCGTCGAACACATGGACCAGTTCTCCCAAGCCGTAAAATATGGAGCATTTAAGGTTCTCAAGTCAAGCCTAGGCCCATACTTCCAGCCAGCAAAGTTTGGTGAAAGTTGTCGTCGATTGCCTGGAATATAAAATATCTGCAAAATTGGCGGGAACGTCATGTAACACTTTATGTCTTCACATACACAAATATTTCATCACATAAGCAACACAGCAACCTCAACAACATAACCGATCAGAGCATTCAAATACGCTCATGGTCATGCGTACTAACCTGCTACTGTATTTTTCCGAAAACCGGACTGAATTCTGGGATAGCGATAGGTCATAATATTCTTCCAGGCGGAATTTGCAGGCATGTAGGCAGATTGTGTGATCAGTTTTTGTGCTTTATCAAAAATACAAAAGATGTTATTTATGAAGTATTTCGTTGACTACTGTGAGACACATCTCAATACGACATACGTTTGGAAATGCCACATATTTTGTCAACATCTCGTGAGTGTAGGTAACGCTGGTATATTGAAAGGTCACTCGCCCTGAATCGAGCGAAAGTAGATTCAGGATAACTGTTTGCTCTGCCAAGCATAAGCTTCGTGTTGTCATCGGAGGTATGGCATCCTGGCGTATGGCAACCAATGCACTGATCGTCATTATCTGCAGTTCCAACGAGCTTGCAGTTGATGTACATGTTTAGCACTAAAAATAGTAGCTAGATGAACGACAAACTTTATGCCATGTTACTATACAATAGTTAGAAAAAATCACTGATAATTTCATATCATAGTGAGATCAACTATCTTGATCACTTCATTCTTAAGTGAAGACAATATACGTGGAACCAATATATTTCTTCAACCTCTAACCTCCATGTTTGTTATAAGCCACCACGACGTCCTGCCATTTGCCTGTCACCAAGGGGACAACCACACAAAACGCCATATCTTTGATGGCAACATCAGCTCGTAGTTTATTGTTTATAGTGTACAGCGACACCCCTCGGGAGTTGAATGATGATGCACCGCTGTCCAGTATATACCGTGGGGTATGATACATGGAAGCTGAAGGATGAACGTTGATTGTCATTTCGATGGATATACCACTGGTACACAAACTGGGATCTAAAGGGATTCAAGAGAACATCAAGCATCCTTCTTCAGATAGAAAGGATTGATACTATCTCTCACCGCTTATACATGTGCCATCATAAGAGCCACCATCCATGTATGTTGCCGCTCCATCAAACCCAATTGAAGTACGATGCATTCGGATTCCACCCACAGCAAAAAATTTCTTTCTCATACTCGTGTCTTCCACCTGTCCGCGTCTTATTTGATTCAATATCCAATGATAAGTTGGTCTTATACCTATCATGAATAGAGCAAAACAGAGGAAATTTTGCTAATTATTCCGACGTTTTCGTGGAATAATGGAGGTACATTCTTGATGCGTGAAACAACCAAAAATCTCATGCTAAGTAACACAAAGATACTCAAAGTAAAAGTCAGTATTCACAGCTAACCTTCCACATCCTTTTCAGTACTAGATCTCTGTATGGCAGGCACACTATTCGCAACCTGTGTCGCAAATTGATTGATCATTCCCCTCGGGGCCAAATAGCTAGGGCGACCAATACCTTGGCTTGAAAGCATTGACTCGGGATGTAAGGTCCCGGAGGATAATGCTGCAGAATTACCATATCCCAAATAGGGGCTTATAAGACCAGCGTAGTCGTAAAGTTTGTTGGTCATGTAATTTTGCCTCATTCTTTCCCAATTTCTATTTAATAAAACTGCCTCATTTCACGTTGCTTTTTCTTCCGCACCATGAGAGCTGCGTTGTTATTAAAATTTTCATATGAAGCAATACTTGGACGGTTGGATATAATTGGCTGTATAAATGGTCTAGGACTTGCTACTTTTTTTGGAGTTGTAGCGCTGTTGGAGAAAGAGCCAAAGGATTTCGCATGTCCATTTTGAGATTGCAAATTAATTAAGGGTTCAGGTTCATGTTGATATATTGGTTTGAGTTGGTTGTTGTTATTGGGTAATGAGGTGGGTTTTGAAAGAACCAATCTAAGAAGAGGTTTTCTTGTTTCATGTTCTGTTTTATTGCCTGCAACGATACTGCCGTTAATACGACCACCACGTATTACCACCCCCTCTCCAATTTCACCACCTAACACCTCTCCTCCCAAAATAGTTCCTCCAGTTACCCTACCATCCCATACTATCCCACCCAATAGATTTCCACTTTCCATTATTCCACCTTTTAGGATACCTCCATCAACTATGCCACCTTTTAACACTCCACCCTCAACGCCTCCATTTTTCAAAACACCGCCTTCGACCATGCCCGAAGACACGTGACCACCTAAAATTTTTCCACCGGATATTAAGCCTCCAGTAATGTTGCCCCCGCGAATCAAGCCACCTTTTACAGTTCCATCATGAAGAAACCCTCCTTCCATATTACCATCTTGAAGAATACCACCGTCTACAAACCCGTTTGACATATGCCCTCCCTTAATCACACCACCACGGATGGTACCACCAGAAATTAGCCCTCCAACAATTTCCCCACCAAAAATATTTCCCCCAGTTATTTTTCCTCCAGTGATTTGCCCTCCTTTAACATTAACAGCTGCTCTAGAATTTTCTTCGATTTTTCCCGTCAAATTTCTTGGATTCAATTTTCTTTCTCCCTCATCTAAGTGATCAAAGGTCATTGAAAGGTTGCCCGTTTTTTGTGACTTTTCTGGGAAAAGACTATCCGATTCTCCAACGTTTGAGCTCTTTGGAAGTATATTTTTGCCGTCTACAGTATCGAAAATTGACATTGCCTTTACATCACTTGAAAGTTCATTTAAAATAGAGTCATTTTGAGGATAATTTTGTGATTCGTTGACATCTAACTCTGTTTCTGTCGAATCCGCAATTTCTGTTGAGTCATTGCTAATTGAATGATCATTCTCTTCAGGCAAGATTGTGTCAATCTTTCCTAAAAATAGAAAATCAGACAGCAAGTGCCAAGAAGTTGTGATCGTTTATCTGCCCTTCTACACATTTAGCAAAGTACCAAAAGGATGGCATTTAGTGATAAAAAATATTGAATTCTGAAAACAACATCGGTTGCTCAAACTAAAGTCTTTATCAAGCACAAAATGTTCAGGAAGTGATTGCAAGAAATGAAATTGAAAATATTTCAGCTTTCAGAACGTTAAATGATTGATTAAATTTTGAATAGTCGAAGATTTTGAGTAAAAGCAGAAACAAACATTAGTAATTACACAGCTATTCAGCCAGTAACTCATATCACCTTCTTCAGTCAGCGAAGGTAGACGAACAGGTTTCGAATTTTCCTCATGGCCGTTGTCAGAAGCGTTCACGTCATGATCAAACACAGACTCGTCCCCATCAAGTTCTTTTAAGACGGCTTCCTTCACGGCTTCTGGATTGTTGACGCCAAATGAATCAGCTTCAATATCTCCAGAAGACTCAGCATCATCATTATTTGCGTTTTCGAAGGAACCAGTTTCATCTGCAGAAGAAATAAAACACGTAAGGTCTGTTTCAAACATCGAATATTTCATGGGCCGAATAAATTAGAAAAAGTCAATATATGTGATCTAATATTGTTTTTCTTTTTTGTCTTTAATTCACTAATTCACAAGAAGTTTCACGACGGAAGCGAACCATTGTGTGATGATCAAATATTCTGCATAAAAATCTCAGAGAATGTGAATTTGAACTTAAGAGTTACCAACAACAACAATTTCTAGGTGTTAAATTCCTTTGTTGTATCTGTAAAGACTTTAATAATATTTCATTGGTCATATTTTCAATGCTGTCTAGTTCGATTGTTTTGCCTTCGTCTTTTAAGTTCTGAACTTTGATCAACAAAATTTAATCAACGTAGTTAGCGTCAACGATTGACAAACTTCCCTTGGATTTAAACATAATTTTATCGTTGCTGGCGAGAACGGTATTCGCGACAATGAAATCCAAAAACATTCAGTTTGGATTATAGGATTAACAATTCATTGAATCCACCATAAAAAAGTGATTCAAGTACGTTTTCAAGCTACTTTTTTTTAACAACAATGCAGTTAAACAAGCTTGTAATGACGATGGCATGCATGAGCGAAGCTCATTTCTTCTTTGAAATGTTCAATTTACAGAATTGTGGCCGACGAGAGACTACCTAACGAAGTTTAACGACGTGGGCTGAATTGTATAATGATGATTATAAACAAAAGACAACGAGCACAGTAGCTGAGATATAGTGCGTCAGTGCAGGTTGTGATAAATGAACAACACGTGAAGAGGAATATAATCTTTGTACTTCCTAAAATGCACACTGAACGACAAGTATCGGTGAGATTATCGATTTTTGCAAACTGACCTTTTTTAATAGCACGATGCTTGCTGACTTTTCTTTTATGAAGCGGTGGTGAATTGCTTGCCACTGATATGACGATATTTGCAAAAAGCAAGACAGAGAGTAGAAGTAGTCCAAATTTCATTTCTGATATTTTTTAAAAGAATAGCTAGATCTCGTCCTTTCTATACAAAATAAAACATGAAATTAAGCCATACATCATCGCGCAAAGTTGAAAGAAGTACAGACGTGAAAATTCACAAATGAACAACCTGTATAGTTAAATTGCAGTTACATATTTTACGTTAATAGCTATTTCATATAAATATAATACTTAAAAAACTCGTCTACATTACTAACGAAATCTACAAAAATAATTTAAAACAATGAAAAGGAAATATGAAAATCTTTTAATGGAAAAATTCTTACATTAAATACGCTATATAGCCATCGTCTTATAACAACCGGCTATCAGAGATATATGTTGGCACTCATGCATGCGCGAACTTCCCTGCATTTTACACTGTAAATGTTTGGACGAAATACAATGTTTTATAGTCGGGCAAAAATCAATGTGTCAACGCTTGCAAAAGATTCAACTTGCTAAACGGTTTTTTAATGAAAAGGTTTTTCAAACTATAGCCTATCATAGCTATATATGTTTTCTGAAATCCAAAGCGATCATAAATTAAACAAGTGAATCAATTGAGAAATATTGTACAGACAGTTCTGTTGAAAATGTATGAAAAAAAGCGAAGGCAAATGGCTTTCGATATTTGTATTTATGAAAGGAGGATGTTGCTTACAAAAGACTGCACAAGTAATCCGTTAGTTATTGCTCAGTCCACCAGCAAAATACGTGATGACTTTCAGGTAGTAAATTAATAATAAATGAGTAAGGAAATGAACATAGGGGAAGAAAAAGATTTGTGTTGTGAACAAAAAATCATTCAAGCTTTAAGTAAGTATGAAATTTTCTTAGCTACAGTTTTTATTATTTCTGCTTGAAGAACAGTAACATAAAATTTAGCTATTCCTCGTGCGATTGCTGAAATTGTTAAAGAAAATTAATTTTTTAACTCGTGAGGTTTTATTAAAGAAACCATCAACGAAATTCTTCAGTTCTTTCAGAGTGTATTTAAAACTTAGTGAGAGACACATAGTGGCGAACTTACATAGCATAAAACTTTCAGGAAATTTACTCCATAGCTTTGGTCGTTAGTCCAATTGGTCCAAACCATGGCCACCATTCTTATAAATTCTAGTAAAGAAAAATCAAATTGATTGGCAAAGGTTTGATTCAAAATCATTCGTGTTTTATGGCATGGCATATACTCCACAAATCAATTTCGAGTCTCACTCTGCTTGCCATACATAAGTTCTTGTTTAAAAAAACGTAAGAGAAAAAACAAAACGAGAGCAGTCGGTTGTTTTAACAATAAGTTTCTCAGATCCATTGTGGAGATGGGTTGGAACTTGCAATTCAGCTTTTTCACAAAGCTGTTGGTAAAAAGTGTACAAGATATTTGTTTCATTCTATTTCAAAAATTGTATACGTTTAACAAAGCAATCGAATTTCTAACTATCATCTTTTTCATTCATCATTTAGAAAATCCACGATGTCAGTTATAAACAAGTGCTTCTTTGTCTTTGTTGTTTGTCATATTATATGCCACTTGACTAATGCAGACGAGAGCTTCGTTATTGAGGACTTTCGAGGCTATCCGATGTTTCGCGAAGATGAGATCCGGGGTCGTAGGACATTGGGGAATATAATGAATGCCATGGGTACAGATGATACAAAAGATTCTTACGCTGGACTGTTCGACAGTTATGGCGATTCGAGTGCACAGAAAAAATCAAAAACGGTTTTCACGAATGAGCAAGTGGATAAAGTTCTGGAAGAAGCGTTTCGAGAGGAACCATTTGACGAGGATATTAATGGTGTTGTACGAAATAATGTTGATGAGAGTATTTTTTCCAAGCATGCGCACGATGGCAGTATACCGCTGAGCATCATCGAGAATGAACAGAATGGCAATCCATATGCAAGAGACATTGTCGAAAATGAGCTAGTTGACTCGCCATTTTCCGTTATGGACACAGGAATGTCGATTGGCCGAAAATTCCGACATAAAGTTGTTTAGAATGGGCAAATACACGCCGATCGTAATCCAATCTTAGAACAGATATATATGTTTACACAAAAAGCCATGTTTTGTAAAAAGTAAATCCTTTAATACTGTACATAGGAGAGACTCGTTGAATATCATTGAAGATTATTGATATCAAAATATACAAAATGCGTTTGTGTGCGATAGTGATATGTATTCCCCATATGTGTAATAAATATTGGGTGATTATAATCGTTTTGTTCTTCCTATTATATATATTCTTCTTCTTGATGCATCCCCAGCATCTTTTTCATTAAGAATGATTGCAACTCCATGTATTAATAATTCAATGCTCAACACAATCGCAGAATGTTTTTTCAAATTTTCTCGTACGTGTTCCTTTGCTTTCAACATCTTGGCTTTTCTCAGAGATCATCACCTCCAATATTCTCTTCATCATTGATCAAGTAGGAGAGTGATCATAGTAATCCCTCTGATTTCCTCAGATCCTTCAAGATTTTTTGAGGTTCGTTCGATCACATGACATCTTCTGAGTTCTGTTATCGTGTATATCACAAAAAGCGAGGGTTTCTGGTCGCCTTTCACTCCTTAAAGACAAATTTTAAGGATTAAAATCACTTTTACCTTTCTGTAAATGATATAAGTAATTAAAAACCATTAGCATCTAATGCACAAAAAACGAATCAGAGATAATCCGTTTGGATTACTCAGTTCACCTAAATATTCTTTGGATAAAAAATCAACAAGACAATTTAAACCTTGATCGACAAGTTTAGTAAAAACTTCTACACTTTCTTACCTTTATACTCTTTCAAACTTTTTGAAAACAGAATAGCGAGGAGCTTTGAAATCATCTCCAACATGATATTTATTTAGATCACGGCGTTTAACTTCATCGATAAATGATGGTAAATTGTCTTCTGGTATTTGCTCAACAAAATCATTTTGCATATTATATATTCTTCCATCATCACCGTATCCTTCAGTATCTTCATTGATTTTTCGTGTTGTGTCCCCAGCGTCCTCTCCGTATCCCTCAGTACCATCAATGATTGGTTGTGTTGTGTCCCCAGCGTCCCCTCCGTATCCCTTACTATCTTCATTGATTGTTTCTTTCGTGTCCTCATTGTGATATCTCTCGGGTAAATGGGGGGATTTCCTATTTGGGACGAACAGTTTTTCCATTTTAATGTCGTTGATATTTTCTTGAATTCCAATGGCATTAGTATCTTGCAAATTTTCTTTAAAAAATCTTCCATTGTCACTTGTCACATAGTCATGTCCTTGGTTAGATAAGAATTGATCAGAATCCAAAGAAAAACGATCGACGTTTTCATTTCCTTTAAGGTTTAGATCGATGAAATTTCCAGGGTTTTTTTCATTAAATAAATCCATTTCGGTCAGGGGAGGATCTTTTTCATTCTCAAAATACGGTTTTGCAATATATATTTTGCCAGTTTTTAAATCATTAACGATACTTTGGGGTCCTTTGGAATCAACATCTACCTCTTCTTCTCTATTACGATGGGACGATTCTACTAAACTTGGAAACGTGAGATCGTCGTCCTCAGAAATTCTCTCAGATCCCCTTTCATCCTGTCCAGTATTCACTGGGAAAGCTCTCAATATTCCTTGATTCAAGGAATCGTCAGGTATTGCAGCAGTGACATCTGGTTCAGTTGTACTCGCAGTTAGATGAACACGTTTCGGTTGATCAAGAGATGAAATTGGGGAGTTTGACCTCAAGAAATGCTTATGGTGGTAATGCACGCGTCTGCCATTCTTTAACATTCCTGAAGCCATTTTTAAATTTACTATCTTTTCCAGTAGATCAACAGACGGCAGTTCTAGAATCGTCATGTTAAAAGTTATTCACAGCTTCGGTGTGTCACAACTACATACATTCATTTAAAATAAATGATATGCCCTATACCAATCAGAATCGAGAAATACCGTTGTCATTTCTTCGTAACATACGTAAATTCTTGTATGGAAAACATACCTTCACGATTCTCATTGCGTTCATTCTCGACTGCCTCCTTAAGGACATCCTCGTCATACCTTGAAATACAAAAATAAAAAATTTCTGACATAAATGAACACTAAGGCACATTCATTCACGCTTACATTGGGATCTGTAGATGAGAACTGCTGTATTTAATAACAGGTACACCCCCTAAATCAGACTCTTGAAGTTCATCAACAACAGAGCCAGACTGTTTTCCATATTCTTTAACAATATCGGTTGTTTTTTCTGAATTTACCTTTTCACTCTTCTTCAAATCATTTCGTATACCTTTCTTTCCATTTCTGAAAGTCTCAAAAAGTTTTTTCCATATTGAGATGTTGTAATTAACGTCTAATGTGTGCTCATTGCCAATTTTTCTGTCAAGGTTGTGCAGTGCCGTACTAGTAACATTTTCATAGAGAGATGTTAGTTGCTTCCTTTCTGTTGACATGTTCCGCGTTTCATTAACAAAAATGTCGGCACTCGTGAGCTTTTTCTTCATTAGAGCAAAAACTGAAATAGTCTTCTCGTCAACAAGATGTTTATTTCTATCCATCGTAGAAGTCGAAATATTATTGGTCTCATTTTGTTTGATGTCAGCAATATGGTTAACAACTCTGTGATAACTGTCGTTTCTCTTTCTTGATGTGGAGTTCACAGCAAGATTGGTAAAATTCAACGTTTTGTTGATAGCAAAAACGGTAAAATTCATCGTGCTGTTGACAGTAATGACCGCAAAACTCGACTTGTTGTTGATGACCAGTTCTGTAAAATTAAACGTTTTATTGACGACGAGTTCTGTAAAGTTAAACATGTTGTTGTTGATGATTGTAAAATTTGACATTTTGTCATTGCTATTCGCGTTACTTTCAAAGTTATCAGGAAGGCTTTTATTGTTGCCGTTGTTGCTGTTCATGCTTATGTTGTTGTTGCTGCTGTTGCTGAATGTGTTGTTGCCGTTGTTGTTGTTCATGCTGTTGTTGTTGTTGCTGTTGTTGTTGTTGATGCTGTTGTTGTTGTTGCTGTTGTTTAATTTGCTTGTTGTTGTTGTTGTTGCTGCTGTTGCTGAATGTGTTGTTGCCGTTGTTGTTGCTGCTGTTGTTATATGTGTTGTTGCTGTTGTTGTTGTTGTTGTTGCTGCTGTTGTTGTTGTTGTTGCTGCTGTTGCTAAATGTGTAGTTGCTATTACTGGATATGTTCATATAGTCCTTATGAAAACCAAGGGACGATATTTTCACGATTTGTTTATCTATGAACCAGTTATTTTTCAACCTTTTTAAATTTACCAAATCAACGCCTCCGTTCTTTTCAAACACATCCTTTTTATATTCGACGTTCGAAGAAGAATCGGTGTTTCCTTCTAGATCCGTATTTTCATCCCTAAAGGTTTTATTTCTTTTATACGATATCTCGTGAAAACCAGGCATCGACTTGAGCTTTTTACCCATTTTTTTCATCATTCTTGAATTATCTAAACCATTCGACATCGTGTCTGAATGAGATTCCTTCAATAAATCATTCCTGTTTAATGGCCCATAACTCCCAACAGATGCCTTGGACGATATGCGATGACGATTCTTAAAATATTTACTGTTGAAATTGTTGTGTGAGCTTCCATTTTTATAAAATTGAAGGGCCAAAATATTTGCAAGCCGTCTTATCTTCATTAACTCATTCCTAACCTTCTTTAATTTAGGTTCAATGGGTTTTTCGTACATCTGTTCTTTCTTATACTTCTTTAAATTTCTTTTAGGTTGAAAATGTAGCACATGAGTTTGGATTTCAGTTGCAGCATTTTCCGTCGAGAAAGTTGAAGGTTTCGGCAAGGAAGTTTGTTGAACCTCTTCGAACTTGTCTTCTGAAATTTAACGAAACTGAAGCGAATGTTCATGCACAAATAATCAACAAACAATATTAAGCATAAACATGCCAGAACATAAAAAAATTAAATCATAACCCAGCTCTGAACATTTTGGCATGGCGAAATTGTGTTGAAGCAACGAACAAACCTGTACAACCAATAACTTTTTGTCCAATAGCGTCAAAAAAGATTGGTTTACAACGGTAATCGGTGAAACATTTTGCAAGAGGATCAATGGAACACGTAGCAATCTTGCAAGGATTAAAACCACACATAACTTCTGACGATATCTGAAGAACATTGGATCCTGAAAAAGAAATCATTACGAAACAGGATGCATAAGAGCTCCTGAAAAAGAAATCAACATGAAACTGGATATCATAAGAACTCCTGAAAAAGAAATCAACACGAAACTGGATATCATACGAACTCCTGAAAAAGAAATCAACATGAAGAAAGATATCATAAGAACGCTCAATGTATGTTTCTCATCTACCTGACAATCAATTAAAAACCCCATCAAAACACCATTTTTCACTCAAAGTATATTACCTTTGCAATTAATTCTTTCCCAAGCATTGTTTACAAACAGCGGACGACATTTTGTGTCTACCAGACACTTGGACCCGTGTAGTTGACATTTTGCAAACAAACAAGGATCGAAGGAGCATTTCTTCTGAGCCCGGGGACGCAAGAACAGCTGTGACGAATCTGAACAAAGGTTTTCACGGAACCATATATGACAAAGGTTAAAAGAAAAGCTCTTGGAGATGAAATTTAACGTTATATGTGTCATTTCCTCCTCATTTTCTGAAAGTACCAAAATTTGTAACAAATTTACGTAAAATTTCTACCTTCGCACTTTTTCAAAACTCGTCCATTGTTGTCGAAAAATGTTGGATTACATTCAAAGTCTGCGATGCAAAACGCTTCAATGTTATGTATACAGCCAACACTCTGACACGGGTCAAAACCACACAGCATCCTTGGTGAATATGACGACAGTTTTTGAACAGCCGCCATTTTCTTCTCTGTAACGAATGATAAAGTTTATCAGTCATGTAATGGTTAAGATTAACACAAGAAATTGGATGGGAAATTTAAGCTACTTTGCTGGACGATCTAGCGTTCACATTTCAACCAATAAGAGCCCAGATATTCGACTAAAAAACCATTTTACCAAATAAATTTTTGACTCTGAAGATGACTATCGCTAAGGTTGTCGAAACGTCAGTCAACAAAAACAAAAACAGTCCTTCTCAGGACTATACCAACCTGGATGATCTACATTTAACAAACATGTTATTCATTTAGTCTTTCCCAAACTGGCCAAAGTAAGTCGTTTTACATACCTACAGTACAAGAAACCGCTGGACATTCACTTTGTTCTGTCATGGGCTCCAGACATGCGACATTAAAATTCCTCGCAACCAATCTTGCGCATTTTCGCAAACGAGACTTGACTGCACCTTTGCCGCATGTACGGGAGCATGGTCCCCAGGTCTCCCAAGACATGAGATCTTGCGCGGTTTCGTACTCATTCGAAATCTCCTTGGCTGCTGATAAGACTGATTTAAGTTTCTGCGATTTGTTTGAAGGCAATTGATGGAGGGCACAAGAACGTCGAAATTTGCGAGTGAGGAACGACGAAGACTCGTTCTCTACAAAAAAAGAAAAACACTTTGAATAAAGTATAGTATTTCCTTTATTTTGCCCCTGGAGTGGGGGGTTATGTTTTTGCTTCACATACCTCAATCACAGAATAGACATACAACTGAAGGCCCACTCGGCTAAAATCGTGGCGTATCTTTTCACTACGCATGCGTGACTTCCCAGCAAGATACTTTCGCAAATTCAATATGGAATCGTATTGCACGAGAATTCTATTTTACTAATAATTTACGATTAAAGCAAAAGTTTGCCGAAATTTTTACAGAGAGTTATCATTTTGTGAAGAAGATAAGGCTCCAAGCTTTTGTAGTGCAAAACGATATATTTATAAAAACATCTATATTTCCTATTGCGATCTAGCGGAAGTATCTTGCTGGAAGGCGTGTCTGCTTTAAAATTTGCTCCAGGAAAGTGGGGGACACGAACATCAAAGGTTCCGACACGAGTGGATCTTCAGTTAAGATATGTATTTTGTGCCTCAATATCAATTTCTATTCATTAAAATACCAAAAACCAGTGCGTACATAAGTGCGTTGTTAAAAAAGAAAAACATTGCAAAAACACGAAAAAAAAAATTTGTGTAAAATTTCAACACAAAGAAAGTGACTATTTTGATTTTCACATCAATTAATTTTAAACGAACTCTTATATTAATGAAAGTACCATTGGTATTTCGTTATGATTTCATCGTGAGATCAATTTTCAGGTGATTTTTGATTTACTGATGGTGGGGAATAAATAGAGAGTGGGGAGTTCCATTCCAAGTGGGGGTTTTAGAAGGGGGGAATAAATAGAGAAAATATGGGGTTAATCATTATATTAGCGAGGAAAAGGAGTAAACAGGAAGTTGTTTTTCAATCTTCCCATTTTTCCTATACTCTCTGCAAAAACTTGAATGAAAATTCAGACCTTTAACAAGTCTTATATTTTTCAACTTTTGTACAGGAATCCATAGGGTAGCTTGAGTAACTGCAGATGAGTTAAGATTGATAGAATTATCATATAACGCTTGCGCTGATGACAGATTTCTTGAGACCTTTGGAGAAATATCATCTTCACTAATATTTGAATTTTCACGAACAGTGTTTTCAATATTTTCCTTTCCAAGTCCAATCGAAATTTGACTTTCATTTTTGACAGCAACTGAATGACTCGTGGTGTCGTTTTCTTTGTGTGTTTTTTCTTTTCTCGCCGAGACATTCATTGCAGTGACAAAGAGTCTACTGTCATTGTATAAAAAGGTAGGATCGGTCAATTCAATCACTTCTATTTCAGATGATCTTGAATGAAATGGTTTTGAATGGTTCATATTCTTTGTTACAGCAGACCTTGTTGAGTTACTCGCTCCAATAGATGGCACAGCTTCGTCTGCTTCGGCATCAGAGTTAAAATCAGATTGATTGTACTCTAAGCCATTTAGCCACGAAATTAAGTTCAACCACGATTTATTTTGAATAGGATTCACCTTCTTATAGCCAACAGGTTTGGACGAAGTTTCGTTTATTGCATGTTTATAAAAGGAGTTATAAGTCAAGTTCTCCGGCGTTGTAATAAAGTTTTCTCCATTTAAAACTGTACTTTTATACGTGGAGTTATTCACATTGTTGTTTTTGGCAAGGGCAATGTCACTTTTAAGTGGGCTTATCGTCTCAATGCCAAGTTTCGCAGGATTTTGCATGTCTGGCAAAGAAGCAAAGTTGTCTGAAATTCCACTTGGTTTATCCGTAGGTGGTATGGATGTCGTTGTTTCCGAGAAAATGCTTGACGGAAAGTCATCTAGTACAAAATAAAATAAAATATCCTATTTCGAAACATCAATAGAAAACTAATGTGGTGTGGAAACCCATTGCACTTACTAACACATATATATACACGTCAAAAATCTCTATTTATGCACTAACCGTCAACAACTTCAGTCACGACTTCATCGTTCTTATCCACCACAGTCAATTTATGTCCCCTCTTTAACGCAACATTGTCAACGAGGTCAACGGCGCTTTGATCCGGAATTATGGTACGACGGTAGGCTGGGTTTTGACGAGGATTTATACTGTCGGTGTTGCGATGAACTATTGCAATTTAGTAAAATTACAAAAACAGTAACATACACTTCACAGATTGCAAGCGTCTGTGCTGATGATGTTCGTTAACACTTTGGGGGAAAATCGTTTACATAAAGTTCAACAATAATGCAATGAATGGTATTTATGAATGACTTAGCCCCATAGTAATAAATTGTCATGTAGGCGCAGATAATTTTGACTTTCACGCCCACTGATTTCAAAAAAGTTTAGTTTTAGTACAATACAATATAATACATAAGTTGGGCAATTTTTTCCATCTTCTACCCCGCAAAACAGCTAAGCTATAACTGAAGAAATGTTTCCAAGTAAAAATTAACAATGGGCAGTAGCACTGTCTGCATACAGTAGCACGAAACTTTATAATTTTTAATTGAGTCATTAAACTGTCCAAAGAGCATAAACGATGAAAATGAACAGGAAAAAACATCAAACCTGCACTTAGAAATTGACAAAAGCCCATGATTAACGCTAGTATTTTCCATTTCCAATGCAGAATCGTTCTATTATTCATTGCAAAGCCATCGAATACAAATTTAAAATTAGGAAAGATTAAGCACAGTAGACTTAACGCTGTAGGTCAACAAATTTTGTAGAGTTTTATGGTGAAATTTATCGTAAATCTTGCAAGTGTAGGCCCACAAATCATGACTGATCCAAAAATAAACAGCAGAACTCAATGAAGCGTGAGTTCGCCACCAAATATATGGCACAAGCCTAACATAAAAAATTTTTTTTTAACAATATTGAAGTTTATGTTGGTTGAAGCTGCAGTTTCTTTTATGGAAAAGAAATAAACGAAAGAAAAAACAAAGTGAAGAAAAGCGCTTTGTTGAAATAAATGTTCATCAAAACCCTCATACATTTGTAAACTTATTAAAAGATGATTTTACCTTTGGTCGGTAAAAAAACATCGTTTTCCATAACAACCTCGTAATTTTTGTCAACAATTTCACGTTGAATGTATTGGCGATCATAGCGGGCTGCCTCGCTCTCCTCGTAACTCAGTGGAGCTGCAAATAATGTGAAAAGATAAAAATATACGAAGAATAACGTCGAAGAATCAGTATTTATACACACACATATATATTCAAAAAGAACTGCTATGGCTTTGTCAGTCAAGTTGGATTGTGATGATTATCCTCTGCGCCAAAGATTGGATTTGTTGAATTCTTGACAGAAAGCATGCCTTACCAATGCAAAGCTGTAACTAAAGCAAGAGGATGATCCACCAGTTATAGAATATGCTATTGTATTTTTTGCTCTTTAAGTCCTACGTCTAGACTCATTAAAAGTCAGTTTTTATGCCTGTGAGCAGTTGTTTTCGAGTGCCTGTGTATTTTTAAGATATGATAAAGGATCGAAGTCGGAGTTAGAACAAGTTCCTATAGGCGCCCCTGATGTTTAAAGAGCCTCCGAACTACTGACAAATCATGACTTCAAGAAACAAAATTGTCAATATAGTGGTATACATTATTGTATTGGATGATCGCAGAATATGTTTACCATATATTACATCAAGCCTAGGAAAAAATGTCTATATGTTTATTTTGTAGTTTTATACCTTCACTTTAAGTCTAATTCAAGTTCACCGAGCCTTTAAATATGAGGCAGGTAAGGTTTCCCCAAATATTCTCCTAAGGGTCCCCCTCAAGTTTCGTTACTCACTGCTACATATAATTGCGATGCATTTCAAACTCGATTGAGTTCACGCATCTATGCTAAAGACCATTTAAAAAATTGACCATGGAGATTTCAGTCGTTTATCTATCAAAAATACAATAGCTCTGCATGTGAACGTCAATCAATTTCCCTTTTTTACTGTCCGTGCAGTATGCAGCTATAAGAGCGTCTTATTCTCGTACTGCAACTTCAAGTTACTAAAATTTAGCAAAAGATATAAGCCAAAACCATTACTTACCTGAGACAGTATTGCTTGAGTATAACGTAAAGTTGATGGTGGAATGGAAACAGAAGCCAAAGACGGCGAAGAGACTCAGCCAGATTCTTACGGATCTCATGGTTAACTGAAGAAAATAGGACAAGGCATTTCGACAATACAAGAGCAGAGACAAGAAAAACCATAAAACTCTTTGGACGCAATGATAATGATGTCGAAGTATTTTTTGCCAATAGTTGTTCAGTATGTAATTGTTTTAATATTGTTGTGCCACCTGTACTATATGCAATGGGTGTGGTCAAACTTGTCACATTGTATATAATTAAAAAATCATTTAGATCGCTGGCTGCTTATGGTAGCATGTCCGCACGACAAAAATAATGTAATACTTTAGTCAAATGAACTCTGCTTAAAGTCTAAACACCTATGTTGTATACAGGTCAACTAACTAATTGATATTCGAACTATGATTGTATATTGATGCAAAGGATTGTATTGATGCAAAGGTCTATCCACATCCTCTCTGGAAGGAACATTCGATTTCTTAAAGTCAAAACACCAATGTTATATACACGCCAACTAACTAATGGATATTTAAGCGATGATTGTTTTGATGCAAAGGTCTACCCACATCCTCTCTGTAAGGAACATTCGATTTCTTAAAGTCAAAACACCAATGTTATATACACGTCAACTAACTAATGGATATTTAAGCGATGATTGTATTGATGCAAAGGTCTACCCACATCCTCTCTGGAATGAACATTCGATTTCTTCGACTTTTGCGATGTGATAATCATGCTAAAAACAGAGAAACAATAATGAAATTCATTTCTTTACTACCACACATGTTTTATCGAAAAATCTCAACTGTCGCGAATCATATTTTACGTTTAGTATATATTTATATAATTTATAGCTAAGTGTATTTAGGTAAGGACTGCGTCCTCGTTCATCGTAATTCACATCTATAACTATACCGTTAAGTCAAAGCACTTTAATGATCACCACCCTTACTGGCATTACATCTTAATTTTATTTTAGTTCGTATGAAGACCATTCACGTTCTCTGCATATAGTTTATTGATGCACTTTTGCCGACACACGTTCAAACTTCATATTTTAGGTAGTATAAGCGCTTTACTCGTTAACCATTTACCATTTAACACATTTAACGTCTATTATAAAAACTTAGACTTACAATTGTCTATTCTCCTTCGGATTTCTTCCTTTCGTTTCAAAATAGTAATACGTTGTTGGCTTCCTATTCGAAAGTATTTTCATCGATTTCTTCAATGTTCCAACAAGCAATCCATTAGAATTGTCTAACTTTCCACTCACTAAATCTTGAAGATTGATGGTCGTCGGATCAACACCGCTCACATTCTTTCGGTCGGACCTCGTAGATCTTCTGTCGCTGTCCCCAACATTCGGCATTTTGAAAAGCGGATTTGAAAACATCCACGTGTTTTTCTTCATTTGTGCGTTCGCTGTATGAATCCGGGTGGAATTTTTCTCTGTGAAAAAACGATCGGAATACTTATACAACCTTTTCCTAGTCGAGTCAATGAAAATACATGCCTTGAAATGAAAATATATGTGAAGTAACATATGGAAAAATCATCGCACAGGATTGAGGAAAAATATTTAAGATTCTTTTATGAAGATACACCAAATGTAAGAAATGGCCTTTTTGATGTGCATTTTTAACTGAACATCATAGTATATAAATACTTTGTACAAAATCATTTTGCAGGAGATGCAAGATGATTTCCAATTCCTTTCTTGTGTAAAAAACGATAGGGCTTACCTCGTTCAGATCCAACAAATTCGCTTGCTTCATGAGCTACAAGATTATCATAATTATCATCGATACTATCATCATCATAATCATTATCATCATCTGTATCACTGACTCCTTCCTCACGATTTCTTTCACCAAAATTAGGTTGTCTAGTATGAGGCCGATATTGTTCAAAAGCAGAATCGTCATCAGCATCATCTACACCGATGTGATCATTCCTTGACCCATATCGCTCATCACTTGAAGCATATTTATCAATAAAACTGTCACGATTATCATTTGATTTGTCTAAAGTCTCATAATCGTCATTAAACATGTCCTGTTTATCATGCAATTCGTCATTTTCTTCATTACCATCACCATCCTCATCGTCGTCGTCGTCATCGGGTTCTGCTTCAAATTCCTCTTCATTGGAATCGTAAATGCGATTGTTTTTTGAAGCATTATCCTCTGAATGAAGATAAATGAGAGTATGAGAAAGAAAAGCACAAAATGAGAATGTGTTATTTTCATTGTTAACGTTACCCCCATTGAACTAGCATACATTTGGAACGCAACCTGTAATAGAAAAGCCTAATAATTTTTTGAAGCCAAATTTTACAACGAGACACGCGAGATCACTCCCAGACACGCGTGTGTAGTCAATCAACTTTCACTCCGCGTGAGAATCTCGAAACACTAAACACGCGTGTCTGGGTGTAAGATTTGGCTTCAATTACTTGCTTTAGGTAGCGTTCCATGAATTCTAGTTCAATGGTTACCCCCAATGTTTTTACATCTATAACTCCATATTGTTTCTCCTTGTATAAACATTACTCATATCATTACCATTGATCTTACGTTGTTAACTTCGCTCTGTCATTATTATCTTTTCTTATATGTTGGGTTTTTTTTTCTACTCCTATGTGCGTAGAAATATGCATTTCCTCCTAATTGTTCTCTAACCTCCTTTCTCGCCTTCCTCAATCCTAGAATGTACCTCTACTTACACATAGTTCCCTTCATACTTATATTTTATTTTGTGTACCAGCAGATATGGGTGAACAACTAATACATATATGCATTCTACAGTTAATGACGCCGTGTTTCCTACCTTCGCACTTGCGAATACGCTCGTCAAAAGCATTCACAAAAACAGGCCGACACTTAGACGTCACTAGACACCTGGCATTTGGATTGTCCGCACAAGATTCCGTGTTACAAGGATCATATCCACAAACATCACGAGCAGGAACTTTTAGGACAGCTGTTGAAATAATAACAGACGGAGAAAAAATACTTCCTTTCGTTTTTTTCACGCGAAAAAGATTTTTCTAGATCTTAATTGCGCAGCAAAACATCAACAAGTGTGGCTGTTTTTCTTTCTTTTTATTTCTTGTTTTCTTTCATGGTAGTAAGAAAGCATCTCTTATTATTTTCTCGACTCGCCTTCTTACTTTACAATCAGGCGAAATGTCAAAAAAAGTAAAAGTTATCACCTGTACAATGCTGAGGACGACCTTCGGCACTGTAGTACACCGCCTGACATCTTGTTCCAACAACGCAACGCTCTTCAGTGAAATCCATTAAACATCTTGTAAAACGACAAGGATTGATCTTGCACAATTTAGAAACTCGCAGTGGATTTATGTACACGTGTCTCCCTTAAGTTGTAACAATTTATACTCCGTGAGATTCATAGAGCAAGGCTGTGGATTTAAGGATATAGCAAAGCTTTTAAAAATATAAAATGGACGTCTATAACGCTGGCGATGCATCGTTATGAACCTCTCCTCCGACCCCAGGGAAGGTTTCTATTATTTCTATTTTTCATTACCGATCCGTTAGAAACGAGGGGAGAAAAGAGGGGGGGGGGGTGACATGCATTCTCAATTCTCCACTTAAGAGGGAAAGCCACTTGAAATTTTTTTAGATAATTTGCCGAAATGTTTCTCACAATTTTTCTAAGGATTTTAGACAGTCCCCCCTCCCCCAAATATTGAAAGCGCTACTATTTCCTGCTTGAAAACACTTCCATGAGATCACACCTTTTATTTGAGTTGAGTCCATAAACACGTGTCCTTTCTATAAACCAGTGCACGTGTTTATGACTTTATGACCGCGAGTAAACAACACAACAAGAAATTTTGCATACATACCCACACAACCGTCAACTCGCTTATTGTTGACATCAAAGAAGACAGGACGGCACTTATAATCGCTAACACATGAGCCAAGAGGTGATAATAGGCATTTGGACAACTCGCATGGATCAAAACCACAGATTTGTTTTGGATCAATGTCGACCACACTGGCTTTATCCATAGCTGGAAAGATTAAAAAACAAACAAATATCCCAAAATCATAAATAAAGAATTATTAGTCTCCATTGTAAAAGACGTTTGTCTTTGGGAGTTTCTATACACACTCACCACGATATATAATACGACTAACAAAGCTAACAGTAATTCAAGTAACAAGCGAAATTGTATACCTAAAATTTTACATCCTCTAGGCCTGCATTTTTTTCTTTGAAGTTTGGGACCAAAACAAGATGCCAAAGAATGCTTGGAACACAGTCTAAAGCGAGTCTGTGTCGCTTTGCCACATGTACATCTGCTCCAGGTTGACCACGGATGAAAATTCTTGATTACTGAAGATGTTTGAAATCAAAATTCCGATCTAACATACTGTGGTATACTCATAGTCTACCGTTATAGGTAAGGGTGTCAAAACCATAGGAAGGGCGAGGAGGATCAAGGCCTCTCTTAATACGGTCTTGCACGTGGACAATGTACCCTACCTCCCCCGCCCCCTTATGGTAATAATGTATTTTCAACAAGCAAAATACCACTGTTTATTTTGAATACACGAAAGTTCCCACGCTGCAACCCCCTCCACGCCCTCTTGACTTGAAAACTAACAAGTCAAAATGTCACAGTAGTCGATAATTCAACTTTCAAAGTAGTCGATAATTCAACTTTCAACATGTATGTAGGCACGATTGAGCACTCTACCATGGAGCATTCATAACCTAAGCTTCATGCATATATTCATACTATCATATTTTTCAAAATAAGAACTGTCTGAGTCATTGTAACGGGAGTTAAGGGATGAAAAAGTACACAAAAGTGTATTTCCTCACCATGGCGTTCTACGGGAGACAATGCAAGATCACTTGAACAAGGTAACATTTCACACATATCAAGCTGAAATCTTTCACCCTCACAATCAGCACCACCATTTGACGGTACAGGATTGGAGCAGTAGCGTTCACGTGACCGGAGAGTTCGTCTTCCACAAGCAGAACTGCATTCTGACCAGTTTGACCATTCGGTTAATCCACCGTTGATCATCTCATTTGCTAGAAAAGAAATTTTTCGAAAATCACCACGATGAATTTCAAAGCACTGAAACACGGCTATAGTGAGAAATGTAAAGAAAATGAAATGACCGAATCATGTAATTGTTGTGTTTCATGACGCTGTGCGCCGGAATTTTGATGCATTTTACTGCAGCCAAAGGTGAAACGCACGGAGTTGCACAGCTCTTGTGTTTCGCAAAGATGAGCTGTTGATGAAAACTTGTTTGCGATGCATGTTTTGTGGAAATGAAATGGAAAATTTGAAAATCAGAAAACATTGTTTATGTAATTTTAACAACGAAAAAACATCGCTTATATGTATCAGAATAATGGACGGACAGAAAAATAGTGTTCTTTAAGGGATTGCTCCTATGATCCAACATCCTTTTCAGCCAATTAACAGGTAGTTTATCAACCCGTAAGAAAATCGAGCAAAACAATTTAAGAACAAGCAGTCTGTAGACTGTTTACTGAAATTTTCCGTCTATCAAACATGCTAAACAACAAGCTTGGTTTTGATTCACTCGTATAATCGACATTGCTTCATTCCAAATATAATATCTGAAATCTGCGTTTTTCACTGATGCCGCCCCACAACAGCAAATTTAATGATTTTATTTCCGTACGTCTTAAGTTGGATATGAAAGTCTTCTTCCATACCTTTTGAGTTCAGTTTAATCACATCGAGGTTATAATGAACATTTTGCCTTGTCGCTGTCGGTACGCTGTTAGGAATATTTACAGTTATGTTATGACGTTCGCTTTGTTTCGTCACTAACGCCAAGTAAGTTTTTGTCAAACATGACAAACATGCAAAGAACAGTAGAAGAAGAAAAGCTTCAAGTCTCATCACAAGAGCATTATTCTCTGAAAATAAAATAACACGTTCAGAAAGCAATTTAAGGTGCACGCAATACAAAGATTCCTTACAAACATACCATTTTATCAGTTGCGAAGCCATCATCAAGTACAGCATACATTTGATATGAACGTCAGTGAACTACAAAAGCAAAACAACTCAACTCTTGAATTTAAGATTCAAACATTCATCGCATGATAGTGAAAGTTCGGCACTTTATTCAAACATGAAAAAACTCCTTCATTCATCTCTCATATTTTCAAATAGTATTTCGAACGAGAAATGCCTGGAAATGAAAGGCAATCTTTTTCTACGTACCAGAAAATCAAACAGGTGGCAAATATGGTTGAGTTCGACAAGGTTCACAGCAACTTTCGGCAAGAAAACTCGGAAATTTAAATACACGATTCATTCATTCTTTTTTTTACTGAAAGTGCCCAGGCGAAGATTGTTTTAAGGAAAATGACTTGTATCATTTATAAAAGTGTCAGGGGTTATATGAACCGTAGTTTCCTGTACAAATTAAACTCTGCTCCTTGCACAAAAGTTAAGGCAAAAACGACAAGAGATATTGGTAAAAAGCCTCATAATTTTATAATCTCACAAAGTGACGGTACATGAAACATTTTGAAAGTCCCGTGCAATGTGCGACTCAAGTAACAGCACACAATACAATAGTACGAAGTAAGGAATCTTCTGATATTAAAATACACAGCCATAAACTGAAACATGCACGCTTCACTGCATTGAATAACAGCAGATGAATACAGGCCTCGAAAGTTAGGGTAAATGAACATGTAGGATCGAGAGGGATAACATTTTAAGCATGATAATTACATGTAAAAGGTATAAAATGGACCCGTATGAAAACGTGGTTTTTGGGGAATACATTGGGGGAGTACATTTATGCCCAAATGCTTGAGTGTCTCGGTATTCGTCCTAAGTAAGAGATCATTCAAGCTTATGATACAAATTATCTTATCGATCATCAATCATTGAGATGTTTCTCTACGACACGAGCAGGCAATTCGTTGATAACACAATCAAGGGGAACATAACGACCCCCTTCGGCTTTTTTTCATCGTCCATGTTATGATACATAGAGTGTATATGACGTCATCATGTCAATCGTGTTGGGGGGGGAGACACTTCTACAGATATACATCAAATATAGTGGGGAGTCAAGCTCACCCCCCCAGTCAACCTTCAATGGAAAGCGAAACACAGAGTGAAAAATCATGGCTTTTGAGCAAAGCTTTTGTAAAATTTTCATACAAAACAACCCTATACGCAGGCTACATAGCAGCAAAGCTATGTTAGCTGAAATCAATGGCTGAAATCAATCTCAGGTTCTAAATTTTTTAGGACTTGGCTGAAAACCCAACATTAAGGAAAGCAGCATAAAGTTATTTAAAAACACACACACACACACACAAACCTTTCAACTGCTTGTTATCGACGCTGATCCCAGTATTGCTCTGATTCTATACTTCGAGGTCTGGGGCAAGTGTTCTTAGATTTTTCACGAATTTTCTCGCTAAGTTCGATGATAATTAAGAAAGTGTCGTTACTTCTTCTCATCAATAAAAGCTCTTCTTTTTCTCCAACGATTTTTTGTATGACAAATGCAGTCGTTTTAGGGGTTGGCACAACTGAAAGAAAATATGGCGAAGCTTACACCAAGCAATCAGAAAGTTTCAGAACTTTAAAACATGCAGATTAAATTGTTTTACCGTCATTGAACACAAAAAATTGGCACAGGGCAAGTACAATATCGGGCCGGCTTCCCCATCTGACTGTCTGAAAAGAGAGTTGTGTCATTGCTAACTCCGTTTATTTACCTTGATGTGCTCGGCCAGCAAAGTATGTGTATCAAAAAAGGCAACTTCTATCATCGAAAACGCATTTAAGAAATAAAAGATGTTTTTTTGCACAGGCTTATGCAAACCGAGGAGACCTTTGGGAGAACTCGAGAGCAGATCAGAGCAAGCCCGAGACCGAAGGTCGAGGGTTACACATGCTCGAGAGTTCTCACAAACGTCTCCAAGGTTTGCATAAGCCAGTGCAAACACGAAAAACATCTTTTATTTATTTTATAAAATAACAATAATGCGAAAAAGACAAACATTTTAATTTTTCCTCTAAAATGTATTCATGATTGATTTGCAAATTCTCTTTGACTGATTGATTGTTTAGATTGATTTGATTGGTTAAGCTCAGATGTGTTTTGCACTGGCTAAAGCAAACTCAGCTCTAGACCAATCAGCGCACGTGTTTCATTCTGTTTATTTTATAAGTTGTTTTAGGTCATAGTAAACAATTGGTCTACGAGCTCTACATTTCTATGAGGTGATGGCTGATGAATGCGAATCATTAAGGTGTTCATAAAGAAAAGGTAAATAAAGCTAGATATTACGGGAAAGTTATTGAAAATTAGCTAAACCGAACGGAAATGAGCATTATATTTGTTAAAACACCACCACTACAAACGTGTTAGATTTGTAAAAAACCGCAAACGAATAATTACAAAATTTTCCGATGTTCAGCTACAAAACGTTGCAATTCCAATAGCTTCAGCATGCTCTTCTCAGCCGTGCTAATTAATTTCAGTTTTGTCCATTTTCTATTCTCAATCAATTAAAAACGTCATTAAAGCAAAGACGAAAGTCGTAATTACCGCACGCTTGAGAAACAACACAAAGAAGACAAGACAAAAATGTTCGCTCGACTTGTTTCTGTTGGTGCTTTTTGCGCCCTGTTGTGTTTGGGCGCCGCAAGCAGCCCCTGGTACGTCATAAGAGAGCTTCGATCGGATGAAAAGTGCGTAAACTCAACGTTGTATATGGGAGGTAATAAATTGTGTCCTGTTCCAAACTTCCTGATTGTAAACTCAACAATAAATTTGGATGGTAAGGACCAACTCGTTAGTATAAGCACGCTTTCTCAAAACCAGGTACAATAAACATATTCTTATTTTTTTAATTTCAAACTTTTTTGTCCTTTCCCTGTAACGACAACAATAGCGAATTAAGGAATTGCATTCACAATAGCATTGAATTATGGCAGTGCACGGGTGTTAAGAAGGAACTCGTTTTTTGATACTTTTCTAGTTTTTGGTAAATAATATCAGAGCCCTCCCTTAGAGCTGTCATCCATTCATTCAATATTTTATACATAGAACATATTTTTGTACAGTCTATGCAGTCATGTGAAGCCAACATTTTTCCAACATAGGCAAGTGTTCTTTTTTTTAAATATTACCCACAGCCTTCTGAGTGCGCAAGAAAAATAGTACGAATGACTTGTATCAGAGTGACGGAAGTTTGCTCTACGGACAAGCGATACGCATTAATTAGAGTTTCCAACAGCTATTGCTTGAAGGCAGTCGGTTGTCTTTCGGAGCAGTTGTATCCAGAAGCCGTTAAAAAAAACATGTGCGCCAATCTTCCAAAAGACGGCACAAAAACAGCACCGGGACCTGAGTTCGCACTTGGTCTTGATGCAGAGAGCACAAGTGGAAGTGTCAGTCTATCAACTGCAGCTGGAACCGTTGTTTTCTTATTTACACACTTATTTTTCAGGATTTAAAAAGAAATCAATCAGTGAGCAAAAACCTACTTTAAACACGCGAAATCAAACTTGTGTAATGTCTGGGTTTTGATTTAGTCGAACGATATTTTCACTGGATTGTGGAATATTTTGTAAGCATTACGATGGAAATAATTGTGTAAAAACAGTATTTTACTCAAATTAAAAAAAATAAAATAATTTGTCGTGGATCTTTGCTAGTGCTCAGGTATATTAGAGTTTTTATATAGTTACATGTCGAGCTCGCGCATATCAATGGGCTTATGAAGCTTATGTATATTTCGAAGTGATCATTGAGTTCAAGTAGCTATGTTGAACTGATGGTAGATATAAGTCAAAGACCTTTTATCTAGAGTTCATGTATGTTGAAGTGATTGTAGAGTTCATGCATGTTAAAGTAATTATAGAGTTCATGCATGTTAAAGTAATTGTAGAGTTCATGCTTACGGGGCGGGTGGCTGAATGGCTAATTGCGTGAGCTGTAAGCCAGACGGCGCGGGTTCAATCCCGGCTCGTGGCACATCTGGCAATGTGTCTGTAAACCTAGCCCGGGTTGACCAAAGCCATGTGAGGGAAATTTGGTAGAGGAAACTATGTCCTCGGATGGACTGTATCTGCATCTGCAATGTTGCAGCCTTGTCACACTGTGTCACGCTGATATCAGCGTTGTAGTTGCGTGAAAGGTACGAGTGATTGTAGTCTGTTCAGCTGCATTCACTATAATTTCAGTAACCAGGATGTTCCACTTTGTGGAACCCTCATACGTCGAAATCGACGGAGTCCATTAGAGTTCATGCATGTTAAAGTAATTATAGAGTTCATGTATGTTGAAGGGATTATAGAGTTCATATATGTTGAAGGGATTATAGAGTTCATGCATGTTAAAGTAATTATAGAGTTCATGTATGTTGAAGGGATTATAGAGTTCATATATGTTGAAGGGATTATAGAGTTCATGCATGTTAAAGTAATTATAGAGTTCATGTATGGTGAAGGGATTATAGAGTTCATGTATGTTGAAGTGATTATAGAGTTCATGTATGTTGAAGTGATTGTAGAGTTCATGCATGTTAAAGTAATTATAGAGTTAATGTATGTTGAAGGGATTATAGAGTTCATGTATGTTGAAGTGATTATAGAGTTCATGTATGTTAAAGTGATTATAGAGTTCATGTATGTTGAAGTGAAAATAGAGTTCATGTATGTTGAAGTGATTATAGAGTTCATTTATATCCGAGTGATATCAGGGAGTTCATGTATCCTAGTGTCCTTAATTCTTGTGACATAGCATGGTTAACACACAACATATCTGTTTGTAAATGTAGATCGCCAAGGTTGGTATAGTCCTGAGAAGGACTGTTTTTGTTGTTGTTGACTGTTTTTGTTGTTGTTGTTGCTGTTGTTGTTGTTGTAGTAACAACATTTACAAACATGTAACGATACTCCCGGGTTCAAACCATTTACTTTACACAAGATTTCAATGAACACAACCATCTTACATTATCAGTGCGGGGAATCAACGCAATGGACCACTTAGCATTTAATGTAGAGCGGCTTAACTCTTACTAAACTAACCAATGATCGCCTCTCATGTGCAATGACGTCAAGGCACTACACACCCTCTCATTTTCCACATCATGATGAGGAGCATCTTTTATACAAAGCGTGCTGATCTTTCTGAATTTATGATATGGCAAAAATGGATGACTTAGACGTTAGCATAAGCATATATCTTATCTTTTAAAAACGAAGTCCCCGGTCATTTAAAGAAAAAAGGAGATATAATTTACCTTCTTTTCCATTTGACACTGAGTTTATTGTAACTGCAATTTCAACGAGGAACCTCATGACTTGAAAATCATTTCGAAAAGATTCTCCGGGAGAAAAACTTTCGTGATATAATTCGTCGAACGTTTTCTTTATCTGAAATAAACATGATATTGTTTGTGAGACACGTGAATACAACAAGTTTTGGAAACAAATTCACGGCCACAAAATAACCAATTCACGCGTATAATAAGAAAAAAATATGAGCTAAATGAAAACATCAAGAATTCACGGCATGAGTTTTCGTTTGACAATTCGCCAAATAAGTATTTCAAACAAGCGAAAGGTCAATCAAAGGTCACTGCAAATACTTTTTGCTATAAATAATTGCACCTGGAACGATATAGCGATATATAGTCTCTAAAGATCTCTTTTGCGATAAACTTAAAGCGTCAATAGCTATCGAGGCCATTTGTTATAAAGATTTCATAAATATGAAAACGACAATATCATAGCATACCAATATATGAAGCAGAAAACAGAACATTTTTTCGTTGAACTTGCCGACAGATAGTCGATTCATAATATTCGTGTGAAATTTTTTAGAGCGTCAAGTTTTTTTTAAGTTTCAATCGGGGAAAGTTATACAACTTTTGTGTAAAACAGACGAATTACACCTCGGAAAGTGTTATATGCTATCTTTTCAGATGTACTTTGTTCAAACTTAAGGGTTATTTGATGTAAATTTACACAAGAATTTGGTGAATAAACACCATTAGCTCCAATGATAACAATATAGAAATTAGTGTACAAAGAATGTATAGTTTTTATGACAGAATACTTCCAATGAGCACAATACAGTTAACGACAATGTTATATACAGTATAGCTATAAGTTGAAGCTAAAAATAAGTGACAACCTCGTGTTAATAGTATTGTAACGCAATATTTGTTGTTGACAAGAGACGAGCTCTTCTCGAGTGCATCGCCAACGACATTCAGTTTCACCATAGAAACAACGACATCCAAGTTTCACCATAGAAACAACGAAAATAACTTAATATGAAAAACCTTTTGATAAATGTAAGGTGTTCTTGCTGTAAACGTACTTAATTATACCAAAACAAAACTAAAACGAAATTCCCGTGCATTTTTGTAGTTCTTAATTTTAAGTACCCGACGATGTAAAAACGTCAAGTGTGCCATCTAATCCGCCGAAATTCATACACATAGTCACAAGAACAAGGGGGCGAATGCCTTCTTCATTCTATTTCCCATGAACACGACCGTCGGAATGACAAACACCGTTTACAAATGAACATCTTAAAACACACTCAGAAACATTACGTAAAATACTTTTCAAAAAGATGAAGCCCAAATAGCATTATGGGAAAATCCTGTTTTGGATAAAAGTTGTCTGATTTAGTAAACTGAAAAAAATGTTTGCCATGTTATCTTTTTAATCACAAATATGCATGTTTGCAAGAGTGCATGTAGACCAACAGAAAGATCCGACTATAAATAACATCTTTTTCAAAGACCTTGAACAATTTTTAAGTACACGTTTCCTTTCTTTGTGAGAAAAATGCATGAATTAATTCTAATTGTCTGCACTTCTAAGTTGATTGGCTTTCAAAAGCCTAGATTTCCGCTCTATGTGTGATAAAAAGGAAAGTTTTGAGGCCATTGCATATCACACAGAACAGGTCAAAGTTACTTAAAATCTAAAGCAGAATACGACATAGCTAATCTATGTGAACTCATGGAATCCACTTCACTTAGGCGAATTGTTCTTATTTTCCTTGTTTTAGTCACGTCGAATTGGGTAAGTATGAGGAATCTACATTCTACAGCTAAAAACAGTACTGTGAACATATTAAGTATAATGACAACAATAAAACATCGGTAAATACAGCTAGAACATTTATAACCATAAAAAGCACAGAATATGTTAAAGAAAAGAACACGAACACAAAAAAGACAGAGAGAAAACCTGTTAAAAAAAAGGGAACATGAATGGCTTGATGATAAAAAGACGAATTGATTACATTGTAGGAATTAGGCAGAGAACACACAAATATTGTTGGAAGAGAAAACGAACATCTTTAGAATGAAATACCGTAAGAAATATAGAATATGAACACATTACAGATAACTAACACTGATACCTTAAGAAGACGAATACCAAAGAACCGACGAAGTTAATATTTCGACTGACACAACGCATGTTAATATTTAATGAAAGAAAATTCTTTAACATTCCAGGCGACAGGAACATGTATTGATCAAGGCGAATCATGTATGGATCATGAAGACTGTGATCCAATGTGTGTAAACAACGCCATAGGCATATGTGCAGCATACAAATGTTTCGTTGACCAGGGAGGTGGACCTTTAAACAAGTAAAGAGATTGTCAGCGACAAGATGATAAACATTTGTAACAGCAGTAAAGATTATTAACCACCACAAAAAGTACATTGGTTATTTAGTACATCTGTTTCAAATTATTACACATCAAAATACAGTAAACAGGTGATAATAAAATAAATGTATTCCGAAAAGCGCACGTAGAGCTTCAATTATTTTTGCTTTCGTAAACCCAAGAGGATACACCTCAGAAACTTTGAGTTAATTCACCCATCCTCATTCTGTAAAAGTTTCGCACAGAGGCGGCATGGCAATCTGCATCTATAGTTTGCGTTTTCGTATCGCAGCAATAACGTACATGGACTTATCTTCATCAACCATACTTTTACCTGAATATATCTTGACTGTGTACACAATATCTACAACCAAATTTACATTCAGTTTTCCATCGCTAGTAAAAAAGTTGTTACCTAGCTCTGACTCTCAGTTCACATAGCGCGCGCATATATAGTTGTTTCATATTGCCTTCACAATTATTAATAAATTTGTCAGGATAATTATAGCAATAATTGGCCAAGGAAATCACATATGTGTTAAAACTGAAAAGCTAAAAAGATTTCTCAACGTTAACGTCTCGTAAATGACCTAACTTTTGCTGCCATTATCTTTACTACAAATGGCTTAACCTTCATTCTCAGATATAGAATTGTATCAGTAATAAATTATGTAACAATGGCCTAATTATATTTTCGTGATATTTACTAGCTTTGTATTGGGGAAGAACGTATCGGTCAATTTATAATTTTTCTGAAGAATGTTAAAAGTAAAACAGAAAATTTGTCTATGGATCGTGCCTTTTATAGTTTTAGTTTTTAAAACACTACTTTTTTCAGAACCCTTAGGTTATTTTGGTCATTCACCATGGTAATTACTATTTTTTAAAGATTTTTTAGAATGTTAAAGTGTTCACGACAAACTTTTCTGATTATATTGCAAAATTCAGTTAAATACATGACTTCATATATTCTGTGATGGAATTGGGTTTTCTTACTTCTTACTTGAGATTTATAATCATCACACAAATAACATCACCATGACATCACGATGTAAATAAAATCGAATATCTTAAGAAAGCTAACACAATTTAAGTGAAAAAAGTAGATCTTTTCCAAGGGTCTTTGCAATGGAACCACCAAATTGAGACTTCCAGTCACAAAAAACTTATATAAAAGTGTGATGTTGTAACATTTTAACTACGCTCACAAAATCCGATTGACACTGCTTTAAAATGCTGCAATTTGCATTTCCAAGGCTTTGGGAATTAAAATTTTCCCGGAAGGGCAAGTCAATAAGTTTCTATGACTGACAACTGAAAATCCGAAATTCCCTATTCTTTAAATAGGCCCGTTCGTACCTATTTTTATATCGGTAAGTGGGTAAGTTAGCCGCACCCAATGACCTAGAACCCAATCTACTAGATATCTGACTCCGCCGAAATTGTATAATAATGAATGAGGCAAGCCGCCATCTTGAAAGGTGGCAAAACTGAGGATATTTACGATTAATATCTGCTTTTGCTGAGTTGATATAGAGTTGCAAAGTTCATAGTTTAGATTTAATTTTTAAAATGTTTAATATGATGGGTTTTTTAAGCTTTGTTCTAACTTATTTTTTTATTTCGAGTTTTGCTTTTTGCCACCTTTCAAGATGGCGTCTTTGCCTCACTTTGTCACGGTAGTTAGACATCTAGAGGATTGGGTTCTAAATTATTGGCCGTTCCTTTTTTTAGAATAGGTTTATTCTAAAACGTTTAACTAGATGAAATCATTAATAATCTACAACGATTTCTTGCATTTGCATCTATCCAGTTTTAAAATTGTGTATCAATTTTTGCCGTATTTGACGGTAATTCACTGACTTTGATAGTGACTGTTACAATGAAATATTAGAAAACATACATTACAAGAAAATAAAATGCTTTATAATTCAAATGATCATTTGGCTCAATGCACACTAGGTACATCAATACAGACACCTAGATAGTGACTTTAGATTTGCCAGGTAGAAAGCAAATTCTAAGTCTGAATATAATTGCCCAACATGACACTTAAAATATGGTCATAGATAAACAATTTTATTGATAATAACGTTTCGTCTTTAGCTTAAGACATCCTCAGTAGTGCATCGAGGGGTAGTCACAGCGAGCAGCAGCGAGAAAAATAAATTAAAGCTGCTTAATTTTAAATTCAAAGTACCTTCAGAAAAGCACTATTGGTTTTGAATTTCTAAAGAATATATTCCTCTGAAGATGACTACCGCTAAGGTTGTCGAAAGGTCAGTCTACAACAACAAAAAAAGTCCTTCTCAGGACTATACCAACCTGGACGATCTACATTTACAAACATGTAGAGATGACAGTGTTGTGAGATTTTTTGTGTCAAGGGATAGAGTGGTTTGAATGGAACTAAATAAGATTTAGTGGACGTTAAGAAATGGTTTAAGCTTGGAGATGAGGAGGCTTTCGTTGATGGATAGTTCGTATGCATTAGGAGAGGATGAGTTAGAATTTCGAAGTCGTCAAAGTCGGCGGAGCGGTTAGTGGTTTTGAGATGGGTGAGCACACTGGAGCTAATTGGACTGGTTGAAGGTTTTCCTGTCAAAGGAGAGATACCCAAATGTTCTGATACTCTTGTGTGTAAATGGCGTGTGGTTTGACCCACGTACGACGTAGAGCAGTGTCGACACTTAAATAGATATACAACACCAGATTTCAGAAGTTTGGGGACTCGATCTTTCAAAGGAAAGAAGGATGAAAGACGTGTAGAAGAACGAAAGACAAAGCGAATATTGAGGAGAGTAATTTGGGTGCGAATCTGAAGGGAGTAAGAGCCGGTGAAGGAAAGAACAAAATACATGAGATTCTTTGGTACGGTGTGCGTAGGAGGTTTAGGCTCGAAAAGACTATTGAGGAAACGTCGGACAAGTTGTGAAGGGAAACTGGTATATAAGTTTTCTAACTTTCTACATGTATGTAATCTAATCTGAAGATGTCTTAAGCTAAAGACGAAACGTTATTATTAATAAAATTGTTTATCTATGACCATATTTAAAATGTTATGTTGGGCAATTATATTCCTACTATAAGACATCAAGATACATCAAGAAAATAGAAGAGATTTGTGAAATTGCATGACTTTCAGAGGACAAGTACGGAGATTCTATGAATCTACGTACAAGAAATATGAAATTAATTTATTAATGCAAAGTTTTAAATGACAATTTTTTAGCCTTTCTCTACACAAGCAGAAATCCTTCTAACTTCAATGAATATATTTTATGAATTTTAGTATGTACAACTAGTTTAGCCCCACGCATAGTGAAAAAAGCTTCCTGCATGGTGATAATAGCTATCACAACGCGCAATGTTTGTGTACGGTTGAGAAGATGAGTTATTGTTTTTTTCGTTTTCCAACTGCGTCGCTAACAACTTTCAGGAACTTTCCCTCGAAAATGAACGACATGACAACGTTGTGGAAAACACACTATGATAATTTGAGAAGTTCTTGTTGCAAAACTTACTTAATTATACGAGCAAATACAATATAAACACGACTTTTGTTAATGTATTTAGTGAGTAGTTGAGCGCGAGCATTCTTCAATGAAGGTCAAAACCTAAAGCGTACCCGCGGTCGGGCTTTCTACAAATTTTAGCGAAATCAAGGAGCAAATGCCTTCTTTTTTCATTACATTTCCCACTGCATACCTCAAATGTTTAGAGACAAATTTATCTATGGTCGAACTAAGCGTGAACTTATTTCAATACACAGTGAAATACACACTGAGATATATTGAATAAGATTGTGAGAATAATGCATAGAAACCCAATCAACGTTATGGGAAAATCCATTCCTGGATAAACGACTAGCAGACAAATGTTGGCACTTGGCGCATCTTATCGTCTGAAGCGAAACTATGTGAAATTCTTTGCCATGTTATCTTCTTGGTTAAAAAATATGCGTTCGTGTTTTTTTTTTGCGAGAGTGCGGACCAACAGAAAGATCCGGCTGTAAATACCTTCCTTCTAAAAGACCTTGGACAAGTTTGAAGTACACGTTTCCTTTCTTTGCAAGAAAGTTGAAAAAACTGATTGCCATTCAGATGTTTAATTATCCGCTGTATATGCAAGATAATAAGAGAGGCATCGAGGCCATTTTACAACACAGATACGAGCGGTCAAAGTCACACGAGCTCCTAAGCAGAATACGACATAGTTAAATCATTGTGAATATGGAATCCACTTCAGTTTGTCGAGTTGTTCTTATCTTTCTTGTTTTAGTAACTTCAAACTGGGTAAGTATGAAAAGTCTACAGCTATAAAACATAGCGTGCACATACTATAAGTATGACGATTATGACGTAAATGCCTCGATGAATAGAGAACATGTATAACTATAAAAACAGATATTATATGTAAAAGGAAAAGGCCAAAAAACACAATACAAAATGAAGGAAGATTAAAAGATTAAGAGACACCACAAATGAATACTTCAAGATTATGGACACATTAGAAAACAAAATATGGTGAATTGCTTGTTAGACGAAACGCCATACGACACGAACTTTCTTTAATATTACAGGCGGCAAGCAAATGCGTCATACCAATCATACAAAGATGTACATCTGATGAGCAATGTTATCCAATGTGTGGACGAGATCCCGTAGGCAAATGTGCGCAGCTATTTCATGTCTCTGTATGTATAGTAGACCTAGGAATCCCACCTTTAGCAAGGACTAAAGAGCTCCCTGACAGCAAAGAGAAAGAAGCAAGTTATAAAGAGAAGAAACCGAACAAACAGTAGTTTAGTGAATTTAGTTATATAACTCTCTCTAATAAGTTTGCATCAAGTTACAGCAAATAGGTAACAAATGTAGTTTATTCTGAAAAGTTTACTGAGATTCAACTCTTACTCTGTAAAAGTTTCACATAGAGACTGAGTCTGAGTGGCATAACGCAGATCTTATTAGCGTGTTCATAGAGTAACAATGACGTAAATTGATTATCTTCACAAACGATGCTTTTGTTTGAACATAACTTGACTGTGCGCAATCAGCTTTGCTTTAAAGTTTTCAATCGCTCCTATAAAAGCTGTCCCTCTTAAGTTCATTCAATGTTCGATAGAGAATTTTTCATATTTTTGT